AGCCAGTCTTTACCAAGCTGGTAATGGCATCTACGAGCAGTTCGACAAGATTTTGATTCTCGATAACGGCAAGCAGATCTTTTACGGACCTCGAGACGAAGCTGTGCCATACATGGAGGACCTTGGCTTCCTATGCGACCCTGCAGCCAACAAGTCAGATTTTCTGACGAGCGTATCGGTGCCTGCTGTGCGCACAATTGCCCCAGACTTTGAGGACCGATTTCCTCGATCAACAGAGGAGCTACTCGCTGCCTATAACAACTCGCCCATTAAGCCAAGGATGATAGCCGAGCTCGACTACCCTAATAGCCCCGAGGCTCAGCAGAATACGGCAGACTTCAGGGAACAGGAGGCTCAAGACAAGCACAGGAAACTCCCAAAGAAAGCTGCGGAGTCCGCAGGATATTTCCATCAGGTGCGAACGGCTACCATACGCCAATTTCAGATCCTCTGGGGCGACAAGCAAACTCTGTTCATCAAGCAAGCCACAACTATCGTTCAGGCGCTGATCGGTGGCTCACTGTTCTACAATGCTCCGGACAACACGGCGGGCTTGTTTATCAAGGGAGGCTCACTCTTCTTCTCTCTACTTTATCCTACCTTCATCGCTCTCGCCGAGGTTACGGATTCGTTCGTCGGCCGACCCGTCTTAGCCAAACACCGAGACTTCGCTCTCCACCATCCATCTGCCTTTGTCTTCGCCCAGGTCATTACCGACATCCCGATCATGCTCTTCCAAATCTCACACTTTGGAGTTGTGCTATATTTCATGACTGGATTCCAGTACACCGCCCAGGCTTTCTTCATCTTCTGGCTTATCAACTTGATCTCGGCCCTGGCTATGACACAGCTGTTCAGGTTCATCGGTGCCGCTTTCCCGAATTTCGACGCAGCAACTAAAGCTTCTGGATTCACCATCGTCGCTGCCTTCACATATGCAGGATACATGATTCCCAAGCCCGACATGCACCCTTGGTTCGTTTGGTTCTTCTGGATCGACCCCATGGCCTACGCGTTCGAAGCATTGCTCGCGAACGAGTTCCACGACCAGGTGATTCCTTGTGTGGGCCCATTCCTGGTTCCAAATGGCGAAGGATACAGCCCCGAAACAGGAGGCGGACAAGCATGTACCGGCGTCCGTGGTGCGCCTCCTGGAGCAACCAGCGTTACTGGTGACCAATACCTGGCTTCCATGTCCTTCAGCCACAGCAACCTTTGGCGGAACTTTGGCATTCTCTGCGCCTGGTACGTTTTCTTCGTGGCAATGACCGTGTTCTTCACTTCCAGGTGGAAGCAGATGGGCGAAGGTGGTCGCGGCCTCCTCATCCCCCGTGAGAAGCAGAAGAAGGTACCTAAGGCCGTGGTTGCGGATGAGGAATCCCAGGCTGTCGAGAAGCTATCCGATAACTCCGGCTCCGATTCCGAGAAGTCTGACGCAACCATCGACAACCAGCTCGTCCACAATACATCAGTCTTTACCTGGAAGAATCTGACTTACACCGTCAAGACGCCACATGGCGATCGTCTTCTTCTCGACAACGTTCAAGGATTTGTCAAGCCCGGTACGCTCGGTGCTCTTATGGGATCTTCGGGTGTATGTGCACTAGGAATGCGATTGACAGATGGATATATGCTAATATTTTCACTCAGGCCGGAAAGACTACACTGCTCGACGTTCTAGCTCAACGCAAGACTGATGGTACCATTCATGGCTCTGTTCTAGTCGATGGTCGCCCGCTCCCTGTGTCCTTCCAACGATCAGCTGGCTACGTAGAACAGATGGATGTCCACGAGTCATTGTCCACGGTACGCGAGGCTTTGGAATTCTCTGCTCTTCTTCGTCAGAATCGTGAAATTCCCCGCGAGGAGAAGCTCCGCTATGTGGACACGATCGTCAAGCTTCTACAGTTGGAAGATCTCGAGCACACTCTCATCGGTCGCCCTGGTGCCGGTCTTTCGGTCGAACAGCGCAAGCGTAAGTCTGAAACCATCGAACAGAGTCGGGACAGACACTAACAACTTATCAGGTCTCACAATTGGTGTTGAGCTCGTAGCTAAGCCCAGTATTTTGATCTTCCTCGACGAACCTACTTCTGGCCTCGATGGCCAAGCTGCAAACAACACGGTACGATTCTTGCGCAAACTCGCGGAAGTCGGACAAGCTGTCCTCGTCACGATTCATCAGCCATCGGCCGACCTCTTTGCCCAATTCGACACCCTCCTCTTACTGGCGAAGGGTGGCAAGACCGTATACTTTGGCGATATTGGCCATCATGCGAGGACCGTCAAGAAATACTTTGCTGATCATGGCGCACCGTGCCCCCGAGAGGCCAACCCTGCTGAGCACATGATTGAAGTCGTATCAGGAAGTCTTTCTAAGGGCAAGGACTGGAACCAAGTCTGGCTCAACTCGCCAGAACACGAGAAGATCACTCAAGAGCTTGACACTCTTATCACCGACGCTGCCGCCAAACCGCCTGGGACTGTCGACGACGGCCATCAATTCGCAGCGCCCATTTGGGAGCAGATAAAGCTTGTCACGCACCGTATGAACATCTCCTTGTTCCGCAACACCGAGTACATCAACAACAAGCTTATCTTGCATATACTTCTGTCTCTTTACAACGGCTTTTCGTTCTGGTCGATTGGTAACAGCGTCAGCGATCTCCAGCAACGCCTCTTCACGGTCTTCAGTTTCCTATTTGTCGCCCCCGGCCTCATCTCCCAACTTCAGCCTATCTTCATTGATCGTCGCAACGTGTATGAGACGCGCGAGAAGAAGAGTAAGACCTACCACTGGGTGCCATTCGTTACTGGCTTGATCGTTTCTGAGCTGCCCTACCTGGTCGTCTGCGGTGTGTTGTACTTCGTGTGTTGGTACTGGACTGCTGGTTTGCCAAATGATACCAAGTGGGCAGGTAGCACATTCTTTGTCGCAGTGAGTTCTCTCTTCTTTGGTTGACTCCTCGGTCAAACTAACAAACCGTCTAGATCTTTTACGAGATGTTGTACACCGGTATTGGACAATCGATCGCCGCGTATGCTCCCAATGCAACCTTTGCATCTCTCGTCAACCCGCTGGTCATCACCACCCTCGTATCATTCTGCGGTGTCTTCGTTCCTTACTCCCAGATCACGGCGTTCTGGAGATACTGGTAAGCCTCATACGACTATTAACACCCATGAGATCAATGCTAACATCACATATTAGGATCTACTACCTCGATCCCTTCAACTACCTCTTCGGCGCCTTCCTCACCTTCACCACCTTCTCCGTCGATATCACTTGCGAACGAGGCGAGCTTGCGGTCTTCAATCCTCCTGCGAACGAGACATGTGGTGACTATCTCTCCACCTATCAGCAAGGCATGGGACGTGGCACGAACCTTCTGAACCCAGGCGCTACGGAGAACTGCGAGGTGTGCCGATACACTACTGGGCAAGACTACCTAAAGACACTCAACTTGAACGAAGAGTACTACGGCTGGAGGAATGCGGGGCTGGTTGTATTGTGGGGTGGAGTGTTCTACGCCCTGGTGTTCTTGATGATGAAGTTGCGAACCAAGGCGACGAAGAGGGCATCTGCGTAGATGCATGGTGTCTGTTGAAGAGTGAAAGATTCAAGGTACCCTGCTCGAAGAAGAGTAAAGACGGAGTGCGAAGTTGAGCGCGTACGTGTTGGCTTCAGATGTGGTATTGAAGCTGCACAAAGGAAGATTCAAATCCTAGATCATAAAATTGCGCCCTTGCGCCAAGCTTAGACTGTTGTAATAGTTTCATTGGATAATTAAGACCTTATTGCATTCTCAAAGCTTCCTAGCTGTGGTGACTGGTGATCTGTTGGGGCGCGAGCTGCCCGAGTTCGCCTGCTGTCCTTCCAGCACATCGGCAGAGCGGAACATATTTGGTATTCTAGTCTGAGAGGATCTTGGTTGTTGATTTCTCCTGCTAATCCATGTCATGACCCGCGCGCTTCGCTGCTTTCTCCTCTTGCTCGGCATACCTTGGTTCATCACCTGCCCTAATATCTTCAGGAGGGGTTTCCGACCGTTTCTGGCTACTTTGCTATCCACCGCATCTAGATCTTGACAGAGTTGTATCCCAGATCTCCCATCTCCTTCTGAGCAAGTTCCTTGTAAGTAAAATCGCCGAGGCGGAGCCGCAGGCCGGGGTGATCGACGGCGCTTCCTTCATCGTCACAGAAAACCAGATAGGAACGACAGGACATTACGCACGGTGTTACGAGGATTGAACCTACCTCATGCGCGACCACTTCTACAGCTCGTAATTCAGGTCCGTCGGGAGTATCGCGCAACTGGGGTCGCCAAATCGATAGCAACACTGGCCCTTGGGACAACAAAACGTTCGCGTGTTGACGAATGTCCATTGATATAACGGAAAGTACCTTCGTAGAACGCCAAAACGAATAAATAGAAGGAAAGAATGAAGTTAAGGATAAAGAGAATATTCGCTATAACTTAAAATAAGGGATGTAGCTACAATTTATACTCCAGGACTTAAGCATAGATATTAGTGTCTGATGAGAGTGGATCGCTTTTTTTCTGCGCCGGTGCATAACAGAAAGCCTAAGCCCTCCATTGTTAAGTCATCGTGCCCTAGTTCATTATTTTATTTTTTGAGAGAGGAAAGAGATTGGAGGGTCGAGTACCTTAAAAAACAAGGGCACGGTGAAAATTCAGGTCCATTAAAATGTAGGTTGGAAGATAAACAGAACTGTGGGGCAAAGCGCTCTTTTGAGTATGGGCTGAGCACCGACTGGGTGCTCAATAACTAACTCGATGCCTCTGATGAATATCTGAGGAATCAGTGAGGGCTCCGTGAGCATCCAATCAGACTCACTGGGTCTGAGCCCCGGACTGAAATTTACTCAGTGAGTCTGACTCTGAGCGCCATCATAAAAGCGGTGGCAGCTAAAATAGGAAAGCCCCGCATCGCATGGCATCCGAAAAATGTTACGTATAGTGGCCTAGGTAGTCACCATGCCTATCACAGAATTCGCCCTCCTACGTCTAAAGGAAAAGGAACCATCACCCACCACCAGGTCCAATCTTCGAGACGTTATCAAGGAACAATCCGCATGGTCAAAGCACCCAGTTAATTTCGTTCGCCAGATCGAAGACCCAAGCTTAGTGTATCTTCTTGGTGGATGGGCATCTGTGGCCGAGCATTTCGGAGATTGGATTACCTCGGAACCGAATCAGCGTTTACTGGCTCAGCTCAAGGGTTCTATTGGTATAGAGTGGTTGTTTCACTTGGATATTGATGTGGGTATACCCAAGAGAATGGGCTGTTTCACCCAGCGGTGAAAATCTGCTTTTACTGACATGACCTGGGACAGCCTTCTTTAAACAGTATCCCCCTGAATGCACCGGTCCTTGGTATAAGTCGGTACTTTGTCGAGGCCAGCAAGAAAGACGAGTTCGATAGTATCTTCAAAGCAGGTGCTCCGCATCTCGGCGAATACACGGCTCCGTACAGCTACGCCGGGGGCTGGCGCATCGATAAGGAAGGCGAAGACGAGGAGTTTGTGCTCTTCAGTGGCTGGAACAAAGTCGAGGACCACTTTGGTTTTGCCGATTCTGATGCTTTTAATGAATTCGGAAAGATCAAGGGCGCTATCAAAGGAGCAGAGATCAATCATGTACACTTGGAGAAGTGGGAGTGATTGAGGTCAGATTCATGTGCAGCACATAACTATGTAGTTAGATCCAAGCCCGAGAAGCAGAAAGATTAACACAAAAAAAGCCTCCTCGGCGCCACCGGTCAATCCATCGCGCATGTAAATGACAGAAATGATGAAAAAGGCAAATGGGTATTATGGATCATCATCATCTGGTGTCGTGAGTTAAACAGAGCCAAAGAAAATTGAATCGTAACTGAAAACAAGACATGAACGCTAGGCTTTATCCAATGGAAGAAACATGCCAAAATAGTACCTCGTACACCCCTCGAACTCAATAAAATGTTCATATGCAAATTAAAGCACCTTCAGCTTCATCCACTCGCGTGTACCGACGCCAAGGTTGAGACCGTTGCACTCCCACCAGCGACGGACGCGACCGTCCGCACCGGAGACTGCATCTTCGAGGGCTTCCTCGATATCGCAAGTCTTGAATTCGACCCTCAGACCGCAGTCTTTCCACCATTGCAAAACATGATCATGACCGTTTTTTGTGGGGCCGACAAGGACTTGGTTATCGAAGATCATTTTCGGTCCTTTCAGTCGGTACCAGAAATCGAGGACATGGACATGGCCGTGCGTACTGGCAATGCGGGCGACATTTTCAGCGTGGCTATATGGGATACCAGACGCATCCCACCAAGCAAGAGATGCGATGCGCCCAGATTGCGCAGCTAGTAGGACAGACTTGCCTACTTTGAGAGGGATTGGCTTGTGGATGGGTGCCTTTGCTGATGCGGTCTTCCACCAGTCCAGAACAGCGACCCGGCCCTCGGCACTGGCAGCCTCGAGAGCTCGTTCGCTATAGCGGAGTGGGAGGCCTGAATGTAGCCACCAGTCCAAGACATGGATGAAGCCAGCGCGTGAAGCGCCGTCCATGGCGTCGGCAGCGTACTCTTTGTTTGGAAGTGCAGGCGCATCGCGCCACCAGGTGAGAACAGTGGGGTTGCCATAGATCGCGGACGCACGATAAGGGATGTTTGTGAGGCGGGACGTTGTCCAGAGAAGGTCGAGGTGGTTTTCGGTAAGGTAAGAGAGGATATCGGTACGAGAGAATTTCACAATGAGGTGGCAGGCTAGGTCTGACAGTGGTTTCCACCGAGGCAAACTGTCAATGCGTTTCTTCATTGCGGCAAATGAGCCGCGAAGGATGGTATACTCCAGAGAGGCCGGCGTGGACATCTTCAGGAGGTGGCTCTGCCATTCTTGGGGAACTGGGAGGTTGGTCGGTATGCCCACGGCCTTTGCAACTTCCCAGTCCCCTAATTGATCCTCAAAGACGTTGAGCCAGATCTCAAAAGGGAGTGATCGCACTCTCGTTTCTGGATTTGGCCAGTGTGTCTGAAGCTGGCGAAGGGCCGTGGCAGTGTCACTTCCTGATGGCTTTGTTGATGAAGCCGATTGTGATGATGGTATTACATTCACGCTGGAAGGGCCTTGTGAAAAAGTTCGCTCCCACTGAGGTAGGCTCAAGCCTTTCTCCAAGCTTCGGTGCAGTTCTTGCAGACCATCCCAGGGCAGTGGTGTCAACTCTTCCGGCCCATTAGACTTCCAGAGCACGGGCTGAACAATCCGGACCCACGGCCAGAACCGATTGATTTCTTCCAGCTGTCGCGCACTCAGTGGATGATCCCATTCTGAGACGGTCATTCCTGGAATCAAAATCACAGGCTTGCTCGAAACCCAACCTCGCAAAAGCGCCAATGTCAAATTGTTTGTCAACCCCGTCAGCATGGATCCCAAAGTGCCTGCGTCGATGGGAGCGACCAGCAGCATATCCGCCCACTCGCAGAGCTCAGCCGTCTTCGCCTTGAGCCATTTCCGCGCACTGGTCTTCTTATCGAAGGTTGTACTGTCGACTGAGTCTGTGTAATGTGGGATTTTGTTTGTGCCGGCCAGCAGCGCCACAGATTCGTCGGTGATCAAGCGCAGCTCGATATACGGGTTCTTGACTAGCGAGGGTAGGACGGTGTCGGCAAAAGCGCTGTCCGTCGAGAGCAGGAGGCGCCGCCTCCGACTAGACGTTGGGACATCGTGCATGGACTGGTCGTAGCAGACCCGATAGCCTTCTTTGTTGCCAATCACCGTCTCCTCGCCGTCGCCATCCACTTCCATTTCACTATTCCGCTCCAGCTGGGCAATATTGATCTTCGGGGTATTCGGGACGGTTTTATCGGGCCAGAAACCAACTGCCATCCATGCCCGGGCCGATAAATCTTCTTGAGTTCGGGTTCTGTACACTCGATATACTGATAAGGAATTGCGCGAGTCGATGAATGAGGGACGTAGCAAGGAAGCAAGGAGGATTCGGTGAGAAAGTGGAAAACCGATCAAGTGTCTGTAGTCGAGTCACAAAGCAGTCCAATTAAGCCCTAATTGCTTATCCGACAACAGCAGATTGGGTTGAAGATCAGGCAATCGAAGCGGTGACGGGTTTTTAAACTCCTTCTCCAACTGTATCCACTATAAGGGCGCCAGGACCTAGACCTTTCCCCGACCGATCCGTTGTGTAACCTGGTTGACTCGAGCTTTGTTCCCTGCTCTGAGCGGTGTATTAGTTGGGTCTCTCTTGGCTGGAGAATTTGGTTCCAGGTCGCCACGTCTCGCCACTCAAAAACCGGTGGATGGTGCTCGCAGTTCAATGTATGCAACTCCAAACTCCAAGACTCCGGAGACAGAGGGGGGTGCAGGGGGAAGCACAGTACTTCTAGCACAACCACAGCAAGCCCAAGACCATCCAACGTGTGCAGCAAGCCAATGAAGACATGCGGAAAGATTTGATTAAGGCCAAAAAGCAGCCAAAGTCGCAGGCGCCGCTTACCAGCGGGCAGCCGTGCAGCAGCGCTTCGGCGTGATTGGTGGGGCGGTAGCCGGGGCGGTGAATAAAGTGGAACCAATGACTAAGTCAAGTGGGGGTTTCTCCGGGATGAACTTTAATCATAGGATGAAGACACAAGTAGTCATGATAGTCTATTTAGTATGTACTTGACATTCCTCAGTCTCCTTGCTTTATACACAGCACTCTACTTCATCACGATCTCTACTTGCGTTCTATATCACCGACGAGACAGGTTATTGTGCAGCTTGTGCTCTCGCATCGCAATACTAACTGCCGCTCCCAAGATTGTCAACCCAAGCAGCGTCACAAATACCGCCCGCAAGGAGTCCATATACGCGTCCAAAACGCCTGGGATCCAGTCCGTAGGCAGCTTACGGATCTCATCCAAGCTATCACGGAGCCGGGAGATCATCTCTGCCGCATGCTTGCGATCGCCAAATCGGGACCACAGTCCAGTTTTCAGGGTGTTCTGGAACACGGCCGAGGCAACTGTGATACCAATGGTACTTCCAGTGCTGCGGAACGCGTATGAGGCCGATGTCACGACGGCATGGTGTTCGTGATCCACGGCTGAAATCAGTGCCACCAAGGTGATGGTCAGCATACTTCCATAAGCGACACCGCCGATGAAGAAGTACACAAACGGCAGCCACACAGGCGTATTTAAGTTCAGGGTACAGATCAAGGCCGCTGAGAGTACCTGCAAGGTCATGACAGCATAATTGAGGATCTTGTAGCGTCCTGTGCCTCGCATTACGAAGCCACTACCAAGCGACCCAATTGATGTGCCAATGGCTTGCGGGATCAGGCGAACTCCAGCCGCGGTGGCCGAGAGGCCCTGAACCTGGAAGTAGACCGGGAGATAAAAGAGTAGTCCAAAAACTGCCATCGTCGTGAACCAGTTGGTCAGGCAAGCTGATGCCACCGTCCGGTCCAGAAGGAGTCTCACTGGGATCACCGGCTCGGTCGCGACGTAGGCCTCCACATAGATGAAGATGCCCAAGAAGACTGCCGACACCGGCAACGAGACCAGGACAATTGGGTGAGTCCATGGCACTTGGTTTCCGCCGGTATTCAGACCCAGCAGCAGTGTAACCAACGTAAGTACCAAGGTGATGGCTCCGAGGAAGTCAACACGCTTGATGCGCGACTTGTCTGTATCTTTCACAGGGATATTCACTGTGAAGATCACCAAGATACAGGAGACCACCAAGAAGGGGATCTGAATTAAGAAGGCCCACCGCCATCCCAACGTATCATTGATCCACCCACCGAATACTCCACCAAGGCCCATGCCGGCTCCGTAACAAATGTTACCGATGCCTTGCCAGACACCTCTTTTGCGCAGCGGAACTAGATCCGAGGTGACAAAAGTGGATATAGCTGTGAGACCACCTCCTCCAACACCCGCGACGACGCGACCCAAAATGATCGCCCATTGCGTTTGTGCCAGACCACAGATCAAATTGCCAAGAGCGAAGAAAACATTGGAAAAGACCAGGCCCCAGCGACGCGAGTATATATCGGTCAATCGGCCGCTGAGAGGTTGACAGGCGGCATTCGAGATCAGGTAGGATGTAGCTAGCCATGAGAGGAGCGAAAACGAGTTGAACGAGGAGGATATAGGCGCTGACAATGTCGCGACTATGGTAGTATCTGTGAAGGAATTCAGTCAGCAAAGCCTCGAAACCCCTAAGATACCTATTAGAAGAACATACCAAGTGCAGCAAGGAAAACACCCAACCAGATGCTTCCAAGTATCAAGATTAGCTCCTTGCTTGATCGCTCCTCAGTGACTGGTTCCTGCTCGGTTGTTTCGCCCTCGTGGGCGGGGTCAGCATCACGAAGCAGCGGGGTCTCCTCTGAGACTGGGGCTCGTATGGGTTCGTCAGTCGGCATTGTGTTCGAAACAATTCTGGCTGTCCGCCCACCTGTGGAATTCGAGTCCGGGCTTGGAATGATGTACTACCTAGAGGGTGAAGGAAGAGGGCGCCTCGAAGCTTGGGCGGAAGCTGACGGCGGATCCCGTGCGCGTGCGGAGCTTAGGTGTGGAGAACGGAACGGGCTTGGCACAGTCCAATGATGCCGAGTTCCACAAGGGCTTGATCAATATGGGATACCTACACCTATTCACTATCTAAATTCGCCTTATGCTGTGCCAATAAACTGAAGCACTCCACTATGCAAAGAGCTATATTAACGGTTTAAATCTAGGTATATCTGCTAGCCGTTCGCTCCTTCCAGTTGAAGAGATATCTAATGCTGTGTGAATATATATGTCACAATTCTCCCTAGTGCTCCACTCACTCACTTCAATAGACGTTTCCTCCCATCTAATCTCAAGCTGCTTGATACACCAACAAAAACTCAGCGACAAGAGAGCACAATATCATTCATCTATATAGTCATTCAAGAATAAGCTATTTACAGCACGATTCACCAAAATCACTTGTGTGCAACCATCTCTTTAACCGTGTCACCAAACCCTACCATACATATCGTAGCCGATGCCGCAACTCCAATACGGGGACCCAGCCCACGAAACAATCTCCTTAAAAGAATGACTGTTCTATCATGATGCAATATCTTCGGATGCTGAGGGATCGAGACATCGAGGCGTTGGCATCGCAGTACTAGACCTTGACGATACCACTGATGCACAATTGAAAGAAATGCACGCCCTTGGTATGCGTGGTATCCGACTCAACTTCCAAGCAGATGGAAAGGAAATCAGCACTGACAGATTGGTGGCCACCCTGCGCCGGACGGCCGATCGCAATCGATACTAACCTGCTTGGATGAACCAGCTGTTCGTACCAGGGTGGTCATGGGACTGTGAGATTACTCCCTGGATTTTGAAACCGATACACATTGCTATAGTGTTTATACGACGTTAATTCCGATCTTCCCGTCAAGGTCATCGCAGACCATCTTGGTGGTATGCTTGGCCCAACCAAACTGCCGGCCGACTTACAGTAAGCGCCGACATCACAACCCGGGTTCCAATCACTGTTATCGCTCGCAAAGCAGTCCCGCGTCTGTGTGAAGCTATCCGGCTTATATCCCATGTCTAACGAGATGTTGGCATTTGTCCATTCCTGCAGACCGAATGCCCAAAGAAAGGTACATGTTACTAGGTGGCATTGGCAGGTGGAGATACTGAGGCCGACTTCTGTGGTTCACCCAGACCGACGCAGCTGTTAGCTGGATTCAGTCAGAAATACGGCGATTATTTCCAACCCACCATGTTCGCTTTCAGACACACTCGAAGGTGGGGTCGCCAATTTTTAAGCAAGCAATTAAATAGAAGTATGAATTTGGATTCGGACATAGATCTACAAGCTCTCTCCGCGCCTGTGCTTGCCGCCTTGTCGCCCGTTCATCTACCCACTAACCTTGTTACAGTAAGCCCAAGAGCGACTGTGAAAGGCTCTATGAGCATCATATAACGAAATTGGAGGTTACAGGAACAAGTTTCATTTGTCCAATTCAGGGCGTTCAAACTTCGCAATCGTGAGACCTGTCATTAGAACCAGCTCTCGAAGATCAGCGGTCTCAATCTCATTAGCCTCCTTCAAACCATTCATAAAGACGAGGCATTCTCGATTCATAATAGCAATCACGGGAGCTACAAGCTTAGAAGCATCCCAGTGCCGTTGTCCGTGCCAGTCCGGGTTGACGCGGCAGAGGCGCGTGTCCTGGTCCAAAATGAACGGCACATCCGCCGGTGCCTCTCCATATCCCGACTTCCAATCGCTATAACATTCCCATTGGAGCGTCTTAGGATACACCTTTGGGAATACCACTTCATGCGCAACGCGATTGGCCACACGCTGGAACTGGTAATATAACTGGCGATTTGACCGGATGATTTCGTCAAATCGCCACCGTTCGCCCTTGGCCAGGGTTACCCACCCTCGGTATCGGAGGCAACACCTACATTGCAGGAAAATAGGGTAGTCAACATCAATACCACCGACGACGTTCTCTCTCTCGAACGGAATTGACCCGGTGTCTCTGGCCTTTAGGGATGCTGCATCGTCTTCGTAGCTAGTTACGATAAGGTCGTTGCAGTTCAGCTTATAGGACTTCTTTATGTTCGATGAACTTCGGTCTGACAGAACCATTTCCCCAGGACCCAGAATGGTCCTTATGTCTTGAGTAGAGTTTGGCTCTGGTAGCGAAATTCCGAAGTATGGGGGACTCCAGATGTTATATCTCGGGAACGTAAAACCTTCTCTCCAGAAGGAGCCTTGTCTTATTTGGAAGCACAGCTTAGGCTCGGACGAGAATAGGTACCAGCTGCCTGTGTTAATAGCCCAGGGCTCAGCGCGAGTAATTTGGAACACATCGGTGCATTTTGGTTTTGATGGCTCTGGGGGAGCTTCAAGCTCAGCACTAGAGGCGTAGAAGATCAGATCCAATACCTAGAGTTTTGTGGGGATTAGAGGAAGCCTTACTTGGAGGCGAGCTTATCTTTCAGACAACTACTCATCAAGAGTGTATAATTGGATTAAATACACGAGTGGGGTGGTTGGGCCGTCACCAGGCGAAGACACGCGATGTGCATTCAATAGAAGTAAATATACGCAGAGAAAGCAGAAGCCACTGCACGAAGACAACGTAGCCTTATTCACTTTATCAGCAGTTGAGACGGTACCTTGGGCATCTGCCCGTGAGGGGGCGATTGTTTGGCGACGAAGTTCATACCTCGAGTGCGTAGCAGGCGAATCGGTAATCTTGCGTCAGGCAACAATTTTCCACTAGCGAGGCGCTAGGACTCTCGCGTCGGCGCTGCGCCTCTATGGCAGAGGATGCGCGGGAGAAAACGGTGGATCAGCCTATATAAATTCCGAGTCAAAGCGTTGTGATGTCTGAGGGGTAATCTGTCCAAATTCAAGTGTATGGCAATGGTGAGTTTCGGCATACTAGTTCACCCGATGCCGAAACTTGCAATTACGGTAATTTCGGTGATCTACCAGAAATACATCCTGAAAATGAATCTCCTTTGCCTCTGCCTTCCTGCCACCAAGGGACCGGCGAAACGACTCTCCCAGACAATAATTCAACTATAACAAAGGGGGATCATCCTGCCTGCTGTTGAAAAGAGCAAGGTCAAAATCAATGAACACGACACCGGGCCGGTCACTATCTGGAGAAGCTATCATGACACTCTGGGGCTCGAGATCGGTGAGCCAAATGTCCTCAAATATCCTGCTTTCAAGTTCCACAATTGACTTAAAATTCATTGACGGACTATGTCCCTAACTGCGAGCCCTACGACAAAGCAGCCTACTCTATTTGACCAGGCCGCGCTGTTGTAATTGCTATCGCCATTGGAGGACTAGCGAGCTGCTATTGTAGAATCGAAGCCCGAAGCCGGACTCACTGCTTAGCCGGTCTAACTTCCTAGGCCCCGTCCGTGATTTAGGAAGGACACCGTTGGCAGTAATCCCGCGTAATGGTAATATCCTGGAAATTATAAGAGTGGGAAATAGTTTCACTATCGTCACTACCGTCCTGGTAGGCACTTTCCTTAGATTTATCAGGTAAGCTAATATTATATTTCCCTAACGGATCTCCACCAACCCACACTAGTAAAGCCTAGAGATAACGGTTATTATGCGGGGTATTAGGGTGGTCATTCCGACAAACGTAAAGAATTAGCCGATAGGCGGCTTATTCCTAGTTTCTCGGACTAGAGTAGCTATCCATCTTCTCCGTAACCAAAAATCTATTTAGCACGCCGGTCACAACCTAAGTCAGTAGAGTGGGATTACTCCATTTGTCCGGGAAACATCAAAGTTTTATCCGTACCCTATATATCAAAGGTAACTTTTCCAAAGAGCTCATAGGTTCGTATATTGAGAAGTTGGGAGCTATCAAAATTTATTATCAATAATCTCAAGCGTCATGCTTTTATTAGATGATAAGTCGTAAGGTTGCGCCAAGCGCGCAGAAAGGTTTATACTTATCCTGCTCCGATAAGACGCAGCTATGTGTTCAGTAGGGCATTGACTTTGGTCCTCGTGACTGCTATGATTATAATAAAGGTATCAGTATAATTCCAATTAGGCGGCTCACCAATACCGATTATATATGGCTGCTCACTGCGGAGTATAGGGGAACCGGTGATCTCCCCATTTATGAGGGAATGGCGGTCGAAGAGCCGGACATTGAACTTGGGACTGGTTTCGCTTTTAAGGTCATCAGTCGACGCATCGTGGCTGGCCCTATCCGCAAGGGTCGTAAGTCAGGAAAGGTGGGCCGTCGTGGTCGTCGTGGCCGACGCCGAGGCAGGGTTAGGATGGCTTTGACGTCCACGGTAAAGGGCACATTTGAACCTATGTATTCTAAGGGTTCAAAGCTGCCATAAGCGATTTGTTCGCCCGATTCTAGCTTACGAATACTCTGAGCGAATTTGGCTGCGCAACTTCCGAGCTTCTACATGATGTCACTTGGCAGTCTCAATACCACACAACTGGCGACGCGGCTCCAAATGTAGAACGAACTCATCCCATAGGCCAGTAATGCGAGGGTTCACAAGGACTGAGCAATAATATATCAGAGAACTCTCTTCGCCGGTCTGTCTCATTTTATCCAAGTTCATCCCGGTTTCTTGCCACCAGTTTATACTCACGGTTTCCACCACGTCTCTCATCTAACAAAGATGGCCACCTACGAAAGATTGACGGCACCCTACCAGTGGCCCACACGAGGAGGCTGTATGCGAGCTTGCCGAGGAACCGGGCTCTACATGTAGGTACGCAGAGGTTTAAAGATAGTAGTCGTTATCCTGCATGTCATTATCGAGGCGAGGGGACGGGTTAAATGATATCAACCGACCGACCAACATACTATAGGGTGTTGAACACTTGAACAAGCGCCTTCAAGCCAGTCCACTAACAAAACTACTAAGTCACGAGGACTCTTACGATATCGACTTCTGAGAGGATATAGATTGAAAAAAAATCAATATTTGGGCTTAAAGGAGATACGGCGTATGTAAATTGGAACATACTATATTGATAAATAAGTGATAACTAATCAGTTGCCCTTTCGGTTTAGCCACCGGGCATTAATAGACTCACTATGTGTGTGTGTATCGAATGCGTCAAGAGCTGCCTGAATTTTTTAAATCATCGGATCGAGTTTCAGCAGCACACGGTGATAAATTCCAATACAATTTCGTTAGAGATAGGGCCAAAGTGTACTACTCTGGTTCTATTCGAGAGGATCTGGGAATTCATCCAAAATGGTCCGCCATACTTAGCGTCCAGTGTTGAGCGAGATTGTCCCTCCGAATTTGTCGAAATTAGGCGCCTGGCTTCACCTAATTGACTAAAAGAATCCAATATACTCAAATAACCGATTTCAGCATAATAATGTATAAATGATCCTATACATTTACCCTCTGAATTAACCTGGATTTATCCTCCCGAATTCACCAGAATCCTTATCAACCGGCTACTCAAAATTTAATGGTTAGAATTTAGAGGCCGAGTTAAGCGGTTAATTCAAGTCGCCCATTTTTGGATACTATGATAGCTCTAATTAGATCATGGTAAGTAGTCGCTTTTGATAGTGACAGTGCCTACGGCACTGCTGGCACAGGAAACGAAGAGAGAAGGGAGACTGAGTCAATTGGTCTATCTAGAGGAAGGAGACGAAGACGACTAGGAAAGGAAGAAGAAGCAGAAGAGAACAGAACAGGGTCCATAAGGCCCTGAAGCACAAAGGAAAGGAACAGGCCTGGTCCTGGCAGGAAATCCCCGGCCTGCTTCATGCAGGGCCAAAGAAGACGACAAACCCTGCAAACCCTCGAGGTCAAAGGGATCGAGTCACCAGATAGATTTGCTGAATTCACATTAGATTAACTTGATTCGTGAGGATAAGCTAAAGTTAGATACGTGATTTCGATGAATTAGAATTACTAATTTATCATAATTAATTGACTGAATCGATAAATCGACCAATGATCACACGAATGTACTCAAATCAAAGATTTAAATTGGCTAGAATTAATTACCTAATTAATCACCCAAATTGACGTACAGACTGTGCGGTCTGCTTTTGGTAGCAGCTTGGCTGATGTTAGGTTAAAATTTCCTCAGTGGAAAACTACATACTATCGTACTTTGTCTCTTGAGCGGATTGGTCCGTCGAATATCAATGTCGAGGTGGCCTGTGAGCACAGCGGTAGGTCTTGATTTGCACCCTTGTAAGGACCGAATTGGAATTCTAGTAAGGCACGGGCCGGCACGGAAAAGCATAGGATGGACATTTTATCACCACCAACCCCTGCCTGAGCGGTCCTCCCACCAGCTTGAAGAAATCTCATCCCGGACAGCGCCACCAAGGCAGATAGACAAAAGAACAGGTACTTCGAAGAAGCCGGTGATTATTGGGCAACATATGGGGCTAACTTAGAGGACAGTCTGACAGTGAAAAGGGGAGCAACCGCCTTTTAGTCGCGAAGTAGGTAGACAAGGGGAAACCCATTCATCTAGCCCGTGGAGGATCTACCACTGCTAGCGTCTGATGTGAGTCTGGCCCCTAGACCTTTCATGGCCAACTGTAATCGTTTGGTAGGAGGCGCTGATGCCCTGCAATTGCGCCTGAAGAAAGCGGGGGAGGTGACTTTATTGCACGGCGAAGGGGAGTTTCTCATCCAGTTGCTTGCCGCCTGGGGAAAATTCTGTTTTGATTTGAATGACGAGCAACTGAAAACCGCCAACAAACCCAGCCTCCTGCAATAAACGCGCGGGCCATCTTAGGCTGGAAAGGCAACCACCATTCTGTCACGGAGTGGGCACTAACAGAGACCTGACTTTTCATACGTAAATTCTGCGGACCTGAATAATAGCTCTACTAGCCTGCATCTGCCAGGTTATTTCATCAGTAGCCTTCCCGAACCTCGTGCTCCGACATAGCACAAGCTTGATTTGTATCTTGCGCTTCAGATTCATCAAATGAATAGGAGGAAAATGGAGATAAAGGGCTGCCAAGGAAAAGAGTGAGACATATGCTTGAAATACTGGGGAAATGAGTTAGTCAAATCATACAAGTAATGTATCCCTGTAAAAAGTAAGAGTAATGTTGTTCTTACAATGTTATAAACATAAACGACTCATTCGCCTTTTTCACGGCACATGAGACCCCTAGGGGGAAGCGAGCTTGCAATTATTAAGGTTGTAATCCTGGGCGGCGAATATAAATGTTGTTAACCACCTACATAGCTGGTAAGCATTTCATAAGCAAGCGCATAGGACTTGAATGGCTCACAAGAATGAAAATGCATAGTCAACAGCAAAAACCACATAGTATGCCCATGTGAACTTTGCCATATTCCGAAACAGGAGGTACGACAGTACGCAGACGATAAAGAATACAACAACGGATATGACCGACTGAAGAGTCAATTTCGGTATACACTAGGGGCGAGTTGACTCGATCAAACTCACAAGTATCTCCCAATACAATGCATGTTGATGGCGCGGACCTACTGAAATAAAGTAGGACGAAATCCCCATTACAATAGCTGCACTTAGCCATTGTAAGACCCTCAATGTAGCAAAGATAAGTCCAATTTGCTTTTCCGATAGCAGACTCATTGTGCGTGATGTTAAAGATGTTCAAGACTTTCGGCGAAGCTAGATCTTCTATTGAAAAAAAGGTGCTTCGTAACGAATATAGATGTATAGAATTAAGCTCGACTGCCCGTCGTCGCGGAATGTGGGTAGAAAATATTAACTGGCTAACAGTCACAGTATCATCAATTAGGTCAGCGATAGTGAGACCAATCTAATATGATGTCATGAATCCGGCGGGGAGCAAGCACCCTCGCAAACATTCCTCAGGGTGGTTTTCATTTACGTCATGATCAACTCATGCTTGAGCCGTGCGATACGGTATATTTCAGTGATTACTTCTCGACTTTGCGCATTTAACGAACCATCAAAAGAAACGTGTTCCATCTTATAATCGGAAACACTGCTCTGTGGGTCAGAGTGCATCAATAGGATATTCACAAGTCTGGATAACTATTACCCCTAGCTGGCAATCTGTGTAGGCATAATAATGACTAATCTCGGCGGATCTAACATTGGAATTCCTTTCTCCTGTAGCTACCAGTGCTCTGCTTCCTCACTTGTTTAGAACGGGTGAGAGTATCCCCGATGCCGGATGCCGAAACCTGACAAGCACAGTATGATAATCTAGCATCTCAGATCACGATGAAATTGGGTTACTTGCGAGGGGTACTTGCCAACAGGTGCCTAGCCTGTCCGTTTGAACCCAACGCGATTTCTTATCCAGATTCACCAGCGTAGACTAGGTGGTACGATTTAAATCAGAGAGATGAAGATAGCGTCCTCACAAATCGGCGTTTTGTTCTTCAGTACGTGTCAGTGCACTCTTTGTAGACCAACCCCTTGCGATCAGGGCTTTTCTAATGCTGGAGAATCTAACATAGCCTAAAAGTCATCCCAAAAGAATACGACCATTCTCAGCGAGATAGAGGTAGGTTTTCTCAGATATAACTAAGATGAATGATCACAGATCACGGTTTGGTGAGACACATTACTGCTCGTTGTTGTGGATACTTATGATGGCCTGCATACAGTCTGTTCGGACATTTCAGATGTGGTGAAGGATTTGCTCCCTGTCATACCACGGATGAGAACAATTTTTGAAGGGGAAAGACTTAGAGCCATGTTGTCTGGTCTAAAAACGGTAAGCGGGAAGCGCTTGTGCAGGAGTTTGCTAATGGTCAGGAAAAGAAGGAGAATCAGGGGGGTGCCTATACGCAATTTCGTGTAATTATATTGTCTGTGTTACAAAAGGCATTGTAAAATATATTGTTTATTTTAGAAATTAAAATGCATAAAATAACATCCCATCAGGACTAGCACATTTTAGGATTTATTTTCCAGGAATCAAGTCCAAGGAGTGTCCGGTGAAACTGAATCCGAAAACTACTGCAATATGCGTTTCACTGATCCGGCATGGGAGCTGCGCGGTAGCTTCTTCCCAACAAGAAATACTTAACTTAGTCTTTGACTTCTTACCTAATCTAACTTGGCATCTTTCTCCTACCTGATTAACAGGCTCCTACCCTGAGATATACTGGTCGGAGATGAGAACGGTGTAATTGTGGTACCTCCATCATTGATGGAGCAAGTTGTGGAACTGTGCCAGGAGCGATTCGAGATCGATGAAAAGACATTTGCCGCTTTGCGAGCGGGTGAGCCGATGGGTCCGACGATCTTGCGTTTACGCAAATGATGTTCTGGCTTCTGTCGGATGCATCCGATAGCGGATCCAGCCCGCTCGGTGGCGGAGCCAGCCCGTTTTTAGGGGGCCATTCAGCTAGCGTTAATAATAAGTGCACATCAAATTCCAACCACCTGTTCAAGCGCGGAGAAGGAAAATAAAAGGAGCACTATTGCGATGTTCCAGTTTACGTTTCAGAGACGCGCTGTCTTCAGCACTAAGCGGTTTCTCTCAAAACAGCGATGCCTCCCTGCAGCCTACTACCGCGGCGGCACTTCTCGCGCTGTCATTTTCAACCAAGCCGATCTACCTCCTCGATCGGAATGGGACGACATATTTCGCAAGGTCATTGGTAGCCCTGATCCGTATGGTCGACAACTTGATGGCCTTGGCGGGGGCATCTCCAGCCTGTCTAAGGTCTGCGTAGTCGGGGCTCCCACGCACCCCGACGCCGATGTTGACTATACCTTCGTCTCCCTTGGCGTCAAGAATACCGATGTCGATTACTCAAGCAACTGTGGCAATATGATCAGTGCTATCGGCCCTTTTGCCATTGACCAGAAGCTTGTCTCTGCACAGTCACCGGACTCGGCTACCGTCCGTATCCACAACACCAACACTGGCAAGATCATCAATGCGACATTCCCCGTCGTGGATGGTGAAGCTGCAAGTACCGGTGACTTTGCCATTGATGGTGTCGCTGGGACGGCTGCCTGCATTCAATTGGATTTCATCAACCCAGCCGGCTCGGTCACCGGAAAGCTATTGCCAACTGGCAATGTGAAGGATGAATTCGATGGTGTCCCAGTCACTTGTATTGACGTGGCCAATCCATGCGTGTTTGTTCAAGCGAGCAGCTTCGATGTCCGAGGAGACATGAGACCAGATGAGATGACAGCTCACACAGATCTTCTCCTGCGGTTGGATTCGATTCGCCGCCAGGCAGCAGTTAAGATGGGTATAGCTCAGAAGACCGAGGATGTCCCGGGCAGCATTCCTAAAATTTGCCTGGTATCATCACCGGATTCTGTCAGCGAGAAAGACCCCATTGATTTGCTCGTGCGGGCGATCTCAGTTGGGCAGCCGCATAAAGCTGTGCCAATCACTGTTGCACTAGCGGTTTCCTCGGCTGCTCGTTTGGCTGGCAGCGTCGTTGAGTCTGCAGCGAACCGGGACAAAGTCAGTGATGCTGGTGTTACTATCAACCACGCAAGTGGAAATCTGCTCGTTAGGGCCCAGTTTGATAATGATGAGTTGACCGCAGCGACCGTGTTTCGCACTGCACGTCGGCTGTTTGACGGGAATATTTATTGGAAGAGCTGAATGTAAGATATTGACGAAGCAAATGAACCTACACCCAAAGTGATTCATACACCGGGCGGAAGCTACATTCCACACTCAATTTACCATCCACGTGTTTAAAGTAACTTGTAGTGAAGTTTGTATACTCTTTATTTTCTCGAAAGCTTTGAATAGGTCTGGTAAAAGGCAGGAATTTCATTGTGGTGAATTCTCGGCACGAAACCCTGAAATATTGTCATTTTTTGGAGGATGGGTAGAATAAAATTGAAGGACGGGTATGTGTGTAGATTCTAGAGCCAAATCTTGTTCAGGCATTAGAACAAACTAGTTTTCAACTGTGACAGAATCAGTTTGCAGCATAGCCCCCTTTGATTACCATATTAAAAAGATAGGAAGGATGAATTAATATGTATAGCGATCTATGAGCTCATCGACTGTTTACAGTGTTTCCTTTCCTCCGATGGTGCCTCCAACGCCTTGCCCTTGCACAATGTTTGACCAGTCGCAGTAAGTCCTTCGGCTGAGCTGACGGAGGCATCCGAAAGCCGCGATTGTGAAGGGGAGATTTGAACAAATGAAAGCAATGACATTACAGATATTTCCCGGAACTTGATGCGAATTATACAATGCTCTTTTGGCTAGCTTGTTCGTGTAACAACTTCCAAATTCTTAGAACGCGACTAGGACCCCTGCTCCCTTCATGTCACACCCTCAAAGGCTCCACAATATCAAGTTTCCTGGATTGCCTATACCTTTGCACCCGCACTGAGCATCATGCTCTCTTTCTTGACGGTGGAGTCTCCTCGGTGGCTTCTTCTCGACCACGAGCATGACAAGTCTCTTGCAGCATTGGTTCAGCTTCGTGGTTTCCCAGCCGATGCAGACGTTGTGGCCACTGAGTTCAATAGCATGGCATCTCATATTGAAGATCGCAATGCCGGACTTGGGAATAATAGCTCTCTGCAAATTATTAGAGAGACCTTCCTGTGAAATGTAATCGGCGCCGCGTGCAATTAACGATTATCGTTAACATCCTCGCGCAAATGTCCAGAGCCAACGCAATCACCAACTACTTGCCGACAATTTTCGGAATGATAGGAGTTACGAACTCGAATGTCAAGGTTTATTCAACAGGCTTGTATACTTTCGCGAAACTCATATGCTGTTTGGCCGCATCGCTTTTCTTCATCGATCTTGTCGGTCCCCGAAAATCTCTCATGTTAGAAATCTCGGTGCAAATTATCTGCCACTCATTTTTGGCCGGATACCTCAAGATCTACCAAATCCACAAGGCGCACATGGGCAAAGCTTCAACAGATGCGGCTTTGGCGTTCATTTGCATACACGCGTTTGGATGGGCAATCGGACTCTATAGCCTGCCTTACCTCTTTGGCGCAGAGCTCTGGCCTAACAAGATTCGATCGTTCGGAGGAGCGTCGTCACAGTGCTTCCACTGGCTCTTACTTTGTCATCACCAAGGCCGCTCCTCTGATGCTTACTAGTCTTCACCAGTGGGGAGCATTTATTCTATTCGTTGAGTGGCTTTGCTCTACACTTACTTCATGGTCTCGGAAACCGCCGGCATGAGCCTGGAGGAAAAAAACCGAATTTTTTGAGCGATCACTGGTCCTATTAGCTCGGCCGCTAGAGGAATTCCAGGAGGATGAGCGAAACTAGTGAGCCTGGCCCTAACCTTCACTGGTAATTGTTGTTTCTAATCTCAATTTTAGCGTTGGTGAGAGTTAACCGAGCGACCCGAAGGCGAATGAGAAATGGGTTGAGAAGGTGTAAGAACGGACGAGTAAGCTGAGCATAGCTATTGGAATTGTGACATATTTAGTAATCGCCATAATCAGATGGAAAGTCTATAGACTTTTCTTTCTTTTGTGGCTAAAATTTTCTGGCAGTAGGATAGAGAAATGTGTAGGTCACCATCTTGACCATATATAAGTCTTGAAGTATTCAGGTCAGCCCTCTCATGTTGTTGTTTTTATTATCCGAAAAGGCCTCATTTGCAATAGAGCTAATTACTATAATTAGATCAACTGTCAGAGTGGCTGACAGTAGTTAGGTAGAAATGGCCCCAAAGTTAAACCAACTATACCACGCTGGGCGCCTTGTTCTGCACGGTACAAAGTCAAGCCGGCGGATGTACAGGATGTCAGACTCATAAATGTTTGCTTCTCCAGGGACCAGGCAAACAAAACATCAAGCAGACAAATAACTGAGTAAACAAACATTTCAGTTCTTAGCTTTGTCCTACGCGCAGAATCTCCAGGCTACTCCTTGACTTAAACTTGGTCCACCCACTCCTCTCGAGTTCCACGTTCCACTTCGGATCAACAACGTCTCTATGGCTTCCACGGATCTCCCCGCAACAGCGGACTATATCATCGTCGGTGGGGGCACCGCCGGCCTGGTCGTCGCCGCTCGTCTCTCCGAGGATCTTGATGTCAAAGTCCTCGTCCTCGAGAGCGGGCCCGACTGCAGCAAAGACCCCAGGGTACAGGATCCTGGTGCCTGGCAGGCTTTGGGCGGATCAGAGCTTGACTGGCAAGTGAAAATCGCGCCACAGGTACGACGTATAATATGGCAAATACAGAAAAACCAAATCACTGACAACCATACAGTTCAATCTGGATAGTCGTGAGCTCGATCACTCAGCTGGAAAAGTTCTGGGGGGATCCTCTGCCATCAATGGAATGGCCTTTGTCGCGCCATCGCCCGCTGGTATCGACGCCTGGGCTAAGCTGGGTAATCCAGACTGGACTTGGAAATCCCTGCTACCCTACTTGCAAAAGAGCTACACCCTGACAGCGCCAGAGTCACATCCGACTTTGAAAGAAACCCAGCGCGTTCCATCGACTGGTCCAGTACAACTGACCTTCCCTGCCCTTGATGACGCTGGTAGCAAGACTCTACTGCATGCGTGGAACGAGGCGTTCGCGGCTCAGGGACATGAATTCAATCCTGATATTCTCGCAGAAGAACAGTCTCTCGGACCTCGTCCTTACACCGCTACCATCGACCCTGTGTCAGGTCTGCGTAGTGGTGCTGATCGTGGGTATGGGGGTATGGCATTTGAGCGCTCGAACGTGAGCCTCATAACAGATGCCACCGTTTGTCAGATCCTGTTCGACTCGAATGGGCCAAAGGTAACGGCCATCGGTGTTGAGTACAACCACAACGGGCAAGTCGCCACGGCCAAAGCATCGAAGGAAGTTATTCTCGCAGCCGGCGCATTCCAAACACCCAAGCTGCTCGAGATATCTGGAATTGGTCAGAAAGAACGACTGGGGAACCTCGGGATCCCCGTTATCCTTGATCAGCCTGGGGTAGGCGAGAATTTTCAGAATCATCTGATGGGTCCGATCATCGCTCCCCTGAAGGAACATTCGGATTTGAAGAACATGAACCCCGGACTCAAGAGCTATGCAATGACCAGACTTGACTCCGAGGAGCAGAACGCGCTTCTATCCAACTACGCCGGTGAGTTTGGCAACCTCTCCGATCAGGTAGCTCGCTCGATTATCGATACTGCCACTGAAGCTTCAGCTTGCATCTTTCTGGGTGCTATTAATCCAAGTCTGGCTGTTATGGTGCCAATCCTAAGCTTTCCATTGTCTCGCGGGAGTTGCCATATCTCCACTGCCGACCCTGACGCACTGCCTTCTGTGGACGCGGGATTGGCCAACAAAGATTTCGATCTTGAGATATTGGCCCGACACGTGCGCAACTGCTACAAGCTAATTAACTCGGATGCCCTGAGCTCTTACTTCCAAGAGAGCACGGCTGACTTGGATATCGATTCTATCAAGAAGGGTCTGCGAATGACAGCGTCGGGGGCACACCATGCATGCGGAACGGCCGCTATGCTTCCCAAGGATGCAGGAGGTGTGGTCGATCAACAGTTGAAGGTCTACGGTACGGAGAATTTGCGCGTCGTTGATGCGAGTGTGTTCCCGTTGATTCCTCATGCCAATCCTCTGGCGACGGTTTACGCCGTTGCCGAGCGTGCCGCTGATTTGATTCGCGGTGCTGCTGCTTAGACAAACAGAAACACCGCTGAGAAATCGAGTCCATCCTCTGCAGTGGATATTATTTAGCTCAGCCATTTGTCTAGGAATAATGAACATGTCTTATTTTTTGTATGGACTTTAACCCTGAAAATGTAGTTTCAAAAGACTCGACTTCTGTTTTCAGACTTGGCACAGTCGACCATCGCTCTCCTCAACCCACGACTCGCTTCCCACTGCAGTGCGGGCGTAAAACATATGATCAGGGTCGAACTTCAGCTTGATCTCCTCCAAAGCTGGATAATGACTGCCATAGAAAGTCGATTGCCAGTTGGGCTGCTTCCAATCCGCCTCGTTGAGGTAGGCACCGCTGTCAGGGCTAATTGTAGTCAAGCGAGGTATGAGGACGTCGGTCATCAAAGACTGGCACCTGACGTCCTCCTGGCGATTGGTATAATTGTAGGCCCTGTAATCTGTCAGCTCAACTGCTACAATATAATAAACTCTAAATCCACATGACATACGTTCCGAGGACAACCGATATGGCAGCGTCTCGCCAAGCTGGGTGGACAGCATTGAATGGCTCTGGCGAGCGGGACACATTGAGCGAGACACCCGAAACGACGACTCCCATTTCAGTAATCTCCCTTAAAGCTGTGAAGAGGCGTGTGGTATCAGAGTCGAGTACCGAACGCGGCATCAGTCGGCCTCCAACCTGGGCTTCTGTGATGTTACTGTGAGGATTCATAGCAGCGTAGCTATCCCAGAATGTAGGGAATTGTTGGATGTGATAGGCTGTTGGTTACGGATATCTATAGTTAGCCCGCATAGACAGTCTTGTTCTGGAAACCCGTCATAGATACGTACCGTACTTGATATTGCTCTGGTTCAGCAGAACCAAGGTGGATTCCAGACCGTTGTGCAGCTGTTCCACCGTACCGCCAGGCCAAGAGATAGGCGTCAAGCTGAATGTTTTCCCAATGACAGCCCAAATGGCCACGGCTCCAGCATCGACCATTGGAGTGATTCCAACCACAAAATTGCGGACGATATTCCAGAATGTGTCCGCGGCGACAAATGCCCCACTGAATGTGAGGATTGCTGACGCTGTGCTAACCTCTGGATGTGCCTTCACGGTAACGCTCATGACCACAGCAAAAATGCCACCACCTCCCCCAGATAGAGCCCAGAACAGATCCGAGTATTTCTCGGGCGATGCAATGAGATGTTGTCCAGCGGCAGTCACCACCTCCCACTCGAGAACCTGATCTGCCGCCAGGCCAAATCGAGAAGCAAGCTGACCATGGCCTCCACCCTGGCTATATCCACCTGCGATGCCCACGCTTTCGCAGTTTCCAGCCATGATAACCATTTTCTGTGCATGCGCCGCAGCCATTCCATCAAAGCCCTGGATCCCAGCGCCAAGCCGTAACGCAGGACCGTGGTAGGAGTCGGACGTATAGTCCAGGAGATACTCAGTATCCTTCAAATGATGCATCCACAGAGCAAGACCCCCAGGTGCAGTTGACTTCCCGAGGTAATCATGCCCGGTGTTGCGAATGACCAGACGAATATTATGCTCTCGAGCAAACCGAAGGGTCGTTTGCACATCCTCGACACTGCTCACATTGACCGTATAACGCTGCAGTGCAGAGACGGTACACGGCGAGTCTCGAGGCATGAATGGGTCACAAGAGAAATTGGAGAACCAGGAGGCCATTGGTGAGGTACAGGACTTGTAGTGGGTAGCGGGAAACCTCCAGTCGGCGATCAACTTGGCGCACGCGTGCTCATTGTAGGCAGAGGAGTCACCCCGGGTGTGACAGACGCTGCCGAGAGGAACGGTCGATATCAATTTTCCACCGAGAGTGGTGTTAAGGTCAGTCCATTCCTGCGATGAGGGCCAACAGGAATCGCCCGGGAAGCAGCGGCAGTTGAGACTGTTGGCTGCGTTGACACAGAGTGCCAGGATAAGGAGGAGGATACTCAGTTGCTGCATTTTGTGCAAGGACCTAAGATTGAAGAAAGATAGGGAGCCAGGGAAAGAAGAAATTTAGAGATAAAAGTTTCCTGTGGGAGGAAAGCTTTGTTTGGAGGTACAGGAAGTAAATAAAGGAAAGTCGAGTGGTCGACCCTCATATACAAGAGGCTTACAGGGGAACAATACAACTGCTATCTCAAGGTTAACGGAAATCTTCCAAAGTTTGATATTATGTTTGATTTATCAGAGCCACAGATTAAATTCAAGTCGAAATTTATGTACCGACAATGTGCTGTGAGACGGACCATCGGCATTGCTCTGCTAGGCAGAGGTGGTTATTATTCGCCGATAGTGACCCCCTTGAAACCATAGCACCACTGTCCAACTTCCCAACTCCTGATTTCCAAGTCTCAATGCTCAGTTCTGCATCGAGGCCAACCAGGGCAATGCATAAACCACCACCTGCCACGCACACCAGCATCGCCAAGCTCGCGTATCGTGAGACCCGCTTACCACGTGGGATGCGACTCCGATGCCTGTCAGCATCGGCAATGCATATCCCCACAGAGACATCCTCCAAAAGTAGGAACACGAGATGCTCCAGAACAAGGTGAAACAGGCGATGATCCAACGTGAGACCGTGTCTCCAAGCACAAGGGGAAGAGTCTTTCGTCCTCGAGTCCGATCTCCGGCCTGGTCTTTGAGGTCCTGCACCTGCATCGTTGTCAAGATGACACCGCTCATCATAGCAATCCAGCGATATCCATGTTCCGAGATATGGTAGCCCAGACCGGAGGCGATGCGCAGGGAGCTGGTCAGATATAAGGCGTATCCACATGCGATAATCCCATCTCGGATGATTTCGTCTCCACCACGTAGATCATTGTAAAGCCAGGTCAGAATCATGATGAAGGCGCTTTCCGTTGCCACTCCGAGGATGGCGCTGACAGTTAAAACGATGGGAATGGTGATCAGCATCCACCGACGGGTCGTTTCCGGGCTGATGCGTCCGGTGGGCAGGGGTCGCCACGGTTTGTTCAGTTGGTCCTCCAATCTCGACTCCGGGAGGCGCTGATTAGCCAGGTCGAATACGAAAACATTGGCCCAGTTGAAGACGATCACTGCGAGTGCGCGGTAGAGAAAAGTCCAGTTGGATGGGCGCTCAGGGCAGTCGGTGAGCAGAGGCGCTGCGAGGGCTGCGAGTAATCCGAAAGCCGAGTTGGGGAGTACAAAAGTCGGAAAGTTACTCTCGGTGAAGTGCCAGATGAGTAGAAGTAGTGAGAGTGCCGACGAAGCCTCCTTCGGGGGCGCCATGATGGCGATGAGATGAAACAAGATGAAAAGAATTTTCAAGTCGAGCGCTGTTTAGTCCTGTATAATCCATCGACAACAAGCCGTGGACTCTCACTGTGCGGAAATAAGCGATTTTGTGGAAATGCCTGGCGTGATGTTTGCATACACCTTGTACACCGTCCAGGTTTGACCAGATGTGAGTAACCTCTTCCCCTCCTCAACTCCCCCGGAGACTCATTCTCTTCCTTACAGCATCAATCATCATGAATCATATCGTTTCGGCCCTGATAGGCGCCCTCTCGGGACTGGTACTGCATCGTGCCGTCTTCATTCACGGCGAATGGCATGTTCGGGCGCCAGATATTCTGATCTATCATCTCATCTACTTTGTGGCCTTGGTCATGGTCTCTAATCACGCATATTGGATGATTTTTGGATATCTTACCGCGCTCTTCTCGAGCATCACCATCTACCGTGTCTACTTCCACCGTCTCAGTCATTTCCCCGGGCCCAAATGGGCACGCGTAACTAAACTCTGGCATGCGTGGAAGTCGCGACATCGCCAGAATTTCCTAGTGTTGTCGGAGCTTCATCGCAAGTACGGAGACTTTGTCAGGACTGGTAAGGTTTAGCTCCATGCCTCGTGGAGATCAAGTTCTGACCACTCGAGTACCTAGGCCCCGGCGAGATCACAGTCTACCACCCGGATGTTTTCATGGCGATAGATGGACCTCAAGGTGGCTGTGTCAAGTCCGAGTGGTACGACTTGCTGCATCCTAAGCAATCCTTGGTGACAACTCGAAAGAAAGAGGCACATGGCATGCGACGTCGACAATGGAATAAAGGTTTCACATCCCAGGGTATGTATAATTGGGTCGAATACCACTATGCAGACATCGGAGCTGACAAACTCAGCGCTCGATGAATACCAGGAACGTATTCTACCCCTTATCGATCAGCTTGAGCGTTGCATAGATGAAAATATCGGGTCCAAAAAAGTCACCGAAGCTACGGATCTGTTTTACTGGCTGGGGTTCGATCGCATGGGAGACTTCATCTTCAGCCGGACATTCAACATGTTGTCTCGTCAAGAGTGGCATCATATCATTTTGCTGATGCAGCGGGCCCTTTCCCTCCTCGGACCACTGAGTCCGGTTCCTTGGTTCATTCACATTGCATTCAAGCTTTTTCCTCGGGTGTGGATTTTGAAGGATTGGTTCCGTATGGTGGCCTGGTGCGAAGAGCAGATGTTACAACGACTAGAGGTGAGTATGACCACAATAATACATTCCAAGTTTCCAGCTCCAAATCTAACTCATCATTCAAAAGTCTCCTCAGGATACATCCAACGTCCCTGATGTCGCCCACTACCTCCTTCAAGACGCACGAGACGACCCTCGACGGTTCCCCTGGCTTACTGGCGACAGCATCCTCGCCATCGTGGCTGGCAGCGAGCCCACGGCAGCCGTTCTTGTTGGTTTATTCTGTGAATTGGCAAAGGACCCCCGGCATGCAGAGATCATTCTCGATGAGATCAAAATCCTCGACATCGCGGACTCGCGGGCACTGGCATCAAATTGTCCTCACCTTGAGGCGTGCGTTTTCGAGGCTCTCCGGCTGTATCCTGCCCTTCCCACCGGTGGAACCAGAAAAACCTTGGAGAATGGAATCACAATTGGAGGAACGTTTATTCCACCAGAGACAACTGTAGTCGCACCGAGATTCTGCATCTCTCGTCGTGAGTATCTTGGCCTGCTCACATGAATCACAGCGATTCCTGACTGCTAACTCTTATTAGGCGAGGATAGCTTCGAGCAGGCGGAGAAGTTCATTCCAGAGCGCTGGTACAAAAAGCCCGAGATGGTGCGCAACAAATCAGGCTTTGTGCCATTCGGTCTGGGTCATCATAGCTGTCTTGGCCGAGCACTCGCCATGAACGACGTGCGACTGATCACCGCACGACTCGTCCAGCGTTACCGTTTCCGTATCCCTCCCGGGGAGACTGGAGATGCGGTATTGCGGGATCTGAAGGATCAGTTTACTTCGAATCCCGGTCGCCTGCGCCTGGTATTCGAGTTGCGTGAAGACTAAATCTTTATTTTGGTGGCTGGCTTAAAAATGTGCTCATGGTGGCGTGCGTACAAATTTACTTACAGCACAGTACATACCTCGTTGGACCTTGCTTGTTTGTAGGAGGACCGCAATGGGAGTCTCATGATGCAGTTCAGCTTCCAGTACATCCGAGTGTGGTCACTTCGGGCTTTCTTTTTCGTGGCCCATCAAAACATTGTGCGTGCATTGGGCTCGTAGTCTTCAAGTTTAATTGGTCGAGACTTACCTCGTGAATAATCAAGATACTCCGAGGTTGATCATTACTTCTTGTGTTCTGTCTATTTAATCTCTCCTGATAGGCTTATTCCAAGTTTAAGATGCAGTCATAAGAGCTGATTTGGCTTGAATCCTCGAGCATTATAATGGTTAAGATGCATTGTAGCTCATTCGTTGCGGAACTTATGATTACCTCCAGCCCTCATCATAGCCATTTCTCGGCCCCCAAAACTCGTCTCACCCTCGACGCTCGAGCAAAATGAGGGGTACGTAGTATATGTAGTATTCGCGGCCCGTTAATTTTTCCTGCTTCTCAAGCTGGTTGAGAGTCGGAGCTACCATATTTTGTTAGCCATTTCGAATACTTGAACTCGCAATGGGCACTTTGGAGAGTTATCTGCCTCCAGATTTGACCACCAAGACCATAACCCAGCTCGTTCTTTCTCTTGAACTCCCAGTACCGACTACTGTTGAGCGACTGCAAGTCTCGGCAGCCTTTCATTCTATCTATCTCATAACCTTCCCCGCCTCTAGCACGTCGGGAATCCCGGCTCGCCGCAACCGTGATGGCTCGGTAACTCTGGTACTACGCGTCTCTGGCCGTCAGCTTCCGGGTATCAAGACGCGAAATGAGGTCGGTGTGATGAAGTGGGTGCGAGAAAATACAAAGATCCCCGTCCCAGCAGTTATTCGCTACGATGACACGGAGTCTAACATGGTCGGGCATGAGTTCACTCTACTCGAGAAAGTACCTGGTGTCAGCGTGGATCAGATCTACTCTACTCTCTCCCAAGACGCCCGCACCAGGTTAGTGAATCAGCTAGTTGATTATCTGTGTGAACTCCGTTCACATCCATGGAGGGATGGCTTTGTGGGAGGTTTAGCTATTCATGGAACTGAAGTCGCCGCTGGACCTCCGATTGAAGAGAATTTCTGGCAAGTCCCCGACCTGGACCGATATTGGGGAGGCTTGGGAGAGACCCTCGAGTCGCTGAATCCGACCCGTGAGGTTGGATTCTCAAATAATGTGGAGTTTATAGTAGGTAGTTTGGATCGTTATATTCATGCTATCCAAAAACACCCATCGCTCAACCCATTTCGAGACATGATCCCACGGCTCCAGGCATTTATGAACATTATTCAAGCCCCCACAAATGCCAAAGAACTGAATCGTGTGACCTATGTTCTCGCACATAAAGACTTGCATTTCGGGAATGTCATGTGTGACCCTGACCATCCTGATTGTCCCATAACCGCGATTTTGGACTGGGAGTTCAGCGGCGTGGTACCTGCACCACGATGGAATCCACCTCGGGCTTTTCTTTGGAATACAAAAACGTCACCGGAAGACAAGGCAGAGCAAAGTCGCATGGAGAATGTTTTTCAGGCTGTCTGCCAAGAGAGAGGTCTAGGGAAAATGTTGGACGAAATGCGACTCAGTCCACGACAAGAGTCAATGCAAACTGTGGTCAATCACATTCGTGCTATTGTCGAAGTCTGTCCTAGGGGACAGGCTCAGGATCATGTGGGTCAGTGGAGGAAAGTCGCAGAAGCAGGGATGGAGGACTTTGGTGTGTAGCATAAATCTCGCACTCCGCGATTATGCAGGAACGAACCCTTCCATTTTTTTGATTCTATTGGATTCAACCCCTGCATGAATCGTGACTGCTTTCGAATTCAAGGGTCCCTATTAGAGGGTTTTCATGTACATACATCCATTAGGCAAGAGAGCTGTGGTTCATAAATACAACCCAAGAAAATACCCGCCTGCTACCCATACAAGGAAGCTATGAGCATCATAACCTTAATTAAGGATATTTAGTACCTACTCTGCAATATCCCAACTTACATGTGCTTTCTGTGCGCCTGATTTACGTATATCTTGTAGCCTGGTTGCTCTTGATGCCAGAATCGAAGCGATGAGCGAAGATAATGAAGCTAGTAGGTACAAATCCACCTTCGCTTTTTGTGTCACTAATTTTAGTTCGGCATCGACCATCCGCAGATTGGCAGCCGTTCATGCATTCGTAAGCCAAGTTTAGTCTCTCCAATGAGAATCACCCAAAAATCGCTTGATCAGGTACCAAGTGGGGCCTTAAAAATGGGTCTTAAAGGGCTAGCCTTATCGGGTAGCTTTGTGACCGCTTACGCATGTCATCTATCCGTGGCAGCTAATAGTCCAGGATTCTCGTTGTGATGTTTTGCTACTGGAGGAGAGACAAGCCACGCATGCACATGAGATTTAGTTATAAAATCCGTTTTGTGTCTCGTGCAACCTCCCAAGGAGATCAGAATTGACAATTTCAAAGTGATTTATCAGGCTACAATGGCAAGATTGTGGGACACGCGTGGTGGGTCTCGGGCATTTGTGCTGTAATCTCGGCTTCATCAGAAAGCCAATGCCACCGGACATTGTAGTCAAATCGGCGATAGTGTCTACCCGGTTTCCATATCTGCGCTAGACGAGCTTTGACTCGTCTATTGGACCTCTGGTTTTGTTTGTGCCGGTGGCAAGAATAATAAGTTCCCCCTTTTCAATTTATTTCTCGAAGTGGCCGCCCTCTTCAGATCTTGAACGCAGGGTGTGAGGCTCCTCTTCTTGCTAATTTGGTCATTCGCCTTTTGGCAGTGCGCTGGCATCAGCAGTGAAAGCAACCGCCACGGGTTGATCAGGTTAGACACAACGCTATTTACTCCGCCAGTGAGCCCTCCTGCCACGATGAACTTCCTTTTCCGAGCCCTCTTTGCATTTGTCTGCCTCGTCAGCACCGGGGTGTTCGCATACAGTGAAACCGACTGTAACCCGCTCAATCAGACATGTCCAGCCGATGCCGCTCTCGGTACAGAGCACACATGGTGGTTCAATTCAACACTTGACGACACATTATGGAACATGACCACCGGAGATATCGACTACACGAGCACCGGCGCCGACTTTTCAATCAAAACGGAAAATGCATCCACTCTTTTGGTGTCCAATTTCTACATCTTCTTCGGCGTGATGGAAGTTCACGCAAAAATGGCAAAGGGCGCGGGAATTATTAGCAGTGTGATCTTGCAGTCCGATGACCTGGACGAAATTGACTGGGAATGGGTGGGATACAACACGAGTGCGGTGCAATCCGACTTCTTTGGCAAGGGCAATACCACAACGAGTGATCGTGGTGGAATTCATCCTGTGGCAAATGCAGATACCGAGTACCACAACTATACCTCCTACTGGGATAAGGATCGCCTCGAGTGGTGGATCGATGGCACCAAGGTGCGCACTGTCAACTATTCAGAGCCGTTGACGGTATATGGCAAGAACTATCCACAAACACCATGCAGAGTCAAGATGAGTATCTGGCCAGTCGGTATCAAAGGACAGTCCATTGGAAATATTGAATGGGGTGGTGGTTATGTGAATTGGACCGATGTGCCCTTCACCATGTCTGTTCAACGCCTGCGCGTTAAGGATTTCCATTCCGGAAAGGAATATAAGTACGATGGGAAAACGGGAACATACGAGAGTATCGAAGTTGTCAGGTAAGTCTTCCTGATTTGAGCGGATTCGGTCAATCGCATCCCATGCAGACTCTAACATGAATATTATAGTGGAAACTCGACGGCCAAGCAAGAGATTGAGAAGACCCCTTCAAAGACATTGGCCGAGAAGTGGGACGACTTGTCCGAGGGTGTTCATATTGGCGTGTACTGCGGAGCAGCAGCGGTTGGAGTGATTGCATTCGCTGTATTTGGTTGGTGGTGCCATCGACAGCGCAAGAAGGGCCGATTGCAAAGCGCGTTGGATGATGGACAGAATGGAGCAGAGCTCAAAAGCCTGGAGGCCTACAAGCTTCAGTGGAGACAGAGCGAATGGGGCCAGAAGAGCTATCAACAGGTTCCTAACACATAAAGATCCCAGGTTTTTCAGTTCTCTTTCTTTTAGATTACCTCTTTACTATTATTGGTGTAAATATAATGTGGTTTTTTTTGGGACATCTTCCAGAACTTTAGACAGCAGTATACATGGACAGTATATAATATACCCGCCATCTTTTTCCAATTGCGTGTGTCGATTATACAACCATCTCGTTATCAACCCCGCAGAATTAGGAACGAAGGGTCTGCAGGTCCTGGCCCCTGGAAATGATGGCTAAAATCACCATGTTATTCCAAATGGAAAAGTTTATACAGAAAGTATTGTGGGCCTCAGGTGTCATTGGCTTAGCTGCGGCTTGGCGCCTCATTAAATACGCGTCATCGGGTTGCCAGCGCTGAGTTTAGTCAGGAAACATTAAGCACCAAGCTAGGCAGCACTATCTCAATGGATTTCCTCCCATTCATTCCGGATGGTTGACCGTGGATAATTGAACATAATTGAACATGCTCGTCAATAAATGGCGAGTCGGTGGTAGCTCCTCAGCAGGGCGTCGGAGGCGCCCACTCCGTGCCTGCGATGTGTGCTTCGCTCGAAAGGTTGGTAAACCGCTAGTTAGTTATTGTGTTGCCTTACATTATATGTGGTGTTAACCTAAGCGTCAGATTCAATGTGATACAGCGAAACCAAAATGCAACTGGTGCTCCCATCAGGATCTCCCCTGTACATTTTCTCGAAAAGCTACGCGATCACGCAAAACACCTACAAGCCCCCCAATGTATGTATGCCCTGCGGTGACAGCTGCCTGGCCCATTATTCTAAAATGGTAAAATCGATCACTGACCTTAAATCTAGCTCTGCATCATCATCTCCAAAGAGCGTGACTGCCAGAAATGGGTTCTCCTCCCTGGCAGCAACTTCCTCGCAGGAACTAGGTGAATTTTGCAGACTGTCTTTGCCAAGCAACTGTCGATATTAACAGGCCTATTCATAGAAAAAAACACTTCCATTGGGAATATCCAGGCACAGGCTCGAGAGGCCGAGAAATGGGCCCCTGGATTTGCCAAGAGCCTTCAATCTGCTGCCCGTCATTTGGGCAACACCTGCACGTTTGATGGTACCCACGTCCTCGCTGGAACTAGCCGGGAGTGGATTAAAGCATGCACAGGAGAAGATTTCGACCTTGACCGATTCCCCATTGAATTTCCTCGATGGCAGTACTCGGCTTCTACGATTAGTTTAAACAAGGAGAGCCTCGATTTGCCAGAACTGTCGGTCTTGCGGGACGAGATTGAGCGCTACCAGTCATCCAGGTTTGCACTGTTCTTCCCAATCCTCGATTCATCTCTTATTGAAGATACAATCAATGCTGCATATCATCAGAAGGTGTCGACAGCATCGCCTGCGATAGCTAGTGCCAAAGCTTGCATCTTTGCATTGCACGCACTTGCTATCATCGTACTTGATGGGTCAGAACAACTCCCATTTCATGCCAGTCTTCAATATGCTCGGGAAGCACATCGTCACTTCCCAGATATCTTCAGTGAAGCAGCCACATTGGATGGTCTACAAGCCATTCTTTTACTCGTATGTCAAGAAACATCACCTCTCATTGGCTCTTTTGAATCTACACATGTCTCTAATTCTGCTTTTACAGATTCTCTGCTCCCAAGGCCTGGCTGCTGACTTCCATTCCATCAATCATCTTCTCGCAGCGGCTTCACGCTTGATATATGATATGAAGGGCAACTATTCCCCTCGCATGGCTTGGGACAATCCATCTACAATTGATTACCACACCAGACATCTATTCTGGATAGCATTTGTCTGTGACAAGGGTTTCAGCTTGGTCACCGGTCTCCCTCCGATGCTTGAAGATTCCCAGTGTGACTTGACATTTGCGATGATTCCCCCCGAGCTTCTCGACCAGTCGAATGAGAAGCCCCATATATATGGCGATCCATATCCCGGGTCGTACGTTCATACATATGTCCGCCTGGCTTTCATTCAATCTAAAATTCATCGCGATCTCTACTCACCCCGTGCGTTGAGGCAATCAAACACGGATTTACTGAGAGTGATTCGGGATGTGGATCATTCTCTCGAGTTGTGGAGGAACTCGATCCCAGTCGTTAATCGGCCCTCGCTGGTAGCTTATACTGGCAAAATTGTGCAGCATGTTGACTTGAGGGCCTCAATATTTCACATTCAATATCATCATTGCATGCTCATGATTCATCAAGCCAGTAGCCGCTGTGATTCATGGGCACGGAACCTGGACACGCAGGGCACCGGGTCTAGCCTGGCAATATCAGTCACCGCGAGTCGATCTCTACTTGGAGGGTTCCTACATACTCCATTTGATCTAGGATCCCAGAATCTCTTGTTCGTCATCTCTTCCGCATTAACTGCTAACTTTCCAGCATCGGGACTGTTCACGTTCATCCAACTGACGTTGAAATTTTAGGTTCTCCTTGTCATATTTCATTCAAGCGAGCATCAACCTATTCTGCAAAATCTTGTCCAGCCCATTCGATACGGAAAATCACGAGGACCTTCAAATCATTGATCGGATATCTCAACTTATCGAGAGCTATTGCAGGCCCAAGGACCCAGAATGTTACAGAGCCAAAGTTCGATTCGCAGCAGGTGTCACCTTTGAACTGAAACGTCTTGCCCAATGTGCGATCGAAAACGCCAGTCGTCAAAGGAGTGCTGGGATTTTACGATAGTAGTGTTTGATTAACTACCACACAGCTGGAGGTCTCCAAATCCGGATCGAAGCAAAGATATGTATATTAGTTCTATTCTTTTCTCCTTTAATTTGATACAGCCTTATTGGACAGCTACCCTACGACCGCTGCGAGATGGCCTAAACTTTCTATTCCTGTTTTCCTACCCTATTCCATGGCAATCCAGCCTCAAGCTACATAAGTTTTCAGTCTATACATGGAAGCACGGAAACCCCCGAAGAGGGATTGAGAGACGCAGGGGTCTTCTGAGTAGAGGCATACATGGTCTGAAGATATTGGTCTCTTGTTTTTAAAGTTTGAAGAAACGTCTTTGTGTTCTCAGTACGTCAGGGAAAGTCACCATGTTGCATTGCTGTTGAAACATGCTAGGATGATGTGAATGGCCAGCCGTACACCCCCGAGGTCAACAGCAGTCCCGACTGGATTTCATCCGCCTTAGCCTTGAGTTCTTCCACGTCCCAATTTGCCCAGACAGAGCGACCATTCAAGAATGCCGCCTCAGAACTCGTTAGCCAAAGCGAGAAATCGGCGGGAAGCTCCACTATGGTTCCTCACGAATTAGTTTCAAAACAGACAATTGTATTGAGCTTTAGCCATTACCTGAGTCCATCGGTAGTTGACTGGGATCGGCGCCAGACCCACGGAAGATTTTAGTTTCAATCATCCCCGGATGCAGGGCAGCAGCAAAGACGTTGGGATTCTCCGCAGCCAGAAACTCCATGAGTTTGATCACGGCCAATTTGGATGTGATATACCCGGATAGGTTAACCAGCTGAGCCGCTGGGAACACAACCACCGCAGTAAAAGCGACGACTGCTGCACGACGTGGATTGGCGGTCGGCAGGAACTCCTTGGATGCGATCATGGTGCCCTTAACATTAGTCTGTGATCATCACCGGTCAGCGCCAATCGGATTGAGCCGCTACGTCCCACTGGGACAGGACACGGGTATCAGCATGTGTAACGGGCGTATGCATACCTCGAAGTTCTGCCACCAGTCATCCACAGACGAATCCCGGATTGACGCCCGCGGGGAGATGTATCCCGCTGCCAGGATCATCACGTCCCACGTCCCAGTGCTGGCCGCAACGGCTGCAAGCGCCTTTTCATCCGTCACATCAGCCGCGTGGACGGATGAGTCGCATTTCAAGGTGGCCTGGGTTTCTCGGAGCGTGGCCTCATTGCGTCCGATCAGAACAATCTTGCTGGCTCCTGCTTTGTCAAACGACTGGGCGGTTGCGCGACCGATTCCACTGCCCTAGAAAGGATGGAGGGGTCGAGTTAGCAAACGGGGAAACTAGTATAAGCATGGGGTGTGTCAGAGCAGGCAGGTAGCCTGCTCAAGAGAAGACATTGCTGGGATCGTACCGCGCCCGTGATGATGATTGTCTTGCCGGCAGTGCTCAGCTCGGCTCGCAGCGGCGAAATGGCCGAGTAAGAGCCGTTGTGCCAGGTTGAGGTCAGAGATGGCAACGGAGGATTCATCGTCTAACCCGCTTTTCGGAGGTAATTACGCGAAGGAAATGAATTTGATGAAGGAGGCTCACGGGACTTTATTGAAGAAGATTGATGCAGAGTGCAAAATTTCCTGTGGAAGGAGGGGATGAAAGAACAGAAGGTGAGGCTGACTGACAAGGCTGGCAAACTGCCGCGGGGTGACTCTCGAGTCAGTTGATCGTCACTTTACAAAAGTCCCCCCACACATCCTCCCAAGATATCCTGCAAGATTGCTGTCAAGTCCTCAACTCAAAAACGCCACCAAATTACACTCCGGGTAGATCCATACAGTGCACTCAATTATCTTCTTTGACTGGCTTCAATCCCGAGAGCTACAGGAAGGTTGCATTTTCATCTGCATTTGTCCTACATCAGTCAGCGCTGATTGTTACCAGCTGGTCAACGCCATGCCGAAGCCGAGTCTCTGCATATTCTTCCTTCATGCTGGTGGGAATGAAATGGCAACCATTGAAGTCTCGTTATTTCTTTCCCTCGAGCAGTCGCTGTTTGATTCGATTTCCTGGCATCGTATATCCCACTGCACATCATGGCTGTCAGTCCGAACGGCGTTCAGCTGTCTATCTGGATGGCGGTGTTCACCTTCCTGACGAGTGTGGTGATTGCGCTGCGCATCTGGGCAATACATTTGACCCGCAAGAGTCTCCAGCTGCATGATTATTTTGTGATCGCTGCTCACGTACGAGTGCCATATTTCTCCACTTCGATTACTTTGCTCTTGCCTGTGCTAATCTCCTTCTAGACGAGCGCGTGTGCAATGGTAGGATTGAACTACTGGGCGGTTGCCAATGGGCTAGGAGGGCATACCGCCACCCTTTCGAAGGAGGAACTTGACATTCAGTTCAAGATGATCCTGGGAGTGAGCATGACATGGCTGGTTGGTACAGTCTGCTGCAAGCTATCAATCCTATCGCTGTATACCAGTCTCTTTCGAACTTTTCGGCCGATTCGTATTCTTGTTTGGGTGGTGAGTAGCCTGGTCGTGGGCTACTTCATTACCTTTCTACCACTCTTCCTTACTCAATGCCATCCGGTCTCGTATCAGTGGCATCCCGTACCAGGTGGTGGGTGTCGCTCATTGAGTATTCAAGAGATCGCATCAATCACACTTAACATATTCTTGGACTCGACAATCGCTCTCCTGCCAATTCCTGCGATTTGGAAATTGCGGATGTCCCTTCGCAATAAATTGACGATTGCGGTAATGTTTGGAATGGGCTTGATGTAGGATTCTTTCTTGCTATACACTCGTCGAATTATTCAAACTAACGGGCCACAGCGTCGTCGCAGTCATGATATGGCGCCTTGTCATCACTCTTAATCCCAAAACTGCCGCCGACTTCGTCTATGGACTATATAAGATCGGTCTGGTTAGTTTCCTCGAGTTATGGCTCAGCATCATCATCGTCAGTCTGCCGGTCCTCGCACCTCTCTTCCGCCATTACGTCGAGCCCCTTCTGTCACACAAGCGACCCAGTGCTGGTCAACTCCGAGAAGCGCAGCATACGATCGGCAGTGATCCACCTAAAAAGCGGCACAGGCCGGGCTATCCTTATGCTGATATTGAGATGGGACGGGGCAACTACTCGGCACAGGTGAAAACTGGGATGACCTCGTCGCAGAGTGATGGCGACGATACGGTCGGGCTTGTAAATGATATGCAGCCCAATGCTATTGCGATGCGGAGGGAGGTTGTTGTTCAGGAGGGACGAGAGCGCGATGTATGATGTTGATCCCCGGGCAGTAATTCATTTGGATATAATTTGGATGATGTATTGGTATGAAATCCGCGCACGGTCTTTAATGTTATGTTATATCAACAAGTCAAATTTCGTTTCAATTTCCAGGCCAGGAATGTCATGACTCATGATTTCTCACAATCACTAGCAAACTTCCAACCTTTAATTATCTATGGTGAGTATTGAAGTGCCTTTTCTGTAAGGCCGGATTTAGGTTTGCCTGACATTTTAGGAAGGTCCGCGATGCGCGACTTCCTCTTTACCATCATAACCTTCCCTTCCTGAAGTTGGCACAATTTTTTCCCCTTCTTTGTCTCTTGCAACTATTGTTGAATTTTCAATTCGTCGCTTTCATCTCCAACCCGTCATCTTCTGCTCTTCGAAACCCCCCCCCCCCGCGCGGTCGCATCGTCTGTCTGCCAGCCATTGAGATACCAGTCATGTTTAGCAATCAAAGCCAGTGAAAATGGGGCTTCCTGCTCTTATCATCACCATCTTCTGGAGCATGATCTTCAAGCTGGTCATGGACGCCATTCAGAATCGCCGGCGGGGCCCTCTGGACCGAACACTCGAGGAAGAAGCCCTTGCTGCAAGAAAAGAAGCCGGAGATGCTTGCGTCACTGCCTTGGAGAAGCGAGCTAAGGCTCTCAATGAGCGATGCAATGCTTTCAAACAGAGAATGAATGCCCTTTCTGAGGTGATTGCATCAACAACAGGGGATGACTGGCAGCTTGAGCCAGGGTTCTTTATCCAATTTCGATCTCTTGCAGATGAATTTAAATCCAGGCACTCCGGGGAATCCAGTATGCAAGGCGAAGCCGACGCTTTGAAGAAGGAACTGGAATCTATCCGGACCAGAGCGACCGCTCTCCAAGGTCTGGCCAGCTTGTGATTGTTGATTCGAGTGAGTCAGGGCATGGACACCACCTCTTGGCGGTCTACGGGTCAGCACCCTAATCAAGCTCCAGGGGCTCGTGGGAATTTCACGGCATTTCTCGTCCTTCATGTGCTCGACATGATTCGCCATCGAAACTGAATGCAACACGATATGCCGATTTCAAGAGCCATTGACCCCCTGTTGTTGTGAAGCATCCCCGCATTTGTGGAGTCCCCGGATTTCTAATCCTGTGGACGGGCTTTTCCGTGTGTAATTTCGGATTTCCCTGATCGTCCCTTGTCCCCACTCCGTTTCATCAGAAGCTCTTCTCAGAGGCTTAGACGCGAGCCAATACCACATTCAGATCCACTTGATACCCCAAATCCAATCACTTTGCACAAATTCAACATCTCTCTCCACTGTCGTCCGGGTCAACCTCGGGATTTTCCTCCTTCACGTCTCAATGTCGTGTATTATACCCGGGTAATACCTGATCTACACTTGCCGATGCTCGGTATAGATTCACCTTTGTCCAATCAAAAATCTCGCAACGGGGTCAATTAAAGGGTCTTGGCATGGAGCTTTCTTGGGTATTTAGCATGGGTGCTCCCACGGCCTTTCTCCAAGTTGCCCATCGATCTGAAACTTCGGCTCGAGCATGGTCAAAGTGATCGACATGACTCGGTTGTTTGCAATTTCTCTGCTGGGTGCGGCCTCAACGGCTTTCGCCAGCCAGGATGCGTTCCAGAACAAATGTGCGCAATTCGCAAAGAAGATCGATATCCCCAATGTCAAAGTCAATTTTGCGGAGTACGTCCCTGGGGGTACAAACTTGTCTCTGCCAGACAACGCTGCTAGCTGTGCCGCGCCATACCAGGCAGTTTCAGTGGACCTGTGCCGAGTCGCAATGGCAGTTTCGACCTCCAATAGCAGTGAGATTAGCTTGGAGGCTTGGTTCCCGCGCGACTACCAAGGTCGCTTCTTGAGTACTGGCAATGGTGGTCTCTCTGGATGTAAGTGCTGCTTTTTATGTCTCCGCCAGATTATTTCTAAAAATTTGTAGGCATTCAATATTATGATCTTGCCTACACTGCTCAATTGGGCTTCGCCACAGTCGGAGCCAATAACGGTCATAACGGAACCTCGGGACAGCCCTTCTATCAGCACCCCGAGGTAGTGGAGGACTTCGCGTATCGTTCAGTCCACACTGGCGTTGTCATTGGCAAGGAACTCACAAAGCAGTTCTATAAGGAAGGATACAACAAGAGTTACTATCTCGGATGCTCCACGGGTGGTCGACAGGGATGGAAGTCTATTCAGAAATACCCCAATGACTTTGACGGTGTCGTGGCTGGTGCCCCTGCCATCAACTTCATCGGCCTGCTGTCCTGGAGTGCTCACTTCTATCCCATTCTTGGCTCGAACACATCCGACACTTATCTGACCACGGCTGATTGGAAGGTTGTCCACGATGAGATTCTCCGACAATGTGATGCCATTGATGGCGCGAAGGATGGAATTATCGAGGATACCGACCTTTGCCATCCCATCCTGGAAACATTGATCTGTGCACCCAAGGCCAAGAACACAAGCAGTTGCCTTTCTAGCGCTCAGGTCAAGGCAGCCCAGCAGGTTCTGTCTCCGTTGTACAGCTTGAATGGCACTCAGATCTATCCTCGTATGCAACCCGGTTCCGAAATTCTCGCTGCCCCCATCATGTACAACGGTCAGCCTTTCAAGTACAGCAATGACTGGTGGAAGTACGTTGTCTACAGCGACCCTTCCTGGAGTGGCGAGAACTGGACAATCAAGGACGCTGCAGCCGCATTCGCCCAGAACCCAAACAACATTCAGACCTGGGACGGCGATCTGTCTCCCTTCCAGAAGGCTGGCGGCAAGGTCCTCCACTATCATGGAATGCAGGACCAGCTGATCAGCTCCGATGACTCCAAGTGGTATTACTCCCACGTTGCAGAGACGATGAACCTCCCTCCGGCTAGCCTGGATGAGTTCTACCGCTTCTTCACTATCAGCGGCATGGGCCACTGTGGCGGTGGTGACGGTGCGTACGGTATTGGACAGGGCCTCAAGACGTATGCTGGCAATGATCCGCAGGATAATGTGCTCATGGCCATGGTTCAGTGGGTCGAGCAGGGCAAGGCTCCTGAGACTGTGCGCGGTGCCAAGTTCGTTAATGGAGTTGGCTCGCAGATCGAGTACCGACGCAAGCACTGTCGCTATCCCCGACGGAATGTTTTCGTTGGCCCTGGTAACTACACAGATGAGAACGCATGGGAGTGTGTCTAGGTATTGCGCGTGACTTACGTGCGCAAGCAAATGTAAATAGAGTGAACATGGGTATTCTGCCATGGCGTATTAGTCGCTGCCGACTAATTTGAGTGCTATCTGCGTTTTTCGGCAAGCTGTTAGTTGTATTTCTCATACTTTCTGGTTGATAAAGCATCGACTCATAACAGCCAAAAAGGCTTGGCAAGACGCCCTCGAAATTGTTACCCCTTTGGGTTTACCCCGATCCACCGATCCGCAGAACCTTAAAGCCGGTTGACGATTATCCCCTCCTCTGTTAACTTGCACTTTTTAGCGTGGTTTCATTAGTGTAAGATTTCATCTAATATTATTGGTAAATTATTATACTCGATACACTATTGGCTATAGGAGCCCACTAGCCACTACGCGTGATTTTATCCACGCGTACCCTATCATAACAATCCCCTATACTAATCCTCATACTAATCGGTTAATCGATTAATCAATCTATCTATCCATCTATCTATCAGTAAATATTGTCCTCAGGATCCAAAAAAGACTCTATACCCTACTCGGCTTTATATAGGCCTTACTCGGTTTGAGCAGATTAAGCGCTATCTGCATATCGCATCGCCTAGTCAACAGCCGAAGCATAAGCAGTGGTGGTATAAGCTTGAGCCATTAGCTTTATCATTTAATCACGCAGGCCAAAGATACTATCAGCCAGGATCAAACGTATCAATTGACGAGACTATAATTCGCTGCTTCGGGCGTACAAAGCATACGATTACAATGCCTAGTAAGCCGATTCAGCAGGGTATAAGATCTTTGCTCTCGCTGAACGTGGCTATATCTGGGCCTTTACCTGGAGTAGCCGTATATGGGGAATTGGTGAACTATTCAGATACACTAGCCTAAGCCCTACTGTATTGATGGTTCTTCAGATAATTAAAAAGCTTCTAGGCTAGCTATCCAATCGGCCAATCCTTATGTGAATCGTATAGCCAATACAGCCAAAGCAGCCAATTCTATAGCTAATCCGCTAGTTAATAAGCATATAGCACCCTATACGGTCTACCTGGATAACTACTTTACCTCTATCGCCCTATTCAAAGAGCTACGCGATATACAGTGCGGTGCATACAGCACTACCCGCTTTTATAATAGTATAACTAAACAGCTTACTGAGCCAAAAGACCATGTTAAATCAATCCTATAGGGCACCTTATATACATCAGAAGAGCAAGGGATTCTATGCATTGCTTAGCAGGATAATAATATAGTACTTATACTATCTTCTATCCATTCGCCTTATTCATACGTTACTACAAAGCGAAAGCGGCCAGCAGAAACCTCTATAAATACAGCTATCGCGCGTGCTCCTTTTGGTGATGAGGTTATGAAGGACCAATCAATTCCTGCTGCGATTAACGATTATAATCACTATTTAAATAGTGTTGATAACGCGAATCAACTTTGGTTGGTCAAATTATGAGATTCATCGAAAGACCCAGCGCAATTAGTTCCCGCTTCTTTTTTCTTCCTAAATACAGCGATACACAATGCGTATCGCTTTCAATATACCTATAAGCAGCAGCAGGGGGCTAGTAAGAGTGAGCTACCTAGTCATCGAGAGTTTCGCGATAGGCTATACGATCAATTATTCGCCTTTTCGAATCGAATTTGTTACGATATATTTGACATGAGGTTATCCACAAATGCCGGTACCTTAGGCCACTAGGACCCTGTTAAGCGGCCAAGCTTTCGGTAGAGGTTCGTTGGGGCTTCGCCACTAGTACGTGTACGGACTCCTGCAAGGATGGCCCTTATAGAGGTTACACAAGCCTCGTGTTTACCCCGCTCCTATTCCCCTATTAAGGATATATCTCCTTCCTGTTTTGAGCGATATAACTGTACATAAATTGGTCTATGTTAGAGAGGTTTTACATTCCTCGAGAAACAGTCTTTGACCTTTCGGAATAATTGACTTGGTCCCTTTCTCCTACCTGATTGACAGGCCTCTATCCTGACTTATAGAGTATCCTTACAGAATTCAACCACCAGAACAGCCAGCTCGAGAGCACCATCGAATTCAACTAGGCGATCAGCTTGTGTGTGTACAATGCAAGCTAAAGCGAGCGCAAAGTAAGGTGAAGCCGAAGGGGAGAGCTAGCACCTCTACATCAGGTAGTTTAGAATGTGGCCGTGCTCACCTATGCGCGAAAAGTTGATGTTGGGATGAATGGCATAGAGTAGCTAGATAGCTAGTTCGAATTAGGCCTAAAATACACTATAAACCGCTGTGTTACTGTTATTAAGAGTGATTAGCCAATTATTACGCGTAATGGTGTGGGCTTATTGTATGGCGCTAGGCGGCCACGCTAAAAAGTGCTAGTTAACAGAGGAGGGGACACTACTGTAGAGTGCATAGCAGTCTACTGATGAATTAGAGCCGCAAGGGTGCCTGTTTGTTGTGATAAAACGTATATCTTCCCGACTACCATTTTCATATCCATACACTTAATGCAGCACTATCCTGATCATCATCCTTATTCCTCCAAAAGAAAAAAACAATAAAAAAAAGAAGACCACCCCGAAACACCGAGTCGCGACTGCGTCAGACACCGACTCCGCTCATATCATAGAGCGGAATGTATCAATCCTGTGAGCGCATTGATATCACTCAGGTTCGAGCCCACTCCCATACGCCGGAGGGGCGCGATAACCTAGTGATTTACCACTAGGTTACCGCGATGGTCTTGTTGAAATTGGGAGGTGGAAACCAAACTTAGCCTCTATTGCAAACAAATCGCGTTAGGTTATTTTCAGCGGAGCATTCACACAGTACATTCTTCCCTGTGAGTGGTCGATTCTGGTGGCTTGTTTGCCAAGCCAACGATAATCTGTATGCAGATCTCTTCCTCGGACGACAAGCTATCCTGCAGGGCTCAAGCTCACCGCTGCCCACTTTTCGAGACACATAAATCAAGGCCAAGTCGCGGCAATAGAAGACCCCAAGCCGATCATCCTCTGAAGCAACATTTTACTTCTCTTCACTTTGCAACTAGGACCAGGGCTCTTCTCTACAATGTCTGCACCCAACAGCGTAATCATCTTTGGCCCAACTGGCGACGTGGGCTCAGCAGCAGCCCTCCAAGCTTATAAAGAAGGGGCCAAAGTCACTCTTGCGATGCGCGATACGACAAAGCACATCCCAAGCTTGTCCGGCATCACTGCAGACAGGTCTGAAGCCGATCTGACCAAACCCGAGACAATCAAAGCCGCCGTTCGCCAGAGCGGGGCAAAGCTCGCATTCATATATGCGATTTTCGGGACATCTGACCACATGCGCGCCAGTATGGATGCTCTCAAGGAGGCTGGCATAGAGACACCCGTGTTATTAAGCAGTTACTCTGTCCAAAGCGACATTCGCTCCGTTTCTCCCGATGACCATATCCCATGGGTGCATGCACAAGTGGAAATCTCTCTTGAAGAGGTCTACGGCAAAGACGGCTTTGTCGCAGTACGGCCCAATTACTTCGCCAGCAATATCCTTTGGTTCAAACCAGGTATCCAAGCTGGAGAAGTCCGGCATGCCAACCCCGAAGCCGAGTACGACTGGATTTCCCCCGAGGATATTGGTCGAGTCTGTGGATATATCTTGGCGCGAGGCTTGAAGCATCGAGTCGTGTGGTTGATGGGATCTGAGAAAAGGGCGCTGAAGGATGCGGTTGGTGTTGTTGCGAGAGCGCTTGGAAGGGAGATCAAGGTTACCAAGATTACGGCGGAGGAGGCGCTGGATGAGTTGTTGAAAAATGGGACTCCGGAACAAACTGCCAGGTGGATTGTGCGGTACATCACTGAGGATGCTGGGTATGAGTTCAAGACTGCTGTAGTCGAGGAAGCGAGAGGTAATGTTCTCAAGTATACCCATCGGGCCCCTGTCAAGTTTGGTCAGTGGGTGGATAGAAACCTTGCCAAGTTTGAGGCATGAATGAGAGTGAATACTCGGCCAGGATACCTACGTACCGGATCTCCTATGCCACATCTTGGCTTTCCCTTTCCGTTTTAGTGCTCAGCCCCTCGCCGCTTTTGCTCACTGAATTGAGCACGCCCTGACCTGATCCGCTTACTGAGCACACCCTGAGCTAAGGCACCTCAATAAAACGCAATACGCTAGCCCTATTCACGCGAAGCCCTTTTTCTCTCAGTTAGCCCTACTGTCCTATCTAACTGCGTTAGCATCAACAACCCAATGTTTCATTTTTGGTAGTCATTGCGCCTCGGTGAAGCATAATTGTTGATTAATGTCGGATTGACGCAGTCGGCATAAATCCTGGGTGGTTCACGAAGCGTTCGTGCAGGGTCGATCGAATACCACGATTATGGAAGAGAGACTAAAGTGCAATAGAGGTGAGTCGGCAGCGAACAGGTTGAACAGTGGAGGGTCAACACAGTTAAATCAGAATTGCCTTGAGCTCTATTCGTGAGTGAAAAGGGTGTCAAACTTGTTTTATTTAACTAGGGAAATAGGCAGTATTTATAACTTGAGGTACATGGCAGAATGTCACAGGAAAAGACTAATAAAATTCAGAATAACATGGGGCCATACGAGAGTGTTGGGAAACTCGTTGTTCTTCCCATCTAATGTGATAGTTGATATCTTATCATCGTATTGTGTAGTGGTGCTCTGGGGATGTTGACCCGATTGGTCCGATGTGTATCGCTTATCAACACGCTTAGTGCGGGGTATTGCACATCTATATGTTGACAATCAACCTATTAGATTATCTGTGTGCTCCTAGGAACCCTTACCTACTAATTTCCATGGCCTATAGAGGAGCTAGTCTAAGAGATACTAGAATAATAAACTAGATGTTACGATTTACCTGACATGAGGTTATTCACAAATGCCGGTGCCTCAGGCTACCTGGACCCTGGTAAGCCGCCAAGCTTTCGGTGGAGGTTCACTGGGGGTTCGCTGCCAGTACGTGTACGAACTCCTACAAGGAAGAAACAGTCTTTGACCTTTCGGAATAATTGACTTATTCCCTTAGGGATGAGCAGGACAGGCAGGCTGCTTTTTAAACGTGTGGAGGCAAAGGAGATCATTTTTGGATATTGACGGTTCGAACTGCTCTTGTGGCTAGCCCGTATCTCAGCGCTCCGTCAACTTCCCTCCACTTAGGCTGCAGACAATCCACACAATGTACAGCGGCCACAATCCTTGCCCATTTGGCCCATGGTTACATTGGTTGGGGAAATGTTGGAAATTCTATTCTCTGTCGCTGCCAACACGATCCACGCGTTCAGGACGTTGACAGGGGTGCTGGTTATTCGGAAAGAGCACAGCTCGGGTCTCAGGAGACCAACCCTGGTTTGCCCCTCTTCGCATCAACGTGCCTGGGCCCGCCCGTGATCAGGGGCGGGGCCCAGTGGAGACTCGGTGGCAAATTGTGGAAGTGGGTCGCCGTTTGTAAGAGCATATTAGAACATCCCAAAATAAACAGCCGAGGGAGGCTGGTCTCCTCTTGAACACCGGGAACCAAGCAGAATCAATTTCAGATGTTGGTGGCATAGCGAAGTCTGCCGGGTCGATGGGCCCTCATAAGGCCGCGTTCGTCGTCGATTTTTTGAGAGGGCTTCCAAGTCTCCATACCAAAGACAAGATCAATAGCGAGGCAAGTTCCTGGATTTTGGTTGCAATATTCCTAGTGATCTGTAACCTCATAGTAAGCTGCCCAAAAGCCGTGTTGTTTCAGTCTTGCTGGTCCCTCTTTAAAGCCATTCCTTTCGATACTGTGCCAGTCACAGGCAACCCTCAATGTTCGTACGATACACAATACGATTGCAGTTTGTAAGGCAAACGATGAAGTGCGCAAGAAGATTTGAGCGGGCCCGGATGCGTCCAGAAGCTTTCCTAGTGTTTTGAGGAGTGAGATTGGGCGATAGGCGCCAGGGATCGAGTAATCGGCCTTCCCGGGTTTCCTTAACACCACAATCTTCGCGTTCCGCCGCTGCTTCGGGTGGTACCCTAGGTTCATTGACGTGTTTAATATCCTGGCGGTGACGCTTCCGAGGTGTGTCCAAAGCTGTTTACATACCACCATTGGTAGGTTGCCCTCCCCTGGTGCGGTGGTTCCTTTAGCAGCCTTAAGAGATCGATGAATCCCTAGCTCTGTGATAGGCTGTCGTGGGAGTTCCAACGGTGCCGCCGTTGGCACGTCGGCAGCCGGTGTGTTCATTTCGGGAAAGAAGGAGTCGAGGAAGGCCTGCGCTTTGTCTTCGTTCTCGGTGACTTCCCGCGGTTGTCCACCCTCAATCATCCAGACGCGCTCGAAATCAGTTTCACTTCCTTACTCTCTTTGATTTTTTGTTTAACTCTGTTTCGCATGACGCCATACCTCTCAAGGTTAACCTACTCGTGACCCCCCACTCTTGGCAGTATCTTACTATGGTAATGGATACTCGCATAAAAATAGCTATCGTTCATAGTCGTATTGGCCATGCCCTGTCTCGAACCTCTCACTTGCAAACAAGTCAAACAGACTAGTTGGCGGGATGCTGTTGGTTGTCTGGCTACCGCGCCTCTCTCCTCTTGGTCCACCACAGTCACCGTGCTAACCCGCTAGACGAGCGAAGACATACGTAGATGCAATACCGGGGGGGGGGTAAAATATTCCTTTACAACTGACTTGTTGCCTTACAAATTGCTGGATTTCTTTGGGCCCGCCCTCTCTGAACCCCTTGTGACCATAATGTGCTTAAGTTTCGTTTTCTAGGAAATTGAGGACAATGATTACCAACTTTTATCTGAACGGTGTTGGAGTTCAAGCGCAGGATCCCGGTTACTCAGACCAGGATTCGCAGTACGCCCCGACTCCAGGATATTACGAACCCTCAGAATGTGGATTCAGCCCTTCACCGAACTATTGCCCCCAAAACGGTCCCGAGCTCTTAGTCTCCACCCTACCTGAAGCCCTCAAGCTGCTTCAACTATCTGATTGGGAAGCAAATAGGCCAGACGACAAGCTTCCCGCATGCTTTATTCGGTACAGTGAGAGTCGAAAACAGGTTCCCCGATGGACACACACGCTTTGTTCCTCGGCCCATGTCCGAAACCGCCTTAGTCTGTATTTGACCTGACTTTAAACTACGACTTTCTAAGAAGATTAATGTCTGGGAACCGTTTTACGGTTAGTGGAAAAATGCTTCAAGAATCGCATTTGCAGGACAGGCTTATCGATTTTATTTTTGATAAATGGCGACAAATGATCATTTATTGGAAAGAATCCTCTTCAACTCTTCGTCTAAATCCTCGTTTGGAAGTGACAAAGCCTGATTGCTGAGGCCGACCCTGGCTTGATAGTTGCCACCTGCCCCATCCTTAAACACATGACCGTATATCAGATCAGCATAGCCTAACATGTCCCCATGTTTGAGTTTTTCCTTGCCAGCAGCAACCTTCGCCTCCGTATCCTGGAACTGGACATCCCAGGAAGATTGCGGGGATGAAGTAACCCGCTGGATGCTCCCTAGGAGGTCAATCTGGGAGATACAGAAGGAAGAGATATAGACCAGTTTGTTGGCAAACATATTTCTTTGCTTAGGGGACAGTTGAAGCAAACTGGCAACGGCACGTCCTATAGTCGGCAATGTTGTCATATTGACTTTTGTGACTCCCTGGTCTAGGAGAACAGCCTTTTTGTGACTAGTGTCAATGCCAAGTACCCCACGGGGAAGTGACTGGAACGATTAGTACAAAATTACTGCTTATTCCAAGGGCCGCTTGAAATCTCACCCAGTCAAGGATTAGGCCGTTAATAACGCCTGTCCACATGAACTGCGACTGTGTCTTGGCGACTTGCTCATCTAAATATTCTTGAACGGCTACCTTGGGCGGAATAATAGGAACTTCAGCAGCGTACTCGGAATTACCACTGTCCGTTCCAAATTCACTCGGAATAATCCATTTCACACCAGCCGAAATAGCAGCATCAATGATTGGAACCTGAGTAGCCGGAATAAGGGTGCCGACACACAACACAAGCGCATCTATGCCCATCAAGCCATCCCGGAGAAAGGTTTGATCTTCATAGTCTCCTCGGAGGACTTGAGCACCTTCGGGGAAAACGGTTGCCGAGGATGACCGTGAGAAAACCGTCACATCTTTACCTGATGCTATCAAAGCCTTCAGCACTGCAGATCCAATCGAGCCACTAGCCTATATGTTTTTAGCACATGTTTTTTTTTGAGTTAGATAAGGACTCAACCTACCCCAACGATAGCAACACGGTTCATGGTGAATACCACTTATTTTTATCGCAGGGAAATAGGGAGTGTCGAAAAGGGCTTTATAGGCCTGAAGTCTTAAGTGATTATTGATGGAGTCAAACATGACAATATGAGCAAACTCATGCTGATTAGCCCACTTGACCAATGAAAATATCATATTTGGTGGGGCTGAATGGGGATCGGGGTGGGGGTGGGCAAAGTGTTTAATGCAAATGTTGCAAATTGGTAAAAATGGAGCAAGCTTTTGCACCCCGATAGCGACGATTGGCTACGGCTCAGCCGTGGGTGACGTTGGACGGGCTCGGGTACGGCGGATTATAAGAACTCGGTCAGAACGCTTTGTCGACATTTTTAGACCAGCAGAATTTCAATTTCAGCCTTAGTTGACTAGTTAGTTAACTAGATAGTTAGTTAACTAGTTAACTACCTATAGTGTGACTAGTAATCAGTGATGGCTCAGTAAGCAGCCAATCAGACTCACTGAGTGCTTGTGAGTGATCAGTGAGCGCTCATTGGACCTCACTGATCATCACGTGGTGATACTAAACACTCAGTGAGTCTGACTCTAAGCGCCCTCATAAAAGTGGCGGCAGCTAAAATAGGAAAGCCCCACCTAGCATAGGAAAAATATCCTGTATAGTGACCTATGTATCCTCATTTTGTCCTGATAGAGACTCCCGATGGAGATTGTGTCCTGCGGTACATTCCTTGATTATCCAGGACCTGCGCCTGTTGTGTTGGCCTGTAAGAGGCCTTCGTTTCCCCCTTTCGTTCTGCTTCCTTGGAGATCTCTAGAGTAATCGATTGACTTGTTTTCCCCTTCTAGTTGCTTCCTGTGCGTTATAGCGCGAGTGAGCCATCGTGTCCGTCCTTATGGGACCCCTCTTTAAGTCGTTGAATATCTCAGTTCTACCCATCCGGATAAAGTTATATCTCATCTTCCCATATCTACTATGCAATCGGAGTATAAAATCTGGCAGCTACCCGCTTGTTTAGTATATGTTCCCATTGCTGAATATATATTGCAGTACCCCAGGAGATATACTGTTCGCCCCACATATAAGTTATGACTCTGAAGTCGAAAAGCCCATGATCTCCAGCATTCATCTTTCAAAAACATTGGGAATGGAGACTTCAATATTTAGACCGCCTTCCAAAATGTCAACACACATGCCATACCGGCAGAAAAGGGCGGAGATGAGTGGCAAAAATGGCTCCGCCATGGCCAGGCCTAGATCGCCTGGGATCTTGCCCTTGGGTGCAGCTGGCGATTTGGACTCATCGACAAACAAGTAATTTTCTTTTTTGAGACCAACCCGACATTCTTATATATCAATCGATTCTATCACTTCCAAGTTCATGAAACTTCAACACTAGTCGGAAGTCCTCAGCCTACTCCCTTCCAGCCCCCGCCGCACGGATCACCCTCTCTCGCCCCATCAAAGCTTCCCCTCGGATCGCAATCAAGAGAGAGCCCGCCTCCGTTGTCGCGCATAGCTCCAATTCGTCCGATCAAGTCATTCTAGCTCCCCGTATATTAAGCCATGGCAGACATGGACGAATTTGCACAGACACGCGGCGCCGATGACCTGTTTGATGATGAAATCATCCCGGTCTCAGCGGAGGAACAACAGGCCCAAACGGAGGTAGTGGGGGTACCTGCAGAGCCAGAGCCTACCCCGCGGCAGGAAGAACCCGTCGTTGAGAAACAACCAACTCCTCCAGTCGACACTCCCCACCGCGGTCGTGGGGGAGACCGAGGCCGTGGACGAGGGCGGGGCCAGGGTCAGGGCCAGAGCCGGGGTCAAGGTCCAGCGAAAGGACGCGGCTTGCAGGACTCACAATGGGCAGACAAGAAGGCGGCTGAAAAGCCTCCACGCCCGCCACGCCACAAGGGTCCCAAGACCCCAAAGGAGCCAGCAACAACTAAACAGCCCGAGCCTGCGGCTCCTGCTCAACCAGAGGCGGGGCCAACTGAGCAAGCTGGCCAGGAGGATGAGGTGCCGGGGGAGGAGACTACTGGCAATGGCACTGAACCCCAACGCGTACCGGCTGTCCGTGGGGATCGAAGTGCTACTGGAGGAATTCGCAAGGTGAGCTCACACAACAAGTTCCAGTTCGATGGATCGCTGACCTAATTGTAATTTCCAGCCCAAACTTACCGAGGAAGAACTATCGAAGCGCATCGCCGCAGCCAAAGAGAACGCTGCAAAGAAAGCCGCCGCACACGCTCGTGCAGAAGCTGATCAAGCATCATTCCTCGAACGTGAACAAATCGCGGCCGAGAAGCGACGCAAAGAGGCCGCCAACCGGAAAGTCATGGATAACGAGCGTGAGCAGAATCGACAGCGGAAGCTAAATGCCCAGACTGGTCGCGAATGGGACTCCCAGAAGACCGAGGACGACTATAACCCGCGCGGAGGTGGCAGCCAGTTCCGTCGCGGCATGCATGGCGGAGTGTCTGGGTATACTCGCCGAGACTTTGACGGAGCGTCTGACGATGGACCTGCCGATCTTCTCAGCCCTGGGCGTGGGCGTGGGCGTGGTGGGCGCGGCGGCCGTGGTCGTGGATCTCCCCATGGGCCCCGAGGAGACCAAGCATCCTCGAAAGAACCATTGGAGAGGGGTGGTGCAAAGACCTCTACACCATCTGTGAATAATGAAGCCGATTTCCCTTCCCTTCCAGCCGGCAAAAAGCCTGCACCTACACCAACCGTGGAAACAAAAGCCATTGCACAACCTCCGTCTATGGAGAAGCTTGAGGCTACGATGTCTCCATTGACTGGTACTTGGGCTGACCAGGTCGAGGAGTAGACGACAGTGTCTTGGAAACACTAAAAATTTTGACTTTTTGGACTTTTCCTTGGTTTTTGATGATCCCCTTGATGCATTATTCCCGCGACGAAAATGCTTCCAGACTTGCCCTTGCTTGTTAATTTGATATCCCCGCTTTGTATTTGGCCCTGTAAAGAAGGAAGTATAAATGGATACTTGGTGCCTCACTCGTCTCTAGTACCTTTGGCACCTCTTATATATCTGAGACCGCGTCTTTTTCCGATCATCTACATTTGTGGAATTTCTCCTGCCATTATCTCTTTTCAGACTCCCTTACGAGCCAGGGTTTTAACCCAATAGCGGCCACGGCCAGCCCCATATACCGACTTATCCTGGCCGGGTGCTACGCGTTACCCCACTTCATGCTGGGGGTTCGAGGTCAATTCATAGGCAGCCAAAAATGCCCCATGGATTTTTTTTCAGATTCAAATTCACAATCTGTATCCCAAAGTACCAAAATTTCAACATGAGTACTGGTCCGTATGAGGCTCTTGGTCCGTTACAACGCTGCTTTGTACAAACGGGCATTATTTGATGCCGTCACAATGTACGTTGTTGATAAAGATGACTATAATCTGTCTTGTAAATTATCAAATGATTTAAGTAGATGAGTCGTGGGGAATTCTAGATCCGGGCAGAGAGCGAGACTAGTGGTTATCTCAGACGATTCATTGCTTTAGGCTTGCCTCTAGTGTCTCCTCCATGCTAGTAGTCAATCTTGCCCTAATAGCGTGGTTGACTTGGTAAATCTGAAGCGGGGATTCAGGGAATAAAGATTAGTCTACGTATAGCTGGTTCTCAACCAAATATACACCGTGGGGATGACGTTGTGCTCCAAGAAGTGTGGGATATTCTATGAGATATTGAGCGCATTTCAACTTGTAGGCGTTTCTGAAACAAGATGTGAAAGGTACATTCAATGCATTTCTTGGTGACTAAGGCCTTTATCCCAGGTTTTTTCAAGAGATCTTTATTAATGTTTTAGCTTCGATTAGATCAGGCAAATGTGAATCCGTGATCATATGACCGGGTGTATTCTAGGCGATTGAATGTGCGTCTTCCTCACAAGCAGGTTTGCCGTGAAAACAACCATAGAACTAAATGTTTGACTAATTTGAATAGAAATTCAATATATCTTGTCACTTGTTCTCTCTCATTCTATAGAATTCGCCGCTACGTAGGCTCCCAGGATGTGTTCAGGCCGTGCCTTCTTCGAGCATATAGAGCTCCTCGCATAAACCAACATGAACTCCCCGCATTTTCATCAGCCAGTGGCGTTATGAGGCTTGTCTTCTGTCAATGTAGCCGATGCCAACGAATCTCCGCTTGTCCGTGCAAATTGCAGTTGGCTCAATATATTTCTTTCAGAAAACCATGTCAAGGAGTTCTGCATGGGTCATGGGCGCTTGCAGCTGTGTACGTAGTCGCTATTATCGATCTAATCTGGAGATATGCAGTACACTTTGCTCTGCACCTCGCACATGGAGGCGCAGATGTCGTGCCAGTAGTAGCTTCCCTTCAGGCATCGCCAGTATGGAAATGTCTTGCCAGATCTCTAGCTTTCAGAGGGCCTTGAAACGATCAGGAAGGTGTAAGGTAGGTTGACGAATGTTGTTGAAACCGTATGCTGAGCAGGTTAAACAGGCAGATAGATAGAAGCTGACGCCAGCTCATGGCGGGTCGGATAATTTCAATTCCGCAGGAGGCATCTGGCGTCCGGTTTCCCACATATTTGTCCGTTTCCACCTTGATCGAAGCCCCTGATGATTTGCGTGGCTTAATTTAAACACATCATTTGCAAGTCTGGGGATCTTGACCTGCCTAAGCCCCCTTTCCAGAAGGCTTTTGGGAGCCTGTCGGTCTTTAATCTGTCCATGTTCAGGGACAACAAAAGATCGGACTCGGAGATACCAGCATCGGCCAAAGGTACCTGAGTAAGTTTGATCTTCGGTCCACGAGGGTCTTCCTCGGACAAACCTGAGCCACAACGACAGAACTACAGTAGTCCTGACACTGACGCGGTCTCCCTACTGTCGGGCCTTCCTACAGGACGGGGCACGAAGGTTATTATGGAGCGACCCACTCAGCCCTACCAACTTCATCCTTGACTGGACTGGAGAAGTTGACTGGGCACGAAAGTGGAGCCAGCTTCTGCAGATCTTCAGCATCTCCAGCATCTTCAGCCCCGTCGGACAAGATTTTAACCGCCACACAAGTCATATCTGTTCTCAGAAGTCAGAACCCCCTGGCTGGCTCTCCGTCTCCACCGTTAAAGTCGGAGCCTGTATATCATCAGGGGCATCGACGACTCCACTTGCATATTCCAGCTTGCGTTTCTTATTGGCCAAAGATCCTGAATATGGACCTTCGCAGTACCTTGTTACCTTATTTTCACGGACTAACATCGGCATAACCAGAGCTGCAGACGCGCCATCCGTCTGATTCGGTCTCTGTGACAATGATTGCTGCCTCTATTTCAAACGCCTGCTTTCTTTGGAATGGCTGGGCCGTCTGGCTCGTCACAGGATGACGACGCGCCTGGTCGATTGGGGCTTGGGTATGACGTAGGGCCTCATACAGACGATTGTCTCAGGGTTTTAGTTCAATCTATCCGGGGAATCAGCGTCTGACCTGGGAACCCTCAGTCCTTAAACGGGAAACATTACCGCTCCCATACATTCGCTTTATTGTTCTTATAAATGAGGCCTCATACTCTTCCACTCTTCCGCAGATTGCTCTCATCCTATCTTGTCTTCCAAACCTCCACACGCTCAACTGTGTAATATATTTCCACTCTTTGGATTTCTTTCGACATGCGTCTTCAGTCAGGCGCATCTGTCGCGGCCTTTGCCGCGGCTGCCAGTGCCAAGTCTCTCGCCGATGTATGCACATTGTCCAACGTCAAGTCTGCTCTGCCACCCAATGGCACTTTGCTTGGCATCAACCTTATTCCTTCCTCTTCCACTGCCGCCGCTGTCTATAATGCTACCACAGGCGGTGGCATGACTAGCACTATCAGCGAGACTTACAGCTACTGCAATGTGACGCTTACATACACTCATCCCGGCAAGGGTGACACCGTCGTTGTCAAATACGCCCTCCCAGAGCCCTCCGACTTCAAGAAGCGCTTCTACGTCGCTGGCGGCGGCGGCTATTCTCTGAGCACTGATGCCACAGGCGGTCTGGAGTACGGTGCCGCTGGTGGTGCTACCTCTGCTGGATACGATGCTTTGAACAGTGTCAGCTATGACGACGTTGTACTGTACGGAAATGGCTCCATCAACTGGGATGCGACCTACATGTTCGGCTACCAGGCCCTGGGTGAGATGACTCAGCTTGGAAAGTACTTTACCAAGGGTTTCTACGGCCTTTCATCGAGCTCGAAGGTCTACACCTATTACGAGGGATGCTCCGATGGTGGCCGTGAGGGGATGAGCCAGGTGCAGCGTTACGGCGAGGAGTACGACGGTGTGATCACCGGTGCTCCTGCTTTCCGTTACGGTCAACAGCAGGTTAACCACGTTTTCTCCGCCGAGGTTGAGAAGACCCTGGACTACTACCCTCCTCCCTGCGAACTTGCCAAGATTGTCAACGCGACTATCAAGGCTTGTGACCCTCTCGATGGCCGTACTGACGGTGTCATCTCTCGTACTGACCTGTGCAAACTGCACTTTAACATGTCTTCCGTCATCGGCGAGGAGTACTACTGTGCCGCTGAGACCAGTACTTCTCTGGGCTTCGGATTCAGCAGCAAGGTTAAGCGTCAGGCCGCGGGCAGCCAGACCAGCTACCAGCCCGTCCAGAGCGGAACTGTCTCTGCCGAAGCCGTTGCCGTCGCGCAGGCCATCGTAGACGGCCTACACAACACCAAGGGCGAGCGCGCTTACCTCTCGTGGCAGATTGGCTCCGAGTTCACCGATGCCGAGACCGAGTGGAATAACAGCACCCAGAAGTGGGAGTTGGACATCCCCTCAACCGGCGGCGAGTTCGTGACCAAGTTCGTCCAGCTCCTGGACCTAGACAACCTGTCCGACCTTGATGGCATTACCTACGACACTCTGGTTGAGTGGATGAATACCGCTATGGTCCGCTACATGGACAGCCTGCAGACCACTCTTCCCGACCTAACTCCCTTCCAATCCTCCGGCGGCAAGCTACTGCACTACCACGGCGAGTCAGACCCCTCTGTCCCCGCCGCCTCTTCCGTGCACTACTGGCAGTCCGTCCGCTCCATCATGTACCCCGACGCCACCGAGAAGCAGGCTCTCACCAAGCTGCAGGACTGGTACCAGTTCTACCTGGTCCCCGGTGCGGCCCACTGCGGAACCAACTCCCTGCAGCCTGGCCCCTACCCCGAGGACAACATGGAGATTATGATCAACTGGGTTGAGAACGGTGTTAAGCCCTCCCGTCTGAACGCTACTGTGTCTTCCGGTGACTATGAGGGCGAGACTCAGATGCTGTGCCAGTGGCCTTCTCGCCCTCTGTGGCGCAGCAACTCTACCTTCGACTGTGTCTACGACAAGAAGTCGATTGAGAGCTGGACCTATGAGTTCCCTGCCTTCAAGGTTCCCGTGTACTAATTTATTGCATCCTCCAACTTTGAGGAGAGCTTGTTGTGGAGACGTCATAGGCACATAATTTGGTGTGTCTGGTCTTTGAGTTGTATTTTATCTTCTTCCTTCGCTAGGGAGGCTACATTTCCATGTACATACTTTTTTCACATGTTCAATTCAAGTAAGAAAGAGTGACAGGATAAAACAGAACTTTTTCTTAAAACGTTGACGGTTTTCTTTCTCAGAACGTCAAACTTCTATACTGAATGTGGAAAAAATATCGAGTCTATATAGAAACACAGTCTTTGTTCCTGAGTGAAAAACCTTATAAAAGCTTAAATGAAACATGGGATCTACCTCCTCCACTCACGCAAACAGATCAAACACGTACACACACAGGATACATGACTAACCAATAGTCATAGTAAACGCCGCAGACGACGAGCAGCTACGAGTGTCCACATCATCAGGGTTCTGATACGAATCAGCACAATCAGTATCATCAGCCGCACACGACGCAGTCGAGCAGCTCGAGTCATCGGTAGTGACAGCAAAGCCAGAAGAAATGAACTCCGAGTCTGAATCGAGGTTGATAGACGACAGATCCCACCAGAGAGTATTATCGCTCTTGGTGTACTCGAACTGGAGGACGCTGCTCTCGCTGGTAGTGGTGGCCATCTTGATGGAGATACCGCCGCCGTCGGAGTTGGTGCGCCATTGCTCGGTGTAAGTGCCTCCACCGGCGCTCAGGGTTTGCATGTCACTGCTGGTGTCGGAGGTGGACCATAGGTAGACGGTTTGGTTGAGGTTGTTGACGATGTTGATGCCGTTGCCGGAGCTGCTAGTGCTAGTGCTAGTGCTAGTAGTTGCAGCGGTGGTAGAAGTAACAGCGGCGGAAGCGGTTGCAGCTGCAGTTGCGGTTGCAGTAGCAGTGATAGTCGCGGTATCAACTGGGGTGAGAGTCACGGTGGCCGTGGGACGAATACCGTGGGGAAGAGCCGTGGCCAAGGAGGCGATAGCGGCGAAAAGAGTGAGCTTCTTGAGGAATGCCATTTTGAGCAGACTGAAAGAATAGAATTGATTGAATTGGCGAGATCTGGAAGGATCGACGAGGATATGAAAAGGTCCGAAGTAGATTGGAGGACGGTATCTGATCTACAGATACTGAAGTTGGATATCACAAAGGATTGTATAGAGGCACAGCCTCGGAAAGAGTGATAATGAGAGAAAGTGAGTGTGGAGGTTGAAAGAGTGATTGACAGGTTGTAAAACGAAAGAATCAACAAGGGACCTCAGCGACGAGGCCCCTTGGTCTTTATCCTCCATGGTGGAGTGTTCCTCGACGCAGGACCTAGCCCTCAAGACATCTGAAACGCGCACCAGCATCCCAAAAAAGCGCACCAGATCCATGGATTGGTCAATTTCACATCTAGAAGCATTGCAAAAACCATGTGGTTCCTGGGCTTAACTAGAGACATGAGTCCATTGGAGGACCTGAGGGCTGTGGCTTTGTTCAAAGTGGTCCCAGAGAGAATTGGGTTAGGGCTAGACGCCCAGATCGGATTTTCGTGTTGACCTATCGTGTCGTCGATAGTGCCAGAATCGCCTCATAGTTGCTTGTGGACGCTCCACTGGGCTGAAGGTGTCTGACGGCGGATGGACTGGCCTAGTTGGCCGTGAGTCCCACTGATTGGTTGACATAGTCTCAAAAATTACCAAAATGGGTATCAAATAGTCCAGACCGCGGCGTCATCGCGTTACGTGTGGATCGCGAACACCGTTTGAGAGCCCCGCGGTGGCTGTTAGCGGGCCGAGGGAGGCTGCCACATTACGCAGCGAGTTGCGCAACACGCGACACTTTAGGGCAAGGGCAGAACTAGCCCTGGAGACTCCAGCCTGAGCTTTCACTTGGGCTAAAGAAAAAGGTGATCCTTTGGTGAGCCTGTAAAATCCATCAGTAAGTGGTTAGACTGTTGAATCGGGGAAGGAATCTTTGAAGTTGTGATTCTCAAGCATTGTACTCCGTATCTGTGGTCCAGTGGAGTGAAAAAAGTTTAAATTTGGAAGCCTGGTTTATAAGGCATCATGCTGATTGATCTTTAACTTGGACGGAAATACTACTTAGTAAATCATGGTGCGCACCAATTGGATGTCAACAAGTCTGAATTTCTAACAAGCCCCTATCTGGCAATTTAATTAGTTAGTTATGTGGGCATAATAATGACTAATACAGTAGTTAGGGGCTTCATAGCAATTCCGACTGGTTGATATCCAATTGGTGCGCGGTATGGTTTGCTAAGCAGTATTTTCGACTTTATTCCCTGCCCAGATCTAGTCATGTGCAGATGTAGTCATGTGACTATCGCGCATCCATGTGTATTCGATGCACTTCGCTCTTTTTACTAAACTGGGTATATCTTCGAGCGCAGTGCTCTAAATTCTTTGATCTCATGTTACATAATCCGTTGTATTGGCCACATGGCTAAGTTCCCACTCTTTAAATATCTTTTCATCTGATCCATCTATCATATTCTACACCTTTACGTAGGGTACATACAAACATAAACATCAGTATTTATCCTCGATTTATATTCTTCGTTGGTGAAGCATTGGTGTTTGCAGCTATCTCATTGAGTTTCGCTTGCCGGTCTCTCAGGATATCGAGTATCTGAAGCCTTCTTATGCGGATCCATCATCGAGTGTCCAATCCCAGGCTGATTTCCAAGACGCCCGTCGCATCGGACTAGCCCCAGAAGACAATATCGTGATTTTCCTTTGCTTACAAACGAAAGGCCAATCTATTTGCGTTTACTTTGGCAGTCTGTACACCGCCGGCCTCATTATCCTGTTCCGTCGCTTTTTCATCCGCTCATACGGCCATTTGTGGAATGACGCTGGAGAGAAAAGCGAATTGAAAGAAGTCCGGGGAACCATCGCCATCGAGAAACTAAAAGAAAGATAGTAACGTGTTCTGACCGAGATTGGGTTGAAAATTATCTGAGGAACGAGGGGCTACTGCGTGTTGTTCTGGATCCTATTGGTAGCACAACTATCCTGTTTTGATCATGAAGCTTTTAGTTGGGGAATTTGGTCTATGGTGAATGTGATTATGATATTTTAAGTCGTATGCGATTTTCATCTGTTGATGTTCTATAGCAGAGATAATATGCCATCACATTATGGCTTAGTCTATGCTGGCATCAGCCGGGGAGTATAGATGTAGAGGGGCCCATTGATAATTTTTGGGATCAGTCGTATGCAGCGGGTATTGGTTTTGTTCGCTTTTTTCCCACAAAATTTAAATTTTACGCTTACTCAGTCTACCCCTTTAAATTCCTAATTAGTTAGGTGCTTGCATCTGACTAGTCTGCGCAGTAGTCCACCCCATTAATTTCTACGTTATAAAAGCGTATCTCCTGTACTTTAATCCATCAGCACAAACACATCTCTTTCCAACTTGATCATTTTCGAACCTGTTATTAAATCTGCTAGTTCCAGTCAATGTTGTCATTGACTAACGCCCTTATTACAAAATAAGAGAAAAATTGAAAACATGAGCTACCTACCTGGTCATTTGCTGAAAGCGTTTCTGGTAAGGTCTAGGACAACTCAATCGCAGTAATCTCCTTGCGCCACTTGATTAATTTGACAGGCTAACAGGAGACTGAACAAAGCTAGCAATTTTCATGGCAGCCACATACCCCTATTTCTCTGGTCGTCTATGGGCTCTTTCCGTCCTTAGATCAAATGCACCTGGAAATTTAGCGGAGGTTAAGGCATTTTCCATATATGAAATCAAGTTCCGCGATGAGTTGAGGAATTGCGAAGACATGGTGATGATTGAAAAGCAAGGGGCTGCGATATTGAGCTGTGACCCAGGAAGAGATCAATGGAACACTGTTCTTGGAACTTTCTCAAAGAATCAAAGCACAGTCCGATCTGGAGGACTCTATCTCTACCGGTATGATGTGCGAAAACATCCCAGTGCCCATGGACTCTTTCGGATTGAGCTTGAGAATTTTGCCGACGAGTCCAAATTTCATCCGCTCGGCATCGAGTTTCATGAGACCAGTTCTACTCTCATCGTTGTCAATCATCACTTTGCGGGTGCGCGAATTGAAATATTTAATCTGGACACTACCTCAGACCAACCAGTGGCCAGACATACTATGACGATCATCGACCCGCTCATCAAGACGCCGAACTCTGTCAGCGCTCTGAATGAGCACGAATTTTTCGTTAGCAATGACCATTACTTTCGCATTGAGAAGGACCGAGTGTTAGCTAAGGTTGAGACCTATGGCGCAATTCCATTAGGAAACATTGTCTACGTTCATCTGCACAATGGTACATCTGCTTCGGTCAGATCTGTTGTCAAAATGCCATATCCTAATGGCATCACACTTCTCAACGCCTCCATGCTCGCAGTGGCAGCGACGAGCTCCTGTCAATTTCAACTCTACACTATCAGGTCGGACAAGACTCTCGAGTTAACAGAGACGGTCAGAGTCCCGATGATGCCAGACAACATATCATTCGACCAAAAGGGCAAACTGCTAATCAGTGGTCATCCTCATCCACCAACTCTGGGAAGGATGGTGAAAGAACGGACTCAATGTTTAGAAAGACTTCCTGACGATGTGAGCGAGTGTCACACTATGAGTGCTCCGAGTTGGGTGATTGAGTGGACCGAAGCAGATGGTATAAAAACTCTTTATAGGACTGCTGGTGAGTTCGGATCAAGTTCCACATCTGTACGAGACAATGCGTACGGGATAGGCTTGGTAACAGGTCTTTATGAGAGAGGGATTATGGTCTGGAGGGAGTGATTAGGGAACCCGAAAAATACACGATGTACTCTGCCCAGATTAAGTATGCGTGCTTTTAACCTCGTGGGAAATTGAGCTATTTTTCTATTGTGTCGAATAAAATGAATATCGTCATGTCCTATTGTATTGGTTTAGCTCGCTTGCTTGCACGTAAACTTCTTTGCTATGGCTCGTGCACTGAAATCGAGATCCGAAAATACACAACACCCGCTCTCACGGCCGTAGTAAATCAGATACATCTACACCGAATACTTGTCGACTGAAAGCAGCAGCAGTGAAGACGAAACACGCTCGCCATCTCCCGTAGGAGTGTGGTGCAGCCGATTGAGCCGCAAGAAAATACAACGCTAAACACTAAGAACACCACTTTGGCCCAAGGTGAAACTAAAATCAGCTTTGCCGTTGATTTAGCCAATCACGGGTTGGGGTTCGATGGTACATGGATGTACTAAGAGGCCGCAGTTTCAGCTAGGTTGTAATTAACCAATAACGATCTGAGCCTAGGTGCGAGGCGCGACGGAGCGTGATAATCACCCGCTATCACCCTGTCCATTATTGCGTACTCCCCCTATCTCACCCTGGTCGCGCAACGCTAAAGCGGCACTCACCCTAAACTCACCTAGGCGCTTTGGGCGACGGTGTTGAGCCTCACACCTGGCACCCAAAATACCCTGCGTCTGAATCCCTTCTTTACTTCGAGTTCTTTCTTATCAACAAGCCTGACATATTCAATCTTGTTGAGTTCTTTCGACTGACATTCTAGAGGGCAATATTTTGAGCTTACTACCAGAGACTGCTTATCTTTTCCCTTGCTAGATTGTACATCTCATGTCAATGAACTGAGAGAGATGTCTTTTGGTTGGTCTGTGGGCGACATTCTAACTGCCACCAAGCTACTAGTGAATGTAGCCGATGCACTAAAGGAGACCGGTGGCGCTCTTAATGTGAAGCAGTAGCAGGAAACTTGAATGATATTGAAGCTATGAGGAATCTAAGTTTGGATGAGCCCTGGGGCTCGTAAAGTAGTGTGGGGCCGGGGCTCCACCGTAATCTACGAAGAGGCGCAAGATCCAAATACCATTGACAAGAAGTCTCATACTTGAACTCGCTTGCAGATGTCCTCCAAAAGCTCCCAAACGACAAGGACGAGCTCCGTCGGGCAGGTCCTCTGCTCGAATCAATCGACGATTTCCAACAGAGACTGCACAAGAACTTCGAAAAACACCTTGGCAAACAAACCGATAGTGACTGGTGGAGAAACTTGAAGGACATACCGGTGAAGGTACATTATGAAGTCTTCGTTAAAAAGGAAGTCGATGAGCTTCGGCGACGGATCGATATACCTCTCAAGGCAATGATTATTAGACTGGGACTGCAGAATCACGAGATCACTCGCGAGATTCATCGATCTGCACTAGATACACAGTCACTTGTTGAAGACTTGAGCGCTGCGGTTGCGGATCTACCACAGGAGTTTGCGGGGTTGATGAAACCAACGGATCATAGCGAGCGCCAGCATTTTATGATGTTACAGTCTGGCTTAGACCAATTCATTCGACGACGTTTTTGCACGGTTCCTCGACTCGCTTGCCTCTGGATCGTGTGAGTGGATTCTACAGAAAGACCAGCTCCTGGGCTGGATGACCTCCTCTCAAACGAAGGGTCACTATCCATTGCTTTGGGTGACTGGACCGGCAGGAAGTGGCAAGACACCGCTAGCAACCAAGGCGATTGATTCCCTGAAGTCTAGTCAGAGACTGGCCTATTTCTATTGTGATGCGCAAGATGCTAATAAGCGAAGCTTCCTCGACATACTCCGGAATTGGTGTTGGCAGCTCCTCAGCCAGGACCAAGCTCGATTGCGTGAAGTGAAGTCTATCAAAGATAGACGACAAATGATTAGCGGAACGGTTCTTATAGAAGTCCTGGGTGTCATACTTTCGAGAGAAAAGGACGTTGTCCTGGTGATCGATGACTTTGACGAGTGCGAAACTCAGGAACAAGCCAAGCTTTATCACAAATTTTCAACTATCTCACAGTTAGCCAAGCTTCTGGTGTTTAGCCGGCCACTCCAAGGAAGTGTACGGGCGCTTCAGAAGGCTATTCCAGAGAATCTGATTCGACTTGAAATTTCCGAGGGCGACACTAAGTCAGATATCAATCAGTTCATCGAGAGGAGAGTAGCTGACCTAGGCATCTATGATACGTTCATACTTGCTGAGATTATCTCGATGCTCCAGTCGAAGACAAATGGCACGTTTCTCTAGGTGGCTCTTATGATTGAGGAGCTACAGCGAAATCCTCAGTTTGACGAGTCGCAATATCTCACCATCCACCAAAGGACTTGGATGAGCTCTACTACCAAAATCTACAAACTCTGTCACACCGACTTGGCAACAGTCCGATATCGAGAGACTTACTGCGTTTGGTACTTTTTCGAGAACACCTTTGTCTCTCCAAGAGAGGCTCTGCAATGAAAGTCAAGGCGGGCGACCAAATATTGAAAAGTACAGCTTTGACTCCTGATGACCAAATCCAAGAAATGATAATTCACTATTGCGGATCATTGGTGACCGCTCATTCCGTGAGCAGCGGGCCCGATATAGTCACCCTCGTTCATTACTCTTTGAAAGAATACATGGTAGGAAAAGAAGAATGAGAACTTGCCGCTTTTTCAATACGATTCATCAAAGTCACATGAAGTTTTAGCGGCAACGTGCCTCACCTACCTCTGCTACGATAACTTGGGGTCCCTTCCATTCAGTGTCGAAAGTGGCCAGACCGAGATAGTTCGCTCAAAGTCTGGAATGATCATCAGATTTGAAGCTTACATGGCTCGCTATCCCTTTTTAGAGTATTCCGCTCGGAATTGGTGGTGGCATTTACGACACGCGCCCACCTTATCTCTTGTTTATGTTGCTTACGCTGCATTGCAAACACTTATGCAACTTCGTCAGGATATAGACCGAGAACATCTCTTCTTCAGACGTGCTGTTATGTCTCCAGGTGCAGCAGAGATGGTCAGCATACTTCTGGATGCTCGAGCTAGTGTTGAGTCCCGGTGCGAGGACGGCCGCTCTGCACTTCATCTAGCGACCAAACACCCAACCAACGTCGCGAAGCTACTTCTTGGAGCCCGTGCTGAAGTCAATTTACAGGCAAATGACGGCTGCACGCCCCTTCACGATGCAGTGGCTGAGAACAATCAGGAAATAATTGCTCTGTTGATTTTCCACCAGGCATCTTTAGGGGCAAAAGACACTGAAGGACGAACTGCTCTAGACCTAGCCGTCCAATATTAGAACTATGCATCAATGCAGCTACTGGAAGAAGCCGGTGCTATTTCTGGTCTTTCTCAAGAGTCTGACTCCAAGCAATCCTTCCAGCCCAGGGAAGAGCGAGATATTTTCATGGTTTTCTGGATTCTCAAAATCTAGTGCCTCGGTCGCTTCCACGACAATTCATATCGAAGGTTCTTGATTATGCCAAGTATTGGCAAATATCCCGAGTCAAGAAAGGAAAAACGGCATCTGTCATGGAGAAAGACTGCAAGGATTATCTCCCATATTTAACGTCAGACCCAATCCGAGGACCGGTCAGAGAGATCAAAATTGCTCTATGGAGTCATAATCAGGGCTTCAGTGACTATCGTGAGCATCATGGTACATTCGATCATTCGTGGACATGGTTCGAACTCGGAGTTGAGAAGGCTTCAGGCAAAAAAGACATCCTGGAGTGTCAGGGTAGCAGTCAATGTGCATGCCAGTGACAAGTTCAGATGTCACCAGGTCCTTTACAGAGGCACTAGATCAGGGTTGTTGCAGGATCTTAGGATCGGTAACAATATTTCAATCATTCCCAAAGCCAAATTCCCCGGATTGAAGAATTTTGTGCGGGAAGCATCGATCGAGATACATACCTTGTGTCTAGTAAATCCTCGATCTTATCTTCGTACACTTGCATTATTATTAATCACTTCGTCTTTCACTCCCGAGCCAGGGTATTCTTGTTTTCAAGTGTACTGATTTCTATGATATCTGACAATCACCGCTAGAGTGATCGATAAGCGACCTGGTCATGCAAGCGAGTCAGTCACCTCAAAACGCCGTCTAAAGGATAGAATTTGGAATATGAATATGTTACACTGACATTCTACTTGGATTTACATACATAAAAGCAATTTTGAGTAGTATTCCGGATAGGAATAAACAATTGTAGAGGTCATCTTGCAAAAAATTAGTCTGATGCATGGGAAAAGCACTCGGCATGTTTCCTGATCTCTCATCTAGCAATGAAAACCCCTTGATAGCTTGCTAATTAAATATCCTTGACAGTGCTCCGTTTGACCATGAGCATTAAACAATGTGCGCTTATACACTTGTACTAGCTGATGTATTGTAGGGTGTAAAGACTGATCTGTCCTCGACTGTGTGGTCGGAGATACTACTGGAAGGACGCCATTTTAGGAAACGACGGGGAGATGGGCCGAGCCGCGTCGGCCCGATATGGTCGATCGGTTGTGACTCGCCTTTCTCCAACTATCCAATTGCTAAATGAATCCTTGCACCTTCCAGCTGCTGATGTTTGAAGATTAATTTTGAACAAGGTGCTAGGTGAAGAGCCAAAGTCAGTCAGATTTCAAGAGGCTTGTCAGTTCTAGATCCAGTCATCTTGGATGAAATGTAAGGATCATGGAAAAACAGCTTAGTTCCGGTATAACCTGGGCTGCTAACCAGTGTTGTGCTCTGGATCTACTGACCACAGAGGACTTCATTGATGCAGGCAAGTTGTTCCGTGCATACTAAACTCCTACTGAAAGAAAAAGAGGCATTTTACATATCTTAAACCTCGACCAAAGAATTGGAATTTTCCAGTGGAATATACGTGATTTGATTTGCAAATATTGTAACATATCGATGCTCCAGGTTCTTGTCCTAATTTAGCAGCCATGCGCTCTGCCTTCGGGCCGGGATTTCGTTTAGCCAAGCCTAATCCTTGGCATCAGTGCACAAATATATGGGAGTAAGCGAGATGACATGGTGCATGGTGGTGTCATCTGCTCAAGAAAACACCTTCCAGAACGACAACTGTTCATTTTCTTTTTATTATAAGTGTCAGAACCTCTCGAATCGTATCGGAAAAATCGCCGCATTTGAATTTGGCTTTTCGAGAACGGCCAAGTTCGAGATCGAGCTTGACTCGGAACATATAAGCAGGCCGATCCGATCATCCGAGTCCGAAATTGGAGCTGTTAACTAAATTGATTTAAGTAGCCAGCCATCGGAGCTCCCCGCGCCCTATAAGCAAGGCGCCAAAACGGGAATGTGTAAATCGGTAGAGCTCGGCTATCGAGTGCCGATTCAGCCGGAAACGATCACCTCATTCGCTTGACTAATAAAAACCCCGTGGGGAAAGGACCTCCAAATTGGAGCAATACGGTAAAATGTCCGAACCTACAGTATAACTACTGTCGCAGAGAGTCCCGATTAATTCTGCGGGTCATTTTTGCAGTCGCATCGGAGGCGTTTGGAAATGACTGAGAAGGCGACGACACCCGAATATGAAGCCGATAATGTACCAACGGTCGCGGATCAGGATCAGTCTAACCAACTGAGCCATGATGCGGCCAAGCGGAGAATTAATGGCGGGACGTTGGCATGGTTGAATGTTCTGGCTGGATTCTGCGTTTTTGTAAATTCCTGGTGAGTTTATCACTATTATAGTTATCTGAGAATTTGCCCTGACGATCTTATCTCATGTAGGGGAGTTTTGACTACTTTTGGCGCTTTTCAAGAGTACTATCAGACTGACCTGCTCCGCGGTCAATCGCCCTCGGCCATTTCCTGGGTGGGCAGTATTCAAGCAACTTTAATCCCCATGGTCGGTTTAGTGTCGGGGCCATTGGTTGACTCTGGATATCTGCGCCCGTTGATGATTTCGGGAAGCTTCCTCACAGTCTTTGGATTAATGATGACGAGCCTTGCCACGAGGTACTATCAGGTGGGTCCTATTCTCTCTCTTTGGCAGAAAACCTTCAGCTAATTATGAATGTAACCAATAGGTCCTCCTAGCGCAAGGCTTCTGCGTCGGAATGGGTGGTGGAATTAGCTATATCCCCGCGTTGACTATGATTTCAACGAGTTTTACCACCAAACGGCCAATCGCCGTTGGTATAGCATCAATTGGCTCCAGTGTCGGTGCTGTCATCTTCCCGGTCATGTTCCGCCAGCTGCAGCCCAAGGTTGGCTTTCCCTGGGCAGTCCGAAGCATTGGTTTCGTGACTCTTCTCATGGCCATCGTCGCATGCGCCATTCTATGCCGCCAACCGGTCCTGAAAACACGAGCACGAAGTCTGATCGACTGGACTGCTTTCCGAGAGGTGCCCTTTATGCTTTTCTCGGTCTCTTTGACGTGTGTGATGCTGGCGTATTATGTGCCTATCTTCTACGTCGCCTCCTACGCTCGCACTGTGATTCATACAACAACAAGCCTCTCATTCTATATGGTTGCGATTGTCAATGGAACCTCCGTGATCGGCCGAGTTGTTCCTTACCTTCTCGTGGCCTACGTCAAACCAATTACAATCGTCGTTTTCGGTGTTCTGGGTTCAGCCATTGCCATGTTCACCTGGATTGCGGTATCTAATATCCCAGGTTTCATCGTTTGGGCTTGCTACTGGGGTAGCTTGAGTGGTATCCTTGTTACTGGGCCAACTTCTATTGTTGCCCATCCAGTTTTCTGTCCAGATGTCAAATACACGGGAACTCGTCTGGGTATGATGTGGGGGATATCTTCTTTCGGTGCTCTAGCTGGGACACCGGTCGCGGGTGCATTGGTCAACTTGGATACTGCAAATTTTCTGCATGCTCAGATCTTTGCCGGGTGTGTGATGGTGGGTGCTGTTCTGTTGCAACTATGGCCTGCCTTTAAGGTGATGCAATGCGATCGAAGTCATCCACGTAAATAGGTTGTGGCTGACTTATCTTTACTCGTTTGTCGGGGTCAAATAAAATTTAATTGTACATATCACTTCGTTCACAAGTAACTCCGTAGTTCACTAGTATAAAGACAAATAGATTGATGACGACTTATCTCATTTGCAAGGAACTGATGTTACCACGTGGTAGATCCCATCGTAGAATAAAGTAACGGCCCAAAAGGGGGTTATTTCATGATCACAAAAGAACAAGCGCAAATTTCAACAAGACTTCTTCGACAGCAAGTCATGCCCGCCTGTGATCTAAATGTTCTCGCATTCTTCCTATATAGTGGACATTTTGTGCTCTATAGGGCTGATTCAGCTATACTTCCGCTCTTCGATCGGGGCGGGCACCAATCGCATCGAGTAATGTAGACCCTTGGAAGCCCGATCGCTCGAGGCTCATGATGACTTCATCGTACAGTGGCTCGGTTTCCAAGATTTGCAACCCCATGAGGTCAATGTCACCAGCGATCGGCTATAAAATAACAGAATAGCAAATCCCCGTCTCGAAATGGTCTCCATCATCTTATCTGTAATCGAGTGTGTCTCTCGCTTTATCAAGAAGGAACCCGAGAAACAGCGCAATCGACAGTCATAGCTTGAAACCGTGAGTATATTACAGTGCTTTCTCCAGCCCTTTTGCTTTAGCCAGCAATCTGTGAGACGAGAACAAGTCAACGACCTCCTGGAAGAATCGCAGCTCACTGACAGCTTCGCATCGCGTTTCCAGATATCATCATGTCTGAAGCATCCAGTCCCAGCCAGCGCAGAACATCCGTCTCTGGCGGTTCGGGTTCTCAGCCCACGGCAGCCAACAATGTTACTGGCGTAGGTAGTTCAGGGGATAAGTCCTTCCATAAGGGAGGCTCTCATGATCTCCTGAATGAGGGGCCTGGCCATGTGGTCGTACGTATAAACACTTGTCTCCGTATTCTCGAACTCGTTTGCCTGGACTGTGTGAGACTAACACATTCTCTCCGTTAAACAAATAGGCCCATAACCCACGATCTACTATCGGTGGATTCCTCGGACTCAAGGATCAAAAGACTCGGGCAGAGAACAACTTCCTAGCACGGGCAGATATCGCGTCTGGGAAAACCGAGTCCGCCGAGCATGCTGGAGCCACCTGTACTACTGAGGACCATAGTTTCATGGGTTCCAAGCCTGGAGGTTCAGACGCTCTTCCAGGGTGGGAAACCGTGAAGAGCATCATACCAGGGTAAGCCCCAGTATAACCATCGTTTCTCACTGTCTTGGTGCGCTGACTGAATGTGTACAGTGCGGGTGGTCAGCCCAGCTAGTCTGGTTAACAACAGGTTAGCAGCGCGGGCGTTGTGTATCACTGCACCCTTCAATCCCCCTAGTTTGGCCTTTTATATGCCGGTAAATTTTTCTGTAGCTTGGGATTGTGTAGGGGTGGACCCATATGAAAAACAAGAACTGCTTTGCAGTGAAATCGAGCAAAGTGCCTAGGATGCGTATATGTATATTAGTAACAAAGAATATTGTATGCTAGGTTTTCTAGGATCTAACTGTCAAAATGGAGCGCTGTGAATTTATGATAAAAAAAGAGATAAATCATTGTACAGTGTGCTACTCAACCTTCGTCTCCTTCTTCTTGAGCCGGTCACGAATAGCCACCAACTTGCCCAGAATCCTGCCCTTGAGGCTCTGAGCGCCGAGCGCAGCCGCCTCGTCCACCGACACAACTCGTCGCACCAGAATGTTGAAGACAGTGCCAAACGCAAGTGCAATCACAGTACTAGTGAGAATAATCACGTTATACGGCATACTGAAGTCGGGGGTCGGCAGCTGCAGAAGTAGACTGGTCGATCGAATATAGATAGAGGCGCTATCCGGCGAATTCAGGATTCGGATAACGGCAGGTGCAACATTGAATCCGCGATTGGCATCTGGCGGGTATTCCGTGTATCTTAGGATAGCTTTCTCGAAGTCATACGTTAATGTGACAGTCGAGGCAGCTGGAACGGACAATGCCAGCTCCAGCTGGGTACCGCGCTCGCGATCGATCGCGGGTCGGTAAAATGTGCCAGTCACGAGCTCGGACGCAGGGACTTCTCGAGGCAAACCGTCCGGGCCCGTGATAGTCGCCTGCAGCGTATGGATATAGGGCCGGAGGAACCATGGCAGAGATTCGAACAAAATAAAGTCTACATCGGCGGTTTTGGAAGGGTTGACGAAGATGATTCGCATGCCGCCACGTTCCTGGCCATGGCCAACAATGGTTCGCTCTGCATGGAGGACTGGTTCCTCAAGTGGAACTTCAGTCTGCACGGCTTGTTCTGGGATCGATAGATCGAAAGGTTGTGAAGATGATAAGGAGAAGCAACGAGTAAACCCATCCGCCTTCTTGTGTTCCACTGCACCCTCAGAGTGGAACACTTGGCGCTCATGGGGCACACGAAGGCAGACGGGCTGTTCGCTTGAGTCCTCTGATTGCGCAAGAGGGCAAGCGCCGTTCAAGGTTCGCCCAAACACTTCTTGCAGGCTCCAGGCATTCCCACTCGCCTTCTCGAGAGGGTAGCAAGTGTCGTGCGAATTATAGGGCTTGGATGTATCGCAAAGCAATTGATCATTTGGAACAGGACGTGGAATCGGGTTGGCTATGAATGTGTCAGCAATCCACGTGTGAGGGTAGGTGAATGTAAGTAACGGTCAACATACACCGGGATCTCTTGGAGCGTTCTATATCCAAAACCATGTCCACGGTTTGCTCGATCTGGACAACACAGTCGCCATCCGAGGGACAGATTGGCCGCAGATCCACCGACATACTTTGCCATGCTGCATCAAACAATTTGTGACCGTCGAAGAGACTTGAGATCCCAGCTTTGCCCTTGCATGGAAGCAACTTCAGGAAGGGGGTCAGGTTTTCTGTGCAGACGACCTCTCCAGGGAGGGTTCCGTGGAGAAGGTGCAGTCCATCAACGTTCGAATGATCACCAGTGGGGTCAAAAGAAACGACAGGACGAGTTGTACGGGTGGAGTCGACGAAGTTCAGCGATGCGCAGAACAGGCCGGACAGGGATTGCGTCAAAGTTATCCACTTTGCAAATGCTCTATACGATATTAGTCTCATGAGATTCAGCAACCCTCATATATAGTGCCAGGCAAACCTACTCCTCGTCGTCTGCCGCGTCAATCCATGCCCAAAGCTCAACACCGGTCCCTCCTTCCTTGCTACCATTCCACGGCCGAGGGCCCCAACTTTCAGCGTCCCATCGTCCAGTACTAAAGCGAAGATGTAGCTCTTTGGTGTGAGCGTGTTGGAGAATCTGGCCAAGAGCCCGTGGGATGTATTGAAAGTGCTGATTGTCAAACGATTGCTGGGAGGTGTTACCCCGGAAATTGAACGAGGCTAGGAGGGAGGATTGAGGGAGCGGTTGAAGGAAAAGCTGTTCATGATAGTCCGAGGATGCTGAAACTTGTGAGCTCCATAGCGTGACAGCGAGCGCCAGCAGGAGAGAAAAGAGTGAGGAGACCGTCATCACTTCATACCGGAGCTCGGTCTGTGGTGCCCCTAGTCCGTGAGGTGTTTAATGTTAAGAGGGGTGTTTGGGGCCTCGGCAGGCTTGGACATCCAAGACCAACGAGACACTGCGTCACCAGGAGAAGCCCTGAATATGACCAAGCAATCTGAACATCAGACGCAATTGCAATGCGACGAGAGTGTCGAGTGTCTCATCTCGGACTGTCCATCTGGTCTATTGATTGTCGCGCCTCACCGCCTTCCGCCGTTCCTAGCGCCAGCATCAAAAAACCGCGAGACTTAACCGTTCGCTTTTAAGATTAGCTGTTCATTCGTCTTACTCTCGGTTTAACCCTCACAAATCGGCAATCATCATGGCGGCGGAGCAGAGAAAACTGCTGGAACAGCTCATGGGAGGTATGTCTCTTCAAGCTGAATCCCACTCGTGATCATCACCACGAGCTTCAACGTCCCTCCACTTCGCCGATTTAAGCTAACAACGTCTTCATTTACAGCTGACCAGCTCATTGGTACTGGTGCTCAGGGTCGCAATTCCCAGCTCTCTATTACGGATGCAAAGGTCTGCCGTTCCTACCTCGTCGGCACCTGCCCGCACGACCTCTTTACCAATACGAAGCAAGACCTCGGACCTTGTCCCAAGGTGCATAGCGAGGGATTGAAGACGGAGTACGACACTGCATCTTCCGCGGATAAGGCGAAATGGGGCTTTGAGTTTGACTACATGCGCGATATGCAAAAGTACATTGACGATTGTGATCGTCGAATCGACACTGCGCAGCGTCGGTTGGAGAAGACCCCGGATGAGATCCGTCAAACTAACGACCTGGTATGTTCATTTCTAGCCTCGATCTTCGAGTCCGGCCCCTAGCTCCCCAGCTGCGTCACTAACTATTCTACAGCTCAAGCAAATAGCCGATCTCAACAACACGATCAACACGGGCCTCCTTGAGGTCTCCGTCCTCGGTGAAACGGGCTCCGTCGCAACCGCTCTGACCGAGATGCACAAGATCCGCACTGCGAAACACCAGAAGGAAAATGCCGAGCGCGACTTGAAGAACCTTCAAGATACCTCCGGACCGTCCGGCCACCAGAAACTACAGGTCTGCGACGTATGCGGCGCCTACCTCAGTCGACTTGATAATGACCGACGATTGGCGGATCACTTCTTCGGAAAGATGCATATGGGATATTCGGATATGCGCAAGGGTTTCAAGAAGCTCAGTGCTGAGCTGAAGGGCCGCGCACCACCAGTCCGTCACCACGAGGAAGAGGATCCATATGCTGCTGGGGGCCGATCTGGTGGGCGAGGCCCGCGGTATGGTGGCGGTGGTGGAGGTGGAGGATATCGGCGACGGGGTGGAAGGTGGTAGATCGCCACTCACACTTTTCCATTCTCTGTCCTCGGTTCGGGTCTTTTTGCATAGCGAAGGCGTTTTCGTGCGACGATGCTCAGTGGCGAAGGGGGATTTATTAGCCATGCGCTCAACAATATCCTCTTTATCATGTTCTATACCTAAATGCTACACTACGGAAAATACATACAACTACTTTGCATTTCACAAACAAGGAAGGGTCAGCGCTAGGCGCATCTCTGTGAATACATCATTCTGGACTTAAATTGGATAGCTCATTTCATACAATAAACCTCAAGAAAACTAGAACCTTTTTGGATTGAAACCATGCATCTCCCATTGTAGTGGGTTAAAGCATAGCTAAGAGCATTCGCTCCATACAGAATGAAAAGATAGGGTATGAATAAACAAAGCCTTATTTGCGGGCAAGCCAGCAGAGCCGATACGCGACTGCCCACCATGGGTATCCCACGTCCATCCATGAAAAAATAACATCCCAAACACTCAAGGTCCAAACACCGGCTGCTGAAATCCAGCTCGTCCATCAGAAAACCATGCCCCAAATCGACTGTACAGTGCAACGTAAAAATGATCAAAGTGTTTCAGTGGTCGTTTCGAGAAAAAGGAAAGTCTAAGCATTTGCAGGGGCGACATGGCCGTTCGCCTGAGTTTCAAACAGTGCCTGCATGAGAGCATCATAGTTTGCTGCTGCTGCAGGCTGTCGGGCCAGGATGTCACGAACGACATTCAACTGCGCCACGTCCACATTTGGGGCTGTCTTGAGGAGTTGTTGAATGGCTGGCGCGTTGACTTGCGCGCCAAGCACTTGGATTGCGGCGGCCACTCCGGTGAGGGCCTGTTGCTGGAAAGCCGGGAACTGAGCTGACTGTGTAGCTGGTTGTTGAGCATACTCAGCAGCATTAGGGGCAGGTCCGCCAAGGGTGGCGGGAGGTGTTGGGGCCACCTGAGGAGTTGAGCCATGCCCCGGAGTCATAAATGGCGGTTGCTGAGGTGTAGCACCAGCAGCCGTCAGCGGACTTGCAGAGACTCCTGGCTCCTGGCTAGGCTGATGAGATGGCGGCTGGACGGAAGGTGGGTTGGATTCACCGGTCTTCACAACAAAGACAACGAGGAGGGTACGCTCGTTGATGGTGTCTTCAAGGGTGTTGTTCTCCAGCAATTCAATGAATTCGGGTTTCGTAGTGGTACCGGCTTCGATTGGAATGATGTAGGTGTCCTTAACAGCCGACAACGGATGTTTGCCGATAACACCATAGCGCGAACGATTCTTGAAGTAGTCGAATAGCTTGTCAAAGCCTGCACGCTCGCCAGGCAGATCTGGACTGCTGATGGCAATCACGGAGACGTCTGTTGAAGAGCTGAATCGCAGACCACACAGATAGCTGCTGGCAAGCTGGATGTCGATACGGCCATCAACCAGCAGCGTGGGAGGCGCTAGCTGACTCCATGGAATTCTTCCGCTCAGGTCCGCGCCTCCAACATGTTTGGCAGAGGATGTGAATTCAGAAACGGGAACCATGGCAACCTTGCCATGCCAGACAAGACCGTCGTCATTAAAATCCTTGGGTGAATAAGGGGGAGATTCAGGCTCGTCGTCGCGGAGCAGCTGGTCAATTTCAGCATCGGCCTGGATCTTGCCACCATGAGGCACTGGCTCACGGATGTTCGTCGAGACTTCAGGGAAGACATGATCATGATGTCCACCAGTAGGTGAATTACCGCGGGCATTGTTCGACTGCTGTCCCTTTGCAGTAAGTGGACTTTGGTCGCTAGGGCTGCCGTCTGCCTCGGTGGCACGGCGAGGGCCAGCAGAGAAGACTGACTCGGTCGCGGCAGTGTGAGTCTCGTCCTCCACCAGCTCTTCTCCCTTGTGTGTTCGTCGGATCCGGGGTCCCTGTTCTTGGATGATAATGTGCTGTCGCTCAGCCTCTCGCTTGATCTCGGCATCCTTCTGTTGCAACTCCTCGCTAGCCATGTCCTCTGGTTTCATCCTAGCCAGAGACTCTGGGGACAGACTACCTACAAGCAAGCGATCCCGTAGAGAAGGGTTCTTCTTTACGTTGAACAGGATCGTTCGTAATTGCAACTTATATGGCTCGGTAGGTTCGCCCGCCCGTCCGCAGAAATTGTGATACATGGCATCCTCGATGGAGAGACCGAGTTGTCGTGCAGCATCTTCAGCTGAATTTCCAGCAGAAGACTTGTATGAGCCTTTCCTCTGAGCCGCAGTGATCTGATCTACAAATAGTCTGATGAGCGCAGTAGCCGCACTCTTGCGAGCAGGGTTCACAAGCGCATCCACAGTAACCCCCGCCAGGGTATCTGCGGGAGACTCTGCTTTGAGCTTCGAAGCTGACTCCGTCGTGGATGGGGGTGAGATGCGTTGCTGCTTGACCTGGGGGCCCTGGTAGATGAAATAGTTAGCAATGCGTTTTGGACTACCAAGTGCGAGAGGATTCCTTACCATATCGGCCTCCACGCTCTCCTCGAGCTTGCGCTTGTTGGTGCTCGAGCGCCGAGAATCGCCACCATGTCCATTCTTCTCTGGTTCGGCCGATGCGGACGCACCAGTGGCAGGGGACGGACCAGGGCCTGGTGTAGCAGAGGTTCCAGCACGAGCTGGAGTGCTGACTTCAGTCTTGCCTTGGCTCTTTCGGCCACCCTTCTTGCCCTTCTTTCGCTTGGACTTCTTCTCCGCGGCCTCCTGTCGTCGTCTCTCGGCGACCTCTTCCCAAGGCTTCTCGCCCTTTGCGATCTTGTCTAGGAGAGCCTTGTGATTCTCGGGCTTGCACTGCTCGCAATAGTACTGATCGGGTTCTTGACCCTTGGCGAAGGTCAACCCCATGCAGTCATTGTGTTGCCACGCAGAGCACTGATCACAGCAGATCATGTCTCGCTCGACATCTTCCTCCTCCTCGTATTCTCCACAGATGCATCGGATGATTTCCTCTTCTTCTCCATCGCTGGGACCGGGGGTGGGCTCGGCGGAGGCTTTGCTAGACTTGTCTTTTGAATCTTTGGGGCTCTTGCTCTTGCCCTTTTTCGAAGGAGCATCAGGTAGTTCGAGGTTCTTGTGCTGGCCTTTGGTGGCCCGACCGGAGCGGCGCGGTTCGTCTGGCTTCATCGTTAGCTCAGTGCTTTTCATCGAGGGTCGTTTCGTCCCGTGTTGTCGTCTCTCTGTACCACCTGTGGGTGGTCTGAGGGTGGCGGTGGTAGGGACGAGTGTTGTGTACGACTGCTTACCGGCCATGGCTAAAGCTGGGAGGCTTGGGTCACCTCTTTGTACTACAGCGCAAATGAAAGATGAAGATTCTGAGATTGCTCAAGAATTTGGGATGTGTGCGCTTGATACCCAGCGATTGCAAGCGATTGCAAAAGACAGTCTCTCTACGGGTTCAAACGGGGGGCTAAGGTAATACAGAAGAAAAGACGCTGCAGAAGGACAACGTCGCTGCCTGATCCCCGGTATTACTTGGTCACCAGAAGCTGTCCCAAGGAACTGAGAAGCAACGATTTCTCCACGGACAAATGTGTGGCAAGAGATGCGCCAGATGGTGTTTTGTCGTTTTTGTTGCGATCCCTTGCTGCGCGTCAGTCGCGACACTTGGCTGGAGCGGGGTCGCGTGAGATTTCGAAAGTGGGCGCACTGCGATTTTGAAAGGCGGTCGACAGTCGCCGATTATGATATGGGCCACTGTCACTCTGTCAAGCACACAGAAGCGATGAATCGAAGGATGAAGGGGTGAGTGATAGGAGGAGAAGGAGAGAAGATCAGGAGAGAAGGATGAATAAGTGGCTTGCCGCGCGCGAGGCTTATGTCACAGATCACGTGATTGCACCAGCCACCCGCTGACGCCGCGCAGCCTCAAAGCTGATGAGCTTCTCCAGGTTCCCCACCTGAAGGCAAAATCCACTTTTCGAATCAACCTGAAACTGGCAGTGATCGCAACTTGATCTTTCTCGATCCACCTTGTCTCTGTCGAACACGTCTTTATAATATCGACCGAGCCACACCTAGCCTCGCGAAATTATGGCGGACGTAAGATCGCTCCTCCGGAATGAACTAGCTTCGCGCAAGGGCGCGTCGCAACCAAATACCACCGGCAACCGCGTCAGCAAAAAGCGCAAGGTCGACAATGGTGACGGGGTGATGAGGAAGAAACTGCGATCAACAGACCTCGAGGCTGTTCAAGCCGCGGCCAATGCCCAAGTTTCCCAATCACCTGACGGGGAAGACGCAGCTGAGGATGAGATCTTGGAAGCCGTCGACGAAGACGAGGTCGCCGGCCCAGAGCTTCCTGTCGAAGAAGCCCAGGATATCACTGCAGTAACACAAGCACTAGAGTCTGCATCTATACCTGCGGCGCGCCAGGCAACATCACAGACCGTGGACGAGGACGAATGGGCAGCATTCGAACGCGAAGTCGCCGCTCCGACCAGAACGCCACATGCACCGGCTGCACTCTCAGCAGAAGCCACGATATCCGCCGCTCCAGTAACAGCCGAAGAACTCGCCGCACAACAAGAAACAGACAGGACCTCAGCAGCAAAATCTCGCGAGGCCGAGTTGGAGGGTGAACGAGAAGACGCTGCACGATTTATGGAGGAAGAGTTCGATGAGATGGACCAGCTTGAGGAGCGAGTCCGGAGATTGAAGCAAATGCGGGAGGAACTACGGCAGAAGCGTGCTGAAGACCAAGCCAGGGATATCCCAATGGCGGAGGAACAACGGGCACCAGAGAGTGAAAGCGAGGACGAAGAGGATGACGACTGGGACGATTGGCGATTTAAATGATTTCTATGTACCATGAAAATGACGGTTTCTACACAAAGGGATAGAGGTCCTTTAATAGACAGTGATACCCTCCTAAATTGAACAACACCAATGAGAGATTGCAAAGCTTTGGAGCCAGTTTTTCATTAAAGGGTCCTCAGGACAGGCATCTATGAACAGGATATCGTGGTGTGACAGGGAGTAGAGCTTTGTTTCTCAATCGTTGCTTGGCTTCTCCTGCTCTTTGGCTGGGGTTTGATCAACTTCCATGTAACCGCGCAGGCCATCTTTTCGGACCTTCATAGCCTCCGCAATCTCGGCCTCCCCTTCACGTAGAAGGTGCCTGCCACGGAGAAGGTCACCGCGTTGTCTTCGCTTATCTTCTTCAACCCGTTTTTCTCGCTCTGCCAAGGCTCTTTCGCGCTTCTCTCGTTCTCGCTGTTTTCGGTCATGCTCCTCTTGCTGCTCTGCAGTCATCTGCTCCTCGGGTGGAGGTGGCAAGGTAGATATGAACGCCTCAATCAAAGGATTCCGGATCTTTGTTGGAAGAGCAATGTATCGAAGATCTGTCATGATTGTGGATGGTAAAGCCTCCAGATTCGAGGAGCGATTCAAGGCGTGCAATGGAGCCGATTTGAGAAGTGCTGAAAGTTCCGACTTGCGAGTGCTCTCGGGGAGCTTGAGTTTGGAAATATAGTCACGATAGAGCTTTTCCCGGTCCTTATCCGAAAGTTGCGAGTCCTTCATCTCTGCCTCCTTTCGGTATTTTCGCTTGAATTCGGGCCAGTACAGCTTGGGCGTCGCATATTCCTGGAGGAAGGCCAGGTATTTGATACGAGGATCCTGCTTCTCCTGCTTTTCTTTCTGTGCCCGGACGTCCTTGACTCGGTCTTTGCTCCAATTAGAGAAAACCTCACGGCGAGTCTTCATGTTTGAAGGGGCGGTATATCTTGAGTCTTCGATGATGCGGCCTTCTTCAAGAATTTTCTCCCACGTTGAGAAGGGATTGATATGGTAATCATCGAGCAGATCCCGGAAGAGTGCTTCAGCGTCGGCTTCTGTCAACGGGAGTCCTTCTGCGCCCTCTTCCCAATCCTCTCCAGGTTCGCCGTATTCCCCTGGATCTAGACCGTAGTCTTCTCCCATAGCCGCAAGCTGGTATTCCATATCCTCTTCGGTGAATTCCATTGGCTGGTCCTGTCTTCCAGGACTTTCTGTGCGTGCCCGCTTCGAAAATTGGCCCTCCTCATCTTCGCCTTCGTCATCGGTGACTTCGACCTCTTCATATTCATCGCTATCCTCCGCGCCTGCGTAGAGACCTTCGTGTGTCGCATTATCACGTTCTAATCGCGATGTAGTCGGCACTCCCACAACCTCTTCTTTCGCTTCCTCGGGCTCTTCTGACTTCTCGCCCCGCTCTCTCCTCTCCTTCTTCTCGCGTTCGAGGCGGTCGTACTCAGCCACGCCTTTGAGCACTTCCTCTGGAAATTTCCAAAAACTCTCGTTGGTTTGCGGATTATGCACAAATCGCCTACCGAGTTTGGTCTTCACCAGAACCCATGGCGCACAATCCGGGATCGGGTGCTTAGTCTTCGGCTTGTCTTGGGGCTCACGCCGCCCGCGGTCTTGATAGCCTCTTCCACCGCGGAAACCACCACGACCCTGCCCTTGGTGTTGTTGGTGTTGGCCATGTTGCGCGGTACCCGGGGCATGACCCGCTGGTCCATATGGCGTCGAGGAAAATGGTGGTAGTGTGTCAGGCGAATAGAATGGGAGTGACTGCGAGGATTCTGCGGCGGGTGGTACAGGCAGCGCAAGTTGTACGAGTTGAGAATCCTGCGCTTGTGGTCTCTTGTATGTCGATTGTTTCGTTGCAGCATTATAGTAATACAAATGGCCTGAGAGCTCATCGCAATTAGTCAAATCCTTTCCCGACTTAGCCAGAGGCGGACAAACCTGAAGGCGCTCGGTGTTCCGACCACCCCGGGGGAAGAGGTGACGGGGGAGCGTATGTCGATCTAAGCATAGTAGCTGTAAAATTTCAAGGGTCGAGCGCAAAGTCGCCAGCTCGCGTGGCCCAAAGTTGAGAGAGTTAAAGCCGCTTTTGAAGCTTTGGTGTGGTGAGGTGGTCCGAGCTTGGCGGATGACAGAGGACGCGCCAGGGCGAGTTGCCTGGAACTTCATGGAGCTCAACTCAACTGTCTCTCCAACTCCGACCTTCTCATCCACCTTCTACCCTTCCGATCTTCCATTCCTCTCTTTCTCTAAGCTGATCCTGTGTTTTTTGTTACATGCAAGATGTCTCGGCGATATGATTCACGGGTGAGCTCAGCCCGCCCTTCCCCTGCTGTACGATTGGGACAGCTCCCAGCTAACCTATGACGCTGTTGGGCAGACCACCATCTTCTCCCCAGAGGGCCGACTGTATCAGGTCGAATATGCTCTCGAGGCTATCTCACATGCCGGCACTGCTCTCGGTATCCTAGCGAAGGACGGCATTGTCCTCGCCGCTGAGAGGAAGGTGACCAGCAAGCTGCTGGAGCAGGATACCTCCGCCGAGAAGCTGTATACCATCAACGAGTATGTCCAAATGGCTTGAGTTCTCGCTTGACCTTAGCTTCCATACTTGAACCCTCCGTGGAATCAACCTAATGTCGATTATAGTAACATGATCTGCGCCGTCGCTGGTATGAACGCCGATGCCAACATCCTTATCAACTACGCACGTCAAAATGCCCAACGCTACCTCCTCACCTACAACGAAGACATTCCTTGCGAACAGCTGGTCCGCCGACTGTGTGATCTGAAGCAAGGATATACCCAACACGGTGGTCTCCGCCCGTTCGGTGTGTCGTTCATCTACGCTGGATGGGACCACCTGCGCCAATTCCAGCTGTACCAGAGCAACCCTAGTGGAAACTACGGAGGCTGGAAGGCCACCAGTGTTGGTGCCAACAATGCCAGCGCACAGAGTCTGTTGAAGCAAGACTACAAGGAGGACTCTACTTTGCAGGAGGCTTGCGCCATGGCTGTCAAGGTCCTGAGCAAGACGATGGATTCGACAAAGCTGAGCAGTGAGAAGAGTGAGTCTCCATCTTCCCACTGTTCTTTCCCCACTGCCCTCAATCGATTGTTTCGGTGACCAATGTGCTAACACATGGCTTTTCCCCGTATAGTTGAGTTCGCAACAGTGGGTAAGACCAAGGATGGAAAGATCTACCACCACCTGTGGAGCGCCGATGAGATTGATGCCCTCCTTCGGGAACAAGGGCTTGCAAAGGTGGATGACGAGCCCGAGGCTGGTGAGATAAAATAGAATAATACCTTCGCCTGTGTTTCAGATACTTGAAATCGAGACCTGCACTCTATCTACATACCCGAGTTGATCCATCCATTGCATATCATGGAAGGAGAAAGATGCACTTCCCTGCGATAACTGCAATGCTTGCTCCTTGCCCGTGATGTGGCATACATCCAACGGCTGGGTGTCAGAACCTGCTGTTCCAATCTGCTGTCCACCTGATGCTATTTGTCAGGTCAGGCGTAGGTACACGTAGTCCAACTTTGCCTCGTGGACAGCGGTTGTATGAAGTGTTGGGCCAACACAACCATCCAAAGTAACCTAATTCTCCGATCTTACATGCATAGCGTGTCATGGGTCGATTGACCTGAAGATATATATCTCCCGCATCGCTGCCCCATCTATTCCCTTATTACAACCACCGAAGCTCATACGACGAAGGGCTGCTTCATTGAGTGATTTTGAAACCTGATCACCGTCATCAAGCGTGAATATCGTGTCCTGCCTAACCGTTAGAGCCCGCTTGCGAGTTTTGGCTTAGAGGAAGTACGTTCACGTTCAGGTGTAGTAGATCTAACTGCCACAGAGTTGCTCTAGTACGGACCCACTTCCCTTCAGGTACGGATACGTGACCCGAGCACAACGAGTCTCTATCCGTGGACAACCTAATAGTCAGTCAATATAGTTTTGAAGAAGTTCAACGAGCAAGAGCTTCTCTACTTCTCAAAAATCTGCCCAACTGTCAGGCGGGCACCCTCTGGGTTACATAAGCTTCATGTTTCCACGTGACAGGGTGAGGGGTTTGGTTTCCATCATCCCACCTTCCAGCAACCATTCATTCTGCCTCCATTGCAACATTTCGTCCAGTCCTCGCCGGACTGAATGGCTAATATTGATTCCTCGCTAGGCTCCAGTAGCCTCCGTCAGGAATTTGTAGCGTGGGACCTTCTCCATTTTCCTCTATGAGACCGGAGTCGTCTCAGCGAACCGCTCACCCAGAGAACCAGGGCGCTTACAACATGACTAGCCCACATCAATATATCCATTGGATGCCGTTGGCCTATAGAAAAGAGGAGAAATACTACGAATCATCCAATGAGAGAAAGTCTACGTGGAGTCTTCCGAGTCTTCAGAGAAATGATTATGTCCGTCACATTGCAGACACTTGATTCAAATTGATGTCACAGACTATATCCTGCATGGTGAAACATGAAACGCCATTAACAATCCACCAACCGATGAGACCAAAAACACAAAAATCAAAACGACCCGATAACAAGGAATACTGAACACACTAGCTGCTCGCTGAAGGAATGTCACTGATTTTTGAACATGCAGAATGGTGCTATCTCAGCAACGTTCGACGTCGATCCTCGCGTTCCCGTTGCAGAGCACAAATCTCCTTGTCCAGCTCCATGATGAGCTTGTGGGAACGGTCGATGGAGGCCACCAGAGTGGCACCTTCCCGCTTCCACCGTTCCAAGCGATCAATCTCGGCGCTTCGGCGCCGGAACTTGGTTTCAATCTTCTCGCAGAGGCGGCACTTGTTGTTGTCGTTCTCAGTCATATTAACGAGCTTCATTCCGCACGTTTCGCCGGTGCGGTATTCGTAATTGCACCGATGGGCGAAGCTGGTCCAGCTCCAGTCTCCACAGGAGAAACGCTTCTGGTTGTAAAAACACATGCCTATCAAATGTGTTAGTGCCACTCGCTTATGAGGTGCGGTCAAACTCACTTACTCCCGGGCCCGGTGATTATGTTTCAGGTCTTCAAGGGGGTACACGATTGGCTTTGACTTGTTGCCGAAGCTCACTTGACAAGTTCAAAAGACCACTCTGAGTGGACGTCGTGAAAGGTTCTTCGGAAGATTCACTAAAGAAGCTTCAAGCTACGTCCGAATGACAAGATCCTCTTTGAATAGAATATCTATGGACCTGAATTGACGGCTCTAGGTTGTGATTTTGAAACTCAAGGGGATGATTTTGAACTTCATGATCCATTCAGAGGATCTGAAAGGTCTTATTTATGTTTCGGTCGACAATTCCATCTCGTTGCATGGGTCCTCCAAACTTCGTGTGGCCCTCTTTGGATCGACGCTTGCTGGTGTGGGACGGCTTATCGTCCGTGTCTTCCCATTCCTTGCAATCCATCTCTCAACCTGGTTGAGGTTGATCCGGTTGGCTGTGAGCAGTTCCCTGGATGAGTGGAGACTGTAAGATGCCCAAGTTTTCTCGGATGGAGCCACCAAGGATGAACGGTTGCTTCAAGGATGCATGCAGCTATCGGGCGTGGCAACTTCCCATCCCCGTGATGATTCACAACGGGTGAAAAATCCCTCAATTGATGGCTGCCAGCTTTCCTCATTCGAGTCCTAGCTACTGCAACTACGCCCTCACCATTGCACTTCCCCGCCTCCCATGTGCATGCAGTTCGCATAGAATCAGGCTCCTGTGATCGTGTTGCATCTTGCGTCGACGATCCTGCATGGCTGAACTGCTCTCGACCTCTGCCAGCTGTCAATTCGATGCAATTTTCAGACACCATCACCCCGGGATAACCTTGTCTTCCAACCAAAAAAAGAAAAAGAAATGTTGACAGCTTTCCCGATTGCGAAAACACTCGGCATATTCCCTGTGACTCCACCTGAATTTGGATTCTCTACCACACCATAGTCTTCGCTCTAGACTCCTTTCTCATTGGTCCAGTACCCCAAATCATTATGTGCTTGGACAATATCGTTGGGTCGACACCACTTTTGTCTGCCGACAGAAGAAATCTGTCCGGCGTTACCGTCCGTGTGATTGCCTGCAGATGCATTTTCGCATCATTGCCCCCATTTCCTAATATCACACCTCCTGCATCGAGGCAAGTACGGATACTGGGCATGGGTCTCAGAAATGAGGTTGCAACCCGACTTAGCGGCCCCTTCTTACCATCTTGTTCCTCCGCCGAGCCATGAGGGCAAGGATGATGGGATTGAGGCCTGATCCTCGTCCCACTCCCTGCCGCATCTTTCCGCTCCGTGCGTCTCAGCCAATGGACCTTCAATCGAGTGGCAACAGTCGCGTCACTGAGGCTCTATCAGTGGTACCTCGTGTACTCAGGGACACGGTCCTTGGAATTGGGTTTCTGGCGGTACAGGACTTTAACCCACTTGGGGGTTGGACGAGAAATTCATCCACTTTCGTTCAGCTGATCTTTGTTTCCTGCAGCGGAGGAGTCCTGCATCTGTCTTCGCTCATGTGTGTGGCCTACTATCAACCATTCGCTCTTTCGGGCGGAAATGATAGGACTTGGGATGCCGTGCCGCACTCGTCGCAGACACGAACCTTGACACCTTCCACATATTTCTGAACCACATGCAGCTGCACCAAAGCTCGGAGACTCTGACGTGGCACATTGCTTCTGGCTCAGTACTCTGATTCCTGGTAACGGAGGCTGACTTGAGAGACCGTGGGTCAAGAAATTCGCAATGTCTTTGGATGCCGAGATTGGTCCACCCGAAGATCCAGGCCTTTATCCCTGTCGTGGAAAATGGTGCAGGAATGTATTCATTTCCAGTTTTGATGTGGAAGTGGCTGCATCGCCTGATAATTAGGGATCCCTGGATGGGCGTGGTAGTCTCTCGATACGACGCACGATCGTCGGAGACCACCGCACTCCAGTACATCCGCTACCCGCATTTGGGACGATGATCATCCATGGCAAGAGTGTTGAGCTGGCAGCCAGGCATCCCTGAATGATGGCGAATAGCCTCAATGGGCGTCACATCTGAGCGGACTGATCATTTTCGAGCGGCAAACTGGTTGCATCAGCCCAAAAACTCTCGAATCAGCTTCCCAAGCCCCCTGCTTCTTTTGCCTCTCGCCCCGTCTTACCACTGAAGAAAAAGGTCCTGTTCCATGCTGGGTCAACCCGGACCTCTGCCGGACAAGGATCAGACCCAAAGTGATGAAAAATCATGGACGTACCTTTCTGCCCAACAAGCGAAGTTGCCGGAGATATTCTCAGAGTCCTCGAGATCCGACCATCACCCTCAAGGGGCTGAGTTTGTGCACCACGGGCTGTGACTTTCCATACTACAACGTTGAAATTGGATTCTTAGACCCGCATACATGCTCCCACTCTGCTGGGCTCTTCTGGTCCCGTGATCTTAAAGTGGACGGAGGCTCCCGCACCCTCCACGCGCATGCCCTCTGCCTTGCGACAAATGGTGGCCGGCTATGTGATGTTGGGGACTCAAGAGCCAAAGGGCCACCGCCTCTGAAGTGGAATCGCACTCTCAGATTGGTCCGGTGATGGTGGAAGCCTCTCTCGCAGCCGACCACGGCGTCCAATAATCTTCCCTGACAGGGGCATTGGCCATCTGCAGCTAGCAACGCATTTCCCCACCCATGATGTGCCAGGCCGACTCGTGCATATCATGGACTCTTACGCCGAGGCACACTAAGCCCTAATGGTTACTGGTCGATTATGGCTGAGCCGGACCTAGCATCTGCACACTGCTAGTGTACATGCCATGATCCTCTCTATCGTGCGGAATCGACTGTCTCCGCATCTCCGTAGAACGCACAGAACTTTGTTTCCATTTCTCAATTTTTCGGGTATAGTGCCGATCCGATATTTTTTTATTGATGAATATTCTCAGACCGTCAGTCATCGGAGACAGTCTCGATGCAAGCTACCTACCTTTTGGCACGCAACGTGGTGGAACTAATGCGAATATCCAGGTCTAGCTTTGTGAAACTAATTTGCCATTCAGGGTATCCCGCAGCCAGTATGAGCTGAACTCTGTTGCTCGTACAGACCGTAGCAAATATTGATCCCTATGCAAGACGTTTATAATCGGGATTAGACTAGGGAATACGCCCTTCGATCATTGTTGACGTGGCAGTTGTTGACCATTTTTGAGAACCCGTAATAAATTGAATATTTTGAAAATAATACAAAAAAAACATTAATGCCGAGAAAATTCTCGTAATTCCTACTCTCAATTCCTATTCTAGCTGATTACTGAAAATAGTTAGTGGTGATAATGTGCAGGTGGTTACTGTGGTTATGTGACGTCAGGATGATTCCCTCCAGATACTGAGAACAGGGCACCAGGATGCTCTGGAATGGCATTTTCCACGGTGAACTTCCTACCCTGCTGAGAATCTATTCTAAGATTATTTCTTTTCCCTTTTTTATTCTCAATCACCCACGCAATCTCTCCGTGACTGCACTCAGACCGTCTTAACCCGAATCACAACACCATCGAGCCAAACACTATGTGGAAGAGCCTCATCTCCAGCGGCCGAGAGGCCATGCGACCAATTTCCCACTCCCACCCTACTGCAGCCATACCCAGACCAGTGGCAGTTCGCCGTACATTCGTTTCCGCCCCTCATCTTTACAAGCAATCCACCGAGGCCCAAGATTTCGACCGCGAATCACTCGATCCCCATCCATCAGAGGCAACTAAAACCGGTACCGATGACCAAATTGCCCAGCATGATTCTGCCTTTGATCCCACCAATACCTCTCCCGAGAGCGAACTTGAAGCAACTGAGCGAGAGTCCCAGGCAACGGGGAAGAAGGGGACGTTGAACGTGAGTGGTGCCAACAAGGCGGCCAACACCTGGAGAGGGCCGCAGGAAGGAGGACCAGCGAGGAATGCGGATAAGGAAGAGACGAGCAAGAGGGGACATCCGAGTAAGCGTCGGACAATTGAGGTCAAAGAGGATGGTACTCATGTCTCCCGTCGATAAGTCGGCGACTGCTGCTCGGTATTCATAAGTGGGTGTCGTGCGAGGCACCATAGAAAACGAAATAGCGTCACTTCGAGAAATGTACATTAATGTTATCAATGCACTATTATCCATTGATTTCAGATCCTAATCACATATCGAGAATCGTAGTGGCTCCTCCCCTCTTATCTTCCTCCATCGGTTACTAGAAACGATCAACTCTTCGCATCCCCGCATAACCCAGGCCCATTTGCGCAGAAACCCCGGCGTAACCTCCCAGCTATTAACATCATGAGACTCTCCCCAGAGAATCAATCCATTCCTATTCGCAGTCACTTCGTCATCATCATCATCGCCTGATAGTAAATAATCGCCCTTCAGCGGCGTTGCAAGGCGCGAATATCGCGGCTGCAAGAACAAGTCTGGATTAGCTTCGGTACCAACCAGATCTTGAGCGAATTCTCTATGGTCAAATGAAGTTTCCCAGCGGATGAGATTCTCGCGCATTGCAGCGAAGGGGATCAGGTTGATCCACGTTGAATGCACGATACTCATCTGGGATTGAGAGGGGCTCAGATTGTCTGGGAGGCCTGGTGCGAAGGGTAAGACGACTGAGAAGCTGGGGAATGCGGTGCCGAATGGTTCGGGATGAGAGTCAGGTTCCCAGGAAATTGTCGCCGTTCCTAGGGTGATTTTGTTGTTGTATAGACCGCGAAAGGTATTATAGTGTATTAGATGGAGTAAATTATCGGCAGGTAGTGAGGGGATGGTATTTGATTGTCCCCATGCTGTCGGACTGATTATCAAGTCCAAAGCCGGCGGGTTTCTTCGCAGTGTTTCGAGAAGATTGTGTTCTGGCTGTTCTTGTTTCACACCAGACACTATGAGACCATGAGGGCGCTTTGTAACTAGTGTTGATGTAGTACGTGTCTGTTGCGGCTCATCGTTGGTAGCGATTCGCCAACGTTGTACTTTGTATGTATGTGGCCCATCCCTCTCACTTGAACGACTCGTTGCTTGTAGTCGTGTTCCTAGAGAAGCATTCAGTTGGCACTTACACGCCTCTTACGGGGTGAATAAGCGTTCGGGACAGAAGAAGATTGATCACTAACTGCGAGCCCTCTGATTTAGTCGATTCTGGGTCCTTTTGCGCAGTCTTCGCTGGTCATTCTCACTCGGGACAATCGGCGCTCGATTGTGCCATAGGGCCTTGGCGGGGGCAATAGTAGTAGTCATTGATAGTTTAGTTGTACGAAAACAAGAACGGATGGAGGGATGAAGGAAATAAAAAGTTGTCGGTCTGGATAGTTCGAGAAGTTCATTTGATTCGGATGATTTGAAACCCGTCGCTATACCCAAATAGGCAAAAACTGTCAGCCAGAAACTGACAGTTGATTCGTGCACCAGGCAGTGCCAGCCTTGCGATCTTGAGTGCTTTTATTGATCAAAGTGGATCCAGCCCAAAAGGGTATAAAAAGTCAGCCAGCATTTGTGAGCATCATTTTTTGTGTGCCACAAACCAGCAATTAAGATGAGTTCAACAGTGTAAGGCAACAACTATAAGAAGGGAGCATTTGTCCCACAAGATGAATTCATCGTCTTATTTTCTAAACACCTGAACATTACTTGAACCATTGAGATTGACTACATACCACTATCATCATTATCATGTCTCGATACTCTGCTGCCCATGCAAACCCTCAGGGCCCCACAGACGCCCGGCCAACTGCCATGCAAATTATCCAAGATGAGCAAATGCAAGGCAAGCTTGTCGGCAAAGTTGTGGTTATCACCGGCGTTTCCTCGGGTCTAGGTGTTGAGACTGCTCGTGCTCTCGCAGCAACCGGAGCAACTCTATACATGACCGCAAGAGACCTGGACAAGGCCAAGACTGCTCTCGGAGACATCTTCGATCCCTCCCAAATGGACCTGGTCCACATGGATCACACGTCCCTAGAGAGCGTGCGAACCGCCGCTCAAAGCATTCTTTCCAAGACAGACAAGATCACCATTCTCATCTGCAATGCTGGAGTAATGGCCGTCAAGGACCTCCAGCTCACGGTCGAAGGCTACGAGCTTCAATTCGCGACAAATCATCTCGCGCACTTTTTGTTCTTTGAGCTGCTGAAACCTGCGTTACTGGCGGGTTCTTCGTCGGAGTTTCAATCACGTGTGGTCATCGTGTCTTCTTCGGGTCATAGGACGATTCGAGGATTGGGGCCTTCTGACAATTACCACTACCAGAAAGGCGGCTATGATCCTCGAGAAGCATATTCGCAGTCAAAGACTGCGAATGTGTACATGGCGAATGAGATCGAGCGCCGGTACGGATCCCAGGGGCTGCACGCGACCAGCTTGCATCCGGGAGTTATTGCCACTCCGTTGGGAAGACATATGTCCCCAGAGGAAATTGAGGCGCTTTTAACGAATCCGATTGTTCAAATGTTCCAGAAAAGTCCTGAGCAGGGGGCCGCGACTACCGTTTGGGGCACTGTGTCCAAGGAACTGGAAGGCAAGGGTGGCCTCTTTCTGGACAATTGTGCAGTAGCTGAGCGAGGGGACTATGATGAAAACCCCTTGAGTGGAAATGCGGTGCCTCATACATACTGCCCACAGGACGAGGCTCGACTATGGAAAGATTCGTTGGAGATGGTCGGATTGTCGAGTGAGGATTGACGGACTAATCCGCAGTGGCTTTTCGACAATGTTCGTCGTTTAAAGTACCTGAGTTAAGAAATATTCATCTTTTTATCGTCACGGATACTGTTCATTTTGTCAACACTAGGAGAGTAACAACGGAAAGACTAGAATATGTTTGGAGGGGAATCAATACATCACAACCGTAAGAATGGACAACGTAACCAACACTAAGACGAGCCAGCAGAATCCTTTCCAAGCGCAATAATCTGGCTACCGTCAATATTCCACACCTTCTCACTACCAGCAGGAACATCGCCCTCAAGTGCCTTCAGCCCTGCATTGACCGCAGCTCGAGCGATAACATCCGAATCCTGCGCCCAACCATCCTTCAAGCCCGAGTGCAACTTTCCAGCCCACCCAGCAATAAACCGAATAGACGCCTCCAAAGGACGACTCTCCTCACGCGTACCAGTAATCAAACCAGGCCGCACAATCACAGTACGCTCAAAACCGAGCGCCTTGACATCTTCTTCAATCTCGCCCTTCATGCGCGTGTAGGGAATATTCGAGGCCTTGTTCGCGTTCGCGCTGGAGATCAACACGTAGACCTTGACGCCAGCATCGCGCGCAGCACGCGCCATTTCAACATTCAGGCCATGCTCGATCTTGTACTGGTTCTCGAATCCACCGGCGTTGGCTCGGGTCGTGGCAAAGGCGGAGATGAAGATTTCCGGGGTAGGTGTGAGTGCCGAGAGCTGTCCGGTCCAGGTTTCGGTCTTGTCGGATACGAAAGTGGTGAGCTTGGATTGGGGGGCACCGCTGGCAGCTTGGGGGGTTCGGCGGGAGATTGTATCAACTCGAGTGACACCAGAGTTGGCTAGCAGGCTGGTGAGGATGTGGGATCCCTGTGCAGATAGGGACTTTGTTAGTGGGGGGCTTGGGGTGCTTTTGTTTATGTGACTCAAGGGAAGATAGTGATCGCAGGGGGAGATATAGTTCGTACCACCATGCCTGTGCATCCGATCAGCGCTACGTTCGCCATGGTTCTTCTCTCGGTTTTATTCCGTTGTGGTGTTGCGAGACTGAAAGAAAGGAACTGGAAGGAAGTGTCTGTGGCTTGCGGGTGTCTGCGCTTTCGTCATTTGCGGAGCTAAGCATTGCTGTAAAGCCGACCGAGGCACCAGCCCCCACAAAGTATGGAATGAAGCAGCTTGACCAACTCAAATTATATTCTACCATATGATTCAGATGATTGAAGAAGTGCTTCTAGATTTTGAATCTGGCGAAAGCCGCTCTCTCAGCCTCTAAAAAGGTCGCCAAAAAAATGTTAACTGGAAGCGACCGTGACTAGACATTCCTTCAGTGTGTATGTGTATGGGAGTCGAAGTTCAAATATGGGGATATATTGATGCTATGGACAAAATCATTTAATACAAGGTGAGGTCTCTAAGATGACTCAAATCTTGGAGCTCTTGGACAGCATTTTTTCCTGTGCCTGGTAGATCTTGACCAACTGACGAACGGACAGATCGAGTAAAACATCTTCAGAGCCACCGGGGATACGGGCGCCAGGAACATCTCGTAGAATTGCTATAGAAGTACCATTGTTAGTTTTTAAACTCTTGGAGATACTAGATTTGAACTCACCTTCAACAAGCTCGCCCTGGCCAGTCTGTGTGAACCCATTGCCACCGAATAAGAGGACAGCAACTTGGGCACACTCATTGAGCACCATGGCAGACTTCGCCTTCGCCAAGGCCGTCAACCCACCGAGCTGGATGTCACTCTCTTCTTTGCTCATATGGCAGAGCTGGTAGAGGATCTGCTCAACCCAAGCCCACATCGTTTCAAGCTCAGCGCCAGCCTTGGCAAGACGATGTCGCACCACGGGTTGATCCATGAGGGTCTTGCCAAAGGCCTCGCGCTTAAGGCAGTAAGAGAAAGCAGCGGAAAGAGCCACACGTGCAGCACGAGTGACTCCAACGGAGATAACAAGACGTTCATGGTTGAAGTTGGTCATGATAATGCGCATGCCCTGGCCCTCCTTGCCGATGAGGTTCGAGACTGGGACCTTGACATCATCCAGTTCGATGTAGGTAGTACCACCAGTGATTTGGCCAGCAACCTTTAGACGACGCATGGTCACGCCGGGGTGGTTCTTCAGGGGCACGACCAGCACCGAGAGACCAGTGGGTCCAGGACCACCAGTTCGAACGGCCATGGTCGCATAGTCGGACCAGATACCATTGGTGATCCTAGAAATTTGTCAGAAAACATTCAGATCGTCAGTAATCTTGTTATATCTCACCATTTCTTGGTTCCATTGATAATATAATGCTTGCCATCAGCACTCTTGGTAGCAGTGGTGACAATGTTTGCAACGTCACTCCCAGCCTCGGGCTCGGTAATAGCGATACAGGCACGCTTTTTGCCGGTAAGGAGATCAGGGAGGAATCGCTCCTGTAGCTCTTTGCTGCCAAACTTGACAATCGGGGGGATACCAAAGGCAAAGCCCGCATTCAAAGATCCACCAGGACCGCTCAAGCCAGAACGAGCCAGCTATGCATAGAGTCACGAGTTAGTACCACGAGGATCTCCTAGGTAATGATTCTCCAATAAATAAGGCTTACCTCGTCGCAATAGATTCCAGTGTAGATGTAATCCCAATCCTCGACTTTGACACCCAGGATATCATTGATCCCCAATCGCTTAAGCCAGTCCACGGGAAGTGGGGCAGGCATGTTTGGCAACAGCATGTTGTGCTTGCAAAATGTGCCGAAGACATGTTCAGGGACAGTTCCTGCCTTTTCCCATTCCATAGCATGTTGAATCAAGTTCTCCCATGCAAACTTGCGGCATCGCTTCTGGAATTCCCGGTGGGCAGGTGTGATATACGGGGACGGGAGACCACGTAGATAAGGGGGCTCTGAGAAGGGGACAGGGTTAGGTGAGTTTTCCGCCATTGTGAGATAAGTATGGAAGATGATATCTATAGGAGGATGAGATGTTAGATGTTATGGATGTAGTAGGGCTGCTCAAAGAGAATGATGAATTGGTTATGTACTCCGCACAGCTGCTTGGGGATCGTCTCCGCAGTTCCACATTTTACCCCCCAGTTCCGAGCCTCGAGCCTCGGTGCGGCACATTCCTCGTCACATGAGCCCGTGCCCTTCAAGGCTGGCCAGCATAATTGAATTACGCAGTATGTCCAGGTCTATTACTAATAAGGTTGTGCAGGACATGCCAAGACCCTGACTCAGCCCCACAAAGTTTTCAACCTTATCGATAAGCAAGTCGCCTTCCGGCATCGGTACTGCTTATCGATAAGAAAATTGCGTGATTGCGTGCTCTCCGCTAGGCCGCATCGGGCAAAATGCCCTGGGGGTTTTTCTATACTTATGGGTTTCCAGTCATTCCCCCTCTCTTTCCTCCACATTAATCCTTTTGTTTAGGGTGATATCCTTCTTGTCCATCATTGTAGATATTGTTGCTGTGGGCACAATATCAGACAAGAACTAGAATCACCATGGCTGCCACGAATCCGGCTCTGTCTACCCTTTCGGGCCCTACATATACTACCGCCCAGACCCTCATTCAGCAGGTGGCGTACCTTCTGAGCGACAAGATCTTCTCCTACTCCCCAGAGACCTTCGACCTCGATGCTGCCCTGCGCGAGTGGGCTGCAGCCCAGGAGACCAAGACCAATGGCGAATCCCCCGTTGTCAAGTCCCTCGAGACTCGTCAGGGTGCCGGAAACCTCGCCCTGGGTTATCTGTTCTCCCAGGACTTTGATCTGAAGAAGCGCCACGTTCCCCAGGGAATTGTCGCTTCCTCTGCCACCCTCCCATATATGCGCTCTGCGTTGGAGCAGCTTTCTCTGCTGTACTCCGTTGCCAGCCCGGTGGCTGCGCATGTCGCTGCCGTCGACTATACTAGCGACGATGGTCTCGTTTCCGACTATGCTTCGGCCCTTTCTCTGGCTGAGGACCTTGGCCTCGGTCTGGTCTCCAGCGGCTCGGCTCACGAGTCTCAGCACATGGCCCTCTTCACCACTCTGCTTGCTTCCGTCTTGCCCTCTATTCACATCTATGACGGTGTCCGTGTCGGCCGCGAGACCACCCGTGTCATTGATGTTCTGGACAAGGAGGGTCTGACTCGCGCTTATGAGACCGTTCGCAAGTCTCTTGATGACTCGGTCAACCGCCACCTCGATGCCCAGGGCAAGGTCCTGGATCTGTTGAAGACTCTCAACGGCGAGCTTGGCACTGACTATGGTGCTTTCGAGTACCACGGCCACGCCGAGCCCACTTCCGTTCTGGTCGTCTTCGGTACCGTTGAGGCTGCCCTTGCTGCCCAGGTTGCCCGCTCCCTGGCCAAGGATGGTGTTCACATTGGTGTCGTGAACGTCCGTGTCTACCGTCCCTTCGTCGAGGAGGAGTTCCTGCGCGTGCTTCCCCAGTCCGCCAAGACTGTCGGTGTTCTTGGCCAGGTTGTCAGCGAGCAGGCCGTCCAGGAGGAGGGTGTTCACTCTGCCCTGTACGAGGATGTCCTCGCCGCTCTGACCTTCGCCACCGGTCGTGAGCACGCCCCAGCCACTGTTGAGATCAAGTACTCTCGCTGTCAGCGCTGGGACCTGATCAACGTCGCTGCTGCCTTCCAGCGTATCTTCGACAAGCCCATCCTGCCTGTCGACAGCGCCACTAATGAGGCTGCTTCTCTGCAGCTGCTGGACCCCGCCACGGTCCAGGAGTACACTTTCTGGGACGTTGACAACTCCGTCGCCGAGGAGGCTTCCATCACCCTCAGCCAGGCTCTTGCTGCCGACTCCGCCAGCAATGTCACCGTCAGCAAGGTTCACGACAACCTTGTCCAGGGTGGTGCGATCCGTGTTGATATCCGTAAGAGTGCTAAGATCATTGACGCTCCTTACGCCGTCACTGCTGCCGATGTCTCCTACGTCGGAAACGTTGCCTTGCTTAACGACGTCGATGTCCTCGCCTCCGTCAAGGACAACGGCAAGCTTATTATTAGCGCTCCTGGTGTTAAGGATGAGGATCTTGAGAAGAAGCTGCCTGCCGCTTTCCGCCAGACTGTTGCTCAGCGCGGCATCTCTCTCTTCGTTGTTGACCCCTCCGCTGTTGAGGACTCTTCCTTGGAGACCGTGATTCTCCAGGCCTCCTTCATCCGCGTTGCCCTCCCCGCTCAGGAGGGCATTGCCACCAAGAAGCTGGCTTCCATCTCTGGCAACGCCGAGACTTTGGAGACTGTGACTAAGGACCTCGAGAAGGTCCTGCGCCAGATCGAGGTTCCCGAGTCCTGGAAGGAGCCCGAGGGTGTCAGCGAGGCTGTTCAGCTTCCCAAGGATATCTCCGCTAACAGCTTCGTCTCTTTCGACAAGAATGAGTCTGAGCCCGCAACTCTGCTCAAGGACTGGGAGACTGCTGCCCGTGCTCTGGCCTTCAAGGAGGCCTTTGACACCAAGAACGCTCTCCGCCCTGACCTGGCTACCAAGACCTTCACCGTCCACGTCAAGGAAAACCGCCGTCTCACTCCCGTCACCTATGACCGCAACATCTTCCACATTGAGTTCGATCTTGGTGACTCTGGTCTCACCTATGACATTGGTGAGGCTTTGGGTGTCCACGCTGAGAACGATCCCGAGGATGTCATCAAGTTCATTGAGTTCTACGGACTGAACCCCGATGCCATCGTTGAGGTTCCCAGCCGCGAGGACCCTGCTGTCCTCGAGAACCGCACTGTGTACCAGGCCCTAGTCCAGAACGTCGACATCTTCGGTCGCCCTCCCAAGCGCTTCTACGAGGCTCTGGCCGAGTTCGCCTCCGACGAGAAGGAGAAGACCGATCTCCTCACTCTGGGCGGCCCCGATGGTGCTGTTGAGTTCAAGCGTCGCGCCGAGGTCGACACCATCACCTTCGCCGATGTCCTGCTCGAGTACCCCTCTGCTCACCCCGACTTCCACGAGATCGTCCGCATTGTGGGTCCTCTGAAGCGCCGTGAGTACTCCATCGCCTCGTGCCAGAAGGTCAGCCCCAGCATCGTCGCCCTGATGATCGTCGCTGTCGGCTGGACCGACCCCAGGGGCCGCGACCGCTTCGGTCTGGCTACCCGCTACCTTAGCCGCCTGCAACCCGGCACTCCCGTCAGCGTCAGCGTCAAGTCCAGTGTCATGAAGCTGCCCCCCAAGTCGACCCAACCTCTCATCATGGCTGGTCTGGGTACCGGTCTTGCTCCCTTCCGTGCCTTCGTCCAGCACCGCGCTCTTGAGAAGGCCCAGGGCAAGGAGATTGGCTCTGTCCTGCTGTATATGGGTTCCCGTCACCAGCGCGAGGAGTACTGTTACGGTGAGGAGTGGGAGGCCTACCAGGCCGCTGGTGTCATCACCCTCCTTGGTGCAGCCTTCTCTCGTGACCAGCCGGAGAAGATCTACATCCAGGACCGCATGCGCCAGTCGCTGCCCGAGATTGTGCAGGCGTACATTCGTGAGGAGGGTGCCTTCTACCTGTGCGGCCCCACCTGGCCCGTTCCCGATGTCACTGCCGTCTTGGAGGAGGCTATTGCCACCGAGGCCAAGGCCAATGGCAAGAAGATTGACACCCGCAAGGAGATTGAGAAGCTCAAGGATGAGGAGCGCTATGTTCTGGAGGTGTACTAGACGTGTGTTGTGTTGGTATTATGATCTGATGATGAGCTTTGTTTGTCTTGTGTTATTCCCCGCGCTACCCCTTTAGATTCTTTTGATTTGGCCTAGCGAATCTGCCTTTTCATAGACTTCAAAATGCATTTAAGATTCATGAATTTAATCATACCTTATTCTACCGTCCTCGTAATGAATGTTTAGCTAGTGCAAACTCGACCTAGGCGTCTACGTTCTGGATTAGGGTGAAATAGCTGCTCCATTCCATTAAGGTCAGCCCAAAATTCAAACTCCACGTATCTCAGGAAGTAGACACTGGTCAGCGGCCTTTGTTGTTCTTCTATATAATTATTTCTCTGGTGGATGTTCTAAATAGTCTGTAATTCTATGTGATGTTCAAGAAATTGTCAGAAATGTGATTTGATGGATGCACATGGTGTGAAACACTACACTCGGACAGTAATAACGTCATCCACGGCCGAGCTGGCCACCCCAAAACACCATACTAAATGCGATTTTTCAGGTCGCTGTATATTAACAACGAGAGGTTGATTTTACTCGATTTTCAATCGGATAATATCTTCAGCGTCAGAAATAGCACAGCTCAAGTAAGAAATACAGTAGATGATTATTTACCAGCATTACCAAAAAAAAATACGCTCCAACCAAGCAATGCAGATATATATCTCTATCTTGTCACAAATTTATGTACTTGTTGCCCTTATAGAGATATTTAATATGATACATTGAACTCTAGGATACCCTAAGATCATACGCTAAGCATCCAGTGTTGACATATGAAGTTGTAAAAATTCACATTCAGTACGATGTTTTGGGGTGGCCAGCTCGACCGTGTGGCCAGCTCGGCCGTGGACTACGTTATATATTTCGGAAGGCCGCACGTTTAACTGGGTCCACTTAGATGAGCATAGTGTATGGATCTAGAAGAGCATTGGATCATATTGCAAAACTCTTATCATTTCAATCACCAGCTCGCTTAACTCAGTTGGTAGAGTGCGTGACTAGTAATCACGAAGTCGCTAGTTCAAATCTGGCAGTGAGCATTTTTTGGCAATTTTAATTGCATTTTCCTTGGTCTGGTGGAGTCTTTATTGATTAGTGCCCGAGTCAATCTATGTTTGATCCTTCAATTGAACCAATTGGAGGCTTGTTCTATCATTTCTGTTGTGGTGGGAAAGAATATTGGCTCGTGAGAAGTTGATTGTCGAACACCCAATTATGCACAGGTTATTCGACCGTAACATACCAAAGAGGCTATTGAAGTATGCAAAATTCAGAAGTTGTTCTTGACTGCGCTTTGAGGACCTCCCCTCGTTGCCAAATTGTCTTGAGCTAATACTTTATAATAGATGTAGATCTATGCAATGTGTCATAAATAGATTTTTGTTATTCATAACTGCATGTCACACGAGACATTATGATTGCCCAGCTATCCTGACCTTGGTCTTTCCATAGGCCCCACCCATCTGTTTTCTCAATTCCAAAGCCTTCCGATAAGGAGGAGCTGTGGGAGGCTGCACCGGGTTTAGCGCAACGTAGTCAGGAGGAAGAGCATAAGTCGCATCCGAGTCCCAAGCCGAGAGATCACCACAAGCAATGAAAGATGGGATCCACCGATGCTCTACTGCAAATTTGCTCTGGAGCTTCTGCGAGGGAACTTGATCCTCTGATGTGGACGTTTGCAGATGGCGCACCTCAACTGAGTGACCAGGTGTGAGTACGTTCTCGGTGGAGGACGGTTGTACCAAAAGTGGACGAGCATTGGTGTCTTCGTCCAGCTGCTCGCGCACTTCCACAGCCAGGTTACCATCTTCAGAGATGGGCTTCGGCGCTGCAGCCCCGCCAAACAGAGGGTTCTTCAACGCTGCCATACCAGCCAGTCCATCCTCGTTAACAGGGGGGATGAATCCCTCACACACCACGAACGCCTCTAGACTGCTAGCACGACTGCTTCGTGGTTTGGCAACACTCACTCGCTCAAAGACAGTGCGCAATTGCGCATAGAGAAGGTCGACATCCCGACCTCGAAAAATCTTAGCGACAAATTTGCCGCCTGGCCGCAGTACTCCCATAGCAAGGTTCAGCGCAGCGTATAGCAATTGTGATTGGATATAGATATCAAGGTCGTGCAGACCTGTCACGTCTGGCGCACCATCGGAGATGACCAAGTCAACTGGGTGAGGTTGCTTAATCGCTACTGGAGTTTGTGATGGAGAGTCGGTGGAGGGTGTAGAGGATTCGTAGGCTTCGGGGTCTAGCGCACGCAGGAGGAGAGGAATTGTAGAAGGGTGGGTGATATCGGCTTTGAGAGTGGTAATACCCTCGAGCGAGGCCATAGGTTGGAGATCGATTGAGACAATTTTGACATTCTTCCGAGGTTTCAATTCGGAGCTTGGGTCGCTCTCTCCAAAGGGAATTTCGGATTCATTGTCACTGCCAGTGGTCGTATTGTTGGCATTGTCCAATACCTCTTTCTCTCTCCGTTTCTTGTCGATCCACGCCCGTCGTCCGAAGCTCTCGCCCTTGATCAAAACGCGACTGAGGACCTGACTCCAGCTGCCCGGTGCAGCGCAAAGATCCACGACTCTCGTTACACGGTCCGGGTTCTCGTATTCGAAAAGGTCGAATTGCTCGTCAATTTGAATTAGCTTGAAGGCGGAGCGGGCGCGCCAATTTTGCTCTTTCGCTAGGCGATAATAGGCATCGCGCTTGTCTTTGGACGACTTGCCCATGGTGAAGTTTGGGACGTAACTAGCCCAATGGAGTTGAGAATTGGTGTCGAGGGGCGGGCCTTAGTGTCGCGGAGTAATTTTAACGTGGGGAGCATCGCCGATAAGATTTCCAAGGCGGAATATTTCTGCCGCTTTTTTTCTCTGGCGACTTCTCCGATCAGCTTTTTCTCTGCTTTCTAAATACACAAGCCTGATCATTCAAAACAGGTGCCGCTATAATCATGGGACAAAAGAGAGGTCGTGACCCGAAGGCCCAGGCCCCCGAGTCTAAGAAGCGCAAGAAGGCCGCGAAATCCGGCCCAGTTGCGGACGACGATTCCTGGGACGGTGTTGTCGGTATTGACGACCTCAACTGGACGGAAGTTGCTCTGCCCGATCGCTTGGAGGATGCGACTGGATTCCTTGGACTGGAAGAGATTGATGGAGTAGACATTATCAGGTCTTCAGGTGGCGGAGAGGTTCAATTCAAGGTGTGTAGCTACAAGCCATAACCGGTGGACTCGTGATTCTAACACATGCGCAATTTCATAGGCCAAGGAAGGAAAACCAAGAAAGTCGATTCTGAAGAAGCCATCTGCCGAAAACAACGGTGAAGAATGGGATGGTTTCAGCGACGGTGAATCCAACGAGAAGCCCACGGCTGTTCCAGCGGCCGAGACCCAGCCCGCAAAGGACGAGAAGAAAACGAAAAACAAGAAGGAAAAGAAAGTCAAGGAGGTGAAGCCCAAGGAGGCACAGCCTAAACGGGATCCAAACCTGAAGGTTGGTCTTTCGTTTGCGGCGCTTGAAGAGGCTGGAGAGGACGATGGTGCGGACGTATCTGCGTGGGATAAACTTGGTCTCTCCCCAGAGATTCTCACAAGTCTCTCCAAGCTCAACTTTTCTACACCGACTACTGTGCAAAAATCCTGTATCCCTGCAATCCTGGACGGGCATGACGTGGTTGGTAAGGCTTCTACTGGTTCCGGTAAAACACTGGCATTTGGCATCCCAATTCTTGAGCATTATCTGGAGAAGCGAGGGAAAAAAGAAGACGAGGGCAAGAAGCCCAAGTCCGACCCCATGACGCTCATTCTTTCACCCACTCGAGAGCTGGCACATCAACTGGCGAAGCACATTGGTGATTTCATTACAAATGCTCCAGATGCCGATGCACGCATCGCTCTTTTGACTGGTGGCTTGTCTATTCAGAAACAGCAGAGACAGCTAGCGAACGCTGATATCGTCATTGGTACCCCAGGTCGTGTGTGGGAAATTCTGAGCACAGGCTCTGGTTTGATCCGCAAGATGCAAGGCATCAAATTCCTGGTTGTCGACGAGGCCGATCGTCTGCTTAGCGAGGGTCATTTCAAGGAAGTGGAAGAGATTTTGGGTGCCTTGGATCGCAAGGAGCAGGGTGATTTCCCTGATATGGATGAACAGGAGGAGGTCGCGGAAGAGGAGCCGAGCGTTCGCCAGACCCTTGTATTCTCTGCTACTTTCCACCGGGACTTACAACAGAAGTTGGCTGGAAAGAGCCGTTGGACTGGAGGTGATTTGATGGACAAGAAAGAGTCCATGGAATATCTCCTCAAGAAGCTGAACTTCCGGGAAGAGAAGCCAAAGTTCATTGACGTCAACCCGGTTCAGCAGATGGCCGAGGGACTGAAGGAAGGAATTGTTGAATGTCCTGCCATGGAGAAGGTAAGCAATATTTGTCTTATTTCTGCCGTTGAATTGAGATCAAAGACTAACTTTTTGACAGGATCTCTACCTGTACTCCCTTCTACTCTATTACCCCAAGCACCGAACCCTTGTTTTCACCAACTCTATCTCCGCAGTCCGCCGTCTTACTCAATTACTGCAAAACTTGCAACTTCCCGCCCTCGCTCTTCACTCTTCCATGGCACAGAAAGCCCGTCTCCGCTCTGTAGAGCGATTCTCTTCACCCACATCAAACCCAAGTTCTATTCTCGTTGCGACCGACGTGGCGGCACGTGGTCTCGACATCAAGGGAATTGACTGTGTTATTCACTACCACGCACCTCGCACAGCAGACACCTACGTCCACCGATCTGGACGTACCGCTCGTGCTGGCGCGGTCGGTAAGAGTGTGATTATCTGTGCCCCGGAAGAAGTTGTCAGCGTGGCCCGTCTCGCCGCCAAAGTCCACACCCAAAGCGGCAAGAAGGGACCCATCAAGAAGCTACCTCTGGAATCCCTTGATATTGATCGTCGAGTTGTGTCTCGCGTGCGCTCCCGCATCGAACTCGCCAGGAAGATTACCGACTCGACCATTGCCAAAGAAAAGATTTCCGCCGAAGACAATTGGCTCCGTTCTGCGGCCGAGGATCTCGGTGTCGAGTATGACAGTGATGAATTTGACGAGTCTCAGGGCAAGGGCCGTGGCCGTGGTGGTGGTCGCCATCAGAAGGAGAAGCAGGCTAGTAGTATCACCAAGAGCGAACTGGCCGGACTTCGTGCCGAGTTGAAGCATCAGCTTTCTCAGCGTGTGAACATCGGTGTCAGTGAGCGGTATCTCACGGCTGGACGCATTGATATCGAAGCTCTCCTGCGTGGTGAGGGCAACAACTCCTTCTTGGGACACCTGGATCCATTGGATTTCTAGGCGTGTCTCAGCTGTTGCAATCTACATTAGCCATGGCATTTCTGTTTTCCTATAGTCCTAATTCGAAAGACCATGTTTATACCAAAATGAACTCATGTGGAGAGGTGAAAACGAAATAAAACCTCGCATTAAACTTCATTTCTATCGAGAGAATAAGCTTACCATCATACGCTTAAACCTTGATCATCGCGTTGCAGCTTATCTTATCGCACTCGGCATCCCGAGATCGCCTCCTCGGCGCCTCCCCGAAAAGCCCGCCGAAAGTCGGCCCTTAGCGCCCCACTATTGGGCCGGTCAAGACGAAAAAAAAAATCGAGCTCGTTGAGAGAAATGGATACCGGCTGAAAGTGCCGGATGATCTCATAAGCATATTAAAATAGATAAGCGTCCCCCTGGTCAGTTCTTTTGGGAGTATTTTGGCGGTTCTGTCCTTGTACCCTGGCATTTGCTTCGTTTTCGGGTCTTTCTATACTACGGCCACTATTTGAGACAAGTTCGATTTGAATACTGTACCGTGCGCTACGTTGATCGTCCTGATCCCACGTGGCGGGAGATTTCATTGTGCATTAGCTCCATTATCGGCAATTTCTCGGTAGGTTGAATCCATGCCACTGTTTGCGATTTGGATTTTTAACATTGTCTCTCCCTTGTTATAGACCTCAAAACTATATACAATATGGCCTCGAAATTACCCAGTCTTCCCCAGGCGACAAAATGGCTGCTACGTCCCTCAACAACCCGGTCTTTAAAGCCTGCATTCTCGTCAGCAGTGCCAACTTCTTGCCTACACCAACAAGGCCCGTCTCGCTCTGCAGTCGTCCACGAACAAGCACTCCCTCAAACTCAGACACAAGTGGAAAGTTCGCCATTCTTCACACAGCCACAGACCCAATCACTCTCCAAAAAAGCAGTATCTCTCGACGAAACCGCCAATCTCGACGCCGTCATCTCCCAATTGCCCCTCGTCCAATCCCTCCGTCAATCTCGAAAGACATACAAGGAATCACGACCCCATCTCGCCATTCCACCCGCAATTCGCCAACACCATTTCGTCGGCGGTAGTCTAGCAGGAACAGGAAAGCTTGCACTAGCTCCGTACATGTGGACATCGTCTAGAAAGTCGAAAACCGAGTCCGGGAGAACCACACACGTTAGCAGTGTCGTCTCAGTCTTCCATATCGGTCGTGATCTCTGTGGACATCCCGGCTTTGTTCACGGCGGTTTGCTTTCCGTTCTGTTCGACGAGGTCTTTGCTAGATGTGTTTCGGCGGCGTTCCCGAGTGGATTGGGTATGACGGCTAATTTGAATGTTGATTTTCGGAAACCTGCGCTGCCGGATCGGTTTTATGTGTTGCGTGCGGAGACTACTAAGGTTGAGGGGAGGAAGGCTTGGGTTGAGGGCAAGATGACTTATCTTCCCTTGCCGTTGGCTGCGCCGCTTGATGCGAAGAGTCTTGTGTCTGATGTTGAATTGCTGAGTGAGGATCATGAAGGCGCTGTGATGGTTTCGGAGGCGAGGGCTTTGTTTGTGGAGCCTAAATTTGCTGATGTGAGTGTTTTTCTTCTGATGGACTGATTGAGCGAAGACTTGTGCTAACGTGAACATACAGTCCATGGTGTCGGTCTATAGAACCTGAAATAGGTCAACCGTCAGACAAAAACTAGAACAACCAATACCCTAACATCGATAGATAATTACTTAATTATAGACTTTACAAAGAACTGCTACGCAATTCAATTGACGATAGAAAGGGCCATCCATTGCTATCTAATATCAGTATCATGCAGAAGGAGAAAAGAAACCGAAGCCCGCCTTGACGCCCCTCATTCCAGATGACTTGATGAGAAAGAAGGTAAAAGAACGAAACAGCCCTTCCGAAAACTTGAAAATGGGGGAATGGAGTTTGAAAAGCAAAGTCACACGTCGTCGCATCATGAAAAGGAATCTCGCTCACCCCTCTAGAAGGATGAGAAGAAACACAGGGGTAACAGAACTTGAGGCACCAGCACAGCTGGCATCGCCAAGCGACAATTTTAGAGAGGAGAATATGGGGGATTGCAGAATGGGGGTACTAGCGAGGGCGAAAACTAAGAGAGGTGGAATGCGCCTTGTCCTTCCTTGATGGCAACCGATAGTCGCTCCTTGAGAACATCCAAGCTGCTGTAGTCGGGCAACTTGAGATAGTTCACGCAGGTCATGACACTTGGGAGGTAGTCGTCCGGGGTGTAGGGGGGCTCGCTGGGGCGGCACACGACCGTAAAAATAGGCGTAAGGCTCTTGAAACCTGTGAGAAAAAGTATTAGCTCAGCTCGATCAAATTAGCCTCAAGTGTGTAGACATACCGCCGATGGGAAGTTTCGGGCTACCCGTAACAAATTGGAGGAAGTCGCGGCGCTGCTGGAGGTCCAAGTCACACATGGTGTGAAGCAAGTTGCGCACGCTCTTGCTATCCATGTTGAAACCATGATCGGCCTTGATGGAGTCCATAAGTGTTTCAATCGACCAGTCCTCCTCGGCCCGTCCGAAAAGCATGACAAGCTCGGTGGGGGTGAATGCACGGAGGGCCGAGAATGGGAAGACTTGGGAGAAGCCAGCCCGGAAAGCGTCCACTTGGCGTCGAACACCGCTACCAAGGGTCATTTCAATGATGCCGTCCACATACTGGTCAACATTGTCAATGGTGAGTGGAACATTGGCCCCGTCCGCGGTCAGTTCAATACCAGGATAACCGGGCAGGGTGAAGTCCAAGCTCAGATCCTCGACCCGAACACCATCAACCTGAATGTTCTCGATGGCCGATGCCTTTTGGTGCGAGGACAAGGACTTGTCACTCTTGATAGCATCCTTGGCATTGACAAACTGCTTCAACATGATGAGAGACTTGGCAAGGTCTTCATCGACAGCCTTGACGGTGCCTAGCGAGGGCGCGACGGAGGAGAGTGTGTCAGCAATCCGGAAGAAAGCTGGGTTGAAGGAGATATCGATGATGCGCGAATCAAGCATGGAGCGTGCAACGAACTTTCCAAGAATTTTGAAAAGGTTCAATTGCTTCTTGCCGGATTCCTGCGTGGCCTGTTCTTCACTCATTGGGGCAGGGAATAGACCACGCTTGCCAAAGGCGTACTCAACACCCGAGGTGGCATCAGATTCCCTCCAGATCTTGAGCTTCTTTCTCGAGAATTCCTTGGAGACAGTGGAGTAGAACTCGAGGGTAGGGCCTAGTCCAGTTCCGACTTCTTCAAAGTACTCCACCTCGAGTACACTGGGCGACGATCCGTAAAGCTCCATGACCTTCATCGCCGAGTCTAGGATGCGGGAACGCGAAATGCGAACCTTTTGTCGCTGGAGGCGACCAAGGAAAGGCCGATCGTCACGACGTAAGTCACGACGGCTATCCTCGGTGCTTTGCGAGTTGTGCCATCTCATCATAGCACGCGAGTAGCCGAATGCGGTAGACTGCAAGAACAAGTGTCGCGTCTCGAAGGGGAACAAGAACGAAAACAACCGAGCTAGGTCCTCACTCCAGCTTGGAAGGCAGCTACTCGCAACGATCAACGGTTCCTCGAGCTGTCGGTTCACCTTGGCAGTAAGCTTTGTGTTGATGAACTGGGATAGAGACTCGGGCTTAATGTGGGCGTGATCGCGAGTCTCCGTCAGGATGTCGTCGATGGTCGCGTTCATTTCGTGGAGGACACGTAGCAGGCGCAGGATTGAAGCTGTGGTAGCGTCTTTGTTGAGGGACGCTGGCATTTCCATGCTCTCGTCCTCTGATGCAGAGTCCTGTCCACTCGCGGCGAGAGTTGATGGCTCGGGCGGGGGCGGACCTGGCACACGGCGGAAAGTCACAGTATGGACGGCAGACCAGACATTCTTAGGGTTGGCCTCATCTACATGCTCTCGGTTGTGGTGGACCGCACGGTAGACAGTAGTGTCACTTGCAATTGGCTTTCCATCTACAAAGAACTCAATATGCCAGTCTTGGGGCACGGATGCCATCGCGGCAGCGTATGAGGAAAATGGACGCCCGGCAGTTGCAATTGAGCTGTGGCCTGCGGGGTGAGATGAAGCGGTGCTGGGGGCTGATGAGGCAGGTTTTGATGCTGGGGTGGACTGGGATGGTGTTCCAATTCGAGTACCGTCTTCCTTGCGAGCAGTGACCTTGCCCGAGGAGGCGACCTCGAGGTTGACAGCTGTAGGATCCTGGACAGTGTCGTCTTCGAGGTCGTCCTCAAGGTCATCGACGATAGCATTGAGTTCCTCATCCTCTTCGCCCTCGTCGACATCCTCGTCCTCGTCTTCGCTCAATTGCCGCTCGTCAGCACACTCGAGTGGCTCGTCATCGTGCTCGTCCTCTTCCTCCTGGAAATGCATGCCACGGTGTCGGTGACTGCCTCCGGTTCCACGATCATGGTGCTGTCCTGCTGAATCGTTGGTATTGCCCTGTGTGGCTGCCGGACGAGTCGGGAGGCTACCACCCGGTGGCCTGGGCGCGTTCGACGAAGCAAGCTGGGAGAGGATCGAGTCTCGGGTACGAGACTGACGGGGACGCTCCGACATGGCAATTCGGGGCTGAAGGAAGTCATCCAAGGCTTTGAACGTGGCGATGGCATGAATCGAGACCATGATATTCTTGTAAGGACGAGGAACCTCAGAGCCATCCTCGGCAACAAGTCTGAGGCGAAGCTGTTTCCCGAGCATGTATGTAGCATTGCTGCGAGTATTCTCCAGCGAGTTGTGACTGACAGTAATCACTTCGAAATGCTCAGTCCTACTCAGCAAGTCTTGTAGTTTTCTGATCAGTACGCTGAAGGGAGTGGTCGCAGTGCTCTGGCTCTGGGCTTTCTCAGAGATTGTCGTGCCCATGAAGGCTTGTAAGAAGGCCGCTCTGGCATGGCGAATGGAGGATGAAGCCTTGAAGTCAGCGAGAACGTCTAGAAGCACCTGGATGATGCCCGAGTTGAGCAGCTCTGAGCTCGTGATACTCTTGAGTGCGTCTCCATCAAAGTAAGCAGCCAGACTTTGGAAGAGGGCGACACCCTCTTGCTCATCGCCGGAGGAGTAAAAGGCTCGGATTTTGGCAGCCAATTCTTGCAACTCTGTCAAAATCTTTTCGGCCTCAGCACGCACGGTAACACCTTGCCCCGCCTCATAGATCTTGAGGAAAGCCTGAGCATCGCGAATGACAAGATCATTGAGGGCGTTGTCGGTCTTGGTAAGAGACTGGCGACCATCGATGGAAGAGCTGTCCGAATCAGAATCATCCTCGTTATCGTCCTGGTCCTCATCCTCGTCATCATCATCAAAGTCATCCCCATCATTGTCATCGGCATCGTCGTCCTTTCTGTTGCTAGCTTGGGCATCTTCGGAGTCGGCATCGGCATTGACAGTGGTCTCAGTCGAGGTCTTCTTCGTACCAGCCGGGGTTGCGACTTCCTGATCACCAGACAGAGGAGCCTCAGCAAGTTTCACGATCTCGGAGATGACGCCTTCTCGGTGGAATTGATGCTGATAAACGTGTTCAAGACGCTGGAAAAGAAGTTCAGCGCAACGTAGAGCAAGCGATACGAGTGATGGGTGATCCTTTTGCGACAGGATAGAAGCGAGGAACGACGAATATGGAACCGTGCGCAAAGCATCTTCGATCACGCTGGGCTCCAGAATGTGCAGCATTTTTAGCTGCGCAATCAGAACCTTCTGGCGAACATGCAAATTGACCGTGCTCGAGTACGCATCAGTCAAAGTGGGGAAAAGGATCATGGCAAAGCGCTTCAGTTCAGGTTTGCAATTGTCTAGCAACGCCCGTCTCTCCTCCGGGGCATCCTTGGTCTTGGACGACTTGAGGCCGATGGACATGCTGTTGTCAAAGTACAAGCTGAGTACGCTGTCGGTCTTGGAGGCTTCGCGATTGGGGACACCCGGTAGCAATTCGCAGATGACATTGAGAGTTTCGAAGACCTGCTCACGAGGACGGTGGATCAATGCCTGCATGACCAAGACACTGTCCATCTTGACGCCTGTGCTGTCCACGTCTTGAGGAGGCGACACGCCGGTCAAAATCTGGTAGAGAGTGTCCACGACATCCATCTTGAGAAGTTCAATCGACAAGCGTGGGCTGACCTTCGCTGTGATTGCGAGTACACGAAGGAATTGTGTGTGGATGTGCGAGCCGATCAGATTTGTAGTGCCGGGCAGCAAGAGGCGAAGGACAGCCTTGAGCATGGCAGGTTCAATCAACTCTTCCAGGTTTGCGGGTCGGTGCTTGAAGCTCTCAACAATACGGGAGACGCAAAGGCAGCCCTGTTCGACGACTTTGGGGTCATTGCTAGAAAGGACATTAAGCAAGGTTCCCATGACATCCTGCACCACAGGGAAAGAGTCATGAGGAAGACTGCGACAGCAATTGGCTGCAGTTGTGACAGCTGTCCGTTGAGTGCTTGTGGGGAAGAAGTCAAGGTATGTCAGGCAGGCTGTAAGACCTCCTTCCCGCACAATCGAAGCAGGAAAGTCGACGGAAATTTTGGCCAAAGTCTGTATGAAGCGAGTTAGCCAAGATGACACAAATTACAACAAGGAAGTTTTGGGAAGAAGGAACGTACGCTAAGAGCTTGTTCAGCCAGGTCGATGAACTGAATGTCCAATAGCTTTTGGCAGAGGATGGGAACAGCGCCACCATACACGACATTGGCGACGGAGCCACGTAGAGCTTCCATTAGATTTGCGAGGCAGCGGCAGGCGAGGAGCATTATTTCAGGATTCTCCTCGCCAAACTGATTGGGCTGCATTAAGGTAACCAATTCCTTGACGTACGGATCCGGAGAGAACTGGCCGGAAAGATTGTCCTCATTCGAAACGAGCAAGAGGTCCGACAGTTCCTGAAGAGCGATCAGTTGAACAGAAGGATCATCCTTTGCTCTCAGATTACAGAGGATATCCCGAAGACGACTAGACATTCCCGACATGATGCCGCTGAGTGCACGGAGTGTGCTCTGGAGACCCATCGGTCCACGGCCTCCAAAAAGGCTGCTCGAGAATGGGTCTAGATCCTCATCGTCAAATGCCGAATGGTTGGTGTCGTCGTTGCTTTCCCCGGGTGGAGATTCTTCCAGTTCTTCTTTGGCTTCTTGCTCCTCCAGATCCTCCTCCGCGTCTCGCATTATTGAATCAGGGTTCGGCTTTGGGGCACGCTTCTTCGATCGTCGCGGAGGTGGTGACTGGGTTGCGGCGAGGCGATCTGATATAAAGTAAACATTAGAATATGCGATGCACGAGAGTTTCAGCATTGATAAAGCTCACCATTCCGGTTAGATCTCCGCCGTGACGGAGGCGGCGATGTAGTTGACTTTGATTCCTCCGAGGGGCGAGAAGATGGTCTACGCACGAATCAGCGTTAGCTTTCTATATATGTGATACAACATGCCCAGCATTACTTACCCCGGCTGTGACATCGCGGTTCGACCACGAGTGGCGGCTGATCGACGAGGGACAGGGGCAGTGGGACCAGAAGGTGCAGCTGAATGAGAAGCTGTGGTCTTCTGTCTTTTCGATCGCCGGGGAGAAGAGGGTGCCGGTGGCTGGTTCTGGGTGTCTGCTTGTCGATCCCGGCGACCGGGAGCTTTGCGTTTCCGGGAGGGGGCCGAGCCAGCGGCGTGCGTCGAAGCCGGACCGGAGTCAGCGTCGGGGGGAGGATCTGTGGCAAGTCTCGCGGAGGAGCGAGTTGTTCTGGATGACATGAGAAACTGTTTCACAGACGGTTGTGGGTGACGGTGGAGAGATGGGAGCTTTCAAGGGCCACGATCGCCCTAAACCAGCGACCGAGGAGATGGTTGGGGTACCCCGGAGAGAAGAGAGGTGAGGAGATGGGTTGTGTAAGGCTGAAGGTCTGAAGGAGGCGAGATGGAATTCCCCCGCGGTCGGTAAACTATCACGCCTGGAGCCGAGTTGATGGCACCACTTGCACTCGAGGGGATAGCAAGCACCGTCAAGGTTCTCGTTTCTCGAACCTCTAGATTGGGCGATGGAAATAGGAGCGGAAAGGGAGAGAGAGACGGCATGGAAAAGTGAAAGGCGAGGAGGAAAGGAGCGGGTAGCTACCTCAGAGCAGAAGAGGCGGAAGAAGCTCCTGCGGGGGAAACGGAATAATCCTCGAGAGGGTCCTGACGGTTGGCGGAGGGCCTTTGCCTGGCCATAAGTTACCGGGTCGTGGAGTTTCGATTATGTAGACGTCGACACCGATTCCGCCATTCGTAACCGGGGTTGGAGTTGAGAGGGAGTGATGGCGAGAGGTAGATGAGGGGGAAATAGGGAGGAGGTTCGGCTAAGTAGATGGGGCGAGAGGTTGTGAAGTGGATGCCGATGGGGCGGCAAGCTGTAAGAGTAGTAATGCCGTCGAGGAGCTATATGAACCGATGGGGCGGACAGAGACAAACAAACGAGAGCAAATATAGGATCAAAGAATTCAACCCAAAGTAGAAGGTTGAAGGGAAATGTGAAAAGAATTAAGATGATGGAAGGACGGAGATGGTGGGAAAGGAAGGAGGAGAAGGAGGAGGAGAGTGTTTGACGTGGTGGATTGTGACGACTGACGACTTCGGAGGCGGAAGGGCGGAGGGACCGTGGAGGTGCAACCTGACTTCAGTATGGACTAGATTAGATGATATTAGAGACAAGATACAACCACATTTTTCTCTCTCTACTATATTCCCTTGATAAAATTGAAATTGCTACATAATGGTCAGCTCATACGCCATTGCAGCAGTCTACATTGGGTCACGCTTTTCCACTTTTTAATCCTGACTCTGTCTGTGCCACTGGCCCAACTATCTTGTCTATTGCCATTACGCCCAGGCTAGAGTCAGCAGTTAGGCACGGATCCACCAACTGTTGTAGATGTGCCGCGATATGCAGGCTGTCTAAGGAGGGACCAATGTTTGAATGCCAGCAAGAGTTTCTTGTGATACGTCGTTATACGAGCGGATATCACGGGTTCGTGAGAGATTTATATAATATGAGGGAGAGACAGAGAAAGGGATTTGAGTCATTAGGAAGCCATATAGTCAATGATATTTTTGACTATTGGCAATAGTCTGTGGAGGGACGTTTATTCCCTCAAACATGTACGGATCCGTCCACACCTGAATTCGCAATCTCGAAGCCATCAAAGCTTATTAAAGAGTTAACAAGGACTTAACGGGCCCTTCCACCTTTGCCTATCCAAACAAAAGAGCAAGGTAACACTATCAAGTATTACAATCGCGGATTACGAGGCTGAAGAAAGCTCAAGAAGATGTCTGCAAGGAACTATGAACCCTTTCAACGGTCGGAAATCTCTCTACACACATCAGACTCATAGAAGGCCTTACATATTTGCTTATCTTTCAAATTTGAATGGGAGAGGCTAAATTCCGCCCACTAAGACTGTGTTCAATCATTCCAAGACACCCTCTACATCTGATGCACTCTTTGAGGCAGCAGTGGATATGTTACATATCTGTCTACTACTTCCTAAGTAATAGGTTAAAAGAATATCTGTGATCGAGGATATCACTAGGTACTGCTATAAGGCGAGATTTACGACATCGGAGCCAGAGAATAACTATGCCAATCGCCGCTTTACCGTGATGAGGGCCAGCGCCCGAATCTGGCGTCGTGTCACGTAGGACTCATCCTTGGAAAAAAGAAAGATTCCTTCTAGTTTTCCTTCCTGTAAAGGAATTCTCTAAGTTGGATATTTCCAATTTAAACATGGTGGAATTCACCATGCTCAATCAAATTCAGATTGAACTCACCACAGACCTCAGAGATAGTCGTAGCCGTTTCATGGCCCTATTCATGGCGCTATCATGTGACCTTAGATGACTCCTTACAGATTGTCCAATGATCAGTCTTAACATCCTACAGTATCTCTGAAGGTGACACGTACTCTTCTGGAGTGAATCATCGAAGAAATGGCTTCAGCTTAGGTACTGTCATTAATAACTGCAATAGATGTGCTATCACATCTATTTTCGGCCGAGGGACTGAAGAACACTTCGGATGAACTGCACTAAGCAAGTGTGGCATGAATATTACATGTCGGGCTTGGGGGCTTTCTAGTGCTTCCTCATGCCTTTCCTCACCCTCCCCTATATTTGATACCCTGGTTTAGGTGCATGGGTCGCTCCTCGTTCAAATTACAGTCTTCTGGGCTACATGAGCGATTTCATAGTTCCACACAGATCCCCTTCCCCCACCAACCCAGTTCAAAGAGTACAATGATGAATCAGTAATCCACTTATACCTTTTTTACTTCCCTAAATGCTTATTATTCGGTCATCATGAAAAACGTCATTCAGCGCCCTCTAGACAAATATATTAATTCTTGATGGAGCGGGTCACGTGAATGAAGATCTTGGGATGCCTGAACTGGCAGGCACCACGTGGGGACAGTATGTATGTACATACTTTATTTCTCTCGTTCGATCGATCTCTCCTTTTTCCATCCCCGTCATTGAATCAAGCTAAATAAACCTCCTGCCCCTACGTTATCCTTTGACCGTTGTACCTGAGCCCTGTCATCGGCCCGCACCCGAAAGCATACTATTCCGCATCTGGCTAAACGCCAGGTTGACATTCGTTTCCAGTAGCGAAACCGGTTAACCGGTCGATCGCCTTGCGGGGACGATTGGTGGGACGCTGGCCGAGGGTAAAAACTTGGAATGAACCATACAAGGCCGAGTGTCATGGCCTCCACAAAAATAGTTAATATGTACTCCGTATTCTGTGGCCAGATCTACAGTGATCAGGCCCGTTTAATAATTCTGACGCGCTTCCTCGTGTCCAAGACTGGAATTTATGACCTAGCCAGATTCATGCTCCCTACATATCCTTGTGAGTCTCGAGTGCGCTGGATCGCCCTGATTTACGCAGTGCACAAATGCTACATTCATTTACGGCATATTTTTTTGGAACGAGTCGCAAGATTTGTTGGCTTTGGCTTCGCTTTATCTTTCTCGTCACGACCTACTCTCACGAAATACACTTGATGCGCTAAACACTCGACATTCCCTTTAATAACAGACAAATCGCCGTCTTTCTGAGTGTTGAGCCCCTCGCCGTTATCAGTCTTATCTCCATCTTTAAAATCGGGTCCTCGATCGCCGTCATGGAACCGAACAGGGCCGAAGAGCACCAGGCTGGTCGCCGGGCTCGTGAAGTATATCGCTACTTCCGACCAGAGCGCCAAGATACCATTCAAGAGAATACATCGTCACCGGCCGAGCCAGGCTCCTTGCCGAAGACACCTGGTTCCATCAATTCCAACCCTGCAGCGCAATGTTCACCATTTGACTTGCAGCCGACCCCCGGGGTTTTGCAACAGTCGTTGGAACCTACGTGGGCGCCATTACAGCCCATGCCCGAATCGCTAATTCTTGGTGATGCGAACGAGACATTAAATTCATTTGCGCATTTGGCCGCTTTACGTCTGAATATGGATCGCGTGTTTATCAGGTGAGTGATGGTAGCTTAACACCCCGCCTTGGAGAAGCGGCGCTGATCGCCTGTTTCGCTTCGCAGTGTCTCGGATCGGGATTCACAATTTATAATTGCGCAAGCTGCCCAAAATAAAAAAGAGGATAATGGGTACGATCCCATAGGGCATGCTGTCAATACGGGCTACTATACTCTCGACGTCAGCGCCTGGAATATGTGCAGGGCAAGTTATTCAGTCTTAATTTTCTTGGAGTTTTTCGATTTTATCTTCTTGATTCGCAGTCCCAGGACTGACCAATGCCTCCTCTCTGCTATCAACAGGATACTCTCGCGTTGCATCAATCTAATCGGGAAAGAGGAGAATACAATTTTCTCGTTTCCAACGACCTGAGTCAGGATGAGCGGTATAAAGATCTTCCTTTCGTGGTAGGGGAGCCTGGGTTCCGGTTCTTTGCCGGCACGCCTCTTACTACGGAAAGTAATGTCAACATTGGATGTTTCTTTGCGCTCGACACAAAACCTCATCCCGAGTTCAGCTATATCGAGAAGGAAACGATGGCTCACATGGGAATGCTCATTATGGACTTTTTGAAAGTCAGTCGCCAGGCCTCGGACGGTCGTCATGCAGCTCGGCTATCTCGCGGTATAAATCTTTTTGTCGAAGGCCACTCCTCGTTTGAGAGAACTTCAGCACGACCCGCTTCTGCCAATTTCAGCTCGCAACCAGGACACCCCGGCATATCAGCCTCCGCACCACGGTCCCCGTCTACTTCTACACAAAATTCTCGCGATGATATTTCCAGCCGTTCCCGTTCACGAAGCGTACGATCCACCAGTTCAGCGGCTGATAGTGTCGATGAACGGGCCATTCAGTCCAGTCTTGACTCTCACATGGCCGAATGCCTGGCAAATAAATCGGGTGCCGCCCGGGGGCTTCCAGCAAAGTTGTGGACTTTTCGTCGAGCCGCAAACCTGATTCGAGAGAGCCTAGAACTCGAGGAGAACAGTGGTGTCGTATTTCTTGAAACTGGAGGGGACTTCACTCAAGACATTGGAACTGAAAGTGACACATCAAATTCGTGCTCGTCGGAAAGTTGCAAACCTGCCTCAATTGTGGCTCTCTCTACTCCCGAAATGGCATTTGGTCCAGATCATAGTTCACGAAATCCTCTCCCGATTACGAAATTGAATGAGGAATTTCTCCGGGGCATGCTCAGGCGACATAAAAGGGGCCAGATTTGGAATTTCCACCGCGATGGGCAACTGACCAGCTCGGATAGCGAAGGCTATTTTGGGCAGAGCGACAGTCGTGGCCGAAGAAGAAACTCTACCGATCAAGCAAAGTCACGGAAAAAGAGAAAAGCGAAAGACAACTCCATGCTCAATCAGTATTTTCCCGAAGCTACCCAGGTGTTGTTTGTGCCGCTTTGGAATGTGGCCAATTCGCAATGGTTCGGCGGCTTTTTCTGTTGGACAAATGTGGAACACAAGGTCTTCAGCCCATCGATCGAGCTGAGCTCCTTGCTAAGCTTTGGGTCTTCGATTATGGCCGAGTGCAGTCGCATTGAAACGGTGATCTCGGATCAGCAGAAGGATAATTTCCTGGGCAGCATTTCGTAAGTTCCGCCGACATTTACTTCTGGGGAGGCCAAACTGACCACCACGAAAAGCCACGAATTGCGCAGTCCTCTTCATGGTGTCCTCGCAGCAACCGAAATGCTCAAAGATACGAATCTAGACCAATACCAAAACTCACTCATAGAGACTGTTGATGCGTGCGGCCGAACATTACTTGATACCATGAATCAAGTCTTGGATTTTAGCAAGCTCATGTCTCTTGAACGCAAGTCACGTCGGCGGAGGCGACGCAAGGCTATGTCACAAGACTCTGGCAGTTCACATCTCTCTGCTGCGCACCTCGATCTGTACAAGCCTACAGACCTCTCCGCTGTTGCAGAGGAAGTGGTCGAGGGCGTCTTTCTAGGGCATATCTATAATCAGCGATCAACTGCATCTCTGGACCTTCTGGGTACTTCTTTGGTCGTGCCAGAATTTCCAGAGGATCTTCACTCCGTGAAATCATCCGTCAAAATTATCATGGATATTGCACCTACAGATTGGGTCTATCATGCCCCTCCTGGAGCCGTCCGTCGAATCATCATGAATCTGTTCAGCAATGCACTCAAATACACTCCTGCCGGCCAAGTTTGCCTACGCTTGGAGACGGAAGACAAATCCGAACCTTCATCAAAGCGTTCATCAAATCGGGACCGTAACAAGGAGCGAAATGTTATCCTGACAGTCTCTGACACTGGAAAGGGCATATCGGAGGAATACCTACGCGGGAAGCTTTTCACACCCTTTGCGCAAGAGGACAGTCTTGCCGTAGGCTCTGGCCTCGGCCTGTCTATCGTTCACAGCCTCCTTCAGTCCCTCGGTGGTAGTATCGATATCAAGAGTTGCCTGGGCGAGGGAACGACCGTGAGAGTAACGATTCCACTGATGCGGAGTGGTGATGGGGTCGGATTTGATCTCGTCTCTCCGCCTGTTCAGGGCCGCGACCCACAATCAAGACAGGACCACCTTCTACAGGGCCACGAAGGACGGACAGTTGCCATACTCGGAGTCGATCCCAATAACGCATTGAGTGATCAGAACTGGGCCGATATAGCTCGTTACATCACTGATTGGTACGGTCTTCGGTTGGTATCCATGTCGGGATCCGAACCCATTGATCTCATCGTGGCCGATGAATTGCCTAGCGAGACAGCCATCAGCCGAAGCTCCGCTACTATGAGGACAGCGTTGCTTGTGGTGAGCGATCAGTATGTTGTCCGTGAAATTATGCAAGTCCAGTGGCTTGGGGGTACCAAATCCGTCAACATGATCCATCGTCCTTGCGGTCCACATAAGCTCCGACGATATATCTCGCAATGTCTGGATGAGGCATCAAAATTGCCATTGATTCCAGAGACAAAGGCTATGATTCTGCCGGCGAGGCCTGGTCTATTCTCCAGGAGGTCATTCCAGGTCTCAAACCTTGACTTCCCGAAGCAGAAGCAAGTAAACGGAGGTCATCACACCAAGGGAGCGCGCTCGTTCTCTATCCCACCCGAACTCTCCCCCAAATCCTTTACAGAACCAGCGACCGGAAAACGGGACGCTCGAATCCTAGTTGTTGAAGACAACAAAGTCAATCTAAACCTGATGCTCGCATATTTGAAGAAACGACAGCTGGCAACCCTCGACTCTGCTGAAAATGGCAGTCTGGCCGTCGAGGCCGTCAAGAAACAAGGTGATGGCAGCTACGACATCATCTTTATGGGTGAGTTTCTTCCTTCATTCTTCAAAACCTAAGTTCATAAACTAATGTATCTGATTTAGACATTTCAATGCCGGAAATGGACGGTTTCGAAGCAGCGCGGGCGATTCGTGCATTGGAGAAAGAGCGCAGCCCTGGCTCTACGCGGGCCATTATTATTGCATTGACTGGTCTCAGCAGCTCAGAGGATGAATCCAAGGCCCTTGAATCGGGAATGGACATGTTTTTGACAAAGCCGGTCTCTTTTAAGCATGTCGGGAGATTACTGAAGGAGTGGACGGAGAATCACTCTGAAAGGAATAGTGATTCCTCTGCATAATAATGTTATAAGCCTTTGTATAGTGTACAGATCCTTCAGCGCATGGTTTCTGCTGATTTTAATGATACCACGAATTGTTCCTCATACAAAATCAAAATGCCACTATACAACAGAGTACTAAGACTAAGTATGTCGGGCCCCGCCCGGCTTTACCAGAGTGGCCGACCGGAGGCAGGCCGATGGAGAGAAAAACGGCACTCGATTGACTCACCGAGGCCTTAATAATCACACGTTCTGAAATCCTTCCTTTAGGTCCTTTTGAGGCTCTCCGACCGGTGAGAATCATCTCCTACAATCTTTGTCAATACAAAGACTTCCTTTCACTGGAGAGGCCAACTTCCTCTTCCTCTTTTTCTCCGGTGCATTCTCTTCCGCCTCCCGTTTGCCCCCGCGCAGGCCACCGCCGGGCGAGTTTTCTTTTCTTTGCCCCCCCTCTTCTCTCCATTAATCCTCCCCACTTCCCCAAGAATCTCCCACCCCAATAAGCCCTGACGCCCCTCTCCTCTAAATAACCTACCTCGCTTCCTCCGACCGTTGACTCCGTATCGCCGTTTTATTTTCTCCCATATCTCTCTCCCTACAGACTGCCCTTCGACGATGACCATGACGACGGAAATGGTCGGCGGGCAGAGTGACGATGTGCATCAGCAGCCTGCATACATCGCTCCGGCTCCGATCGGCGACTACGTTTTCCCAGAACTGCGCTTGAAGGGCAAGATGAATGACCCGGAGAAGACACCGCTGTTGCTCGTGGCTTGTGGCTCCTTCTCGCCCATTACATATTTGCATCTGCGCATGTTCGAAATGGCGGCCGATTACGTCAAGTTCAGCACGGACTTTGAACTCATCGGCGGTTATTTGTCGCCCGTCTCGGATGCCTATCGCAAGGCTGGTTTGGCTAGTGCGGAACATCGGTAACTATACCTTTTGGATATTCGGATGCTGGGGACTGGATGGCTAATAGCTTGTTCTCTGTTTGCTAGTGTTGCGATGTGTCAATTGGCCGTCGATCAAACTTCCGACTGGTTAATGGTGGATACGTGGGAGCCCATTCAAAAGGAATACCAGCCGACTGCCGTCGTGCTGGACCACTTTGATCATGAGATCAACACTGTTCGGGGAGGTGTGGAGGCCGGAAATGGAACCCGCAAGCCTGTGCGCATTGCCCTGCTTGCCGGTGCCGATCTGATTCATACCATGTCCACCCCCGGTGTTTGGAGTCAACAGGATCTGGACCACATTTTGGGCAAATATGGCGTACGTTTGAATCCAGGATCTATACAGTGGCATTCCATGTCAATTTACTAACGGTCACTAGTCTTTTATTGTGGAGCGAAGTGGAACCGATATCGACGAGGCTCTAGCGAGCTTGCAGCCATGGAAGGAGAACATCCACGTTATCCAGCAGCTCATTCAAAATGACGTGAGCAGCACCAAGATCCGACTCTTCCTGCGGCGTGAAATGAGCGTTCGCTACCTGATCCCCGTGCCCGTTATCCATTATATTGAGCAGCACCATCTATATGAGGATGATGGCACCTCGAATGAGAAGGGTAAGGAGAGGCACGAGACCGGCAAGTCAGGGTGATGCAACTTAACCGACTTTAACTGTATGGCCATCACGAACGAAAGAAAACCCTCCACCATGAGCGAAGCATGACCCTGATATGATACCCCGGTTTGTCTCCCCGAGTGCCTGCCGCTTGCGATGTCTGCCGCCGTCGAGGTCTTCTGAAATTCCAGTTTGCAGACCCTGCAGTATCTGTGAGCGCTTTTTGATTGGCCGCGTCAGATACACTGCATGGGATCGCTTGCTCGACGAGTACCCCAGGACATGGCGCGCAGCATGAGAGTTGAGACGAATAATGATTGTTCTTTGGAGTTTTTGGCGTTTCTCATGTTATCGGGCTGGAATTTTGCGCTTTAAATCTGTTTTAGTTGCATGCAATTCAGCTGGCACCTGATGGGTGATGGTTGCTATCCTCGCAGCTTTATTGCCTATCTTTTTCCAGGCTGGATATACGCGCAGGTTTTACTGTGCATTGTAAATAGCTGCTTTCTTGTCCCATTTCTGCGATACACTTTTTGTACATACGAGGGCGTCATAGATCGATCCTCTCTGGCTTTAGATCTCCGGAACCAAGGACGAGGAATACCACGATCAACACTAGTTATACTACTGCCAGTTCTAGGCTAGGCTAGACCAGGAGAACATTGTAATAATAATCACTAACGTAGATTCAAAGCAGCTTATCTCCGACAGTCGGTGATACTCAAAACAGCTTGATCCGCTCCTCTTATAAACTGATTTCGATTCGTGCAACTGATGACTGATGACACCATCTCGGCCGGGCTGGCGGCTGCCAAAAATGTCCGATCCCGATCCCCCTCCAAAAAAACCCAAGGAAAGAAGACCAGATCTGAAGAAACAGCCTCGATCCAGAACCCAATTAGAAATAAAAGTATCCATAGAGATCTTACCAGGAAACATCAACCCTCTTAGCTCCAAGCTATGCATGCTACGCACGCAGAAAGCCTCGCGGAGATTCAAGGTAACCATCGCTCAGCGGCTGAAACGATCGCCCGATCCCGCCTGTTATCTTCCGCAATCGACGCATCTGCGCCATCCTGCCCCCTCCACATTTTCCCGGACCGCAACCTGGTCCCTCCCTAGGCTGCTCTCCTCCCGTGGACTGGGACGCGGTCTTTCTCTAAGAGCTTAATATTTGACAATCTCCCTATCCCCCGGAGCTGATTCATCCTCCAAAAAAGAATAGGATCATGGTATACGCAGCCATTGACCTTTTCAATCTACCCGCCATGTCTCCCGACGCGACACAGCGCCCACTCACCCCTCCCGACCCTCTATCCCCCCCCACCTCCAACGGCCTCCAAAGAAGAGACCTCGCCAGTCCTCACAGCCCTCCATGTCATGTCCACGGAGCGCGCGGCCCTCACGCACCTCGAACACCTCTATCAGACCGATCCGCGCGCCCAGCAGGATCTTGCGCGCGCAGTGGACTTGATTGCTCATACTGTACGCGAGGCGGGCAAGTTGGTTGTATGCGGGGTGGGCAAGAGTGGGAAGATTGGACAAAAGATTGAGGCGACGATGAATAGTTTGGGGATTTATAGTGCTTTTTTGCATCCGACGGAGGCGTTGCATGGGGATTTGGGATTGGTGAGACCGGTAAGCCACTCCTGCATGGAATTCTAGATCGCATGCTTGCTTTTGATGGGTGCATGGTATTTTTGCATGTCACAAAAAAAAAGAAAATTGGAGAGATGACTATTATCGTGACCAGTCTGGATGAGAGTGAATTTCTGACTTGGTGGGTTTCACAGAACGATACGATGCTTCTTATCTCGTTCTCTGGTCGCTCGCCGGAGTTGCTGTGTCTGCTCCCGTATATTCCTACTACAGTTCCCATCATCGCTCTCTCGTCACATACTGAGCCTGATGCCTGTCCATTACTTTCATTGCATGGCCCTCTCGGGATGGGAGTCCTGTTGCCAGCACCTATCCACGAACAGGAGGAAGCTTCTCTAGGTGTCAGTGCCCCGACATCATCGACAACGGTGGCTCTATGTCTGGGAGATGCCTTGGCTATCGCTACGGCAAGGAAACTGCACACTGACCCAGGAAGAGGCCCGGCCGATGTCTTCCGCAGTTATCACCCCGGAGGTGCCATTGGAGCAGCCGCAGCAGCAGCTGGAGCGACGCCGTCGACCACACCGTCCAGCGGGGTGTCAACGGCAGCTTTCGACTCTCCTTCTTCATCAATTTCCTTGCCCTGGGAAGAGTTCTCCAACGGCTCGTCTATTCCACCATTTAATCTCCAACAACCCCCAGAACATCGGTCAATAACATCAGATATGATCGTCCCCCTCGACCAAATTCCTACAGCCTCGGCATCCTCTGCACAGACTGCTAGTGATGTACGATTACTGGATATACTCCTCACAGCTATCCAACATCCAAACGCCAAATCATGGGTCTTCTTGTCCGCCTCTGAACTAGTCCCGCCTCGACGAATCCGTTCTCTCCTTTCACGAAATACAGACGTCGACCTGCGCGTGTCAGATGTCGTGGCTCAAGACTCTGGTCAACCACTCGCCGTATCCCGGGCCAATTGGTTCCTGGTGGCCGAGTCCACCCCATTGACCGAGCTGCGTCGTCTCGTCTCCACATCCCGAGATGGCCCAGATCCTATATCAGTCATTGCCGTTTTGAAGGATATTACCTCTCCGGCCAGCTGTATCGGGGTCATGGAGGCAGAGGATCTCTGGAGTGGATAAGCTCTGGAAGACTGGATATACCTTAATTTGATGGGTATTTCGATAACATCGATATATCTTATATTCTTTTCTCGTATCTATTATTTTTCCCCACTCTGCACATACCTGCAAATACCATCTGCATTGGTTGTACATGGGTTGACGATGTTACGCCTGTTCTCGCCCATGGGGCTCTCGCATAGACTTTTGTTGTCGATATTTTTGGTGAATAGTTTATATACTGCATTGAAAAAGCCAGTATAAACCCACAGGCTATATCTTCTACAGTTCCACACTTCTTCGAAACTTGGTTTCTTCAAATCCCCATAGAACTTAGCTAGTAAGGTTAAAATAATACAATTGATGCAGAAAAATGTCAAAGCTAGTATACAATCCATCTCCACCTTGCCGATGGAGATTCCTTTTTCCCCCACTCATTCCGAATATCATCCCTCACAATCCAGCTTCATGCTGATGTTTCATATTCCACTTCAAACCTGAGTAGTAACCGGCTTGATACCCTTGTGAATAGCAGCAATACCACCCGTCAAATTCTCATATCCCTTACCAGGGATCAAAAATCCAGCCTTCTGAATCATCCCCCTAAACTCCTCCTGACTAGGGAACCGCTCAATACTCTCAACAAGATACTGATAACTATCCCGATCGCCCGCAACAATCTGCCCAATAAGCGGAATCGCACTAAAATTCCACCTCTTATAAACAGCATCAAACAGCCCATTCTCCACCTTACTAAACTCCATACAAGCAAACACACCGCCTGGCTTAAGCACGCGGAACGCCTCGTTCAACGCAGCCTGTTTATCGGTGAAGTTTCTGATGCCGAACACGACCGTGTACAGGTCCACCGAGTCAGAGGGGATGTGCGGCATGTGCTCGGCGTTGGCTTCGACGAAGGAGAGCCGGGGAGTGTTGTAGTAGGGTGTGGCGGTGGACCGTTTGCGGCCTTCGGCGAGCATGTCGGCGTTGATGTCGCTGATTGTTACGCGGGTTTGCAGGTCGTGGTTGATGTTGCTGGCGTGGTCGAGCATGCGGAAGGCGATGTCGCCGGTCCCGCCGGCGATGTCGAGGATGTTCCAGCCTTGGTCTTTGGCATGCGGGGGGCGATTGGCGACCGGGGTGCCGGGGTTTAGGGAGCGCACGAAGTGGTCTTTCCAGAGGCGGTGGATACCGAGGGACATGAGGTCGTTCATGTTGTCGTATGAGGAGGCGACGGAGCTGAAGACTGCGCCGACTGTTGGGAGATGGAGTTAGCATTGGGATTTCGTGTTTAGTTGGTAATGCTTGTTGCCAATTGCATCGGGTAGGTTTGTAGATATCATACCTCGCGACTCCTTCTCGGACTCGGGCACATTGGTGAAGCCAAAGTGTGTCATGCGCTCATGGTCTGGCTTGGCCTGCTCGGAGGCCTGGCGGGTACAGGAGAAGCAGCGGTAAGGAGTGGTAGGTTGGATAGCGCGGCGCTTAGCACTGTAGTGCAAGGCTCGCCAGGCAGATCGGGCCGACATGGTGAGTTTGTGGTTGGGAGGGATTAGAGGGAGTTAAACAAGAACGAACAGGAACGAACAGGAACGGAGCTGCCAGGGAACTTTTCGGCCTCCCGAGATCCTCTCGCAGACCCACTTGCGAGCCAATCACAACCCGAAAATTGGGAGCCGCCCTGCAATGAAGAAGACGAGGACAAGGCAGCGATTATTATTAACTAAAAAGGAATGGTCGTATCAACATAGGAGCTTCACTTGCGGACTTTACGGATCTAGTTGGACTTAAATAAATGAAACGTAAGCTTATGTCCGATCTACAGATTAGGGAGTTATCACCGAATTATCGCAGTATATATTCAGCCCTGATCGAATGGTTTCTTCCTTCCAAACTAAATCGTCTGAGTACCCGGGTACATTTTGCCAAAATGACTTCTAATTCTTTGTCTCACTGTTGCACTACCGGCTCTCTCCACGATGGTGAAGCCAAGGGTGAAATCAAGAACATCGGAGATAGTACGTCTTACCTCGGATACTTGAACTACCACATCAACCAAATCTAACAACCTCCAGTCTCAACATACTTCGCATACCCCTCCAACAAATCCACCGAACATGCCATCCTCATCTTAACAGATGTGATAGGCCATAAATTCATCAATGCCCAGCTGATCGCAGACCAATTCGCGGGCCAGGGGTACTTCGTCGTCATGCCAGATTTATTCAACGGCGACACTGTCCCGCTCAACCGACCGGAGGGCTTCAACATTATGGACTGGGTAAAGAACCACATGACACTACAGACAGATCCAATTATCGATGCAGTGCTTAAGGAGATGCGCGAGAATCTGGGTTGTAAACGTATCGGTGGCGTCGGCTATTGTTTTGGCGGGAAGTATGTTTGTCGATATCTCAAGCCAGGTAAATTGGATGTTGGATTCACGGCACATCCGACGATGGTCGAGGCGGATGAATTGAGGGGTATAGAAGGACCGCTTAGTATTGCGGCTGCTGGTGAGTTTATACTTCGTGAGATAGTGGTGTTCATTGGTGACTGATGTTTCGTTTCAACTCAGTGCGAGACTTTGTCTTCACAACTGCCAAACGGCATGAGAGTGAGGAAATCCTGGATAGTTTAGATTTTCCTTATCAGATCAATATGTTCTCCGATGTGGAACATGGCTTTGCTGTTCGCTGTGACTTGTCGAAGCCTCGGCAGAAGTTTGCGAAAGAGCAGGCTTTTAGCCAGGCTGTGGCTTGGTTTGACCAGTACCTTAAGGATTGACCTGGTGATTTTAAGAGAATACCATTAATCCTGAACTTATACCACGATAGATAAACATAGACATAGATTCATATCATATCATTTGGGTTGAGAATCAAGACCCCTCAACTTCAACCCGGCTTCTTGTAATAGTATAGTGCTCTGAACATCACAATCACCAAAGCTATTCTGGTCAAGATGTGATAGTTCATCGCAGTGAGACATGACTTGAGCTAAACTTTAGCCTCCTCCTCATGCACCAAACTGAAATTATCCTGCTTAGTCCTCGCCGCAATCGCCAGACTGTTACCCACTTTACTCCGCTCCATGAACTTCCGAGTCTGAGTTCCCGGTACAATCCACGGCTCCGTCTTGAACAGAGAGTTCATGTCCTCCAACGGAAGTTTAGCAGTCTCAGGCAGAACGAGCCAGAAGAAAATAGCGTTGGTGAAGTTGCAGACGCAGAAGACAATGTAGAAGCGCCAGCCACCGATTCGCTCAATGGCGACATTGGTCACCTGGCCGATCAGGGTGTTGAACGCGAACGACGTCATTGTAGCGATGGAAACACCCTTAGAACGTGTCTTGGTGTCGAAGATTTCGGAACATATAACCCAGGTGAGCGGGCCGATGGTTGCGCTGAAGGAGAAGTTGTAACACCACGTCATGACGATGAATGCCCAGCTGGCTGCGTTGTTGTGGGTGGTTCCAGGGGGAAATTTGGCAATGAGGATTGTAGGAATGATCTGAAAAGTTAGTCAAGAGGAAGAATAAGCTTGAATAAGAACAACATACAAAGAACACGCAGTTGACCAGATTGCCAATGATCTGAGGCCATCGACGACCAGTCTTGTCAATGAACAAGAGACAGCACAACTGAGCGATAATAGCGATGATAGAGCTGATTCCCTGATACTTGAGAGTATCATTGGTAGCAATACCAATTTGCTTAAAAATCGTAGTACTAAAGTACTGAATAGCACTGACACCAGTCATCTGGGCAGCAGCTTGAATCGAACAGGCCAAAAACAGGCGACGGAAGCACGATGGATCGGTGAAAAGCTCAGTATACGACTTGGCCTCTGCCTCATGCTCGCTCGCAATAGAGGTCTGAATCTGATCGAACTCGGTCTGCACCCAGGGGTCATTGATATCGCCGCCGGAGTGCAGGCGAGCCAGGGTTTGTAGACCCTCATCCAATCGACCGTGGTCAATCAACCAACGCGGTGATTCGGGGAAGAGTAAGATGAGGGCGGCGAGGAAGACGGCGGGGACCATCTGGATACCAAGAGAGATGCGCCATTGGCGGGAATCATCGTCGGCAAAGTTGATGTAGGTTCCCCAGGAGATCCAAGCAGCTACTAGTGAGCCGACGCCCAGCATCAGCTGCTGTAGCGAGGTAATACGACCACGAATATCCGGGTGGGCTAGCTCTGCTTGATAAAGCGGGACGATCATAACCAAAATACCGACACTAAGAAATGCAGGGTATACTGGCGATTAGATCCTGTAAGAGCATTAAATTTAAAAAATATATGAGTAAACTCACCCCAGTCCAGCAATGGAACGCCCAGCATACAGGAAACTGAGGCTCTGTGCACCGGTTTGAAGGCCACTAGTATTATTAGCACATTATCGTTCCTGGAAGTTCAGCTAGGGAACCATTCACGTACCCTCCCAGCAAGAAAATTATAGCCCCCACGAGAATAGTAATCTTTCGACCTGCATAGTCACCAAGTGGACCCGCAAAAATTGCGCCGAAAAAGGCGCCTCCCGTAAACACGGAGGTCACAGCTCCACTCTTCGTAGCATCGACATTGAAAGCGTTGACCAGCGAGGGACTAGCAATAGCCTCAGCAATGACACCGAGATCGTAACCGTAAAGCACCGAACCCAGCGAGGCGAACACACACACCAGAAACTGTGGGAATTTAGAAAATGCGCGTGCTAAGGATAGAAGCTAGAGACGTACCTGGTACCACTTTGGGGGCAGCGCCATAGTTAGGCGTGACTATAAACAATTTGCTTTTTGTTTGATTGGGAAACGGCCTTCAGGACCTCGAACACGACAAGGCACTTCGATCTGGGGAGATAGCCTTCTTTTATGGCTTCCATCTTCGATTATGAATCCGTTGTGGTGCCATAGCGGCGTGATGCTCGCTTTCTAGTTGGAGGAATTTTTGTCTGGGGATGATGGAACGAATTCCAGCAACTAATTCCCCCGCAGGAGTTTTCCCCGATTGCTGCTGGCCTAGTGCAGGGTTATGGAGGTTACGGAGCTCCAGATTCGATCGCGTGGAGGCGAAGTGGGTCGCTGGGTCGTTGAGCAAGACTTGAACGTGCTCTGTGTTCAATTCGCACTGGCTTGTTAACCGGTTTTGGAAGCATAATTGGCTGTGGGCTTGCCTCGAGTCATAGCTGAACGAAAGTGCCCTTTCCGTAGCCATGGTGAGCTCATATTACCTCCTTGAACGGCGAAGACCCTTTCAGTAAACATAGGACAGGGCCATGGCACCATGTGGGGGCATATCATCATCCTATTAAGGAGGGTAAGCTCAGCTCAGACATCACTACACAACCTCTCCCTTCCGTCTTAGAACCGACGCAATTCCCTCTGTTAAGCGGACATAAAAGTCCCCAAAGTAGATATCGGCGGCCGCTGACGCGGCGTTGAGGTCTGTTTTGTTAGCGTCGCAGATGTGGCGTCGGAAGGCGCGAAGGCGTAGAAGCCAAGGCCGAGCGGGATACCGACACATCCGTAAGCGATTGCATTAATAAGGCATAAGTCATGGTGCTTTTCGGCCAATCATGTCGAGTTATGGTAGTCAAGTCAATATTCAATTAGGCGACAGGTTTGTAGCCTAAGAGACAAAGCCTAAGTACGGAGACAAAGCCTAAGTACGCGCTTTCAATTATATCCACATGTTAATTACACGATCCTGAATGCTTATTATGTGCACACTAAATACACCGCACCGCCCAAATTTAAATGTACATCCCACAGATTTTGCCTATTCAAATGACAGGGGCATAAAACTCTCGGAGTGAGAATTATCAAGCGGCCACGGCCAGTCCGTTAGCAGCTCCGGCGGCAATTGGAACTGCATCATTTGATCCTCCACACCCGCGGTGTGTCCCACCGGGGGTGGACCAGCGTGGGGATAAACGGTTGGTGGTACCATTGCTTCTGGCTTCATGTTTACTTGTACAACGGAAGCGCCATTGGGAGGAGGTGGCGGAACTGAAAAGTTCACTAGTCGTGATGTACGCATGTAGCCGTCGATTCGGTCAACTTGGGAGCGGAGACGCTGACTGGCACCTGCTGAGCGGTGGAGACCAGTCTCAAGACGGTGGAGGAGGTCTGCCATTTCAAGCCTGCAAGACATGAGTTAAGAAGGTCTACGTTGGCAAGTTGTGAAAGGCTTGACTTACAGTAGTGTTCGTACTCGTTGATAGGATGCGTCCGACAAACTGCCCTCCATGACTGAACCGAGAATATACCCGATACCACCGAGGTGATGAAGCTGAGCAAGTTAGTATGAGGGACAAACTTTTTATGTTATGAGCACAACTTACCAGAGGTGAGCTGATCGCCTTCAGGTACTCCACAGGAACTTTGGAGAACACACTTAGCAGCTCGCCGGCCACATCGCACTTTCGATCTACCCCAATCTCCTCCGCAGATAGAAGAACCATTCGGAGAAGCTGTAGAGTCGCCTGGATATTGGCAGACTGGAAGCCAAACAGATCCTTGCTCATGTCGCCAGTGGTTGGTGGCGTCTCACGAAACTGTGGTGGCAGTGCAGCATACATCGAGAGGACTCGCTCCATGACGGTTGGTTCTGACATGGACGCCGGGCTAAACATTGACCATACTTCAGTGGTTCCGTTGGCGGTCGAGAATCGGCGTCGAGTGCCATCTACCACGTGTTCCAGTATTCGATATAGGTCCGTCGTAAAATTCCAGCCGTGCATCCATGACACTGGCTGTCGAGAGACGATAGGCGTATCACCATGGCTACGTGTAATCGACTCTGGTGATATCGACGGCACGCCGTAGCCGAGCGGTGTGATGAACTCGTCGTCCAATTCACTAGGGTATCGTACTAATGAATGGGCTTCGCGGTGTCGAATGATGCCTCCCCACACAATACTCGCGTAGATATCCAGTGTGTAGATTGACCAAAACTATTCGCCTGTTAGATAAGCAGGGATAGTATCGCGCCACGGAAACATACCAATCTCCGCCGCTCCTCGGTCTCGATAGTCCCTATGTCCTTTGGCCAAAGCTTCTCGTCGTGAAGACCCTCCATAGTCGTCAAGGTGTGATACATGCCAGAATACTTCTGCAAGTTCTTGATCTGACCATTTTGGATGCTAGCGATTGCGAGTATAGCACACGCTCGCATGTAATTGAAGCCCCTTGCAAGGGCCAAGTCTCGTGGAAATGAATCTTTGGCCGCTGCATAAAAGGCTTCTGATGGAGGCTCGATGAGCTCTTCCCGGCGCCATCGGGTGGAATATAAAGCGCCATCGCGCGCTCGCCCTGAAACCAGTGCACATACCGCCATAGTGGAAGCAAATAGCCCTTGGTTTCTGAGGTGTTCTTGGTTATTAATTCGTTCAATGAATGACTGCTTATGGAAAAGAGGGAATCTAGGCGCCAAGTCAGTTAACTCGGCTCAGAGCGAGTAGAAGGAGTCTTGGATGGGCTGTACATAGGGTAGACAATCTCAAAGTAGACCTGAACGAGGTTCCTGATCTGTTGATCACTGGAAATAGCGAACGCTTTCCAGGAATTGCGGAGGGCGCCATCGTCATCGTAGCCTTCGGTCGTGGACCAACCCGTATTGAAAGAGGTCCAAGGATCCCCTGTCAAAGATGGCCGGGATGCCGTTTCGTGATACATTGAACTCCGAGACGCAGATGAGCCGGAGGCTCTCCCTGGCGCATGGACTCGACCGATTGGGGTCTGGTCTTCTGACGACCCTGGAGCAGGTGTTTCCCGTGCATTCACCTTGACCCCAGCTTTGACGCCCCGCCTTTTGGCAGGACGATCATAGGTGCAGGGGACATCGAAGTCTGCGCAATTCTGGCATCGGCCTAGCGGATCTTCACCCTTTCCGCATTTGATACTGCGCCGATTGCAGAAGTCACCTAACAAGCAGTCAGTCCACGATGCTTAAATGCGTATATTCGCTGAGATCCAGCGATCCGCTAAGCACAGATTGAAAGTGGAGCAAGGACACTCTCAGACAGAATGCGGGGAGAAGGACATACAGGCCTTGGAGACGCGCTGAAGCTTTCGCGGTTTTTGCGACATCCATTCATCGGCTCATCCCAACGCGCTTAAAAGGGTTGTCTTGGTGGCGAAAATATTCCCCACTGGTTACTCCGGGAGGGGGAGGGGGGTTTCTGGGGATCTCCGTGGGTTTACAGATCGCGTTGTCGACGCGTAAGGGTAGGGCTGAAATGTGGTGAAAGGTAAAACGGCAGCAGGAGGAGCTTTAACCGATGGTCCTGACAGTCATCTCCAGTCGATTAAGTCTAACGAATCGCTGGAATCGACTGTCTCACGCCAGAAATCTAGCTCGTGCTGGCGCCGGGTCTCTTTGCGCTGACTCAGCATGGTGTCATAGACTGTTGCTCGCGACGAATCGGCAGTCTCGACCTGATTGCGAAGACTCTGGAGGATACGGGGCTTCACTGGCAGAGCATCATCGATTAGAAAGTCCAGGGCCAGCGACAATAAAGTTGTTGAGTGGATTGGCATGCGTATCGTGTAAATTATTGTCTATCATGGTCCCATTTTCAAAATTCCTTCCCCAATTGCGAGCGCTCGTCAAAAATTATAATGTATCATATCTAGAAAGAGAATACCAAGGCCCCATTTATCAAGCATGGACGCGCCCCAGCTCTTGCTTCTCGGGGAAGGCCAATTCGCTCCGTCCGGCATCAGAGGAATCCCTACAAACTCCGTGCTCGGCAAGAACATCCCCATGCAGCTTGTAAGCCTGCTCCATCTTCCAGTAGAAAGGACTAGGCGTTGAGAAGAGTGCCTCAATAGATTCCAAGGAGCGATTGCGGGTTTCCGGGTAGACTGGCAAATGTCATTAGATGATAGTCGTAGGGAAAATGAGACAAAGAGCGATGCTCACAGAAGAAAACCATGGGAATCCAAAGCAGGTTGAGGCCCGCAAAGAGGAAGTAGGTACGACTCTATTCATTATTAACATCACACACGTCGAACTCAAGGGAATCCCTCAGACCATACCTTCAAGCTATCAAATATGATAGGGTTGACAAGCGTCGTCATGCCAACACCAATGGCCCAGCCAGTGATGCCGAACCCATTGCCTTGTGCTCGCAAGTCGCTAGGGAAGATCTCTGTTGGAAACAAAAATGCGACAGTTCCCCATGTAGCCGCATACCTGTCAACAATTAGTCTCCGCTCCAATTTATGAGGCATAGAACGCCCGATTTACCCAAGATTGAACAAGAAGAGCATTGTCACCGCACCGGGCGCGTATTGTGCGGCTTTCTCGGGATTTTGAAGCGATCCTTCGTACACCGCACCAGCCTAGCAAAGAATTAGCAACGCTGACATGCGGTTACCGAACGAAGACAACCCTACAATCAGATTAACGGCAGACAAGACTCCGGCGCCACCAATCAAGCACACTCGACGCCCGAAGCGATCGATAATTTGCGCACTGATAATAGTACCGATGATGCCGATTGTGTTGATCCCGCCCGCAAGGCCATTCTGCTTGATGTCGCTGTAGCCAGCCTGCTTAAGAAGGACAGGAGAGTATGCTGTAACCGCCTGGATGTGCCTCCAAGTTAGTAGTGGCTGCGATTCATTGCATTCGCTGGTGTCCACTTACCGTAATGCCAGTCCACGAAGCCATGATCTGAAGCCAGACGCATAGCCATGCTCGACGGGCTAGGTTCGTACCGGGCCGACCCCCTTTCCCAAATAGGATTTTCGCAAATTGGACAGGCGAGCTAGGCTTACTCTCTCGCGCAGTGGTAATGATTTCGAGATACTCCCGATCGATCTCTTCTGGAGTGGCACGGCCCTCACGAATCCGAGTCAGTAGATAACGGGCTTCTTCCTTTCGTCCAACCGAAGCCAAATAACGCGGGCTGTCCGGCAGCATTTTGATGAACAGCACAAGAAGTAGTGCTGGGAAGCATTGAAACGCGAGTAGGAACCGCCATCGGACGTCCGAATACCCATTATTGACAAAGGCAAGCCCAAAAGAAATCCAGTACGCAACCGAAATTCCTAGATCTGTGACTAGTTAGCCGCCAACCCGAGCGATATCCAACACATGCTACTGTTGGCCCGACTTACAGTTGGCAATAAAGACATAGCCTAGGAACCCGCCCCTGTGATTTGCTGAGCTGGTTTCAGAGACCAGAACAGGAGTAATTCCAGTTAACGCTGTTCGGTGCACGACTTAGCAAAAATTCACTAATTCCCTTTAGTTGGCCCTGGGGGCCATGCTAAGAGAGGGGGCCATACTAATGCACTCTAGCAAGGATCACTCACCACCAGTGCCAATCCCCGTCACGACTCTAGCGCAGATCATAAAATTCGAGTTCTGTGTAGAAGCTTGCAGCGCGCCGCCAACAAGTGCAAATAACGAGCCAGCGAGTAGACCATTAATCCGTCCGATCCTGTCGGCGAGCCAACCACCGCCAAAGCAGCCGAAGATCGCGCCCAAATAATACACGCTGACAATGCCGCCCTGATGCGTGGTGTTGGTGATAGTCCCATCTGGCCTACCAATGCCAACCTCTGTCACGTATGTTGGGGCGGAATTGACGCCGCCCATAACACCCTGGTCATAGCCCTCGAAGAAGATCGAGATGAGGGAGAAGGTCTGGATGGCGATATTCAATTGACGCGGCGAAAGCCGCTTCCATAGCGTCGTGTATCCCACCATCGTCCCACTTAGAGTATGCAACTAGCCGCGACTACAGTACGCGACACCAAAGTCCCTTATTAGGATCCACTATAGACACGATGTGATGGGGAATGGGGGATGGCGATCGATCGGGGCTTTCTCCAACCGGTATGGAGCTTCTGGAGAATCGCGGGGAGGGAACCACCTCTCAGGCGCGTAACCATTTAGCAATGGCCTTGTGGGTGGACTTTTCCCTGTGGAATACCCGTTTTGCCGGTCAACCCTTCAGGCGAATTGGTTCATGCACGGACGCGTCGGAAGGAGGCAATCAAACGCGATAAAGATGATATGCGACCGAGAGAATGTTGGACTACAGCTGCACTTGGATGTGCCACTGTAGTTTCCTGTTCCCCGCTGTTAGTAATGGAATTTTGTTGGAAAGTGGGATGGCCCAGCTCGAGGCCAGGCTTTTAAACCATCTCCTCGCCTCCTCCTTCCATGGCACTTTTCTGCCGTTCCTTTGTTGGGAAAGTGCATTTCTTTGTTAGAATTTAGTCCAGCGCCTCATCGGCTCGTATTGATCACTCGAGTCAGTATGGGCTCAACATCCCCTGAGGTGGTCCTTCCTAATCAGTCCTTGGACTTGACTGTTCTGGGCTTGAACAGTGGAACATCCATGGTGAGTCAATATCTTGGAGAGTGTTTTGGTCCTACCATGGAGGTATTGACATCCAACAGGACGGCATCGATTGTGCGCTCTGTCGATTTCGCCAAGAGACGCCTGACTCGGCCATGCATTTCGAGTTGCTAAAAGTACGTTCTGGCTTCAGATGCGCGAGTCATTCACGACTAACAAACAAAACTTCCAGTATGGCGAGATACCACTTGAACCCGTCATCAAGAAACGAGTCATGGACATGATTCTCCATAACAAAACCTCGCCTTCAGAACTATCAGAGGTGAATGTGATCTTGGGCGAAACATTCGCTTCCGCCGCGCATCAATTCTGCAAGGATTATCATGTGGACATCAATTCGATAGATATTATCGGCTCGCATGGCCAAACTATTTGGTTACTTTCCATGCCAGAACCAGGCGAGACACGGAGCGCTCTCACAATGGCCGAGGGATGTTTCCTCGCATCTCGAACTGGTATCACATCCGTGACCGACTTTCGCGTAAGCGACCAAGCTGCAGGGCGCCGAGGGGCGCCACTCATTGCCTTTTTCGATGCTCTGTTGCTGCATCATCCCACTAAACTGCGAGCATGTCAAAACATTGGTGGAATCGCAAATGTTTGTTTCATCCCACCCGACACGCATGGCGGAGTCGATGAATGCTACGACTTCGACACGGGCCCAGGCAACGTATTCATCGACGCTGTGGTGAGGCATTATACCAATGGAGAGCGCGAATATGACAAGGATGGCGAGATGGGCGCACGGGGTACGGTAGACCAAGAACTCGTGGATGACTTTTTGAGTCATCCATACTTTGCTTTGGAGCCCCCCAAGACTACGGGCCGCGAGGTGTTTCGAGATACACTTGCACACGAACTGATTCGAAAGGCCGAGGCCAAGGGTTTAAAGCCGGACGACGTTGTTGCTACTATCACTCGTGTCACTGCTCAGGCTATCGTGGATCACTATCGTCGCTATGCACCAAAGGATCTCGAGATATCCGAGATTTTCATGTGCGGCGGTGGAGCCTTTAATCCTAACATCTCGGACTTTATTCAGAAAAACTATCCAAACACAAAGATCTTCATGCTAGATGCTGCTGGCATTCCCGGTGGGGCGAAGGAAGCAATCACTTTCGCCTGGCAGGGTATGGAAGCCATAGTCGGTCGCTCGATCCCTGTCCCAACTCGCGTGGAGACACGACAGGAATACGTTTTGGGAAAAGTGGCACCTGGCAAGAACTATCGCAAGGTTTTACGCCAAGGTATGCTCTTTGGGGCCGATCGGGAGCATCTTCCACCAGTGAAAGAGTTGATCAATTATGTGAGTGGTGAAGTTTTCGACAACAAGTGGTAGGCAGCACTTTGCTTGTAGCCCGCGTTTGGGGGATCTGTCTCTGGAGTTTTGCTATGTGTCTGTCAAGGATTTGAGAATTCAGCGTCGTTATGAATTTGTTAGACGCGGTAAGAATTTATCTTCTGTGTGATGGCCCTGTCTGTGTAGATTGAATGGTAGAAGAACGCATAGATAGGGATTGTTTCAGCCCTATATTCTTTTAAAGGTATTGTTGGGCCCGATGCTTGAGGTCGGTTCCCGAAGAAATGAGGCTAGGCTAATTAAAGTGTTAGGGAGATCCACCATTGTCGTAGAACTTCGTTTATCTCGCGGATCTTAACTTTCCGAAATGTCGTGAGATCAGGCTTGCCTGGAAAATAAACAGAGAACATGATGTGACTTCAAGTAGGCTCTAGCCCGGTACCGGCTTCTGGTAAGCGTAGCTTCCAGTTTTTAAATAGCCTGTGAACAGCAGCCGACTACTATGCCAATCTTGTATTCTTAAATGCAGCGATAAAATTGAAGCGTCGCCTGTGAGATTTTTTCTTATCTATGACGTGCTCTACAATCATCTCATGAGTCAATATGTAGCTTTGCAGATGCGATCGGTTTTATCATACAGTAGAGTTAAATTTAGCTCGGAATTAACTCGGTACCGATGTTCTGCCGAGTTTCGCCCTTGGACGCCGCACTAGTTTCACCGAACTATATGCGAAAAGTAACGCAAGCTAGGTTAGAAGCTTTGAAGAGATGATCGAGACCTATCATGCCGCATTATGCACGATATCAAACTTTTTATCTTCGTGTTTCTATCTCGGAGATGTTTCGGCCAGAAGATATCATTTACTATTGTGTTGACATTTCTGACGCGCCTCATTCATATAAGTATAGAGGTATTTCCCACACGTCTACCTGCTCATCACATACATTCATCAATTCATCCAAAGTCCTTGACATATCGTCATGACTGAATCAACGATACCCGAGCCTCAAGAAACCCCCGCGCCCGTGCAACCTTTGCACCTCACCAAGGCCGAGACACGAGAAACCCTTCGCAATATGGGAATCTCAGAACACCCAGCACCGCTGGACTACAACTACCCTGAAGTCGGACGGACAGAAAACCCTTTATTTCCCGAAGAATATGTTATCGAAACAGAAACCGGTCTTGTTCCACAAGCTACATTGGAACAAGTTCGATCGAGAGCTTCTACCTCCACCGAAGCTACACGACGAGAAGATTTTCCCATCGACCCAGAGAAAGCGCCCGGCAAGTCTACAGAATACGTGACTTTTACCATTGGAGATCCTGAACATCCTCACAACTGGTCTCGTGTCTATCGATGGTACATCACCCTGGTGGCCTCAGCCTTGGTGGTGTGCATTGCTTACGGCTCGTCAATTGTCACTGGAGGTCTGGGATTGATTCAGGAAAAGTACAATGTCTCATTGGAAGTTGCCATCTTGACTTGCTCGATTATGGTTTGCGGTTTCGCGGTCGGCCCATTACTTTGGTCTCCCTTGTCTGAGATCATCGGTCGAAGACCTGTTTACATCATTTCACTGGCACTTTATGTTATTTTCAACATTCCATGTGCGCTCTCGCCCAATATTGGAGGTCTTCTTGTGTGTCGTTTCCTGTGTGGTGTGTTCTCCAGTTCTGGTTTGTCTTTGGCTGGAGGCACCATTGCCGATATTTGGAGCACCGAGGAGAGGGGTATGGCTATCGCCTATTTCGCCGCTGCGCCATATTGTGGACCTGTCGTCGGTCCCATCGTTACCGGCTGGATCAATGTTGGAAGTGGTCGATTAGATCTGTTCTTTTGGACGAACATGGCATTCGCAGGCGTGATCATGATTATGGTCGGTCTGATCCCGGAAACTTATGCTCCAGTCATTCTCAAGCGACGAGCTGCCAAACTTCGAAAGGAAACAGGCAACCCAAACATTATCACGGAACAAGAGCAAACAAAGCTCACTGTGCGCGATATTGCTCGCACAAGTCTCATCCGCCCGATTACAATGATCATGACCGAACCAGTGCTTGATCTGATGTGCATGTACATTGTTCTCATCTACGCCATGCTGTATGCCTTTTTCTTCGCCTACCCAGTCATCTTCGGCAAGCTCTACGGCTACAACGACGGACAAATCGGCCTGATGTTCATTCCCATCTTGATTGGCGCCGGCTTCTCACTGCTTACGACGCCCGTCATTGAAAAACAGTTCAAGCGAATTTATGACTCGCGAACACCCACTCCCGAAGATCGCCTGATTGGAGCCCTGATCGGAGCGCCATTCATCCCAATTGCATTCTTCCTGCTGGGTGCCACGTCCTTCAAGCATATTATCTGGGTCGGACCTGCTTCCTCGGGTATTGCCTTTGGATACGGAATGGTTCTGTGCTATTATTCCGTGAACAACTACATTATCGACTCTTATCAGAAATACGCTGCTTCTGCTTTGGCTGCTAAAGTGTTTTTGCGATCCGGAGGTGGTGCTGCTTTCCCGTTGTTTACTACACAGATGTATGATCGCCTTGGCCTTCAGTGGGCCTCGTGGCTGCTTGCATTTATTGGAGTTGGCATGGTGTTTATTCCATACGTCTTCTATGTTTTTGGTGGGAGGCTTCGCGCAAAGCTGACGCGGGAGTGAAGGGTAAAAGCTTCGAAAAATGGAAGAGTTGTTGTCAGTGGCAGGGTGAGAGGAAAATATAGATTCGGGGGATATACTTAGATAAGTGCGCTGAAGCACGGCATTTTTACATAATTCATTAGCGGAAAGTCTTAATATTCATATTGTGTTTACTGAGCAAAAGAACTCCAAGGACCTCATTAGCGACGTTCTTAGTTACACGAAGAGCAAATCGGTGGTCGGAATATACCTCATCCATTCTCAATCTGTTGTTTGATCCCACAAACTGCGGACCGTAACACCCTGAGACCATTTCCCACCGGTGTCATCTTTCTGGACAGCAAAGCGAACTGTCTTCTTCTCTCCAGGAACCAGTGTGAAGGCATTGTCATCAAAGTACCCAACCACGCCCGCAGGATAGTCTAGCCAAGTGTAAAGGGAAACTCCACCCTTGGCTTCCACGGTGAAAGTGCTACTAGATTGATCGTGAGAAAGGTGGAGCTTTGGGTCCACCAGGGATAGCTCGTTCGGGAACGCTGGAGTGGCCTTCTCACGATGAATGAACGTCGAGACAGACTCCGAATTGGGCATGCGACCACGGGCAATCAACGATAGCACGAGAACAGCGTCTGTCTTATCGGGGATGGAAAGCTTTGCGGTGTTGGCCTCGTAGACCTTGGTAGTGTTGAGTCCTCCAACTGTGAACTGCTTGCTCTGTGGGGTGCCAGCATTGTCCGGGATTGGTTTTCCTGACATATCGACCCATGTGAAGTTGACAGTCCCACGGGCTGTTTCCCAAAGATCGGACGTCACGTAAACTGACAGATCTCCGGTTGTATAGTTCCAGAAGGGGGAGACAATGATGGGCTGGTAGACATCGCGGGCCACGTAGTGCAAGACCTTCCACCGACCATCATACTCAATACCAGCCCAAGTAGGTGCCTGCCAGATATCCTCCAACTGCCAGTAAAGTGATCCAAGCTGGCGCTCTGGCATACCACTTCCTCGACGATAGAAGATAATTTCAGACTTGTACATGTCAGCTTGGAATATCTGGGTAGCATGGCACCAAGCGCTGAATTGCTCAACCGAGTCATTCTTATGAGGAACGGGATAATAGCGCTGAACGGCCATCGTCATCTCACCCATACCCTTTAGTGAGTTTCCAAAGTTGTGAGTGGAAGTATTTCCGGGCGGATAGTGATGGTTACGCAGAACAACAGTGCTGCTGTTGAAATGAAGGTCTTCTGGATCCACGGCCTGTTGCCAGGTCTGTAGACTCGGCATGCTGTGGTAGCCGAATTCATTGGCGAATCTTCCAACGGGGTAACTGCCAAAGTCGAATGCAACACTGCTGTCATAGTTGTAGTGATCCGTGTCTGAGTAAAAGTGGCCGCCCGTAATATTGTCGTAGCGCTCGGCCATCGGAACAGGTGCAGAGAGGTTGACGTAGAGGAAGCCATTATTCGTGCTGCTAGGCATGTAGGAAATCGAACGCGAGTTCTCGTAGACAAGAGGCAGAATCAGGCTGATAAAGAGCTTTTCGTACTCGCCAACGTAGAATGAGTACCTGTCGGGCGCTGCACCATGGACAATAGGCAGTTCCAGACTCTCTATTTCGTTCCCACCTGCCCAGAGGGCGAGAGATGGATGATGATTTAGCCGTCTCACATTGTAAGTGACTTCAGCAGCAACGTTCTCGAGGAATTTCTCATCGGATGGATAGAGCGCATCGCTGAATTGGAATTCGCTCCAGAGCAAAATACCTTGCTCGTCGGCAATATCATAGATAAAGTCTGGCAGGTAGGCACCCGAGGCCCACACCCTGTAACATAGAATCTTGAATTTAGCTACTGGAATGAGGGGAAATGTTCGGATGTACGGAGCTGACCTACCGCAGCATGTTCTGATTTCCGGCGACAACAGCATTGAAGAGCCGCTGCATCCTGTCTTCAGTGACTCGCGGCCAGAACGCGTCTGGGGGAATGAAATTGGATCCCTTGGCGTAGAACTCTTGCCCATTGACTTCGAAATGCCAGCTCGCTCCTGGTGCAATACCCTGAGCGAGCTGATAATTCGTAATGTTGAGCCGGTTGAGGAATATAGTTCGGAAACCGGTACGCTTGGTAACTTTTGCTAGTGCATGTTGCTTGTTGTCCTCGATGGAGATGGTCGCATAGTACAGATTTTGCTTGCCTAAACCCGTGGGCCACCACAAATTCGGCGCATCGGCACCGACTGTGATGCTTCCACTGATGGCCTGGCCAGAAACCGAAATGTTTTCCAGTGGCCCTGATTTCAGAATCGTTCCCGACTCGACATCTTTTATTTCCAGGGTCATCGAGGACCTTGACGGGAGTGTCCCGAGGAAGTCAACACTTGCATTCACCACCCATGGCTGGGTTTGATCCGGAGCGAGGTGGTTGATTTGTCCCTTGCGAAAAATATCTATGTCAGTGTTGAGAATATAGATACTTTCCTCGTTCTCGAATTGCACTAGATACGCGTCTCTCCATGGACCGGCAGGAGCAAACGCCGGACCCCAGTCCCATCCGAAATCAGACTGCTCTTTGCGAATGTACCAACGGTTCGGGAATTCATAGACCTGCTGTGGGCCGTCCGGCCACTCTGAGAAGCGTCAGCAGAGAAATAAGTTAAGTTCATGAGTCCATAAGCGATGCATACGTTCAGAGTCTGGGTCGCCGGCAATCGCATTTGCGATCTCGGGAGCGCTTCCAAAATCCAGTTCCAACGTTGGATCTCCTTTGCATTTTTCAAGAGCCTTGGAAATTTCGAATGTGTATTGGCGAAATTGGTTGTCGGTTGTGCCAACGATTTGCCCGCACACCTCTATCGTTGTGAACGTATCTAGGCCGTTGAACACAAGCCAGGATGATTTCGCTTTGGTAGACCTATGGTACAGTCAGTGTGATCCACGAACTCTATTGTCTAAGATGACTTACAAGCCACTGAGTGGATGGCTAGTATACGTCCAGTTGTTGTTACAGATCCAGCGCTGATTGAAGTCGTTGAGACCGTGGTACCTATGCGATGATGGGTCAATTTTCGGTCGCCGCGAACTGAACTGTTGAACTAACGGATCATCTGCAACAAATCAGCCACTATTTCTTTGACTCAAGGCAATGGGATACTCACCAATAGCCTTTGCAGCGAGAAGGTCCAGATGCACCTGCGAAGGAAGTTTGCCAGGTACCGAGATATTCAAGGCCTTGCTGCTGACCGTCCAGCCATCACCAGTAAGGTCGACAACAGTCTGAGCCAGGGCAGGGCGAAGAGCCGCTGGGAGTGCAGCCAACGCGAGCTTTCGGTCTAAACGCATGGTCTTGTCGCGCACGAGGGTTTTTTTCAATGTCGCTGAGCCAAGCACCACCCTTTCCAGCGTCTGGGGCAATCCAGTCGATTTATGCTGTCCGATCCTCGACCTCGGCTTCGGCGAAATACTAGCAGATTACCCAATGGAAAAAGGACAATCCAGACAACCAAATGGGGAACGGATAATTCGGTCAACCTGGTGGAGACTGGTAGTTCAAAGACCCGCTGTGTGCTCATCAATAATTGTGAGGCCAGACCTGATGTTATGACATGTTGTTTGCTTGGATTTGAGGTACGGCCTAATCTCGCCCAGGGCTAGGTGGGACCTCGCGCGCCGGGACAAAGCAACCGTAGCAACGCTGAGTTGCGGAGAAGGGCAGATCGCCGCGGAATTTTGAAATCGCGAGTCACCGTGTCAGGGCTCAGTGGTGGGAAAAGAGCAATGATCTGCGTTCCTTGTCTGCGGAGACTCGAGGACTCCAAGTGCATGAGAGAGGGGTAGATGGCGGCATAAACGGAAGGAGCGAATGTACTTTGGCGGCAGAAAGACGTTAAGGAATCGGGTATTTGCAAGTAATGGCAATGATAAATCATGCAGGTAGCCATAGATGTGTACTAGTGTACACAAAATCTGCAGCAACGAATCTAGACCAGTTGGCAATGGTTAACTGCAATGGGTCCCTGGATTTTTGCTCGCATTGGTCTTCTCAAGGACCCAGCTGCAATGCTGTACATATCGAGACAAGGGACTCTATTTCTATATTTGAATGCCATCTATGTATCGATAAATGCTTCCACGAAACTCTCAAGCCGCCAAGCTCTTATACATGAGCTTAATATCATCACGCGAAAAGCCAAGCTTTGTGGTCAGATATCCCTCGGCGCCACTGCCGTAGGTGTACGGCGGTGCGTAGCGGCCATTCTCCAGTGCATAATTATTAAGCAAGATTTACTGGCAGAATTTACGACCAAGTCACGTTTCTCCACAATTAAACTATGTACTTTCGAAGTAGCCACATAATCTCTCATAAGGGCTTATCAAATTCACGTTTACAATAATCTATCTAACTCATAAGGGCTTAGTTATGAGGCAGAATTAAGGCTAGCTTAGGAGGGGGAAGGGGGTGGAAAAGGGAAGAAATAATCCTTAACGGAGGTAGAGGAGGCCAAGTATTAAGGAGAGAGAATGATCACATGACTAAGATTCAGGGATTTTCACGTGATTTTGCCTAAAAGGTAAGGTATCAGTAGAAGGGCGGACCCAGAGGCGGTCAATCATATACATGATTTAGCACCAGTCTTGCTTAATAATTATGCACTGGAGAATGGCCGCTACGCACCGCCGTAGTAGGTGGAATGGAAGGTCTTTAAGAAGGCCGCCATGGCTTGCGCCCGAACGCCGCTCAGCTCTAACATGCCGATCGCTTCGGGGCTCAGATGGTCGGTTCCTTCATCAAGAGCCAAAGCTTGCGCCAGATTTTCCCGCACATTTTCTAATCCTGCCCGCGTGAGGATATAATCATTGATGATTTCGTCCTGGGATCGGCCCATGAGCAGCAAGATAAGTGCTGCTAGGACGCCTGTACGGTCTTTGCCGGCTGTAAGAGTAGACAAATTGATCAGCGATTGTCTAATGGAATGGGCTGGAGCAAGCGACCGTGCGCATAATCCGCGACCAGTCGAAAAAGATGATTTAAACATACCAGAACAATGGAAAACAAACGGATCATCAGGTTGGTCCCGGATATGTTTGAACACTTGGGTGAAAACCGGCACACATGCCTCGAGGATACCCATGTACATCTTGACAAACCCATTAGCGCCCTTGTCCTCCCCAGCGAAATCACGTAGATTTAGTGAAGCTGGCCTGGCGCCATAGGGCATCCAGATCATGTCGATTCCTTCGATCTGTGGAGGTGGGGCCTTCGCCCTTTCACCCTCATTCCGCAAGTCGAAGATCGTTGTAATGCCCAAATCAACAGCGAACATCACCTTCCCTTCTTCTGTGATGTCTGACAAATTCGCAGACCGGTAGACATAGCCGGGGCGCAAGTTGTTCTCATAGCTTAAGTCTCGGAAATTTGATACCCCGGGGACAGAAATGAATGGAGGCAGAGAGATGATCTTGGAGACAGTTGAATCGGGAATAGGAGTAATGAGGCCGGTATTTAACAGATCGTGGATATCATCGGAGTTTATCATTGCAGCGTCGTGTCAAAGCAGGCCTTGAGATTGGTGAATTGAAGAAATAGAAAAGTAAGAAATTCACCTAGTGAAACACTTACTTTTAACGGCCAATGTTCTTTCTCGGGCATCTTAATTATTCAGGTTTGCAACCGGCTATGTCATAGTATCCATCTGGCCATTGCGCAGGCAGGGAAAAATGCCTTGTGAAGGTGGGGTTTCACCGCTGTGAAAAGCAGAAAAGGTACCAATTAGTGGTCAGGCACATCGGGTAACGATGTCATCGGGTCCAGCCTCGGTGGGAGTGAGTCTATCTCACGCCCCGGATATATGGAACACGCACCATGTGGATTGGATACACCTGCAGATTGCCGGGCTAACCAAGGATCACTCATCGCTGACCAGCAGCAATAGATTTGCGTTAGATGAGGAAAAAGTCTGACAGTGATTTTCTACCAGATTTCAACGTCAAGCAAACTTGACAGGAGCACTTGTAGAGGTGCTTCTAAATTGATCGACTGGAGCTTATCTAGTTCACCCAAAACACTCTAACCTACGCCCGAGCGCATCTTCGATCAATCATTTCCCCCCCTCATTGTTATTCGTCTGACGCTATCTACTTGCATATATGCTATTAGCTCGAAGGATTTAAACTTGAAATTTTGTGAGTTCCTACTAGTACCTGAGTAAGTGAAATCCGAACCTGGTAGTTTTCTATCTGATGAGCCATTGCCAGACTTGGCCTTGTAGGTAATATATTTTGATGGAGATCCGATAGGGATCTCCCTCGAGGGAATCCCCGGTCGGGATTCTCCTAGAGGTTGATTCCAGGGCCAGTTGATTGGATTGCTTTGCTTTGCTTCGGCCTATTTAGGCCTTTCCTTCCTTTGCTTCCTTTCTTCTGCAGAGATAGTTCTCCATGCATTCGAACTAGACTGTTCCTCTCTCTCCGGCTTTTTTGCGTAGTGGCGATAGATCGCCATCATATTTATAGTTAGCTCTATGTGTAATATTCTAGATATCGGAGAGAAGGCTCGATTGGATATGCTTCGCTGTCTCTCTTGAGAGGTCTTTTAAATTGTTTTTTAACCGTCTTTTTAACTGTCTTTTTAACTGTCTTTTTCAATGTCTTTTTCAATGTCTTTCTATGTTCTCTTTTGAAATGTTGTTTTAGTCTCCCTTTTGAGCGAGCTTTCTAGATAGGATTTGTATCATCTCTTGGTCTATCTTTCCGAGTATCACTAACGGTGTGATTCTCAAACTTCCTGGGGATCTTTTTTGGAGAAGAAATTCAAAAGCCCATTCCGAAGTTCCACGAAATGGTCTGCCGTGAATACTAATAACCAAGGAAAACAGAAAGAAATGAAAAGTAAAAAAAAAAAAGGATTTGATTAGGGTCCCAAGGCGACCCCGAAGGTAGTAGAGGGACTATTTGTCCCAAGCTCAATCTTCCACATCAAAGTCAGGCTGGGGTACATCAGCCGGCAACACTGCTTGCAACACATTGTCATCGGGTCCAGCCTCGATGCGAGTGGGCCGGCATCCCAGGCCTCACCCATGCCATGTGAATTCTATGTATGGTATGCAGATGGACCTAGCCTACATTAATAGAAGTTTCCAATGGCGCCTCCTCGAGGGAGACACCAAAAACTGCGAAGCGTAGCGCTATATTATATACGCTTAGGTAGAAGACTATATAGTAGATTAAAATCTATCTTTTAAAGAAGGGGAATAAGCGTTTTAACCCCTACCCACCTACCTATTCCCCCCGCTAGGAACAGGTAGGTAGGTAGGGATATTTTGTATAGGAATTTATATACTAAACTAGGGGGTGAAGCCCCACCCCCCTTATCTACGTCGCAAGCTAAATGCCTGAATTTTGATAATTTTAAAAATATAACTAACTTAACTAGTTAACTAACTTATGGGTGTTATGTGACTAAAGTTTGTCCTTACTAGGACATTCACCGCCTAATTTTATCTAATTAAACTGCCGGTTTCTGCCACGGATTGACCAATCAGCATCGCCCGTTTGTGCGCACTCCCTTGGGGATGGGCACCACCTGTATACAAAACAGACAGATAAAAGCTCCGCTACGCTCCGCAATCAAAAAGATTCATCCGGTAAATCAGATATGCTGTAAAACTGAAAAGGGAGTAAACAGAATAAATGCGTTTCATAGCTGGTAATTCTTCCCCTAAAGGATACTACCTATGGGAACACGCCTGAAATAGACCTACTGTTTCGTCTTTGGCCGCTTCTCGGACTTTGCCGCCTCTGGCTGCGTATCCGCCTGACGCTAGCTTGTCTCCTTGCTCCGCTGCCGTTGGGCGTGTGACTTCCTCGGGGAATAGTGATTCCCCTCCTCGTCTCGCCACAATCCAAGGTCGAACTTTTCCGTGAGATCCTTATAGCGCGGGAAGTCAACCGTCATTCCCATGATCTCACAGAGATAGTCCTCGTAGATTGCTGAGAGGGCAAGGTTTACGTCTCTACTATTGTCGCTTCCTTTAGTGTTTATCTGCTGTATTAGCCTCTCCCGGAAAGGGCCAGAGTACTGGGCAGCTAATTAGGGAACTATCTTTGAGATGTTATTCCCTGTGTACTAGCGACTGATCGTATGATCCTGGAAGAGGCGGTATGCTTTCTGTGGCTGAGTTTGTCTAATCCGATGGATCCGTCTAATTGCCTGCGTCTTAAGATTGAGATTCAGGGCAGGCTCGACTAAGATAACGATATTGCAATATATATAGAGGTTCAACCTAGAACTACTGTAGTTGTATGTGGTGGTCAAAGCCTAACAATCCGCGTTCGGATCGTTGAACTAGGCCACCGCAACTACACTGTCTTCTGCTGGTATTGTCGCATTGATAGAGACGGTTTTAATCCCTACCCGGCGTAGGACTATCTCCACCATCCGGCTGACGATTGGCTAGTGAGAAACAACAAGAAACCGAGGACTTAGATCTGCGGTGAAGGCGCCCTCCTTATCCATGAATCGAAGCAGTTCCCTCAAACGGGGACTCTGCTTGATCAAGTAAAGAACTTGCTAGAAGGCATCCACCGGCCGTGGATCTGCCGACACCGGGTATATTGGCATCTAAAAGGCCGTGAATCCGTGATCCTTAGCACCGACGTATAAGGACACTATCTCGCTAAGGGTATTCTTACTCCCGATAACTTGAAGAAAGTTATCGAGGAGCGGATTGAACCCTAGCAGACACAACTGTCGCATAATTGTTATATATAGTATTTGTTTGTTCTCTTCCTCTAGCAGAGTAGGTACTACTCGGTTTTGTGTCTTCTTATCTAGCTAGCGAATTATAATAATATATCTATTATCGTGTAGTTTCTGATTAGAGGGACTATATCGTACCTCGACTATTATTACACGAATAGGAGGAATCTCAGCCCTAATAACAATCTCTTCGCTATTAAGACCTCGGATTTTGTCTCCTATAAATCGTATTATTATAGAAGCTCGAAACAGAAACAGGAAGCAGAAGTAGGTCTTAGCTACGTTAAACTTTCTATTAAGGGCTAACTAAACAAGTATAGCAGGACTTAAGAACTAGTAAGTAATAGTATCGTAATCTTATAGCAGGACCTTAATATTCGACTATTTGGTATATAGCCCGGGAAGGGTATCGTAGGTTATACCTGCAGGGCGTAGGATATCCTCTACTTCCCTAATCGGTATTTTCCCCGCCAGGAGGCTGAAGTAGCTAAATAGGTCCACTACCCGGTTCTATATAGGGGTTGCGTTAAGGCCGATAAGGAATTTCCGGGGGAGCTGTGTGATACCTTGATGCTATCTCGTCTTGATAGATTTAACAGCCTAACATTCATCCAGGATTATATGCTCCTAAACGTAGTCGGAAAAAGAGTCCTGTACCTCGCCTCACGCTTTTACTTTTGGCGTGCTAGATACTCGGCCCAAACTTAGTCAAAATCCTTCCGCGAACGCTGCTCCTACGGGTCACCGTCTATTTCCTAATCATTGCCCTCCATTTGCGCAAGGACGATCTGTGGAACGCCCAAGGCGAGCCCTTCCTTGGAGGTTGATGTGGCATGGTTCGACTTCCTACTTGTCTTCCAATCCGAAGCGTTGCTCGTCTTTGGATTTGGGGCTTTCTTGGGGTCCATATCCTCTCCATCCGGTCCCACCTATTTTGGAACATGTTAGTTAGTAATCGATCACCAAGGAGAAGTCAAGTCTGTCCGTTATTACCAACTGGAAACAACCCAAGTAGGGTATTTTCACAAGTAGGTGAATATCTAAACTAAGATGAATGGAAAGTAAAGAACTTACCGCTTTGATCGTCCGCCGGCGCATGGTGTCATAGGTGGTGATCACGAGAGTGTATGCCGTTTTTGCATCCTTTTCATCAAGGCCCTGGAGCTTCTGCAGAAGCTCACCAGTCGACCTGATAGTCCTTGCTTTCGCTGGGGATCCGAGATGTGCTCGGAGTCTCCCCAGAAAATCCAGATCTTGAATTGGCCACCAAAATAGTGGTCAATCTGGTGTACCCATTGAGGATCACCTTGGCAGGCACCACGATCAGGCTGGCACCGAAATCGGCCTGTTGGTTCTTCTCCATGCTGCGTTTGATGAAATAATACACTAGGCATAGGGAAGTCAATGTCTTCCCCAGCCCGCATCCATCAGCCAAAATGCCGCCCCTAAGGGGGCTGTCTATCTGGCGTAGCAGCCGGGCAATTGCTGAGGACTGCCACGGCTGGAGAACGGTGGACCTTGGGCTTCATCCTCGTCCCTGAGGCTCAGAGTAGGCTGACCGTCAATTATCGGGATACCTGCATAGTTGCAGGCTTCAACCAAGGGAGCAAACGGGGCAGAGACTTGTTCAAGCTTCTTGGTATAAGCTTTCTCAACCTGCAAGACTGCGTCTTCCGAAAGACCATCTTCATCCTGCGGTAGAACATCTTCCTCCTGCGAAAGAGCATCGTCATTTCCCTCAATAAATTCCTCGAAGGCACTGCTAATATTTTCACCAGTCCCTAATACCTCCGTGATGTTGAGATCTTTCTTCGTAGAGCCGGTTGGTAATGAGTTCATCTGGTCGGATTCGTACATGAGACACTTGCGCTCGAAGTAGTCTCCTGTGAACTCGTCCAGAATGACTCTGACCGCATCGCGGTCGAGTACATCTGGAGCCGCAATGTCCTCCTTGTCCAGACTTGCTATGCCGATCCTGCGAACAAGTTTTCTCACATCCGCCTCTGTGGCATAACCGGTTTCTGGATTTCTGAGGATCTTGACGATAGTATCTCGCTGGGCCTCGGAGAACGGTCCGATGTACCGACGGCTGATCTCCTTATGGCGGTTATCCCAAACTTGGCTTGTCCCACTTTGGTTTGCATTCTTGGGCTCCCCTTCGCCGAACGGGCCGGCTTTTGGCTTGATCGGGGTACTCCCAACTTGTGGCTTTGCCGACTCAAAGTCCTTCTTTTTCAGATCCTGGTGGTACTTCTGTAGAAGGCAGCTTCCGTGAACAGAATCATACGCGTTGATGCTGTATGGCCAAGTGTTAACCTGAGACCGCTCGAACAGGCCAGGAACCAGCTTCATGAGTCGACAGGCATACCACAGCGTCATGACGCTTGCTCTCTCGGTCTTCTGGAAGCCAAGAGAGTCAAAGTTGGGTCGATAATCTTTGGACAGAATCCGAAGAAACTTGCTCTTGTAGATGAAGTCGACGGACTTTTGTTTGATGGTCGGTAGTGTTGGGTCTTCCTCCGTGGACCTCCAGCCATAATTGTCCTTTCGAAACATGACGTATTCGTCAATTAGGTCCCGTGAAGGCTGGTGCGTTGGTAGGTCTGCGTATATTTGACGAAGCCTCTCAGTACTGGGAAGAGCAAAAGCTCCAGGCAAGTGCTGCCAGGACGAGGCCGTTTGGGTAACTTCAGCCAAGGTGTATTTCACATCGCGGTGAAGTTGTTCCTGCTGCTGGGAAGTGAGACCCATTGTGAATTCGGGGGTACTGAATCAACGGAGTAAAGATGAATAACTGTGTTTCATAGGTCAGTAAACGAGTCGAAAAACGCAAATTGGACGGTATAAACTCACGGGATGACAGAGGGTATGGAGACGAAGGATTTTGAAAGGAGGAGTATCGAGAGGAAGGGGATGTTGATGGAGTATGCTATCGATGGAGGTGCGATGCCTGCTTTTGATCATGAAAATTAGCTGATTATCATAGGGGAATATGGAAAGGAAATTTCCGAATTCCAACCAGAGGCGAAATGATGATCAATGAAGATTCACGATACTTACTGTGCACGATAGAGATGGCAGATCTGATTGAGCAGGGGTGATGTAGGGAAGAAGTAGAATGAAATCAGGGTCGAGGTTTGGGCCAGGACGTGAAGAGGAACATAGCCTGAGTCCAAGTCTCGGGGTGGATGTGTAGAGGTAGTAGAGAAGGGTTGTGTGAAGGTCTGAGTAGAAAGGAAAGGAGAAAGATAAGCCTGTATGCGCGTCTTGGGTGAATGTAAAAGCCAACAGTTCATACCTTAAATTTCCCCGTTCGTGACAAATTTGGTGTGTTCAGTTTGAAAGGAGGTGCATGGGATGAAAGGAGTAAGCTTTTGAATAGCTTTAGAGGAAACTTTAGGTATTCAGGAGGAGGGGACAGATTCAAACGGTATATAGAGAGGAGTGAAGGGGAGGTTTATAAGGCAGAGAAGTCCTAGATCAAGTGAGAGATCAAGTGAGAGATAAACTAAATCTTAATATCTCTCTAGATAGTATAATACTAGCTTGATTACTATCTAGGAGTGAAATGCTTCTCTTACCTTATGCTATCCTATATCTTAACTCTACCTATATAGTCCTTACCTCTTATGGCTGTTTTTATTAGCTATTATTCATACTTAAATCCTCTGCCAGCTTAGACCTAATGTAGCTAAACAAACTTATCTATCCCTTATCTTCCTCTTACTACGCTCGTTACTACGCATCGGTTCCTCCTTCATTATTTATACTATCTCTATCCATACTACTTTGATCTACGAACACAAACCTACAAAGGCCGGGCATAACTGTCTACTCACTCTATCTTTTATACTCACCATCCATCCTATCTCTATCTTTGCCATTCTCACTTACTGCCACAAACCCAAACAGACCGGGTATATCTGTCTATCCTTTCTACCTCCCATACATCCGAACCTTCTCCCGTTCATCCTTCATCATCCTCGCTAGTACTTCTTTCCAACTCCAATCTGTGGTGGCTGAGCGTCCTTCCTCTGCACTTTCTACGATTCCCTACACAACGTCCTTCATCATCTTCCATCATCGATACTATCTTTTACCCCCTAACGAAAAGCACATCTTGGATTGATACCCAAAGCCTCCCTTGCTACTACCGACTTTCCGCCATGGCTGAATACAGAGGATTTCATGACCCTTTGGAAACCCTATCTGGAACTTGGGCCAAGCAGTCCGTGGAGCGTTCAGACATTCAAAATCTATTGTCTGCCAACGCAGATCCCGACATGGAGGCTCACATGACAGATCTCCAAATCAGCCTGGTCAAAGCCGAACTGGAAATGTTCCAAATCAGCCTGTTCGGAGGCGAATTGCAAATGTTCGACTCAACCAATTTTTGGGAGGTGATAGCCAGGGAATTCTCATTCCAGGGAGGCTCCGCAGAAACACCTCACGGGGTCCATTACAACTTACTGGGTATATCTATCATGCGTTGATAGATTCTGAGTATGGCTAATCGGAACTTATGAATTTGGTCCGCGTGGCGCGTTTACGGGATCACTTTTTAGTTGGAGCAGCATTAGCTCTTGTCGACTGGGCCCGTATTCGAAAGGAGGGGACATTTCTCAAGGCAGCCTTTCACCAGCTCCAAATCCACGAGCCTAGCCCTCGTCCGCAGTCAAGTTGGATGACCACCCGCAATGCTGAGGCCACAGAGACAACACTTCGGCATATGTCTCGGTTGCCAAATGAGCTAAATGTTATGATCGTTGACTATGTCCTAACAGAACCACTTCCGGATCATACTACTCATACAGACCTTCATAACTTTCTCTGTTGGCTCCAATATCCTGAATTTGAACGAAGCCTAAGTCGGAATAGCCTGAGGTGGCGTCAAATACAGACCAAGCTCGGACTCAATCCAGAGACGAATTCGCTTCCCCGACGTGTCTTCCCAAAATGCTCACTCGTGTTCCCCAAAAGGTCGGGTATTCATGATGTTATTCGAGAGGAATGTCTTCCATGCCTAACGACACTTTTCTCACTCGGAATTGCGGATCAAAGGGCTACTACATTTGATGGATGGTCGCTGCCAGGCCTAGCAATCCTGGAGAACAAAGCTTCGATCCTCCATTATCTCCTTCAAAGATATTCCACCCGGGATGAGCGTGACAGAGAATGGTCAGTCCAGCGACCCGGTATGATCTCACATACCAGTTGGCCGGTCATGAAACTATCTATGCTGGCGGCAATCAGATATACACCAGACGTCTATCAACTGGTGCTGGACTGGCATCTAGGTCACATTGATCGGGCACCGCCAGGTGAATGGTGAAACAGAGTCTCTATGAGAGACTTGACTCCTACGCTCCGAGATTGTTTACCCTTCCATGCACCACTGGCTCTCTCACTTTCTTTTTATTGCTATGCAAAATTTGGCCGCTCCATATTCGGGGACAATCATTACTGAAATGGACCTTTTCAGGGGATGGCCGCATGGTGACTTTGCAAAATGGGATGGAAACACAAGGACATGCGCGTATCTTGCTTCCAAAGTCCAGGGATTGAAACAACAGAATGGATAGGACAATTTGATTTCCAGTTTGCTCCACTTTCCCTGTGCCTCCGTACGGTTCCCAGTAGGAATGTCCGATGAAGTAGACGTACCCGGAATTTTCAATTTGTTGTAATGACCAAAACCTAGAAAAAGACAAAGCCGTTAAGTTCATGCCATACTTTTCCTTGATTAAAATGACCAGAAAAAAACCTAGAAGAGCAGCTACCCATAGTCATACACACTGACATCATTAGGAATTGTGTCCAAGTCGATGCTGAATGGCTATCAGGGGTCGGAACCATCTTTGGCCCCGTCCAATTTATCAATATATGAAAAAAGGGAGAGGCTTGGATCACCCTCGTGTAGCGAGGTAATCGGAGCATGATATCGGGCCCTATATAGTCAATATAGAAAATGTAAAGAATGGCGAACATCTCGCATTATGGAAACAATTCTTTGCCCGATTTGCAACCGTTGTCACACCCAAATGTGACTAAAAGTCTGCGTATCATGCCAATCATCCCAGTTCTAGTCAAATGAGTTCTCGAGATGCAAGAGTATGCAAAATCACCAGCTATGGAAAATTGATTGATGTTCAATGTACTAGGGAAATGTACCATTCGGGTGCGAGTAACAAGCATTCCAGGAAAACATGAAGACATAAACCCATAAGTGGATTGCAAGCACAGGTTGAAAATATCACTGTCATCCTTTTGCTGCTGGTTGAACTTGAAGATTGACGGTGATATGAATCTACCTGTTATCGGAGACTCATCCGGAACGGTCTCAAAACCTCCTTCCACACAGAACCAGTCACTGTCCAGGTGTTACCAGCCAGGCGGGTGCCTCCTCCAACACGAAGAAGAGAAGATTTTCTGTCCATACGTCAATGGAAGGATCAGCATATTGGATGGCAACGTGAACCCAGCGCCAGACCGCAATCGCAAATTCGGATTTGGCGTCCTCCCATTCTGCCAAGCCCTCATTCTCGTCGTCGATCCCGGATGCATCTGCCCCTTCAAACATGGAGCGATATTGTGCTAGACGTTGTTCACGACTCTATTGGAAGCACTGGTTAGTATTTAGTCCGACATTAGGTAGATAGACCAACGTACATCGTCGTATACAGAATCGAAAATCAGACCAAATTCATCTTCATGCATCCGGACTAAGTCAAGAAAGGCTCTTGCAAGGTCATAGGAGGCATCCACCAGAATCTCGTGTGGGTGTGACAGAATGATAATATCATCATCTCCCCAGCCGTCATTATCATCACTGATCACCATTGGGCGGGGGGGGAAGACTGTATGAAAAGGGGATGATATCCAAAGGCGATACAACCACCACATGGCGGATGAAAACTCGCGATACTGGGCCTGCAGACCTTCCCAAACCTATGCAAAGTCAATAAGTCCACCCTCTCAACAACAGGGGAACATGGGCTCTTACCGGGCGACAAATCACGGAATCATCACCGCAACGATCACAATCAGTTTGATGCGGGATCGCATTGCAGAAGAACAGAAAAGGGATGGCATTGCTCTGTCGTCCTGGGGTTTCCAGTGCCAATTCGAGACAGCACAAGCAAAATGTCATGAGCTGGGTAATTTGAGCTCTCAACGGAACGAGACCGAGTGCCGATAGAACAGGCGCAGGTAAGACATACCCATCATCGCCTTCGCGAATGGGTTCCCAGAACCGCCGTGCCATGGACCGAGTAATAGGCGGCATGGCTCATCGAATGGAGGTAGTGATTGGAATACCTGGAGATGAAGATCGCTGGTTGGGGACGACTGCATCCAGCTGGCCAAGCTGGGTGGGAGAGAGAGGATGAGGATGAGAAGAGATGGGGGAGGGGATCGGATAGAAAAAGCAGAGCGCTGTTCTGCCGGTACAAGTTTAGGCAACCAATCCCCTCGTTTCCAGAGCTGTTTGTGAAAAGTCCTTCGCTCCTGCCTATGGAGGAAAACTTCATACATTGCCTGGGGCTTCTGATCTTGCATCCTCCCAGCTTTACCAAACTCTACGATTACCAGAATGGAACGATGAAAAATGAGAGACCGAAAGGCTAGTTATTGAGCACACAAGATAAGCCTCAAAAGATGTCGACTTTCCCCTCATCAAATTGCTGACATTGAAAAGTCAAGCAGCATACGAAATCATCCGCCCGTACCTACGAATGCTGTAAACCATCCTGTGCGAATACTGGGAGTCCCACTCAAAGATGACCCCATCACCCGTCCTCTCCACGGATATGACAAGGCGCAATCTGTGCTAAGCTGCTACATACAAGCCCAAGCAAGACATGTCAAGAAGCATTTTGAGGGTGAAATCGAGCCTGGAAGGGGGCTGAAGATGCCCAGTTGGTTGAAATGTTGGAAATGAAGCATGGAGACCACCCCAGATGAGTGATTTTGATCGTGGCATTGCTGCAAGTGAGTATTGATCGCTTTCTCTGGCAGGAGAAGTGAACCGACCTTTACGGCGTCTTAGAGCTTGGATCTATCATGGATGATTGTCTTCGACGAAGTTTTGTACTCCTGGAAAGCCACGAATGTTCAGGGTACGATGCGATCCCAAGGTCGCCAGGTCAATGTGGATACTCAATGCACTTGCTCGCTAGATGTTCGAGGGTAAGATAGATTATGTACTCCATTGTTACGACATGGCCAGAAAGCGAGCTTCATGATATTGTCACAAAAACATCTTTTGGCCAACTCCCTACACACGCCTTCCAAAGGAACTGGACCACTGGCAGGGCTGAGATCTACTCCTTCATGATTTACAAGAATACACTGGCTCATGCATATACTGCGGCAGCCTATGGACGCCATTCTGTACCTACTCATGCTATAACCATCAAACTTCGATTATACACATGCTTGAAATCATCGATATAATATCCAAACATTGGCTTTGGAAAACGAAAACGACTGTACTTTTTCATATATATGAGCTATCACAAGAATACTATCTATAGCATTCAATTACGACGTTCATAAGTAGAGTGGTAAACCTTTCATATCTGGGTGAAATAATGTACCGAGAAGGGGATCATGTCCACTTTTGAAACCAGCAAAAAAAAAAAAAGGACCATAGGGGTGGACTCATCTTACCCAGGAGTATGTCAACTCTGGGTTCCATGCCTCAACAGAATTCTGCTCCAAACGTGGGAACTTGGATGACTGTGTAGGAAATGAGTGCAATGATATGCACTCTCATTGCTAGAATGTAAGTTGATCCGACGTACGCCATCTAGACCATCGGACCGTGCCTGTCAGAGGCCAAACCTTCCACTCTGAAGTTGCAGTGCATTCATTGTATGATTGGAAATGATAACCAGGGCTTCCATCCTTGCAATACCTGATGGGATTGTGGATCAGGGCAGACATTGGTTCATGCCAGTGGATCTCACCCAAAACCTCGATATCACCATTTCCATAATGAAGAAGTAATCCCATGGCGGCTGCACGACTCGAACCAGCAAAGGAGACCTGAATGCCAATGAGATTTCCCAGAGAAAATTTATCATGATCACGTTGGTATCCAGGGTCAGGGCGTGGGTTGCTTGTTGCTGGGCCCCATGTATCACAGAACACTGCCATGTGGGAAACTCCACGTGTGGTGGGGGACTCGCGACCATATGTGATCCCAGTAAGTTTGCCATCCTCGCTCCCTGTGAGAGAGTATGATAATGAAGGTGAGCAATAACCAAAGTTGTGGAACCTGTCTTTGGTAGTTTGAATCTGGAAATTATAGAATAACAGATTAGTTTTTGATAAGTGGGAATGTTCTAGGATTGCAACGTACCTCGAGCTCTTTGAATATGTACGGCTCGGGAAATGATCCGTAACCACGAATCCAAATTCCCCGTATTCTTTCCGTATTTTTCATCGGAAAGAAGAACCTGCGGACCGGAAGAGGGTGCTTTCCTGAAGATGGCTGAAAGTAGGTACTGGGAGGTAGAGCACGTCGCAGAGATTCCATATGCTCCCGGAATGCTCGATATAGATCGTCACATTCAGTGAAAGCGTGTATACCAATCAATCTTTCGTCCCAGAACGCGACGACTAGTCCTTGTAGCGATGAGACAGTCAAGTCGACGTGAGTCACCCACTTTCTTTTGTGACCAAGGCTGTTGGCAACCCTCTTAGGCCTGAGAAGGGTTTTTGCAAGTGTATTTCCGATGATCTCCGCGCGTTCCGGGGGGCGGAGAAACGGTCCCTATGATCCATGAGCGAAATCCTGTTATGCGTTCCGTTTTATGAAGTGAACTTACTCGATATTTCCACTGGTGTGTAATCGATCCATCGTGTTTGATTTCTATGACCTCATACCAGGGGTACCTTGGGCAAGTCACCGGGACACTGGGTCGTTCATTTTTTAAAAAGGTAAGATGACGAACGCCGATATGATCGTAGGCGACCAAGATCCAGCGATAATTTTGATGGAAGCGGGATCCGGGCACGGGAGTGGAAATTTCGGAGTAAAAGTCACTCTCGTGGTGAAGCGTGTTGATCAATGCGGTGACGTATGACTTGCCGCAAAAGATGGTTTTGGCGACAAATATCGGACTTGTTGCTGTGATCGTTGCCTCTTACCCTGGGAGTCGACCCGCTTGAAGTTCCCTGATGTGTCGATACAAGCGGATCGTCTGCCCTAAAAGTACAAGACTCCCTGTCAATTCAAGGTCGACCTGAATGGCAACTTGTTCGAGAAGTTCGGCGGGCAAACGAGAGAGCGCGAATATGTTTTTCGCATACCTGGCGACTGATGTCTGACTGTTTTCCCCCTCTTGCGTGTCGTCCAAGGATGTTGAGATGTAATCGGGATACCATCTGATGAGGCAGCAGAGTCCCTCAAACGCCACCGAGGTTGTATGGCCAGCGATAGAGATTCTCTCGCAGTGATTGAATGGTGCGATAGTGGAATCCCATAAAATCTTGACGATTTCTGGATCCACTGTGAGACCAAATTGTTGGAGAAGCTCTTGGAACAATGAGACGCAGTCCGAGTGATACCAGCAATGATCAGGCCAGACTGGGGGTATATCGACTTGCCATCTGGCTTCATTCTCGGGTATGCGGCTCGTGGGCAAGAGTCCCAATGTAGGCTCGATGTGAGCGCCAAGGATAAGTTTCTGGCTGACTCCATCCCGCCATTGAAGTTCCCCACAGAGAAGGCATGGGACTGTGGTGATTCTGATCGGCCGTATCGGTTCAGCCGGAAACGCCGAGGGTTGTTGATAGCTCGCCATGTTGCTTGGGGGACTGCAAGGATCAGCTGGGGAGGTCAAGCCGGGCAGACTTGGGGAGGCAGAGTGACTGTGAGGGGTTGTATCTGTCAGACCAGAAAGAAGTGGACTGGAAGAGGCACACCGAGGGATTTAGACCTGAAGAGGCAGTTTGCTGTTGATCAGAACCGTTAACGTGTCGTGGGTATGTGGTGAGCGAACGGATATCGCGTAAGGAAGAGGAAGATGGTTGTTTGTTTGGGGGAACTGCCAGATTAACAGTTTTGAGAGACATACGCAGAGAGAGAGAAAGAGAGAGCGACGGAGGGGACAGATAAATAAATTGTTTTGATCGGCGGTCGGTATACATCGCCTCGATGCTTGACAGAAGTTGGAGATGGACGATTTTTACGATACGATACTCATTATTCAAATTGCAAAGTCACCCATTTCAACGACCATTGCAAAATGGGCAGTAAGAAGTTATATTAGACTCCCCCAGCCTCATTGTTTAAGAGATATCAATATGGATACTGCTAATTCCGAAGCTGCCGAGTGAATGCTATTGTTCAAACCAACTATTCTCTGTTGAGGGCATGGTGTATGCATCATAGGCCACAATAGCCACAAGGTAATGGAATACTCATAGATTAAAATACAAGATCATTTCTGGAGAATGGAGAACGTATTGAATCGGATGAATAGAACTATGTCAAGATTTGGATATGCCGATCAGCGACGAGACGGAACCGGCCTCAGATAGTTGCAAGCTTTCCTCTGGCACTAAGTCACCGAAAACACCTTTTCCTCTGTCAAATATGCATCCACGATAGAGTCAACCAAATGATTCCCGTCGAAGCATTAGGTTTGTCACGTCTGTGGAATCACTCGCCCTCGTGTACGGGTATTCATGGGCGTGCTTCACCGTGACTATATATCATATTAGTGATTATCGCAGGTCGGATGAGATGGGTATGTACTTGCCCATTATGGCAACGGTAGAGCATATCCACGACACTTGGGATACCGAATGCAGTGAGGTCCCTGTAGAGGCATCTGTGGTTGAAAAAAAGGTCGATCTGGTGAGAACTCATGATATCGATCCATTCTGAGATTCGATCTGGATGCGAGGCCGGGACTTGTCGAAACTCAGCACTACAAGTCTGATCAAGAGACATGCAGACACTGAGAAGGGTCCCCCAGATCCACCAAGGGACTATTTCCCCGTCCGCAAGGATAGTGACCATTTCCATAAACATAACGGATGCCTCGGTCATATTGATGGCGTGGGCGGACCGTGCTTGGCCACGGGGATGGTACCAGGGAGCCGGGCCAAAGCCACCCGGGTCCGGGGAACGGAGATCAGTTCGATTATCCCAAATACCGTCGATATGGGGAAGATGTCGCATAATGTTCGGTCTGTAGGTGAGAATTTGAGTGTTAGTGATGGGATCTTGGGCCTTGGTGTCCACGATGATAAATTGGAAGAGACCTACCTTTCTTTTTGATCGTAAAAGGTGAATGTGGATGGGTGAGCGAAGGAGGGTGGCAGAGTCCAAAGGGAAGGGGGAAGGTAGCTGAAGTGGAAAAAGTTCTTGTGGTAGAGAGGCAGTTCGCGGGGAGACGCGACAAAACAAACAACCTGGGCTGGATGGACATGTACTGGGTGTGCAGCAGGTATGGCCTCGGGGGTGAAGACCTCTCCACTATTATATGAAAATAGGCATATTATCATTCAACAAAGATACCATACTCTAGTTCTAATCTACTGGTCATAGACAAAGCTCGATCAGCCAAAGCAATCATAATTTCTGGAATGAGGCTAAAGCATTGAGAGAGCCGATATCTGACGAATAAAATAATATCGAGCGAGTTCAACGAGACAGGAGCAAGTGGGATAACAACAAATTGATGTTCATTGCACCGGCAAGCCAACAATATGTGGATCACTTGCCCTCAGAGGCCCGCGGAGATTCATTCTCTTTCCGAGACGGAGGGACGGAGCGCATGGGTAGCATGTAGCTCGCAGTTGGTTCATCAAGTAGAAAATTATGAGTTTTGACATGGGCAATGAAAGTGTAGCATGGGTCATCGGCGGGCAGCATTGTCCAAATCTCCGTAGGGCAGGTGAATAGCAGTACAGTGCTGCCTCCGAATGCTCCCTCAATTTTTACTTCGACAGAATCGACGCTTTGTGGGATATTGTGTGCCAGCCATTCTTTCCATTGGATGGCCTCGGCAGGGAAATCGCCCCGAACTCTGACGCTGAGTAGGACACGGCGACAATCGTCCTCGACCATTCCCGTATGGGGTTGCTTGACAACATTGCGGCCGATGGTTACGCTTGGTCTGCCTTGCTTGAGGATATGGACCGGACAAGCTCCAACGCCATTTGACCATGCATTCCGAAAGATGGAGCCAAAGATCTGAGCCAAGGTCTGGGTTTCACCTTGCAGTTCACGGAGTCTGTTGATGAGAATCTGCGTGAATGACTGGTCAAGGCTCTTAGTCGCTTGTTGGCCCCAGCCCGAGGCTGCCACAAACTCCGCGCCATCGTAGTGCTTCAGCGCCCCAGATCCCGCCGAGCAACAATCAAAGATGTAGCAGATCTGGCCCGGAACGCTCTCAATCATACTGGCAACCCCCCACCAGTTGATAGTTAGGCCTTGTAGCTTGCCTGTCCGTAGATTGCACTTGCCACTACTCTTTGTCAGTCAAGCTGTATTGGTGGTAGTAATGATGGTACCGAGTGGCAAGTTCGCAACTTACGCCAAGTTCCAGTGGATAGCTGATTCACTAGTATTCGCTGCGTGTCCCGAGTACACAACAATTCGGAGGGTGTTCTCTTCACGAAAATCCTTGGACCACGCGATAAGGCGGTCTGCGAGTGTGATTTGGGAGTCGACAAGTGGGACCGTGTAGCTGGTGGCTGAGAACCCATACTGCTCGCGGAAGGTCTTGAGGAGTTCTTGCTCGAGGGGCCTGACACCCATATCGTCGTTTTCCCAGTGGAAGGCAAAAACACCGGTTTTCTTGTATGGACTGAAAGTGATCGCATTGTTCATTGCCGCCTGTAGGTCGGTTGCAAAGTCCTTCACATCCTTCGTTGGCTCTCCAGCATCAAACGCTGCAGGAGCCTTGGAGGTTGACATGATTGCTCGTCGGAGATTGAACAGAGAAAGAGGACGATAGAGCGGAGGATGTGGAAGATGAAGAGGGTGAAATGTGGGATGTTGTGGTGGGATGTTGTGGTGGGAAGTGTTTGTAAGAAGTAGGAAGGAGGTGGTCTCCGACACCAGAATGGTCGAAGTTGCCAAAACAGGCAGGCCCGACTAAACCGGATCGGCTCTTTTTTTGTGATTCCTAGGTCACGAGACTCAATTCTCTCAGAGAAGGAGCATGATGGCGAGGGTATGAGTGAGCTAACTTGTTTAGGATAATTTTTTGCGAGAGACGAAAAGGAAATTCGAAGACCGCCATTCCATGCAGTGGACACAAAGAAAAAATGTCCGCCGTCAAGACTTCTCCATGTTGTTATATCGACAGTGCATAATGGAGAATTTGAGTACCAGCTGGAATACAAGAACTGCAAATTGCATTGTTAAATGATCACCATCCATTGCCCGAGTGTATCTGTGAATATCTGGATTTCATAGCCCGGTATTTTTCCACCTGTGTTCCGTATCAAACTCTTATCCCTCTTGCTGGGTGACTGGTATGATTTTGGTGCCATGACTGCTGGACAATGCGGGAAGATGGAGGATCAGATTCGTGGGAAGTTGTCTCTGAAAATGAAGTCAGTTTTTGAAATTATCATTTTCTGGAATGGGGGTTATAGTTACTGCTCATAGCATTTTCGCAACATGGTCAAAACTCCACGCAGAGGGTAGTGGTCGAGATATATAGGGACGCATGTGGGACGGAAAACCTCTCCGATTCCATTATTCTCCAAGGTATGCAGGGCGGTGGCGGGTGCGACTTCAGGGGAAAACGGTAACAGCTCGATCCGATCACGCGTATCACGGCGAAGGTTGCAGCAGATGTGGTAAATTGAGTACCACAGCCAAAAAGGAACCTCCATATCCAGTGAGCAGAGCCTGATGATTTCCATGAACAGTACAGCGATTTCCGTCTTCCTCAATTTGATATGTTGTCTGTCAAGGGATGTGCTGGCCAAAACTGGATACTGGAAGGTCTGGGAGCCCGGGACTTGTTCAGCGACGAGAAAATCGAGTACTTGCTGCACCTTCGGTGGTAAACGCGACATGTTGAATCCGTAGTCACTGTTTCGACGTTGTCAGTCCAAGTCATACCTTGCAGGGATGAGGTCCTTGCCTTGTTGTGCAACGAAGCCAGCGAAAGCATGCAAAATGGGAGCAACGTGTATCAAGGCTTGAGATGGGGGGGGATGGAGATGGAGAGTTGAGATGGGTAGTGGATAATGGAGGGACTGTAAACAAGATGGGCACCGGTGGGCAAACAGCGACAATTGACCATAGACGGTCTCTCGATACCAGGCGCAATGCCAGATTTGACAGGTAGCAATGTTCTCCGATTATTCCCCTGCCAGGTTGTAACCTTTCCCCTAAATTTTGCTTCCCATGCCTGTCGACAGAACGATCAGCTGATACAACTCATTGTACTGCAAACTGAGTGGAGCTGTTATGGTCTCATTGTTCAGAAGTCATCTATCCAAATAGAATCCAGATATACATGTTGAAGAAAGTCGATGGACGGATGGCTGAATAAGGGGATAGGAACTGGCGGCTACGACGTTTGTCTGAGATGTCCCACTCTTTCCCAGAAGAAAAGTTATGCAAGGCAGTTTTCTCGAGCATGAGGGAGATATGAAAGCCTCCTCCACACTACCAAAATTACCCTCGTCCTTCTTTCCTCCAGAATTGGTACTTTTGCTAGGTACACTGACGTCGGAACACTCATGATAGTCACTGAAATATGGCTGGATCACTCATAATAGAACCCGATGAGAAAATTCAATTTGATTGGATAACTCGATAAAGACTGTGGACTGTGGATATATAAACGTGGAAGAACAACAGATGACGTGAAGGTAGCGATTTAGCACTTTTCACCGCCTGGCAGAATACTCCATTGGCCTATATTTGATTGGCTCGGTACCATGTGGTACATGGCAAGTTTATGGTCACAGACGCCACTAGTAACCTTAACTTTACTACCTGTCCCGGGATCTGCATAGTTGGTCTACCCAGGCCGTCGGAGCCTGCTAAGGTCTTCCCATAATCGGTGCTATTGACTACCGTATCCCTTGTTTTATGTTGTATGTTTTCAGCGGCCTGTGCAAACCTAACGAAGTTCAATCATGAAGCATAGTACTCGAATATAGCTGACTGCTAGCTATCTCTCTATTCCTACTAGGAGCAGCTAGTAAGGTAGTTGTTAAGAGGTAAAGAGTTTAGAGGGAATAATAAGAAATAAAAAAAAGAAAATAAAAAGTTAAGTAAGAGATAAGTGAGAGAAGTATTAGATTAATATCTATATTATACTTACTATATTATTATATAAGATCTTCTCTTAAGGGTCTTATACTAATTCCTCTTACTTTACTCTTAGTTAAACCTTAGTCCTAACTCTTAAGTATCTTACTATTACTATTATAACTACCTTACTAGCTGCTCCTAGTAGGAATAGAGAGATACTTAAGAGTTAGGACTAAGGTTTAACTAAGAGTAAAGTAAGAGGAATTAATACAAAACCCTTAAGAGAAGATCTTCTATAATAATATAATAAGTATAATATAGATACTAATCTAATACTTCTCTCACTTATCTCTTACTCTACTTTCTATTTTCTTTTTTTTTATTTCTTATTATTCCCTCTAAACTCTTTACCTCTTAACATGTCCTTAAACTCCGGAAGTCCTACAGCCTGCCTCCTTCCTTCTCACTCTACCAGTCTACACTTCTACATCTTTAAGACTTACCTCCTGTGTCTCCTAACCTACATCTTCCAACTTCCACCTCCCAACTTCCCTCTTACAACCGACCTCTTACAGCCTGACCTGGTCAGACTGCCCTTTGCGATCTATCTCTCTTCATCTCCATCTCCCCGTCTACATCTCTATCTCTCCATTTCCCCATATCCATCTCCCCATTTTCCAATCCTCCGATCTTCCCATCTCTCCATCTCTCCATCTTCCTGTCTTCCCATCTCCATCTACATCGCCCTATCTCTCTTTCCCTATCTTCATCGTCAACATACAGTTTTACTATCACTCTCAAGGTGAGTCTCTTTGTCCCTACTCAAAACAATACATTCTTCTGAACTAGCTCCCTTCTCCAGAATCCTTCGAACAACCTGTCAAATCACTCATTCCCGACGGTACTGAATCCGTGATCCTATATTTCTGCTTCCACACCCAAGAACTCAGGACTCTACACATACCCTTCCGCCAAAGTGAGTTTCTTCATCATCTTATCCCAGCGACAATTGCGTCTACCGATCCCTTTATCTCAAACCAACCTCAACCTTTCAGCATGGCGCGAGGCAAGGACAACGATGAGCCCTCCAAAACACAGGACTGCAAGAAGCGCCACCAGGAACGTGCGCGAAAAGCGTGGGCAAGTGAACGCTCATCGCTCTCGGATCCCGAAAAGCTTGAAGTTGTCAGGATGAATGACCCAGAAAACCGCAAAAAGGTTAAAGGAGCTGTGGAAATGTTTAAAGGTGTGTATTGGTGCAAAGGACTTTGAATGTTACAAGGCTAATATGTTTCATAAAGGTGGCAACACAGGGCCTGCTCGTGACATCAAGCCATTGGAGTTTCCAGTCCTTCTCATGCCAAACGGCAATGGACAGTTCATGCTCAGATACGACCAGTTCACTGCAGTCGTTGGAATTAGCCGTCTGCCATTGGAATGGGACGGCAAAAAGGGAACCCCCTTGAAAGACTCGAACTGTCCGAAGAAGGTCCGGGAGCTCTACAGCTTTTGGCTCCTGAAGCTATTCCGACCCTTGATGAGAATCTATCATCCCGGCCTCCATGATTCCAATCTTCGAGACACCAAGTCATCCGAGTTTGAGAAACTGTTCTGGGACAAGCCTCCCGCGGATTATGGCAACTACATTTCCGAACTCGAGAAGGAACCCTCGGTGGTTATCCCGGTGGAAGGCACAACAGAGGATGCATACAAGCAACACTTTCTGAATGTGGTGAATATGCATCGCGCCCAACTAAACAAGAGACCCCTGGACTCAAATGACCTCGAGCTGGTTCTGGCAGAGGAATCGGACGAGGATTCCGATAGTGGCGAGGAGAACACTGAATCTTTCAAACGGCAGGCTGAAGATGAAGATCCAGTGCCCGGTTCATCTTCTCCAAAGCGCCGGAAGATTGATGACGCCCAGTCTGGAGACTGCAAGGCGGAGATACGAGAACTCAAAAAGAAACTGGCACAGTTGCAAGATGAACAACTTACCCATGATCTGCGGCAACTTAGATCCAAGAAGGATAAAATGATCTCGAAGAAAGACCATGCCCAAAGCCTGGTCCCGGACAAGGAGCACGACCAACGTGAGCATTCTGAGGATGTTACCCAAATTGTTCCCCAGGATACCATCGCCCAGGTCCAGGAGGATACTACTCGAGTTCAGGATACTACCGCCCAAGTTCTCCCCTGGGATGATGCTCCTTCAGTCCAGGAGGGTGCTATCCAAGTACAGGAGAATACTGCCCCGGTTCTTGGAGATGCTCCCTCGGTCCAGGATGGTCCTAGCCAAGTCCAGGACAATGCTCCCCCGGTTCAGGGGGTACTATCCAGGAGAATGCACCACGGCAAGGGGAGTTCCACCATCAGTGGAACCGGGGGGATACTTATCCACAGAAACAGGACCCTGGTACGGCCTTTGACCAGAAAAATAATGGCGGAATGCTTGTGGAGGCCGAGATCACCCCCCGGGGTCATGAGACCTTTGGAGCGTTGAGACTGCGCGAAGCACCCCAAGAGTACGGAAGACACATGCCTACGGTGTACGACCTTTGTCGCGACAGGGACTCGAGTCCATCACCTTCGCTCAAGGGGCATCAAAACCGAAGAGGTATGTCTGCGACCTGGGAACCTGCTATTGGTAGCAGACCGAGTCCTTCAGCTTTGGTCAACGAGTTGCCGCTCCGAACTCGGATGGACAGACTCGAGCGGCAGCTGGGTGAGGTGCGTGGACAGGTCAAATCCACGAATGATGCAGTAATTTCAATCCGAGACACAATTGAGAGGCTATATCAGTTCCAGGAGGACGCCTTGGTCTCCCAGGAGGAACATTATCGCTCAATTGTCTCTTTACTGCAGAGTGTGTTACCAGCTGGTGTGATCCAGCCTGATTTGGACTTGGGAGATTGAGGATGAGACGACGAGTCCTCCATCGTGAGGTGGAGGATGGACTTTTTGTCTCATCAGTACCCCCATGCATTGCTTTTCCACGCTCCACTTTCTTCTCGTTTGTCTTCTTTAGTTATTGCTATTAAGGCAAAGCAGTTAGTTGAACCCCAGGATGGATATTTCCATTTGTTGCGTTACCCCAACGCATTGCTTTTTCAGGCTCCCTTTTGTGGTTTGTTTTCTTTAGTTCTTGCGATTCAAGGAAAAACAGTTAGTGGAAACTCTTAATGGAAATTTGAATTTGTTGCGTTATATCTTGGAAGTCATATACATAACACTTAGTGAACATTGTAGCGTTGTGCTGCCACTCCAATATGTTACGGCGGCCCATAGTGGCTGGCCAACTTTGGCAAGTGGCGTTTTTATTAACAGAACCCTTGCAAGACCACACCAGTGCCTTGTAACCTGAGAAAATAAACGGCAATATCACAAAGGAATTCTGATTCGACCAATCAGAGGCCCCAATTTTGAGACCCCATAACTTGATCGATTCGAGTTATATGCAATTCAGTTTGATCAGGCAGTGAAATATATAATTAAGCCTTCAACCGAAGCTGTATTCTTATGTTCAATTGGTACAATCGGCCCCACAATCGATTCAAACTGTTACACTGAAGTAAAGAGTACAGAGGGAGTGATGCAGATGGAGAGAAGGGGATTCGAAGGCCGACTTAATTAAAGCAGACATCATTCAGCCAAGCGGTATTAAAGGGAGTACGGAAAACGCACTAGTTCCAACCCAAGCTGTGTAAGGCCTACGCATCCCCGATTCCATTAAGGCCAAGCCTGGGCTCGGGATAGGAAGAATCGATCACAAATGAGGAAAGGCGACAACCCATTTTCATAATCAAATAAGGAACCAGCCCTCCTGTTGCCATATATTCTCTCTCTCTCTCTCTCTCTCTCTCTCTCTCTCTGTCTGTCTGTCTGTTGTCTTCACTCTGGTTTAATTCCTGGGTCCGAACACCGTTGCTCTCTTCCATCTTCTAAACATTAAGACCTTCCTTCCTCATCCTTGAAATCCGACATCCCAGAAAAATAGCAACACCTGGTGAACGCGGAAAACATGGACACCAGGAACGCCACCCAGGGCGAAGCACCCGAAGTTCTGCCTGAGCCCAACCATCCCAGTCAGACCGAGCAACCCGAGCAGCCCGAACCAACAACCATTCGTGTCCATGCTCCGCCTCGAATGGGTCGATTTTCAATCCCGCAAGCGGGGGATCACAAACCACAACCCGCTGGCGACAAGGGAAAGGCCAGAGGGAAGCCTCAGCCCAAGCCCACCACTACTCGTGTCCATGCTCCGCCTCGAATGGGTCGATTTTCAATCCCGCAAGCGGGGGATCACAAACCACAACCCGCTGGCGACAAGGGAAAGGCCAGAGGGAAGCCTCAGCCCAAGCCCACCACTACTCGTGTCCATGCTCCGCCTCGAATGGGTAGATTCTCAGCCCCACAGGCAGAAGAACAGGGACCACAAGCCACGCGTGTTGACAAGGAGGCTAGGAGGATGCCTCGGCCCAAACCAATGAATTCTCGCATACCCATTCGTCCTCGGCTTGGTCCGTTCTCCGCACCGCGGTTGACACAAACAGAAGTTCAAGCAAGGACTAACCAGGACGCAACTAGAAGGAAGCCTCAGCCCTTTCCAGGGCCGGATGTCCTCGACAGTCCGACAAAAGGCACCAACATTACAACCGTGGATATACCGTCATCAGATGCAGAGGCTGATCGCGATAGGAGCCCAACTCGACAGGAAAGGGAACGCCATAATCGTCGAAGAACGGCAAAGTCGGCCCCGGCTCCCGCTGATGTAGAGTCCATGACAAGAGCCGCTCAAACTCCTCAAATAGCATCATCCCCATCCGTCTCAGAAGCTTCGATGAACCCCATCGAAGAGAGTCCAAGTATACGTCTGCAAAGACGAAGAAGGGACAAACCGCGAGAAGAATGGATCGCGATGTCAGCGGCAGCACCAAGGGCAGACTTCGCCCCCGAAAGTTCTGCACCTGAAACACTATCCGGCGCGTGGGGAATGATGGGCACTTCCACAGGGGGGTCGGTCCCAACACTCAGCTTACTTTCTTCGGATGCCGAAATCGACATCCATGGGGGTCCCAATCAAAGGCAACGACAGGAAAAGGGCGACGGTCGTCGAAGTCGAGACATGGAAGAGTCAGCCCTCTCTCCCAGGCCCGACACTGGCCCTATTTCAACATCCTCCGAAATGTCGAAACGTATAGATGGGTCCAAAAGTACAACTCGCAAAGGTTGTTCGAGAGCCTAAGGACCATTGGCCGACGGGAAAACAGGCCAACAGGGCACACGCGAAACTTGAGGTATGGGCGTTGCAAACCTTGCACATATCCTGTTGAACTACTTATCTTGTCGGGATTTCGTCCTTGGATCTTTTGTCGAATCTATTCATTTGCCCAATTTTCAATATGCCTATTGTTCTATGATTATTCATCATCCGAGTAGCATTAAAGGCTCGGGTAATGCCACTGGTTCAAAGTGGCTATGAGTACACATTCTAAAAGTAAGAAGTAAAGAATCTACATTTGAAAGCTTTATGCTTCATCAATGAACTTGAAGTAAAGAATGATTCGTTATTGATGTTTGCAGGTAAGGTATCTAGTGTAAAGATATTTCCGTAACAGGGGATGAATGTAGCGAAAGGTTCACAAGTTCAACTGCTAATCCGATACTCAAAACTTGCGACGGAAATAAGGTTTCAGGCCAGCATGGGGGGTAACAATTGGATAGTTCTCCCCATTTGGCAACCTGGCGTAAACTGGGTGGTTGTATCGCTCGCGTGGTTGGGGCGATGTCAGGCAAGCCGCTTCGGAAGGTGGCCGGGGCGGCGTCACAGCCACTCTGTTTGAGGGCTGGGCCTGGACATGGGAATCTCTCCCCCGAACCTCCACAATGTCTACATCCCCGGTTCCCGTTTCTGCAACCTCGGTTGGCCCCGCGGCCTCTGGTGCTTCCGAGACTGCCGTCCCCGAGCTGGCAAACCCGTACGCCGGCAAGGGCGGCGGCGGGGACGACTCGATGGGGATGACCTCAAGCTGGGTGGTTCTGCCTTGGGGCCGGCGTGTGGGCGGGCGAGGGGGCGAGGAACCGAGGATAATGACTTCAGACTCGTCGAGTCTGTCTCGGGGACGGGGAGGGGGTGAGGAATTGAGGAGAATGACTTCAGACTCGTTGAGTCTGATTTGAGATGGGCGAGGGGGCGAGGAATCGATGGAGATGACCTCAGACTTAACGGTTCTAAGGTTTCGAGGAGGCGAGGACCCAATCACAATGGATCCCTGGTTGGTTGTTTCGGCCTGAGCTGAGTGCTGTGGGATTGCATACAGGTCCACGTCCGCAGGCGCATCCTCTTTCATTTCGATGGCTGAGGAGAGGGGTGAGCTGAGGGATGCCTCGATGCCATCATCACGCGAATTATCCATGGCCATGGTTTCGATGGGGTCATTGGGCATTCCAGGAGAGAATTGAAGGTATGCCGCTTCCGACAAAGGTGTGCCCACATGAAATTTTCCCATGTGGTATTCATACGACGCATGCCGACGGAAAGTCCACCCACAACCACCTTCCGGGCACTGAAATTTGAAATCCGGTCGGTAAACCCGAACACCATTTTCAAGGGGCATGGAGGGGTGGTGCTTCCGATGATGCTCGCGAAAATGGTCGTAATGGCTGAATTCTGAGCCACAGCTCAGGCATTCGTATTCCCCGTCTTGATATTCGTCCGTTGTGATGATCTTGACCAAACGAAACTTGGAATCACAGTCTTTGTGAGCATTTCGTCGATGCTTCTTCCAGCTCGCGTGGCTGGCAAACCGCTTCCCATCGTTGCACTGGGTGCAGAGATACACCCTTTGTAGCGAGCAAGTAGGATTGGGAAGCCTTTTCCATGTCGTCCTCTTTACTGGCCAAATTTCGCGGGTCGTGGGCACGATCGACCCGGCGTTGTGGCCATGGACATGAATTCGATGGCCATTGAATGCCACAATGTCCGGGAATTCCCGGGGACACATCGGGCATTCGAAGATGATAAATTGGACGCAGGTTGGTCCGCCATGTTGCCGTTGAATCTGGTTTGATGCCTGTCATTTAACGTTAACTCATGATACTATCGATTTTGAGGCTGAAATGGATACCATACCACATCCTCTTCTGGTATGTTGCTGGCATCATTGACCTGTGGGTCGGGGGTGGAGTACCACCCACGGATGGTTCCCACGTGGCATCTGGAACATCAACACAGGATTCCTAATCCTCGGATGTGCTCAACTCTGCCAGTGTGATACTGGATGGGTCATTGGAAGGTGCCATTTTGAGAACCACGTCCTGGATATTATTGCTCAGTTCATGAAAAATTATGTATCACGAATCCAAGTGGACACTGTACCATGTATGAGCATGTGATCCCGGATTTGCCCCACTTACCCCGCTTTCCTACCTCCATCCCTCAATCTTCATCCTTGCCGCACCCTTCTATCCCATCTCATTCTCGTTATTCAAGAACACCATCGAGGTTATCATCCTTGCCTACCAAGCTATATTCATGATTCGCGCTATATACTCCTCGGAGTAATCGGACATGCGACTCAGACCTAGATCGCAAATCCCTTGCCTCCTCCCACCGGATTGTGGGATCTTGGCCGTCGGGCGAAAAGAACCTTCAGAATTCTCCACCAACACCCAATTGACTCTATAAACCTAATCTTCCTCTTCTTCTCGGTGAGTTTGAGATGCATCTAGATCGTCCCATGCGTTGATTGATAGCTAACCCCAGTCTAGCACCCCCAGGGAGGATTATCAAAATGAGTCCTTCGCACCATACACTCAACATCCCACACACGGAGCTTGACACGGTGGAGGAGTAGGGTTCCTCTATCGATGTCGCAGATGTGCCTCGAAGACCACCCGTAGGAGCTTCCCCGTCCCCTAGCCCTCTAACAAATGGCGCCGACAGACCGCCATCCCACACCGAGGATCTTGCCCTCCTGGTTAGCGACGATGAGGCCGAATGTGACGACCTGCCTCTCATCAACGACATCCAATCTCGGTCGAAGGACCCCGCTGCCGTCATTTTCTTCGTCCGTTCATCCAGGGCCTGGAAAGAAGGCAAGGTACCACCGACGGAAGCCTGGCTTCTTGGGTTCTGTGCGCAGCTTCAAGCGCGTTGGACAGCGGAGTTTGGTGAATTCCTTGGACCGATTCAACACATTACTGCTGTGCAATCTGCTGTCCTGCCCCTGAGGCCGAAGTACGACCAGCTGTTCTCGGATTTCTTGAACAGCGTCGAGGGCAGAAGGGTGGAATTGGTCGTTTCTGGGCGGGACGGGTTTCTCACGGACGAGCGAAATTTCAGTGCTTTTCTGCATAAATTTCGCGGGAAACATTGGAGCTTGACGGTATACCGAACAGGGTATGACACGTTCTTGCATATCGACCTCCGCCAGCTTCTGGCACACTGGGAGCAGCCGATGGCATCTCCGGCTGCTCCCAGGAGCGTGATAGGTTTCGCGGGGGACCTACGGCAGGCGAGCGAGCGTCGCCTCGAGATGGGGCAGGCCGGGCGCCGGCTCAAGGCATTAGAACCCGGTGGCAGAAATAAGATCAGGGGAAAGGAGGGCAATGCTGATCTGGACGTCGAGGAGGTAAGAGGTTTTTTACTTTACAAATCATTGCATAGCCCTTAGGTTCTGACTGACTTGAAAAACAGCGAGGTCCCGTTTCGTTAAAAACCTCTTCTACGTTTCACATCGTCGAGTGTCAGCATTGCCCTCGGGAGTTCCCCTCGGTCGGTGCATACCAGAGCCACCAGGACCGTGTCCATGGCGTCGACTTCTCGGCTCCGCCCACATTCCGAGAGATTAGTCGACAGAAAAAGTGCGGTCGCCAACCACCCAACCCTACTTCGTCGCTCCAGAGAGTGTTCCTTTGTGTAGACTGCCCGGAGGATGGCCGGGACCAATTCCTGACGTATACAAGCTGGCAGAGTCACAGACGGAATCGCCACCAGGGTGGGGGAAGCTCGGATCCTTTGATCCAAATGGTTTGGAACGATGATCTTTTCGTCTTGCCCTTCGAATGCGTGGTTTGTGGTATGGACTTTGGCAGCAGAGAAAACGCACTGAAGCACCACCGACTGAACCACTCCGGTAGGTCCGACTCGGATGATCAATATCAGGTCTGCCTGGAGAACCACAAATTCAAATGTCCAGTCGAGGGCTGTGACTGGACTTTCCTCCGATACAGCTCGTATATATACCATGCGAGCAAGTCCCACCCGGGCTCGCCACCGGAGGAGCCGGAGTATCGGGAATACCAGGGCAAGTTGCCGCCCAACGACCCCTACGATATTCTTGATACCGAATGTTCGCCGCTGCGATCATCGAGTCCTTCTTCTCACTCTTCCCTCTCTCATCGAGAAACCCCCGCTCGATTCGAAATTTCACCTACAGATGAAAACCGGCCCTGTCTACCAATCCTTATGGACTTGGAAGACGGTCCTCTTGACCATCAAGACTGGGGGGGTCTTGACGAAATACCTGAGACTTCCGACGCTTTTCTGTCTCCCTCCGCTGATGATGTTCTTATGGCACCTCTCCCGCAACATCCACCTGTGTCTGACGAGGTTCCCATGACGCCTCTCCTGAGATTCACAGTCTCGGAATGCCCATCCCCGCCCAACATCAGCCGATACCATCCCTATCTTGATCCCCTCATTGATGACGTGACCGTGTATCCCATTTCCGATCCGCTCCAGGGTATCATGTCGTACTTTGTCTGCTTCAAGTGACGTATAATTATTTTCATGTCACTGCACCAATCGGAGTATAGTTATGCTCCTTGACATAGTATATAAGCAATATGAATAACAAAATCTTTAGCGTCAACTTCTGAGGTCTTCTGGGGCTTATTAGACAACCCAAGGTTGACTTTTGTATTAAATTTCGAACAGTTAACTCGGGTATCCGGTATTATGATTAAAGGAACTATGGACATACATCAAAAGGGTTTTACTATGATCTTCAAAAATGAAGTGCTCTCCATCTAGACGGTAAGCAAAACAAAAATCAGAAGAAGAATCATGCTTCGATGAAGACAGAAACTAAGCTTCTAGAGGTGATAATCTAGTATCCTAAAGCTAGAAATAAAACCCAGTCAACTTCGTGCCCGTAAACCGCATCCATCTGTGTGAGCGATGTGCAGCCGGAATAGGTCCCCAACGCCCACAAATAGAGGAACCTCAACACGACTATAGTCCTGACACGAAAAGATATCTTGGAAGGTCACTAGTAAAATTATGTACATAAGCAATTCATACCTACGTCTATCCTCCTCAAGTCAGGCAAAGTCCTTGGGCTAAAAGGGGAGACCCCATTGTACCTGAAGATGATATCATAGAAAAGTGCTCCGTACTTTCATATTCTAGGAAACAAACCTCTCAGGCAATCCAATGACCAACATATCCAGGCTTATAAACAACTCGGCTTAATGTGACACTCACAATAGAGAAAGAAGAGAATAAATCGTTTGGTAGTTAGACCAGGGATCTTCTGTGAAAGAACCTGACCTTCGGTTGTTCGTATTGACTAAATTAAGTCACACCGGATTAAAGTACATGATTATACATAACTTGGAGGAGATAAGTCTATCAGGATACCCCGGAGCCAATTAAAAATATGGATATGCGTAACTGAAAGAAAAGCAATAGAAAGAAAAGCGAGAACCCCACAAACTAAGCCAAAAATGCAAGCAGTTCGTTCTCCACACGATCGATATCGAATTTGTTGGGGTACATGAGCTAGTTATAAGCCAAGATTCCAGCCAGCCAGCCTTGTGCATCGTTAAAGTGGACACCAACATAGCCTTCAGTTGGGGGGCTCATTAGACATGACAACTTGTCGTCTTCATGGAATCTCCCCGCCAAAGGCTCCACGATGTCTTGTTGGTGGTCTGCTAGTGCTTCATCGGCTATTTCCACGTCGACAATATCTATGATCAGTCCCTGCTTAGCCAGGTACTCCAGCAACCGGCCAACCAGTTGTATCTGGGCTGCCTGCCAGGTAATAGTAGCTATCACCTGGTCTTGGAGTTCCGGAGGCCCACGCCCGTCAAGGGCGAACTGACAGGCAGTTGCAAGGGTGCAATAGTCGACCGCACTCTTTAGCGGACCAAGGTCTTTCAAGTAGCTTTCTATCACGAGAGCTTTCATGTCTGTGCTGGTGCTGTCTTTCAGAAAGCTGTCTGCCACCAACGCCTGCGCTGGTTCTCGGCCTGGACTTGGCCTGCCACGAAGTCTTCTCCAAAAAGTGCGGATGGCGGATCGTGATTGCAGAAGTGGCTCGTGGCGCTCTTGGGAGGATGCGACATTTGTGATCGCGGTCGCAATTTTCGGTGTTAGAATGAAGTGCGAGATGTTATGGGATAGAAGAGCGCGGGCAGAGGGGACCACCAGCGGTGTAGAGGTTTCCTGGCCAGGCCCAACGTGACGCATCTCGTCAACTATTCGACTGCGATGTTGTGAGACTCTCTCCTCGGGGTGGGTGGTAAGCTCTCCCACAAACGCCGCTCCGAATAGAGAACACCGGTTTCGGCCGGAGCCAGAGGTATAGGCCCAGGACTGTTCGCCGATGGTGGCTGCTGTCTCGACAAGGACATCTCGCTGAGCGCCAAGCTCGGGGGCTATCGTGGCCCATGTATCGGAGTAGCAGGCTTCGTTGACGATAAGAAGGCGGACATCAGGCGGCAAGACTGAGAGAGCGGCGATCATCTCGGCTTTGGACAGAAATTCCTGTTTTCCGTGCTGGGGATATAGCGTGACAGCACCGTCTCTCTGGGTACCATGCCCGATCAGAACGACTATGATGCGATCGCCAGAGCGGACTTGGTCGGAGACATTTCGAGCTCAGTCCATAATGTGTGGTTTCAGGCTATAGGCCTCTAGTCGATAAAATGGGCTCATAGCCTCCTGGCTGTCGTAAATAGGGATTCTCTCTCGTAAGTCCTCTCGCCCAAACAGAAACGGCCCGGACATATTCGTGATATCGTAGAGATGGGTTCCGGAGAGACATGTCGGATTCAGCCGTCTGCCATGAACTTCTTCGGGATCATCACAAAGTCAGTTTCCAGGGCCGTACGCGAAGGTATGAAACGCAAGCGCGGACATTTTTGAACAGGTGAATGGCTCTGTATTCGAACAGCGACTGGCAGTGAACAGTGTTAAGGTGGAGGGAGGGGAGCCCGGCCGAAGGTTGTTGACATCGGGATGACCCAAACACTCTGAGATGCCTTGGGTTAACCACGGTACCGCATCGTGCCTTCTTCACAAACAACTAATAATTTCCTTTTGTCCTGGTGGCTCTAGTACAAGCCTGAACTTTCAGCCTCCCTCATGTAGCTTTTTATTCATCAGCGTCAGCTTCTGAGAGAATACTAACATTTATTTTGTATTTCTGAAATGCGAAAGTTAACTAGGTCAACTTTATCAAATCCGGTATGATGATTAGACCAGATAGCTAAAGTTTTTTCACAGGAATCGTCAAAAGTTAAATACTACTGTCGAACAAATTAAAGGCAAAATACCGCTAGACTAGTAACACCTCGTAGGGTATATCTATAGTCTATACGGTTGTTTCTAGTTTCTGACGACTCCTGGGACAGTAAGCAAAACAGAAATTAAAACATGAAATGCCAGTCTTCAATGCAGAGAGAAATCATACTTCTAAATGTAATGAGCAACTGTCCTGTAGCCAGAAATTAAATTAGGTTGCTTCGCGCTTTGGACCGCATTCATATCTCCGAGCGAGGAGCAGCAGGAACACCCCCGACGAGGGATTCAACTACAAATAGAGGAGCATGAACCCGAGCATAGTCCCGACAAAGAAGGCTATCAAGGTCACTATAAAATTCCTTTACACGAGAAACTGATACCTAAGTCTATGGTCCACAAGCCAGGACGGCCCCTTGAGATAAAGAGGAAACACAATGGCATTGTGCTTGAAAATGATATAGAAGGGGTCATCCAGGAATTTTGCTTTTCAATGGAGGTCATACATGCCCTGTGGAAACTACCAATTTCAATAAGAGGTAAAAGGATCTGTTTAGAATTTCAAGCACTTCAATCCTTTTATCTTCTTATGTCTAAGCATATAAAGTCGTTAGCACAGTGCTACCATGGGTTTCATGGATCTCCGACGCTTCCAGCTCCCATTCTAGTCGGCCTCTCTTTCATCAGCTTTTCATCGCTGACCAAGAAATTGCTCTCCTGGAAAGTTGTAATTCTGGACCAATATCCGTTTTCTTGTATCATGGTCTATTCGGAAGGATATTAGATTCTACATTGGAAAGAAGGGCTCGCTGTACGGGGGTATCAGTCAATCTCCTACCTAGGTACCTGTAAGAGTGGCCATTAAAGTGGTAGACTGTATGTCACCAATTATTTATTTTGGAAATTTCGGGCTCTTGAGCTTAGATGTATATCTGACCAATAATTTTGAGAACCTCCCAGAATTTTTTGAATCTAGGTTAGAAAATGATTGAAATGGTACATTCGAATGTTTGCGAGAAGTGGGATTGTGTCACTACGCAGATACTAAAATAACTCGCAATTCTACTGTAATTCAACTTCACAACCAAACATTAGTCTGCAATTAATAACTAATACACCAGGATTATTCATGACCTGTCTATCTCTAATTATGCCCCTTCATCCGTCTATAGTATGGAATTTCAAGAAAGAAGGTGTCAGGTGGGCATTTATGTCCTGAGAACACAGAGTGTCAAGACTTCCTAGTATTTAACAGGTTGGATATGGTCCGATGATGGCCTTGATTTGAGAACTTGTTCGATGTGAAAAAATTGACGATTAGAAGAAAAACACTTGCGTTTGGCAAAGCAGAGAGGAGGGAAATATAAAATGATCCCGTGAACCAGCCGGATCCGGAATACGGGCAATCGTAGCGGCCGTAGTGACCGTAGTGACGAGAGCTCGGATTGATTGAGGAGATGATGAAGGAGGATCTCCCTATCTAGTGAAGCGGCTCTGCTTGAGCGGAGCCGTCTACCTCCCCGATCACTTGGGTCGATAGACCCGAGCGGTGAAATAATGAGGACGGCGGCGTTTAGATCTTCATGACAGTATGCTTGGAGAGGAGTTTGATGGTATAGTAGCTCTGAAACTCTATTTTTTTTCTTTGGTTTTTGGTTTTGGGGCTGAGGGTCATTAATGTAATAGGATTCTCCCATTGCCAGTGGGATTCTCCCATCGCCAGTGGGATTCTGCCATCGCTCGTGGGATTCTCCTGGCGTTAGCGTATTCTGCCAGGCGGTGAAATGGGGCCATTAGCTACTCCCACCTCGACATACTGTCTTATCCATATTCATGTATCCACAGTCACCAATAAAATGGCATTTCTTCATCGAGTCTCGTTCCGGTGATTGCGGCCCAACAGTGTCGGAACACTTGTGACGACCACTGAAATAGAGCCGTAATAGCGCAAGGACAAGAACGATAGAATAAAGCGTTGTTATTGGATGACTGGTAATGACTGTGGATACATGAATGTGGTAGTTAAAAGCACGAAATGCGAAGGAAGTAACGTTATGGCACCGGTTCACCGCCCGGCAAAATACGCCAACAAGGATTCTCGGCGCTAGTGGGATTTTAACTCATCCAATCTCCATCCGAGGTCCGCACCAGTCTCCACTATTGATTATTTTGAGTTTCCAATACTAGTATACCGCCAAAGTCCTAAACACCCTCTCATCCTAAAAACACAGCCTGCCCACCATCCCCATCTTCTACTCCACCCACTCTCTATCCCTCTTTCTTCCCTCTTTCTTCCCTCTTTCTTCCCTCTTTCTTCCCTCCATCTCTTTCCATTACTCTCCAATCTCCATCACTCTCTCTATCACTCTCTGTCACTCTCTGTCACTCTCTGTCACTCTCTGTCACTCTCTGTCACTCTCTGTCACTCTCTGTCACTCTCTGTCACTCTCTGTCACTCTCTGTCACTCTCTGTCACTCTCTGTCACTCTCTGTCACCCTCCCAGCAATATGGTGTCAGCTTCCCCCCAGGACGGCCGCAGACGCAAACACAGCGAGATCAACCATGATTACAGAGATCGAATGAAGAGGCTCAAGACTATCCTCGCGATACTGCTGGCACCCGCAGGCCCATATGACCTCGACTTTCCGACCTTTGGTAGTGCCGGAATCCAGGAAATAAAAACTTTCATCCAAGGGATTGACGAGCACGCCGAATGGGCGCTATCGAATGAGGAGCGTGGCCAGCTCGCAGTCGATGCAGCTATGGCAGCGGGTCCCGGTGGCCAGTCATACGCCTTGATGGCTCTCGCGTTCTTGATCCCGGACCTGATGGCGGTCCCGTCGACGGTGATTCGAATCACCGAGTTTCAGACCCTTCAGGACACCCTAGCAACTAAATTCTCTCGTCCTATTCATTATCGTGCTAGCGGTTCAGATACCTCTCCCTTGGGCCATCGATTCGGGATCAGCCCATTCTGGTTGTATCTCGAGGAACATGCAACTAAAGAGATCAACGTCTACGACTACTCCGTCAAAAATAGCGCCGATAGAACGCGACGGTGCACCGTCAAGCAAGCGATGGCCCACTGGGAGGAGCGCCCCCGCAACGAACGGTCCGCATTGAATCTGCTGGATATCGAGAATCGATCGCAAACCCAGTACTATCCACAAGCACTCCGCCCATATGACCTAGAGGGGATCCTTTCTCGGAGGGACGCCGGGGCTATCGGGAAAACCGACTCCCAATGGAAAGGGAGCGACCAGCGTGAGTTTTTCCTGATGAGCGAGAAAAACGCGGTATCCTCCATCCACGTGGATACCGGTGCCCAGGTCACCTGGGTCCAGATCCTCGCAGGACGGAAGATCTGGTACTTTCCGCGCGACCTAACCGGGAGTACGAGGTGCCTGGCACACGGGGGCTCTCTGGAATATCAACTCTTCGATGCTGGCTGGGCCAAGGTAGAGCTCCGCGCAGGCGATCTTTTGTGAGTCACCACGCTTCTGATCATCATCACCATCATCATTTTCATATTATTATCACCAACTAAGCTAACCCTATCTTGCACTAGGATCATGCCGCCGAGTTGTCCACACGCTGTGTTCACGCCAGAGGACTGCCTTGCGGTTGGAGGCCAAGTCTACACCGCTGCTCACCTGAGCTCCTCTCTCGATGGGCTCCGGATGCAGGAGGCGTTCCCCGCCATCAGCAATGAAGACGTCAAGGCCGACACCTATCACCTCCTCTCCTGCATTTTCACCACCCTGGAAAAAATCTCCATGGAGAACCGCATTATTCGTGAATCTCTGCGTCCAGCCGCGCTGGCCATCTCGACCTCTGCATACCTCGAAGCCCTCGACGTGAATATGGCCAACTCACAACCTGCACCCTCAACCGTGGGCACGGCCAAGTCCACCAAGTCGACCAAGCCTACGCACTCCACCGTCGATACGGCCACCCTACAACCCGCGAAGCGTGCAAAGCCGGCGCGCTCCACTGCCGATACGACGAACACGGAGCACGGGCTCTCCGAATGGGAATCCTCGCGAACCGCACAGCGTGTAGAGCAACGGGGGTCGGCACAGTCGTTGATTGACCTGACGGCTCGTAAGACACTTGTGGAGATTCTCACGGAGCGCGAGAAACGGTACCATGTGGCAATCGGACTCATAGACGCGCCACAGGAGTAGGAGGAGCCAATCCAGTAGCGCTGGAAGCCGGTTTGGTTGGGAGAAGGAGGATAACTCTGCGGACGAGGAGTACATAGTGTCATCAGGATGGAGGAGACAACTTTTTGTATGATTTCACAAGGTCATACATAGCACATGAACCATGCCGGGCCGACCAAGACACTTAGAGATAGTACTATTACCGAATACCATTGCACAAAATACCATAACAATATTGTAGATATCAACAATGTGACAGCTACGAAGTACTTGGAAATGGGCCAATCAGGGCAACGGAATCAGAAAGGGGAGATTGATATTGAATTGAATGATTAATTGAAAAGAGACATGAAATGAGGGTGCTCATGGGGGTTGAAATACCCATGAGCTTACAGTATAACGAGGATCCTCGGATGTTACAAATCCGGGATGCCTGATTGCAACAAACTTGCCTTGGGCAGACATACTTTAGTGTTATCTCATGCATGCAGGTAGGTGTCACTCTGCATGCTGCATGTTGTGATAAGAGTGCCGACCCATTCGGGTTGACAGTAGATCATATTGCATTTTCAGCTACCACAGTCAGAACATAATATTCGATAAGTACTAGCCATGCAATTTTCAATGAGCTTTTGTCTATCACGTTCATGATGACCTCTACCGTGAACTCAAGCTCCTGATAGCCCAATACTATCTTTATCATTGCATTTACATCGCTTTTGCATCCTTGAGTCCCGATGTAACGATAATCTACCACTATCTCAGTCTGGAAAACATTCTTGCCTTGAAATTCAAATTGATGAACCATAACATTATCCATAGCCTCATCCAGAACTTCGAACCGGTATCTCCCCAACATTGCTAGCCTTCATTGACTACCAATGGGGGGTCCAATTATGTTTTCAATGAAATCCACAGGATCCTCCCGATCCTTCCCTTTGGTGTTTCAGACGAATAAAGCGAGGCTCATCTTGGTCTACAGCGTTCACCAACAGTCTAGTACCAAAGGTGGCCTTCATGACAAAGCCGGGTACTAACCAAGATTGGTCTTGAGGCAAACTCAAATTTTGAAACAACGTAACGTAGTTGCCAGGCGACATTCTTCGCGTCGTAATGAGCAATAAGCGGCCCACTTCTGGACGTTTCTGGAGGGGTCAGAACGATATCGACGGCGCAGCCCCGATCAAACGAGAAATTTCAGGCATGGTATGTCAATCGTACAGAATGTTCTACCTGGCATTATATTCCATTTTAACTCTATTGAAGCAGCAGAACCCGCAGTACCCACCGAGTCAACAGTTGTCTACTAGCTACTCGACCAAACAATTCTCTGCTGCGTGCCCTGCAATTCACATGGAGGTGCTGATTCGGACTAGTCACTCAAGGACACGACAGCCTTCATCAGTACGGTCTGCCCCTGTCTAGTCAACAGTGGTGCAGGTTCCCCAAACCCATACTGGCCAACCTCGTGCGCCGGTTGCGTCGCCTCTACTCCCAGACACAGGCTATGGAGCGCCACAGACAGTGCAGCCGAACCCAATTCGACTGGGTTGGCTTTGACGAAGCTAACCTTTTCAAAGTCAGCTTCAGCAAGGAACTGTTTGTTCCTTCGAGAATGTCCGTAATCGACTGCCAGTGCATAGGCATTATTCGACGTCTCTGCCTTTTGAGTTTTGACCCAATACCGAATGACTTTCTTCGCGGGGTTGGAAGGGACAAAATTCCGAGTGAGACAATCTCTCGATATGTCAATGCTCCTGACCGTGGTACGGTGTTCCGTGATACATCGAGCCTTCAACATTTGCAAGCGATCCAACTATTACACTACCTGATCGCACAGAGCCCCCGTCTGAACGATAATTTATTGCGCATCATGGACATGGAGCGCCTTTTCGAGGCGTAGATTGATACAATGGTCCACAGCCTCGGAGATTGCTCCTATCACACTGGCCTATTGTCTGCTGGATGCCTGAAATGGTACTCTGCCGGATTGGAATTTGTTCAGTGGCTATCACGGCAGCGAAGTCCCTCAGTATTTCAGTGCTCCTGATGTATCTTGACCGTCTTCCTGAAGTTGCGGATATTCACCAGCCATGCGTTTAGTCAAGGGGCCAAGGAGTCTCCACTGACGGCTGATGCTAGAGATAATGACGGAAGCGGTTCGAGCCCAATGTCAACTGAGTGCCAGACTTCCCAAAGTTGCTATCATGTTGGGCGGGACCGGCAGCCCGAGACACATAGTCAAGAATATCGGTCAGATCAGTGCTGATGGAAAGCAAATTGAGGCACTGACTAAGATAGACAAAGCCGTTCCTCAGGTCCTTCTGCATCGGCTAGTAGGAGAATATTCTATCCAGCAGTCTCTTATCTACGAGCCCAAGGGGATGACCTAAATGCCCTCCACAAGCTTCATGTCCCTTCACACTGGTTTACCAGGACCAGTTCTACAAAGTACCACATGTGCGAAACACCTTAACTCGACTCCTCTACTCATCATTCATCATTGTCGAGAGCTTCATGTACCTCGGGGTCAAATGGAGCGCCTTTGATAATTCCATAGTGCTTCCGAGCAACACGGGATGAAATGGTAACCCTATGTACCGAAGATGAAATCTCGGAGGGTGTTTGGCCAGAGCGCCCCTAACAACGACTGTCCAGCCATCAGTGGAATGTTCGTTGTGAGATATTCACGAAGGAAGTTATTCTGTCCGAATCCGCCAATGACGAGTGCAGCCTTGACAGGACTTTTTGATAATTTGATCTGCTTCAATGCGAGATTGAGAATTTCCTCCAGGACCAGAAGAAATATTCAACGCATTTCCTCCACAGTGACACTGAAGAAGCCTCGGTGAACATTGAGATCTTGATCATCACCAATCCCAGGAACAGGGAAATACAACTTAAACGTTTCCGTATCCGTGAATCTTCTCTTGGCCCAGGCTTCAAATCGTGACATGGCTTGCTCCAAGGTGTCACTGTCCCATCCTGGGGCAGCTTCGAGTCTCGATCGGAGAAAGTCTTCAAAATGTCTGTTCAAGAGTGTACTCCCACAATATGACCTCGTGCCGGCCGCAGCCTCGCAGAGACGTATCACTGGGGAAGTTTGTTCGATGGTGAAGGTAATCAAATCAACCGTGCCGCCTCCAGCATCCATCAGGAGTACTGTGCCATTGACCTGAAAATCATATCTTTTCTAACTTCATCTTGCGAGTTCTATCATATCTGATAATTCCTACGATAAGAAATCAGAGACTAGTAAGCAGAAAGTGGGCTAAGAGAAAAAACCTTCATATTCTTCTTTCCTACTATTTTCTTCTTTTTCCTAGATAAACTGTAGTTGTATTATTGGTCAATTTTCCCAACTATCGCTTACAAAATATTCAGTTCTTACCATATTTCACTTTAAATCTTATCTTAGAAGGTTTTTAATGAGAAAGCAGCGACTCGTAAACGAAAAGTGTTTATATAAAGAAAGGTCCGTATTCGTCTTTCATACTAATCACGAGGTAATAGAACCACCGAGTCGGTCTCCTTGAGTTCAAGAAGATTGAAGCCGAAGTCAATGGTGGATTTATCCCAGAACAATGCCTGGAATTTTGAGGAGTCCGTATCTCGGAGCTCTGTATCTGTAATGCCCGGATGGTAAACCCGAAACACCCGGACCCAACGGTTGTATAGCTCCCTGACTTCGACAAGGCTGTCTTTTTTCTTTGAAAAGGTGCGTTTTTGACTTGCCACTGGCCCGTAATGGATCCTGGATGTTCACCACTTCGGTGAACGTTTTGTATGAGATCATAAATCTTCCGTCACCATTGGGCATCAGGACCATGGGGTACTCAAGGGGTTCGAGGAAGCGATATGAGCCTCGGCCAGCTTTGTGGATCCTGTTAGCCTTTAGTATCACTAGCGATTCATCAATACGTACCCTTGAACATCCCCTTGGCGCTAGGGGTCGCCTTGCGTCTCGCCCGACTCATTTTCTCGACAATTCGCAGCTTTTCCGGGTCGTGTTCCCGCGACCGCTCCTCCGCCCATCTATTGTTCGAGGTTTCTCGCCATCTCAGCCGAGCAGCCTCTTTGGAATCCATCCCGATGCTGATATCGCCCCGTCCCAGAGTCAGTAGACTGGATCCTACACCCAAAGACAGCGAAACAAGGCAAGGAACTCACAGAGATGGATAACAAAGCTAGTAGGTCTTCTTTGCAAGGAAACAAAAGGAGCACGTCAGAGAAAATCAAGAAATTGCGGAGTTCTGAGGAGGGTCGGGTAGAGGATCAAAAGAAGTGGCGAAAAGTTTCAAAAGATGAGGATGTGGATCGAGTGAGGAAGGGATAGGGAGAGAGTAGAGAGAAGATGGGTACCGTGAGAAACACGAGCCTTGAAAAGGTGATGACAAGGTTGAGATGCAACGTTGGTGGGGAGAGTAGGCGTAGGCTTAGGTCGAGAACGCGAAGAAATGAGAAGTTGGAGAAAGGAAAGATCAAGAGGGTGGAGCAGAGGAGAAAGGAAGGTCAGAAGAACAGAGTGATATCTTGCCCCTAAATATTTCCCTAGCGCCAGGCATCTTCTTGCGCTTTCCACTGTTTAGGTTGCCGACCATTTTCAACTTTCAAGGGTCATGTTCCTGTGACCTTTCTTCAGTCTATTTGCCCTACCCCTGTTCATATAACGGTCTCGGGTTTGTGTTTGGCCTTGAATGTATCATTAGCACTAGTAATCTCTTTGCAATTTTCCTGGCCTAGGTTGTTAACCATTCCGGAGAGTGTTGAGTTCGATATTGCATAGAAAACGTAGAGACTTACTAACGTGTAAGAGAATCTCTTGCGCTGTTCACGGGCTTAAGTTCATTGGTTCCAGGCACTCTGAGGGTCCTGTTTTCGTGACTGCTCTTCTGCCCATTTCACTCTGGCCTGTGTGTGGAATCTTGCCCTCCGTGAACTTATTTTGGTGATTATCTTCCCTAGTTCGTGATTATAGAGAAGAAGGATATGAGAGAAAGGTAGAAGCCTGAAGATAAGTCGAGCGGATAAGCCATCATTAGTTGATAAATAAAGAAAATCGGGCACGGGAGTATTGCGACCTACCTGGAATATCCCATTCCTTGTCATTCATATATACCCATGAAAAGAATCCGTGCCATCAGCGGCACCCCGTGTTCCCCTACGGTATTGCACTGCACCCGTGATGTTTTGTGCATATGGCATGCATCACTGAAGATCCCGCGCTCGGCCTGCTCGATGGGGTTTGAGTGATTAAATCTTTCTTGGTACGAAGCATATGTCACCATACCCAAATAATGCGCTTGGTTTGGCGTAATATCCTGCTCCCTTTGAGCACATATAATTCCAGAGCATTGTTTATGTTCAAAGGGTCGATCCGTAGGTTGCTGAGGGTTTTGCTGGCCTGACATCTGTCCCTGTCCACATCCATTGGGAGCTAATGGCTGACCATTCATGGCACCTCCTTGGAGGTGAGGGCGTTTCGAGTGCGAGTGGGCGTTATCAGCAGATGCAGGTGACTGTGGCCGCATCCATCTAGTGCTTTCTGTTCAACAAAAAGACAGTGAAATAGCTCACAATGATCGGGATGTTTAAATATTGAGCAAGGTGTAGCCAAAAGAAGTCATTATATAGCGGAGGTATGGGTTCTTCGAGAAGGCTGGAGGTGGCTTCAAAATTATAATTAACTCAACAATTCATAGTTAGTGCTGAGGGGAGGAGAGGTTGTGTCCGGAGGCCCGTAAAGATAGACTTTATATTGGGCCTTTTTTGCCTCGTTGCCTTGTACACAATGTTCATAGAATGATTGGTGTTTCTTTCTCTGTTTTTCCTTTTAATTTTCTACTTTCTCTTAATCTCAGCGGCCTTTGTTGGATAGGCGTCTTCTCTCCCCTTCTCTTTCTTTATCTCTCTTTGTCGCTCGTTCTCTCTCTTTTTCTCTCTATTTCATTTTCTCTCCTTCTCTCCATTTAACAGCTTCTTTCTAACATCCGGACTGTCCCAGACGACACCTGCATTTGGTGGTACCTCTATCCACCATCGCAAATTGGGTCTCCCAGATTAGCGAGCATATCAAGCAAGGCTCGTTGAAATACTATGTTTTTCATGATGCTTCACGGAACATTGACCTGGAGGAGCTCTACAAGCTTGATCTGCTGATCACAACTATTCTACAGTATACAGCGAGTTGCTCGGACGAGGTGCGAAGCGTGGCAGTCCCTTGGTCAAATGAACATGTTTCGAATCCTTCTGGATGAGGCACACACCATCCGAGAGCTGAGCAACCAACAGACCAAAGCAGTTCTGAGCCTCCAAGCGCTGCGTCACTGGTCTATTACTGGTACGCCAATCCAAAATCGTCTGGAAGATCTACTCTCGGTGACTAAGTTCTTGCGGCTGTTCCCCTATGATAATCTGGCTCGATTGTCTCCACATGTCATCAGCCCCATGAAAAACCGGGAACGCGCACGCCCTTGCAAGCCTGAGAGTCTTGATTGACTCCTTCACGCTGCGCCGAGTCAAGAAGATGCTTGATTTGCCTAAGCGGACGGACAAGATCCTCACATTGGAATTCTCAGAGAAGGAAGCGCAGTTGCATGAGTTCATCTAGAATGAATTATTTTCGCCAGAACAACGTGAGGGTTGTGCATCGAATGAAACATCTTAGGGGGGGCCCGCCGTGGGGGCTGAATAGTAAGAGTGTTTGCTGAGAATTGTGCGGATTTATATGGCTGAACCAAGGAAGCACAAAGGGCAGGCCGATAAGCGGCACCTCTGGTAAATGATGCCCCTAATACTGCCCTTAAGACGGCCTGCCTTATATACAGTGGAGTTTGATAAGTCTTTGTCTACCTTGTGATGATATAATATTCTGCCAGCCAAATAATCTCTCCATTATCTACCTCACCCGCAAGAAATTCATCTTTTCAAGCTAATGGCAGAGCGAAATGGACCATATACTAATAACAAAATTCAAACTTTAGGCAAGTTATCGCACTCTGATTAGCTAGCTGGCACAAGCCCTGATTGGCTAATGAAATTAAAACAATGTCGCCTCACGTGATACGCACCCTTGTTTTTGACGGAACAGAAGCAGCAGTATACCGGAGAACGGAGATAGTAACTTGTCTATTGTAGTGGGGGAACCGCTGCCAGAATATCCTTTGAGTGCATACTGCCAACAACAGTCTTTTCTATTTGACTTGGTCGATTCCTTCTGTGAGAGCTCTCTTTCGGTATTGTCATGTTTTACTTGATTGTTTTGTTCGTTTGTTTGCTCCATTTGCACTGTTTGGCCTGTTTGTTCTGTTGTCCCTGGCTAAGGCTTCATGTATGGAGAGGGGAGGATAAAAAAAAGACACACACACAACTTTCAATGATTTTAGCAGTCTAGTCGATTTTGTGAGAATTTACTCGTTTTTCGGTTTCTTAGAAGCTCTTGAAGATTGCATTTCTACCCGCCGTATCGCACCCTCTTTCCTCCCCGACGCTCTGGGGATCTGTTGGCTGGTAGACGACAGAGACACTGATGATTCATCCCATCCTGGAGACCCCCGAATCACCACTGACTATGTTGATTGGGTTGGTTGTTTCCTGTGCCAGTTGTCTATCCCCTTTCGTGCCTCGACCTGTCTGTTTCAACCAGACTGCCATTAGTGCATCCCCTTGTTTACTAGCAATATAGACCTAGCCTTTGAAGATAATATAGGGCGGCAGCGAATAGCCGTTAGCGTATATGTAAAGATATACTCTATAAGTCAGGATAGAGGCCTGTCGATCAGGTTGGAGAAAGGGACCAAGTCAGATGTACCGAATAGTCAAAGACTGTTTCTTGAGGAACGTAAGGGTTCCTCTTCATGGTTCAATTTATATACAGTCTTGTTTCACAGAACAGGAAGGAGAATCATCCTAGTCATAAGAGGGGATCAAGATGAACACGAGGCTCGTGTAACCTTCTTGCAGGGATTCCCCTTGTAGGGGTTCGCTCTCCATGTGGCTAACGGAAGGCCAAGGAGTTGTTACCGAAAGGCCGCCGAACTGGAAGCCTTAGGCACCCAGGTGTGAATAACCTCATGCTTATGTCGGGTATATCATAACAGTATATCGTTTCGATTGTAGTAACCTATTCGCGGTTTCCTAGCTATAGAATAGATCGCTGACCGTAGTATTCTGCTTATGTAACCACCTTCTGCGATGATATAAAGCCTATCGCAAAGCCTATCCCATCAAAGTTGGAGATATCCTCTAGTTGGATGCTATTCTTATTGATCGCGCATTGTACTATCAAAAACTACTTTTTTATAGCCTTTAGATCCTCGTTAAGAGTGCGCTTATAATCATATCGCTTAGACTAGCGCGATTGAGGCTCATCACGTCGATTCATAAATGTTGATGCCTAATTAACACCAACAGTTAATAGGGGTGTGGTTCCACGCGTTGCAAGAAGGATATGAGCTATCTCTCGAACAGTAGAGGGCCTAGGCGCTGCCCCACGCGAATCCATAGAGAGGATCCATTCAGTAAGCGAACCCTCTTCGTATTATGTCAATTTATGGCCAGATGGGCGCTTATCCACTCGCGCGAGCAGTGAGAGTTCGTTAGGGTATGTCATATAGCTTCGCTGCCGCGCGTATAGATTTGATACGGTCATTTTGAAGATCACTAAGGGCTAGTAGAATCTTGCCCTCTTGATTGGCCAATTTCTGGCTAGATTGACTGCGAATTGGTGGCATAGTGGGTAGTTGAATTGGATGGGTTGGTAGGAAGACGCGACTGTTGATGGGGTGTGCCGCTCGACCGTGTGTGCCGGTCGGCCGTGAATTACGTTAACTAGATAGGGGCTTTATAGCAATGCAGACTTGTTGAGCTCCAATTGGTGCGCAGTATGATTTACTAAGCAGTATTTCCGACTCATTGACAGTAAATCCTTAGAATTCAGACGACATACTGCTTCTACTACTAACCTTGTACTTGAGTCAGACCTATAGAATGGAAAGATTTCAATTTCCAAAAGTAATCTGCTAAGCGACCATGTAGCAGGAAAAAGCGTATCTTCCGTATATACTTGGCATCATCATAATAGGAGACGCGCGGGGAGGCTTCAAAACCGGCCAAAATGCCTACTATGCTATAAGTCTATATTCTGGCATGCCGAGACAATAGGTTACAAGTAGCGCAACTCTCAGGCTAAGCCATAATAATACACATAAACACACTGTTGCAACCTTTCAAATACCATTATAGGCTACTGGCTGAAAGGGCGAATCCATTCACGCACCTGAACGTGGAGGACCTCGGACTATATGAATGAGATCTCTACCCAATATTCTTTCCAGGGCAGCAGGGTAATGCAATAATGGAATCGACCGATCTGAATAATGGAATAGTATTGGATGAACATAATCTGGACGATAAATTAATGTTGAGGTCGAAAGAAAAGGAATAAAGAAGGAGATTCACAGGGCTTCAAATACATCTAGCATGACAAGAATGAACAACAAGACATGATTATAAAACGCGAATCTGAGTGGAGGGCGGATTGAACAATATTGACCAATATGCCCAGAAGAAGTCCTCTGTATTCAATGATCACAATTATTTGTCTTCATTAATCCCCGATAAAGAAGACAATGTCACCACACATATAGTCTTCTTCTCTTTTCCTGCGAGGTTCTTTGTTGAATCGAAGTAGTATTGGAATGGGCAACGGTGACGAAAGTTGTGTTCTGCTCAGCTTCTGGGAAAGTGGCTGATGTAATGGTCAACATGGTCCTTTCCGTCACACGCAAGCCATTGATTTCGATGACAATGATGACGATCTTTGTTGGAGTCCCGGAAGATCCAGCAATGGTTGTGTATAAAGTGGTTAGAATTGTTGTTGGGGCTATTGTGTTGGGGCGAGGAGTGACATCTCCCAACTCATCTCCGCTTCCACCATTACCGACTCCTGCGTTACCCAACGACCCAGAGGAGGTGCTGATTCCTCCCAGCGTTGTGGTATTTACCGAGGATGAGGAACTGCCAGATGACTTAGCCCCAGAAGCCGTGCTAGTCCCGCCGCTTCCCGCCATATCACTCGAAGATGGGTTGCTCGGACTGGATGACCCAGTTTGTCCTGCAGAAGTGCTGCTCAGGTTGGATGATGTCGTCTGTCCAGCAGGATTGCTGCTTGATCCTGCCTCCGAAGCCCCTGACGACGGGCTACTCCCATCCGGCCCTGGAGAACCACTCGAAGATGTGCTAGGCGGACTAGAAGATACAGTCTGTCCAGCAGAAAGGCTAGTGGGCGCAGCACCTGAAGAGGCGCTCGAGGAGCTGCTGCCTGAATTAGCCCCTGAAGCGCCAGACAAAGTACTGCTTCCGCTGATCCCCAAATTATCGCTCGGAAATATGTTGCTCGGAATAGACGCTGACGCCCCAGGCGAGATACTACTCCCTCCTGTGCCTAAAGCGTCGGTTGCGGACGCGCTGCTGGGGTTTGACGATGCAGTCTGCCCAGCAGAAGTACTCGAGGGAGTGCTGCCTGCACCAGCCTCCGAAGCCCCAGGGGACAGGCTACTGCCATCCGGACCCGGAGTGTCGGTCGAAGACGTGTGAGGTGGGCTATACGGTGCAGTTTGTCCTGGAGAGGCGCTCGAAGAAGCGCTGTCCCCACTAGCCTCCGAAGCCCCAGACGACGTGTTGCTTCCACCAGGACTTGAGGTCTCGCTCGGAGATACGCTGCTCGGGATAGACGATGTAGTCTGTCCTACAGCAGTGCTAATTGGAGTAGAACCTAAGGAGGTGCTCGAGGAAGTGCTGCCGTCAGCCCCAGAAGGCGTAGACGATGTGGTGCTTCCACCGCTCCCCGAAGTGTCGCTCGGAGCTATGCTACTCGGGATAGACGACGCAGTTTGTCCTGCAGAGGTCCTAGTGGGGCCATCACCCGAAGTGCCACTCGAAGACGTGCTAGGCGGGCTGGACGAGGTAGGCTGTCCTGGTGAGGTGCTCGAGGGAGTGCCTTCAGCCCCCGAAGCCCCAGTCGACGAGCTGCTCTGGTTGGACGATGTCGTCTGCCCAGCGGAATCGCTACCTGTATCTGCTCCCGAAGCCCCAGGCGATGTGCTGCTGCCACCGGAGCCTGGAGTGCCACTCGAAGGCGTGCTCGGCGGGGTGGACGATACAATCTGTCCCGAGGAAGTGCTGCCCACATCAGCCCCTGGAGCCCCAGACGATAGGTTGCTCGTACTAGGCGTCGGGGCCCCAAGCGAGGCGCTCGAGGAGCTAACACCTGAAAGGCCGCTCCCTGACGACGTATCACCTGAGGAGCTACTTTCCGACGAAGTGCCGCTGTCCGTTGGGTCACCAGCTGAGCCATCTCCCGACGACCCATCATCAGGCGAGCTATTGCCTAATGAAGAGCTACTCCCCGAAGATGTATCGCCAGATAAGCCATTCCCTCCTGAAGAAGTACTGCCTGAAGACGTATCGCCCGACAAGCCACCCCCTCCAGACGAGCCATTCCCTTCTGCAGAGGCACTGTCCGAAGACGTGTCACCCGGCGATCCACTCCCGTCATTTCCACTTGAATTACTTGTTCCAGAGGCTCCATTCCCATCGCTGGGTGCTGAGTCGCTTCCAGAACTAACGTCTGCACTCTCAATCGCGGCTAGAACAGCCGGATCAACCCAGGTGGTGTCCGAATTTCCATCAGCCACGACTGCGCTTATGGTCACTGAAGATAGGTCTGAAGATGCGAGTTCAGAAACTAACCCCGACCTAGCGTCCTCGTTGTTGCGGTAAGCCCCGGCGCCCGTGTTGTCGTATTCACCGTAGAGGTTTGCATCGTTCTGTGTATCACTGTCGATTTTGACGCCGCTTGGCGCAATCAAGCCTCCCAAAGCAGAGTCCCGGTACACCACTATAGCCCCAGGCCCAGCGGCTGCAGCCAAGTCGACATTGTTGTTATCCACCCCAGACTTTTGGATGACTCTGGATCGATCGATTACCACCGTGGATTTACCGCCGGACGGAGGACCCTCGGTGTAGACAATTACTGCGAAGCTTCCGGTAGGTACGATGACTGTGTCGAAAATGTAGATGTTGGGGGATCCTTCAATCAAATCTGTCGGTGCCTCGATATAACTGTTTGCAATTACGGCCAAGGCTTGATTCGCATTGATTCCCGATCCACCATGTGATATGAATTGGCATTGATAAAACCCGAGGTTTGTTCCGCTTAGAACTGCAGCGCTTCCAGATGGTCCAGTATTCACAAAATTGATATTTGTCACTGTGAGTCCCTCGAGATTGGCGGAGATGGTGAGGGCGGTTATGTCACTGGAGACAAACACCTTATTTTTGGTATAGTCGTATTTGATGTTGGTTTCTCCGACGATAGTCACCGATGGGGTGGATTCGATTGTGACAGCTGGATATGTGCCGCTGAGAACTGTCACTGTCGGAATACCCTTTCCTTGAGCGTAGGAGACCGCATCGCCGATGTCCGTGAATTGGCCGCTGCCGTCTGGCGCGACGGTAACCGCAGGTGCAGAAGCTAGTACACATCAGCATTGCTCCTCTTGTTTAGAATTGTCATTCAATGAATCATACTAGGGGAGCTTCCATCTGTTGTTTTCGTGATGTAAACCGTGCTTGAACATGTCCCTGGTGCATCTATTGCTGCCGCCGCAAGGCCGGCCAGATACAATATCGACCAAATTCGCATCGTGGATGGACATTCTCAGATGTCTGCACGAGTGAGCTGAACATGGAGGTTCATGAAGCAGTACAGAGTCTCTCCAGATCAGATATCTCGTCGAGATTGAGAATATGCCAAGAATGTGAGCACAGGTAGTCATCCCGTTGCGCATTCCACAGCCACCCTGGTGGAACTCCTTGGCCCATCTCAATCCAGGTAGACAGGTTCAAGAGCTCCAATATTTGCAGTCTGCAAGAGGTAAAACGGTTTACTCAACCTTGAATTCTACGAAAATCTTGAAGCTTGTTTACGTCTATTCTAACTTTCTTAATCAATCGTGGTCTTCATTTGCCCCGATCGTAATTTCATGAGCCATAGCCATGTGTCATATCCAAACATTTACAGATCCTCATATTTTTGCAACCCATTATGAGCTCACTATTCAACTGCACCGATCGAGGAAGACCCAACGCTGTGATTCGAAAATCGATCACTTCTGCAACACACACCTTCCGATCCCCCTAGTTTTTGTACCCCCGTAGTGGACCCACCCGGATTAGATTTGGATATTCTAATCAGCCTGTAGGCTAATTCCAGGTACCTGGAACATACAGTGGGATCAAGGAGAATGCCACGTATTTTCTGGAGCCTTATTGGGAAGTAGGTCTCAGGCTAAGAAGCTACGAACCAATGGCGTTCATCGACGCCCTTGATGGAGGAACGGTTGGTCCGGGCGTCGTCCCACAATTTTAATTTAAGAATTTCTGGCTTCATGTTTTGATCTCCAGCTTGTGTTTACGATCACTATCCATCAATGGTTACCAGGTATTGCCATGGCCATTTTCTATTCCAGAAGTTTCATTCTTCGATGTGTTTATGTCCATTTGTTTCTCCGAGGTTTAAGGATTGATGTCATCTGAATTAACAGGTCCCGCGGAGAGACGGCTCAGTGAAAGAGCGTTTCTTGGTGTAGAATAACACATCTGGGAGAATATCACACTCCCTCGAGGATAAGGCTTGACTAAATACCAATATCCCACCATGAAGAACATCCTACTAGGCAGTCTGACTTTCTCGGAGATATTTTAGCTTTTTGTTATCACACGATCAACACGTTCGTCCATACGGCTGGTTTCCGACAAAGGATGTGCCCGACCATTAAGTTTGAAAATCCCTGCTTCCTCGTGGGTATTTCAGCAAATCTCCGGCCGAGGGTGGGTGGTGCCAGGTTGAAAATGGAACATGATGCTCTATTCTCGGCGATGCCTGACTTCGACACTGGGGATTAAAGTCATTAATCGAACAACATATCTCGCTCGAGTAAGATTTTAATCATATATTTCTTGGACCTTGCAGATTCGATATTGATGCAAGCTATGAATTACTCCCAAGGGAAAAAATGGTCTGACAACTGAAACATCCATAGAATCAGCGCTTAAATCACTATCATATGTCTGTCTAATTTTAAAAATTAAATGAACCTTCACTACGGTATCACATCTGTTGGCACAAACTTTACTCCGAACCGAGCCCGACGTCATCAAGGTCACAGTTTACATTCTTAAAGGCTGAGGAAGTCTAATCAAAGTTTAGAACAACGCCAATGTGGACAATTGTTTAGTCCACATTGTCATCATGCATGGGTGGACACACTTTTTCTCCCCTTCGCTTTGAGCGTGACTACTTGATGGATGAAAGACTCCTCAAACAAGACTGAGTAGCCCCTCGTCAGACATTCTTTGGTTGAGATATCGCATCTTGTCAGGCGACTACATCCTTCTAGAGCTCAATGAGTCAATAGGGCTGATCAATCCCGGATCTGTGTTTCTTCTATTCTTTACACATTATTTGGTCCAGTCATGCGTTTGTTGATAACAGGGACTTGTCATCAGACAGCGCCTTTAGCGCCGATGCTTGTACACCATAGATCCCTACCATTAACCGTTTTAGGAAGGTAATCAGTACCCTCTTCATTCCTATCCTCGAGTCTAAAGGCCTACGGAATAATTTAGAGCGTCCCTTGGGTACGTAGTCCCAGTCAAAGTTAAGGAAGTTGGTGACTCTCGGTACACAACTATATATATTCACCAGGATTGACCGTTTTATCCAGTAGTATCTTCTCTGTCCATCATTCAAAGTGCAATATCCCCTTTACCCTGATCATGCGGAGGAGTTGACAAAGCCGAGCGGATGGTGGATTCGGTCCGGGGAAGCGGCTACCAGCGCCCCGACGTGACCCAGTGACGTGAAGATGCCGACGCCAACCGAGCCTCTCCGCATTGTCATCTCCATATTTCCCCAGAACTCCAATCTACCACTGGATGTTCGAGGGGGAATGAATTTTCACATTGTCAACACTCACACAATGTCATCTAGAGCTCTAATTCTACGCTCATTGCGAGCAACTCGCAGCAGCCCCAGGGCTGTGAAGCCCTTGCTCACATGCGCTGCTCGGCGATGGGGCAGCTCCATCTCACAAAGACCGGGCTCGGATCGGTAGGACTGGACCATATTTCGCATTACTCTCACTGCAAGTACTGACACGGATTCATTGTAGTGTGCTCTTCCCCGGCGCTGTTAACAGCAAGTTTACCACCGAAATGACGTTCCTCAAAGCCTCCGATCTGCCCGCAATCCCCACATATCGAGTAATCGACTCCGATGGCGAGTTGGTTGATAAATCACGAGGTCCCCCTGATGTTTCGGATGAAGAGGTTTTGACATGGTATAAGAATATGTTGAATGGTATGCTTTCTCTGGAATTGGCATATTGGGCGCAGCTGATCGGTAATAGTGAGCATCATGGATGTGGTCATGTTTGAGGCACAACGCCAGGGGCGATTGAGCTTCTATATGGTATGGCACCGGTGATACAGAGAATTAAAATATGTCGGAGACTGATGTTGCATAATAGGTTTCAGCTGGTGAGGAAGGTATTGCAGTCGGTTCTGCCGCGGCTCTCACCCCGGATGATGTTGTGTTCGCTCAATACCGTGAAGCTGGTGTCTTCCAGCAACGAGGATTTACTTTGAAGAACTTCATGGGCCAGCTATTTGCCAATTGCAATGACACGGGCAAGGGTCGCAACATGCCAGTTCACTATGGACAGAATTACCCTCGCATGGTGAGTCCTGCGCATGATGACGTATTCGAGCATTTTATGCTAACAAGCAAAGCACACTATTTCATCACCCTTAGCGACTCAAATCCCGCAAGCCGCCGGTGCCGCTTACGCCCTGAAGATGCAAGATCTTCAAGATCCCAACCGAGAGCGTCGTATAGTTGCTTGCTATTTCGGTGAGGGTGCAGCCAGTGAGGGTGATTTCCACGCGGCACTCAATATTGCCGCCACACGATCATGCCCTGTTGTATTCATCTGCCGGAACAACGGATTCGCCATCTCTACTCCAACACTTGAACAGTACCGCGGTGATGGAATTGCCAGCCGCGGTGTTGGTTATGGTATTGACACAATCCGAGTGGACGGTAATGACGTCTTCGCCGTCAATGAGGCCATGAAGGAAGCCCGGCGACGTGCATTGAGCGATGGTGGACGGCCCGTTTTGATTGAGGCGATGAGCTACCGTGTTTCACACCACAGCACGAGTGACGACAGCTTTGCATACCGTGCTCGAGTTGAGGTTGAGGACTGGAAGCGCCGCGACAACCCGATTATCCGTCTCCGTAAGTGGCTCGAGAATAAGGGACTATGGAACGAGGACATGGAGCAAGAAACTCGGGATTCCATGCGTAAAGCTGTTCTGAAAGAGTTCAGTGAGGCCGAGCAGGAAAAGAAGCCACCTCTTCGGGAAGCCTTCACAGATGTGTATGAGGAGCTGACAGAGGAGGCTCAGTCTCAGATGAAAGAGCTGAAGCGAATTCTGGAAACATATCCGGACGAGTATGATCTACGGCCATACAAGGATGGGGCAAAGGGACTGGACTAGACTTTAGATGCCGCGGGTCTTTCTTTGTCGGGTCTCTAGAGGATAATAAATGAATAACACAAGATTCTCATACAGATTGGTCCAGATACGATGAAGGAATAGATCAAATCGATAGCATGATACATTATGGCATTTCATCGCCATGTCTATTTGATGCACGTGACCGCGAGTCTGTTCAGCCGCGATGTGGGAATATTATGTAATCACACTGATCGGGATTGTCGTCGGCATCGGATCGCATCGTGGACGAAAATAAGATATGAACGGCATGGGTCAAGACTAGAGCAGTCGAACCAGAGAGGTACAGACGCAGCCATCTGTAAATTGCTGCCGCCAGGACCTCGACATAGAACCCTCAAGAGCAAGATGTTTCCCTTCTTCCAACGGTCTCGGGGAGATCCATGGCAGAAGGTCGGCTTTGCATCTACATTTCCCGATCTCAGTCTTGATAAAGATTGCTCTAAAATCACACCGGGCTGCAAGGCATTCCACATCCCCAAAGCAGATGGGTCCTCGAGTGCCGATGGCCCCGAAGAAGCCAACCTGGAGTCACCTGGAGATATGAAAGACCAGGTCCTGGTGTTCCAATATAAGGGGAAATTCCATGCTGTTGATCATGTAAGTCAAAGTGGACATATACTTATTGAGTCAATCGCCTGTTTACATGTTCCTCCCACTAACATGGTACTTCTCAGTCATGTCCCCATTCATCTTTCCCGCTTTCACAAGCGAGTATTTTCGACATTGAGGATTTTGGCATCACTCTGAGTGCTGGGTTGACCTGTCCGAAGCATGAGTGGTCCTTTGATCTCTTTTCGGGACAAGGTGATCGTGGCAACTATAAGCTAAAGATTTGGGAGGTGGAATTACGTGAACCATCGGCATCAAGTGATAATGTCTCAGAACGCGACAAGGAGGTATGGGTGAGGCGAAAGCAGCGCATTGGATAATGCGACTATCTGCCCGGGTTCTGACTGGGATTTTCTATGAAATGTGGACTGTTGGAAACTTTGATGATATTGATAGAAAGTGTGTACGTATATAGAGCGACAGCTATGAAATTAAGTCTGGATAATTCAAGATGAGCATATTTAGATTCAGATATATAGTATTTTACAATGCCTAAATATGCCACCTATTATTGGACAAAAGAGGCGGCAAGCTGCGGCACAGTATCGATAGACATGTAGTTATCACTACCTGTTAAGTACAGAGCACCCAATCCCATGCTCTGCGCCTCTTGCACAACGGCCTTGTAATCCGCAGTCGGAGGTGCACTATGGAGAATGATAGCATCTTTTTTGTAGCTCTCACTGGAAGAAAGTTCATTCGCTGGGATAGCGGACGTCCATTCAGAGTACGGCTTCTCAAACTCGATAATTAGATCTGCCGCTTTGAAATATTCACTTGCGGACCCTGTTTCTAGGGTGGTACCGGGGTTGAATACAATCGTATTCAGATTTCTACCTTTGGCTGTGGCTGATATGCTTTGCATATAGGATATTTTGGTGTTGTCGTTCGTGCGTGGAGCTTCATCGAAGAAGATCCCGCAGACTGAAATGTTCTTCGCTGTGTAAGAAGACCATCCGCTGTAGATAGCAATCTGGCTCTCAACCTTCGCTTGTTCGCGTTCCGCATAGTTGGTCGCTATGTAGCCGATGACTTGGACGTTATTATAGCTGTTCAACTTTGAGACTCCAGTGATGAGGTTGCCATCGGGGTAAGCTGGTAGATGTTAAATCTTGAAGCTCTCTTCCTATCAAGTTATATTTTGCTTACTTGTATTCCCTGGACCACTATCAGGGTTTATGATGACTTGGAAGCCAATATTTGGGTGCGCTAAGACGGCCTCATAAACAGGGCTCCAGGTGCTGTCGTCTGTAGGCCAGACATATAGAGGAATGATAATGCCCGTAGAGGAGACGGCCAAGGCCATAGCAAGGGCAGTACCCAGAAGGTAGGTGAAGACATGCATCTTCGAGAAACCAACGAATATTGAATGAGTGAGTGTATTTATAAATTGGAATAGATCATTAAATTGCCAGAGTTAAGATTTCAATTGAAATTGAAGAGAAGCGCAACGAGCGATAATCCGTAATATACGAGGCCATACTGCGGACATTCCCCAGGTACTAACAAGGTCTACGGAGCCCCAAACATTAAATTACATCGAAGCAAACAAATTCATTTCCGTCAACCATGTGGCAACGAATAAGGCAGTAAGCTACCCGTTTGAAGTCTCAATACAGTAGATGTCAACTGACATCATTCAAATGATTCAGGATAGTGCAAGCACAAAATCTCGATCCATTTTTCCAGGGCCACCAGGAACAACAGGAACACCCTCGGGAGCCAAAAATTCCCAAGTGTTCCTTCACAAGAACACCAAAAGGTATAGAGAGGGTATGCAAATAAATTTTGGTGGAGGAATGGGCCGATCCCATGCCAGGGGGTGCTCCACAAAGAATGTATGTACAACCCCCCTCCCCTGTGCCAGATCGAGATTTCGCATGGGTTGAGTGCCAGTCTGGTTGGTGATAAGGATTATTATGGTGGTACATTCTTATGCACAATAGAAATGCAAGCCCGGTGGAAATTCTTTTTCTTTATTCTCTCCATGAATCTGAGCTTCGGGATTATTCACACATCGTCAGCGGATCGCTTCGAACAACCGTCTTTGCAGAGTTGACTCCTAGCAAATCGGGCGGGTCACATTGCGTGTGAGCACCACATCCAGCGCATATAAGGCTGGGATTAACATTTTGGATCGGGCGCTCCAACACGTGAAGGATCTGGCTCAATATCGACCCGCTGTTTTCAAGGGCCTCTCCGAAGTGCAACTCGAGCGCTAATATTTCTCCGAAGCAAATATTCCATTTAAGCTCGACCGCTGGTAACTTGTTCAGAGCAGTACTTCCCTTGGAAGCCTCTCCTCCTCTAAACTAAAGGCTCTAGTGAGGTTTAACGTGCTAGGTTCAAGTCTAAATCTAAGAACCTTAAAAATAGCTAGCTAGATACCCTTCACCCTTTCCTTTATATATCTTGGTTCGCCCGTGGATTATCAATATACTGTCAGGCATAAGGTTATTATCAAGAATCAGGATGGCGGCCTGGTAGACTAGTAAGGATGATGTACGCTTGGCCGATCAGAAGCGCAACACCAAGCTAGCTAATTAGTTCGTTTCTCCCAAATTGTATACTTAAGTAGACTGACTGTACGATTAGGCTTCAATTTCCACTACCTGCTTCTACCTCCTTGGGGTTGGGGGATATCCTTGTTGCAAGAACCGATAGTAAAGAGGGGCTTGACGTTGAGAATAAGATTGACTAAACCTTGCTAGAAGGACTCCCGGGCAATAATAACATGACAGCCAAACACGCTGCTAGGCAAAGGAAGCCTAGAAGTAGAGGAAACTTGTCAATCTCTATGTCGAGAAATCGGTAGGGAAATTGAAGCAGAGGAAACAGGAAAAGGCCTAAGGGCCAATCTAGAGAGTCAAAAGGAACAATGTTACTGGGGGGCTTTCTGCAACTTGAAAAATCTACAGTAAATGTGCATGCTAGCCCTGCCTAATCCCGGCGAGGGTCAATCACAAGGGTGATGGATGAATTTCCATCATTACAGAAACTGACGGTTTTCACCGGACGTCAATATGCCGGCTGAACCCCGTGGGCGAGCCTGGTCGCAAGCGCCTCCCTTTCAACAATTTCACGTGCTGTTTAACTCTCTTTCAATCTTGAGACGCGGGCAATTAGGCGAATCTATCGTATTGGACAAACTCGGCCGTAGAAGGCATACCGCCTTTTCCAGGACCAGACAATCTGTCGCTACTACATAGGGAATAATATCTCAAATATAGTTCCCTAATTGACTACCGAGTACTCTAGCCCTTTCCGGAGAAAACTTAAGCAGCAAATGGCTACCAACCCCCAAGAGCACTCGAATGATGCCCTTTTCCGAATCTGTGAAGACTATCTCCGTAGGATCACGGGAATGTCGGTTGACTTCCTGCGCTCTGAGGAGCTCAAAGAAAAGTTGGATCTCGGAATAGCGCGAGACGCGGAGGGAAATCATTATTCCCCGAGGAAGTCATCTTTCCAACAGCGGCGGGACAAGGAGACAAGCAAGCGTCAAGCGGATGCCCAGCCAGAGCCTGCAAGGTGCGACAAGTGCAAAGCAAAGACGGATGAACAGCCCGTCAAAAAATGAGGAGCAGACATGATATTCATTCACTATAGCTCTCTGTCCGAGAATAGAAGAGAACGATAATCTCATTTCATTTCCTTTGAACAGTAGCACAAGATACATTTCCTTAGACAAAATAGAAAAGAAACATCATAGGGACTTCAATGACCGACCTTCTAGACTATGGTCCTTTTTCTCGATATATGTGGTTCAATCCTAAGGTTGTTGTGCGGATGACTCTGCATCGATGAGGGAAAGATGCTTCCAAGGTGGATGCATTGAAAAATGGGGTCTATACACCACCCGCCGTAGTGGTGTAACTAAGTTGAGATGCGGTTGATCAGAGAATTTATTTGCTTTGGGTCGGAGATTTTCGCCTCTTACGATTGCATTTGGCTCAGATGTAGGAAACTCGTCAACTAGTTTAAAGTGTAAATCGGAAACTTCGCAAGAAGAACATCTAGAGGAATTAGCAAAATGGAATAAGTCTATGCTCGTTTGGTATACTCGAGTAAATCCGTACTTGGCTGGCCACGGACTCAACGAAAGTCCAATTTAAACATTTAGAGAGTACTCTAGTCGGAGGTATAACTTATTAAGTCAGAAGAAAATGGTTAATCATACCATTGTTATTGATACACGATAATCGTACATGGTTAAGCGTCGCTCAAGGATCGCAGAAACAACTTCTGGAAACCCAATCTCAAGTAGACCTCATGCGGAGCGAATTCTTTCAAGCCTCCTCGACCAGAGACAATGCCGCCTGCTGGATCTTCTTGTTTCGCCGAAGCAAAGCAGCAAGCTTCTTGTCCAGCAAATCCAGCTCCTTGCGACCGCTCTCCAAGTCCTTTTGAGAGTGGCCGGCGAATTCCTTGAGTTCTTCGTTGGTCATAGCGGCAACGTCGTCGAGGCTGGGATTGGTTCCAGGTACACTGGCAGAACCAAGCATCTGCTTGGCAGTCGCGGCAGCGAAAGAACGAACAGCAGCAGTAGTGGTCTGAAGGATCTCAGCAGAGTGGGCAACGGCCCAATCGTGACTGCGCGTACTATCTGCCTCCATAGCCGACAGAACGTTAGGAGGAATGACCGAGTCAGCGCCATTCACGGTGCCAGTAGGTGAGGTAGAGCCCATGTGACTGGAGTTGTCATCGACCCAGCAGATATTGTATTTCTCGGGGGTCGCAAAGAGCGCGTCCAGCCCACCATTGATGTTGCTCGAGTCGTCGCCAACCATGAAGGGATCCATCGCCCCACCACGCTGCTTCTCCAATTCTAGATATCGATCCTCTTCCTCGGCAGAGAGGTGACGAAGGACGCAGCCGCGTGGGGTGATCAGACAACGGTCGGAGAGCTGCTCCGCATCAATTCGTACTGGCTGACCACGCATAAGGGCACGACGATGCGACTCAAAGAGCTCCAGTGGTTGCTTAAGCAAGAAGTAATCCGAATCAATGCCCTTCATATCCGTACGCTGACCGAGATTGGCCGGATTGAACAACGAGCTTTTGTGCAAGTCGAGTTCACCAGACTTGTGCATCTCAGCGAGCACTTCGTGTAGAGCCTTGGTTCTCTCCACAAAAAGGTCCTTGGTTGGACGGCCGGACTCCTCAGCATCTTTGAGCAGTTGCTCTACCGTGTTGTGAGAGCGCCACGGTTCTGGCGGAGCTTGGGGTGGTGCAGGTTGCTCTACCACCGGAGCTGGAGCCGGAGGAGGGGCCGGCTTGGTCTCTTGGATAGGCTGCTCTTTTTCCTTCACTTTCTTAGGAGGTTCAGGCCTTGAGTCCACCTTCTTTGGAGACGGAGCAGGAGGTTTGACAGGTGTTGCAGGCTCCGGCGTAGTTGTAGGAGCAGTCTCAGCGGAGGATGTGGTGGCGGTGGGTGCCTTCTTGGTCTTGCGCTTTCGCCCAAGGATGGGGGCTTGAACAGGCTCTTCAGGGGTCGCGGTCTCCGCTTGCTTGGCCTCGGCTTCCTTGGCCTTCTGTCGTCTTTCCTTTTTGAGTTGGCTTTTGGTGATTGACCGAACAGGTGCAGAACCAATGCGCGAGGTAGCCGGCGGAGAGCTCGCACGAGACACAGAGGCAGAGGGGAAAAGATCAGCTTCCGAGCCGAAATCGCCAGGTGTGTCTGGCCTGCTGCTAGACGAGAAACTCTGTCTGCGGGATTGGCTCTTGCCAGATTTGGCGGTAGACACAGGCGCAGATGGCGCATTTGTAATTGGAGGCGGAACCTCGGTCTTGGGAGTGTCCACCACACGTAGGATGCGTGGCTGGCGAAGAACGGACGAGTCCGAGACACGAGAAACGGTGGTCAATGGTGTATCAGGGCGTGATCCAATGGCTGAAGCAGGTCCTGGTCCAGATACTGAAGTGCCAGACAGGACACGTTCAGACTTCGCCGATGCGTTTTCTTGAGCAGCCAGGTGCATACTAAGAGTTATCGGACTTGCTTTGGTACCAATGAGAGGACTTTGATCAGCTTTGGCAGGAGAACCCTTATCATCATCTGCAAACAAGTCTAGCTTCGTCATGATTCGAGACTTGTGTGCGGACTTGGGCACGGGTGATCCCAGGGAGATTTGAGATGCATCCTTGACACGAGCAGATGTGGTGACCTTGCGAGAAGGTAGTTCGGGTGTCACGGCTGTAGATTCAACGGGCAAGTTCTTTTGAGACGGGGTACCAGTCCGAGAGATGTTCACATTCAAACCCGGAGGAAGACTTGGCGCCGGGGACGATGGCCTTGACAAGCTCAATTGGTCCTGAAAAACTGCTGATGCTGGATGGGACTGCGGCAACGGGAGCCCGGGAGGCAGGGAAGGGGTCCCAACACGACCTGCAGAATCACTTGGCAGCTGGGACTTGAGGAAGCCGAAAGTATCAACGGGTTGGCTATCTTTCAGTTGCCCACCGAGTGGAGGGAAATCTTCGTTCACTGTCGATGTCTGGTCAGCCACATTGCACATTCAGAGTCAGTGAAACAGTAGATATCAACGAGATGCGGCGAGCGATTGGAACCATGGAGCCAGGAGCAAGGGAAGCAATAACCACGCAGCGGGGCTAATCAGAAGCGCTTTGCAAAGTACAGACGCGCCAAACTGGTAATTACATGAAGGGTACTGGTCCTTACGGGCCAGATACAAGGTAGGGCAGAGTGTCTATGGACAACGGCAACGGCTGTGAGACAACTGGTTTCGAATAAGACCCTGTTCCAAGAAATGGCGATATCAGGGTAGGGAGGTCTTAACGTACATTAATCCATAAGAAAACCATCCACGGTCTTCAAGACGCTGCAGGCAGTCGAATGAAGATCCGAATGCAATATCAGGAAAAAGGATAAGAGGGTAAAAACAGCCGCGGGGTAGAAAAAAAAAAGAAAGGACCTGAGTACATGCGATAGGTCCATAAAATGCAAGACACCTCGAAACATGAGGGAATAAGGCCAGTGTAAGACATATAGGAAAAAAAAAAAAAGAAGAATCCATAGCCCATCACAATACGCCAAGGCACGCTACCCGGTCGCATTGGTCCAGAGCTGCTAGCCCTGCTTTTCAAAGGAAATAAAGAGACAAGATGCAAGCCCCACGCGTGGAAGTGAGAAAAATGAATAAAACGATAGCCAGCGGGAAAGAAAAATGTCGTGGGGACTGGAGTCCCATCAAATCACATGTTGAAGATCATAAAAAAAGAGCCGCGAACGAGGAATGCAAAGGCAAATCATAAAAATGGTATAGAGGGGAAGATGAAAACAAAAAACAAGGAAAAGGGACAGTCATTCACCAGCGGCTAAAACCACCGCCGCCATACATCATCGAGGGGTTGTACCCACCTTGACCCTGGCTCCCGTACAACGCCTGCCCAGCAGTAGCATTGGCACCGACCTGATGCATCCTCGCCTGCAAGATGCTCGGGTCCGCAAGATCTACTACACCGCCTCCACCGGAGGAAGTGTTAGCGTGTCTCTGCTTCTTCCCCTTCTTCTTCTGCTTCTGTGCGCCGCCAGAGTCAAGTACGGAACTTGTCTGGGACCCATAGAAAGAGCTGAGAAGGCCGTTGACGGGAGTCAGGGGAGGTGGGGTGGGGTGCTGTTGAAGAAAAGGAAACATGAACTCACGCTTTGCGGCCTCCTGGCCCTGTACACCACCGAGATTCGTGCCGCCTCCTCGGCCACGAAGTAATTCACGCATCAACTCAGGCGTCGCCTCTTGCTTTCCCATGTTGGAACCCAGTCCAATATTGGCGTTGGCAGTAAAGCCATGACCTTGTGCAAACATACCACCACCGCTGATCGGAGGAGTTCCAGCTGTCTTCAAGCCGGGGGGAGGACCTTGAACGCCGCTTGCATAAAATCCACCCGCAAGAACATGCTGGGGACTAGGGGCAGACAATGGGTTGGGGGTCCCGGCCTGCATCTGGCTCAGCATGCGTGCGTTGCTGATATTCTTGGAGCCGACATCATTAGCAAAGGTGAACCGGGAGGATTGGCGGCTCTGACCCTGCAGGGCGTTGAACTGTGCCATCTGGTTATGCAACAGGCCTTGGCGAAGCTGGGTGGCTTGCTCCAGAGCAGCAGAGCTCAAATGGTCGGCAATACCAGCTTGTTGGTTACCAGCGGATTTGAGCAGCATCAGTTGCTGCTGCTGCAAGGGTGTCAAGCTTCGGCCTGCCAAGTTCAGCCCTTGGAACTGGTGACTCGTCGCAGACACTGGTGAGCCAACTGTTGAGTTATCGGCGGTACCTTGCTGGGAAGGAGGCTGAATGGCGCCGTGCGATTCACGGGACTGTTGTGGGCCTCGCGGGGGATTAGACTCCTCTGGCTCCCCACCAAGCTGCAAGCTACCAGCCTCACGACTTTCCTCCTCGACAACCGCAGACTGAAGTAACTCCTGCTCGCGCTTCAAACGGTCCTGTTCGGCCTTTTCTCGCATCGCTCGGCGCTTGACACCGCCATATGGATCGATGAACGACGGGTATGACTGGATCGCCTTGACCTCCTCATCTGGCAGATCGGCAGTGGAGAAAATGAACTTGAAGTTAGGGTTCATGAGATCTTTGACGAGGTTATCGAAAGGAGTGGGCGCTGGCGGTTCGGGAGACGGAGGCTGGACGTGATGGACCGGAGGCTGAAGAATCGGGGACCGGGAAACAGGCTGAGATGTCCGTGGCGCTTCCTGAGCGACTGGAGACGGTCTCTCGACTCTCTCAATACGCCTAGGTTCTTCAGCAGGCGTGGCAACAGTAACGCTCGCAGGTCGTGGGCTTTGGGATGCCTGGCTGCCAGTCAAACTAGCTCGTCTAGTCCGAATGGCGGCATCCTTGTTTGCCCAGCTAGCAGATGAGGGGAGCGCAGGTCCGTCGGGAGCGCCTGATCGTCCACTAAGCGAGTCATCCTTGCTGGGTTGTCGACGCATGGTATGCGTAATGGGCTGAACCGGACGGACATGGGGAGGGTTTTGTTGTGGGTGACTTGGCCGCTGACTGGACAATGTGTTCATAGACGAAAGATCAGATCGGCTGTAGCTTTCACTGTCTTCTCCCGTCTCATGAAGGAAGGTGCAGTTGCGGTTGTTGCACTGCTCGTTGCGGAGGAAAGAGGAACAATATTTGGTGGTTCCATATTGAGCCCTTAGAACACGGTCGCCGTTCGAAGAGCCGTCCACAGCCGCAATACAAGTGGCAGCATCGAGCTTCCGCGAAAAGGTGACGTAGACACCGATTCCCTGATGAGGGTTGCCACCGGGCTTAGCCTTGCTGACCACAATTTTCTCAATATCGCCATATTGACCAAAGTATTCGCGCCCGCGGAGTGTCTGTAGCAGCTGATTCTCGTCGCGAATTGTCGGGTTGAGGCCGATGACGTAGACCAGGTTCTTTTGAACGACGCGAACACCCGCTAGGTTCTTGCGGCTGGAAGCTTCAATTTCGCGCTTTTCGGCTTCCTTCTTCTTAGCGGCTGCGGCCTTCCTATGCTTCAGTGCCAAGTCGGCTTTGAATCTATATCGTAGAATGAATGGGTCAGTCTCTCAGATCCTTGGCGGTCAAGTCGAAGAGGGGGAAGATCATTTATCACTAACTCCTCCGCATCGGGAATCTTGTATTGAATGGTGCTGTCATCGTAAGGACGGCGACAGTTTGGGCATCGACCTTCTTCGCTGTGGGTTTTGATGTTGTTGTAACAGAATTGGCAGATCTGGGATTTCACACGTCAGTGTCTCAAACAGAAGGACCGAGAAAGACCAGAAAGATGTGGCGAATATGGGCGACCAGTTCGACGTACCTGATATCCACAGGGACATGGTTTAAAGTTCTTGTCCGAGAGGTCGAACTCTTCGATGCAAAGGGGGCTTGAGGGGGGTCAGTGGCGGGACCGCATGATATCTTAAGGGGTCAGAACATACCAGAACTCATCGTCATCGTCGATGACGGAGTCGATCTGTTGGCGACTAGAAGACATGGTCGCGGCGAGGGGAGTGTGAACGAGGAAAGCGAAACGAGAATCTCAACGCCAGCACCCAATCGAAACAGGGGTTGCAGAAAAGAAAAAGAGACGAAGACGCCGCTCCGGAGCCAGGATAAATCAAAGAACTGGAAGGAAGAGAAGAAAGAACAAGGGAAGGGAAAGAGAGGTGATGGTTGTGGGGGAGAAGGTAGACGGCGAAGGAGAAGAAAGGAAGGAAATTGAAGCGCGGCTTCATTTTGCTGGCATTGCCCGATGCCGTTTAGCGTGGTTGGATATTATGTCAGCGGCACGTGATACCCGCAGGTTCGGACCAACCTCCATCCTCACAATCCGCCTTACGTGCCTTTGTCCCCTCTTGTTGTAGCCATTGCTCCCCGTCCCACAATGGCATCCGCTCGCTCTCTGATGCGCCTGAGCTCTGGACGCTCTGTGGCTTCGGCCGCGAGGTCCAATGCCACTCGCGCCTTTTCCTCATCTTCGCTGCGGTATGCTGCGAAGGCATCTACACAACCGGGCGCCCCGGAGCCTGAGAACATGCGCCAGGCGCAACGGCCTCGTATGTGGATGACTTAAGCAATGTCTTGAGGGTGCAATTGGACTAATTAATTGGATCTCGTGCAGCTTCGGGCCCCCTCCGTGCCCCTATCGTCAATCCCACCGACAAGTACCAGCACATGGCCGACGGTCTGCACAGCTACGGACAGTACATTATGTCCTGCCTGCCCAAGTACATCCAGCAGTTCACCGTGTGGAAGGACGAGCTCACCGTCTACACCGCTCCCGCCGGTGTTGTCCCCGTCATGAGCTTCCTGAAGAACCACACCTCCGCCGAGTTCACTCAGATCTCCGATATCACCGGTGTCGACTTCCCCACCCGTGACCAGCGTTTCGAGGTCGTGTACAACCTGCTGAGTGTCCGCTACAACTCCCGTATCCGTGTCAAGACCTACGCCGACGAGGCCACCCCCGTTCCCAGTGTGACTGGTCTTTTCGAGGGTGCTCTGTGGTACGAGCGTGAGGTCTACGACATGTTCGGTGTCTTCTTCTCTGGACACCCCGATCTGCGCCGTATCATGACCGATTACGGTTTCGATGGACACCCTCTGCGCAAGGATTTCCCTCTGACCGGTTACACTGAGCTGCGCTACGATGAGGAGAAGAAGCGCATTGTCATTGAGCCTCTTGAGCTCACCCAGGCCTTCCGTAACTTCGAGAGCGGCTCTACTGCCTGGGAACCTGTTGGTTCTGGCCAGAACCGGACGCCCGAGTCGGTAAGTAACATACCAAAATTCGATCGCCTGAAGCATTCGCTAATTACATGGACTTCAGTTCAAGCTGCCCACTCCCAAGCCAGAGCCGAAGGAGGAAGAAAAGAAATAGAAAGGGACTGTACGCGTATCAATTTTCATTACCATGTTTGTATGTACATATCGTTAATCGATGGTGTTCTTCACCCTCTGCCCAGTTTGTGCCAAGCCATAGCGATCAGAAATATATATCCACCTAGGTAGCTCTCCGTAGGTACCTTGTGAAAGTCCAATACCCGGCAGAAAATATGTAAAAGTTTATGGGTGTACCTTTGTTACCTACGTGATACTTGTTGTAGCTTGCGTGGTAATAAATCCAGCGAATGATTACCATGTTCGGTAGAAAGTTACATAGTGGGAATGAGCTCAAATCGAGTCGCATTGAGAGATTGGAGACACTAGCTGCGCTATCAATGCCCGGAGGCGGAGAATCTTGGCAAAAGGCCCGCGCCCGCTAAGGAAAAAAAAAGCTCCGCAACCTTGTCCAACACTTCAAGCACTGCGATAAGTCCACGCCATTTGATCACTGCCTTTATATTTCGCCAAAGACGTCTCTTAAAGCCTGTACTGAGAGGACTTCGCTACACTAAAAACCACCACCATGCCAAAGCGCAAGCTCTCCGAGCTAAACGGTCCATCGCGACTCGACACCCGCAAATTAACGATCAAGGCCGTCCGGCTTACCACCAAGTTCGAACAAGGCGTACAAATCCTAGCAAAAGCTCTCAAGACTGCGCGTGGCTTTGAGAGACAAAAACTCAGTCGACGAGAGAAGACAGCTAAGACAGAGGGTAACCGTCCGACGCTGGTGCGGCTTGCGGAGGAGGTAGACGCATTGAAGGTAATTCTAAGCTCAGCCGATGAGTCCATAACCAAGATTTCTCTGGACTAAACTGACTTCTGTTCTATCCAGGCTATCGACTACCCACTCACAGCAGAGCGATACCTCTTCAAACAGCTCTTAAAGACGAAGCGGATCGCCGAATCACCGACATTCAAAGAATTTCAAGAAGCCAAGAATGTATCGACGGAGGGACCGAAGAGCGATGCCGAGTCCAATGTGCACGGTCGACTTTTCAAGTCCACACCAGTCAGGAACGTGATGCCGGAGATTATGAACGGGATCCGGAAACTGTTGGGCGTGGACGATGCGCCCACAGGAAAGTCTGGCAAAGCTGATGCTAAGAAGTATGCGCACAAGAAAGAAAAACCCGCAGCTAAACTGGATGACGTCTCCGGCTCAGAGTCTGAGGTTGAGGAACCGAAGAAGCCAAGGAAATCATCGACAGACAAGGACCAGGAGCCAAGCTCCGCGGATGGAGAAAATCTCAGTGTCTCCCGCGACGAGGACATTGACAGCGAAGACCTCGCACAATTCGATGCCCGCCTAGCCCCAGGCTCAGATTCCGAGGAACAATCTGGATCAGACAATGACGATGACAACACGCACAAGCAAGACCTCGCAGACGACATCTCCGATTCAATCTCCCGCTCTCCATCCCCAGACTACTCCGCCGAGGACTCCCCGCCATCGAAAAAGACCAAGGGAGCCAAGACCTCCAAGGACCCAGTGCAAAGCACCACATTCCTTCCCTCACTCATGATGGGTGGTTACTGGTCTGGCTCCGAGGAAGAGGCCACAGACGACGAAGCCGCCGCCGGTCCACCCAAGCGCAAGAACCGTATGGGCCAACAAGCCCGCCGCGCACTCTGGGAGAAGAAGTATGGTGCTAAAGCGAACCACGTACAGGAGGAGCAAAGGAAACAGAAATACAGTCGGGATAGTGGTTGGGATACTCGCAAGGGAGCGACGGGCGGTGCTGGTGGGCGAGGAGGTGATCGTGGTGGACGAGGCGGCTTTGGTGCAGGACGTCCCCAGAATCGGTTTGATGATCGCTCCGGCGCGGGCCAAAGTTATGCAAGCAAGCCCAGGGCTCCTCCGAAGGATACCGGGCCATTGCATCCGTCGTGGGAGGCGAAGCGGAAGCTCAAAGAGCAGGCATCTACGGCGAAGTTCGAGGGAAAGAAGGTCGTGTTCGATTAGCGATACCATTTTGTTTCTTACTTATTGCTATATGGGGCGGGGGCATCTTTGTCCAGGTCAAAACCAATGTGAGTATGGAAAGATTTTTATCTTCAACTGATGGTCAAACGGTAATACTATAGACACTTGCTACAGTCGGAGAGTCAACCTTCGTATAAACAGAATGCGAAGAAAATGAACGGATTTGCAAGATGTGGTATAAACGAAAACTCAGGACGCCACAACGAATCAAAAACAAAACAGCCATCTCGCCCTATGGAGACAGCCCATCACTCGTTCATATATTGTAACCAATGCGAATCAGTACTCCCAGGAGTCTTCAAATCTGTACCAACTGGAAGACCGCTCGGGTTTCCATGTGTATCTGGCTCAAAGCACGGAATAGCCGTAAATTCGCCCAACTCCTGTGGGAAATTCGAGACGAAATGGTCAAATCCGAAATGAGGCATCTGTGAAAGAGACTGATGCGACACAGAGTAGTTATCCGGAATCGAAAGACTACTGCCAGGAATATCACCTTCCATGATCTCGTGCTCGTGGCCGCCCAGGGCCGAGTGGGAGCCATGCGCACTATTTGGTGGCAAAACTGGAGGCGTGATGGGTACTCCTTGCATCACAGATTCCGCCACGGAAGGATCAGGGGGATGGTGGCCCATGGCTTGTTGGAGAGCAGAATCGTTGGCATACGCCTCTCGCTTCCATGCCATGGTTGTCGGTGACACGGGTCCGGTTTTCCAGAGCATTTCCCAGTTCTTGAAGCGATCGTAGGCAGATTCAATGCTGCCACCATTGCTTTGGGATTGATGGCTTTCGCTCCATAGTTCGAGACGACGGATGGCACGTTCGAGGGCCTCAATGACACTCACAGCTGAACGTGCGGAGCCAACACCCATGGACATGATCTTGATCAGGGAAATGCCTTGGTCGAGAGCTGCACCAAGCCGCTCAGTGCGCTTAGTCAAGCCTTGAGCGAGGATGACCAGGAGAGCTGCACGGCACGAACTGAATTCAGTGAACGAGGCGCGCGCCAAGCCGGTTTCATCTCGAAGAAGGCGGCAGAGGTCGATGATTTCGAGAGCTGCTTCGACACAGTCCGTGACGAGAGTCGCCCGATTCTTCGCCATTCCAGATGGGCCCTTTAATGCGGCCGCGTGGGTGGAAGTTTGGTACAAGCCCTTGATGTTACTGAAAAGGAACGGGCGCCCGATGAAGATCCGAGTAAGACAGTAATCAAGCTTGAGGTGGACATTGGAGCGGAATAATGGCCCAGCTGGGTTGAGATCACGACAGTTTGTCTCCTCTGGGAGTGTCGACCACCATTCTACCAAGTGTTTTCGAATATTGAGTAGTCGTTCAAGACAGTCTTGCTGTTGCCCCTTTCGACAGGTCCGCAGCGACGAAATCTCATTCGAAACCTCTCCGAGTTTCAAAGTGAGAGTAATCAGGGCGATCATGTTTGTGTGATTGGACTGCTGCGCTGCTGGCATGATACCAGGGAAATCCACCGGAAGCGGTGCATCAACATCTACATCTGCTAGGGACGCTGGTCGGCCGTGCAGGATGCTGATGCGTTTTTCGATCGTATAAGCAGTCCAAAACACTCGGTTTCGCGTCTCTATCATTCGAGCGGAAAGCCCTTCGCCATGATACCTTCTATGCATGCCGTTCTGGATGGCCAATTTCAAAGCCAACCCAAAGTAGGTGTAGCACAGACCCGAAGTGTCAAGGGGAAGCAAATATGTCCCGATCAAAAGGCAAGCTTGCACACTTCGCACTGAGGCCGTGGCAATGATATCTGGTAACAGCTTGGAAGCGAATTGATAGAATGTGAGGCCGACCTCGTCTTCAGAGAAATGGTGATCCTGGTCGGTGTTTGCGGTTGGAGGCGGGCGATTTACCGGCGTGGTTGATTCCATATGTGCAAATTGTGTACCAACAGCCAATACCATCAGCAGAGCACAAACTGCGCCTGCATCGTCAGAGGACAGACTGGAGGGATTAGTATAACAGATATTCACTTTCTCCTGAAGCCAGTCCTCTTCGACGTAGAAATTATTTGTCTGTGCATATTTAAAGAAGATCTGCACCAAGAAATCTGCCACATAGCGTGGAGGGAGACACGTTATCGAGGCTGAGACTAATGACGATCCAGATTGAAGTTGGGTGGCCCGCCATCGGTCTTCAAATGGTTCAACTTCAGTAGAAGCCTGCACGAAGTCTTGTTAGTACTGAATTTGACCTGCGGTAGACAGGAGCCCTTACTTCCGGTGCTGCAGTCTTCATCCACTCATCGATTTTCTTCCTAATCTTGTTAGAGAAATTGAGGTAGGAGAACTCCCCAGAGTATTCTGTCAGAAAGTTAGTTTGCGCTCGCTGATAGTTGCATCGTTCAGAATGGGAACATACGAGTCGTGTTGTCGGGAAGAGCCTTAATTGTAAAGTCCTCTTCATCAATTGCCAAGTCTTCCAAATCATTCGCATCAGCTTTCATCGAGAGTACATCCGACTCCGAGTCACGGTGTTTGCTTTTCAACTCTTCCGCAGCTTGACGCAGTGACTGAATGTCGAAGGTGATATTTGGGACATAGTATGACAGAATGCGTTCCATATAGCGCACCCGCTCTGCCTCTTGAATATCATGCCGACTCAGAGACGCAGCTCGCTCAAGCAGCCTACCGTCCGAAGAATGGATTCGTCAGCATGGCAATGCAACTTTCCGACGGGGCCGAACTCACGAGACAGAAGCCGACCGGCTCTTCTCAGCAGGATCTATATGTGTAAAGATACACTGGCGACGATAGCGAAGGCATCGGCGACACGGTACACCGCCCTCGCATTTCTCTTTCACTCTGCGACAGCCGTCACATCTACACGAGACCCCGGCTATGTTAGCGCGATAAGAACGATATGCATTGCGGTGCATTGTAGTGAGATCGACGTACGCTCGGACAGCACGCTTGCGATTCTCTTCGGCCACTCGAGGGCGTTTGGGCTGCTGCTGTGGTGGCTGCGCGGGTGCTGGAGTCGAGTCGTCCATCGCGGGCGGTATCAACGAAGGTGCGGTCGGCCGGGCATCGTCTGCGGAGAAGGTGGACAAGGCGGAGTTGGGGTTTGCCCCGATGCAGTCGGGCAGTAGTTGGAGGCTTGGGGCACGCTAGTCTAGCGGACAAGCAGGCCGAAGGATCGGGGGAGCAGGGGTGTCAGAGTCAGACACGTCGGGAGTTCAGAGAGTCGGTTTTGGAGAAACGGATTTTGTGGAGGAGAAAGTTCAGGCGGGAGAGACGAAAAATGGTATCTGAGTCGATAACGCATCGGTTCGCCGTGGCCCCGCATTCTGGCAGAAACAGCCTTTTTATCTCTTCCTCTCCTCCAATTATGATTTTCTGGCCCTCCGCTTTTTTAGTTCGCTCGGCACGGCACTGCCAATAATGAGGAGTATATCCACCATGAGATACCGATTGCAACAATTTCTTCATGTAAGTCGATGTGATTGCAGCGATATGGGCAGTACTGTCCATGGGCCATTATCTTCTGCTCTAGCAAAATTACTAAGTCCGTTATCCTAGATATCAGTCAGCAAGTATGGCCCCAATCTTTGAAAACCAATTAATTGGGGCTATGAACCCAATTGGTTGTTAATTATTGAACTGATTACATGCTTTGAATGAATTGAACGGACAGTCAGCTATGCAAAGCTTCTGTCAGATTAGCACCCAATGATGGCCTATCGGGCATGTCTAAGAAAGCTTCATGTCACATAGTATCTTATATAGTAAGACGAAACCCCTGAGAGCAAGACATTCTCCAAGAATCAGCGGGTTTGCCTAAAATCCATCAACGTGTGTCCCAAGTCCACTCGCACTCCCAACCTCGAGCACCTTCTTCCCAATCACCAAGTCCATCAAACCCATCCCAACACACTTATAAATTACATTAGCCCCCTCCGGAATCTCAATTGCATCTGACGGCCCCAACCCCCGAGAAGATCACCCATCTCAGTCAATTCATCCTCCGTAATCTTCGCCGTAATAAGCTCCCCCGACTCCTCCAAACAAGCAGACTTCGAATCAACATAGATCTTCCCTCCACCAGAGAGCAGCGTCTCCGTATCAATCTCATGCATGGGTGGCTTATAAGATCCAATCAGCGAGATAAAGCGCTGTTTAGGCGCAGACTGCAGCGCGGAGTATGAAAAGTTGGGAGTGAGAGAGGGCGTGCAGCTGAAGATTACATCGCAGGCTTGAAGCTCTGCGAGCAGTCGCTGTTCATAGTCAGGGGTACCCTCTTTGGCGAGGGTATTTACGGACACATTGGGATAACGCTGACGCAGATCGTTGAATACGGATTGTTCCATTTCTTCAAGCCGTTGACGGCCGCGGTTGACGAATGTCACTCGTTTGATTTGATTCGGGCATAAGAGTAGAGCAAGTCGGGCGTGCCACTCGGCTTGACGCCCCGATCCAAACACGAGGATATTCTCCTTGCGAATTGCAGTGCTGCGCACGAATAGCGTCATTGATGCTAGCGCTGTTCGAAAGGCGGTTACCTCCGCGGCTGCAAGGAGTCCTTGTAGACGTCCATCGGGCGAGAAGATGTTGATAACACCCTGGATGCCATTTTTGGCCACGGTCACTACCTTGACGCCTGTAGTGACCGTGTCTGACACCGGCATGAAGATGCATGAGTTGTCTGCCTTTGTGGCGAAGACGGTGCGCAGTGGCTGGTGGATCAGTTTCTCTGATGTAGGAAAGTCTGGTTTGGACTCGGCAGATATGGCTATTAGTGCATCGCCCAGAGAGCTGATGAATTCATGGCATTGAGATTGGGTCAAGCTGCGGAAGATCTGGGCCACGTCTGGCTCGGAGAGGATATGCATTTTGAATGTAGGCCGTATTTCTTGTCGCCGGGTAGCCTGATTTCCAAGTTGTAATGAATGTGTTAAAGGAGATAATCAATTGAAGAATACACAAGGTTGTAAGTGTTGATAGACAAGTGCAGACGAGAAGGTCGGAGAGGCCCTCCGATAACCGCAGGCCGGCGAGGGGTCAAAGGTGGAGCCCCTAAACCGGCGCCCCATAGCCGGTAGAACTATAAGGAGAAAGTAATCAAGTCCCTATGTATAATCGGCAAGTGACTCCGATACTGTCTACATCGAGCCAATGGGAAGGAGATAGGAGTTATAGTCATCTATTCTTGAAATTCGTCGCTATCAACAGGAAAGCTATGGCTTATGAAACGCTAACGCCATCTATGAATGCATCCCCAGCAAACGCAATGCAAAAAATACTGTCCCGGTGTGGTCAATGAAGGCCACGATCAAGGGGAAAACAAGCATGGGGAATCTTTTTCAAAACAACAAAGGAAAAAGCGACCGTAAAGAAATTCATCAAAATGCGAGAGGAGACCAATGAAAGCTTAGTTGCTACCACCGAAGATGTTACGGCAGCGGCGCTTCAGTTCATCGATCATGGCAATCTGAGAATCCTTGGTGCGGCCAACAGCCTCGGTGTTCTCGACAGCACGACGAAGCAGGAATCCCATGCACTCCTGGACGGATCCCCAGGTCAGGAGCTTGAAGACATTGGGAGCGGATGCGGGAGTCATGCCAACGTCGGCCTCGGCACTCTCGAAGCCCTGGAGGAGCTCGAGGCTAACCTCATCGGCCATACCCTGGAGCTGGGCGTAGCTGAGATCGACACCATAGTCCTCACCCTTGGCGGCCTGCTGGACCCTGATGGCATGGGCCTTGCGCACAGATTCGCGGTTGTGGGTAGCGATGATAACGTTGACAGGAGGCAGCTCAACGGGGGTGTCCTTGGAAGGGCGCTGCAGCATGGAGTTGTACTTGCGAGTCAGGAGAGCTTCGACGACTCCATCGTAGCAGCGGTCGGTATCTTCCTTCTCAGCCCAGATCAACTGACGAGGTTCGGTCTTCATGTAGGCACCGCGAACCAGCTTCACACCCAGAGTGTATCCCTCTTGGCGGGCAGTCTCCAAGTGACGGGCTAAAGTCTCACCAGTGGAGCGAAGGTATGCCTGGTAGGTACCATAGAAAATGGCACGACCGGGGGTCTGCGAGTTGCAGTACTTCTGGTACTTCATGATCCAAGCCTCGATACCGGGCTGCACGGCCTGCTCCTCGGCATCCACGAGAAGACGCACACGGCGAGAGATAGCCAAATCGCACACCTTCTGAATAGAGGCATCCATGAACTCAGTAGGGGCGGCCTGCTTCTGCAGCAGGCTAAGAGCATCAGTGCCCATTCCGGTGAACTTCAGGGCAACAAAGTCACCCTCCTGAGCCATATCAACGGTCCGAAGAGTACCGTCCAGCCACATCTGGATCTCGGCGAGAGCGGCCTTTTCATCACGAGTAGTCTCCTGGTTCTCACCGACGAGGACCTCACGGGCATAGCCCAGAAGCACACCACGGCATCCCAGAGACTTGATATTCTCGATTGACCGTTGCACCTCGGCCTTGTTCTCACCGGCGTTGAATTGCTTGTAAATAGTGTGCTTCACAAGCATGTTCAGCAGTGGATTCTTGGACACATCCCACAGAGCCGAGCGAGGGTGTGCCAGGCGAGACAGCGCAAAGATGCATGGTTTGAGCAGAAGAGGTGAAGACGAGACGGAGAGGATCAGCAAAGACCGCAGAACCGACGAGAGAGGGAGTTTGGAAAGAGGTGCGGAGAGCGCCTTCCGAGGTAGCGACGCAGTGGAGGATGGCGATAGAGGGTGAAGCAAGGTGCTGGCGGCGACAGACGATTTGGCGTTGCTTGTGCCGCTCACCAGTCGCGTGGTAGCCCGTGTAGTGGTACCCTGGGCGCGGGGCATCCGCGCGGCGCGTGCGGCCTTCATGGCTGATAAGTGGTGGTGGCGATAATAGGTAGTGGTAAAGGATGATGGTATTGATAGTGATGTGTTGAAAGAAAGATGGATTTAGAGATGAGGCTCTTGATAAACTTGGGTGAAGAGAGCAGGGGCAAACTCGACTCTTCTTTATGAATAGAAATAAATGGCCACCGTCCTATATAGCTTACATAGCCCCTCCATCCCAAACGATCAGGTGGCCAGCGATACATAATGAAAACCGCTTGCCCGCCGCAACCACATACTATGAGCTCCGGGCCGAAGGCGACCGGCACCAGAGCCGGGCGTCTCGAAAGAAGGAAAGAAGTATTGAGACCCGCCGCCGTTAGCCGACCGGTTACATCACGTGTTATTCAGATCTGTACAATAGGTCACGAGACCTTGCTTGATATTGTCACGAGACAATACTTAACTAAAGGAATTATTGGACTTGACTGATGAATATGGTATTACTTATAGAAAGGGGAACTGAACATTCTTAGAAAAAGAGACCAACTGTAGTGGAATTATCACATCTAGTCCGATTTCTTGACAGCAGCCGGTCACCTAGATCCCGTGACGGACCCACAACATCGAAATCACCTTAATTTTTAGCGCGAGAATCTTTGTCATCACATCCGGCGCGGGGTGCCACAGTGCAACTATGTCGAGCTTCAACCTAGGAATTACGAGTTTTATAGATCAGCGTGATTTTTAGGCAACACAAGTGTAGGGATTAACGCCGAGAGAATATAAGACTCAAATGATGCTGACTCAACCCTAGAAATCATAGGATATACAAAAGAAAGCTCGTCAAGTACTGTTTCATTCTATGGGTACATTTGCTGGGCTCGAAGGTGACTTTCCCGCAATATCGGATTTGCCGTGAGATCGAATTTTTTTTGGTGTCGGATTCTCGGGTTGGAATGGCTATTTCCAGATATTTCTCACGGCTTTCAAAGTGTCTTAAAGAGCATATGATATTGACCGTAGGAATGTTTGCTAGGATCTCAAAAGGTACCCGCTCCACGTTGGGAACGTATAACTAAATCATACGTCTAAAGTAGAGCAAAAGAGTGTAAGTATTCATTCGTACTTAGTATGTGCAGAGTGCAAAGCCGTAGAGGGGCCGGGCCTATAACTACATCTCAGGCAGCGATTTCAGCTACTGTCGTATCCACATAGAAGAAATAGGTTATCTCGCACTCTGCTGCCCTATCGCTCGCTATCTCTACTTGTAATCTCGATTATAACTTACTAAAATCGAGGGATACCCCTATCAAGGATATTGTCACTTTACTGTAGTCCGGGCCTTATCGAGGCACCGCAAAGAAACGTCAGTACCGACACACGAACTCCTTGGGTGAGATTCGACACCTTTAACCAACAGATAGAAATCTGTTTCAATTTAACATAATTCCAACTCATAGAAACTCACGACATCTGATAGGAAGACTTCCGAAGCAATAAGCCTTTCGTGACTAGGCCCAAAAGTCCTTATCGCTCTCCCCAGGTCTCCACAACAGGCGTAGTCTCCGCGATGTCTATATAAATCCGCGCTCGTGCTGATAATAGCTTCAATCTAGCTAATCTGCTTTGTGTATTGTCACGGTTGCAAGGTTTAGAGTTTGTGTTCTCGGATGAATCTTTATGCCTATTTGTATGTCTTTAGGGATTAGAGATGATTTATCTATGCGCAGATAGCAAGTGCTTGTTGGAGCGCTGGATATATAATTAGTGGATTATACTATCAACTTATAAGCTCTAGTTTCCACTAATTTTATTTTCTAGACTTATTCTTATAATTTTTTGACCACACATTGCTATCATTCATTGAACCGAGTATGGGGTTATCATCTAAAGGTCTGAAGGAGGGCATTGTGGCTTCGCCTTCCGACGATGACATGACTTTGAAGCCGATCTCCGGCCAGATTGACGGTCTTACCAACTCAGATACTCATCGTGGATTGAGTTCCCGTCATGTCCAGTTTCTGGCCTTGGGAGGTTGCATTGGGACGGTATTATTTGTTGGTAGCGGGCTGTCGCTGTCAACCGTTGGCCCTGATAAGTTGATTTGGATATATTTTCGCAGTAACAGAACTTGTTCCGAACTGCGACACCGGGCAGCGAGATTGATTGAAAGGCTTTAACTGATGTGCCTAGCTCCTCTACCCAAGGGATATATTGCCATGTCTACCGTTGTATATTTTATCATGAACATGCTGGGTGAAATGACCACCTACCTTCCTGTTCGCGGTGTTTCTGTTCCATATTTCATCGACCGATTTACAGAGCCAAGTTGAGATTTGCCATTGGTTAGCCCTTTCAGCCGCTGGAGAAGCGGTCTCATCTCACCGCAATATTCCTAAAGCAACTAATCGTCTCATTACCTTCTTTTCACATATTATGCCCTTGGTACCTTGGCCATTGGAGTGATGGTGGCCTGTAATGACAAAAGCCTTCTATAAGGCGTAGCGAGTGGCGGATCTGGGGCTGGCGCTAGTCCATTCGTGGTTGGCCTTCAGAATGCAGGCATCAAGGGACTAAACCACTTTATCAATGCCGCCATTCTCATCTCTGCTTGATCGTCGGGAAACTCATGGGTATATGCCGGATCACCTGGTCGACCGGTATACTATCTTATTTGCACCTCTCCAGCTCGGGGTCCAATGTCTTTTACTGGTTCACTAATATCACCACAGTCGGAGGATTTATCTCATGGGTTCTCGTCGGCGTTGCCTACCTGGTTTGTTCTTACTTTCCTGATTACAATCCCGAAGACATAGCTAAAGATAGAGAATACAACCCCTAGCGCAACGTGATTCCATACATCAAGATTCGTGGAAATGCCTCACCGGAAGTTATCTATGTTGTGTTCATAGTATCTTGAGAGTAGTCTCATCTGTGGGGAAGACTTGCCTAGATGGTTTGCCAAGTATGGAGTCCGGAGTCGATAGCGACTTGACTTTGGTTTTGATAAGAACAAAAATTGCCATTACTGTATCAAGCACTTCACCCGGGCCGGTGTAAGTGGGGCTGACGAACTGCTGGCGGCGGTGTCAGTGAAGAAGCGGGACTTGGCATATCGCATAAGCGAAACAACCTGACTGATCCGGGCCCGGGCCGTGACTGAGCGGGTGAGTTATTGTTACGTCATTGCATCTATTGAACAATATACCTCTTTATAACGATATGGGAGTGGAGCTTTATCTAATCGGCAGCGACCGACAGTTTTCCGGTGGATCCACTCGTTATCATTCGCTGCAGAACCCTCAAAGCTCGCTGAGATGGCCGGGCGGGATCAGTCCCGGTAGCCAACCGCCTTTCATCTTTGCGGTCTCCCCGCGTTCCAAGGAGCTTTCTCTTTCTTCCTTATATTCTTGTGCAAGCTTTTGTCTTGAATTCTCGGAAGTCGATCGAGATACTGCCTACTGAATTTCAACAACGCATAGATCCTCAAGATGCAGACCTCTTTGCTGCGCGCTCGTGTGCAGCCCTTCTCGCGCCTGGCATGCCGCATTCCTAGCTCCAGCTCTCGCGCTCTCAACACTTATGCCGCTTTCAAGGTGCCCCAGATTAACAATGAGCCCAACGTGAGTCGTCATGCGATCTATGGTCACAGCTCATCTTACTTACAAGAATAATGTTTAGAAACACTATGCTCCTGGTAGCCCGGATCGCAAGGGGTTGGAAGAGGCTTTGGCTTCATACAAGCAGTCGGCGCCCTTGAACGTGCCTTTGGTGGTCGCTGGCAAGGAGGTAAATCTCATACTGTACTGATATTTTGCGATATTCAATTACTAACAAAAAGAAATAGATCAAGAGCTCCGAGACCTTCACTCAGAGCAACCCTGCTACTCACACCCCCGTCGCCACTTACTCCAATGCCTCCAAGGCCGATGTCGAGGCCGCCATTACCTCCGCCCTTGAGGCCCGCAAGTCATGGGCTGCCACTCCCTTCGCTGAGCGTGCCAGCATCTTCCTCAAGGCCGCCGACCTCATTTCGACCAAGTACCGTTATGATATCATGGCTCTGACCATGCACGGCCAGGGCAAGAACGCCTGGCAGGCCGAGATTGACTCTGCTGCTGAGCTCGTTGACTTCTTCCGCTTCGGTGTTAAGTATGCTGAGGAGGTCTATGCTCAGCAGCCTGTTCACCACTCCCCTGGTGTGTGGAAGTGAGTAATTCATTGCTTAGATTCTTGCGCCTAATTCAGATGCTAATTTCATTTTCAGCCGCCTTGAGTACCGCCCTCTGGAGGGTTTCGTTTACGCTATCAGCCCCTTCAACTTCACCGCGATCGGTGGCAACTTGGCCGGTGCGCCCGCTCTGATGGGTAACGTTGTGCTTTGGAAGCCCTCGCCTTCGGCTATTGCCTCCAACTGGCTCGTTCACCAGATCCTTCTCGAGGCTGGCCTCCCCAAGGATGTTATTCAGTTTGTGCCCGGTGAGGCCGAGGAGGTCACCAGCACTGTTCTCAACCACAAGGAATTCGCTGCTCTCCACTTCACCGGCAGCACTGATGTTTTCCGTATGCTCTATGGCAAGATCTCGCAGGGTGTGGCGGAAGGCAAGTACCGCAGCTACCCTCGCATTGTTGGCGAGACTGGTGGCAAGAACTTCCACCTGATCCACAAGTCTGCCGATGTGCGCAACGCCGCAGTCCAGACCGTCCGTGGTGCCTTTGAGTTCCAGGGCCAGAAGTGCAGTGCCACTTCCCGTGCCTACGTCGCTGCCTCCATTGCCGACGACTTTGTCAACCAGGTCGTTGCTGAGGTCAAGCAGATCAAGGTTGGCGAGCCTACTGATTTCTCCAACTTCTGTGGCCCCGTTATCCATGAGGGCTCTTTCAACAAGCTTGCCGGCGTTATCGACGAGGCTAAGAACGACCCCGAGCTCGAGCTGCTTGCTGGTGGTTCCTACGACTCCTCCAAGGGATGGTACATCCAGCCTACCGTGTACCGTACCTCCAACCCCGACCACCCTCTTCTGTCGCGCGAGCTCTTCGGTCCCATCATCGTCATCCACGCGTACAACGACGCCACCGAGGCGGACTTTGTTAAGATCTGTGAGAAGATCGACAACACCGGTACCTACGCTCTGACTGGTTCTATTTTCGCCCAGGACCGCGAGGCTGTGCAGGTTGCTGATGAGCACCTCCGCAACTCCGCTGGCAACTTCTACATCAACTGCAAGAGCACTGGTGCCGTTGTTGGCCAGCAGCCGTTCGGTGGTGCCCGTGCCAGTGGTACCAACGACAAGGCTGGCAGCGCTAACCTGCTGTCTCGCTTCGTGAGCTTGCGCTCGGTCAAGGAGGAGTTCGTCCCCACCTACACCGTTGCCTACCCTAGCAACGCCAACTAAGGAAGGATCCATGCACGACCTTTCGATGTTGACTGTTGATATTGCATGCCTTATGACAACCCGGCGTCTATTTTGCATTTTACCTTGGCGTTTTCTTTTCCCGCTGGAGTGACGATCATACTCCTCCAACCTTGTTCTAAAAAAGACAAGCACTTGTATCTCTATATAAACTTGAAATTGATCATTCTATTCCCACACTGCTCATCTATCTTCGCTTCATCTACTCGGATCACAATTCTTCAACAACTTCTGCATATTCTCCATAGCCTTCTTCGCAAACGGCTCCATCTCATACTTCTTCCCCTTCCCCTGCGGCCCCGCATCAAAAATCTCCATCGAAAACCAACCCCGGAACCCCGTCTGCAAAACTGCCCTCGCAATATCCTCAATCGGCAAATACCCGCCGTCATACGGCATAGGCCTATAATCATGGCTCCACCGGCCCTGCGGCCTCAACCCGTCCACAACCTTATCCTCCAACGGCGGCGACACCTTATACGCGTCCGAGATCTGCAGGAGATATATTTTATCTGCGGGAATAGTGAGTGCCAGCTCTTTCATACTTGCGGCGAACTTCTTCTTCAACTCGTTCTCGGGTACGTTGCGGATCAGTCCGGTGGGCGAGGTTGGATCGCCCCATTCACTGCCGGCGGTTTGGAACGTGTCCAGGCAAAGGCCGACGTTGGGGAGATTGACCTCGCGCACGATTTCCCAGACTTCTTTCCAACCCGGCGCGTGGGTGGACCAGCACCAGTTTTCGTAGGCGAGGCGGAATTTATGCTTGGCTAGCATTTCGCCTAGTTCGCGTAGATCTGAGACGATTGTTGAGCGGTCAATCGAGATTTTATCCGCGGGTGTGTCGGTTGCTCCGACCTGTCATGGAATTAGCGAAAGATGATTCCATCTTGAGGCAAAGGGTGATGTATGTACCTGCAGAATATCCGTCCCAACAACCTTCATGATCTCAATCCAACCCGCCGCCCTCTCAAACACATCCTTCCGCTCAGGCGAATCTTTCGGCCACCCCTCAAAATTGGCAAAGGGTTGCAGCATCATCACTGACAAGCCATTCGCTTTGCACAGGGTGCGAATCTCCCGGGCGACCGAGGTCAGCTCGTTATAGTCATTGGGCTGGATTGGATGGCCTAGCAGGTGTTCGCCATAGTCGAGGATATCCGGGAATGAGAGCTCGATGGCTTTGAATCCTGCTCGGCCGATTGCTTCGAGTCTTCGGGGTAAGGTGTCGCTGGGTCCGCATCCGATTGAGCAGGATGCGTAGGAGAAGGGGATTTGTTGGAGTGATAGAGGTTTCATGGATCCCATATTGGTGGTTGTATGTAAATGCTGTTGAACCCTTTTACTTTTCCGAGTGCCTTTGTTTATTTTGTGAATGGCATGTGTAGAAAATAGCGAAGGTAATTTTGTTTAATGATAGGAATGGGGAAATAGTGGGAATATACTATAGTTCGGATTGTGTGAAGATAGAATGATGCAATGTTTGTGTTTCCGCGGGCCGCAGCTAATTGTCGTCAACTCTACATCATCCCGCTCAACCATGATTTACCCAGCAATACATGTTCCCTTCCCTAAGTCTGGTTGAATTTCTTATTTACTATGATTCTAGTTCAACATTCTAGATTATAGCCCGCCTCTCACTGCTAACGCCACTGACTCCATATTGACAGCATATTCCGGGCTACGATTCCGGTGGCTAAGGGTCGTTTCTTGAAGAACATTAGAGCTGCTATTGTCCTCATATTTTGTCAAAAATTTCCCACCGGTCTCTGAAACCGCTTATGCTATATCTCGATGAAATAGATCAGGTCATTACCCATCTATCCTACAATAAACATGCAGTCTGCCAGTCCCACAGAGAAATTCAAGCGCATTGGCGTTGTCGGAGTCGGGAGTATGGGCTCCATGATGGCATTCGCATTCTCAGAAATCGGACTCGATGTCTCCGTGTGGGATGTTGACAAAAGGAATGTTGACAAAGTGATGGACTGGACGAAGAAAGCCACGACTATGAAAGGCAAAATTGAAGGGTTTACCGAAATTGACAAGTTCACCAAGAGCCTCGAGGGTCATGGGATTGGCAAATTATTCATGTTCTCCATCACCCACGGCGAGCCTGCAGACTCTGTTCTCAAGTTGATCAAGCCGGATTTGAAGAAAGGCGACATCATCTTGGATGGAGGTAACGAGAATTATCGCCGAACTGAGCGACGCCAGAGAGAGTGCGAAGATATTGGAGTGACCTGGATTGGAATGGGTGTTTCTGGTGGCTATCAGTCAGCACGACGCGGTCCCAGTCTGTCCCCTGGAGGCGACGCTAAAGCGTTGGAGCTCGTCATGCCACTTCTTCAGGCATATTCCGCGAAGGATCCCAAGAGTGGAGCGCCATGCGTTACTCGTATCGGGCCTGGAGGGTCTGGTCATTACGTCAAGATGGTTCATAATGGGATTGAAGGCGGCATGCTGTCTACACTTGCCGAAGCTTGGTCGTACATGCATTTCGGTCTCGGTATGAACTATGAGCAGATTGGCGATGTTTTCACGGATTGGAATTCCAAGGGTGAGTTACGGAATAACTTCTTGATCAACATTGGTGCCGATATCATGAGAGCCAAAAAGACACCCAAGGGTGACTGGCATGGTGAGGGAGCCAGTGACAGCGATGGATATGTGTTGGATGATGTACTCGACAAGGTCGTGCAGGATGATGATAACAGCGAAGGTACACCACTCTGGGCCGCGATGGAATCCGCTTCTCGACACGTCGCGACCCCAACTCTGACAGCAGCACACTACATGCGTATCGCCAGTGGAAATCGCGCTGAGCGGGTGGAAGCTGCCAAGAAGCTCCAAATGCCTGCACCCCGACAAATGCAGAATATCAAAGATCGCGCCACAGTCGTGGAAAAGCTTCGACAAGCAGTGTACTGCTCCTTCCTATCTTCGTTCTGTCAAGGTCTTGAATTGATTGCTCGGACGTCCAAAGACGAAGGCTGGGCAATCAACATGGGAGACTGTATCCAAATTTGGCGCGCTGGATGTATCATTCAGTCCGAGTATATCGCGGACCTCTTGCAGCCCCCATTGACAACCAACAAGCATTTGATGAATATCAAGTTCGTTGATGAAGTGGCTGGCGAGTTGCGCAAATATTTCCCAGCTCTCAAGTCAACAGTCTTGGAGGGTATAATGTATGATCAGTACATGCCTTCGCTGTCTGCGACTCTCGAGTACCTCAAGTACGATGGTGGCACGATGCTTCCGACTAAGTTTATGGAAGCTCAGATGGACTACTTCGGTGCGCATGGTTATAACAAGCCCGGTGTTCATGGAGAAGATCCTGGACCGACTCATAAAGGTCCTCATCATTATGAATGGAAGTCAGCTTAAAGGGTGGATTCGTTTCAACATCTTGGGAAGAAAAAAAAGTCGCATATTATGCTGCTCAATAGGAGAGCTGTGAATAGAATCTCTAGAACCCACGCAACAAAAATTCCGCCCTCATAGGCCATTTTAGTACCGAGATCCTTGCTTTTGAGTATTCTCTTCAATTTCCCTAAAAATAGCAATAATCAACCATGTAAGCACCATCGTCATCGGTGGTATAGATCACGTTCATCCCCTTCTAACCCAAAATGGACTAGTGTTGCGGCCTCAGGAACCAGAACCGCACGTGGGGCAGGGACCCAATCGGAGCGGGGCAGCAGATGTGAAATTTGTCCAGAGATGCGTTGGGTCGCCGGCGTTCGTCAACTTTCCTCCATCTCCAAACCTTTCATACGAATTGAGTCTGCAAAGCAGTTAGCACGCAGAATGGCCGCTCTTCCATCCACCTACGATGGTTCGTTTTACCCCCAAAACCGAGACTACACGGCCTCTTCCCAAGTAACCCCTCACCCCACCTGCGGGCAAAGCTGACAATCGCAAACCATACAGGGCCCGTCTCAATTGCTGTCATCGGCGGCACTGGTCTTCGCGAGCTTCCTGGATTTACACAGGTTGCTTCGTTGAACGTCTCCACCCCCTGGGGCGAGCCTTCCTCCCCGATTACTATCCTCCACCACCAGTGCAAGCACAACAACAAGACTGTCGCCGTCGCGTTCCTCAGCCGTCACGGCCCCCACCACCAGATTGCCCCTCACGAGGTGCCCGCTCGCGCCAACATCGCTGCTTTGCGCTCCATTGGTGTCCGCAGCATCATTGCTTTCTCCGCTGTTGGCAGTCTCCAGGAGGCTATCAAGCCCCGTGACTTTGTTGTCCCCGATCAGATCATTGACCGCACCAAGGGTGTTCGCCCATGGACCTACTTCGAGGGTGGTGTTGTCGCCCATGTTCCCTTCGGTGATCCCTTCGATGAGGGTATCGCCAAGGTTGTTCGCGAATGCGGACACAGCTTGGAGGGTGAGGGTGTCGTTCTGCACGACAAGGGCACCATCATCTGCATGGGTATGTAACTAGAACCGGCAATGGACATCCCAAAAGACCGAGTTCCACTAACAAATCTACTTCTTAATTAGAGGGCCCTCAGTTCTCCACCCGTGCCGAGAGCAACATGTACCGCTCTTGGGGTGGCAGCGTGATCAACATGTCCGTCCTCCCTGAGGCCAAGCTGGCTCGCGAGGCCGAGATCGCCTACCAGATGATCTGCATGTCCACCGACTACGACTGCTGGCACGATTCCGCCGACGTCACCGTCGAGATGGTGATGGGCAACATGAAGTCCAACGCGGCCAATGCCCGCCACTTTGTGACTGCCGTTCTCGATGCGCTGGCCGCTGACGAGCACGCTGATCTGATCACCGCTAAGCACCTCGCTGGCTCTATCAAGTTTGGTGTTACCACTCCCCAGACTAACTGGAGCCCCGAAGCTCAGAAGAAGTTGCACTGGCTGTTCCCCGAATACTTCTAGGTTCTGGACAGAACTTGAAGAACGTATATTTCATGCATTTGGATACTTAGATAGCTTAGAGATAGACATCAGACGCTGAAACGAATGTCAATAACATCCTAGTACATTGGGAACACAAATAGTGCAAAATGTAGGAGATAAGGGATTAGGGGAGAAATACGGTTGAGGGGAAGGAACATGAATAGGCTTGAAGTATCTACTTCTCCTACGCCGAAATGCGGTTTGGTACAGCCGCAGCAAAGATCATATAGCCCGAGCATTTTTGATTAGGCAATGAGGCACTTCTGGATATTTCCACTTAGTCCCCTTTCCTCTTCTTTGTCTTGTATTTACTAAAGATCAGTATTTCTCATATCTTTTCCCTTCCAGCTTTCTCATAGTCTTTCCCCTAAAATCGGGCGTCCTGTTTCCTATTGACTTTCTATAGCCCCACCTTGATCATCTATACTATCTTATATAAACTACTCTACGATCTTCATGACTATCTCCTCCTCTATCTTCTGCAGAACCTTCTACAGAATCTTCCCAGGAATCCTCTTAAGAATCTTCTCTGGAATTTCTACTCGACCAGCTTCTGAATAATGGCACGCAAGTTGATGACATTGATTCGCAGGACAGATCGGCCTTGAGTCACCCGTGCATGGATGCCGATGCTATCGATATTGCTAAAAAGATCCTAGATCATGGTGCTGATCCACTGATCAGCTTTGACGATCGTCAGTCGCCTTTGCACTTGGCCATCGAGCATGCACAACCGGCAATGCTCGACCTCATCCTAAAAAACTTGTCGGACGATGATGCTCTGGGAAGGAATTAGGCTGTCGGCTGCCATTGAACAGCTCAGACCCTGCAAACACCTCGCCAGATGGAGAGCATACGACAATGAAAAGGGTTCTGAGAAAGTGCTGCGCTTGTTGTGGGAGAAGTTTCTGATCAACAAGATCTTGGACAAGCATCAATCACGAATGGCATTCCTACCTGCTACGGTCTGAGAGCAGTCTGCAGCTTTTTAATTTGGAACTTGAGTCTTTCAGGGTTACCTCTAATTTGATGAATTTTCTGGATGCTCGCTATACATAATCTCGTTCGCAACACAGAACGAGAAGCGGTACTTGTTCGTGTGACGGATTAACGGCGTGATACTTGTCCCGCATTACCTCAACCGTAGCGTTGGGGTCGAAATTGTAATCGAGCAATATTCCAATTGTATCGGACTTCAAACCCTTGATTGCTTTTGCGAGAACGTTGAACACGCATGGTCGGTTGGATCCATGGTGGGCTTGTACCTGTTCAATAGCATCCTGAAGTCTTCAGTGCTGCTGAATTGCGCTGATTTGTCCCAAATCTTGGCCATGACTCTATGGAAGGGTGAGTCGCCGAGTTGAACTTGCTGGGCTTCCAGAACCCGTATGGCCATCGCCATCTGTCCCCTGACACATATATCACGGACCAAGTCGATGGTGTTGGGCCTATCGTCAGGGTGTTGAGCTCATTTACCGCTTGGTTGAAGCAGAAAGTGAGGAAATTATGGGAATTTATCTTCGATTAGGAGGTGCTTAAGTGAACTATTTCTGCCATAACTCTCTTTGCCAAAGTGGAAACTTCCGGTTGATAACCACCTTCCACATTACATTATATCTCATAAAAGTAATTATTTTCCATTGATATAACCACGTTGTCATATTAAATATATAATAATACACAAAATAGTCCCCCAGAGGATCACCAAATCTTCTTCGCCACCATCTCATACCGCTGAACATGATCTATCTTCAAATCCTTATCCTTATTCTTGTCCTTATCCTCCTTCTCCTTCACACGCCGCAGACCCTCAGGATCATCACCATAGATCCAACGACGCTTTTCATCGCCAACCTCAACCATACCCCAACCACCAGCGCGCCGACTCCCTTCAACGTTGAACTCGTCTTTACGAACCGTATTCTCGGTCGTGGGTGGATGTGAGGATGAGGCCTTTCGCGACTCGCTTTCCAGACCTTTCATTTTCTTGTACCGGGAGCGTGCGAAGGCGAGCAAGCTCATGCCCAGAAGGAGTTTGAGGATTAACAGGACAATGTATGCTGTTAATAGCAGGATGACCGTGAAGATCTGGACGGATTGTGCGGGGGAGGGCATGGCGTTGTCCATCAGGGCACTGAAGAAAGCACTGACGTGGGCGACGGATACGGGGATCACGTTGCTCATAGTCAAAGGCGGCGTGGATGGGAGTGGTGCGGGTGCGTAATGGTTATGAATCGATGACAAGGATGTCGACCTCAGTGCCGTCGAGGAGGGGTGTTGAGGGAGCAACGATGCTAGGAACATCTGGTAGGTTTGAACCGACACACGAATGAAGAGGCAAGATAGTGGAATGACCGGAAGGCCCAGCCGACGGGTCAGGTTTTGATCGCCAAAAGCGTTGGTGTAGTAATCCTTGGCAAGTACATCGAGATAGCGACCATACAATGCGGGTCGGTAATTGTTGAACTTGTTGATATACGCATGCTTCAGCCAGTCAACGAGCATCTCGGATCCCAGGACGACCAGGAACGGCCCCAGGACCTGACCTAGCGTTGGGAGGAAGGAGTTGACACTGCTAACCGACGACAGGATCGATGATGGGAAGAAGGTAAAGGACTGAGGCAGGATTGACGATGCGGATCGAGGAGGGGTGGACAGAGGTGTGCTGTTTGTGCTGGTAGAAGCTTGGCTGGAAAAGCCTGACCCTAGTCCGAGATCACCAATGAAGTTGAATGCACCAGTCTCCACAATGTTGCGCGAGGCAATGATAGTGAGCATCAGCCACAGTTGAAACCTCTCCACAACGTCCGCGCACGTAAGTTGGAACAAGTTCTCTTTCTCGAATTTGCGGAAGACGGTAGACTTGATTTCCACGAACTGGTTGGACAGGAGAAGTGTCATGAGTGCGTTTGAATATGAGTTGACGGCCACATTCAGCGTCATCACCTGTGAGAACAGCGATGTTGCATGCGCCACTGTGTAGACAAGAGCCGCCAAGAACAGCCCGAACGGACGCAAGATTTTGCTCCGCCCATCTGGACGACGCTCGAGGGCCTCCCGTGAGAAGAGGCACTCAAGAACATCCTGTCCGATGGCAGCCAAAAGTCGATCGAGTACTTCAAGCACGTTGTAAATGACATACAGCTTGATAGCAGCCTGTCCACGAATCCAGTGGTACATTCGACTGGCATCAAAGTACATCAATGCCCAACAGGTCGCTACCATGAGCAAGCCCGTCAAGATGTCTGCCTTGTCATCTGGAAGTAAGGCCGATGGCATGGACTTCTTCCTGCGATGGTGTCGACGAGATTCCGAAGCTCGATGTCTTCTCTTCGAAGGCTCGGGTTCCCGAAGCCTGGGATCTCGATCCAAAGACGTTGTCGCATCTTGAGTGGTGGAAGACCCATTAGGCAAACGAGGAGTCACATCTGGCTCGCTTTCGTGTCTCTCGCTGTCGTGGTTCCTCCTCCGCCACACTCGCCCAACGCCATTGACCACAAATTTCCAGATAAACCAGAACTCGGCGTTCAAGTTCTTTGCCCAGGATTCGGAGAGAATGTAAACGGCCTTGATGAAGCGTAGTGGGAGAATGGTGAAAGAGTAGAGCCATGAGTCGAGACATGCAAGAGAGCCAAAACATAGCACTTGTTCCAGTGCGCCTGGAAGGATCAGGAAATTCATCAATCTTTCAATCTTCGCGCTCGATGATTCATATGGAAAGTCATTTGTTGCTGGTCGATGAATATACAGCGGTGATGGTCGACCAGATGCAAGCTCAAGCTGGAGGTATGTTGGTATTGAGACTGGAGGTATGGGAATAGACACCGGCAATGGGGACGGTATGGGGGTTTCAATGATCTGTGGAGACGCCGCTAGGTGGGTCTTGAGATCTCGATCAGGGGCATTTCGATCTTGTTTTGATCGCGAAGCCCATGTTTGTGCAAGTCGTTCATTATTAGTTGGTAGGATAGAGTGCCGCGAGAGTCCAGGTGTCGAGAATGTTCGAGATGTATAAGGTCGATTGCGGACAGAACCATTAAGACTAGGTCTTGGGAGTGCCGGGCTTGCAGGCAAAGAGGCCTCTTCCATGGCCGAGCTCTTCGCATTTCGAGCTTTCAAACTATCCTCCAGAGGGGGTGTCTCGCTGAGCGACTGGAGAATCGACTCCCTTATTTCTGGACGAAGCGTTCCATTCGAATGGAAGTGGTCTGAAACCACTCTTTGCCCGCCATTCGTCTCTGGTGTTGCCGTGCGGTACGGGATCGACTCAGGCGAGGATGTAAGCTCTTGAATCTTGTCGGGGGACAATTTCAAAATCTTCTCTTTATCGTCAGAGGGTCTTCGTGATGCGTCTTCGGCAAGCTCAGCCAGGGCGGCCTTCACTTTGGATCCCTCCAGTACAGCTGCTCGGCCGTTCTTATCTGCATCGTCTGGCGACAGCTGAACAATGATGCCAAGACCCTGGCTATGGGATGCAAGGTGCTGCCCATTCGTGTGTCCTCTATTTGTAATCTGTTCCTCCAAGCCATCGCCATTCAAATTGTCCTCTCCGGCATCGGTTGTTTGGTCGTGAGTGGCGGCAGAGTTTTGACTAGCAGCTGTCTCGGATGGCGTCAAGTTACCAGAGCCATTCTGTTTGTCTTCGTGAGCTTTCCGCAAAGCATCAGCGTCGCCGTTCTCCATGTTCCCATGCCCGTTAAGCTTCACCTCCTGGCCCGGAGTAGCTCCGGTAATCTCCGCCGCTGGGCTCATGTTCGCAGCTTGTCCAAGAGCTGACCTGTCGCGATGAACTAATCGTCCGGGTTCTCCGATTCTCAGGTCACCGTTCGTACTCCCACGAGAAGAGTAGCTATCGTTCGCATTCTTTACGTTTGATTCCGGCTTCAAGGACCGCAGAAGGTGGTCACGCTATCGTGCTAGGCGAAGGAGCGGTGAAGAGAGGGCGCCGGATATTAGAAGTGGGCCTGTAAGTTAATAGGAAATATTCGCGCTAAGCCAAGTGCCCATTTTCAGCCAGAAAAGACGTTCAAAATCAGGGGCATGACGGTCATGCAACTGGTGAAGTTGAGCTGCAGCCGGGGAAGATAAGGGAGATTATCTGGCAAGTCGGAGTGACAATCGTTGTTTCAGCCTGAGGCAGCAATGTTTATCATCACATGATGGCATGCGATCTGAATTTAGGCTGATTGCACAACAATCAACACCACTACAACCATTGTACTTCGGACACTACGACCAACACAATCTTTAAAATAGTGTCTCGGCATAAGGCCTTCAGCCTGGTCTCGGAAATTATATCAAAATTTTCGATTCATTTAATTCAAAGAAATCAATGCTGGCACGAACGGCCAGACTAAACAGAACGGGGTATGGTATGGGGGTATGTACAACGTTTCAGTTTTCAATTCAAGAGACTTGCTCGCTGTTCGCTGTTCGCTGTTCATGAGGGGAATATTAACGACCTGAGTTTCAACTTGAGACATCTGGTCATTGTTGTAGCAGAAAGAGCCAGCTATTCTGCAATCGGTCATGATAGGTTGTGAAACCATTTCTTCAAAGAAGAAACAGGGAAAGAAATTCAATCTGAAAACTCTTTGGAAATGGGGTCTCAATATTGATTAGTGTTTGCACGGTTGAAACCGTATCCTGCAGGAGGAGGGCGGTTCATAATGGAGGGAGACGCCGTGTTAGCGCGCGAGAAGGGCTGGTAACCAGATGGAGGCGGCGGTCTTTGCATGCGAGGCTGGGGTGTTTGCGAGGGCATTGGAGGATTGTTGGCATTGGGGTTGAATGCCGCGTATCCGGATTGTGAGTCGGCCGGACTCTCGGGACTGAAAGGCGTGTAGTTTCGTTGTGAACCTTGCATGTGTCCATCTGGTTGAGGACCGGGTGTGCTGCGATAACTCGCTGGTGTCATTGACCGACCGGGTTGAGGATGGGGTGTGCCACCTGTGCTAGCTGGCGTCATTGTTCGGCCAGGTGGAGGATGAGGCGTCGCGCTTGTGCTCGCCGGCGTATATGATCTGGCTTGGTAACCATCTTGCGGCTGATATCCTGGCCGTGGACGAGGCGGTGCCCTCTGATTGTTGGGTGTTCCGGCAGGCAGGCCATCATAATCATCCTCCTCTGGCGGGTCACCATAATAACCGGCAGGTGGTTCATAAGGATCGTAAGTAGCAGCTGAGGAGCCCGGCGAATGTGAACGGCCGAAATAGTCGTCCGTGACGGACTCACCAGGTGTGTGTGATCGAGCATAAGGATCGATAGCAGCACGGGAAGTATGCGACCGGGAATAAGGATCGACAGCGGCTCCGGGGCCATGCGACTGAGCATAAGGATCAACGGCGGGGCTGAATGGGCGATACAGCTGGGCACCAGAATCGGTCAGGTTGCGCATTCCAGGTCCCGGGCTGTTTCGGCCAAGATCGTTAGGGAATGGCTGTGGCCCAGGCGTACGTCGTGACTGGGCTGTGTTTGTCCTCGAGGGAGGCATGTTGTTCGGCAGAGGTGGAACAGGAGGCAGCGGTGTGTTCTGGCGATCCAATGGACTATATCCCATTGTAGCCGCATTTCCAGTCAACGATGCCGATTCAGACATGGATGACTGAGTTGTTGATCGAGTAAGCGGCGGCTTGCTATCAAAGTCAAGGCTCGGCAGAGTTGGGTTTTTCTCGGTTCCAGTAGAGTTTGCTCTCGAATAAGGCGGCAATGTAGTTTGCGTGGTACTACGCGACAGGGTCGACACAGCTGGTGTCTTATCCCCCGCGAGATGAGGCAGGGATGGCAGAGTCGGTTTTGTTTCCCCGCCTGCCACACTGGGTTGTGTCGGTGCGCGATCTTGTAGCTTGAAGCCTGACGCCAAAGCCTTGTTGACCTTCTTCCGAACAATGCGCGTCAACCGAGTGCTAATCTTGCGACGACAGTAGGCCTTGAGTGTCCCATCCTCGGAAGGAATGTGATGGAACAAGAAGATCAAGTAAAGAACGACGGCAGAGGCCAGTTTCAAAACTGACAAGACCCAGATCACCAGAGTAAACAGCATACCGAACAGAACCACGGCTTGAAGGTTATTTTCCTCGGCGAGAATCTTCACGTTGTTGAAGAATTGCAAGACCTCTGAGGTTCCATTGTCTTTCGGCGCATTTTTGCCGCCTGGGAGAAGGTCGGCCTGCAGGACAGACCACAGCGTGATGGCATTGAGGACCTGGCGGGGCCCATCAGCGAAGATGGTGTTCATCCAGAACTGAAAGGAGAAGTAGGCGTAAAGCGCGACATATTCGGCTCCTTTCTTACTTTTGGTCAATTCGGCAAAGACAAGGAAGCGTTTCCACCCACGACCTTCCCTGGTGAACACTCGGAAACACTGGACGCGAACGGCAAGAGGGTCCAGGTAGCTTCGTGTGATACTGCCAGAGCGCATCGCACGAATAGCAAGCATCCATCGGTAAATCAAGAGAGCGAAGGACACGAGAATACAGACGGCGAAAATCCAACGAGAGATTCTGAATGGAATAGCGGGCTCCACGCGACCGCTCCAGCGAGAGAAGGCGAGCAGATTGACAGCGGTAAAGGTATCGGCAGCATAGACGGCAAGCGAGACAAGTAGAAACACCCAAAGGAAGAAGTAGGAGAAGGGTGTCCAGCAGGAGTCGGATTTGAAATCATCGAGGTTCTACAGAGCCACAGTTAGTACAACTAGTCATTGTCGCTCCAGCTAACCGACACTCTGATACTCACCACATAGTCCCATTTCTCCTCCATTGAGACCGCGCCCTTTTCACGATCACCACAGCACCCCATTATGACGGTGATCCCGGACCTGCCAGGAAGCGATTGCGAGCGACTGAACGAGTGTACTGATTGAGTGACGAGTATGGACTTCCACGGGCCAGCCGGGTAAAGTCACGATCGAGGTTAACGAGTCAGGTGTAAAGACAGAGTAAAACAAATAGCGACACCAGGAGGTGTAAAGAGCGACCAAAGTGAAAGAGTGTCTTAATCGCGTGACTGGCGCATAACTATGGGAGGCTCAGGTAGGAGGCTGGCAAGAGATCGAAGGGGCCAGATGTAAGATGCCAGGCACAGGCACAGGAAGCGGCGCAGGCACTGTGACAGGCCCACGACAAGACAACAAAGGGCAGCGATCGTGTTTCAGACTGGCATCCAGCGGTATTCTACCAGAGCATGCACGAATGCGCAAGCAGATCGTGGGTATCAATCGCAATGCCAAGCGCGCGAGGGTTGATCTTTTTGTTGTCTGAGCGCCAAGAAAGGGGGTGGATTGGATGAGGGCCGACGATCGGATTGCGGAGAAAGAATGCGACGTGCGTCAGGGACGTTTGAGTTGAAAGAGTGACAGGCACAAACCGAGGGCCAGGAGTAAAGAGTGAATCAAGAGAATAAATGGCGAGGGCAAAAGATGACCTTTGACCCGATGAAAGGGGAGAGGGGAAAAAGGGAAAGATGAAACGTGAGGGCCACAAGCGTTCGGGGAGTGGAGTGTGCCAACGCGGGAGAGGAACGATGAACTCCTTTAGGGCTGAATCGCCCTTTGTTGCCTTTCTGCTTTTTGTGCTTACATCCTCCTACTATTCTTGGTCATGAAACAGCTGCCTCCTGCAGATTTTGGCGCCTATGTATTGCATTGTCGCATCATTCATCAGGCTTCCATTCCTATCGAGTACTTCTCTATTCTCCGTACCTGGAACCAGCACCTACCATAGTACACCAACAGATTACAGTAGTATCCGCTCACTTCTCCACCGTCCCACTTTTTGCAGCTTTGAAACAAATCATACGGGGAATCCCCTCGGGGCTCTCTAACCGACGACCAGTCAGACTGTCAGTGGGCAATGTGGTGATTTCGCATCCTAACCATCCTTGGCCCTAAGCGCCGAAGAGGGCGCTTCCATAATTCCATGCTACAGTACCATGGCTATCAGTTCGTGAGCACAACTACTGTACATACGTTGTTCCTTCTGCTAGGTATGGACTCCAGACGAGAGACGGAGTATATTCCCTAGTCTTCCTCCTAGCGGCGTCGTAATCTTTTCTTTCCCTTCCAATTCTCTCATAGCTCACCCGTCTAGTGTTCTTAGCGTGAGGCCCAGGAGTTGCGTAGCCTGAAGCTAGCGACAACAGCCACGGCGCAAATGAATTGTGGACAGACCGGTTAATACACGGTAGATTTGCTTAGTCTATAAATTACTATCACTGATGTACAACATTGCAATGCTAAACAAGAAGAGTTGCAGGAATATACTTGGGGTATTGGTATACATACTGTAGCGCCCGGTCGCAAGAGTGGGGGTTTGGATAGAGGACATTAGACCCAATGAATAGCTCTCCGTTCAATGGCAGTCATTAAATCATCAGGTCTCACACTCGATCGTAACATGCTGGTCCGAAATATCTTTGCTTGGGGCTTTTTGAGATCAGTGGAGTGGTCTGTTGGAAGATTCCCTCGTACAGTACACGCTTGCCCCCGCAGAAGACTGACCCAGCAACAAGACCAGTAAAAGTGGATAGCTCGCATTTAGGCTTATCTATTTCTCCCCGCAGCTTACTACGACAACTCCTCGCAACCGAGAATCAACCTCGGATGACATCGAATCGTATGACGAACAACTTAAAAATGTCTCCGAACCGTCAAGTAGCAGAAACGCTAATTGGCCCATTTCGACCCTCAATGGTGACGTCGGGGTAGTAGTTGGCGATCTGCGATCCGGGACCGGGACCCGAGCTGCATTTATAAGCTGGTGGCGTTGCACTGGAGTAAGTTTGGAGATTATAAAGGTGCTCGAACGACAGTAGCTCGGAGCTACATTCTATTCAAACCTTTATTGCTATAGATCACAGCGAGGAGCATTCCAATTGCTCGTTTTTCACTTCAATTGACCACTTAATCCTCCTACCTTTCTCCTTCTAATTTTAAGTCAACCTTCTCCCACAGTCATGGCCCCTCCAGATATCTTGAACAACCCCGCCGAGGGCATCTCCTACTTCACCCCTGCTCAGGTGCCGCCCGCGGGGTCTGCAGCGAACCCACAATCCGACGGCTCACAACCTCCCAAGCTCTTCCAGCCCTTGAAAGTGCGAGGCGTGACATTTCACAACCGGATCGGCGTGAGTTTACCTTGACTAGCTTATTCCTTGACGCCATGAATAATTAATCAACATATCCCTCGGGATTACGATAGCTTTCTCCACTCTGCCAATACAGCGCTGACGATGGACATATGACGGATTGGCACATGGCCCATTTGGGCGGCATCGCCCAGCGCGGACCCGGTTTCCTCATGGTAGAGGCAACAGCCGTGCAACCAGAGGGTCGCATTACTCCTCAAGACCACGGCCTCTGGAAGGACTCGCAAATCGAGCCCCTCCGCCGGGTCGTCGAGTTCGTGCACAGCCAAAATCAGATCATCGGCATCCAACTGGGCCACGCAGGCCGGAAAGCCAGTACCGTTGCACCTTGGCTTAGTATGGCCGACATGGCTACGGAGAAGGTTGGCGGATGGCCCGCTAACGTCAAGGGACCCTCCAACACCCCATTCCACGAGAAGTTCCCCAAACCCAAGGCGATGACTACGGCCGATATTGAGCAGTTCAAGAGCGATTGGGTGTCGGCTGTTAAACGCGCTCTCAAGGCTGGTGTGGACTTCGTGGAGATTCATAATGCCCACGGATACCTACTTATGAGCTTCTTGTCCCCGGCGACAAACGACCGTACCGATGAGTACGGTGGTAGTTTCGAGAACCGGATTCGTTTGTCGCTGGAAATCGCCAAGTTGACCCGCGAGAATGTACCCAAGGATATGCCCATCTTCCTACGTGTGTCGGCTACCGACTGGCTGGAAGAAGTCATGCCGGACCAGCCCAGCTGGCGCATCGAAGATACCGTCCGCTTCGCAAAGGCTCTCGCCGAGAGCGGGAATGTCGATGTCCTGGATATCAGCAGTGGAGGTAATCACCAGAAGCAGCATATTCATGCCAAGGCCGGTTTCCAGGCGCCATTTGCTATTGAAGTTAAGAAGGCGGTTGGAGATCAGCTGAAGGTTGGCACAGTCGGTATGATCAATGATGGACACCTGGCCAATTGTGTGTTGGAGCACAATAATCTGGACTTTGTGCTTGTCGGACGGGGGTTCCAGAAGAATCCCAGTCTTGTGTGGACTTGGGCGGAGGAACTGGATGTGGAGATCTCCATGGCTAACCAGATTCGTTGGGGCTTTGGTAGCCGCGGTGGTGGTGTCTACTTGAAGAAACGACAGGAAAAGATTTAGAAAGATGCATGACCGTGACGTCATCTAGATAAATACGAAGGATGGTGCATGATGATGCGAGAGGATGAGAGTGCAATGTCTTGGCGATAATGAGAGAAAGTATCACAGCCAAAATGAGTCAATTGTCTGAAAAGCCTCAAATTGTATATGTGCGATCTCCAGTTGACCAAAACTTACCACTCGCGATAGAATATATTTTCTTTTGTGTCACTTGAATAGTTTGGATAACCACATTCCACTCGGTCGGTCGGCGCATCTATCGTACCGGAAATACGAGATGCGCTGCTTGGAAGCGACGGGTCCAAGCCCGGCCGGGATTCGAGTCAATCCGCCCGACAGCCTAATGCTGGATAGAGTCGTACAGAACGAAATTGAAAAGAATGCCAGAATGAAAGGTATAAATATGCTAAATCCCCACAGTATCCACGATGTCCATTTTTCTAAAACAAACACAAAATGGTCACTCTGACCAACGTCCAGTCATCCAATGCCCAGATTGCAACAGCCCTTCCCCCGGGTTTAGTCGCAGTTTTCGTCGGCGCAACAAATGGCATCGGTGAAACTTCCCTGAGAGAATTCGCCCGCCATGCGCGCCAGCCCCGGGTCTACTTTGTTGGCCGCTCACAAGAAGCCGGTGACAGGATTGCTGCTGAATGTCGCGACTTGAACCCCGAGGGCGAGTTCATCTTCATCAAGGCGGATGTTAGTCTACTCAAATCCGTGGATGATGTCTGTCGCCAGATCGCGAGTAATGAGAGATGCATCAATTTGCTGTTTTTAACATGTGGTTCGGCACTTTCACACGTTGGTTCGTATATACTTTCCCTGGAAGCTTCGCAAGGGATCAGAATATTGACAATTACCCCCATCTTATACAGACACAAGTGAAGGACTGCACATCTTCATGGCCCTAGCATACTACGCCCGAGCACGCTTCATCCTCAATCTCCTCCCCCTCCTCCGTCAAGCCCCCAGCCTCCGACGAGTCGTCACCGTCCTCGCCGCAGGCCACGAAGGCACCATCTACGCAGACGACTTCCAAGGCCGCAAAGTCCCTCTCAGCGGTGTACGAGGCCACAACGTCTCCATGACAGACCTAATGCTCGAACACATGGCCTCACTCGCCCCCGAAGTAAGCTTCGTCCACGACTATCCGGGCCCTGTGAAATCAGGCTTTGGCCGAGAAACCAACAGCATCCTGATGAAGGTTGCCATTACGATTTTCAAGATTGTCGGGCCATTGGTGTATGTCCCGATTCGGGAGTCTGGGGAACGGCATTTATTCTTTGCTACTAGTGCGAGGTATAAGCCGCGGGTGGGGAGTGAGGCGGCTGGTGTGCCTGTTTCCGGGGATGTGGAGGTGTCTGGGGGAACGGATGGGGAGGTGGGGAGTGGTGTTTATGCGGTCAATTGGGATGGCGAGAGTGCTGGGCCAAAGTCTTTGCAGGTGTTGGCCAAGATGCGTGGGGAGGGGATGGTGCAGCGATTGTGGGAGCATACGATGATGGAGTTTAAGCGGGTTACTGGGGTGGAGAGTTTGGCTAAATGAGGATGTGTTTTGATAGGCTGTCCTTCTTTTTAGCTATTTTATAGTCGTAATGTAATGATATACCCCTTGTACAAAATCTCTTGGTGATTTTAGATCTTCGTAGAATGCGAGAACATTATCGATACCGTAATTATGCGGGGAATAGAGTGGGACCGGAGTTCGGGTCAATATACAATTCACGACAACTATGATTTAGCGGCTCGTGAGAATAATCAGGTGACATAATGTGAGGTCCCTAGTTCAGCATCACATCAAAAAGATCAGAAGTAGCTGTTGATGCCTCGAAACGTGTGCATGGGGACAAAGCAATCTCAGAGCGTGGAGAGATGTAGAGATGAAGGAATGTCGAGATGTCGAGATGGAGACATGCTGGTGCGAATATCTTTGAAGAAGATAACGGAGCAAGGAGGGTTTGTTCCCCGTGATCGCTTGGCCTGGCAGCGACCGTCCATCGGGTGTGAAGATATCCCGATTCACGATTCCGAAGGAGAAAGGGGTCCGTAGACATAGGAGACAATCATCTTTAATGACATCCTATATACCTGAGCTTGTAGGGAACAGAATGGATTTATCCTGGAAGTTGGGGGGGGGGGGGAGGAAGGGACCATATATCTGGGTCGAGTCCGAGTTTTTCCCAGATCCCATGCCCAATATTGCGAGTGATAGCGCTTGCTATGAAGCCAGGGTATTTGAGCTAGCCGAGGATATCGTGCAGGGCCGCATGGGTGGTACCCCATTCAGATATCTAATTGCGAGCATGAAATTTAGCCCGCGTGGTAACCGTGCCATGAGTTATGGCTGTGCTTCTTCTCAGCTATCGAGGGCGCACTAGGTGGCGCTACCACGCAAAGGAAGCAATCAGAAGGGGAAGCAAGTCGATCGGTCCCATCTAGAGATCTTTAGGGAAGTAGAACAGAAAGGGGGGAGGGCTCTTATTGCCGACAGAACAAGGCGCAGGGCCTGGATAAACAAGGAATCTGCCGTCAGAAGGGAATCTCCATCAGTTATGTTAAATTTATAGAAATCTAAAGATACATATACCCCTTGTAAAAAGCCTGTTGGTGATCTTAAAATTTGTAGAACGCGACAACAACATCAACGCAGTTGTGTCAGGTAGTGACGTTAATGAAGTGAATTGAGTGGGAGTGGGACCGGAGTTCGGGTTAACACACAATTCATGCTAATCATAATTTAGCGGCTTTTCGTGAGCATCCCCCTAATCCGGTAATATACTCGTGGCAATTGCCAACCGAGAACGAGTCTCTGGGGAGCTCTGGCTTCCGTGCTCCAGGCCTAGTTGACAACTCGAGCCTCGTAGTTGGCTCAAAGGCCACTGACCGACCGACGGATGGACCCGCATCGTCGAATCGGGTATCAGTTGCGAGGACGAATTAATTTGGCCCCCTCGAATGCGAATTGGGAGCCTGGAAATCCGTTTGAAACATTCAAATATCGGTGCCTGCTCGATATTCATCATCCAAATACGCGATATTAATATATTGGCGGTCGTACTGGTTAGTGCACGTTGGAAAGAGTCGAGTTGTCAACGCTTCTGCTGCTACGTGTTCGGGTTTCAGATCGGCGATCACGGCCGCCTACGAGGCTACGTCTGTCAGATTGTCATATGTCACGGCATCACCTTAAAACTTACAAAACCGGGGGTTCATCTACGATTTTGCAGTTCTAAAACGAATTCATCTCTTTTATATCAAGAGCGACACCTCGATTTTGCTGGTCGAGTCCCGAATTATTGATAGAGCGACACTGACAGTGGGAAAGTCGCCCTCGGGAGTCATCGAGAGAAGACCTGTCCTATTCACGTCTGCCTAAGTGGGCCCTCTCTTGATATCGACCAGCGTCATCCCAAAGGAGCCAAAGGATTTCTCTACCGTTCAAAATGGGTATCATCAACGATAATCTCAATGTCCTCTACCTGGGCGTGGCTGCTGCCCTGTACTTACGCCCAGAATATGCTCTCTTCGAGTCAAGAGCTGGAACGATGGTTCTATCATTTCTGGCCATCACCAGTTGGAAAATACTCTACCAGCTAGCATTATATCCTGCATTCTTCACACCGATCAAACACATCCAGACGCCAAAGGTACATTCCTGAACCCACTCTGGTCTATGATAGACTTTGCTAACAACTCTAGGGCCGAACCTGGTTGACTGGTAATTCCGAGACCATCTTTCTCGAGACTCCTTACAAGCGCATGCTACAGTGGGCGGCGAATCTGCCCAATGAAGGTCTCATTCGATACTATATTGTCGGAAATTTGGAACGAGTCGTTCTCACCAGTCCCAAAGCACTCAGTGAACTGTTGGTCACCAAAGTCTATGACTTTGAGAAGCCTCAGACGTTGCGACAGAGCTTGCGCCGTATAGTTGGAGATGGTATTCTGCTTGCCGAGGGAGACGAGCATAAGGTATCTCTCAAGGCCATATCAAACCGCATTATGACTATACTAACGCTATATGTAGCTTCAACGCAAGAACTTGATGCCTGCATTTGCGTACCGCCACATCAAGGACCTTTACCCAATCTTCTGGTCCAAGAGTGTTGAAATGGCCAAGCTGATCCAGCAGGATCTGGAACAGCGAAAAGCCTCCGGAGACAAAGATAACACCATCGTAGTCCGCAACTGGGCAAGTCGGGCTACATTGGATATTATCGGAGTAGCAGGCATGGATCACGACTTTGACTCCCTGCGCGACCCTCTCAACAAACTTAACCGGTCATATCAACAGATTTTTCAATCTCCCGGCCTTGGTACAAAGATTCTGTTCATCATTGGAATGATGATGGGAAACGTTACTCTCCTCCAAAAGATGCCGACGCAACGCAATAAACGTATTGACGAAGGTGGCGAAGTCATCCGCGATGTTGCCCGACAGATGATCCGGCAGAAGAAAGAGAAGATGAAAAATTCCAACTCGCAGACTGGTGTCGATATTATCTCCGTCGCAATGCACAGCGGTGTCATGGACGAAGAAAACCTGGTCGATCAATTGATGACCTTCCTAGGTGCCGGCCACGAAACCACTGCCACGGCGATGCAATGGGCCGTCTACGCGCTCTGCAAGAACCCCGATGTCCAGATCAAGCTGCGCGAAGAAATCCGCGCGAATCTCCCTTCTATTTCCTCCGAAGACTCTGGCGCAATCGACGCCACAACTATTGACAACCTCCCCTACCTCCACGCCGTCTGCAACGAAATCCTCCGCTTCCACCCATCCGTCCCAGGCACGATTCGCACAGCAGTCAAGGATACATCTCTTGTCGGTAAACCAATTCCCAAGGGCACGACTCTTATCATTGCCCCAGAGGTCTTGAATCATCTAGAGGAGCTATGGGGACCGGACGCGGACAAATTCAACCCGGAGAGATTCATGGGCCCGGGCAAGGCTAACACGGGCGGCGCCACTAGCAACTATGCATTCTTGACATTCCTTCACGGTCCACGCAGTTGTATTGGTCAAGGCTTTGCCAAGGCTGAACTTGCCTGTCTGCTCGCTGCGACTGTTGGTCGTTTCAATATGGAGTTGAAGTATCCTGATCGTGAGTTGGAGCTTCGTGAGGGGGCCACTGTTTCGCCGAAGGATGGTGTTGTGGCTGTGTTTACTCCGTTGGAGGGATGGTAAATTGGCTTTGCTATTTGATGTCTTTCTTGTGTTGTCCTGATGAGATAGATGGGTGTATATTACTGGTAGCACACCTCTCCACTTCGAGTATGGACAGCTCTGCGAATAATGAACGTCATGTATACACCAATGAACTTTGCAAATATGGTCAACCTGGCCGGATGTTCCAATCGAAACATATGATGTACAACCCAGTTTAAACATCTACCCTGCATGAATCTTGTCTAGATCTGCATCAATCTACCCCAAGTAGTATCTGCGACCTTCTGGAGTTTGGATGGCGGCAAGAGAAAACCGGGTTCCACGGGGGATGCGGTCGAACATCACCCCGATTCCCGATCCGGCTTAATTCATGCTCCCGCCACAATGAACAATGGTACAGTGATACTTGATATCAATGGCTCTGGAAAAGGGGGGATCCTAAGGTTCGCATGCCAATGCTTAAATATGGCATCCGCCTATCATCTGCTGGTTTATTAATTATACTTCTTCTTGTTTCACCCGCATCTCGTATACATCATGCCTAGCCTCAATTTCAATCCCGACAAAGAAATCCCCGATCTGACGGGTAAATCCATTTTCATCACGGGCGGTATGTAATACAATCTTATTCACTAAAGGCTCAAAGCTCACCTGCACTATTTCAGGAACCAACGGTCTGGGCGCTCAATCAGCTATCCACCTAGCCAAACACAACGCATCCCACATCTACATCAGCGGCCGCAATGCGCAAAGTGCCGAAAAGATCATCGCCCAAATCCGCGAGACCGGTTCAAAAACCAAAGTCAAATTCATCCAATGCGACCTAGCATCTCTCTCCTCCGTCAAAGAAGCAGCCGAACAATTCGCCTCTCAAACACCGCAACTAGACATACTAATGTGCAACGCCGGCATCATGGCCAAACCCCCATCCCTAACACCAGACGGCTACGAAATCCAATTCGGCACAAACCATCTCGGCCACGCACTCCTCATCAAAAAACTACTCCCCCTCCTCGAGAAAACGAGTAATACAGGCGGCGACGCGCGCATCGTCATCCTCACGTCCGAGGGCATGTTCCTCCACCCGAAGGGCGGCATCATCTTCGACGATCTAAAAACCGTCCAAGATTTCTGGGTCGGCGGACCGTGGCGACGATATGGACAGAGTAAATTAGCCAATATGCTCTATGCCCGTGAATTATCCCGACAATACCCCGGTATTATTTCTGTGTCTGTACACCCTGGTGTCGTGGCTACGGAGTTAGTTGGGAACTCGAAGTTTATGGATCGGGCACTGATTCAGGTGACTAATTTTGGAAAATTGCTTAAACCGGAAGAGGGGGCTTTTAATCAGGTTTGGGCTGTGACGACGCCGAGGGAGAAGTTGGAGAATGGAATGTATTATGAGCCTGTGGGCAAGTTGGCGTGGAAGAAGCTGGATAAGACAGCGAGAGATGATGGTTTGGCAAAGAGATTGTGGGAGTGGACCGAGGAGGCTTTAAAGGGGTATTGATGGGATGTTGTGGATGTTGAACTCGCTGTAGGGCTTGTCATCTTACTAGTAGATACTCTCAAATTCTGATCTTAGCGCTTATGGGTCGTCAATTCTAACTTGTGACGGAGATCGTTGATACGGTGGTAGTTCAAAAGTCCGAGTCTAAGAACCAGAAAAATCACCTAACAAATATGCTCCCACTCTTATTTTTTTGAAAGGCCTTTTTAAAGGTCATCCAAATCGTCTTTCTTGATACTAGCTTTGTTGATCATGTTTTAGTCTATCATTCGGCCTGTGACTAACAAGATGGTTCTGAACATTTGGTCATAGTATCAAACTTATGAAGCCCCACTGTACTCTGCCTCTTTCCTTGTTCCAGTGATCCATTGGAAGACTATAGGGCTCGTAGATGTTACTATCATACGCTTGGTTTTTCTAAGTAAATTATCAGTCAATAGATCTCAAATTAGTAAAATAAGAACATAGAACTGTCAACATGTGCATGCGCTTAGCAAGGTGCAAGCAGTGGTAAATGTGAAATAACGAGTTTTGTCCGAAGGAATAAATCGAATATCAAGGTGATATTACAAGATCCCAGTCGCCGTTTTGCGTTTCCCAAAGGTGGTTCAGTGTATCTGTTGGAGTTTGATCGAACAGTCGGCAAATCTAGGCGTGACACGACCCGTGGAATGATTCGTGGGTGACTGCTTATCAATATTCGTCGTATGAATCCGAATCCGAGTAATATGAACCTTGTCGCTCCTGCAACGAAGCCCATATCTCACGCGCCTCGGTAGGACTGATCTCAGAGGTCATCGACTGGTTTGGTTGCCGGTAAGCATCGAACTCCAGGTCGACCTCATTATCATCTCTCTCTGAGCCGTATCGGATAAATCCTCGAAGGTGACCGTCGCCCATAAAGAAAAGCCCATTGGACGAGCCAGCGCGGCCGTCCGTGTCAATGTTGAACAGCTCACGCTGATTTGTCATTCTTGGTAGGGCGTTCCCACGCCAGAATACTGTGATGGCATCCTCTGTATTCACTTCATATGGACGCTGCACTCTCATCATGCCAGTAGCAACTCCAAGATTGAAATTCAACCAAAGGGCGTTCCCATCAAGTGTCGCAATGAGGTTCAGGCGGTCCTGGTATTCGGGAAAGTTTAACTCAACATGGTCACAAGACACGCTGTATCGTCCATTAAGTAGACCAATCCTCCGTCGGGGGCTCGTCGGTGAGATCGGTGGCACAGATTCCATCCACCCAGAGCCAACGCCTGGGTCGTACTCCGAGTATGGTGGTGGTGCATCAGCATGATCGTGGCCTTGAGAGGGTGCCAACTGTTGAGATGCCTTGCTTGCAGCCCCCTTCGGCTTCGGGTTTGCAGTTGGTTTGGCAGGTTTGGCAGCAGCAGTTGTCGACTTGGCCGGTGCGGGTTTCTTTTCTTCAGCCGTTGTTTTTGGAGCGGTTGTCTTCTTTTCCTTTGGTGCCGCAGCTGCCGCTTTTGGCTTGACTGTCGTGGTCTTCGCGACTTCAACGGTAGTGCTTGGAGCTGTCGATTTCCTGGCGGTTTGCTTCTTCTTCTCCTTGGGGGCAGCAGTGGGCGCGATCGGTTTTGCGGCCGGCGCAGCCTTCTTTTCCTTGGCCGTGGTCTTTGGAGTGACCTTCGCTTTCTTCGCAGCCGCCTGCACCTCTACCACCCCAGTACTCGAGACGCTAACACTGACGTTGACACTGGTCGAGGTCGAGACTTGGTCTGCCTTGCGCTTTGTACCCTTGGCCGGTGGCTTCGTAGTAGCGGATTCCTTCAACATCTTCTTCGCCTCCCGTTCCTTCTTTGCCCATTCCTTCTTCAGGTCGGTCTCGATCTTCTGGATATGCGACGGCACGGCGAGGCCGCTGCCCATCACCGCATCGAAGAGACGTTTGTGAGCGGTGCCTTTGACCTTGGATGGTGGTAGGCCATAGTGGAGGAGCTGTGCCTCGTACCAGTGTGCAGGGCGATTCTCGGTGTCTTTGCCATTGAAGTGGTTCTTAAGCTCGGGCAGTGTCGCTCGACGGTGGCGGTTCAGGTTGCTCGCTTCACGGTAGAACGAGTCCCCGGCATAGGAGAAGCCGTCTTTCTGGACGGGTGGTACGAGCGCCATCTGATCAATTCAATTAATTGTTGCGCAGTGCGTCAGGAGAAAAAAATGAGCGGATGATACAATAGGGGTTAAAGACCCGTCGGTTCAAAAAGGGAAATGTGATACGTGGGGCGCTTCAGGTGGTGTTGGACTGGCTCGCTCTTGACGCGAACTAACAAAATACCGGCAAAATACAATCAGGCGGAGACACGATATACCAACTTGCTAAGGAGCAGAAGAATTCTGTAATGGTGATCCCATGTGAAGATGATTCGACTGACGAAGCTTGAGGACTTTGAAGGTAACGTCAACAATACTAATTCGCGGGGATCGTATCCATGGGTCTATACTCTTCAATGCCCCACTCAGTGAAGCACATCCTTATAGTCACATGACCTGTCCTTATCGAATCTTATCGCGATCAAAAAATTTTGGACAGAAGAGAAAGCCAACTCCAACGGAATACTTGCCAATACTGCCACAAATCAAGGGAGTCTCAATCCAGTATTTCGCCTTGATTGAAACAAGTGATTCCAACGGCCACCCCAATTCTCCAAGTCCCGGTTGCCCCTCCTCGCTTTCAATTCCTTCTCCGTCCCGCCGCGGGGTATTATTCAATTGCACGCATTTCCAAATGGATTCACAATCAACAACCGCGGCCCCGGCCCATGATGCCGCCTCCTACCTCGACCTGGCCATCACACTGTGCTTAAACAACTGGCCCGCCCTCACATTAGCCGTGCAATCAAACTGGGGCGGTCCTACCTCCGGCGACAAGCGCGACTGGCTCTGCGGTGCCATCTCAGACATGCTCAACGACCGGCCCGAAACCGACGCCGAGGATCTCGAGGACGTTTTGATCCAAGTCATGAATGACGAATTCGAAGTCATGATTGACGACGAGAGTGCTGGCAATGTGGCGCTTGAGATTATGGAGTTCAAGGCACAGACCTCTCGGGGAGAGTTTGGCGGTATTCAACAGCTGTGGGAGGCGTGGCAGAGGAAGAGTCAGCAGAAGTCTTCGGCGGCGAGCATGTTTAAGGAGGTTGATGCCCGGGATGAGGATCAGGAGACTGATGACGAGGAAGATGACTCAGAGGATGAGGATGTTGAGATGGGTGAGGCACCGTCTTTGGTTCGGGCGCCGAGGGAGAAGGCCGAGCCTGAGGTGGATGAGGATGGTTTCACCGTTGTCAAGAAGAAGCGGTAAATCAATAGTACCGGGGGACAGTTGTTAATTAATGACCTATGATCCATGTCGTTTTCATTCCGTGATTCTTCCCATGTAGAGGGCGCATGAAGCACATATACCTCCTTTTCTACATAGACGAATTGACGCAATTGTAATTGCTTGAAATTAACTACAGTACAATTTCACTCAAGAGAAAGATTTTACGTGGAAAGAGTATTGAGATGACTGCTCTTGTGGATAAGACAAATAGCAATTCTATATGGAAGGGGTAAAGAAGTTTCATAATCATCAAAGTGAAGCGTATGCTTTTGAGTGTATCATCGCTCAATCTCTAGCCAACCCAGCCTTCCCTCTTCGGGAGCACTGCTCAGACCCTGCAGATTGATGGGAGAGATTGAAAAACATCCATAGGCCCCAAGGTGGTATCCTGTTTAGTTTTGTTCCCGCACCGCGAGAATATGCACATTCCGTTATATGTCATTTACTCCTCGTTCTCCGACAGGATGAGCTTGGTGATCATACCAATCGCAATCGTTTGTCCCTGGAGTAAAGCAGTTAACACTTTGATCATGTAATAGTTCGGACTAATAGAAAACATACCTGATCACGGAGAGTGAATCGTCCCAGCTGTTGGTAGTCCTCGAATCGCTCAACACAGACGGCACCAGCAGTGCCGGTCACCTCAAGACGGGCAATGATAGTCTGGCCCTTGTTGGCGAATGGTGGAGGGCGCTTGCTCTTGCGGCCAGTGCCTGGCTCGAGCTTGTGAAGGAGAGCAGCGAAAGTGACCTCCTCAATAGCAGAGTGAACGTGAAGGACACAGTTGAAACCGGCGGTGAGAATGTTCTTCAGATCAAGAATACGAATCTTGGCCTCGAAGGCAGAGACACAGTGGACGGGGCGCTTAGGAGAGCAGAGCACGAAACCGGGGAAGAAGTCCTCCTCTTCCACACCACGCAGACGCATACGGACCTGGTCACCACATGAAGCGGTGGAAATTTCGTCTTCAGTCTCACCGTAGAGAGCAGAGACCTGAACCTCGGTACGGTTAGGCATCATCAGATAAGAGCCGTTCTTCTTGATGACGCCAGACTCGACACGACCCTCAGCCATGGTACCCATGTCACGGTACTTGGCGCTAATAGGCATCATGAAAGGAGCGTTGATCTTACGCTCGGGAAGCTTAAATTCGGTAAGGTATTCCAGCAGAGACGGGCCGTCGTACCAGGGGGCGACACCGGCGGGAAGTCTGTCCTTGATGTTCAAAGTCGTCTGAGCGGAGATGGGCATGCAGAAGATATCGCTCTTCTTGTAGCCAAGAGCCTCCAAGAACTTAATGACCTTGACAGTACACTCGTCGAAGCGAGCCTTGCTCCATTCGACGGTGGGGTCGTCCATCTTGTTGACGACAATGACCAGCTTCTGAACACCAGTGTTGCGGGCAAGCAGAGCGTGCTCACGGGTCTGACCACCCTTTTCGAAACCAGTCTCGTACTCACCCTTACGGGCGGAAATAACAAGACAACCCAAGTCGGCCTGGGACGCACCTCCAATCATGTGGGGAACGTAGGACTTGTGACCGGGGGCATCAAGAATGGAGAACTGACGTTCGATGGGGCCATCCGGGTGGGGGACTGTGACCTTGAAGAAAGCACGACCAACTTCGACGGTCTTACCCTTGGCACGCTCCTCGTTTGTCAAATCCAGAGCCCATGAGAGGTACCAGGTCTCACGACCTGCCTCCTTAGCTTCCTTCTTGTACTTGTCCAGAGTTCGGTCATCGACCATGCCAGTGCAGTAGAGCAGAGAACCACCCAGGGTGGACTTTCCGGCATCAACGTGACCAATGAAGACAACGTTGATATGTTCGCGCCTCTCACCATAGATTTCCTTGAGAGTTGCCTCATCGACATCGGCTAGCTGGGCCTTGGCCACAGCATCAGCGGCACGGGCAGCCTTGGCGGCCTCGCCACGGCCAGGGCTGGAGCGACCAGAGGAGGGAGCGGGAGAGGTCTTGCCGCTAGCGTCGGCCTTCTTCTCGGTCTTCTCAATGGCCTTGGCTGCGGTCACCTTGGCACCAGCCTCGGCAGCCTCAGTACCCTTAGTATCACCCTTGGTTGTAGTGGTCGAAGTGGTTGCGGCGGCGGGGGCAGCGGCCGGCGCGGGGGTAGGAGTTCCGATCGAAAGCACCTTGGTCTTCGGAGCGGCGCTGGAGGAGGTAGCACCGATGGACAGGACCTTGGCCTTGGGAGGGGCGGCGGAGGCGATCGGGGCAGGCTTGGGGGCGGGCTGGGCAGGCTGTTGGGCAGCGGCGGGCGCAGGCTGACGGGGTTGCTGCTGCTGCTGGAAGCCACCAGGTTGCTGGTTATAGTACTGGTTCTGGTTGTAACCACCGGGCTGCTGGTTGTATGCGCCATATTGGCCATGGGACTGCTGGGGGTATCCGTATGCTTGCTGGCCGTACTGATTGTACTGGTAGCCACCGCCGTATTGCTGATACTGCTGTCCGGGAACGAAGGACGAGGCGCCGGGGGTGAAAGTGGCAGCGCCTGGCTGGAAGCTTGCCGCACCAGGCGTGAAGGAAGGCGCTTGAGGGCGACCTTGTGCGTTCAGGTTGACACCCTCGGTTTGCCGGGAGAGATCATCCTCCCAAGAATCGGGGGTCTGGTTCGACATCGTGAGATAGATTCCGGGACGCAATCAAGGACACGGCAAGCGACACGGGAGTCGAGGAGGTTGTAGGTTTCAACAATAATGAGGGGTCCTGCGATTTTGATTTTGCACCGCTGAGTCAGCGCCCCGCGATGGCGTCACGTGTCTGATAAGTTCAGTGACGAGATTCGCGTCTTCTCTTTGTTTCTTGACAGAGTGCGAATTCTTTCTGTTCGTTTGAATGCTTGGGGAACCTAGAAGTTATTTGTGGTTAGCTTCTGGTGGTGTACAAGTCACCGTTGGGATTGGGCTCTTCTCACCTTCGTCTTCTCTCTGACCGTTGGGCACAACACAACAACAGTTTATCGATAAGCCCCTCTATGCATTGTCCTCAGGGGTGCTTTACCAGCCAAATTCCCTCGACGTGATTTGAAACGTTCAAGGAACTATTGTGGTCAAAATGGATGTCTTTCTGGCTCGCGTACGTCATCAATATTGACCGTATAAACTCCCTGGCAGCCCACTAACAACATCTATCAATGAGCAGCTGACCCAGCAGGCGATGAACTATGCCATTCGGTAAGATAAAAAAATCCCAGGCTGAAATGACATCAAGACTAAGACATTCGTACAGCTCGGGAATTGCGATCACCGCGACCTATGCCATGCGCCAATCATCGCGCTTGCTCAAAGTATGCCCGATCTGATGTGGCCGCCGACATGTGGATTGGAAGTTGCTGACGTCGTTTTTTCGATCAGAATGTTGACGGCAAGGACCACGAGGAACTGTTATCATTACAGCAGCGTCTTGAGAGCAAGATTCAGGTTTGTCTAGGCGGATTTTTGATATTCTTAACTTTAAGCTGATGTAGAAACGTAGGTTATCTCTCCGTCAATCGACATGATCGAGCTAATGTGAGTCGGTCGAAAAGATCTGTTAGCCATTTTAGGCACTGACATATAGATGCAGAGCTGCTCGTGGCAATACGTCACTCGAGTCCGCAGTTGCCCTCACCAAATCTCTCAGATGGGACATTCAGGCCCTCGGTCAACGGTTGGCAAAGGCCGCCGCGTCAGAAGAAGCGATGAGGAAAGGATCCAAGTCCTTAAAGGAGCGACCAAATAACGAGGCTGAAATCAAGCTCATCATCAAAGACATCAAAAACCTCCTTGCCCGGATTGAGGACGCAGTCCCACTCATGAATCTGGCCATCACTACATCTGGCGCTAAATTATCGACAAATTTGCCATCAACGGTGTCGCCATCACGGCTTCTGCAAGCTAGCACTTTTCTAACGGCAGGTGACACACAGTACTCCATGTCACAGTCCCTCGAGGCGCAGGCGGTGCAAATAGGACCAACATTTACGCTTTCGATGTACATGCTCTTTGCCAGTCATCTCCGTCCTCATGACGAGGAGTCCGTTCGGGAAGCAACCTGGAAAGAAGTCATGCACAAGGCACGACTGAAGCTGCGCCGTGTTCCCATGAATCTCTACTACTCAGAGGTTCATTCAAAGTCGTCACAGTTTCCAGCACGAGCAGGTATCGATGAATATGCTTACCAAGTCATGATCATCGAGGACCTGGATGATGGGAGAGTTCACACATTTGAAGAGAATGAGCCTCAGCCTCATAGCTATGACGGGGTGGCTACGGCGGGAGTGAGAGAGATTCTCCCAATTCATCAGATTTCCAAGATATTTTATGCGGACACGGGCAGGATTCTCAATATTAGCACTGAAGGGGAAACCAACAATCCTGTTCTTTTGCTCAAACGAGACTTGAATGCACTACCTCCTCGTCGCATGATGGAGCATGATGATGTCGATGATGATCATTCTCAAGGAGCAGAAGATCACGAATCGGTCGATGAGGAGCAAGCGCAACTCGATGCCCAATTGAGTGGTGGTAGTTCATCGGATCATACCAACCTCCATTCTCTGCATGAAGACTCGATCCCGGAAGAGTGGCGCTTACCTCCAGGCTTAGATCCGGAGTGGATCGCCTTTGAAGTCTACAATGAAGACGAAGATTCAGAAACCGAGTCTGAGGCAGAGCCAGCAGCAGAAACCTCCATTGATCCTAACATGATGGCCAAGCTGTCATTAAAGGACAAAAAGCATTCACCTAGCCTATCCGCCTCCCCAGCCGGTCGCCATGACGTTTCACACGCGAAGGCATCAGCACAACCCACTGCGACCACAACAACAGTTTCCAACCCATTATTCGAACACATCCGCACATCACTATCGCTACTCGAAACCCTCCTCCGTCTGACCTCCCTTCAACAATTCCAACAACAATCCCACCTTTCAATCAGTGATGAACTCCTGAACTTCTTCCTTGAAGAGTCGTCTTCGACCGGTGCCGGTGGCGACGAACAACATCGCCAGCGTCTACGGTCTGAAGCACGTCGTCGCGTCGGATGGGATCCATATGATGAGAGCCCGGTCAAACACCGAGGCGAGGATTACCAGTATGGCTGGGGACCTGGTAGTCCCTCTGGCTTCCCACGAGATGGCGATGAGCTCTACTCGCCAGGCGGCGGCTCTCGAGGGTTCCATATTCGTTCTCGTGAAAACACTCCGGAGACGCCCCATCAAAGAGGTTCGCCTAGTGTGCGGCCCAGTGGGCTAAGGGGCATGACACCTGCCTATACGGGTGACGCCAACTCAAGACAAAGCTCGCCTCTAGGGAGGAAGGCTGGTCGCGCACCCAAGGGTGGAGATGTTGGGCGAGGGACGGCAGTGTGAAATACTAGATTTCCACGAATTTTGTAAGATTATGACCGGGGATGACGGGGTGGCGGTAGTAATAGAGCTTTTCGACCCATCCGTGGAGCGAATGAGAAATCAAGCTTTACAAATGTGATCAAGGAATAAAGACACAATAAGTGTACTCAGGATAACCGAGTTGATATGTAAAGAGGGCGAATCATGTGCAGGTTCGACGACAAACAAACGGGAACAGGTAAAAAAAGGGCAACAGACGTTATCGATCGCTGAAATCAAAATACGAGAACAAAACGAATCCGGGCGTAAAGAGATAAGAGGTCCGACAACGCCATTGAACCAGCCACAGCGGCCTAACTCCAGCAAAAAGCGACGCAAATGTCATGACCAGATCAACTGGTCATTTGGGGTCTTAGAGACAAGATAGTTATAGCCTTCAGGACGCCCTTGAAAAGACCATGTTTATATCTTCTTGTCTGTGGACCCTGGGGGGGAAATAGTCTACTCCCAATCCTCGTCACTCTCATCCGCCTTGGTGTCGGTAGTTGGGCTCTTCTCCTTGGGACTGCCAGGGGTCCGGCTGGCAGCTCCACTTACCACATCGTAGCTTGATTCACTGTCAGCCTGGGATTGCTGGTCGTTGGATCGGCGAGGCTCGGCCTTCTGGGCATCTTTGGCAGCAAGGTTCTGGTTACCAGTGCGAACTTGGGGAGTGGAAGGGGACTCGGACTCGTCTTCAGAGTCATCATCCCAGCCGACTTCCTCTTCTTCTTCGACATTGGCGCCTGTAGATGAGAAATGCGGTTAGTATATACCACACAACAAGAAAACAAGAATGAGCTAGCGCATTCACGCGACGTACCCTTCAAAAGCTCCTTGCGCTTCTTCTCCTCAGTCTCGACGACAAGGCGCAAGAAGTAGTACCGAGTCCAGAACTCGGCGTACTCCACCTGCTCTGGGACAAGCTTCTCCATGGTCGCCCGCAACTCAGGGTACTTCTCCAGGTCGGCGGCAATTTCGTCGGTCTTGCTCTCCACGTTGAATTCCTTCTTGAACTCGGGGAACTTGTCACTAACCGGGTCCTTGGTAAAGCTGTCCACATTGGAATGAATGACATGTAGCTGAGCCTCGAACCGAGTGGCATGAATGACTCGCTTGCCGTCAGCATCCTTGCTCTCGAACAGAAGCTTGCCAGAGTCATCGAGTTCGGGCGGCACAATGCTCACAGCCTCGCGAAGCTTCTGACTGATACTGAGACCGAATCGCAGGATCGCTTCATCCGCAGCCTCTTCAGCTTTCTCAATCTCCTTGAATCGCCGGGCGGCTTCGGCCTTGAAACGAGAGATAAAACCCTCTCCACTAGCACCGGCTTCCTGCGCCTGGTCTTTAGATGTTCCTTCCGTCGCAGCCGTGGGTGTCGCAGCTCCATCTGCTGGTCCTTCGCTGCCACCTGTAAGCCCAACCGTGCTGAGCGACAGCCCCTTTGTTCGATCGACGATGGTATTCCGCAGGTCTGAAAATCCCTTCACAGCTTCTTCGCTGGCAGCATTGTATTCCTTTTGAGCGCCTTCATAGTAGCTTTCTCCCTGCTTGCGTACATTGTCCCAGAGTCCTCCGATTCGGGTGCCCCACGGACTGGCGGAAAAGGCGCGGAAGGTTTCTTGGAGCTCGGTATTGAGGTTGCTGTTGTTTTTCTCATTATTGGATTCAGGAGAATCCTCGTTCTTGTTCGAGGCCAGGATCTCCTCCTGGATATGGTCGTATGCGAAATCCATGGTGAAGTGGACAAGGAAGGAGAGGAGGTCGCAGACCGACACAACAATTGAGGTTGCACCTCCGCGTTCGTCGATGGTCCGACCGCCCCGCTCATCCCGTGCTGAGCTCGGCGCAACTATCGAACGAACTAAACAACGCTGGCCAGCTACACGACCAAGCTGATCTCGTTTAATTTACACCGAGTGCAAAAGATGGACGCTGAATTCGAGTTTGTAAATCTATGGGGTATCTATGAATTTCACCGCTCGGGTAGACTATATGGCTCTCCAACACTGTCTTGACTCCCTATCCAAAAGTTGGGCATAGGAATGCTCTCCATCACACTGGAAGTCAGAAGCTGACTCCGTGATAACATCCCACCAAGTCCATGATGGGCACGATCAACTGGCTGAGATGACTCAACTTGGACCATCGACCCGGGGGCTGAGGTCGTTGAAAGACATCTTCATCATGGTCCCGGGTGGGCGAGGACTCGGGCACAATTTCAATTTGGTCTGTTGCTTGGCTTTGCGTTTGCGTTTGCGTTTGTGAGGATAGAAGAGGAGGTTGTTGCGTGTGATGCGCATTACCCTGTCGAGGATATTGAGTGCTTCCTTCGTTAGGGAACAGCTCAGACAATTTTTGTGTGTTCAGCGTGGGAATAGGCTCATGTGGAAATTGTGTCGCTGATTGTACCCTTCGATAGAACATGGATGCATCCGACATTGGCGCTTCGGAGAGAGGTTCGGAATCCGGGTCGGCACATGTGTGAGCGCTGGGCAAGGGGAGGTCTTGCGAGCCATCACACGGCGATTGTGGTCCATCGTGAATCTCATTGGAGCTTCCTAACCGTGGGCTCGGAGGACGAGTTGGTGTATCAAGGCCATCTCCAATATCATCTTCAAGGTCATCATTGTCCGTTTCCGCGTCCGTTTCATAAATCACTGTTCTTTCCCGTTGGGCACGCTCCGGTGGGGGATCGCAATCTGTTGGCGCGGATTTCTGTGAGACTTCTGCTGATGACGATACAGTCGGCAATATATTTCCTAGGGATGATGGTAGTGTTGGGTCAGGGGAATTGCGACCGATGGGTCGGCTGTGTGTCGGCGTCTGGTTTTGAATCGTATCTTCTTCATCGGCTGACTCCCCGGCTATGTCTGATGCGCCAGGAGATTCTTCTTTGATGGAGTTCTCAGGTTTGGCGAAGTTCAATCGCGCCTTTTTCTGGGGTAACCGCGTCGCACTGCGAAACTGGGATGATGTGATAATTGCCAATCCTGGACTTTCCGGCGGTGACTGTGAAGATGGAATCTCAAGTCTCCTCGGTTTTTGCGGTGTGGTTGGAATATCAGATTTGGAAGGATCTTGAGGATCAGGTAGCTTCGTAAGACTTTGGGTTTCGTCCGACTGGGATATTGGTTCGCCCGTAGACAGGTCTACTTCCGCTTCAAGGGCCTTGCGAGGGCGCTTTATACAGGACAAGGGAGGTTCCGGCTTCACTCCCTTAGTCTCTGCCATATCTGATTGTTGACCAGCCTCCTTCAAGTCCTTTTCGGGAGCAGGCGGTAAATACACCATATTCACATCATTATCGTCATCATCGTCAATCGTAATATAGCGCCGCACGAAATCCATTTGTGTGAGGGTTTTATCGCGCTTTGCTGGGGGTTTATCTGTTGATTTTCGCTTTCCTCTGCCATTGCTTTGCTTCGGCGTTTGCCTCTTGCGTAGGGGAGGTCGTTGAACCACGGCGCTTTCCCTTTGCCGTTTCGGATGGTCGTCGTTCAACCCGAGTGTAGAGGGGGCCGGTCGGGCTCGTAGAGGTGGTCGGTATTCAGAATCTTCTTCGCTAGGATCATCGTCTATTGACACTGGCTGGGCAGCTTTGCGTGCATCTCCACCACCTCCCGTGTTATCAATGTAGTCGAGCTCGTCATCCTCCGGGTGCGGAGTATGAGCCACAAAATGGATTTGCGTGAGAGTTGACTGTGCGCGATAGGAACTCGGTAGAGATACTCTTTTCTTCGCCCGCCCAGATGTTGACAACCCTGGAGACGATGTTCGCTTCGACGTGGTGCTTTTCGAGGTCTTGGATGATGACTGGGGACTGGGTCGCCGCGGTGTTCGGAAATGATCACGGGGTGTTCCTGCTGCAGTATCTGGCGTCTTGTGGTCTTTCATCGCAGCTCTCACTGGACATAGGATTTCGCGGGATGAGCTTGGTGAGAGCCACGGTTCTTCCGAGGATGACGTTGGAGAAAGTGTTGCCCGTTGCCTGAGGCATACCGCGTCGACGCGTCGCTCCGTTACGAGTTCACGTGACCTCTTATCTCCCAAAACGGTCTTGTCAGTAGTTACAAAGGAATTATGTTTTACATGACAGACACTTATAATTGTTTCGCTTTTTATGATACCGCGAGAGTCTTAGAAAAAAAGGTGTGAAATCGGCATGATTGTGACTTTCAAATATTGACAATGCTTCTGAAACCCAATTACGATATGGATCATGATCATCATGTACACAAATGCTTGTTTACATGAGCCACTCTGGAATCGCATCTTCATCCTCCGGATCCTCAGATAGCAGAGACCCCTTTTCGATCTCACTATCAGAATCTGGAGCGGGTGGAGATGGAGAGGGCTGGGTAGCCTCTGTGGGCGACGGTGGTCGGGAAAGTATATCCACACTAGCAGACTTTGAGCCACCATTAGCTGACGAGTCGACTGCGATTGGGGCCATCGCAGATGATCCCTCGAGCGGGCTGGCTTGCTGATGCCCCTCTGATCCCGGTTCAGATTTATTTGGCACCACGATCAACTCATAACGAGGAGCTTTGGGTGCTTTCGAACGCCTGTTCCTCTGAAAAGTCGCAGACAACTGAGTCGTGATTGATGGCTCAGGAACCGGGGCTGGTGGGTCTTCCGTGGGCTCATCAAGGATGAAGCCTTCACCCTCACCAGGCTCGTCCGGAACGAAGCCTCCACCCTCATAAGTAACGACCTGGTTCTCTTCAGGAACGAATCCGCCGGCATTATCAGCGAAAAAGCCACCGGCATCTTCGGGTACAAATCCTCCGCCCTCTTCGGGGATGAATCCACCTCCTGCTTCTTCATCATAATCCATATCGTTCTCTGGTATCTCTGGTTCATCGGCGTAGTCCATTTTCTCATCTTCGTCTGCATAGACCTTCACTCTTTCAGCGATCCGCACTTTGATCAGGAAAAGTCGCCAAAGTCGCAGAGCTTCTGCAGCTCTTGCTTCGACAGCAGCTTGACGTCGTTCATCAGCGATACTTCTGAGAACCTCATGGAGAGCTTCTTGGTATTCTTGGGCAATGACGATTCCCCCAAACACTGCAGTGCCTCTCCGTCCTCTGAACTCAAAGCCGGTCACCGCGTCTGCGTAATCAATGCCCAGGATTTTCGCAGATCGAGCTGCTTCGGGATGTTTGATGTGGACTGCTCCAGGTGGGACCATGCTGGGCACGTAGATATCCAGATTTCCATATGCATTTTTCGGAATTCTTCCCTGTACAACAGGAGGCGGTCGATAAATTTCGGTCTGGTACTCTGCATAGAGTGGAGTTTCCTCGGCCTCGTCATCATCCTCATCACTGGCGAATCCGCTTTTGGGCCTGGTCGCCGGGACACGTTTGAGAGGCTGTTCGCCTACCTTGACATCCCGTCCCAAGCGATACCACTTGTCGGCGCTGCGTACGAGATGCACGTCAGAGCGACGATAGACGGTCTCCAGGTTGTCACTCTTTGAGGTGGTCTTGCTCAAACCCACATGTCCTATGACACGTTTGGGGAAGATCACCTCATTTCGTCGCAGGTGTCTCTCCAGCGCATAGACAGGATGATCTTTGAAGTCCTGGATGTTGCGTGGCATCGGTTCGGCGGCAGATTTGGATGTCAATTCGCTTATTTCAGCCTCATCACGATCTTCAAGGAATGGCTTTTCATAGGCGATCAGTGCGTCATTCCACCATTTCTCCCCATTCCGGGTGATCTCCACTCGGGACTTGCGGGTTTTCGCGTTGAAAGCTTTAGTGTAGCGTCGAGTAATATCTCGCGCAGAAGCATCATCCTCAAATGCAACCACATAACTCATGTTGTTGTACGGGTCACTTGCAGGAGGCTCAAATTTGGAAGGCTTGGCCAGAGACTTCGTCACCAAAGGATCGATTGGAATCCATTTTTGTACCGCCTCGTTGAATGCCTCTACCCAGAATACCGGATATGAGGATTCTCGAGCTACTGGTTGAGAGCCTATAAAGGTTAGTAGTTGCATAAGATATTAGCAGTTATCACATACCTAGGCGTACTGAAGTTTGAGCAGGGCGTGAAGTAAAACCAGGCCTTCCAATCCGTCGTGTCCGTGATGGAGTTGTCAGTCCGCTTGGTGACTTTTGCTGCTCGTCGGTAGATGTTTCATGGTCATCCGAGGAGATGACGATGTATTGTGAAGGCTTTTTAGACGGCGTCATGTCCTTGACGGTCCCTGAGAATGGTAGTGGTTGGAGGGAGCAGACAAGTCTCGCCTCCACAGCAGCGGACCGAAGCAAGGCACAGAACAGCTGCGCTCCGAAGTCGCGAGAACCCTGCAGGATTTTGGCTTGATATTGAAAGTCTTCCTTGGAAAAGAAAATTTCTCCGTCGGCCATGATAGATTCCTACTAATCTGTCAGATGCCATCATCGATACCATAATTTTGAGTCGACAAGTCTTACCATCCTCTGCTTGAGCTGTTCTTGATCTTCGGCCCAGTGAGCACGCTTCAGTCCCGGCTTAGTGACACGAAACCTTCGACTGAAGATATCACCAGCTTGATTGAGACCATCGATGAATGTAGTTGATCTTGTGAATTGCGGCTTATCCTCGTCGGGGTTCAGGAGAGCAATGATCTTTCTCGGTAGCATCCTCTTGAGATTACGCTGCTTGCCCATTAGAATACCCACTGAGTTTTCAGCAAAATCCAGACATACCTGTACCGTATCATCATTGCACCACCGGTTGCGCGAATTAACGTGAGCCAAGAGGCAAAGAAGATGAGCCTTATGAGCATCTAACCGCAGTTTCTTCTCAGCCGCGGTGACCGGCTTTCTTCTTGGGGGGTGCCTTTTTCCGGGCCTCTGATCCTCGATCCAAGGTAATCTGCAGAGTTTCATCTCTCCCCTCGCTACCGTCAGCCGTCCCAAATAATCCATGAGCAGGTTGTGCAACATCAACATCTTCCCATTCAACATCTGATTCATCAGAGGTGGTTGAATCATAGATAGTTTGCACGTTCTGAAAATCATCTGTTTCTGAAGGTGGAGCCACATTGGACTGCTCTAGCTGTGGAGGGTCGACGGGAATAGCCCTTGTCTGGCTGAACTTTGTGTCTCCAAGTTTGCGTCTTTTGATGGGTCGATCTGAGCGAAACTGGCCAGGGTCTCGGGCTTCGGCCTCTTCCAACATCTCCTGATAGACCTCGGGAATCTGGTCTTCACGAGGTGTCTCAAGGTTTGGCCGACGGCCACGAGGTGCCCTGCCCCGCGCAGGACGCGCTGCGGACTGGCGCGCCATATGTTGATGTTCGGTGCATCAAGATATTAGGTTCATCAAGGGAACTTTGCACGTCACGAGTCACGACTCTCTCGAGAACCCAAGTTCGGTGTCAGGTTTATTCACAGTCAGAGAGAGAGGTCTATTGAACAGCGAGTTGGAACCTGTCAAGCTCTCGTGTTGTGAGCTTCGAAGGGTTCAATCTCCGTGCTGATGCTGATTGGGGCCTGGTGCGTCATAGCGGAATATAGTTTATGCGGTCCTCTTATCACAACAGATAAGGCAGGTTTATGGGAAAGACCATCAGCACATCTTCGTATTTTTATGGTGAAGCTCAAAAGGCGATAAATAAAATTCGAGGCCTGTAAGGCACAATGAATACCGTCGGTGGATGGTTCACGATGACTTTTAATTCCATGGTCTGGTCCGTGGGTTCAACCTTAAGTAAGGTTGCCAGTGGCGACCACCAGAATATATATCAAACTTGCGCGGGAGGTTCCTCCCACCAAATCATTTTACTACGCCAGGCCCGCCTCATGCAGACTGTGCGCTAGAAAGAACAACCTGAACCATATAATTTGCTTAGTTCCTTAGCTTAGCCACAGAGTTAGTTCAGTGTAGGGTCCACTGGAACTGTAGAACGTTACACCTACCTCACCACGGGGAATCGTAGAGCTATACAACAATCACATCACAACGTCACAATGATAAGCTCATTGAGACAATTTAAGTATTCAGAGGCCACATCGAAATGAACCCTCTTTTTCCACATCTCAAATCATCTCAGTCCTGCAAATTTGACCTTTTGCTTGAACAATGGCTTCTTTCACCACTACATCTCTAACGACACCTACCCGGTGCACAGCCGATTTCTCTCTGATTCCAGTAGGATAAGCATTTCGATTCGAGTATCATTCCTTGCCACATTTGACTAACATGGATTTCGTGTCGTTGACTAGATTGGAGCAGCTACCCCGTCCTTTTCTCAACAAATCACGGACATCCAGCGGCTACTCCAAGATTCCGGATTGACATTTGTCACACATACTACCGGAACGACAATTGGTATGTATTCCCCTTGATGGGACGAACAAAGCTTTGAAACTAGAGCCCTATGCTTGAAAAAAGCCACAAAGATATAGCTTGTTTCAAGGCCAACGCCTCTTCTCCAAGTCCGTCGTTTTACATACTAGAGAGCAAGGACTCACCCACGAGAAAAACAATAGAAGGTTCATGGGACCAGGTTGTCCAGCTGATTGGAATGGCACACACCCTCACTCATCAGCAAGGGATTGCTAGAGTTCAGACAGATATCCGCATTGAAACTAGGTATTGAGTCTGCCCTATGAAGCTCTCCGAAGCCCAGCCAGTGCTAATTCTCATATGGTTTGACAGAACAGACAAAGTAGTTCAACCAGTCGGAGGATCCGTGTCGTCAGTGGAGCGAGTTTTCTCTGCGACTACCTAATCTCCCGACTGTGTTTGTTATTGGACGAGACTCCTGCCCAAGTCGCTACTAGGCACGGTCATTGCTATGAAGGGTAAAGATGGTCTACACTGCGGGCCATGATTGTAGGCTTCATGGCCACTGAGGAGGGCCTGATGATATGGACACAAGGGTCCAAAACTTGCTCTTAGCCATCAGCAGTACTCGGTAACTATACCAAAACAGAGAATGACAAATTCCCTCTCCTCTTTCATGATTGTCACTGGCTCCCAACACACTAGCGAGCCGCCAGAAGCCCCCTCGTGATCAGCGCAATCCTTCCAACGGGTCTCGCTCGGGGGAAATCCCTGCGTGGATCGGGAAAATGGCCAGAGAACAATGTAATAGGTGCAACCAGACAAACTCATCGCCCAGTAGACACGCCTGATCTACAGTACATCACCTCTCCTTTGCAGTTGACAGTAAGTGACCCGTGTCATTCATGCATCCCATTCTAAGCGACGAGCCGATTGGTGGACAGCCTCCACTTGGGCACATAAAGTGTTTTTGTTCAAGTCCGTGTCGCTGGTATGTAATTCCAAAAGCAAGCCTGAATTACCTTAAATCTCCCACAAACCTACAAAGTAGTCATTCTTTCCCGGCATTAACCTTGCTCTAGCTGAGTCCCTCTACCTTCTCGAGTTGCAGCTCAATTAGCTTCATTTGACGGGGCTGGCAAATCAATACAGCCTAGCTCCCCGTCGTTGGGGAATTCTCCAGCCGATCGCCCTTAGGCCCCGCAGCATACCGCTAGTCAATAATGGTAGGTTTTTCTAGCTGTATGGGCCTTGTTCATAGCCCTTGAAAAAAACCGGGCACTACTTTACCTCTTTTGTGTGTTTAATTTATTTCGGAATCTGTGTTCTGATCGTGGCTACTATAACAGCGTGTTGTAGTGGACGGGATAGTCTATCATCCAATGGGGGTTAAGTAAGGCTGTGGGCCAAGTAGTATTTGTCACAGGCAGCGGTCTAAGTTAGTTAGTTAGTCAGTTTCCAGGGTTTTGCTTTCCCTGTGTGCAAGCCACGTAACATTTCATTTGAACGGTAGTGCCTGGCGCAAATGAGGACGAGCGACTAAATGCGACCTGCATGTTCGACCGGATGATTGTTTCTCGGCGAATTAATGCTTACGAGGCTCTAAGGTATACCACGAATGGTTTAATATACCGATTGGGAAAACGCTAGAACAGATGGCTAGGGTATGTAAGAGTGGAACAGCTACGAGTCCTTAAGCTCACATTTTTGTACGTGATGGTGTCTGGGATTGAGCCGTAGATCAGTGCTGCCTGTTGCACACCTATCAACACTGTCATGTGCTTTAGTGAGCCTCCATGGTCTCCTTATGGACTGGCCTGCATGGCATTGCTTGATCGTGCCGGGGCCGAGTTTCTCGGAACCACACGAGATTGGCTCGGAGTTTCACAAGACTTCAGCTGTTTCCAGAGCAGCGACACAAGGAGTTCGTGGACAGCCACACCGACAACTTGGGTCGATGGGTACTCCGCTGTACATGTACAGTGGCAGTTCAAAAGTCTGAGTCTAGGAACTAGAAAAACACCTAACAAATATGCTTCCACTTCTTACTTCTCTCAAGGTCTTTTTAAAGGTCATTCAAATGGTCTTTCTTGATAGCTTTGTTAATCACGTGTTAAGTTATTTAGTTAGTTAGTTAGTTATCATTCGGCCTGTGACTAACTAACAAGATCATTCCGAACATTGGTCATAGTTTCAAACTTATGAAACCCCACTGTAGACCTACAGAATTCACTCCGTTTTTAGACCAGAAGCGGTGCTAGATAAGAATCGAGAAGCTTCACTGCAGATTGGACAAGAAGCATTGAATGACCAGCAATGTTCAGTCGCGGATAAATCGATGAAATACGAAACGCGTGGCATAGCAGAGCCCATAGCAGCAGCGAAGGTTTAACTAGACAGCACCAACCCCTTTCACCGGTCCTCGGCCCCGAACACGACCGTCTGTCTCCACCAGCGCGGAAACATTCGGTTGCGGGAGCCACGCCATTTTGGCACTGCCGAACTAAGGTATCTCGCATCTGAGTGTAAGTAATCATGGTGTTGTATTGGACATTTCGAAATGCTTGCTACATAGTTATCATCGCACGCCCTTCAAGCAAAGTATTTCCAGAAGTACAAAACTCAACCAGACCCTCGGGATCCCCCATTCTCCAAAATTTGGCTCCTGCGCCAGCGTTACCGACGCTTTGGGACCCGAGACTACTTTCCTGACAGTCGGGTCGGGGCCATTTTGTTTTGAACTTTTGACTCGTCCGATTGCCAATCACAGCCCCCGGTTCCCTCTCGATGGGAATCCAGAGTCGCGGTAGCTAGGGGTTGTTATTTTTGGTTGTGTTTGCAGGGTTCTTTTGCTGGGACAGGATCGCAATCACAGCCGGGGCCATATGCACGGTTGCTCTGCTGGCCCTTGGTTGGCCCGTCTTGGGGGCCTGGACGCTTGATCGATGATGATGATACAAATTCCAGACTCGAAATTCGGAGTACCCCGAGTACAATAGTAGACTGCTTACCCCCTCACTTGAGCCGTTACAAAGCATGAGCATGGGTGCAGTGAGTTCGGGCTGAGCGGCGCCACTGTTCCATTGCTACGGTCAGAGAGCCTTGAATGAGCTCCGCAATGTTCAGTAACTTATCTCGGAGATCGAGACGAGAGTTCATATGGGAAAGGTGTTGGCAACCATTCTACCAAGAATTATTTTTTTGTCCACGCGACATGGACGAGCCGTCTAAGTTGCAATTGGCATTTCGCTGCGCACATGAATTATAAACAGTCCGTGGAATCAGATCGGTTTTATTCGCACTGTAGAATATGAACGACAGGAACTTCCTGAGTAATACAATTGATCGATGTAGCGTCGTGTTGAATCATTTACACTGTAAATCAACGGAGCGGCAGAATGGAAACGGTGCAGAAAGCCCATTTCGGATCGCCGGAGTATCTTGTGCATTTCCGCGATGCGTGTTCCAGATCCTGGTGATGAGAACCCCTCAATTTTTTCCGCGATACGTGGCCAAGGCCAGTGCTTCACCTTGGGCTGAAAACATCTTATACTAGTAGCCTTTGTGACACTGATAATCTTTTCTGCGCCGCACCTAAATTGAGGACAGGAACTGGAGGAGCATTTTACAATTGTAGCCAATCATGAAAGGGAAAATAATACCCTATGTTTCCAGCCTCTCATCTTGCAGGGGACCCTATTTCTGACATATCAACTTGTCCACCGCTAAAGCTGAATGCGGCAGGAGTCTAGCACTTAGGCTTTGAGGCAAAGGACTTGCTGTTATTCCGGAGGGGTAATAATGCAAATTGATTTTTCCATCGTACATTTGATTTGGCCACCCCTACTCACTGGCAGCAAGCTAGTCCCGATTCATGTTGAACCACCTCCGGGATTTGACAGTAGTGCGTCATTCCATTCTAGCATGACCCTGAGGTCGTTTTTGATTTACATAGAAGATCAGGGCTTGGCATGATACCTTGCGTAAACGAAATCGCAGCGAGACTGGTGGTTAGATGTGAATCCGATTCGCAAAGTACTACTTACTACAGTACACTTTCTCCTCTAGTATTGAAGATGGAATTTCCTAACAGCTCCACAACACGACGGCTCTCCCCCCGATGATTGCGGGGCCGAGTTCAAAATCAGTGGTCGATCAGAGGAATTTGCCATCACGGTGTTCATTCACTTTCGATTTAGCCTAGCATGGCATTGATAGCTGACCGAACTATAAAGGGCGCTACCCACTGATTTTTAATATCAAGTGCATTTGATCACCATTTTGGCTCTATATCCCACCTCTTCGCACTCATTCCCACTACAAGACAAACTGTCGGGGATTAATGGCGACCGGGGGATTTTTGTGACCAGGATGGCCTTGCAGGAGATGCAACAACTCCGTATGGGTTTGAGAATGGGCATTTCTTTTTTTTTTTTTTACCCAGAAATGGTGGGGGTCCGGTCCCAGCACCAAGGGTGAAGCGGGCCGTTGCTGGGCTGGTTGCCAATTCCCAGCAGAATGGCACCAGTGCCCATTGGCCGATCGGTGAGCAGCCCTTCTGGTCAATTCTAGCAGGAGCAAAGAACTAAATGAAAATTAATGATATGCTAATTGTCAGTTTTCCTCGCTACCTAAGTTCTGCACCCGAGGAAGAGGTCGAAGAAAAAGTCGTCCAGAGAGGACTGACATATTCAAGAGCTCGGTCATGTTGGGCCTTTCTTACTAGTCTAGCCCAGACGAGGTCTAGAGTCAAGGGTTTGAGTAAGAAGTTATAATAACTACATGCTTGCACCTCCGCTGAACCCCCGACACCGGTGCCTTGGGACGCCCACCGTCCGGGTGGTTCCCGGCACCCCAGGGCCAAAGGTTCCCGGGCTACAAAGTAAAGTACACCAAAAAATCCCAAGACACATCTATGGATTTACCAAGTTTTGAATTATAGTCTGAACGGTTCTAGGAACTCGATCAGCCTCTTGGAAGATTCCTCAAAGAAGGGGGAACACATTTTTTATTATCTCCTCTAAAGATAGGTTGTCATTGCTCCGTGGTACCGCGTACGTACTCTCGTGTAGTATCCCGTCGGTATCGTGTATTTCAGCTCCGCCAAAAACACTATTCAATACATAATAATGATCCCACCTCGAAAGGAAAATTCGAAAATAGGAAATTCCTTTTCAGGTCTCTAAGAAAACGCCCTGTCATTTCCGGTTCGGCAATCCATAGGCTCAGAAATTAGAGAAACCTCAAGCTAGATTCAACTGGCTTTGGACTGTCTTCACAAGAACAACTATATTGCTCCTTTTTCCTATCGGCGTACGCCTCGACTTACTATGATGGAGACGGTTTCAGGGTTGCCCGCCGCCTGTAGCGCCTGTTCTGATGGACTCGGGGCCTCCCCGCTAATAGTCCATGTCCATGCCCATGCCCGACCCTCTGACGTTTTCTGGACCACTCTTCAGTATACTCTGGCTCAACCTTGTACCCCATCCATGCGCACACTTGTACTCCACTTAACCCTCCCCCCTGCGGGCCTTGGTTTTCGCGACTTTTCCAATGTCGATCCCAACCCCGGCAAGCTCATAAGCGATTCTTTTATACTTGGTCGGATCAGCTTCCCGCCCTGCCAAATTGAAACTTAACCCAAGCTGTCGGGCTCATCGAGGACAACACCGAGACCCTTCCTCGTCCCGAAAATATTTCGCTCTCGTCTGCCCGATCTCATTACTGCTTACGCTTGAATTTCGTTGATCACCCGTTCATTCGACTAATTTGACCCAGCGTGGGACGTGAAATGGAGCATTGCCAAATTCGCTGGCCTACTCGCATATTGAATCCACTTAGTCCTAGCTCCTCTACGGTACGCTCCGCCATCGTGTGCCCTAGACCGGCAACGCCTTCCCCTGTCCATTAAAAAGGTCCAAGCTCTTACACCTCATGTTCTGTAGCCCAATTTTCAAAAACTTTGACAGCAACCTGTCGATCTATTCAGCCGGCCCTTGATAGGGCTCACCTCCAAATCCCCATCCGCCTGGGTCGATCCCAGAGGACAAAGATCCATGGTGACCAGGATGGGTACCAAATCATCCGTAAGTCTCCAAGCTATTCTATTCTCAAAGGGAAGCATCTAGCTGTCCTCCACTATATGAATGTGGTGGCTTCATCCAGCCGTCATCAAGTTGGAAACACGCAGATTTCCAACTCTGTTCTGCGCCATGATTCCCACGCCGGCAGCTCGATATTTTGCTAACATGCCCTCTATGCAGGAACCAAAAAGCGAATGGTAATGCCCAATCTCAATGTTGCAATTTTTTTGTTCACAATTTGCATCTCCCACGACGCTTTTAATCCCATGCTAATGATCTGTCAATAGTGACACACAATCGCTGACAGAAAGTGTAACGGACTATCCTATGGAAAATGGCAGACGGTATCACAGGTACCATGAAGGAGGTTTGTTTCCAGTCTCATGATCATTACTGTGATAAAACATCTGACTTCACTAGCCTATCCATACCCCAATGACGAACAAGAGCTTGATCGTCTCGACATGCAACATCACATGTTTAAATTGGTCATGGAGGGCAAATTATACCATGTCCCACTTAACAACCCTAAACAAATTCTCGATATCGGTACTGGATCTGGTATCTGGCCTATAGAAATGGGTATGGTTGTTCCGCCTCATATATAGATGTTGTGTGTCAAGTGCATGGGCTCATTACTTGCTTTCTCTGAATTCTGCAGCAACATTATTTCCAAACGCCGCAATCACAGGCACAGATCTTTCACCAGTCCAACCAACCGAGGTTCCAGAAAATGTTCACTTCCTTGTCGATGATGCAACAGAAAAGGAGTGGCTATGGGAAGCGAATCATTTTGACTTTATTCACGTTGGACACATGACTGGAGCCATGGAGTCTTTCAAAGGCCTGCTACGGAAGGCATTCACACACCTTAAACCGGGATCATATCTTGAATGTCATGAAATGGACCCGAAACCAAAATGTGATGACGGTACTATGCCGCCCGAAAACCCAGACGGGTACAGCGCATACGCTTTGCATGATTGGTTTGACCTGCATATGCGGGCTAGCTCCGAAGTTGAACCCTCACGACAGTTCCGGATAGCACCTCGAATTGAACGATGGATGAAAGAGATCGGGTTCGTTGATGTTGAACAACGAGTCTTCAAAGTTCCGATAAATACTTGGCCAACCGACGAGAAAATGAAGGATATCGGAAAATGGAGTGAGAGCAATTGGCTCGAAGCGCTGGCAGGTTGGTCCTATAAGCCTTTTCTCGGACTGGGTTGGTCCAAAATTGAGATCGAAGTCTTCCTCGTCGACGTGAGGAAAAGCATCCAAGACCGGAATGTGCACGCCTATATGGATTTCTTCGTGGTGACCGGCCGGAAACCGCTGGCCGATACGAAGTCATCATGACATGAAGCCCCCTAGGATGCTAAAGTCGGATTTTGGCACCTCCACGACGTATATACACTCTCCTACACTTTTTTGACCATGCCTTGGCTGGGACGATTCGCATAAGATACCACTGGCCGGAGAAGATTGTAGCATGCATTATATTGGCGTACGGCTGCATTCCATTCCATATCTAATGGATTCTGAATACACTCATTCTATTTCACCTTTTCATCATCTTCACTTGTCCGATTTTTAAGTTTTGGGCTCCGCCTAGAAAGGGGGCTGGTCCTCATAGGAGTAGCATTGGCAGGTTTTTAATAGGAAGTCTCTGTTGATAAAAAGCTATGCACATACCATATTTAAAAACAAAGAAAGTCTTCCAGAAGCATCAGGCACAACGAGAGAACTTGTTGCTCAAATGGACATTCTTCATAGTAAATGGTAGTCCATTCATTGGCTGCGCCTGATAATTAGTCACGTGACGCCAAGACTTCATCGGAGACTGCCAAAAGCCATTGATGTCTCCATCACTCTCAGTTTATCCCAACCTATCGCGGTCAATTGGCTCGCGCATGTCACAAGTAGACTCATGTCTTTCGGTAGACATGCCTACCGGCATGCGCTAAAACCCGCTGCTACTCCACCCCTCGATCACCTCTGGATCAGTGATGACCTCCTCGCGGCAACCTTCCGCCGGTTTGCGAACGGTCAGCGTCGCCATGGCAGCTGTGTTCCTGGACCTCTGGAGGCACGAAGACGCCTAGCTAAGCGAAGAAACACGGCTCTCGCAGGATTCACAGGGTCAGCGGAGGATATTGCGTGTCTTTTCGGTCGCAATGGGAGGGAACACATGAAGTGGACCGACCACCCGTGGCAGAGAGCACAGCTCGAGACTCAGGGTACGCCTAACAAGGAAAACCTTCAGATCCAATTGAATGCTTACCATTTTGAAGATTTGAGAAGTTACTCAGTAGCCACCGCCGAGGCTTCCTTGCCGTTTTATGACCAGAATACCGAACCCGCCGACACCTTCTCCGATAACCCCCAACCCTCTTCCCACGAGTCGACCCCCGCTTCTCGAGCTGGCCTTCTAGATGACTTTCTGGAGCAAAAAAATTGGGGGCTTGAAGATACCAGGGACTTTGCGCGTCAATTGAGGATTGATCTTCAACGCGAACCCAAATACAGCCGACAGATCTTCGACAAACTGCTATCACGTTCGACCACAGACCTGAAGCACGCAATTCAATTTCTAGATGACCCGTTCCTGAACACGCGAGGCTCTGGGAATTATTTTGCTGCCGTGAGCTTGTTTGTGCAAGCTAAAAACAAGCGATCAGCCCGAACCGCCGTGCTGAACTCGGTTTGTCGGGCCCTTGAATTGGGTCTCGTCCCAACAGACGAGCTCTGTCTTATCGTCGAAGCTATACCCAAAATCATCGTTGAGCGAAACCAAACTCTTGGAGAATGGGACCAGAAGGCATTGTTGAAGCATTACCGGTCTATGTGGAAGGCCATAGGTCGCTGCACCATTCTTGGCTACCATGACTTGGAAAGAGAGCTCGTTGACGTCTGGCTTGCCGAGCTTGTGAACCTGCGCAGCTTGCGCTTCGCTGAGGAAGTTGTTGTCGCCACCCACGACGCGAGCTCCGATAGTCGCTGGCCTGCGACCTTAGTCATGGCGCAACTAGATGAGCTTGAAATGACCACGTCTCTGCCGACTTTCTATCAGATGCTGAGCCAACTGGATGCCGACTGTGCCGCCAAGTGTATTGTCCAAGTCACAGAGTCCTTAGCGCTGCCTGGCACACCAATCCAGAGTCGATACCAGTTGCTAGATCGATGGCGACACTGTCTGTCGAATTTGTCAAATCTTCCGGCTCTTGCAAACTCGCAAGTATGGCTTGATTTGCCATTTGCCTACAATGAGGATACCTCAAAGACAGAGCAAGCTCCCCGGATTCTGCCTGTACAGCAGGAAATCATCCTTCGCCTGTGGGCGTTGCGAACATTAAGTCGGTCCCTGGGGCCTATGTACCACCAAGGTCCCCGGCCTACTGACAAACCGATTTATTTCCTGCTCGGATTATACGAAACATCCACGAAGAGTACGGATGGATCTTTCTTGTCGGACCTGATGCGTGGTATTCACACTTTGAACCTCCCGTATAGCAGTTTGCTTCTGCTTGCGGTGAATATCAAAATGAAGAAAAATATCACGAAGAATGCTCGCAGAACACTCGAGAAACTGGAAACCTCGCAAGTTTCCCTAACAGATGTCTGGGCGGATCCATCGACTTACAATGGCATTCAAGCCCTGTTCCACGGCACATTTGAGCAGATGTTCCGCCGCCTTGACATCACAAGCCCGGAGTCTGCGGAGGAATGTTTACATCTTGCCAGAGTAGGAGATTCAAAGAGCATTTGGTCTGTTTTGAGACTGCTACGCAACCACACGCCTTTCAAGCTCTGCCTCAACAAAGCTTGGGTGCCTCTGCCCCACCCTGATGAGAAGGCCCTTGTGCGCTATCACGCCGGTCCTCGGGATAGTCAGAGCCCCGATCCTTACGCTGCGGTTGACTTTGTCCACCGTCTAGCTGTTGCCATTTCCTGCTCCAACAACTTGACTCCCTCTCGGTCTTTTCATCTCATTCATCTTTTGTATGACTACCTGCGCCGACACGGTGGCCCCGTATACCCATCGTTGGTTCAGGCCATGTATCATGCCGGTGTTGTGCGATATCGTCGTGAAGGGCGTCGTGTGTCGCCCACGCAGTACGAGTACATACTCTGGATTGTCAGCAAGTTCGAAGGACGTGAGGTTGCCAGACAATTGAGAGCGCCAGCGCAAATTGGGTTGGGAAAACCTGATCAGTGGGATGACTTTTAGCTTCGACGATTGCATCAATGACTTCCCTGCATCGAAGATCTCAACTAGCGCTGTACCATAGAGACACCCGATGTATCCATACCCCTGGACGGACGCATGTATCTACTCATTCGATACCCATTCTGATTGAATTACGTGATTGCATTCATACTTCCAATAGTCCTTAGAACTCCCAGAGTAGTACGCTCATTTTGAATACAACGGTACTCCATACATTGGTGAGACATAATCCAAGTGTATATTAAATCATCTTAGAAATAGACCAAGAGCCTGCGCCTCATTCCTGTCCTAATCTTGACAGAGTCTAAACATCAACTTCCATCTTCTCGCCAGCAGCCAAGTTGTCATCTCCGGACAAGGTTTCAATAGTGACATATTTCTTCATATCCTCCTTGCTGATGACCTTTTGATTCAACCAGGCAGTTGTGCCGCGAGGGAAGCGGTAGTTGCGCTCCTTCTGTCCACGCTCGTTGGGCTTCTCGTAGTTGCGGAGCAACTGGGTGGGCTTGTCCTTCTCGATAACACACACGTCGACATTGCTACCGGAGCCGAGATCGTTGAAGATACCGGCCTTGATGGCTTCGGCGCACAGAGCAATGGCACCTTCCTTGTTCAGGTCTGGTTGCCACATCGACTCGAACACCGACATAGCCGCCAGTGAGCCGGATCCCATCGTCACGTATGGCAGCTTGTCTGTCGAACCGTGAGCGTGCACGGTGTACAGCCCGACGCCGGTAGGGTCCACGCCCGCAACCACGAGGTACGCTCCAATGTGTCCCTGGTATCGGAAAAGGTGCTGCTTAAGCATGGTCATGCATGTGATAACTCGAGGGTCGCGGCCGGTAGATAGGGAGTGCAGCTCAACGTTGGAACTGATCAGGGCGGTGGTGAACTCGGTGTCTGCGGCAGTACCGGCGCCGGCACACCAGATCTTAGGTGCGATGTAGTGGAGCTTCTCGCAGTTCTATTTGCGGTGCCTGTCAGTTTCTGAAGGTTGTGGCAGAGATAGACCATTATGGGCTCATGTTTTGGGGATTAGTCGTACCTTGTCTGCTACTATAGGGCCGCTGGTAGCTCTGGTATCTGCTGCGATCTAATCACCGACGAGTCAGCCTCCATTGATTGCGCAGCATCCGAAGCATTCGAATCAGTTGGAACCATACCACAACACCATTATCGTAAATGCAACCAACAATCGTCGTACCAGTGCTGGTGGCTTTGGGAAGGGGAACGCCCCTGGCATGAAGAGCCGCGTTGCGGTTGTAGTTGGAGAAGTCAAAGCCCGGCATCGTGACGACGCAGATGGTGCACGACCAGAGATGAGAGTGACAGGTGAAATTGAAATGATCAGGTCAGAGGGATTTCGTAGGAAGGAGTTGGTGTAGAGAGGCGGATGAGGGGATGAGAGAGGTGATGGTAGAAGTGAAGTCGTAGGGAGCGTCGAGCTGTTTGGAGTGACGAAGCTCCCGCAGCCTGCTGGTTGTGAGCCTTATTCTCCAGGCATCACAGAGAGCAGCTTGGTATTTTTGCTTTGGGCCTTTTCTGTCACCTATTTAATCTCATATCTTCTCTTCTATCGAATCTTCTTCTTTACAACGCCTCCAATCTCTTCTTTTGCGCAACTCACCACTTCTCTACACTGCGAGGAGCCTGCTCAAGATTTCGGAGCGTCGAGCTACTTGGAGTGACAAGCTCCCGCAGCCTGCTGGTGGTAGGCCTGATATTTCAGGCACCACAGACCGCAGCTTGGTGTTTTTGCTTTGGGGCTTTTCCATTACCTACCTCACATCTACTCTTCTCTCGAACCTTCACCTTTACAACCTCTTGAAGCTCTTCTTCTGCGCAACCCACTCCTTCTCTACAGAGAGGAGCCTGCTCAAGATTTTTGCGCGCACCTTGACCTTATTCAATCGGAGTACTCAAGCACCCCGACCACGTTCTTTCTCTTCAACTCCACCAACCTCTCCATCCCTCAATGCACCAAAGCTTCGCTCACCACTAAGCGGACACCATCGTTCAGTTTCCGCTGACTTTGAGCGTCTGAAAATGGCGTTCAGTTTCGGCTCCTCCGCCGGCCCCGCTGAGGGAGCGGCGCCAACAGAGCTCTCAGAATTCTATACGGATGTACGTCGCGCCACCACAGCTTTCGCGTCGGTTTGATAATGTTACCTCTAACACTCATCTCAGGAAATCGGATTCAAAGGACTTTCTGGCGATGCGAACATCCGCCTTCTCCCCACCTCCTGGCCACAAGACGCACTACCCTCCCCGAACACCTCTCTCTTGACTGTCGCGCAAAGCAAAGGCATCGTTGTTGGCGCTGGCCCCGACTGCCTGGTTGTCGCGACCACCGACTCAATCAGGAAAGCCATCGAGGCTCCTTCCACGGGCGAAGACAAAGTGAAAACTAAGCCCTTCGAGCCGCAAGCCACGATCCCGCTTCCCGCACGCCCAACCCATGTGGCCTTCACAGCGAGCGACGATGCGTTGATTCTCGCGACGGAAAACGGATCTCAGATCACAGTTTTTCAGACGGACACTTTGCTACAAGGCAATTCACAACCAGCGTTGTCGGTTCCGACAAACGGCGTGTCAATACGGTTCCTTGCACCCAATCCAGATCCCACTTCAACCTTCGTTGCATTGGTCACCACCAATGGGGAACTCCTCGTCGCAGACTTGAAGGCTGGAAATCTGATCTCTGGTGCAAACGGCCCTATACTCCGAAACGGTGTTAGCTGCGTGGCATGGAGCAACAAGGGAAAGCAGCTTGTGGCTGGTATGGCGGATGGAACAGCAGACCAGATGACCCCAGACGGCACAAACAAGGATCAGATTCCTCGCCCGTCTGATCTGCAGGGCGATTGTCATGGTAAGATACTACAGCATTCTTCCTTTGTTGCTGTTCTAATGCTCACACTTCTATAGTATCATCTATCGGATGGCTGGAGAATGATGTATTCTTCATGGTCTACACCCCGAATGTCCCGGAAGACGACATGGGAATTCCCGCGTCATTCTACTACATCATCACGAGACGGAAACAGGCACCTTTCTTGATCCAGCAACTGCCGGAAATCTGCTCGACAATGGGATTCATGATGAAACGTGCACCGGCATACCAGTTCATCGTGAGGTTGCGTGACTTCAAGCCACACTTGAAGGATGTGTTGATGGTTGCATCAACTGCCTCGTGTGAGATTGGTTTGATTGTTCGGTCTGATGAGCAGCTAGGCGAAAATGCTGCTGGGCAATTTGCGGTCGCGATCGTCAACGACGATATCAAAAGGGCATCTGCTCCCCTCACCGACTCGGGTGATGAAACGTCGGTGATTGGCTTGGCTCCTAACCTGTCCAGCAGGGAGAATGTTCTTGCACCCATCATGGGAGAGGACATTCAGGAGAGCGCAACCCCCCTACCGGCGCTATTGCTTCTGAACAATGAGGGTATTCTCTCATCCTGGTGGTTTATCTACACGGAGTCTATCCGTCAGAAAGTCCCTTACTCCGGCCTTGTCTCAGCCAGTAAGCCTTCACAGATGCCATCACAACCGGCTGTCGCACCTTCAGAGCCAGCTGCTGCTCCCCCCGCACAACAGCAGCCCGCCTTTGGCCAGTCGTCATTCGGTAGCCCATCACCATTTGGCGCATCTGGGTTTGGGAAGCCATCGAGTGGTGCTACATTTGGAAGTCCCTCCACGATGGGAGCCACTGCCTTTGGAAAGCCATCTGCTCCGTCATTTGGAAGCCCTTCTGGCCTTGGTGGCAATGCGGCCCCGGCATTTGGGAAGCCTTCATTCGGCACTGGAACCGGCTTTGGTCAGACTAGCTCTCCAGGACAGCCCGCATTTGGCAAGTCAGGATTCGGTGCGGCAAGTTCGCCTTCGCCGTTTGGACAGCCTAGCACTCCAGGCAAAAGTCTCCTAGGTTCCGGAACTGGTGCGAGTGGTGGTGGGTTTAGCTCTTTCTCTGGAGGCGCTGGAGGAGGCGGGTTTGCTGGGTTCGCGGCTGCAAAGCCAGGAGACTCGCCTTTCGCACAGGCTTCGGGTGATAACGCATTCGCAAAGGCATCCGCCCCTTCGCCTTTTGGAGCCAAACCTTCCGGCGGCACAGCTTTCCCACCGGCTAAGACTGCCGAGGTGAAGAATCCATTCGGATCTGGAGCTACATCTGAATTTGGATCTGCTAGTGGTTTTGTCCTTGGATCCTCCTTCAAGGGTGATGGCACAGCTGCAAACGATCTGCCCAAACCAGAAAAGCCTTCATCGGGCGCTCTATCATTTGGCGGATTCGGCGAGTCGATGTCTCTGTCTAACAAACCAAGCACTCCCGTGGAGTCCATGGATGACTCGGAGGACGTCCCTGCAGCTCAACCACCTAAGAGCCAGCCAGCTTCGCTATTCGGTCTTCCGAGCAAGCCCGTGGCCCCGGCTTCATCTTTGTTCGGTGCGCAGTCAACGCAACCTGCCAAGTCGCCTCCTCTTGAGACAGCCAAGTCCAGCTCGGGATTCTCGATGTTTGGGACCAGTTCTGCTGCTACACCACAGTCACCTTTCCAACCTTCGTCTCAAACACTGGTCACCAGCCCCCTATCTGCACCTTCCGATGTAACGGCCACTCCAAAGAAGGAGCCATCCGTTACCACCCCTACCTTTTCCTCGCTGGAGGCACCATTGCCACCTGACCCCACGAGCAGGGCTAGTTACGCGCCCGGAGACACGTCAGCTTCGTCGAATGTCTCTAAGAGTTCCGTTGAGGATGCTCCTCTTCCCCCGGATTTCGTCCCCGAGAAGAAGTCCTCCCTCCAATTTGACGACGCACCTCTCCCGCCCGATTTCACCACGCAAAAGAAGGCTTTGCCAGAGGTAGACGACGCACCGCTGCCTCCTGATTTCATGACAAAGCCCATCAAAACGGAGAGCCCTCCACCGGGACTTCCTGAGGAGGTTCCTGAAGAAGCGCCATTGCCCCTCGACCCTATTACGTCCAACGCAAAAGCCATGCCGACAGAAGAGGCTGTCCCTATCCCTGAGGGCTCCGATGCCGAATCGCAGGATGCCGATGAGTCTGACTTCAGTGACAGCGGGGAGGAGATTACGCATGACGAAACCAAGATCCCGAGCCCTAAGCTTTCGGCTGGAACGTCCTTTGGCGGTCTGTCTGATAAGAGCTCTACCGGTGGATTCTTTAGTGGGTTCTCGAAGGCTGCACCGAAAGAAGAACCAAGCCAGCGTCCCCGACAGCTATTTGGTGAGATTTCCAAGCAGCCTGTCCTTCCGCCTCCAGCACCAGCGATTCGATCTGGCCGTGAGCCCTTCCGCTCACCTAGTCCCACTCGGATCAACCCGCAAAAGAGCACGCTGTTCTCCCGGAAGCCAGAGGGCCGCCCAGCTGGAAGTGCGCTAGCTTCAAGAAAGGCTTCCTTGACTCAGATTGCTCAACGTGAGGGTCAGCTACGGAAACCCAGTGATGCTGCCAGACAGGAGCGTGCTCGCGCCGAGGCATCTGCCCTGCGTCGGGCAGAGGAAGAGGTTCTTGCGCTTTCCGACGACGACGAAGATGATAGGCTCCGTGCCGATCTTGCTCGCCCGGTTGAGCCTGTCGCTACGCTTGATCCATTCCTCCCCCATCAGAACTACACTGGTGATACTGTCAAGCCCGGCATCCCGGGAATGATCGAGCGACTCTACCGTGATATCAACTCCATGGTAGATACCTTGGGCATCAATGCTCGGTCGCTGGATTCTTTCCTACAATTCCAGCAGCCTACTGACAGCTCTGACGCGGACAAGTGGATTCACATCTTGAAGAGTGACGACCCCGCTAATGTCCTGGATGAGGAAATTCTCCTCCAGGATATAGAAAACCTCGAGGATGTGGTCGCCGCGATCTACAAATACCTTGAGGAGCACCGTCTTCCCGACGCGGAGGAAAAGCTGAAGGAGTCCCGAGACCTGGCCACCGACAACATTGTGAAGTTGCGAACTCAATTTGGTAGCATCCGCAAAACTCTAGATGCGCTGAATGACACTGGAGTCATTCTCTCGGTACCGCTTTCTGCCGAGCAAGCTACAATTCAGCACGATTTGCGAACCATGTTCATAAATCTTCAAGCCAAGATGGCGGAACTCGAAGAAGGTGTGTCGATGTTGCGTGCTAAGATGGCCGAGTCCCCACGCCCCAATGGAGCTGGCAGCAGGAAGCCGCCTACCATGGGAGCCGTCACGTCGACTATCGACACTTTGATGGGCATGGCCGAAAGAAAGAGTAGTGAAGTGGATGTTCTGGAAGCTCAACTCAGGAAGTTAGGGATTGACACCTCTTCGTCTCGCCCGGCCAGCCGTGAGGGGTCCCCATTTACTACCCCCCGGAAGAACGTTGGTCGTTTCCCGGCCACACCCGGCTCTCGTGGATCTATTGATGGCAGTGCTTATCATACCCCTGAGTCTGCTTCCCGTGGGGTTAATTTCCGTGCCAGTATCAATGGCTCCGCGAAGCACAGTCGCCTGCGCAGTGTTGATGTTGCAGGTCCCATTACATCTCGCGAGGATACTAACCAGTGGAAGGTGAAATCTCAACGCAGGAAGCATTTGGTTGCAAGTTTGAAAGGTGCGATCGAGAAGAAGGAAAAGAACGTGCGGGGAGTTGATGAGTTCTAGATCGTCTGAGCTTTTAGGCCCCGTGATAGACATGAGGAGGCAGATTGGACGGATCCTCTTTTCCCTTTTCCCAGGATTGGCATATGGACATTGCGTTGGTTTTGATTTATTTTTTACGTCCCAGGCGCAGTTTTTGGATTGGACTGGGGAGGGCTCACAAAGTTGGAAGCCCAGTACTGATGTACATAGATGCTTTGCTTTTCAAGACACTCATGCTTGTTTTGTTTTATTTCCTGGGGTTTACAGTAATGTAAAGCACCGGCCACTGACATCATTTGGTGGGTGACATCAGTCCCACCGACTTCGAGACTCCATCCGATAAGCTTGTTGTTTTAAGCCTCGCAAATCAAACTTTCCTTGATTACCTGCCCCATTTTTCTTCCCCGCGTAACGATCCGCCATGTCCCAAGTTAGTAGTGAGTTTATCTTCTTCAAGGTCAAGTGCGATGTCGAACCGGAGGATCCTGGCAGTGACTTGGGCGTCGGCCTAATGAGGGTCTTCCTCGCCACCAAGCAACAGAGCGGCCACCATAATTCAGCCTGGGGTCGTGCGGTGGAAGATCCGAATATGATCGTGTGGGCGATCGGTGCGTGATGGATAATCTTTGCTCTATTTAGGAGTTACTGTTACTAAACTACGAATCTATCAGACTGGACTGACGCCCGGTGCTCAATAACCGCGTCGCTTTTGAAGCCCTTCCTCGCCGAAGACGACGAGCGCATAACTGCAATCTACGCAACTCTGAGCCCACCGAGCAGTAGCACCGATACATTAACCAAGAACCCGGTGACGGAGCTCTGTTTTCTGCCGTTCCCCAATGACATGTCGGCAAAAGAAGCTCGACAGCTGGATGCCGACTTGATCAATTTCCGTACGGCGTTGGTCGTGGAGCTACCACAGGAACAGGGGCCTCGCTCCTGGGCGATGGGCCATGTCGACCGGCCGAGTACAGTGGACCACGCACAAAGCCCCAGTGGGCAGGCTCGAGTGCATTTGCTTGCCGTGGGATGGGAGAGTGTCCGGGCCCATTCGAACGCCAAGAAGACCAAAGAGTTTATCGACAGCATCAAGCCGATTCGGGAGAAGCTGCTTGCCCCTCCCGTGCCTGGATTGGAAATGAAGCATGTTAGTTTCCAGAAAATCTGAAGTATGGTGATGTTGAAGGGCATAGAGTGGAAGGCCAGCGTGGGAGGGGTTTCTTGCAGTTGAGGTTTCTGGTCCGCAAGATACAGGGACTGCTGGTGAATTGGGTGATGAAACAAATGATAGAAAGATGGCAACTGTGCTACAGCTAGGGTAAGAGGGCAATTGGGTAAAAGAGAATAGGTGAATTGGTTATTAAGAGGCAGGGATCGGGGAACACGCCTCAAATAAGATACAACAAGAAAAGACTCAAAAACACCTGTGTGAGATTGAAAAACAAAAAGAAAACAGAATCATCATGAACCACCGTAGACTTTTGGAGCACAACGCCGGTAGGGCTCCTAGGAGAGAAAAGGTTGTTGAACTTAGACACGGTGCTTCTCGCTTTCTGTAAGTTGCGGAAAGGTTAATGTTAAGGACGAATGTTTCTAGGGGATCAAGGGTACTGACCAAGTCGCGAGTAGAGCATGTACAATGCCATCTGGTTGCATTCCTGAGTACCAGTAATAGTCACCAGACGCTCGTTGCTGTTCTCCTGAGGCTCGTTGATCTTGATCACACTGCCGCTCAGGTGGCGTATTTCGTTGATCTTAGCACCTCCCTTACCGATAATGGCACCCACCATATCGTTGGGGATGAAGATCTGCTGGGTCAGTGGCTGGCCGGGCATAGCACCGCCAACGGGGGCAGGGGCAGTGGGAGCGCCGCCGCGGCCGGCGGCAGGCTGCGGGCCACCCACGTAGGGGTTGGGCTGGTGGGGGGTAGCGCCAGCGTAGGGAGTGTGCGGGGCGGCACCATAAGGCATGGCGGGCTGGGCAACGGGGGCGGGAGCCTGACCCTGCAGATAGGGGACGCCATACGCACCGGGCTGGCCGCGGTTGGGGTGGGGGTGGTTGCGCTTGAAGGTGTCTGGGTGGCCGTATTGGCCGCCAGCAGGCTGGGGCACGTATGGCACCACCTGCATACCACCAGGAACGGCACCGGCGGGCCCACCGCTGCGAGTAGCATAAGCCGAGGCTGCAGGGCCGCCGAATCGCTCAGTCAGCTGCTCCACCAAGGTCACGGCAACATAGTAGGTCGCAATGTGGACGGCATCGGCGACACCAAGGATGACCAAGGAACGCTCGGTCGAGAGAGGGAGGCAGGCATCGGAAGCGTTGAGACGCGCACCGGAGGCCTCCTGGATCTCGCGAATACGGCTACCACCCTTGCCGATGATGGATCCAATGAGAATGTGGGGGATTAGCAAACGCAGAGGGTACGTCTTGGACTGGGCAGTGGAAGGGGCATCGATGGGTTCGTTGTTCAGGGTACGAATGATCAGACCGAATGCCTACGTGGGTTAGCTACTCGAATTTCTGGGCTCGCAACTGCAATGGAACGTATTGAAACCTACCTTAGCTACTGCATCCTGGGCGCCGCTCACGGTCAAGATCCGCTCGACGGCACCCCGGGAGTAGTCGCTGACAGTGCACTTGGCGCCGGACATACGACGAATCTGGGACACGTTCTCACCTCCCTTTCCAATGACTGTGGCAGCCTCGGGGCTGGAAATCACGGCACGGATGTGGACCCAGCTCGACTCATCCTGTGGAGGGTGGGAGTCGGTCTGGGAACCAGCCCGCTCACCGTGAGAGGCGGTCGACTGGATTGGCTGGGTCTCAGGGTGAGCCTTGCCATTGGGGGCATCGGGAACAACGGTATCGCCCTGGGTATCCTTAGTGTCCTCAACGGACGGGATCTGGGTAGTCGACACTTCGGTCTCGGCCTCGGCCTCGGCGTCACTGCGTGCTACTTTGTCGAGGGCAGGGCGCTTAGCCTCTGGCTGGTCGTTGGGGCCCGAGGGGGGAGGAAGGGTCCTCGAGAGGACGCTTGGTCGATTGCAGGTTGGATGGAGAGGCGGACATCGTGTTCACTGTGCTGATCTGTCTTCACTTACGTGGAAGAAGTCGGATATCAAGAATGGAATCTGTTTTCTTCGTTTCTTAAGATCGTCTATGTACACCAGAGGTTCCCAAAGAAGGTGCTGGTGCTTAGCGATCGATGGGGAGGGAATCTGGTGCTGTGGAAAGGCTGGAAGTATGTGGAGAGAGAGACGGTGTTGGTGCCGACGGAAGAAAATGCAGAGCAATGGTGAGGATGAAGCTCGTGAGTTGAAAAGCAAAGGAAGCTTCACGGGATATGCTGGCGGGAATTGTTCGAGGGTAGACAGCGAACAGAGTGTAAAGGAGATGGAAGGTGTCGGGTGTTGGATGCGACGGGTAGGGAGAGGGTCCAAAGTAGGAAACCAGGGAATGCGCAACCTAAACTATAGCTGCCTCCAGACGGGTGATCGCAAAGAGGAAGCGTAGAGGGAGAATAGGAAAGGGGACGCTAGGATGAAAGGGGATGAGGAAGTGAGAGAAGGCGCGCGATGAAGAAGGTGAGTAGGTGAGAGCAGGAAGGAGCCACGAGGAACGAGGATGAGGTGAAGTTCGGGAGGTTCCCCGCTAAACCCATCTCGCGCGTCACGTGATATCAACGCGTCGCGACTGTTTGGCTCGTTGACGTTGGATCATGTCGCACAGCTCTCAGTTCTTGGATACACACAGGGCACGGGCTCAGAGCAGACATGGAGATATCAGAAGAGACAGTGTCAAAGATTCAGAAATTCGTTCAGAACCGACAGGCGGCGGAGAAGGAGGCCTCCCAAGAGCCGTTTAGTGCAACGGCCCTGCATGCGTATGCGCGACGCCTCGATGGGACCTTACAACAGCTGCAAGAGCAGGTTCGGCGACAAGCAGATGAACTGAAAAAGGTGAATAAAGCTTCACAGACCCAAAAAACCGTATATAACTAACGCTCGGAATCTCATCTAGCTTCGAGAAAGCCGTGGCTCCCATGGTCTTTCGGATAACTATGACGACCCTTGGATGCGCGTTTCTCAAGCTCGACGCGCCAAAAAGGCATACGACTCTCTAGTAATGAATGAGGATGACTTGCCAACCACAGACTCTGTCTTGCCCTCACTGATTGCTACCGAAGAAACCTCCCAGCTGATCAATGAGGGCAAGATGTCCATCCTGGTAACCGCAGACAAACTATCTGCAGATCGTGAGCGCTTCCGCATCGAAGAGGCCAACCTGCGTGATTCTCGTGCAATCTCATCCGGACTTCGCGATAGAATCCAACGGATTCGCAATGCCAACACCCGAAAGCAGGAGCAGACACCTTCCCAAGTAGCCCGGGAGGTTGTTCGAGAGCAGAAAAAGAAAAACAAAGGCCTTGACCATGCATCTGATGGGCTCAAAAAGTCGCTAGACAAATTCATCGATGAGTCTCTGGCGCCGATGCTCGCGGCTGAGGACCTCGGTGGTCCAACAGTTGGAGATGCTCTCGAGGTGTCTGACGCGACGCTGAAAGCGGGTTATACAGCCCATGGGAAGCCAAAGAAACAAAAAGAGCCTGTTGAGCAAGAAGATGGAAAACAACAGCGGATTGACCAATTTCTTCGTCCAAGCAACGATGGCTCAAACCCCAGAAACAAGCGAGAAGCTGCGGCGACGGAGGCGCATGAACTACTCGATGCTCTGCTGGAAGCCGGGACATCATACATTGATTTAAAACGGGATTCGGCAGCCTCGCGATTCCTCGTACGAGCCAAAGTAGCCCAGTTTCACCCGCGAGACGCGAGACGCTTACGACTGATTGATTTTGGTCGATCACTCGGTGATTGAGTTTGATGAGCTGTGGAATTCCCTTGCGGAAGATGGTCATTACGTCTACTTTTATCCTATCCTAACCCTATCATAATCCTTCACAAGATACAGAGACAATTCACGCTTTGATCCATGGGTAATTGCAACCCCGCTGCCGTTGGGGGAAATGAGAAACGCCTATCGATGCTCCCATGCGTAGACAACGCCGAGTCGTGGAAATTTGCAAAAAAAAAGTAAAAAAGGAGATAAAGGAAACATTCAAATAGGCATCATTCCAATCGTAGATTTGGAGGCTTTAGTGGCGTTTTTTCGAGGTGCAGCCGAGGACCTACTAGGGGCACGATCACCACTGGACTTGGCTCTGGATCGGGCTCCCTTCCCTTTCCAGGTGCCGCCTGTGGAGCCACCATTCTTTCGTCGGGGTCGCTTCGTGTATGCGCGCTTGCCACCCTTTGAGCTCGACGCTGCCGGACCGCGCTCGAAATCATCACCCGGATCAAAGCCAGGTGATGGCGGGGGAGGGAAATAGCGGCTGGTGATGTTGTCGGGAGGGTTTTCCATTGGATAGTCCAGGTCAAGAGTCGTGTTTTGGTCCACGAAGAGATCATCGTCACTGTACTCATCGCTGCTGCTGAGGTTGATGACATTGTGATGATTGGGGTCTGGAACAATGCCGTTGCTCTCTGCCTCATCCTTCAATTCGTGGTAGCGGCGCCGGGCATTGTCAACCAGCCTCAAAATTTGACGGCCATATCGTTTCACTTTATCAGAATCAATTCCGGGAATAGCAGAAAGCTCCGAGATGTCTATAGAGCAATTAGTTTTCATTCACCACCAGTATCATTCCATTCTCAGACTTACTCTTGGGGAAAGTGATGGCCATATCACGCAAAATATGGTCAGGGAAGGGCTGAGATCGGAGGCCCTTCTCCACAACAATCTATAGGAAAGATGTATAAGCACGGGACAACTATCAGTAGCACACAACGGGGTCTTACCTCTTGCAAATATCTCTTGGCCGTTACCTCAAAGTCCTCCACAACGGCACGATGGAGATGATCCAGCCGTTCCATCTTCTGATCGATTGTGATGGGAGGCCCCACTGCATGGCCATTCTCATTCCGCGACCTGCCTGCGACTCGGAGGGGCTCAAAGCCATCACTCTCGTCATCGGCCGAAGGGTCATTGACACGTTTGCTTCGCTGTTGAGATCGTGCTTGGCGGCGATCATGGGCGGATTGGATAGGGGAAGACACCATTGTGGATTGAGGATAACTCTGGGTGCCGGATTTTGACTTCTGCGTTGGTTTTGTCGCTGCCTTGCCTTTTCCATTGGGAGACACGCGCACTTGCAGATTCAACTGGCGCTGGCCGGTTTCAAACTCCGTTGCACGCCGGCCAAGTTTGAGGTATTGAACAGCGAAGTCCTTCCCGTTGATGACATTATCCTCTGCTAGGGCATCCTCTCCTAGGAGACGGTAGAAGAGTCGCTCTGCTTCACCTCGATCCAGATCAGACCCCTTTCCGTACCATGGAAGAGTCTTGTGTGAGGGAGATTTGGCCCTTTTCAAGTCGCCGCGTAGTATATCCACACAGTAGAGTACAGTTACTTTCTCCCCCTTGTCGCCTTTCTCATTGGTTTGATTCTGGAACCACCGAACGATGTTGATGATCCAAGCAGCATGCTGAGAGAAGTCGTGAACCTCGAACACCAAATCAGACTTGCAGTTATCACAAGAATTGCCACAGTCTTCACGGCGGAAGTATTCGTTGAAATATGCGAGAACTTGCACACGTCTGCAATCACTGCGATTCTCACAGAATTGGACGACATTGCGGAGCATGTGTTTTTGCCGAACTTTCTGCTCGTAGCTACCATCGCCATCATCGATCATGCGTTTGAGTGTGGCAGCGTCCTTGTACCCGTAATACAGGTAGCAGCCAGAGCGTTTACCGTCTCGACCAGCACGTCCAGTCTCCTGATAGTAACCTTCCAGACTCTTGGGAATGCTGTGGTGCATGACAAAACGTACATCAGGCTTGTCGATACCCATTCCAAAGGCAATGGTGGCAACAATAATATGCCATTTCCCCGCCTGCCACTCCTTCTGCACCTTTGTTTTGTCATCAGATTTCATGCCAGCATGGTAATGCGCGGCCCTGAGTCTGTACGTATCGCGAAGGTCCTCTGCAACTTTCTCACATGTCTTTCGCGACAGGCAATACACAATTCCACACTGATTCTTGTAGGATTTTTTAATCGTCTCGGCAATACTGGCAAGGACTTCATTGTTCTTCCCTTTAGGCCGCACCTCATAGGTCAAGTTTGGCCGGTTGAAAGACTGCAAGAATACCTCGCATCCGGTCATCTTGAGATTGTGGATCACATCAACCTTGACATTCTCAGTTGCTGTAGCAGTCAGAGCCATGACAGGGACACCAGGCAACTTGGCTCGGACTTCGCCCAATTCCTTGTAATCAGGTCGGAAGTCATGGCCCCACTGGCTGACACAGTGTGCCTCGTCAATAACCAGTCGTGCCAGCTTGCCCCGGCGGTGAAGATTCTCAAGAGCTCTGACCAATGTTTGGTTCTTGCTGATCATCTCAGGTGTGATGTACAACAGTTCCAAGCCTTCGGCATCACCATTAGACAACTGACCAAGAATCCACGACCGCTCAGTCTTGTCTGACTCGCCATTCATCAAGAAGGCCTTGATGTTCAACTTTCGAAGATGATCCACCTGATCTTCCATCAAACTCAAAAGTGGAGAGACTACAATTGTCACACCATGTGTACGGCCACCCGTCACAATGGAGGGAAGCTGATAACACAAAGATTTGCCTCCACCAGTTGGCATCAGGACGAAAGTATCCTTGCCGGCAAGAGTTTCGTCAATGGCTTCTAATTGATTTGGACGGAAGCCACGCAGATGAAATCTCTCCTTCAGGACCGTTTTCACCTCCTGAGACCAGGGATGATTAGACCAGAAATTGCTGCGGCCAGGTGATTTTTTTGGAGGAGGCATGCGAGAACTGTTTCCAGACGTCTCTGCAAATACTTTGCGGGTCTGTGTGGGCTCGCGCACAGGCACCTGCGGTTCGTTGTCAAAACTGCCAGCCACTTCTAGCATCTCATCATCGCTGTCACTCCAATCAAATTCGTCGAAGTCTAGCGTAGGTGAAGCCATATTCCGCGAGACAAAGGGTATTTCTTTCCGGGGACTTGCAACCGACTGTTTGGGTCTCTGATACACGGGCGGTGGCTCTCTGGACGTCACCCGTTCAGACTGCTCCCTGGTACGCGAGATGTGAGCTGGCGCATCTTGGAGATCTTCACCAAGCTCTGCGGCAAAATCGAATATCTTGGCCCGGGGGATGAGTTCGCGGATCTTGGACTCTACCTTCTCCAGCTCTGCCTCTACTACTCGGCTCTGTGAAAGCTCGGGAAGAGTTGTTGGATCCAAGCCCTGGGAAATGACACGCATGACATCCCGCTTGAGGTTTTCCTTGCGAGCTAAGCAGTCACTATGTGAGTGTTTCTGCCTTTGCAAAGACTCAATTGCCTGAATCTGGGAGACAAGGCCTTTGTTTGCGGCAATCAATTCTGGCGCTGGTCGACCCGCCATTGCCTGTTCGTAAACAATCTCGGCATTCTTCTGGAGGGTCTGCTGTAATCGCAGAATTGCCTTCTCGAAGACTTCCGAAGGAAGTGCTGTGAACTTGAAGATGTTCTCGTCCTTAGCTTGTGAACTTGGCACCGACACCGTTGGACCTGACGATGGCGGCTGGGGTTTTGGTGGCTTTTCTTTGGAACCCTTATTCTTGCGCGCAGGTGATAGTGGCCTGTTGCTAAGGACTGACTGAGACTGCTGTCCAACAATCGGCTCGGGTACATCATTTCCATCATCCGAGGGGCTCACTGCGGGGAGCTTTGGATACAGTCCTGTGTTGGCATCAATGATGATGTCGTCATCATGGAACCAACTATCACCAAATGGATCCTCTTCATCCGAGTCCGCGATTGCGATTTCTCGTTTCCGGCTGCTTCGTGGGAGGACTGGCGAACTAAGTTTGCCATGCTTCACTCCGTTTGCGCGGTCTCCTCGGCTGACTCGACTTGGTATCTCCGGTATGACGTCTTTTGAGGTGGATGAGCCACTTGATTTTAGAGGCGATCGGAATTTATTCGTATGCTTGGAGGGCGACAGAAGATCTGAAGTATACTCGTCGCTTTTCCGTTTCTTTCCTCGTTTTTCAACCGGTGTTTGGCGCGATGTAGAGTCCTCAGCCCACAGGCGTCGTGGTCCTGCCAAGTCGAGGTTTGAAGACGTAGGTAGAAATCGATCAGGGTCTCCAGTCAAATCAATGGACTCGATTTCATCGAATGGGCACGTTGCGAGTTTGCGATTCGATCGGATTGGAGTGGCTTTTGGTCGCGTGCTCTTCAAGGATGATTGGGGCGGCTCAAGGAATGATTCTGCGCGTGAAAGATCCACGTTAGGTCTGTGATCTGTTGTGGTTCTCATAAGCGCGGCATACCTTGAACTACACTTCTCGATGAAGAGGGTTTCTTGATGGTGGGTGAACTCGGCGGCCGTGTATCGCCTCGACTGAGCATTCGAGGTTTGCTCTCGGATGAGGGCGCGAGCATGAGTCGTGCCATGTTCTCATCTTTCACGTCCTCGGCATCCTCGAGAAGTTGATCTAGAAGTTCGGTTTCGTCGGATGGCGAAGTGGGTTGTTGAGAGACGCGACTTCCGGGATCAATTGGAGGGTTATCGGCGGACAACGTGGGGTACAGGGACGGGCCTTGTTTCAGTAGCCATTTGAGGTGTACGGCGAGATTATTTTTCGTCATGGGGGCGTACGTCGCTCATGGCCTTCGTCTGTGGTGGTTTTCGTTATCTGGTTGCCTGGTGATCCAAATGGGAAACTCCGAGACTCCGCGCCCATCGCGAGGCTATCGAGACGCGTTTTCACGTGAGCGGTCAAGGCCACTGATAAGGCTCGCAGATGCTGGTCTCAACTCACCACTACCCTAGAAATTGAAAAATTAATCCTAAATATTTGTGATTAATTCAGACATAGTATGAAGAGTTTATCTGAACTGGGAAAAAATAACTACAATCTAATTAGGTGTGTTTTGAGTATGTAGGCTTAATTAAACCGCGTCGCATGCGCGATAAGAGTCTATGTGGGGAAAAGCTTTCATGCCCCGCGGCCCAGAATATTGATGCGTCTAAAAAAAAATCCATCCAACAAACTACAATTCGCCATGGCCAAGAAAAACAAGAAGTCAGCCGAGCACAAGGAGCGTGTGGCAGCCAAGCAATCCAAGAAGACTGCTCAGAAGGAGAAGAAGTCGAAAGTGAAGGGCAAGGATGTCGACAGCGATGCTGAGGATGCCGACCTCGATGCCATCCTCGCTCAGTATGCTGAAGAGCAGGCTAAATTTTTGAAGGTCACTGAAGTGCCATCAGGGCCTCCAGCACCGAGATCTTCTGCTACTGTCCTTGCGTCTCCCTCCAACGGGAATGAAATTCTGCTTTTCGGTGGAGAATACTTTGATGGAACGCATGCGACATTCTTCAACAATCTCTTCGTGTACCAGATTAATCGAGGCGAGTGGAAGGAGGTGACTAGTCCCAATAGCCCTCTGCCTCGAAGTGGACATGCTTGGTGTCGTGGAGGTAACTCTGGAGGCGTGTACCTGTTCGGAGGTGAGTTTTTAGACATTGAACTTCCCTGTCCGGCGGACCTAACAGCAACTAGGAGAATTTTCGTCACCCAAGCAGGGTACTTTCTACCATTATAACGACTTTTGGCATTTGGACCCAGCTACCAGGGAATGGACTCGTCTCGAGACCAAGGGTAAAGGACCTCCTGCCAGAAGTGGCCACCGAATGACCTACTACAAGGTACGCGTGTACACAAAATATATATTCGCACGAGATAAGTCTAACAATAACATTAGAACTACATAATCCTCTTCGGTGGATTCCAAGATACTTCTCAGCAGACCAAGTATCTGCAGGACCTGTGGATTTACGATTGCTCAAAGTATACCTGGTTCAATCCCGCTTTGACCACGGCATCTCAAAAGCCCGATCCTCGATCGTCATTCTCCTTCCTGCCTCATGAGACTGGTGCCGTGATCTACGGTGGCTACTCACGAGTGAAAGCCGCCAGCGGTGCAGGCGGCAAGCAAGGCAAAGGTGGCCCCCAGAAAATGACCCTCAAACCCATGGTCCATCAAGACACTTGGTTCCTGAGAATTACACCCCCGGAAACGGAATCAGCAGCCGCTTCGACAGGACCTGCTATCCGCTGGGAGCGACGAAAGAAGCCCGCCAATACGCCTAACCCGCCGCGCGTGGGTACCACCATGGCTTACCACAAGGGTCGAGGCATTATGTTCGGTGGTGTCCACGATGTCGAACTGACTGAGGAGGGCATTGACAGTGAATTCTTCGACACGCTATTTGCTTGGACTACCGACCGAAACCGTTTCTTCCCATTGAGCCTCCGTCGCCCGCGTGCCGCGGGTAAGAAGCAACAAGCGAACCAAGCGAACAAGTCTCGTAACCGTGGCAGAGCGGACGAGGAAGAGCTGCTGCAAAACTTGAAGGCGCTGGAAGCGAAGCAAGGACTCCTAGATGACGATGACGATGATGATTTCATGCAATTGAGCACACCAAAGACCGAGGAAGAACCCGTTGAGCCCGCCAAGCCTGCAGTTGTTCGATTTGAAATGCCACACCGGCGATTCAACGCTCAGCTTGCGGTGCAAGATGACACTCTTTTCATTTATGGCGGTACATTCGAAAAGGGCGACCGAGAGTTCACATTCAATGATATGTACTCGATTGACCTGGTCAAGCTTGATGGCGTGAAAGAACTGTTCTATGTCGAGCCTGAGAACTGGAATCTCCTGGACGAGGAAGACAGTGACGAGGAGATGGATGATGAAGAGGATGAAGAGGACGAGGACATGGACGAGGAGGGTGCGGATGCCATGTCTCTGGATACTTCTTCCCCTGCACCCACAGAGACGACTGTTCCTTCTGTCACTCAAGGCATGGAACAACTCGAGGTTGAGGAGGAGTTAGATCAACCCGTTGATACTCGTCCCCAGCCTCGTCCCTTCGAGAGCTTAAGGGAGTTCTTCAGCCGAACTTCCGAAGACTGGCAGAATATCCTTCTCGAGGCTTTGAGGTGGAAGGGACAGGCCGAGGACAAGACAGTCAAGGAGCTGCGCAAGGGAGCATTTGATATGGCTGAAGAGAAATGGTGGGATAGTCGTGAAGAGATCATGGCCTTGGAGGATGAACAAGAAGCTGCGGGTATTGGAGAGGTTGTTAGCATGACCGACCGCACTGAAAATATGGGCGGAGCAGGTCGTCGTCGGTAAAGAGCTTGAGATATGCGGTCGTAAAAAAGGGTTTCTCGTTTTCTCAATTAGATCAGATTATTAGGTGCTAGTTAATTATGAGCATGCTAGTACGTATTTTTCGTTCCATTTCCCGTGGGTGAGTTGGCTAGCGCCGAGCAACCTCGGCCAAAACGCCAGTCACCAGTTCCAGATCTCTTTCCACATCAACCCTCCAATTTGAGATCGCAATTCGAGTGGCGGGAGCGCCGTCCCAGCTGGTTCCAGAAACGAACATCCGCGAAGTATCATTGATCCTCTTTGACAATTCCCGGTTCAATTCATCATCCTTGGCACGGAACAAAACGCTCATGAAGGTCTGGTCCAGAAGGTCTGATTTGGAAGATGTCTCCGGCAAGGCTGTATATTCCGGGTGATTATAGATCCAATCGTAAATGCCTCGGGCAAGCCGGATCTGGCGCTCCAACATATCTCTATATCCATCCTTTCCATAAGAGAGCAGAGATGCATAGACCGGCAAGGCCCTAAACCGGCGAGAGTTTTCCATTCCAATATTCAAAGGTGATGGAATCGCCGGTCCATCTGGGGGTCCTGCCGTAAGATAGGCAGCGTTTGCATTCTGGAAAACATTGACGGCTAGGTCTGCGTGTCGACAGAAGAAAAACCCGCAGTCATAGGGGACATTGAGGAGTTTGTGACCGTCTCCAGCAATCGAATCTACCAGTTCAAGCCCTTCACTTCCTTGCTTAACTGTTGCAAACTCTGGATCGTCGTTCAATACGCGAGCGAAAACCCCGAAGGCACCATCCGCATGAAGCCATGCCCCATACTTGTCACACAACTGGCGAATCTGCGACAGATGCTCCTTTGTAGTTGCAAAGCGGCCAGTGTTGACTTCTCCAGCGGAGACGGCCACAATGCTGACTTTGTCTGTTCTTACTAGTTCTTTCTCTAGCTGTTCGAGATCAAAGTGGAGCGGGTTGTCGGCACGGCAGACATTATGCACATTGGCACGACCAATGCCCAGCACGCCGGCCGCTTTCACGAGGGATGAATGAGGCAAAGTCGATAGCACCTGAACTCCAGAAAGCCCCAGCGCATGCAATACTTCGAACAAACCGAACTCTCCGACGCTGTTTAATTGAACACCCTTTTTCTCGGCGGCTTGTCGAAGAACATATTCCCGGCCACAAGCCAAGCCGAGAATGTTGCTTCCCGTTGCACCCGTGGTAAAAGTACCATTATTCCAGACGGAACGATCTAAGCAAAGGAGATCTGCAAGAAGACCTAGCGCACTGAACTCGACATCGGTGACGATGGAATGATTGGGGATGTGCACTTGGACGTTTTGGTCGTAGGCAGAAACGACATTATCGGCGAAGAGTGCCGCGGGCGTGACTCCACCCGTGACAAAGCCATAGTAGTTGGCACTGATACTGCCTCCATTGAATGCCGGGACAAGATCATCTAGAATGTGACGTTGAACAGCTTCGAGGTTGGCACCAGCGGCTAGCAGTGTAGTGGGAAGAGAAGCCCGCGCCCGAGCTAAGCTGTCTGCGCTTGGAAGAACACCGGATTCCCATTTTCCCTGGGCAACTTTCCACAGGTCTTGTAAGATCTTTTCCTGCATGGTTGATCAGATATCAGATCCAGGTCTATTTGGCCCTGATGACAGGGGTTAGATCTCTCTATAAAGTCCGGTCGGGATTTCCTCTGAGGTCTTCGGGATGAACACTCCGGTTGGACTATCCTGAAGCAGATGTTGTGGAGCACTGGAGTAGGTCTTGATCTTATCTGCCTAGAAGGATGTCCACTAGAAGCATTGATTGGTCAGATTGGAGGCTAAGCAAGTTGGAAATTGGAGCCGCGGGCTTATTTGAGTCGAGGCGAGGCTGGGGTGGGATAAGTGCAAGTTGGGGGAGTCTGGCAGCGTCGAGTGGAACGGCTCTTCTCTCAGCTTCTCCGCAGTCGATCCACTTAACTCTCCTCGCCCTTTTGGATCCCAACCACTTTTTGCGTGGAAGATACAGTGCCAGTCATGGCTGCCAAATTGATCGATCGGCGATTCCACAATGTCCCAGGTTGGTGTATCTTCGCTATCTGTACTGCTGAAAGATACGAACATCCCAAGACCAGACCGTTTGTTGACTGAATTCTAGGAAAGCTTCGTGTGGCCGAGCTGTTCTTTGATGTACCCCTGGACTACAGTAAGCCCAGCGATGGCACACTGAGGCTGTTTGCTCGAAGTGTCTCTCGGTTGAACAAGCCCGTCGAACCTACCAAAGAGGAGTCTAAACTGCCATGGCTTGTTTACCTTCAGGGGGACCGGGCTTTGGATGCGGTGCCCCGCAAAATTACGGCTTTGTTGAGCCAGCCCTCAGCAAAGGGTATCAGGTACGAGACCATGCCGTTTTAGAAGGATTCCATCATCTGCATCTATGGTGTGTTTTTACTAAAGCACGAGATAGGTTCTCTTCCTGGATCAGCGTGGCACTGGTCTTAGCTCTACCCTTACTGCGGGGACCCTTGCCCGTCAGGGGGACGCTATCAAGCAAGCCGAGTATCTCAAGAAGTTCCGCGCTGACAACATTGTCCGTGACTGTGAGGCGATCCGCAAGTTTTTGACTCTGGAGTACCCTGAAGATCAGCGCGCATGGAGCATTATCGGCCAAAGCTTCGGTGGTTTCTGTGCTGCTACCTATTTGTCCAAATTGTGTGTCCCCCTCGCTCTATATTTCCGTCGAACATACGCTATTGGACTATGCTGACTTGAGTTGTTCAACACCAGCCCCGAGGGCCTGAGAGAGGCTTTCATCTGCGGTGGATTGCCCCCTCTTGTTGATAACCCAGACCTCGTCTATGCACGAACCTATGGTGTGTTTTTTTACGACAGAAATAAATGAAACATTGATTGACTGACACACGAACAGAGAAGGTTCTGGAGAGAAACGAGGCATACTATGCTAAATTCCCAGAGGATGTCGAGCGTGTCCGGGAAATTATGCGGTACCTGGCGGCAAACAAGGTTGCCCTGCCCTCGGGCTGGCTCACTCCAGCTAGATTCCAGCAGCTTGGAATTGTCTTTGGCTTCCACGGTAAGTAACATTATATCGGTGAGTTTAAATGTGTAGTCTGACTATCGACCAGGTGGTCTTGATTCTCTGCATGGTATGTACTCACTCCATGGACACCTCAACAAGGAGGACTTGACTAACCTTAACCATAGAAATTGTTCTACGAGTCTGGAACGACCTAGAGATCTTTGGCTCTCTTACAGGTCCAACTCTTGCTCTCATCGATAGCAATGGCGGCATGGACAAGAACATCATCTACGCCATCCTGCACGAGGCAATTTATTGCCAAGGGTGAGCATGCCCCTTCCGACCCCCAATGAAGAGAGATTGCTAAACCTTTGACCACAGCAAACCCTCTCTTTGGGCGGCAGATAGACGACGAGGCGAACACCCTCAATTCGTGATTTCCGACTCACAGCCCCAGATCTACTTCACCGGCGAGATGGTAAGAGCCCCAACTGTCATCATATGGCCATAATAGAGCAACATCTAACTAATCTCACACACAGGTCTTCAAAGACATGTTCGAGTCATACACGGAGCTCCAGCAGATTCAAGAGGTAGCCGATATTCTCGCCAACACCAGTGATTGGCCAGCCTTGTATGATGAGGCCCAACTGGCTAAGAATGAGGTCCCTGTCTACGCTGCTACTTACATCGACGATATGTACGTCCACTTTGACCTGGCTTCTAGCACTGCCGCCAAGATCAAGGGTACGAAGCAGTTTATCACCAACACCATGTATCACGATGCTTTGCGCAGCAAGTCGAGCGAAGTGATGCGCCAACTCCTCAACCTTCGGGATGATTCGATTGATTGAAGAAAGAGGTGTTGGTTTTTAGGTGGTTTGGCTTCTCAGCGACATGTTTAGCTACCAGCGTATGCATCAAGTTCCTTTGCGGCAGACTTATTCAATAGAAGAGATCAAGGTAGCACCACCGAATTTAAACATACAGAATAACACACGAATTCTATGAGAGTTTTAGCATCGGGTATAATTGCAAGAAGCTAAAAAGGCTATATACAGTGCCATAGCAGCCAACTGCAGTCTGGGCTTAGACAGAGTCTAGTATTTGGAAGATTAAAAAACCTAAGAGTTCTGTTAGTCTCATGAACCAATTGAGTAAGTTAGAGAAACACGTACGGCACCACCGATGATGAACAGTCTTTCTTCCTCTTGCTGTACCCACTGAGCAATTTTACTCGCGCTCTGCACTAACGCGTTCCGGTTTGCGTTCGGCTCAGCGACACAGTATAGCTCGAAAGTCGGGGTCACCCATGCAAATGAGCTCGCGGATCGCGATACACAGTGGTGTACCTTGACGTGACTATTCTTGGCGTGGATACTGGAGTGGATGTTATTGTATATGGACATCAATCTGTATATAAGGGTTAGATAATCAAGTCAACTGTAAGTGGTGAGGATGAATACTGACCTTCGCCTGCGAGAGATTGAAGTAAACTCAGGAGAGTAGGACGACATTGTAAATTGGACATTCGCCCGTGACTTGTATAGGAAATGGTGAAGTACTGTTCCGGGAACAATGTCGGTGGTAGCTGGGCGACCCTGATCGATTGAAGCAGCGATCATCTTCAAACTTCCATTTTTCTCCATTTGCTATAATATGGACATGAGTCAGTGTCCACTCAACCAGGTGAGCTTCCCCGTGAGAGACTACTTACCTCAACCAGTAAGTCGCGCATTCCTTGCATCTCGAAGAAGCTTTCCTTATCCGGGCTAATGAGGACTATCGCGACTGATTCGTCCTTCAAAATGTCCTCATTGTCGTCCACATCGCCTCGGAGATTGAGGAAGCTGACATACATGTATAGGTAGCCGCTGCTGTTGAAGCCAGGTAGACAAACAGGGACCCAGCTTTCACCACCTCCTGCCTTGATGCCATCGGCCTCAAATATCATATTGAAGAGGAGTTGCAGATCACCTGGGTGGAGCGAATGTTTTTTCGGCCGTACGACACTCACAAGCCGCCCACCAGCGACTACCAGTCCGTAAAGTAAGTTACTGACTTTCGTTTTCAAAAGCGCATTATTGATTGACTGGCGATGTACTTTGCGTAGCTTGAGACACTCCAAGGTCGACAGCAAGGTAGATGGTGATCCGCGGGTGAAGCTGTCTGCTAATGAGGACAAAAGTGTTTCCGAGCCCTGCAATGGCCGCTTCAGATCGGTAGACGGCCGGACGGAGAATAAGTGAGTGAGGGATGGAAGTGTCAAAGTGGATAGAATTTGCATGTACAAAGCTTCTAGCTGGAGCCGAAGCTGATTATCACTCTCCATCATGCGGCTGATAGCGACAAGATGTAGCGGCCCTCGAGTCACAATGACAAACTTGGTATCCCCGGCTGTAAAGCTGCGAAGGTGATCGCCTGAATCTTCATAGAACGATATGATGGTCTGGACGACTCCGACATAGGTCGAGATCAATCCACCATCGCCGTGCCGAGTCCAAATTGGCTTGCCAGCAGCAGAAAGTATCATGTAATGTTTGTGCTTGCTCTTCCACCGCTGAAGAAGCAAATCTTCATTCCCGGCATCTTCATTTAGTTCACCAACCGGGTCAAATTCACTCATGAATTCATCGTCATTGACATCATCGGCAGGAAACTCGGGGAAATGAAGCAGGCTTGCTGCATCCGGGTGGCCTGCGGGCGCTGTCGCCACAAAGTCCTTGAACAGCGCTTCAACGTCGCCCGCATCGCTGTTTGGAATTGAGCTCCGAATGCTCGCGGAGTCGCCTGCCTCGCTACCTTTCGGACTCGCCAAGTGGCTAAGGCTGGCTCTTGCTTTTAGCCCTCTAGATAGGCCCCGAACTGCCAGGGTCGAATAGGCACTGCCCCCCGCTTCTGGAGTCTGTGTGCCAAACTCCGTTCGAGAAATGGCCGTTGTTGCCTCTGCCTGCAGATTCGCATTTCGTGATGCCGTCTCATCGTTCAATAAACTTAAGGTATTCGGTCGCGGAGGTAAAGGCGGCCGTGGCCCCTCTGGACTGGTGCTACGATCTCGAGACTGGGCAAGCGGAGGACTGGGAGCTGGTGAAGGCGTCACGTTCTCGTCGGTAGGCTCATCGCGATTGGCGCTTTGAGAGTCTGGTTGTGGTGTACTCATCCCCGCAATGGGCGTACGCCTCTAGACGTAATCGCTGGGGGCCCGGGGAATAGATCATAAGTTCCGCATCGTCAATATCGCATTAAACACCCGAGTCGCTGGGCGTGCTGGTCGGCGCGTGATTCTGCGGAGTGGAGAGACGCTGTGACGTCGAGCGGAGAGTCGGAGAAGCTCCCAAGGCGGACAAAACATCAATGTGGCCGCCTGCGTGGCCCTTTCGACCCTAGTCAAACGTCCAACCTTCCCCTTCCAGTAGGGTTGTTCTCGATGTCCTAAATATGACGGAGTGCGCCCTGCAACTTTTCAATCAGTTCATCGTCCGTCATTGGCACCATGAGCCTTGATCCAAGTGCTTTTCCGAGGTCGGACTCCCCCGCAAGCTCCGAAAGCTCCCTGACGCGCTCGCGGCTACAGGGAAAGGAAGGTCTGTATCTCCCACAAAGCTTCGCTCTTGGTGGAATTCTTGTCTCATGGTATTTTGGCAAATACAGGATCCCTTAAGAAAGATAAGAGCTATCGCCGTTATGCTTCGAGTGTTGAGCGAGCGTTGTCGCTGTTCGATAACGCCCTTCAAGAATGGGCCGACTATATCTCCTTTCTCAGTCGCCTGCTAAAGGTGAGCGCAAGCGGAAGATCGCAAGATGATATGTATCTAACCAGTTCTCAGGCGCTTCAAACCCACCCCCTGATCAACCTGTCGTCCCGCATAAGGTGCTGGTTTCGAAACGACTTGCGCAATGCTTGAACCCATCGTTACCTTCAGGCGTTCACCAGAAGGCGCTTGAGGTTTATACGTACATATTCGGGCTGATAAAGGTAATTTGACTCAGAAAGTGAGTTCAGGATACGTCTGCTGATATGTTTCGTTCGCATCTAGCTCGAGGGACTGTCGCATGATCTCCCACTGTACCTGCCTGGCCTTGCCCCAACCTTGACCTTCGCTTCGCTCACCGTCCGTCCGCTGTTCCTATCGCTAGTAGAAGGCTATATCGTTGATTTGGAACCATGGGCCATTCGTCCCGCCCTGAAAGCAATCCTTCTTGCCTTGCTCCCAGGGTTGGAAGAGGAGACAAGCGACGACTTTGAACCAACATTACGGATAATCAACAAACTTCGTGATGTTTCTGGACAACTTGAGACACAAAGAACGTCCGAGGCGGGTTCTTCAGGGCAATATTTCTGGCAATGCCTCTTTCTGGCATCAATCACCAATTCTAGCCGACGGCTCGGCGTGCTCGCATACCTGAACCGTTATCTCCCTAAGCTAGGCATTGCCGATCGCCGCCCAAGCACAGCGGATGGCATCGATATGAAGGACGTACCGGCCGAGATTTTGGCGGCTGCCGATTCCGTCATTCTACCAGAGCCGGGCCTCTTGATTCGTTGTTTTGCATCGGGTCTCTCTGATGAACAGCTTTTGGTGCAGAGGAATTTCCTTGATTTGTTGGTTACTCACTTGCCCTTAAGCTCTCCGATCTTACAGTCTCGAATCGCCGACAAGGATCTGCAAACACTGATCGTTGCTGCCGTGGGCGTGGTTGGGCGACGAGACATGAGCTTGAACCGCCGACTTTGGGCGTGGTTCTTGGGACCAGAGCCCACGAATGAGCGGCATTCTACAGACAACCGAAAATTCTCATCCGAAACTACTCGTTCGTCCTCCGTTGACGGCAAGGAACTTTCGCAGTCTCAATATTTCAGCCGCGTTGGTTTGCAGCCCTTGATCAACGGTCTACTCCATATGATTAAACAAGCTCCAACCGTCCCATCTGAAAGAACGAGGCCTTTTCGAATTGCGCTGTCCTTGATGGACCGTTGGGAGATTGGCGGCTATATTGTTCCAGCCGTTTTTCTTCCAATAATGAATAGCGTCCAATCGTTCGAGAAGCAGGCGCCAAGGAACCACTTTGAAGAGGTGTTCCGTAGTGCCAGTGCCTTCTTCGATGGCGTGGAAAGTAGTGTCATCTTTGCGGAGCTTTTTGGGATTGATCGACTTCCGTCTCTCAGATGTCGATAACAACAATGCTCAAGCCTTACACAACCTAGACCTTGCAAAATTCGTTCTCGAGAATTTCAATGTACGAGAGGAAGACATGGTTCAGATCCATGTTCCTCTCTTGACGGTGTCACTACTTGTCAAGATGAGTGAAGTCTCCTCTTTGACAGCGTCATCGTCAGGAACAGTTGCATCTAGGCAGGCAGTGTCAAAGTCATTGCACAAGGTGCTCATGTCATTAACACCTCTGCTCACCGAGCGGGCATTCTCAAAGAAGCCTGGCTCTGAGAAGTCTAGCGCCGCTGATGCGAAGGCCCGAAGCAGCGACCTCCTGCAAAAGGTTCACCGATTCTACGAGAGCAGCAAGCAAAGTCTTGAGCTGCCATCTCTGCCATTTGCTCCAAAGCAAATTGGCGAGATGATTATCAGGGAGGCTCATGAGTTATCTATCCAGGCCCTGGAGAGCGATGATACCACCTCCTCACTTCACGAGAAACTCAATATTCTTGTGACGTTGCTCCAGAAACTTCCCAGGTCGCGTGTCCTTCGAGACAGACGACTTTTTGAAGCAGTCTCGGAAAGGCTATCTAGAGAGTCTGAAGCCTCCACAACAGCATCTTTTGCAGTTATTTCAACCATTGCGTCTGCTTTGACCAACCTTTTCTTCATCCAAAGTCCTGGTTTCTACGTCGGCTACCCAGACGCATCAGATATCATCCCTAGCCTAGTGCAGAGGTTATGGCAGTATCTATCGCCATTAAGCCCCAAGTTCCACGTGGAGGCTGTACGATGTTTGTGGTCACTGCATTCAATTTCCTGGGTGGATCACCTTGTGGAGGCGTCCATTACCTCATTGATGGTCAACCCGTCTGAAGCAGGCTCGCACCACCTTGCATCAGAAGAGCAAGCCGAGAAGTTTTTCGTCTTGTGGAATCACAGTCATCATGGCGGACATGATCAGCCCCCAAAGCAAGTTCTGGATGTCGGGGGAACCTCATTCTCCTATCAGTGCTCGATGCTCGAGCGTCCGTTGTTTATTGTATTAGATCTTTTGTCACAAGAGCCTGGTGACGTTTCTCAAAGCGTTCAACAGTGGCTTCAGGACCTGCCATCGATCCACAGGTAAGTGATTCCGTGGCAAGATCAATAGGACCTAGAGACTAACCCTAGAGACTAACATGATTGCAGAGTTTTCCATGTTGTTGTTTCCAAGCTCGAAGAGATTTTCGAGCGCGACATCCCTGGTGCGAGCATTAAGCAAGCGGTCTCTACAGACGATTACAAAGAATGCAGTTACTTACTGCGCACGGCATCCAATATTATCTCTACCCTTTCCCACCCCGGGTGGATTACACTCCTCACACATACCTTAGGCCAACTGGAAAAACGGCCAAATGGACCAGCCGTCGATGACAATGCAAACTCGAAAAGCCTCCACGCCACCCTATTTGAGGCTTCCTTGCGAATTATCAGCGATCAAGCTCCAGGCACCACACAGGTCACCCCGGAAGGAGAAAAGCTGCAGAAAGCTGCACTGTATCTCATGCGGCAGCTTCTTTTGGGCCCTGGTGCGGAGGACCTGGTCGAATCTGGGATTGATGATTTCCTGGTCGATCGTCTCCTAGTTGCCGCGAACGATGGAGGTAGCATTGCTGTTCAGGGTGCACTCATCGATGCGCTTCTGGCGGCTCTCAAAGTACGCTTCGCGCAGGCCTACCTTCCGCCACCACCTCCACGGCCGAAGCACCAGCGAGCGGCCTCTCGTGAACGTCTAACAAGCCCTTCTATCTTGTCGTTTACGAGCGAGAAGGCAGAAAGAGCACCGTCGATGCCCCAACTACCGCTTCCGCCTGAGCGTCTCCTGGATTGTCTCCTGAAGGGAATCAGCTCCGCAAAGTCTCGAGAGATTGTGGATAAATGGATCGGCCTGCTTTGCGAAGTGCTTCCACTCTACTCACATTCAATCTTTCAGATCCTTCTCATGCTTGTTGAATGCTTCTGCAGGGAGATCAAAGCCTCATTTGGGAGACTTCAGCTTGCATTCCAACAAACACAAGACTGGCCACAGGATCGTTCTGAGCATGTGACCATCGCTCTTCTTACGGGCCTTGAAACGTGTATCGCAAATGCCCACGAGCGTCTTCTTGTGGAAGAGTCAAATGTCCCAGCCGCAAAGAGTCCCGACCAACCTCAGGGCTTCTTTGGTAACATGGTGTCGGGTGTCTTCAACTCAGATGGCAGTCAAGGCCGAACCAATACCGCCAATGACCGGTTAACCGTTCTCCTCTGCTTCCAGGACGCCGTTCGTCTTTGCTTCTCTATTTGGGCTTGGGGAGCTGGTGATAATAGCGAGACTCCCCCTGACTCCGAATCAATGGCGTCTTTCCAATACACATCACTGCGCATGCGAAACAGGTCACGGAGGATTCTCGAGCATTTCTTCGGCGCCGAGGCGCTAGAGTGCTTGGAGACATTGGTAGAAATGTGGGCCAAGTCAGACATAGACACTGCGTCACTCATCTTTAACCTTCTGCATACCCTTGATGGGTCAAGCCCGAAGATCACAATCCCGGCTGTCTTCAATGCGATCTACACCCGCACGAACCCGGCAGCTTTGGATCAAAATCGCAAGTCGTCATTGACCTCCAGCTTGTCCGAATCCGAGCTTGCGAGTTTCCTGGTCGCCTATGCACGCTCTCTGGATGACGATGTTCTCGATGAGATTTGGACTGATTGTACAACATTCCTACGCGACGTGCTAAGCAATCCATTCCCTCATCGCCAAATTCTCCCACGGTTGATTGAATTCGCGGCCATCTTGGGAACAAAACTGGAAAACACAACATTCGGTGAAGATCGGCGCATGCGCAAGGAACTCGGGGTAAGTCGTACTTCCCTTGACCTGGTAATAACGATTGATACCTGACTGACTTTTTCATTCGGTAGGACGTGGTTTTGCGGCTGCTTACCGCTGTTTTCACGAGCAAACCCCTTGGACTTCACCAAGAATCTGGACTCATGGCGAGATCGTCTCTGGATTATGATCGAACTGCTGTGTCTCATACTGGCCCCGATGATATGTTGAGTATTTTGGCTGTATCCATGCCATCCTTTCTCACAACATTAGGCGATTCCGATCGTATCAACACTGCCATCAGTGCTGTTTCCACTAATGTGGTAGGCCCACTGATTCGCTCCCGATTGTTCCCCAATAACCTCAACCGCAACGTGATGGTGATTCTACAGCAAATGGCTAAAGTTTCCGCCGCTGCGAAGATCTGGAAGAAAGATATCTCCGATGCCTTCAACGACACGCGCTTCTTTGGGCTTCACTTGGATTTGATAAAGAGCTGCTGGATGGAACTTTTGCGGCAATGGACTCTTGTCGACAAAGATCGTCTGGCGGAAGTTTTGAGTCGTCTGCCACCACCCAGCGCGGCAGGAATTATGTTTGGTGTGGGAGCATCTGCTGCACGATTGGAGGCTGATCGCAAGGCGCAGTTGAACCTTCGTCGCATTTCCTTGTTGATTCTCTCGGCAAATGACGACTACTTTGTGGCAGAGCTACCAAGCTTGCTTCAAAAGCTCGAAGATCTCCTAGCTGCGACCAGCGCCTCGTCACCGTCATCGGCGACCCGGGCAGAGATCTTCATGGTCCTTCGTGCGGTGGCTCTCAAGACGTCTGCGACGGCGATCGCACCATTCTGGCCACTGATCAACGCCGAGTTGCAAGAAGCTGTTGCAGCAGTGCCCCGGAACTCCCAGTCGGAACTCTACAACTCTTACTCGCTGCTTCAGGCATGCAAGCTTCTTGATGTTCTCTTGGTGATTGCTCCAGATGACTTCCAGCTCATGGAGTGGCTCTTTGTGACCGACACGATCGACGCTGTATACCCTCCCAACCGCTGGGAACCAGTCGCTCTAGCTGATGAGGTATCGCAAAGCTTCGGACCTCGCGGTGTATTCTCACCGACCGTTCCTGGGGATTCCCCAGAGCCTGCGGCACGGGCTGGCTTCAAGCGACCCTGGCTCATCTCGGACCAGATTCGGGAAACGGCAAAGGATGAGATTGTCGAGCGAGTCTTGCGGCCCTTCTTTGACCGGTTGAGTATCTATGTGTTCGAAAGTACCTACGGAATGGAGAGCGTTGAATTCGGGGTGTGTCGGGATGATCTGTTGGCAGACCTGTTCAACGAGAGCACGATGGCGAACTGAGATTCAGCGGGGTTTTTGTATAGTTTGATGTAGATCAAAGCGCTTGTTTATTATGCATTCATTTTGCTTGACACTGAATTCTTCGACAGTACAGCCTGTTTATACCTAGATGGGTAAAGCCAGTGGTGCTCTTAGTATTTGATTGCCAGTTGTATAGTGGCATCTCCGCATCGGTAGCCTTAAAACTAGAGTTGTGAAGTATTCTAGTAATTTGCAGTCTACCTAGATCTCAAATATCATTCAAAGCATGCATGATTTGGTTGTTTGGCTGCTAGTCCATCCATCATTGTTCCTCTACTCCATCTCCTCTCGTATATAAACTCCCGCTCCCGCCGCCACCTCCGCCCAATTTCCCGCCTGTTAACGTCACCTTCACTCCAACTGCTTCGATCGCCACCATCCACTTCACAACGTAAGCTCTATCCATGCCCTGATTTAAGGTTCCTGTCTATATCAAAATCTAAATATCAAGTCAGGATGACTATGCGCACAAAGATTTTCCTCCCCCTTCGTGGACGCGCCGTCGCCCGATCTTTCTCCGTCTCCCGTCCCCGCTGGGAGGCTGCGCCGTTGCCAGCGCGTAAGCCTGTGGGAGCTTTCCGAGGAGGGTATGTATAATCTTTGATTTTTGTTTTGATATATGCTATGATACTTGATGTGTATCGTGCTATGATCTTTTCTGACGATAAGCAGACTCTTCGGTTTCCTGACCGGCGCTGTTGTTGCCGGCGCGTCCGTGTACTACTATGTGCTTGGAGACTACCGCATCTCCAACGAGATGCTGAATGATGATATTACCGTAGGTTTCAAGTCTCTCTTTTTATGGCTAAATACCTCGTTGGCAGTGGCTAATTGCGCGACCTTTGTCCTCTCCGGCATTCCCGGAAGGATGGTTGTTGCTTATACAGGCTCTTCAACATGCCACCATCAAGCTCCAGTCATATATTACGGAGCTCGAGTCCCGGATGGATCAGCTGAAGAAGAAATAGGATCTTTTTTTCACATTCGTTTTTGATCTGCTTCTGCTCTACTTGGTGATTCCATGGTGTTGAGGCGTTCATCATTGCATTAATTCGACTGCAAATTAGGCTTTTATTCATTTATTCACGTCTGTGTCTGTTCTAATTAAACGGATCATTGCAAGAAATGCATTTGCCTTGCCATAAGTCTCATTTACATTGTTGTACTCTGCTCATGCAGCTAAATGCGCATCTTGATATCAGCTTCCCCATGTTTTGAAGCTTGACCATCAAGCTCCGAGCACAGTGCAAACAAGCCAAACACCACCTTATCGCTGGCCATCCAAATCATCTTCTCCCGACTCGCCCTCGCTTTCCCCCGACTAGTCACACCCTACCCAAACCTCGATATTCCCAAAAACCATGTTCCGCGTGGAACTCCTCGCAAATTCCTCATCCCACGCGACCCCCGGCTACACCTATGTCGCCGACCGGGGCTTCGACCCCGCCAAAGCCGCCATGGCCCCGGCCCTCGGCCGCAAACGCGGAATTCACAACGCCGGCAAAGGCGGCGACATCTCCTCACGACGCGCAAACGCTATCATCCGCCACCTGGCCGAATTAGATCGCGAGAACCAGCGCGACGTGCAAATCCCCGTCCCCGCGCGGCCGGCGAAGGAAGCCGGCGCACGCGTCTCACGAACAAAAACTACCTCGAACGTGCGCCGTATTTTGGTCTCGCAGAAGACGTTTCGGAACCACCTTGATGATGAGGAGGCTGCTATTGCTGCGGGTGGTGGTGGGTTGAGTATACCGGTTGGTGCGGCGGCGGTTGCGCCTGTGATTCCGTCGAGGGTGAAGGTGGTGGCTGCTGCTGCTGCGTCACGAAGGAGTTCGACGCCAGCTTCGACCGCTGCTGCGAGGAAGAAACGTCCTTCGGCTGTAGCTGCGACAACTGCTACGCCTGCGCCGTCACAACCCGAGACTACCGATGCTGAAGTTGAAGATGATACCGCCGAACCGAAACACAAGCTCATTAAGACGGAACATGATAATGACCCTCTGCTGCGATCATATGCTCCGACTATGCCGTCAGAGCGGATTATGGATCGTCTTTTGGCGGAGCCGGCTTTGTCGTATAATGCTTCGCGTGCTGGACCACCCATCTCGACACAATTACCTCGCGCGTTTTGCTGTATGTGTGGATATTGGGGCAAGATTCGGTGTAAGAGTTGTCATTTGCGGACTTGTGGGTTGGACTGCTACAAGGTCCATGAAGATTCGAGGTGTGGTGCCTTCTTCTAATCCGAGGACGGAGGGACTTGTTTGTATACTATGGAGAAGAGAGGGCATTCTCATTCCTTTCATTTCCTTCTAATTTCACGACTTGATGATTCTTATGTCAGAAAGCAACTGTACTATAGCCAATGTACTCTTAATCATTATCGATTTTTATTTCTCGCTATAAAGTAACAAAGATGTAAGAAATATTTCTACCGTTCAACACTTCAGGTTGATACCTGCCCGCAGCTCATCCTCGCGAATCTCAAACATGACCTGTACTCCAACGAACAGCACCACACAGCATGAGATCATATATGCGACACCCGAGTACGAGCCCGTCAGGCTATTAAGCAAGTTCTGCAAGCCATCCAGTCCAAGTGCAAAGCCGACCAGATTGGCAATCATCATCATGAGTACATTGCCCACCGATCCAATGCCACTCAGGACTCGGTACGCGGTGGGCCGCGAGCGCCAGCGACTAGCTGGGAACAGCATACCGCCGACGACTTCGGGCAAAACGAAGAGCGTGATGAGCCAGCTCCACATCAACAGACGCAGGTTGATATCATGCCACAACGCAACGAAAGTAAACACCAAGAGGAAGTTGCGGATCTGTAGGAACTTGGCCATCAAGCCTGACTGGGACGGCGATGAAGATGGTTTGGATCCAGCGGGACGCCGTCCACCACCACCTCCACCGAGGGGCACGTAGATATATCGGACGATCCAGCGGTTGTAAGAGCGGTGCCATCCACGCCAGAAGGCAAAGGCAGAATAGTTGTTGGACATGCAGCGTACCATGTTCTCCGGCGGATCAATTCCGTCGAGGAGGGCCCACAGACGGAAGAAGCGCCAGGGAATGAGCAGCTTCAGCCAGATGATGTGGAGGTTGAAAAAGGCTAGCATGCTGAGTTGGCCTGGTGTGAACAGGGACCAATCGGGTGAGGCCTTGGAAATGGCTACGGCGTAGATGTAGTGGAGGATAAGCTCCATGCAGAGCAAGGTGAGGAGGAAACGGATTCCATAGAGAATGGTTCGAGTACTTGTCACTGAGGGTGCTTTGTAGCGTTGTTGTGACACGTAATCGTTGAAAGTCATAATGGGGCCAGCCAGGTACAGAGGCGAGTAGAGTACGTAGGCGATATAGTTGCGTATGCTGAACGCAGAGGGCTCGGCTGGGATTTTGACACGGTCTCGGTCAGACAGGTTCGCGGGGTCGAGCTGTTTCTTCTTGTGGAACTCAGTCAGGCATGTTCAGTTGATGCAAATGTATATCAATTCGAAGAGAGCAACTCACTTCGATCGCACTTCCTGCGGGGTATTCCAAGCTCCAATAGTGGTCCATATTGAAACTAATCAAGCGCAAGACAGTAACCTTGAAGAGGACCTCCCATCGAGGCATAATGCCTCCGAAGCTATCGAGTGCTTTCGCCCATTCAACAAGCAATGTGTGTTTCTCTCCAGGCGAGCCTGATCCTGGAGACAATATGGTTGCGATCGCTTCTAGTTGGTACCCTCCGCATAGTTCGTTGGCGAACAAGGTGGAGATATTGAAGATCCATGTAGCCGCCGGGACGTACGACCGCGGAAGACTCTTGCCAATTTTGTAGTTGATAAACAGAATCAGTAATACTTTGATGGCTGAGACGCCGTGAAGCGCGGTAACGAAGATCAATCCAAATCCGAAATCAAAGCGCATTCGTCGCTCCAGCTGCGCATCACCGGCCGCCGAGGGGTGGGCGGGCTTGGATTCAGGGCTTGAACGACTCGTAAAAGACTGATAGACTTGACGGGCAATCGGATGGGCAACAAGGAGTAACAATAGATAAGGGATGTTGTCGCGGAAGCTCGCATATTGGGCATCAGAGTTGTCCTATTGTCATTGAAGCAGCGGGTGTGAGCTATGCCTGCCTCGAGGATTATAGGTAATTTGAACTCGAAACTCACCACCAGACGGCCAGGGATCCATCCTGGTGACAGAAGATGGGAGTATGTAGGATAGATCGGGTGGGTGTCTATTCAATTTGGAGATCTGCAATTAGCATCTGTCACGCTGTCCTCCCGCAATGCCCACACATCAACCATTCACTCACCCTTCGAGGCATCCACAACAGTCTTGAACATCAACGGAACGAGTGTAATGAAAAAAAGGTAATAGACGAAGAACTCCGGCGTGCGCCAGAGGGGAGCAGGTGCATTCTGGGCAATGGCATTGGCGCGAGCATCTTTCGCGGAGGGAGGTCGCGAGTCAGCGGCAGCGTTGGCCGGAGTGGTGGCGGTGGACGTAAAACGAGTGTCGAGGGTATCGAGCGAGTAAAGGCGTCGGAGCCAGGAAAGAAGGGCAGGCATTTTATAGCAGGAGCATGGCGCACGCGATGGCCGATCGAAGTGGAGGGACTTGGAGGGATTGAGAGTACGTATGGAGTGGGTGTTTACTTAGGAGTGGCTGTGGTCTCAGGGGGGCCGAGGCACTGCCAACTGGCCACTGGATCATCTGTCCGGGAGCCAATCACAGTCGGAGAATGTCACCTCGATCTATAACTACCTCGATGCATTTGCTAAGCCTGAGTGTATACAATCAGTACAAGTTAAAAGACAAGACTATTAAGAGCATTTCTAACCGTCTGCTAATTGGAAACTATTTTCCCGTGGCGAAATTATGACTACTTTAGCATTTGCCTCGAAGTCCGTATCATTTCTTCTTTCATTGATCACAATATAACTTGACTAATTTAGAGAAACTTCAATTTCTGTGAGAGAAAAACATAGATAAGAAAGAATTGGCGCAGGGCATAGACCATCTCACAAGTGACATTGTCAAATGATCAAATATTTTGACGTCGTCAATGACTCTCATACTTCATATCCCACTCAAACTTTAGAAGTAACGGGCGTGAGGGAAGCTTGGGATCCACGACCAAGAGAAGCCAGCGTAGTCTTGCGTACGAGTCGGAGATTGAATACCAGAAGGAGCAGTGCAGTCAGACCAGCGAAAACACCCAAGGTGACCATGGCACCAATGACACCAGCAACAGCAAGACTCATTCCGTTGGAGGACGAGTCGGAGGAAGAAGTGCTTGCGGTGGAGCTAGAGCCGGAGCTGGAACTGCAAATACCGGTAGAATTTCCACAAGCCTGGCACCATTGCGACTGGGAGGTGATTGCGAACTTCTTGGTCGAGTCGACAAACTGGGTCCATGGGATCTCTGTCGCGGACTGTCCGAAGAGAGGGTAGGCTTGCAATTCAGTCGTTCCCTCGATGCTTGTTCCGTTGTGGAACAAGAATCGGACGTTAATTTCTGACACTGCGGGAATTCCCGTGCCAGGTGCGTTTGTGACGAGCTCCCAAGTCATCGACGAACCATACACAGGCATACCAGTGAAGTCGACATTGTCTGTAAGCCCGGCGAGACCGAAGTAAGCAAGGAATGTTGCATATGCGCCAAATTGAATGTTCAGCTTGGACTTGCCCCCAGAGGTGATAGTCTGATTCAGGGCCGACAGAACTTCACCGGCCAGCGTCATGCCCGCCACTGAGCGAATTGGCTCTGAGCTGTTATAAGCGAGGTTGAACTGCTGATTGTTGGCCAGGACCAAGAGCTCGTGCATCACTTCATCGGAGGGGATATTGGCAGAGGCATTGTGGATCGATGCAACATTCAGCAAGTCCCAGATGGTGAATGCATTCTTGAAACTGAGACCACTCGACGAGACGGTACCGTTGAGATTGGATGCAACAGACTCATAAAGGCTGCTTGTGCTGGCGAGCAACTCCTTGTACGAGCTCGAGTAGTAATAGTCGTTGCTGCTCACCTCTGCATTGCTACAATCGGAGGTGCTTTGGAGCCATGTGTTATCCTCGCTGTCAGTGCCAGACTTGACATCTGACAGGGGGATGAGCTGGTAGCCGCTCAAAGGAGAGTAGATGGTGGATCCATTGCGAAGAGTTTCATTTGCAGCCGAACCAATGGGTGGGTAGAGGCCCTGGAGGAAGGCTTGACCGGAGATCTGGATGACAGTGTCCTGGGGTGCGCTGGCACTGATCTGGGCCAAGTTGACCTCGCTGGAACTAATGCCATCGATATGATTCTGCGAGCTGGCTGAGATGTATCGATTATGGAAGAAATTGCCGGTCATGTATTCTTGATTATAACCAAGATCCGTCAACTTGGCAGGTGGAAGACTCTTGGGTGTGCGGTCTCCATGGCGCTGGAAGATATAAGCACCCAAAACTCTTTCTGCACTGGCAAGGTCTGCCAGAGGCAGCGAGGCAATTGCCAGTAGGGTAGTGATGATAGCCATTGTATCTCAATTGGTTCAAGATAAACAAATGCACCAATTTGAATTCACAGATCCAAATTCAATTCTAGGAAACAGCAGGTCGTCTTGTCCTATTTATCCGAATATGGTGCGGGGTAGACGGAGGACTGCACCGCACGTAGTAGTAGTATGACTATTGTCGGCGTAAGAGAGGAAGTTTAGCTCCATGTTGGATGGCCACGGCGCATTTTTACTTTGGCTTTCCGACGGTCCTGGCGCACTTGATGCAGCTTGCGATTCGCTCAATCCTCCTGCCTACGAGGTATCATACTACACTACTGGTCCCAGAGATCGGTATAAAAGACCCTACTGGATGAAAGGCTCATCGGATAGCGCGGTTTATTATCAATCTCTTATCGGGGCGGCATAGGCTATCTCTAGTCTCGATTCAATTGTTCCCTTGGGTCGTCTGGGAAAAGCTTAAGAGGGCTGGAAACTGGAGTGCCCCGCCTTCGCTCAGACCTGCTGTATCAGGCCTCTCACGGAAAAGCAATACGGCTTTTCCCTCCCTAGCTGCATGATACTAAATCTCCTAGGTAATATGATTGAGTCACGGTTAGTAGGATCAGCAGTTGGAAAGGTCAGTTCCCCGCGGAAACCCCTCAATTGAAGTCTCCGACATGCGGACAGGACAGTACCTCCTACATCTGTCGTTCGGACCTTAACTTAGATATTTTAAACAATCATGTTTCAGTGGCTTCATGCTGTGGCGTCTCTCACTATCTGTAGATTTCTCACGGGTATAAATCGGTCGTAGACTAGATCGGAGACGCTCCATGGTTTGGGCATTCAACTCATGAGTGCTTGTGTGGGTCGCAGGGCTTCGTATCAGCTTCGACAACAGGCAGGTTTCCAGAATGTGATTGACGAATCCTGTCCTTCCAACAACAACCTACCTACCAAACCTGTATCTTGGCTTCTCATAATTTTGTACAGGGTACTTTGCGCGCGACTCTAGGTTTGTTGTCAATCTTAGCTGCCATTACTCAACTGTAATCAGTTAATCAGTGGAAGCATCATGTATCTTGCTTTATGTTTGCTCTATTGTTGTCTTGTCTAATACCATTTGTTAGTATTAAATACAAGTCTATTGCTCGACTGACACGATATTTGTCTTGACGTCAGCAAAATTAAGCCGATAACACCGACAAACGTACATTGGAGTGATCGAAAGAGGTATTACTATGACTCCACTTGGACCAACTTGATTTCGGAGACCGACCGGGGGGAAATCTCAAGATCACTATCGTTGTCGTTGACCCCTCCCCGTGGCAACTTGGCAAACAAGAAGATGAGCTCGATTGCATCAAGTTGCTCCTATGCCTACTTTGGGAAACACTATTCATCCAATGGGAAGCAAGAGATTTTGACGGGTTGTCTGCCACCTCAAATAATGGACCCTAATGATCCCTGCATTCCAGAAGGGTCCAACTCTGATGCACGGACACCCGAGCCGACAGAAACGGGATCGCAGTTGAGCATATCAACCAATAGGAGTGAGGATTGACGGAATTGACATTCCTTTGACATCCCTTGATAAGCTTCATTGAACTTCAAGAGTACTGTTTTTGGAATGATTCTCGACTGTCATATCGAACGTGGGGAGACGGATCTACCGGAGCAAGGATGACCTGTCATACAATTGTCCGACCGTATATTTTTAAGTTGAGAGAGCTACTCGACAGGTGATTCCATGCACCACTTCTTCATTCAACAACAAGATAAAGTTAGGATCTACGATGTACCAGATTCTAAATGGCGTCGACAATCGCTTGAAAACAGGTTCCATATCAATGATTGGACCACCGGATCACTCGGCTGCTACTGATAGATAGTTGTGCTAGCTCGATAAGTCGTGAGGTCATTCGGGGCTCTATTCCCACAGCCGAGCGATCAAACGAGTTATTCGAGGTATTGTTCCGGTCGAATTCTTGAGGACGAACTTTCTTCCAACCTGGGGCTGGGAAGTCAATGCTTGCAAGCCATGGAAGGGTTTGTGGAATGTCCCACGGCTGATCGCCTGCATTCGAAGCCATATGGGTTCCGCGAGAAGAACTATATAACAACATGCAAAAGCCGTCCATGTTTGCACTCCATCATCATCTACTTTCTCCATTAATTACATGATTTGATCCAAGACTTTGTTCCATATCTTTTTACTATCTACTTTTGTTCATCATGGTCATGGAGATCAGTACGGAATTGGATACCAGCAACCGTCCCGATGAGTGGAAGATTGAACAGGGTATGGCTGGCCATAAGCTGCCTATCCTAGATCAAACTGGGAGCGATACCATCAATCTGTATCCTCCTCCACCGACCAAGATCATCAGAGATGAAGAAGCTATTCAGTCGGTGGGCGATCGTGCAAAGCTGTTCTCTCGAGAGCGCGTGGGTTGGAAAGGGTACGTTACTCAAGGCAATGTCGTACGACGTCATCATAGCTGACCGATGGTGCTTGGTTGTGTTTAGATACGTCGAATGGGAGAACTATCCGGAGAAAAAGGCCAAAGCCAAAAAGATCTTAGCATCCCAGACCTTCCCAGGATGCCCTGACTTCATGTTCGGTCCCATCCCCGGCACCAATCCCGTCCTGCCTGGCGATGACTTCAAAGCATGGCATGAGGCTCTGGGCGGAGAACTCACCACGGTGTCCGACGATTCCTGGCGTACGGTGCTCCGCGAGAAGCATCCCGATATGCTTCACCTCCTCCAGTTCCCCTATAACGGCGAACCCCCCAAGCGACTTGTTACTTCGAAAGCGATCACACCCAATCCACTCCACTTTGTGCGAAACCATGGTGGTATTCCTATCATCGACGAGGACAAGTTCGATCTATCGCTGGATGGCCTGGTCGCAAACCCCAAGACCTATACCCTGGACGACATTATGGACGAGTCTCGGTTCCCCCGCATGGAAAAGACCGTCACCATTCAGTGCTCGGGCACCCGCCGTATCGAACAGATTGCACTGTACGGTGGCCAGGGTGACGAAGTGCCTCAGGCTCCATGGGCCGAGGGTGCTATTGGAACCGCTCGTTATGTGGGCATCAGCTTGAAGAAACTGATCAAAGACTGTGGCGGCCTGGTCAAGCCCGCCAAACACCTCGAGCTCTACGGTGCAGAGACCTATTTCAAGGATCTCGAGGTGGGCAACTACGTTGTCAGCGTCCCGTGGTCTAAAGTCAAGGCCAACGAGGTCATTCTGGCCTGGGAGATGAACGGCGAGCCACTGCCCAGGATCCACGGCTACCCACTGCGGGTTGTCGTTCTGGGATACATTGGTGCTCGAAGCGTCAAGTGGCTGTACCGCATCAAGGCCATTGAGAATCCCTCTCGCGCCCCGGTCCAGAGCAAGGAGTATCTATACTTCAACCAACAGGTTGGCAAGTACAACCAGCGCGCGACAGACGGTATCCAGATTCAAGAGATGCCTGTCAGTTCTGCGATCATGTCGCCCTGGACCAAGCAAGCCGTCGTACACATGGGCAAGATCCGATGCAAGGGCTGGGCATACTCTGGCGGAGGTCGCTGGCCAGAGCGAGTCGAGCTTTCCGCCGATGGAGGCTTCACTTGGTACGACGTGCCGCCGGAGAAACTGTCCAAGAAGGGCCGTTGGACGTGGCGAACATGGGAATATGATTTGCCTTGTGATGTGGAAGGTTGGATCGAGATTGTTTGTCGATGCTGGGACAACTCGCTCAATACGCAGCCACTCAATATTCGTGCGGCATGGAATTGGGGCCTGCATGTTACCTCCTCGGCACATCGCATCAAGGTTTACAGTGTCAATAAGAGTCGGGAGACTACCAGGAAACGCTTGGATAAGTTTGAGCATCTTGGTATCCCACTGGCTCCTTTGACTAAGTATGATGTTGTTCCTGGTCAGACGTCAGAAGAGTATGAGCAATACTGGCGGGATCATGATCCTCGCGATGTCGATGATTGATTTGATTTGGACAAAAGCTTCTTTTTTTATGTGCCTGTATTCATTTGGCTTTCTTGTCAAAGAGAAATTGTACTTAGTATTACTGCCTACAGATTGATTATAACTCACTTAATTTATATTTGACCACATTGTTTACACTTTTATCAAGCCTTGAGCTAGCTTGAAATTCGATCTTGATGCTCATACCCATCTCTTGAAGCTTTCTCCCGACCGAAAAGAATAGTCCAGAACTTATCGAATCACCGAAAATAGGACAAAGAAATTTCTAAGATACATCGGAGAACAGAAAAAAACCCTTGTAATCGTCGGTGTGGAGGAGCTGTGAGATTAGATCAGCACTCAGCGCCGAGCATTTCCCCGGAACCTACCATCTCCCTCAACAACCTCCTCCTCGCCACTCCACACATACCAACACAAACAAACATTCAAATATGACCAGCAAGAGGGTACGTATTATTCTACTCCCACCCGCTCAGAAGACCCTCTTTCCCATGACAGTCGGTCTTCATGTGCCATAAGAAAATTGCCCATTTGGCCCCGCAGAGCTGACCCGATTCTAGATCGCATTCAAGGTCCACGGGACCGTACAAGGTAAGACAGCCCAGCCCGCCTTACAGCATCATCTTACCATCAGATCTTCTTACCTACATAAGAATTATCAAAAAACACAAAGAATCTCATGCTAACCTCAACGCCCAGGTGTCGGCTTCCGGTAAGGACGACATATTCCCATCGGGGTATGACATCATGTCTCAAACAACCGACGAACTAATCGCAGCCACGCTTGATATTTCACAGAGACTTTACCCAAAAATGTGCGACTAGCCACGGCTTGAAAGGCTGGGTTCGAAACACTACTTGTGGAAGAGTAAGCGGACTCTCGATTTAGCTGCAGAGGTATAGCTCTGGGCTGATTTCAATTCCTTGTTCAGGTCGAGGGAGAAGTTCAGGGTGAGGAACAGACAGTACAAAAGTTGCTGCAGCAGATTGATAAAGGTCCGCGGCATGCCCATGTTGTGAAGCTGGAGAAGAAAGAGTTGGAGCTTCAAGAGGGTGAGGATCAGTTTTTGGTGATGCGGACTGCCGAGTCGATGTTTCACTCCGGGGCTTAAAGATGATGAATGGAAGGTGTAGCGGCCTCGTTGGTCGCTATATTCCATTTCTTCGTCCTTTGGCGAAATGCTTTCAAGTCAAAGCAATAATCAACTACTTAAGAATGTTGCTCATGGTGCAGTTTTGGTCTAGCCGCCATCTTGCCCACCAAAGACTTTGATATGTTTTAACGAGAACCACGAAATTTCCAGAATTTAATTATCGGGCATTTTCTCATTAAGACTAGGATTGAAGGGTCTCATAAATTGATCTCTGAAGCATCTGGAGTCAAAGACGGACTTAAACACTCCAACCAATCTGTTGGCATCTATTTCAAGTGTGGACTATATATACATCAGGCCAGCCGCTATACATCTCCACCCTGAGCAACAATGAGCAAAATATCGGCGAGCACCGGGGCCTTAGATTTCTTTTCATAGCTCGTGACCAAGATCTCTTCCCAATTCCTCCCCGGTGAGATCGCGCTTCACAGAATTCAAGATCCCGAGTAGCAGACGCCGGGCTCCTGCTGGCCATCCCGAGAATTTCTCGGGAGGCCGTGACTCAGTGCCTGACGGGCAGGGCGGAAACGTGGCCACCCCCGACTCCTCCCGAAGTCACCTGCCTCGCCCAAAGGCCCAGTCTGACGGTAATCGGGTGACAGACGGGTATTCAGGCCAGAGTAAAGACACAACTGCATGGATAATGGGAAGCTTGTTGATTTTGCTTCTTGTTCGTATCGTGTCGTCTGGGGTCGTATTTGCCAGATATCAGGTCTGATGGCCTGTCATCAGAGGTGCAGGGCAGACGATCGCCAAAGTGGGGAGTGTTCTGGTATTGTCGCGTTAACGGGCGATCGACGCCATCGTATGGCCCGCCAATGAGCATGGGCAAATGTCATCATAATTTCAGGCACACCCCTGTCCCGTTCCAGATTTGAAAGGTGTAGATTTGGTTAGTATTTGGTTAGTATTGGTGATTTTTTCCAGCGGCTTTTGCTCGGGCTTCGTATTCTCTCGGGCTTTCGGTCTTGAGTGAGTCGCGAGGTGTATAAAAAGCAATGCTGACGCTGCGTATACTTCGTTTTCATCCTTCACAAACTCGGAACTACAACCAACAAACAATCCCATCCAGTATTGAATATCAACTACACATCTGATCGTCATCACACACACTACCGGCTTGTCTATGATGGCTTCACTATCAACATTCTCGACGACAGTACCCTTACGGGTTGCTGCACGACCGCAGACTTACCTCTTCCTGGCTGTACGCACCTACTCCGGGGTCGCAGCCTCGACAATCAACTCTTCATGTCTCGCCAGACAACGCGCGTCACCCTTGACTTACACTCCTAAACGCCTGATCTCCTCAACACCTCAACCTCAGATCAAAGAGTTCTTCCCACCCCCCGCCAATCCAGCAGTGAAAGAAGTGGCCTCGGCATGGTCGCATCCGATGTAAGCAAGACAGACCCCGCATACTAATCTCGAATACGAGCTGATCCGAACACCCACAGATACACGGAAGCGCAAATGAACAATGTGAGGGTTGCACACCGCGAAGCCACCGATTGGTCTGATTGGGTCGCCCTGGGCACCGTCCGTTTCTTCCGGTGGGGAATGGACTGGGTAACGGGATACAAACACCCGCAGCCCGGGCAGGAAATATCGGAGAAGTTCAAGATGACGGAGCAGAAATGGTTGACTCGCTTCATCTTCCTGGAGAGCGTGGCGGGTGTGCCTGGAATGGTGGGTGGTATGCTGAGGCACTTGAGAAGTCTACGACGCATGAAGCGCGACAATGGATGGTACGTGGCCCAGAGAGTGAACCCAGGCCTGGAAAGATATACTAACATTCTACTCTTTCCCACAGGATCGAGACTCTCCTCGAAGAAGCATTCAACGAGCGAATGCACCTGCTCACCTTCCTCAAACTGGCCGAGCCAGGCTGGTTCATGCGTCTGATGGTCCTCGGCGCCCAGGGTGTCTTCTTCAATGGCTTCTTCCTGTCGTACCTCATTTCCCCACGGATCTGCCACCGCTTCGTGGGCTATCTGGAAGAAGAGGCCGTGTTGACATACACGCGGGCCATCAAGGAACTGGAAGATGGACATCTACCCGAATGGGAAAGTCTCAAAGCACCCGAGATTGCCGTGAACTACTGGCAGATGCCCGAGGATCAACGCACGATGAAGGACCTGCTGCTGTATATTCGTGCCGATGAAGCCAAGCACCGCGAGGTCAACCATACACTGTCAAACCTAGACCAGGCGGCGGATCCTAACCCCTACCAGACGGAGTATCAGGACCTGAGCAAGGATCATCCGACCAAAGGAATTGATAATCTGAAGGCGACGGGCTGGGAGCGAAAGGACATCTTTTAGATGAAAAGACAGGCGTTTCGATCAATGGGGGTTTTTGTCTTTTGGCAACGGCGTTGGCGGGGAATTAAGTCACCTCTTCTCTCTCTTGGCATAGAATCATGAATCATGAAATAATATTCCTTTGTCTAACATTCCTTCCATCGAATCATTGGATCGTCCACCCACCATGTGTCTTCGGTTGGAACGCGGGACGCGGGGCTCCGCTAAACCCAACTGGGAAATGCAGCAACACGTTCGGGTTCGGGTCGTTATACAAGAAATTAGTTTGTAAAAACTTAATCATGTTGTACATACTGGAGGAGGAGTTGTTCAATCTATTCTACAAATTGGGTATAGTGCATGCTTATATCGTTTTATGACTTATGTACATAGAGTGTGTTGGGCGGGGGGTCTATGTATTGGGCACTTATCCTCATAGGGGGGTCATGGTCATGTACACCACTGCTTGATAGTTGCAGATTTAAAGGCAAATTGACTTGAATTCTTTAACGGTCAATTTCAGTCTGTGTGAGTGTGGCTAGACTAAACTGACCCGCTTTAACCCCCCCCCTCCTTTCGCCCTTGAATTCCACCGTTTTGACTGTTTTTACTTGTGCTTAATTTTAGCCCTGGGCCCTCACCAATTACACCGTTGGTTAGTCGGCACCACCCCTTTTATCCCAAAAAAGCCTCTCGGCCGGCGATCCTACACGTTCTCATTAAACCTCCGTTCAATCTGGTCTCTTCCGTTGGCCCTCCGACCGGAGACCACAGGGCTCAACTCTCTTTGTCTTTTATCGACTGTACGATTCTCGATTTCAGCTTTGTTACACTTCACCATCCGATCGTGCTATTCCCAGAGTGAACGGCTACAACCCCTCCCGACAGAGCACATGTCAACAATCGCCGATCGAGCGATTGACCATTGAGACACCCCCGGGCCTGGTGCGACGACAGTTGCGGTTTCAGAATTCTTTCGGCCACCTCGCAAGTCATGGAGGAACCACAGTCTATGGACGGAGCCCTGTCATTGCCCGTCCGCGCCTCCTCACCATCGCCGTCGGTTCCCGCAACGCCTGCCATTTCTTCATACTCCTCCCCGGACCGCACCTTCTCCTCCGTTTCCTCCCACTCCGCCTCATCTGCGACCTCGGCCGATGCTCGCTCCACGATTTCAACTTCGTCCCGCAGACATGGATACGTGCGCGCCTGCGGAGCCGAATTCGCGGACTCGGCGCGGCATCGCGACAGCGTCATGAGTCTGGGTAGTATCGCCCACCTACAGTACTACTTTGCCCGCACGGGCCTGTTGGACGGAAAGACAGGCCGAGGCAAGGAGTTTAAGAAGAAGAATAGGGGTAATGTGCCGCGGGTGTTGATCACGCCGAACGAGCAGCATATTGAGAATTTGGTGGCCAGTCCGACGGAGATGGTGGACGAGGCGGGGGACGAGGCTGGTTTTGAGGATGAGGAGGGGGAGGTGATGCTGCCCCCCACCGTTAGTACATACAGCATTAAAACACACCATGTCCCTCCCCCGCCTGACGTGGTCTCTCTACGCCGGGATTTACAAGTCGCACTGGACCGAGCCGAGAGTAATATCGAGGCTATCGAGAATGGTGTGGAACCACCGCCTCGCGCACCAATACGGACCAGTCTCTCGCCCGGTGATATCATCGAGGGTTCAGACGATGATACCGCGCGAGACGTGCCATCCCCGCAGACCAAGGAAGAAGCACAGGGCATGTGTATTCTGGATGATGTGACGATGGCTATCCGCGCCGCCAAGATCTACTACACGGCCCACCCACTTCCGGAACGCCTGGGCTCGATTAAGAGTGAACGCGACATTCGCAAGGATTTGTTACATGTCCTCGATGTGCTGAAACGCTGGGCGGCACGACACTTTGCCATGGGCCTCCGCGACGAAGAACGGGATGTGATCAAGGGGTGGATTGCGGGTGTCCGCACCATGCTCGTCCGGGAGAAAACCCTGGAGGATCTGGAGGCTCAAGAGCGAGAGAATTGGGACTGGGCCCGTGGTGACTGGGCGGGACGGGAGCGAGCTCGTGAGGAGTCTTTCCTCCGCAGCCTCATGCCCGGTGGTCATACATTGCCCGAATGGACCGCCATCGATGATACGCCGTTGGACTCTCTCCCTTCCCCGTTCCTGGAGCGTTTCCGAGATGGCCGCATCTTGGTCCAGTTACACAACATCGCGGTCAAAAAGTCGAAACGCCACTTTGGCGAGATCAAAGCGTACCACCAGGACATCGCCAAACCCTATCGTCAAGCGGAGAATCTGCGATTCTGGCTCAAAGCTGCCGAGTTGCGGTGGGAGATGCGGAAGCAGGTGGATGTGATGGGCGTTGTTCAGAACACTAGCGAAGTGGCCTGGAGGCAATTCGACGCCGCACTGTTGGCCTGGTGCAAGACAGTACGCGAGGAGCTGGTCCGAGATTGGATGGAGGCTAATCCAGGACGGCCCCCGAGTGCTGGTCTAATTTGAACGAGGTGGAGGAAGAGTTTACATGTTGCATTTCGGCTTTGACTTATTGTTGTTAGTTTTTGTTTACCCCCCCAAGGGCACTTGGCTAGATACCCCTGAATTGTCTCCGACAGCTTCTGCCCATTTCCGCATTTGGTGTTGGTTATTGGTTTGATTTTTGTCATTTCTCCGATTGTTGGTTTAGTTCGGAACTTCGCTGCATATTATTTTTGGATCATGTTTGAGTAGAGTACAGAGGAAGAAGGCTATGAGATATGGGATAATAATATCTTTAATGGACAATGGTCTTGATCATGCTCTTATAAACTTGTACATTTGTATACTGAAGGACTCTTTTCTTGGAGGAGTGGAGCCTCTGCATCCATGCGCAGGCAGTGACAAATTCGCAGTTCTGTAGGGGAGTTCATCGAGACCAAACCGTGGATGGGACGAGAGGAGTACCTTGGTTACGGCGGCTGTTCCTGATTTCCAAAGGTTTCGATTATTTACCCTATTAGCACATGGTGTTGGAATTGTTAATAAACAATGCAGTGGTATCTACGCTCAATAGCAAGTCATTATCATCCAGCCTTCTTTGATCCAACCCCGAGATACTCTTCCTTTATCACGGGCCTCGAGCTGCTCATTTCTTTCCGTGAATGTCCGCTTTGACGCTAGGGCACATGGGCGCTGATCCGAGCGCCCCTTGAAATGAATTGTAACTCCTTTTTTTGAACCGTTAAGATGGTCATTGGAGGTGACTGATTCGCCTAAGGGAGCTTGGGGGATTCTGTACACGAACGTGGAGAAGGAGATTATCCAGATCTACGGAATATCAATGAGAGGATCCATCGCGTGTAGCTCTGATTCATTTACAAGTAATCCATCTATGGTTCATTTGGCTCAGCTTTATTATGCAGCCGAGACAAGACCAGCCAGTACTGTATGATTTCATCTGATCATCCAATGCCGATCCCTTGACTATGAAGAAAACTAAAAGAGACACTCCCCCAAACTCATGCATTTAATTACATACCGAGGAGACACAGAGGGAGAGGTACTTAGACCCGCATAGTCATCTTGGTGGAACCCCAAGTACCCTCTTTCTGCGTCAACGCCCATCCCGGCCACTTCATCCCTCGTTTCTCTTGTCTCAAGCACATTGCTGCCCAATATTTATCTGCATCTTATACCCAGATAGCTTTGTGGTCCTCATCTTTGACAATATCCCAACGAGAACCATAAAAATGGCCATGTAGCCCCCCGATTTTCCAACCTACTAATTATCAACTGCCGCCGTGAGAAGGGGGAAACCCGTCCCACCTTTAAGTCCTTTGGAACTCCCTTTACCGAACGAGAACGAAGCATTCCTGGTCCATCCCTACCTAAATTACCGACACTTTTCTCTCTTTTCTGGCTCCTTTCAAGCTTGTCCTCCTACCCATGCATGCCACAGTCGACGGCCCAACTCCCTCTGCGACTGACATCGCGCCGTCTGCCAGCGTGTCCGTTACGTCCGCCTCTCCTCCGCCCCCCGCGGTGTCCGGCTCACCAAATGACCCCGGTCCCTCCCCTCTCCGCCGCTTGAAGTCCAAGTCCTCCCTCTGGAGTCTCGGCAGCAGCAACCATAGCGGTCACGAAGACGATCTCACCCCAGCGGAGCCCTCCAGCGCCGAAAAGGCTGCCGGTAAACCGGGCATCTTCCGTCGCTTGTCGCCCGCCCTCGCGGCCCGCGTGAAGCTGCTTGACGGTACTAGCAAGGTGACCAGCGCGCCTCGGGATCCTAAAAACGTCGGTCGGATACCGGAACACCAGCTGAAGGAGCTGGACAGTCAACACCAGGACTTGTCCATTAAGGTTGAGAGGCGAGGACAGGCGTGGGCTGGCCCAATACCTACCTCCCCAGATCAACGACCACAATACTTCAAGCGGAGCGCGTCGAACAGGCTTGAGATTCCCGGTCAGGACTTTGTACTACGCGCGACCGAGGCAGACGCGCAAGGGGAGGATTACGCCGACGCGATCGTTGACGGACCAGAGCCCCCCGCTCTGGCTGCTGCTCGCGAACCGGTGCCTGTCCCTGACGCTCAGAGCAGCCCTCCGCCGACAACACCACCCATGTCTGTGGCAGAGCCTGTGCCCGCGCCGCTGCGCGTAGAGCCTGTTTCCGAAACCGAACCACCCCTACCCAACAACACAGCCCAAGATACACGGACGGACTTTGAGAAATATGTCGAAGACACGAAACGCAGCGCTGAGCAATCAGCAGAGGCCGCTCCAGCGCCTCCGCCAAAGGACTCTCCACCTAACTACACGATCGCCTCGTCATCTAACTCACAGTCATATTTCAACCCCATGGGCTTGCAGCGCGCCGAATCAATATACTCCTTCTCCCGTGCCTCGTTCAGCAACCAACTGTCCCAGCTCACGTCTATTCCTCTGCCGCAGCCGGGAGCGCTCGAAACTAGTATAGGAAATATTCCCACGTCCCTCGCGGCGGTGCGCGCGTTGAACGGTGCGGCAGAGCAGATCCAGATTTGGATAAGAAAGGCGTCAGATGTGCTCAGTGGGCTGGACTCCGAGGATGACGTGGAGTGGGCGGCCGCTGGTGGGCGAGAAGGTCTTGATGGGGTCGATAAAGCGATCACTCGCTTTGAGTCTTTGGTGAATGTCTACGTGAAGGCAATCGAGAACGTGCAACTTCGAGACGACATCGCCAATGTCGATACGGAGAGCTTGAAGACGATCGTCAGCCAGATGGAAAGCATTTTGCAGAACTGGGCTCAGATTAAGAACAAATTGCGGGGTGTGAAAGAGCAAGTGGAGTTGGCGATGGAGTGGGAGGAACTTTGGTCCAACGTGTTGGGTGATGTGGGTATGGAGATTGACAATCTCAGCGGGATGATTTTCGAGATGGAGGAGAAACGACACCATACTTTGATGGATACCGGCGATTCCACGGGTGGTCTTGATATCAATGAGCTCGAAACTATTGTGGAGGAATCTCCGACCAAGGGCCGGTCCCCTGCTACTAACCGCCTGAGTATGCTTGCGGCAGCATCCGGTACGCCCGTGATCAAGACTCCGCAGGACGACTCCAGCTACTCCAATCTGATGGCCTTGTTTGCGCGCATGCAGCCGCTCCGTGCGTCGTTAGATTTCTTGCCCATGAGACTCTCCATGTTCCAATCGCGGGCCGAGGGTGTCTTCCCCAGTGCATGCGAGGAGCTTGATGACCGACGAACCCGGCTGGAGAAGAGCTACAAGGTTCTTGAAACGGATGCCGAAGCGTTGCGAAAGGAGCTGGGTGAGGACAAGTGGATCATTGTGTTTCGCAACGCGGGCAGCCAGGCACAGAAGATGTTTGAATCGGTCGAACGGAGTATTTCCAAGCTGCAGGAAGGATTGGAGTCCAACGCGCAGGTACTCAACCCGGGCAATATGACGAAGCGGATCGAGAATTACGAGGCCAAGAAGATGCACTATGTGCCTGCTATTGAGCGGGTCATTTCTATCATTCAAAAGGGCGTCAACGACCGTTTGACTGTGAACGGTGAGGTGCTACGGCTTTTGTCGGACATGACCTCGCGGACAGATGCTCTCAAAGCTAGTCTCCGGGTGATGGATGCTTCTCTCGAGGATGTGCATATCGTCAAGGGCCAGCAATTACGTGACTCCATCTCCAGTATCATCACCATGGATAGCCCAGCTACGGGCAGTGCGATTGATACGCCGGGGAGCTCGCCTGCTTCGTCGGTTGTCATGAGCGGCAGTGGATACAAGACACCCATGGGAAGCTCAAGTCGTCGCGAAAGCTCGGTTGGGAGTGCCACGACGCGCTCGACCATGTCAAAGGTCCGTCGGTTGTCTGGTTTGCCGCAGGTAACTGCCACTATGACTGGACGCAAGTCGTCTATCCCCAAGCCAACAGCGCCTGTCACTCCCACGCCAGCGACCCGCAAGACCTCGCATATCCCACAACCATCAACCATCCCGAACCGCCCTCGCTGGAACGCCAGTACCAACTTGAACGATCTCCATTCAAGCTCTGGATACCTGAGCACCACAACCCCGAGCACCTCAATGAAAAGCTCTGCTCCCGCGTTGTACGGCCGTCCATCATCGACCGTGCCTTTCCGACGAGACATGTCTGCCTCTCCTGCACCAGGCGCTGGCCGCTCACTCAGCCGTCTATCCAACCGACTGGCATCATCATCCCGCAGTCCGAACCGCAATGTGTCATCCCCCACTCCTCCCCGATCTTCACTGCTGGATCCTCCACCTTATAGTCGACTCCGCAGACCCTCTGGCCTGTCTGCCACTCCTCGCAGCCGGCAGAGCTTCGCCGGTACGGGCTTGTCTTTCAGTCGCAGTGTTTCAGGGCCTGGCCATGACCCACGGGAGAGTCCCAGCAAGTCGGCGCGCCCAGGTACGGCCCTCGGCCATTCCGGTAGTCGCCGGACTAGTCTCCTGCCCTTGCCCAAACGATCTGATAAAGGCCCGGCCTCGCAGGCAAAGTTGGATACCCGGCCACGATGGAGAGCATAATTCTCTTTCTCCATTATAAACTCCGTTCCCACCTCTTATACGTCTCATCTCGTCTTCCAATCCGCCCAATCCTCTATACCCTAAATATCTCTCCACCTTCCTCCCCTATTCCTCCCTGATCTCTTTCCATTCAGTCCCATTGTCTTATTTTTGGTTTTTTTTTGTGCATTGTGCCCCTGCCCCCGCACCACCCAGTCAGTCTCTCTCCCTATATACTGATACTGATACTGAGCGGGGCGGGCCCGGCGCCATGATCTTGAGGATTAGGTTTTGCGTGCGTGATATCCCCATTGTTGCATGGTACGGTCTGAGCGTTGGGTTCTATCTTACTATTGTTCTCTATCTTGTTTTTTTTTTTCTATAACTTGTGGTTGCCGTTGTTCGATGATCGATAAGGTTCCTTTTCCTTGATATTCCATCCGTGTGAATATCATCTACTGTAATTCTATTCTATGCCTTGGTGTTGTAGGTAATGGATGTCGGTTTAAACTTATAGTCTAGGAAATTGATACACAAGTCTGACTTCAGCATAGTTTCTTGAACTTCTCTTGATATTTGCATTTATACTTGTCATCATTGATTTTGACAATGTCCACACTCTCTACATGCACTATTTTCAAGACCTTTTTCTTCCTTCTTACAATACAAATGACACAACCCTTTCTATTTCGAATTCCCCAATTCCCGTCCAAAAATCAACGCATCCACCAACTCCTCGCTATTAGCCAGACGCGCCGCCTTAGGAACCCGTCCAATAACGCTGAACCCAAGTCTCTCCCAGATACGGATGGAAGCAGGGTTATTAGCGAAAACCAAGTTGAAGACGGAGTATTTGTATCCCTGCCGGACAAAGATTAGTTATCTGTGAGATTCGGTATTGTTAATGGGATCAATCATACCAGCTTCGGTGCAAAGTCCAAATAAGCTTCGCCCATCTGCTGGCCAACACCCTTCCCGCGTGCTGCGGATATAGTCAGGAATCCCGCGTTGCAAATATGCGAGCAACGACCTAGAATAATCAGTATAAACCCTAATTATCTCAAACCTGGTAATATGATAACCAAGTCTTCTTCCGAGGATCTGACTTCGAACTTACCAGGATAATTCGGCTTAATATAAAAAGTCCCCAAACAAACCTTCTCCCACTCCCTCCCCTCCTTCAACCCGTCCTCACCAGCTGCACCATCCTCATCAAGAACAGCCACAACAGCAAAAGTCCCAAACCAATACTCCGCAAAAGCCTCCAATCCCATCGCACTCTCCATGGGATACGTACTCCCCCGCTCAATCTCCGCGCTGAACTCCGCGTGCAAGAACTTGACTAGATCCTGGGGGATACTTGAGGATCCGCCTGTGATGGGGTAGAGAGTCACTGGCGCATTGGATGCTTTGGGGATTGTGCTTTGTCGCGGTGTTAGTGTAGCTGCGGCGGTGGTGTGTGCTGGTGGTGGGGGGATGCGAGTGGAGGGGTCTTCTAGTATGGCGGGCATTTTGGATGGTCCAAGATTTGTGAGGAATGTTATGGGGGTTGGGTATTTGGATTGTATGTAAGAAGGTAACTGGGTATTGGATGTGCAAGATGGCTTATTTTATGTGCAGACTGGGGCAATTGTCAAGTGAAGGGCGTAGGTTGGGATGTATAAAATCGGCTTTTCCTTGCCGACTTCGGCTGCAAAGCCGAGATTGAATTATGTAATGACATCTGAGTGTTTGATTGGTCCAACACGGACAGGCATGTGCATCTTTCTTGGTGTAAATCGCCGTGGTTCTTCTAAATCTCATAGCTTTCCAGAAGGAGATTTTGATGTTCAGTATGGGTCTCGTAGAAACCTAAAATTCTATTTATTCAGTCTTGTATCGAGAGAAGGTACTCACCTGGCTTCGTGTCTCATTGGATATGTATGTTTCAATAGAATCACCGCTTCAGAATATAGACCCATCGCTGAAGTCGAAGTAAGTGTGAGCTACCTTAAGTGCGGTATTTAGATAAGAAACTCATGTGAAAATGCTGCTTCGCTAACTCATAAATATAGTACAAATAAGGTTGCAGGGCCAAGCATCGAGTAATGCATGTCCCGATGGACTGTCAAGTGTTCTCCAAATGTCCCAGTCAATCAATACTGCACAAGACATAGTAGATCAAAGTTATCCAGATTCCAAGTTGCAATTGAACCGGGTCTGGGCAAGACCCTTGGTTCAATTGTACAAAGAATTAAGTTGAGTCCAACCGTGCCTGGTTCCTCAAGATCGGCCTCAAGTCCTTCAACAGCGCGATATTGTTTCATTCGAGCAAGTTATTGGTTCTCACCTTCGCTGTCGGGGTTTTTGATAGCCTGCATCAACTCAAATAGTTGACCGATTTGTTGGTCTGTAGTAAGGTACATGTTAGTAACATCAACTAATCAGTCAACCAGCCAAGAACCATACCATTCAGCTTGTCCAATTTGGACTTATCCAGTTTTTCTCCAGCCCAGTTATCACCCTCCAATTTTTGTGCGTAGAGTTGCCACTCCGTCAAGAACCCGATCTGCAATTGTCCAAGTCAGTCACAGTCCGCAAAGCCGAGTGTACCCTCCCCCTCAATCCCTTCATCCCCATGCCATGCCACGCCAATAAAAAAATCCCACAAAACCTACAATATGCAATGGGTTCTCCGCAGTCTTATGCGCCCGGAACTCCTTCTTCACGTATGAGTCGCCCAAAATGCGCAGCTCCGGGTCAAGCTTGCGATGCACGCGCAGGATGCGCCGGTAGAGCTGCAGCGGGGGGAGGAGGGCGAGGGCTTCGCTGAGGCTGGATTTGGAGCCGATTGAGGCCGGCGTGGCCATGAGGAGACGGTGTGCGAGACGCATGATTGCTGTTGTCGAGGTTTAAAGAAGAAGAAATGACATAATTTCCTGGGGAACCGGTTGGAGAAGCCGAAAGGCGGCGAGGCGGCGGAGCGAATCGGTGGGTCGGTTGGGCCGAGCGGCTTTGAGCTTTTCCTTCAGTGCGATACTGCAACTTGATCTCAGTCAACAACATTTAATTCGGAAGTGGCAGCTTGACGTGAAAATATTGAGGGGTAATTGTTCTGGTCTGCTCGACTGCCGCCAAAATTGGGATCATTGGTCCGACTAGCGCCGAAAAATCGAGGAAGAATTGCAGACAACTGCGATCAATTCGGATCCCAGAAGTGCAAGACAGAAATTTATAAAAGAGCTTCAGAAGCATCAGAAAGTTCAGATATTGTTGGAAAGATGCTCCCTACGCCGGACACCTCGCATGTCTCCTTTGACACTATCTATGAGCCTGCCGAAGACTCATACCTCTTCCTCGACACACTCTCTTCAGCATCCGAGTCCAAATGGTTATCTGAACGCTTCAAAAAATCAACCAGAACTTCATCAGATTCATCCAATGCAGTACCACTGGTTGTTGAGGCAGGCACCGGCTCTGGTGTGGTCTTAGCCTTCGCAGCAGCGCAATCCCAACACATCTTTGGACGCCAGGACATCCTCACATTGGGCATAGATGTGAACCGCAATGCTTGCATAGCGACCCGAGAGACAGTATCAGCAGCTATCAAGACAGTGCAGAAAGACACAGAAACCTCTGCCGTGGACCAAATTCTAAACACGATCCACATCTCTTCCATAACAAGTGACCTCTGCACGGCACTGCGTCCTGGAAGCGTTGACGTCCTTTTATTCAACCCGCCTTATGTTCCAACAGAAGAGCTGCCTCGTCTGCCTACAGAATCTGAAAATGATCCTACAAAATCACAAGCCATGCCTCGCTCTGCCAAGTTCGAGAGTGACTCGTACTTCTTGTCCCTGACGTATGCGGGTGGTGCGGATGGCATGGAGACGACGAATCGGTTACTCGAGGCTATCCCTGGCGTTTTGTCTGATCGTGGAGTGGCATATGTGCTTCTTTGCAAGCAGAATCGACCGGATGAGGTCAAGGAGCGGATTCGTGCTTGGGGTGGATGGAATGCAGAGAGTGTTGGGTCGAGTGGTATGCAGGCCGGATGGGAAAAGCTAGTCATTGTTCGGATATGGAAGCAGGAAGTCCAATGAAATTAGGAATTCGAAGTATATAGAAAGAGTTGAACATGAATTTGGGATTTTGCGCTTCCTATTGGTTCCTAACTGTGCCTACTGGCGTGGACATCAAACGGAAATTCTACATTATCAATCTCATATGAAGGGGTCATACTGACTACAGACTATGATGTTCACCACAAGCAATCTTGTCAGCTTACCATTTTCAAAGTAAAACTAGCATGTCGAGCAGAAAGAAATGCAGAAGTGGTCTGTTTCGACAAACTCGGGGCCATACTCCCTGGTGACCTTGCCAGATATGCAGGGCTCACGGCAGAGCCCGGATCTGCAGGCTTACCTTGCATCACCTCATCACCGGCTCGTTTCAGTTACTGATCTGGATGTAGCCGGCCCCCAGGGCCACATGCCCCGGAATACTCTGGAATGATTCATGAACCCCCGGCTTGGCTGTGTTTTCACAAGCTATTAATGCCCGATGATTGTATACAACTCGGCAATTCTAAACATAGAATCGTGAAACAAACCGGCTTTTGACGATTTAAAATCGCCACTTTACTTTTGATTCACTTTTGTGGGGGGATCTATACATAATAATCTTATTTGTTTTAGTTGTGCCCACACAAAGTCTAACAGGACTAAAAGGTTCCTTCCGTCTTGATAGTCGGTATTGTTATATATTCATTTGTTTTATTTTCGTTAATTGAGAGGATTGACGAACTGAGTCCCCTAATTATGTACTTTCAATAAAGCATAATTTGTCAATCTGACATAAGGCCAAGAGGTGACTAGTGGATGCCACTGGATGGAGGTTCGCTTGACAAACACATCGAGGGGATCCAGCAGGTCCACAGGTTCAGTAAGTACTATGTGTTCACCTTTAATTGATGAATAATAAAAGAGCAATATTTATTCACATACTTGTCCGAGACTGGGTCAAAACGGTCAAGCAGGGCTCTTGTTCCTAACTTCCTGGCCCCTGGACCCTCGGTAACCTCGTGGCTCCTCGGGCAAAGCCCCCGGACAACTTCCTTAAGAGTTCAAGAAATAATGGCTCAGACTACGTGGCATACCTAGCGTCGCCCCCGCATTGAGTAACCCTGGGGCGTGTCAAATCGGCAGCTTCGTAACGATCTAGTACAGTCGAGTTAGCGTAAAGTTTACGCCGAAACTTGAAAGATTGTGCACGTCAGACGGGACATGACTCGCAACGCAGATCTCATAGGTAGATAGACTGTCTAATATGAAACACCCAGGAATGGCCCCTATGGCTTATGTGTCCTGAAGGGGATGGAGCCAAGTCGAGCATACGAGCACAATATGATACCTGTATAGAAGAACACAAGGCCATCCCACCTGTCAGTGTCAGTAGATAGGCGCGGGAATCCCCCTGAAGGGCGCTAACTTTTACCTTCTTTGGCCAAACTTCGAAGCGAAAATACGAGAGGTGAGCATGGTGAGACACAGGCGAATGAACTACTCCACCCGTCCGTCCACATGGGGATTGACCACAAGGTTTGCGGGAGTGCGATCTTCACACGTCAGCAGAAAGCCTGACGCGCAAACTTTCAAACTCTCGATGCATGCCCCTTTCGAACCTAAGCCATTGCGGCCGTTGCGGCCGCATATTACGGACAATCCCTCGGATTCTGAGTGATGAATTGCATTGGTTCATTTCCAGCCAGTATCTCCACTGCACTCATTCGGGATCAAAAGGCTTCCCGGACGGACCCTTGACTGCAATTTGGGACGGCAGCAGCCTTGTTGATCCGATCTTGCACAAGGCATCACTAATAACAGAAGTCCAACAGTCTGGTTCTAAGATTGGCAAAGCCAAAAACAATTCGCTCTCTAGATGAGGGGGTCAGCAAAAGATGATCTTGGGGTCCCAATTCCTGCCTTGCGGCCAAGGCTGTCAGTTCTGTTGTCCACATGCCGCAGCCTGCCAGAGAGTGGGATAGGAAATCGTTCGTAATTGGTGCTAAGTCGTTGTAATTCATGCCAGGTCGTGAGGAAAGATACCTCAGTCCATACACTTTCACATGGTAGCCCGATCAGGTATGGGCATAACACATGTTCATTCGCTGAATGATTATCAGGAGATGACAGCCACCAGTTCCAGTTAGTTCACATTGGAAGGCCATATTTCAAGCTAACAACTCATATCATGCTCAGGATAACATAATTCGGGGATGCCGTACGTCACCTCGGGCAACCCTCGAGCTCTTGGTCCCGAGTTGATCCTGGGAGCATATAGCATACTCTGCAATTTGCAATGAACCATAGTCAAATTCATCCATTAAGCCAAGACCACAGATCAAATAAAGACAAATTCTATAAGAATTAGGAATATAGAACATCTCGCAGCTATTTACCTCTTCCAGAGCTTGGCCAGGTCCGCTTATCGATCGATAGACAAAAGCTTGAACGCCTATTCAATTTGCCTTCCGCCCCTTGTCCCTCCCGTACGTGTATCTGAGCGAGGGTGCTCAGACAGAAAGTACACTGGTGAGCTTTCATCTACTTGCTCAATTGGTACTAGAGGGCTTTTGCTTTTCTAGGGCACGTCCTTTCTTACTCATCCTTATTAGCAGCTTCTGGCATTCAACTTCCACATTAGCCTTTCACTGTAGAAACCGCCATGGAATATGGTCCCTTAGTTTCTTGAATTACGCAAGCCAGCTTACTAGGCGGGTGCTTTAGAAAAGGGGTTGTTCAATAGACGTTCTTGGCAAGTTCATGATTGCGTGGCCCGGGTGAGAGTGACTTAAGCTACACGGACAAGGCAAGATATCCGCTGAATGCCCGTTGTCGGCTACAACCGCCACCAATTTACGCAAACAGGTAAAAGGCCATAAACCAAGCTCCGGCCAGGGTCCAAAGGTGGATCATCAACTGTTTCTAATCACCAATATAGATTGCCTTGACGGCCGTACGAATAGATCAATGAAGTGGCTGGTATCCGGCGGTATTAGTCTACTACTGTTTATAATCTGGTTGCTGTTAGACGGATCTAGTAGCGTGGACACCGCATGGGGCCGATTCTGTTACATGGGCAGCCCAGAAGATGGTTCTTCAATGCCCCTGGGGGCGAACAAAGTCAAGTTCCGTGCCCATCATGCAAATTGAAGGGGGTGGCGATGATTCCAAAGCTTCGGACACAATGGGGGCAGAAGACTTGTGAATTTACAGGGATGCATGGGGCTAACTACGAATCTCTCGCTACGATTAGTATACGTACTCCAAGAAGCTTGATACGTCCATCATAATCCTATACAAACTCCATAGGTTGGGCGATATTGCCTTGTCGATCGTCTGGGGGCTGGCCAATCTAATTTCCGGATTCCACTGAGACGGTATCGTTAGGATCACTCTTGGCCCCATGAAATCGGTCATGATACCCGAGAATCGGTAATATGAAGCTCATATTGAAGTTACACAATCATCAGCTCCCCACAAGCATACGTATTCAGAGGAAGTTAGGGCATGCTGCAGGGTATATGCATGCCGTCACGTGTGATTATTCTATAGTCAGGTGATGGGACAGGGTTGAAGCCTGGAGATATACGAGTTCACGGGTATAAATTGATGTTGATACGGGGACGGGGCTCGCTTGGAGAGATTTGAGGGTCTGGTATAGCGTTATGATTTTATGGCTCACAGGTCTCATCGACAGGAGGCTAGGCCGAGGCCTAGTGGCACAGGCATCTTTAAACTATTGTCCATCTGCATACATTATTCCAAGTCGCAAAGACCCAGTAGACGCCGCGTCACCGCAAGCTCCACTCGTAGCCACTTAGATCCAGGTCAAGAAGAATGTGGCCGATACAAGCCAAGGGAATCGAAGAGAGAGAAGAAAAAATAGGGGCATTGCTTTTTCTATCACCCTCCCAAGTCGGAAAAAGCCCCGGGGTAACAACAGATGAGAGTTCCCATGATCATGCAAGTAAAAAAAAGAAGAACCGAATTTCTCAAAGACATAAAACGCCGGTCTGTACTCTCAGAAAGAAAGAAAGAGCTCAATAACTTAGAAACCACGGCCACGGCCACGACCACGACCACGGCCTCTGCCACCTCGGGGCCCGCCACGGCCCCCGCGGCCGCGGTCTGCCTCCTTGCGAGCCTTGTTCTTGGGCTTGGGGGCGTCATCCACAAGCAGGGTATCGAGCGGCAAGCTGTCGGGAAGGATGTAATAGCGGATTGTCGAGCCACGAATATTGATGGTGTCCAGAGAAACGGGGTCACGGCCCTTGGGGGTCATCTTGACGGTTCGGAGGGAGGTGTTCATCTGAGGGGAGACAGATGTAATGGTGCCGTGGAGAATTGTGCCTGTAAGAGTGCTTTCGTTAGCGTCGGAGCTGATGTTGGGTCTGAAATTCGCGAGCTGTGGCGAGATTGAAGGTGGTGGACGCCGGAACATCCAGACATGAGGCGCTGAACTTACCATTCTTGAGCTCGATAGTCACCGTCTCATTGGCGCACTTCATCAAAAAGCTGGATGATCAGTCAGTTTGAAGCTTCTAAAAAGATAATTCGAAATTCAAGAAGGCGCGTGTCGCAGCCGACAACTGCTCACGACAACTCGATAAGGCGACTCACCGAACGAGCTTCATGTTGGATAGGTTGACTGCAGGTATTGAAATATGTCAGGTGGTCGATATCAAATCCCAGCCAGTCGCAGAGTTGGTGGGGAATCTCCGTTGACAGTCGCGGTGAATGATGCCGTCGGATTACAGTGCAGAGTTGATTTGGGTCATGTGACCCAGCTCACATCCTGATCACGTGACATCATTGCTGGACACCCCCAAAGACACCAAAGACTTCATCATGAATAATGATGAACAACACAAGAACAAAACTGAAATTTTCCCAAATTTTTTAACTTGCTTCTCAATATGAGGTAAAAACTTAATCCACAAATACTCACTTCAATCAGTGTTGAACTAATGCAGTATCTGTCCAGTCAGAGAAGTCGTAACTTGCGGCTTGTTCCGACATCGAATCAAAACTCGGTATCGGACTATACACTGGTTGCCCTTTTCTCACTGTTGTCAAGGCAAAATAATGGGCGCTTAGGTAGCATCATTCATAGGGAAACAAGGGGTTCCGGAGATCTGCGGCAATAGCTAGACCTTAAAGTATCCGGTCCTTTGCCTGATACAGTAGCAAGGCTGCATGGACTTGCAGGCTGATGGTAGAAATGCCGCCGGTACATTACATAGTTTTTCCATTCTAGCGACTCTGATTGAATCCGTATCGATTTCACTAGCCTGGCAATCAGCGACGCCGCAGGCCGGTAGGCGATCTTCCTCGCTAATTTCGCAGCCACGCTAGCTGCAAAATCCGAACGGATTAACTTAGACTACTTCGAGATTGGTCCCTTGCCCTTGTCCAAGACATCCCTGCCCAGAACCTTCGCTCTCGATCTCCCCATCGGGGTCCACTTTTTTATATTGATCCCCCCCCGAAGTTCAAGGCAGAAGTCAAAACAAACCGTTTCAAAGGGCATGCCGGCTAAAAGATGTCTTGCGACGGCTCCGCGATGCATCAAATGATCGACTTGGCCTCGTCCGCGGATGCACGGATGGCTTGCTCGTCACCAGCAGCGCCGCGGCGGCGAGACACATTCACGCATAAGAGGCTATCGAATCAAATGCAGGTGAGGCTTTCCAAGGCCCCTCCACACGAGGCTGCGGAAGCCAAATCAGAGCAGCCAACGTGGGCAAGATGCATCACTACATCCAGGTCGATTGACTCTGCATCAAGTCCGGGTAGAACCGTCCCTGGGGCGATCCAACCAGCAGCAACCTGGCGAGTCTGCAAGGCTTCCGGTCTCGGGGAAACGTATGATTTGCAATGCACCTGGCATGCAAAGACACATGGCACGTTGGCACATGGCCGATATGTATGCGGATCCCCGAATAACCCCTGGAGTTAGTGTGGAGTTGTCGATCTAAAAGGTGGTCGTTCCGGGCGGGAGTCCTCCCGGACGCGCTGTGGCTCTCCGGAACTCGCTCTCGACAGTCTCGACTAAATCGACGTAAGTCGACTAGTCCGACTTTGCTGGACCTCTTGTGGCTGAGAAAGACAGTTTCGCGTCGACGCGGCGCCATCACATCCCTGCATGTCGGTTTCTCACCATGCCCTGAATGGTCATAATGGCTTTCTCTCGTGTTCTTGGCACATTCCCAGCCAACTGGTTGCTTATTTATTGGTTCCACCTCGGCGTTTTACGGGTTTACGGGTGGGCGCAATGAACAACACCCCGACCCCCCGATATAGTAACTGGACGAGGCAAGCTTGTAAGTGGAACTGGAACTTCTCCCGACAGGGTTAAGACTGCGAACTTCAAACCTACCACGAGGCCACGACCAACACCCAAATTGAGTTATCCGATTTCCGGCATTCGAAAAGCTACCACGAGTGGTTAGATTGAACCTTTCAAATCTGCCCCCTGGTTCACTCTCCTCGTTTCAATCGTCATTGTTTCTCCGGACTATTACCGACCTTTCCCAAGGATCTCACTTCTTCGCGAGATCCTCTTTTTTCCTCCCCGTTCATTCTCTCTCAACCTAATAGTGCTCACTACTCACTAAATTTGTCTGGCGGTTTCGACTATGCTATTTTCGTTCTAAGACGAAGCTTCTTATACGACTGAATGATCTGGCCGTCATCTTTCCAACGGCTTGTTTGTTGGGGGCCAAAAAGGTACAAAGCATGATTGAAAGCAGGAGCCGGAAACAACTCCCGTCAAAGTTTTCATGGATTTTCTCAAGTTAATTTAATTTGCTCTGGATCGGCGCATCTCATAGCGGCCTGACTGGATGGAGACTAACTTTTTTTCTTTCTCAGTCATGTATATTCACTGGGACTGTACAGTACTCAACTGTCTGCCAGCCACAAGAACGGAAAATAAGAGGCCAGCGTCATGGCCCCCAATCGTCGGTTCTGCCCCATTTACCTCTATGGGGCGAAGAATCCACACTACCCAAAGATGAAAGCTCACTTGTGCCGTTCAGGATCAATACGCACGCCCTGGCCAATGGCCCCGGACTCTAGAGTAGACATCCCCTTTTACCGAACTTATTAATTTTTTTTTTCAAACTAAATTTCCCAATATAGGCTTTGGCCTAAAAACGGAGGACCCGGTGTCAGTTGTGGGGGTCGGAAAGTCAAGACAGGACCACTCCCGGCTCGCCATGATAGAGCGATTTCGGCCCACTCGTCGAAGATCATAGGAATCTTACGGCCGCTCTTTTTCTCGTCTATGTCGTATGAGATAGGGCAATTAATACAGCATTACCCGCGATAGAAGAACCTAACCGATCAAAAGGGTTAATGAACGGCCTTTGCCAACGTAAGTGCGTTTCAGACTATCCGCCTGGCTCGTGGACCTTTTTAGTTCTCTACAATTGCCCGCAAACCACATTTACATCCACATCTCTATCTTCAACTCATTGACACCAAGACGAAAACGGTCTAGAAGGCCCCGTTGGATTTGCCCTGTTGGGGGTGGGCCATCGTTCACCCAGCGCGTTACCCAGTGTCTCTGTCTTCTGTACAGACTTTCGTACCTGACTATACTCCATCCATACCTAAATTAACACCGGGCCCTTTCTTCGATCCTAGAAATTGCGGGGACTTCCCTCTATTCTGGGCTCAGCAAACGCCCTGCTCAAAGATCTGAAGATTTCTCTGCGTAGAAAACTTCGTTTCTCGCGCCCGTCGCGTAGCCCGATTGCTATCCTCTGGAAACAAAAACCCTCGAGTCTGCCAAGATCGAATTCGACTATTCTTGCAAAAGAACAACTACACTGTATGTTTACCTTTCTACGGTCTCTTTTTTCACTTGCGCATTTTGCAATTGCCGCCCCTCCCTTTATGATTTTCTGGCCCCTCCGGCCCCCCTTGTGGTTTGAGAGTTGTAGTTGTCTGCTGGTCAGGTCTATGACCTACAAGACAAATCAAAGATGTCGCCCGGGGAATCGAGCTCACACAATTCACCGTCTCACCATAGGTGCAATTCCAATTTGCTCGCGGCCCCAGCCTCGTTCCCCGAATTTGACTTTCTTTCCTCGGTGTTTGAGTCAGTGCAAGCGCCGGGCTACCAACAACAAGAACAACAAGGCTCTTTCCCCAGCTCGGACTCTTCTTGGCGATTTCATAGCCCTGTGCAAAGCCTTGGGAACGACGGACAGTCTACGCAATCATTCCCAATTCCACTGTACCCGGATATCTCTTCCTTATCGTTAAATTCAAGCGTTAGCCTTACTGGGACGATTCTTGACCCGGATACGCCACTTCAGAGTCTTGAAGACGAACAATCTTTCAACAGTGTCAACCGCGAAGAGCAGTTGATCCACGAAAATTCCCAGTCAGTACTCAATGCTTGGATACTCTATCAATATCTCTCTTTCGCGGTATCTGTATTGAATTGAACATTGAATATCTGACTGATTTATCTCCAGAGGCCTTGGGATCAGATCATACTCTATGTCAGTAGCTTCAGGCGCATACTTTGCTGGCCCGATGCAGCCAAACAACCACCGTAAGTATTGTCTTCTAGGACAATTAAAACGAGGGCTTTTCTTAACGATCGAGCAGCCTATTGGGGCAATCGTTCCTTTCAGCAAATGCAGCCTCCGCCAGGCAATATGAATCAGCAATACCCACCTTCACAAGGGTACCCTCCGGCAGGGTTTCCTATCGGTCATAACAGCCAGCCAGGCGGGTCATTACCGAATTATCAACAAGATCCGCAACAACATCCTTCATACTTACCTGGTACGGCTGGGGTTGCGCCTCGACATAATCAAGCTCGAAGGTAGAAAGGGCACTGAGAATCAGACTTTGGCGTGGCAGATACTGACAATTGGGTTTCCAGTCCTCCTATGCAATCAATGGCTCGCCCATTTCACCCTCATTCCGCCCCTGCCACGATACCCGATCAATCTTTAATGACCACGTGAGTTGCAAGAGATAAGTCTGAAGCTGCGAAATACGGGATCGCTGACCTCGTGTAGTTCTTCCCCCTATATGATGAATCCACCTGCCTACTTTCTCCCCGAAGCACATCCAGTACCGTGAGTTCCCCCATGGAAGAGACCTTTAGAACACCAACTAACTCTAGGAATCAGATCCTCTCATCCGTCCTCCATGAGTCCACAAGCCACGCCAATGATCGCCGAACCTATATATTCCCCTGCTACCACAATCCCAACCGGGGAATCCAGCGATCGCCCTCTACGCGTGGTCAGTTCGCGACCTCGACCACAATGCTGGGACCACGGATGCGAAGGTCGCGAATTTTCAACATTTAGCAATCTACTGCGACACCAGCGTGAGAAATCCGGAGTTGTTGCGAAGGCAGAATGTCCCGTCTGTGGAGCTGTGTTCACTCGCACGACGGCACGCAATATCCACGTTGCGCAGGGAAAGTGCAAGGGTCCAGGACGAGAATCTTCGGCGGAATAAAAAGGGCGCTAGGGAGTATAGAAGTTCTATATGGAGTTTCTTTTTGTGGATCTTTTTCCTTTTTTTCTTGTATATTGAGTGCTTTAGCTTTGTGATGTTTTCTTTTTCCCTGTCTGTTCCTTCTGCATATGGATACCTGGCAGCAAAAATAGTGTCCGTAGTGAGCGGCATTTCAAAAGGTAGATTCTTGATCACATTTTCTTAACATTCAATGGGATGATCTATTTTCCGAACATTTGCTGAGGGACTATATTGCGTCTAGATCTAGAAAGATGAGTAGAAACGAGATCCTAAACGGATAGTCCAACCAGTAAGACATTAAGCAACCAATAGATCATTCCGAAAGAAGCAATTAGATTGGTTACAAAAAAAAGAGAGGTACATACATTAAAGCGACAAAAAGCAAGTCACCAAGTATTGGAGTCGAGGTTCTGCCAAGGTTGACTGATGTGCATCTGAGTTCCAGCTCGGGGAACGTGGGTGGACCCATGTGATGCCTCAGGCAGCGACCACTTGTGACTCAACCACCTGCCGACTGACTCCAACTCCAACTGATGATTGCAACTTGGTGACAAGCAACGTTCATCAACACCATACCCAGTCGGCGCAAGAATGCCTACTTTTGTCTCTACAACTACTACTGTTCGTCTTTGCTGGAAATCTACCTCTTACCGAATATCTTTATTACCTGTGTGAGATTGTAGTCGAAGGAAGCCATGGCTTCCATCTTCACCTACGATCCCGACCCGCCACGGGTTTCGTCCCCGTGGTCGACCTCGGGATCCTCCACTCCAGGTCAGGCCAACCAAACCAGCCAAGTTAGCAGAAGTGGATTGGCAATTCGCAAGCAATCAAGTTCCGCGCTGGATCGTGCACCGGATTTCCTGTCTGATTATGGCATCACCAAGCTGGAGCCGGAACCTCAGGAGGGTCCGACAGAGTACAAGCTACACTTGCTGCTCCGCCCGCGACGACCTTACCTTTCCATGTCAACGGGGAATGTCGTCGCAGGCTCGTACCACTCCCGTGTACCCCTTACTCCAGCTTCCTACTCTGCATCCCCGGCCCATGATGCAACTCCCCGCCCTATGCAGGCCAAGTCGGCCCAAAGCCGCCAGCAACGGCTGCAGGGGTTGACAACGCAGCTGCTCTGGCGTTTGCAACAGTCATCACCGTTTCACTCGTCTACAACGGCAAATCTGGTTGTTCCTGTGCTCCCTGACGCTACCCCGCAATTAGGTGTTCCCTCCAAACCCGCCCGCCTGCTTCCGGGTTTGGAAGAGAGTCAGGGAGCATTGTACGAGATTGGCGTCGCTGATGATGGCACCTTCGTAGGTCTCACCGAGGATGAACTCGATGAGAGTGTCACCACTTTGCAGACCATGGCCGCCAGTCTTGGATGTAAGGTCGAGATTCTGCGTCGAGTGATCGTTGGCAAATGCGAATGGGCAGAGGACTCGTTGGTTGTGCCTCCAGACCCGAGCAAATGTCAAAGAGAGAGTCTCTGGGTCGCAGAAGGGCTGGTCTCTCCGGACTTGGACTTTTATAAGCTGTCCTCTGCCCGTGCGAAAAAGACCACCGACGTTGACTCCAAGGCGGTTGTCGGAGATGAGTCCGCTGCAGAGGAAGACTCTTCCAATACTGAGCAGATTCGGATATCTATAACTGGACCGAGTGCATCGGGAAAGTCTTCCCTGCTGGGCACCTTGACTTCGTCTTCATTAGATAATGGCAGAGGAAGCAGCCGACTGAGTTTGCTGAAACATCGTCATGAGATCTCATCTGGTATCACCAGCTCCGTGGCTCAAGAGCTGATTGGATATGCAGGGGATGTGCCTCCCACGGTGGTCAATTATGCATCTGGGAACGTGGCGGCGTGGGATGACATTCATGCCGCGTCTCGTGGGGGTCGCTTGGCCTTTGTATCGGATCTTCCTGGTTCGGTTCGGTATCTCAAATCCACCTTGCGGGGCCTCGTCAGTTGGGCCCCACACTATGTCATGCTCTGTATTCCAGCCAACTGCGGCGATGAGACGGCCGATACCGAGTCGGGCGTTGACTATGCTGGGGAAATCGACCGATGCTTGGCCTATCTGGATCTTTGCTTGAAGTTAGAGGTTAACATTATAATCGTCATCACCAAGCTCGATGTTGCATCTCGAGGCGGCTTGCGTGAGAACCTCGCCAAGGTTTTGTCTGCCCTCAAGACTGCTGGCCGCAAGCCGGCGATGCTCCCTGCGTCGCCTGCAGGAGACAGAGTGCTTGATCTGCAGCAGGTATATGCTTCCGATAGCAATGAAGTGCAGAAAAGTATCACAGCGGCGGAAGGTCATTGGCCTCGCACGGTGCCTATCGTCCTCTCCAGTGCTGTCGATGGCACCGGGATAGGGAAGCTGCATGCATTCCTTCGACACCTGCCAATTCCCGCCCGGCCTCCGCAAAGGCGACTGCGTATTCCTCAATCGATGAGTCAAACTCAGAGCCCAGCAACCGTCTTCGACGTCGATGAAGTCTTCGCTATACCACCATCCAAGGTGTACTCCGCGTCTGCAGATAAAGAAGGTCGTGAGAGCCGTGGTATGGTCCTCTGTGGCCTCGTCCGCCATGGCAGTATCTCAATCGGTGACGAGATGACTATCGGCCCAATACTAGTCGACACTTCGGCGGATGGTGGCAGTGATCCTGCACCATTGAGCCTCCTCTCTCGCAGTAGTGGACCGAGCCAATCAGGCGAATTCCCAGCTTCTTTATCGCATGGTGTTCTCTCCGGTAAAGATGCCTCAACACAGGCGAAATGGCAGCGCGTTCGCGTCGTGAGTGTTAGAGATCTCCGACTACCCGTTCGACGCTTGAAGGAAGACCAAGTCGGGACGATAGGCATCGAGTTACTTGCATCAACAGATGAGGGCCGCTTACCTCGTCTTGGCCGAATACGGAAGGGCATGGTTTTAACGGACCTACACACATCTCTGCACCCGAGCAACTTGCTTCCATCGCCTCTGCCATCAACATTACCCCTGCCGTTCCACACAGGCTTCACAGCAACGTTCCCAGCCTCAGAGTTCTCAGCCCCGAATTCGCCGCCCTTACTCCTTGGCGGGAACGCAATTGCTTACATCGCCAATGTCAGAACGACCGTTCGTGTAGTATGCATGGCTCTCGCGGGAGCAGGCGACGAGCCAGCCTCCCGCTCGCCCTCACCATCTCCGTCTCCTACTGAACCTGAATTCTTCAGCTTTGACGGAGACACACACTCCTCACCTTCACCTGGGAGGGACAAAGGCAGTAGGGGCAGCCATGCAAATGGCATGGACGGGTCTATGCGGCGGCGTCCTTCTGCTACCGATATCAGCAAGGTAGTCTCTGGGACACCAGGTAATGGATGTGGCGTGTCTGAGTCTTTCAAAGAAGACGTTAGGATCACCTTCGGGCTCGTGACGTCTGTTGAGTGGATTGAGCTCGGCTCCCAGGTCCTGGTAATGCCAGGGATGTCTATGACTGCCTCTTCCGGGGTCGCAGTGGCGCCTACTCCCGGGTCTGGTGCAGGTAATGGCACTGGTAATGGGATAGTGTCGATGTCTGGGCTGGAGGGATTTGTGGGAACGGTTTGTGAGGTTGTCCCTGGGAGGTCTGTGGGAAGTGAGATTTGAGTAGGGAATAATTGTGTCTATTTTGAGCGTTTGTTGATATTGTTGCAACTAAGTTTGTAAATTGGGACCTGTGTATTAAGCGTCTTTATTTTTGTAACTACTTGTTCTTTTTGGCAGGAATAAATCCTGATACTCATTGTATTTCATCTTGCTATACATTTATCTCCTCTTTGCCATTCAATCTAGTATAAGTCATGCCAAAGACTAGTCCCAAGTTAAAATTATCAATCACCATCTGCCAGCTGACTATAATGAAACTTCCACCACGCATCCACAACATCCCCATATCCCATCATCCCAAGATATGTCGAAACTGCACGCCTCCAATCCCTCCTAGAATCCTCATCCCCAACGTGCAAGCCCAAAAATACATACCCGACGAAAGTCGAAATTTCGTCCGCACCCATTCAACAGGAACATACCCCGCAATCTCCCAATCAATAATACCCAGCGAGCCCGTAGAGACATCAACAAGAATATTCGTCGGTCCAAGATCACAATGATAAAAGACAAATGTAGATACATCCATGGACATCTCGGTACAATTCTTCAGAAGCTGTTTTGGAGAAAGCACATCTGCAAATGCCCTCTTGTCATCGTTACTGTCACTGTTACTGGGCTTGATGAGATACGGCTCTAACAACTGATTCCCATCCACACCAGCGATACTATCGCCCTTCCACGCTACCAAGCATTCACAAACATGGGCTATCTTGCCGATACAATACTCGCGAAGAGTCTCGTCCATGCTAGGCCAAGCTTCATCAAGAGTTTGACCCGGAACCCTTGAGACGACGAGGAAGTATATCGAACCATTCTCGAAATGATACAATACACTGGGAAATTCAAAACCGAGGTCGGCCTACGCTTTTTGGTCTCTGAGAAATTGCAGAGTAACATCTCTGGTCACGTCGGGATACTCCATGTGATGTGCTTTGATGAAGGCTTTGCCTGCACACCAGACGGCGGCTTGGTTGTCGACTGCGTGGACTCTGGAGATAGCAGGTGGGAGGGTCATTTGGGGGCGAGTCTTTTGGGAGAGGCTTGGACATAGGAAGAGGCTCAGGTGCAGGGGAGAGGAGGAAATGTCCCCCATTGCTGTCGCTCCAGCGGGCGTATGCTTGATCCGTCGAGTCGTTGACTAGGACTGGCAATGACCACCGACACGATTTTTATCCATTGGCTCTATACGAAGACGTAGTTTTCGGCGCATCAATCAGCACCAGTCTAAATTCTACTAGGCCATATATTATAGGATCAGGGGATGTGTATATTTTTAAGCAGCTAGCTTACTTCCTATGCCACCAAATGAAGAGCAAGTCCTTCCTAGACCTACTAGTCGAGGCACCACGCAGTCCAGTCCAGTCCAGACTATACCAAACCCCTGCCTGATAAGTTGCAGGCATCGCTGCCCATGCACTTGGCAAGAAACAGTCTCGCCTACCAGCCATGCAAACAGTCATGCAAAAGTCACCGTGACCATACATATTGAGATCAATTCGGAGATTTTTCTTGGCTAATTCCTCGAAATACGAGACAAGCAGCCCCGAGGGGGACATCCATTCGACATATTGGTGACCCCGTGGTCTTCAGATCTCTCTCTCACACACATCACCTGGGTATTTCCATAAAGTCTTCATCAAATACCTGGCGACCATGCCAGGCCAATTCGATAAACCAGATCAAAACACATCGCACCATATGTCAGACTCCGCGATCTTATAGCTTAGGGCATCAAGGCCAAGGGTGGCGTTTATCCACCCTTGCGCTGGTCACTGGCATGGCGGGTGAAAGTGCTAGTCGATCCAATTGTTGCGCTCGCATTGCGGAGCTCGATCTTCTTGCGCTCCATCTCGAGCTGTAGAAAAGGCGTTTAGTAAATTGCGAATCTCTTAAATATCTGCAAGAAATGTTGACTTACCACCTTGCGCACTCGAGCCAGCGCAGCCTCATTGCCGGCTACCAACGGACGGCAATCGTCGACCCGGTAGGGAGGGCTAATGCTGACCGCATCCGCAACCACGATATGAGGACCATTCCAATGAGCGGGCATAGTCCGACTGAAAGCATCAAAGAGATCCTGAGCCTCGCGAGTGACACCCTTTCCACGACGAGCTTCCCGGTCCATTGCTTCACCAAGAGCCTTGGCCTCGCGGGCCTTCAGCGCACGGGTATCAAGTGCCTGGATCGAGGGCTGGGCATCGGTGAAAGAAGGCGCATCGGAGGAGTTTGATGAAGGAAGAGCAAGAAGTTGGAATGCTTGAATACGAGAGACGGGAATAACGTGGTAGTCGCCGCTCTGGGCCTGTTTCGCATCTGCGGTTGGCGCCGAGGGAGATGTGTTGATTGCGACAAGGTTCGTGAAGGGACACGCGGTGAAAAGCGTACCCTCAAAGGTAGAAGCACTTGGTGCGGCGGTCGTGATGCGAACACTATCATAGCATAGCATTGTCAGTACATCATTGGCGTGAATAGAGTGCAATACACATTGGATGGAGGGGTATCCCGTACCGAGCACCAATCGCGCCGCTCAAAGCAGCCTCCAAGGGAACCATATTCGCCGCCATTCCGCCCGCAGTCGAGGCACCGGCGGAAGTCTGAGATCCTTTCGCACCGGAACTCTGGCGCTTATTCTCCGCCATGCGGCGAGTGTGAGAGAGCCCCGGGCGGTGTGATTCACACGTCAACAATCGGCCCGCAAATCGCTCAAAGAGACTTGAGCCAAGTCAATCGAGGGAGCTTTGTCAAGTCTTAGTAGGCACTACCAGACCATCGGAAGCTGGCCAATGTCGATTGAATCCCGGGCGGTTCCACGGGAGCTGGGCTGAGAGTCGTCCTGACTATAGGAACGTCGTCTCAACTGTCCTTGGGGCGGGAAGGGTGGCGGTACCCAGTTCCTCGGGACTCCGAGGAGCGGGAAATAAAGAGAGGAGGGGGATTGAATGGAAGGAGAAGGAAGGACAGAAGAGAAAAAGCACCAACTCCCCGGAAATGTTTGGATGAAGGGGAGAGGAGACGTGCGATAAGATGGCAGGAGCGACGTTGCTCAGACTGCCCGAAGTGGTTTAGCGTACTTCGGCCCCATGATTACCTCAGGACTCAATGTATTCAGGCACTCAGGCAGCACTCATCTACTACTGACTACAAGTACAGTATACAGTCTCAACCCATTATACAAGAAAATCCCCGCACTTATTAAATAATTCGTTACGTTCCATTCATGGTGACATCTAAATACATTGAACCCAATTTTTATTCCTTCTATCTCCGACCTGCCGCTTATGCGATGTAGGTCGAGGCCGACACATCACCACCACGACCGGTCCAGTTGACGTGGATATCCTTGCCCTCGGGGAAGTTCTCGTTGGCGTACTCGGGCTTGATACGGAAGGTGTGGGCACCGAAGTAGTCACGCTGGGCCTGCAACAGGTTGGCGGGCAGGTCCTTGGTGCGGTAGCCGTCGTAGAAGCTGAGGGCAGTGGTGAAGGCGGGCAGAGGGATACCCCACAGAGCAGACTTGCTGACAACGTTACGCCAGCCAGACTGGGCCTTGTGAATAGCGTTGGTGAAGAACTCGTCGAACAGGAGGTTCTCGAGCTCGGGGTTGTTGCGGTAGGCGTTGGTGATATCCTTCAGGAAGACGGAGCGGATAATGCAGCCACCACGCCACATGAGAGCAATGGAGGGCTTGTTGAGCTTCCAGCCGTACTCCTTGGCGGCGTTCTGGATGAGCATGAAGCCCTGGGCGTAGGAGATGATCTTGGAGGCATACAGAGCCTGCTCGAGGTCATCAATGAAAGCGGCCTTGTCACCGGAGAACTCGGGGGTAGGGCCGTTGAGGATAGTGGCAGCACGGCCACGTTCGTCCTTGAGGGCAGACAGGCAGCGGGCGAAGACAGCCTCACCGATCAGGGTGACGGGCATGCCGAGGTCCAGAGCGTTGATGGCGGTCCACTTGCCGGTACCCTTCTGGCCGGCCTTGTCGAGGATCTTCTCAACGAGGGGAGTACCGTCGTTGTCGTTGTAGTAGAGAACATCACGGGTGATCTCAATGAGGAAGGAGTCGAGGACACCGGTGTTCCACTTGGCGAAAACATCACCGATCTCCTTGCAAGAGAGACCAAGACCGCGCTTGAGGATATCGTAGGCCTGACCGTGATCATCAATTAGCATATGATATAAAATCGCGCGAGATACCGCCTCGCCAATATCAATGCACGAGCAGAATTGCTCCAACAATCAAGACAAGCTTACCTCGCAAATCAGCTGCATGTCACCGTACTCAATACCGTTGTGAACCATCTTGACGTAGTGGCCAGCACCCTCGTCACCGACCCAGTCACAGCAGGCCTCACCGTCGCTCTTGGCGGCGATGCTCTGGAAGATGTCCTTAATGTGGGGCCAGGCATCCTCGTTACCACCGGGCATGAGAGAGGGACCGTAGCGGGCACCCTCCTCACCACCAGAGACACCGCTGCCGACGAAGCTGATGCCCTTCTCCTGGAGGTACTTGGTGCGGCGGTTGCTGTCGGGGAAGTGGGAGTTACCACCGTCAATGATGATATCGCCCTTCTCCAGGAAGGGGAGGAGAGACTCGATGAAGTCATCGACGGGCTTGCCGGCCATGACGAGGAGCATAATGCGACGGGGGCGCTTGAGCTTGGCGCAGAACTCCTCGATGGAGTGAGCACCGACGATGGACTTGCCTATGGAGGGACCGAGTTAGCGAAATGGCGCCACTAGAGGGTGAATTAGAGATTCTATCGGGATCAAATGCTTACCCTTGGCCTCGTTGGCCAGGAAGCGGTCAACCTTGGAGGTGGTACGGTTGTAGGCGCAGACGGTGAAACCGTGATCAGCAACGTTGAGGATCAGGTTCTGGCCCATAACGGCCAGACCGATGAGGCCGAAATCAGCACTGGGAGAAGGGTGCGCCGGAGCGCCGACATTAATGCCGGCGAGACGGGCACTATAGTCAGCGACCGAGTTCAAGTGTCAATAGCCGGGAAAATTGCGGATCATCAGGAGATTTAGGGATGGGGGTATGTATAACCCGCGCAGATCCGAGGAACTCGGATCCGTGAGCTCCAGTTTCCTCTTCCGCGTCGAGCCTGCTGGCGCGCGCAGTGTCTTCGGATCAATGGGATTGATCTGCACCGGGCGACACCGAATTGAAGCTGGAATTGGAGCTCACGCGCTCGCAGGTTCCTGCGAGCTCGCGATGTTGAGGGGGATACATTTTTGGAGGGATAGCATCGATGATGATGGTGGCGGGGGAGGGGCATCGGTGCAGGATCCGGTGGGGGACCAAGAATAGCAGATGGAGATGTGACTTACACAGCCTGGTCAGCCATAATGTCGAATTGAAGCTGGAGAGAGAGTGGTGCTGTAGGGGGTATCTACAGAATTGAAGAAGAGGGGAGGATGGAGGAGTTAAAGAAAGGAGGAAGGAGGGGAGAGAAGATGTCAGAACTTCAACCGGCTGACGGAGCAACTCTTCCGTCATATGGTGGGACAGACCGGCGGGGGCAGATTATTACCGCCGTACAGAATCTCGTCAAGAATTACTTCCTGCTAACTTCGGGATAGGTGGACCATTCAATTGCACCAGGGGGGAAAGTACTTGGGATTGGGTGGACAATGGGACTACGATCCATGTACCCCCAAATGGGCCCTGGCTGGCTCCGGTGTAGCGCCAAGTATCTCAGAAGTTCCAGTATTCGAGTATCGGTTGGTACAGGAGGAGAGTCCTCCGGTGAATGAGGGTCATCCCACTCGGCTTCTGTTATTATTGGGGACAATTGGAAAAGCAATATCCGAACCCGATCACAGCTCCTACATTTACCGCCCGCACATGTTGACGATCCTAGACCCTTCAATGGGCAATTACTGTATCAATCTCAGTTTTGGGTGATAAGTTGTCAGCATGGAGTAAGGTTGCTTGGGCGCGGGGCATATGGAGGGGTACTAGGGTAGTGATCTCATCGATCTTTTTTTGTTACTACGGGAGACGGTAGAGACAGACAGATACATACCCTTAGTAGTACATAGTGTAAGCTACAATGTGCTACGTACCTCAGCAATATGCCTACCCTACACATACAACATAAATTGGCTAATGCTCTTTGCTTATTGACTCAGCTCGAATAATCATGTCGAGTGACCATCAACACCTCAAGGCCCGGAAATGAATCCATCCTCCCACGGACTTTATCCACGCATCGGTGAACTGTTCTGGTGTTAGGAGTCCACGGAGAAACTTCTTCACTTGCCGACTGTCCGTCCACAACCGGATTCGGGCGCGCTATTCCTGTTACGGACTAGGGTGGGGGTATCACCGTCCTCGTGCTAAAAGACACTCTTTCGATACGGAGTACAAAGGGCCGAATACATTAATAATGGATCTGTTATCCCGCGGGGTTACAGTTATGTCGATTGATAGCCTTGATAAGAGTATTGATGTTCAAAGAGACTCTAGGCTTTGCTCTCGAATTCAATACTGTATCTTGGTTCACGTGGGGATGGATCTGTCGGTGCCTTCTCAATGCCTTATTTAGCAGGCATCAACTCAATTCCTCTTCCCCTTCCCAGCGTAGTCACCCTAGGATCTATGGAATGTGTCCTTCAATATCTTATATTATTCATAGGAAGTACCAGATAGTCTAAGAAGTATGTGTAGGTCTGTAAGAAAATGATCCTAGACCTAGTGCTGACTCTATTTTCTTCTACAACAAATAATCTGACTCTCCCTTACCTAAGAGCTTAGGCAGAATCTGCAGCGATGACCCTGTAGTTGATGATTGATGATTGACAATAAGAAATTATGCCAATCAAGTGTAATGCTTAACATAATATGAATTGATACATAGAGTGGGGTTTCGTAGGTTTGAAACAATGATCAATGTTCATAATCATCTTATCTGTCACAAGTTGAATGGTAGACTAAAAAGTGATACCTACGCTATCAAGAAAGACGATTTAAATGACCTTTAGAAAGACAATTTGTTTTTTAAAAAAAAAAAAAAAAAGATGTGGAAGCATACCTGCTGGGCGGTTTCTCTGGTCTCTGAACTCAGATGTTTGAACTACCACTGTACTAGCACAATTTGGGTAGCACTTTCCAGAAGTTCCTGTTGTTTAGTTTACATTTAGCCGTAAATTAGCCTTCAATCCGATATGATCTACCCGACCACCCAGCCGGGTTTAGTAGTAAAAGGAAGTGATCGGGTGGGGTTGGACAAGAGATACCAGTTACCTATTTTATCGACTCCTTTGTTATACAATACTGTAACTATTTATCCGGTCAAAGCCACTTTTGAAGATTTTATTATCTAGTGTTTCCATTCATGGCCCAACACCGACTCCGCACTACTGACATCCGACGGTCCATCCATTTCTCGCCGAACCCTTGTATGCGATGGAATAGGGTTCAACTCCACATCCGAGCTTTGTCTGCTTATTGTAGCCGCAGTTGTGGCATTCTTCGGTCCAGACCACATTCCATGGCGATCACTAATCTTTTGAAAGCCGTCGTTATTTGTCCGCGAGGAATTGAGTTTTGTAGTGGTGGAAGGGTGCGAGCGGTCTCTCGAGACACCACTCCTGACTTTGCCAAGGAAGCCTTGCACGAGTGGTTTGAGGAGGGGAAGGCTGCCGCAGATAATGGCGACGTCGAGTTCGAGGCAGGTCCAGATTGATTCCTTGGCGCTTGAGGCTAGATAACGTTAAATAGAGTCGGTGAAATAGCTAGTGTGGGGACTGACAGGCAAGATCGGTGAGTACGAAGTGTCGGAACTCGACTAGGCGCATAAGGCTGAAGATGCAGACACTGTTAAACAGTTAGTTGAACGTAAACCACAATATCAATTTGTTATGAACTCCATACAGTGCTCCTAGTGAAAAGACCAGAGTTACCGCAATCTTCTGTCGAAAGACCATCTGCAACCTCCAAACAATAGGAATTGGCAGGCAGAGAATGATGACATCCTCGACTAATGCAATTGACCCCATAGCTTGAAAGAATTTTACCTGTCCTTTCATACAGTGTCCCTTCAAAGTCTTGTCGTAGTAGTATTGCACCGGTATGCATTGAAAAGTATTAACCAATACGGCGGTGATGGCCCATACGGCGATAAAAACGATCAGGCAATTGGAAATAATGGCGAATGAACGGACAGAACCGAGGAGACGTTTGAGGAAGACGACGATGGAGATCTTGACAAAGGCCATGGACGGGGCCCAGAATTTCTGAATCATCCATGATCCCTGTATAACATGCTGTTAGTCTCCATGCTTCTATCAAGGATTATCCGGAATAAATCAGATTGTACAAATTGAATACGTTTCCGTTCTTCAGGGGGTAACGTTGCGACTGGTAGACCGACTCCATTGAAGGCGGCTTCAAAAGTTAGTATTTGAGTAGAAACGATCAATGGAAAGAATACTCACTCTGCACCACGAAGGCTGTAGCACAGTAGGAAATTATCAACCCAATTCCCATGAGCAGGTCTTCCAGTAGAAGCCCCACAGCTGCCAACCGTCGAGAGTAGAGACGTAACAGGTACACAACGGTAGCTGTGCCAGCCCCAACGATAGGAACGATAATCAGGACATTTTTCCAGTATGTATTGTGTTCGGGCGTCATCCTGACATGCTGGAGTGGGAGACAATAGGAAATTAGATCTGAGATCTGAGCCTGGAGGAGGCTGAATGATTTAGCTTAAGGGATTGAACCCCATTGTAGTGTCTTTGCATTATTTTGTCTATTTGTTCCCTCCGAAATGTGGGCTTCTTGGCTTTCGTAAATAACAAACACCCATGTCACGCCATAAAGTATCTTTTAATGTTAAGCTACCCATGTGGCTGATGTTTCAGATGAAAATATTTTGATCGATTATCAGTTCTAGAAGAGGAATCGAAGCAAAGCTTAAATGGCGGCGCTATGGCCAAATGTTGCTAGCTGAAGGATGATCATGTCTCACTATGAAAACGCCTTGCTCGGCTTATCTCCTTTTAAAGACATTAATCTCTTATAGCGGAGGGTCTCGGATGCGATTTCGGTCTCACCTCGGGGAATTGTCTCTGCCATGCCAGTACTTTGTAGATTGGCAATTTTTATACTTCCTTGATCATTTCTTTCCCCTGTCTGTCCACTTACCCGGGGCCACATGCTATGTGCCGTTTGCCTGGAAGAATGACCTTGTCTTGGAAATTACTTGGGCTTGCCTCCTTGGCTTTACTGAGTGGCACTGTCACAGGTACAGGAGCCGATGCTCACTCGGATAGGGCTCTAAAGAGATTCAATGCGACGGTCGGCGGACGTGTGCAATCTCTTGCCCCTTTCTCTCTGCCTTGCTTCTCCAGCTACAATGGACAACCAGTGGCTCGCGATAATGCTGCCTGTACTGCCATCCAGGCTAACTACTCGAACCCGTGGCTACGAACGAATTCTCCCAATGGCTACATGAACAACCAGGCTGAGATGTGGGCATCCGATCCCAGCGACCAATGTCTTCTCGACGATAGCAATCCTGCAGACCCTTTGGCTTACGTGAATGCCACTTGCCGCCAGGGGAACATGCCCTCCCATTATCTCGAAGTGCAGAGCCCAAAGGATGTGATTGAAGCTTTTCGATTCTCGAAGAATTCCGGCAAGCAGCTCGTCATTAAGAACAGCGGCCATGACTATCTCACCCGTAGCAGCGGACGAGACTCGCTGTCTCTGTGGATGCGTAACCTACGGTCTATGCACTACAATCAAGCCTTTACGCCCCATGGCTGCAACGATGCCGCTCAAAAGTACAAGGCCATCACCGTCGGCGCCGGGGTCAACTTCGATGAAGCGTATACATTTGCACAGCAGCATAACGTCACAATTCTCGGTGGCTACTCACCCACAGTTGGTGTCTCGGGGGGTTGGGTCCAAAACGGCGGTCATTCCATTCTCAGTCCTGTGTACGGTCTCGGCGTTGACCGCGTGCTAGAGTTCAAGGTCGTAACACCAGACGGTGTCTACCGAACCGCGAACGAATTCCAGAACCCGGACCTATTCTGGGCTCTTCGCGGCGGCGGCGGTGGAACCTTTGGAGTCGTTCTTGAAAGCACCCACCGTGTCGAGCCTGCTATTCGCTTCGTTGCGGCCAATATCAAGTTCCCTAGCACTTCCACCAACATGCTCCCATTCATGGAAATCGTCGTCAATAACACCCTTAAATGGGCACAAGAAGGCTGGGGTGGCCATATAACCGGCAACACCCTTGTCAATATCTCGCCTCTCCTCTCCATCGACGAAGCGAAAACCTCCCTGGCAGACGTAATCGCCTACGCAAAGGCAAACGGAGGCTCTGCCACCATCGAAGAATTCAACTCCTGGTACCCATTCTACGAGAAGTACGTCACAACCAGCTCCGTTGCCGTCGGTGTCACTCGCTTCCCCGGAAGCCGTCTGATCCCACGCTCGGTCTTTGAAACCGCCGAAGGCCGCGCGGATCTCATGTCCTTCTTCGCTCTCATCCAGTCAATCGGTCAGACGCCTTACATCCCCGTCGTCGGTCCAGTGCTCTACGAATATGCCGAAGGCTCGACTAGTGCCTCTCCCGCCTGGCGTGAGGCCGTCTGGGAGTTAGGCTCCGGTGCTTCCTGGGCATGGAATAGTACTCTTTCCACTCGAATGCAGAAGATTGCGGCTATTCAGAATATGACGGCGGTTATTGAGGGGATAACGCCCGGTGGTGGTGCGTATAGCAACGAGGCGAATCCATTCACGATTAATTGGCGAGAGGCATGGTGGAGCGATAAGTATGAGAAGTTGGTGAGGATTAAGAACAAGTATGATCCAGACAATCTGTTGCGTTGCTGGAAGTGTATTGGTTGGGAGGAGTCCCAAGCTGCTACTTCGGCTTTTGCGGCATTCGTTTGATTTCAGTCTGGCCGATGGGATCTATACATAAACGGGGATCGGGAATTGGGATCTACAACAAATGTGAATCTATCACCACTGATAGACTTGTACATATATTCTACAAATGATTTGAAATAATGTAAGTTTGGGACTTAGGTTTTCTGATCACAAAATAAAGACCAGTAAAGTACAGAGAATAGTATGCCAATGCGTTTGAAAAAAGCGGCGGAAATTTGAATTAATATGGACAATCGCCCACCAAATTCACTCCACCCCTGTAAGTCTGTATCTAGGGCCGTTTTTCAAGGCAATTATGGGTTTCAAGTAATATTACAGCAAGAAACCTCATTTTATTTCCTGACATAAATCTGGTGATACATATCTTAGTGAGCTTAAATGAAGAGGCCTCCTCTCATTGGCCAGGGATTCTAGGCGGTCAGATCGAATTACGATTCTGCCCATCTTTCTTTCAACGTGAGCTTTTTCAAGTCTTTACCTTTCCTCGCCTCAACTCCACCGCTCCTCGATCACCACCACCACGAACCCCATCTGTCTCCGATCGACTAAGAGTGGGATACTAGGTCTCCCTCCGTCTGAATATTCTTCTCGCTCTGGTCCTGAAGGTACGTTGCAGCTACTGCTCTGCACAATAGCTCAACCTCCTGTTGCGGACACCTCATTCATCATGTCCTATCCGCCACCTCCAGGTCTCAAACAGACTCCCGCCTCTCTCCCGCCTCGACCTCCTCCTTCCAGCAATGCCTCCAAACCATCGGGCTACAGCGCCTTCACGGCATTCCAACCGCGCGCCGTAGCTTCTACCAAGTCGGCACAGTCCCAGCCTTATCGCACCCACAGCCCAACCATCTCCGCACCACCTGTCTCATCCGCCGGGTATGCATCACCCTCGACAGGCTATGGCCACTATTATCAACAGCCCCAGCCGCAGTCATATCAGGCTCAACCGCAGTCCTATCAGGCGCAGCCTCAGTCCTACCAGAACGGACCCTTCTTCTACGGCCCGAGCGGCGTCCCGCAGATCCAGAACCCGTTTGGATCCACCCCGAATCAACCTCATGGCGCTCGGCGAGGACAGAACCCCGGCATGGACCCGGAGACCGAAGCTCAGATCGCACAATGGCAGAGCGCCTATTCCAACCCTGCCGATGAGGTTGGCAAGCCCCAGGGCTCTAGTGCCGTGACGCCATCCGCCGTGGGCACCCCCATTCCCATTTCCACGCCCCAGCCGGAGCCAACAGTCACTGTCGCCCGATCTGGCGGTGGCCAGACATGGACCGACCAAAGTCTGCTGGAATGGGACCCAGCCCATTTCCGGCTGTTTGTTGGTAATCTCGCAGGCGAGGTCACCGATGACTCCCTGTTGAAAGCGTTTGCGCGCTATTCGTCGGTACAGAAGGCACGCGTGATTCGGGAAAAGCGGACACAGAAGAGCAAGGGTTATGGCTTTATCAGCTTCAGTGATGGCGACGACTACTTCAAGGCCGCTCGTGAGATGCAGGGCAAGTACATTGGATCTCATCCCATTCTGCTACGACGCGCCAACACCGAGGTGCGCCCGGTCTCGAACAATAAGAATCAACGCAAGAGCAATGCTGGCGGTGCAGGTGGCGCGGGACCGAAGGTGAAGCAAGATGGAGTGAAGAAGCCCGGAAAAACCAAGGGCGGCTTGAAGATTTTGGGTTAAAGATCATGATCTTACAACGTGTAGAAATAAACAGTTCGAAGCACACGCACGATACTTGATGCTTTTAGAACTGATTCCAGATTAATAGGGCAACGTCATAACGCAGCAATAATAATTTCCTCTGTATACTAATGTATCTCGTAGAAAATTTTCCTTTCAGTATTGTCGAATAAGCATGCTGTGTATTCTCACTGGTCTCATTTGATTCACCAGTCGAGGCCGTTCCTTCAATCTTCTCATCGTCCAGTGGTCCAATGGGCGGGGGAAGCCAGTTCATCCGGTCAACGGGTGACCAGCGCGGCCAATAAGGCTGAGACTCTAAATCCGCCAAGGCGAAAGCCAACCTCGAGCTCTCCCGCCTTCTCGCGACTCACAAGCATTCCGGCTGTTACTTCCCAGGATTATTTGCGGGGGTCAAACTGCCAAAACTGATATCACTCTCGCTTCAACATACGTATCGCCGCAGGTCGTGCCATCTCTCTTTCATAGCACACTGCTTGCGGTGGATGTGTCAGGATGGAGGACCAGGTTGACCCCGCGGTCAAGCCCGAACGAACCACGCCGGGCGAGGCTCCTGCTCCTGCGCCAGGAACCGCTACTGCATCGCGCTCGTCAGCGCCGAGGGTCCGGCTTAGCTGTGAAGCATGTCGCCAGCGCAAGGTCAAGTGCGACAAGCTTAGTCCCTGCACCAGCTGCGTGCGCCTAGGCTTTCAATGCGTTCCCGTCGAACGAGCTCGTCTACCACGGGGACGCACCAGGAAGACCCCCGAGCACGCGCATGGCTCCGATAAGGAGCTGGCAGAGCGGGTGGCGAAGCTAGAACGGCTTTTGAAGCAGGTCGCAGCTGAGCGCGATGCCGGGTCGCATCCCGAGGAACCGCCACGGTCCACGGTTACCAGCACCGTCACTGAGCATAGCTTCGAGAACAAGATGGCCGATGTCGAGACCTGGCGTACTCAGAATCCAGAGCCAAATACATTTGTGTTGCCGCACCGGCCACGTCCCTCCACGACCTACATGGCTAGTTCGTTTTGGGAGGATATCATGCAGCAGGTAAGCACTTTATTCGAGTTTGATCCTGCATTGCATAGTGAGGGATTTATATGCTATGTACCGCTCCCATGAACGTCCAAATTAATATTTCAACATAGACACAAGAACTGCGTACCGTCTTGGATGACCGTTTGGAAATTAAAGAGGAAGAGGAAGAGGCCAGGAGTCAACCCGGCTTCGGGGCCTCCTTCGTTGGCTCATCAGAGACCTCAGACAGCATGTCTGGCTCACCTCAGTCGTACAAGGGACTTACTATCGCGCCCCAGACAAGACGGCAACTATGTGAGATCTATCTGCACAATGTCGATCCGGTCTTCAAGATCCTACATCGGCCTTCGCTGCGGGCCTTTCTTCGCGATGACCAACCTTATCTTGACTACGAACCCGACCATCATGCCCCCAACACGCTAGCATGGGCTGTATACTATGCGGCTGTCTGCACGATTGATGATTCTCAATGTCAACTATTATTTGGTGTGGACAAGAAAACGATCACTGCCGACTTGCAAAGGGAAACGGAAGCTGCTCTGGTAAAAGCGGATTTCGTGACTACCAACGAGTTGACAGTTCTCCAGGCCTATGTGCTCTCATTGGTAAGTAATGCTAAGACAATCATCATGCTAGAGTCTTGCATAGACCTTTATCATCTTTACTTTGATACTAATTTCTCTCAGCTTGCTGCCCGGTGCCAAGATCAAAGCCGACGGGTGTGGACCATGCTTTCCATGGCCCTTCGAGTGGGTCAAGCTCTATGTCTCCATATGCCCGTTCCTCCCTTCCAAGTCAGTCCTTTCGAACAACAGCTGCGACGACGCACATGGCAGGCCATTGGCGTTCTTGATTTAGCCGCATCTCTCGATCGGGCTTCTGAACCTATGATGCAATCTGCCTGGCTGGACTATGTTCTGCCGGCGAATATCAACGATGACGACATCTGGCATAGCATGGACGTGCCGTTCAAAGAGCATCCGGAAGGTACTTTCACCGACATGACGCAGACTTCGATTATCGCAGCAGCTCAGTCTGTAGCCCGATCGATCGGATTCACTGACTTCATCGAGCCTACGGTCAGATCGTCGCAGAAGCGCCAGGAGGTTCTCGATAATTTCCGGAAAACTGCAAACACCCTCTTATCCGGATGCAGACCTGAGCAATCGTCGTACCACCTCTACGTGTCGCGGGTAGCATTGACCATCTTCGGATGGCTACAACTGGGGTGTGTTCGGCCAATTCAACGTGGTAGGAATTGGGTTCCACCACCCGTCGAGGGAGATGTGCTCCTCAGCCTGGCTGCTGATAACCTGCAAAAGTTAATGGAGACCGCCAGTGACTCTGCGATGAGGCCGTGGACGTGGTTTGGATCTATGTGGGTACCCTGGCACGGACTAGCGGTTGCCCTCGCCGAGCTTTGCGTTTGCAAAGACCCGGCAACGATATCCAAGCACTGGCCAGTGGTGGAGCAAGTATACCACCAATCGAGTTTCGTCATTGCAGACTCCCAGCACGGGATGTTGTGGAAACCGCTTCAGAGACTCATGAATCAGGCACGGGCGCACCGGAAGCAATTGCTAGGAAGCGAGTCTCCCAGCGAAGCACTCCGCCAGGTCACGATCAGCGAAATACCGCCCATGGAGACGATGCCCCCTCCACCTCCTCCCGCCGTGACCGAGCAGTATGATCCGCACCCCAATTTCATGGCCGATCCAACAGCCGTATATAGCATGGGGTTGGAAGCGCCGAACATTGCTGCTGGCCAGCAACTTGATCCTGCCATCACTATGGCTCCATCGGCGTTTACCCTCGAACCCTGGCCTAGCGTCTGGGACCAAATGGATTTCATGGCCAGTCCGGGCATTCAGCCGCAGGCGGACAACAACGCCTGGCTCAACTATGAGAGCTTCATGGGTGATGTATATGACAGTGTTGACTGCATGTTTCTACCCCGACAAGGATGATTGAAACGACTGTATTCTGTTTGAGTATGATACGGGCGGCATTGTCAGTTTGATTGGAGGCTTCTTGCGAGGAATTTCACCAGCGTCTTATCACTTATACATGTCCTTGTTAAAATAATGCTCGATATGGCCGCAGGGGGGTATGGTCATAATGCATAATGAAACATCTTTCTCCACTTCAATACACAGTTCTTATACCCTCCTCCTCTGAACATTCTCAACTCCCCCCACCCATCCCCATCCCCATCCCGACCCCCGCCGCCCCCGCCGTAAACACATAATCCTTTCCATGCCTCATAGACCTACTCTGTGCCCGCCGTTGCTTCTCTCTAACCGACACCCCCGTCAACAGCGCCAACCGATCAAACTCCTCCCCAAACTCCCCACACATTTCAACACACCCCGGCACCAACGAATACGACTCCGACGAAAACACAGCTAAAACATCATCACTCGACTCATCAACCAACTTCAAATTCCCCAGTGGCGTTGCATGACTCCCCATCGAGTGCGTCTTCTCCCACGAGAATCGACCTAGTTCACCATATAGATGTGCTTGGAATACATAGCTTGGTGATAGATAGCCTTTCTTGGATAGAGTTGTGTTTACCCAATTACTGTCGCGGTTGTCGAAGTCTTCTTCGAGGGAGATTTGACAGTCTTGTGAGAAGCGTTTGTACTTTGATGTACCGATGATGGGGCCCGTTGTATCGGGGCCGAGGTGCATGCGTAGATCGGGCTGGGTGTTGTCGAAGGGTGAGTTTTCGAGGAAGAGGTGCTGTTTGTTGTCGGTTGTGGCTGTTGTTGTTACGTTGTAGTGGTGGCATCCTGGTTGTTCGGTGATGTGGAATTGTTTGTATGGCATGTTCGAGTTCTGGATGTAGTTGAGGTTAGGAGAAGAATGCGCTGTTCCGGTGTGGGATAAGTGGTTCGCATAGAGTATGTTGAGTATTCTCTCGCGGTCGGAGGTTCGGTTGGTATAGTGGATTTTAACAGAATCATACACTAGGTGTCCTTGGTCTTTGATATCTTGATGCTTAACAAATTCATCGCCACACCCGAGATTCAATTGGGGCCCCCACGACCCACGATCCAATGGTTCAGGAGCAACAGGTTGATCCTCCATTGCATCGACGTCATATGAAATTCGCTTGTCTGAACAGGTTGCTTGATTTTCTTAGTAACATGGACAGATCGTTCTATTTAGATTCAGAAACAACGTGTTTTCTAGGAACTTGCAGATTTAGGCTAGTATTTTGCAATATCTTTTATGTGTACTGCATGATGTAGTACTGTAGTTAAGACGAGGCCCCCAACCGAGGTGCTTGGCACAAGTGGGGATAACCCGCATCGGTGCCAACATTCTCATCCATGTCCAGCTTCAACATCTCCCACCAAGGAAGCAAGATCCTTGCTTTTTACCTCATATTTAACATTTAGCACCTCAGGGTGCGTTTGGAAGGAAGGAGGATGTCAACGTCCAGTACCTCAGCGGCTCAGACCGGCCATCCTGAGCTTGTGTATCGGTCTCTCCCTATTCTCGCCAGCTACCTCGTTCTCGCCGGCTCTCTAGCCTTGAATGCCAGCCGCACCATTTTCATTCGGTATCAGGCGCGATTGAAGAAAAACGACTGGGAAAATCCTCAGCGACGCGTTCAATTCCTGTTGTTCGCCATTCTGGCAGCTCTGAGCCTTGGGGCGACTTGGTATTACATGTTTGCGTTCTTTGCGCATTCATATCGCAATTGGGAGGCGAGTCAGTCTCTAGTGGACCTAGCGGACCCGGAGATTACGACTTTGTTTAAATTGGAGCTCTGGTTGCAGAAAGCGAAATTGTTCCGTGAAGCTTGGGAGACGGTCATCGAGACGCCTGCCCGGTTTTGGTGGAGCGGTCAGATCTTTTTGTGGACGACGGGATGGAGTGTTTTTCTCGGTATTATGGGTTAGTTGTTACATCTTTTTGCCTGTTTTATATTGTTCATGATGGACTGATCCTGTGATTACAGCCCGGCGATACCGCATCCCCCATGTTTGGGCATATATGCTTCTGGGCCAAATTGTCGCCATTTCGCTCGCTCAGAACCTGTTCTTTGCTACAATTCTCGTGTCGCGACAGCCGCACCCGACCGAGGGTACCAAGAAGAACAAGAGCAATGCTCAAGATTCTATCTCGGCGTGGTCGCCACCATTGTACTCGGAAGTTCTACCGGTCGCCATCTCTCTCATCAGTACCGTTCTGGTCCCGACGGTTGCGCATACCAAGCACTTCATGCTGATGCTGTTGGTACCCCATCTTCTGCTTTTCGTCCCTGCCATTCTGCGCCCAGGTCAATCCTCGCGCGCCAAGAATTCCAGTGAAGAGAGAACCGTTCGGAAATATATCACGTTTTTCCAGTGGTATACCATGGCTTGCGTGGCTATCCAGGCTCATTCTACGTTCCTGGTGTTGCAAGATATGGGGCTAGACATCAGTATTGAGTCATTGCGTGTCTTGGCCACGAACTTGCCAAGCGTGATATACGAGCACCCAGCCGTTAGTAGTGTCAGTTGGGATGTGATTTATTGCACCGTTACGGCAGGGGCATGGATTGCTGTGAATGGTGGAAGTCCTAAACGGATGCTTGGGCAGTGATGGAATGGGCATAGACGTTGAGTCATAGATTCAACACATGGGAGGTGAAGAAAAAAAAGTATATTAGATGTAGAGAAATCTTTCAAGACAATCAACTTTGATATAGATCGCCCAAGAGTGATTTGCCTCTTTTAGAGCTACAAGATCTCAGCTGGCCCGAGCGCCTGAATGTTTTGGCAACTGCCCCGCCTCTTCTTGACTTTCACCTTGACATCCTCGCCCCTGGCTCTACCTTTACTATAGCGAGAAGCTGTTGAGCGTCATGTCCAGCACAGCAGAGCCAGTTCTAGTCTCCTATCCACCGGCCCCATCAAATGTTAACCCAAGTCCGCCAGCGGAATCAGTCCCAGCAGCCGATGACGTCAAGGTAGCCGATACCACCAAGCCCCACGAGGTTCCATCAAACGATAAGCCGCCTTCTGTGGATACAATCCGCAAGGTCGAGAATTATCCGATCCTCGATAATAAAGGCGAAAAACATTCGTTCAAGAGTATCTACGATGGACCCGATTCAACGGGGCGCGTTTTGGTGATCTTCATCCGCCATTTCTTCTGTGGGGTAAGCTTTCCCAGGCTTGTTTTTGTGGAACGCTGTTATTGATCATGTCCTCTAGAGCTGTCAAGAGTACATTCGCGCACTAGCTGCGTCAATCAAGCCAGACGAGCTACTCAAACTACCCATCCCCACCACTTTCGCCATCATCGGCTGTGGAGATCATGGCCTAATCGACTTCTACGCCAAAGAAACCGGATGTCCATTCCCCATCTATGCCGATGAAGCAAATACCCTGTATGATGACCTGGGTATGGCTACAACCTGGGCTTTCGGCGCAAAGCCAGAGTACTTCCGGCAGAGTATGGCGCGGGTTGTCTTGGGGTCCATCACGCAAGGGCTCAAGCATCTTAGTAGTGGACTTGCTACTAAGGGCGGGGATACTAAACGGGTAGGTGGTGAGTTCCTCTTTGAACCGAGTCAGGATGAAGGAGGGAAGACGATTTCATGGTGCCACCGTATGACGACTACGCGGGATCATACTGAGGTAAAGGAGTTGGCAAAGGTGCTTGACAAGGATGGGACTGTCTTGTTGCAGACGGCGTAGAGAATCGCCGTCAAGGTAACATGTTCTGAGGGATTTCATACTATCAGTATGGATGTTATCACCTATGCGCAGCATGCTGGCGGAATTTGACCATTGACTTTGGGTAGGAATTTTGGGATTTTATGCATCCTTTTTCTCGATTTCTTTATACGCCCAGAAACCTTGTCTTATTGCGATCTCGTTAAGGAGATGTCAGACTAATATTAACGCCTGATTACCGCTATGCTTCCTCAGAATGCTTCAAGGATTGATCAATATAAAAAGAGAACACGATGTTGCCTGTGACGCCATTTAAATGCACGGTGCCGAAGGACTCAGGTACCAAAGTTGTTCCGAGCATACACAATCCTGCTCGTTTCCCTGGACGGATAGAAATTCTGGAGGCCAAGCTCCCATGCTGATCCTGATGGTCCTGTTTGTCCTGCTGGATCGTCGATATCCATCTCTGACTCTGACGCATCGATTTTTGGATCATTTTTCTCTGCATCATCTCGGACGCTTGAAGTAGGCCCATCTATGTCCTCGTAAAGTCGCTGATACGTACAAGGTCGCCCTCGATGGTTGCACTCTGAACAGGGATTTTCCCCGTTACAAGCCTTTCTTATGCTTGCACAGCTATCACAAGCACGTTTATGCTTGCCACCGCGGAGACTCTCGGGCATCTCGATACCATTTTCGAGTCGAGTCTTGCATGATTTCCAATGTCGTCGTAATACATCACTTGATGGTACATTAGTATTTGAAAGTCACCACTAAAGTATACGAAGTAGAATATCCAGAAAAGGGGAATATAATTACCCACCCACGGCTAAATAGGGCGCCACAGAAATGGCAAGCGTGTCTCCTCTGTGTTTTATCTGTAACAAACAACTCAGCTGCTGACGCTCGTATTGGGTTAATCAAATTTCAAACGATAGAACACACGCGTAGCCGAATGGCGTTTCAGATGATCCTGGCGCTTGAACGTCGACGAGCACCGATCACATTTCCAATATTTCTCATCCGCCGCGGCCTCCATTTGAGAGGGCGGCGGTGAATGTTGCATTCCGAGCGGTTCTTACGGGCTGCTAACCCGTTTTGAGAAATAGCAGGCGAGAAAAAGCAGACGGACGAGGTCCGGGATTGTTAATACCCCGACGTGATTCGCTCCGAGCCCGAAGGGCCGAAGAGGGTAACGTGGTAGTCAAATTAGAACTCTTCGAAAGCGAGGTGTCCAGAAGGGATGTTGTGTTGGGGAAATGTGGATGAATCCCGTTCAAACGAGGTATGTCGCGAGTCCCCCGCGCCCGCATCCGCACACGCGTCTGCACAACGCCGGATGAGACGGGGAAAATGAAGACCGCATGGAAGACTCGGATGCACGTGAGATGCGCTAATGAAGATCACGAAGGCTGGGTTAAGGGCTTAGGGGTCAGCTTATTGTTAGCGAGGAAGTGGAAACGGCCGAATGATGGAGGTGGAGGTGGGGGACGACGTGAGAGTTTACGCCGAATGCTCCACTCGCCGATCCAACTGGTCGCAAACTGGTTAGCCGTCGCGATTCCCCCACTAAAACTTCCACACCTCAACGCTTCAACGACTAAGGGGTAATGGGCCCAAGATGACCTACAGTAATCTGAGTGGCTCAGCATTGACAGTAAATTGTCATTCGCCAAGGGTTAGCTCGTTTATATAAGATACGACATGACCTGTTTTGTTTTAACCAACTAACTATCTAAACTTGTCTATCTACTGAACACAAGATACACATTCACAAAATGGCTACAATCACCGAGACTGCACCTCCAGCTGATTCTGCAGATGCTCAAGAGCATTGGAACAATTGGCCAAATGCAAAGGGCGTAAGTAACTACATCCTGTTGCGTAGACTGTTTCCACCTTTCTATTTCTAATACAATACCTAGTTCGATCCTGAATACGAGGAACGCACTCCCGTCGAGCTGGCAGTGACCGGAAAGATCCCTGCATATGCTGCGGGTACTTTATATCGTACTGGACCCGGCAAAAGCGAGGTCCAAACCGAAGAAGGCCAGACATTCCACATCTCGCACTGGTTCGATGGATTCAGCCAAACACATCGCTTCCAGATTATCGACTCGGGTGAATCTGAACCGACCCGAGTCCTCTACAACTCTCGTTATGCAACCGACGAGCTGATTGAATATGTGCGGAAAACCGGGGCACTGGCCAAATTGAGCTTTGGTCAAAAACGCGATCCGTGCAAGACTGTTTTCAACAAGGTTCAGAGTGAACATGTACCCCCCAGCGGGCCTTCCGGCATGAATATCGGTGTTACCCTTTCGGTCAATATGCCTGGTCTTGATGCCCAGGAAGATGGAGAGCCATCAAAACGCTGGGGAGGATCTAATGGCATTCGCACCCTGTACGCAAAGACCGACTATAATGGGTTTAAGAAGTTGGACCCGGAGACTCTCGAGCCGATTGGTCTTGCTACACAGGCATCTCTTCATCCCGAGCTGACCGGGCAGTTGGCTGCATCTCATGCTCGATCGGACCCTAAGACGGGTGATATGTTCAACTTCAATCTTGAACTCGGGGCAACATGCACATACCGTGTCTTTGGTGTCTCTGCCTCAACGGGCAAGACTACCATTCTTGCCACTTTCCCTGGCACGCCTGCCTATCTTCACTCCTTGCTCATCACCGAGGACTACGTTCTACTCTGTGTGTGGAACGCGCATATAGACCCGCTGTCACTCGCAGGCAAGTCCTTTATGGACGCGATCCTTCCAACCGATCCCTCTCTGCCGGCAACCTGGTACGTCGTGGACAGAAAACACGGAAACGGCTTGGTTGCAACATACGAAAGCCCGGCTTTCTTTTGCTTCCACACCATCAATTCCTGGCAGGAGCCGTCAAAGGAAGACCCAACAAAGACAGATATTGTCGCAGACTTGGTCAGAATGGATGGTATGGAGTTTATGTCCTCCCTCTACTACGATAACCTGATTTCTTCGCGCTCCACCGCCAAAGAATTCGCGGCGAAGAGAGGAGATGCGCTTCGTTCAACTATTACCCGTTTTCGCCTGCCGGCCTTACCATCCTCCCCAAGCTCTGATATTCTCAAGGCTACCGTTGAATGGTCCACCTGCAAGTCTCTCTCGCCCGAGCTACCTACTATAAACTCATCACTTGTCACGAAGAAACACCGCTACGTCTACTCAACCACTTTCCGGGGAGCGGCCACTTTAACTGATGGTATCATGAAATTTGATTGCGAGACCCAGGAATCCCGTTTATGGGCGCATCATGGCCACTCGCCCGGCGAGGCTATCTTTGTGGCTAATCCCGAGGGTGTGAGCGAAGATGATGGTGTTCTTCTGAGTGTTGTTCTTGATGGTATGGCAGGGAACAGCTATCTGCTGTGCCTTGATGCCCGCGACCTCACTGAACTTGGTCGGGCCCATGTTAAAGGTGTTGTTGGCTTTGGCTTCCATGGACAGCATGTCCCCACTGTAGGCTTGCCAACTGGTGATTACTAGGCTGTTTTTCTCTTTCACAAGGCTCTTACCTCAGCTGTGCGGTGTTATGTAGAATAAGCAGTTTTGAATTGATCTATCTTTCTGAATTTTCGCCATTGGATTATTGCCATAGGATCTATCGTATTGTTGATTGATGATCATCGCTTGAGATAGAAGTTTATCTGCAACTCTACTACAAGTATATGAACCCCTTCTGGGCGGATTCAATTGCTGCTTCAATAGTTCCAAATACGGTATTAGAGAAGCTGCACTAACTGAACTAGGTTAGTGTATGGGACCTGACCTATCAAGTTAAGCGTGTCCCTGCAGTAATTCTCAAGGCCCCGCTCCTCTCACCTTCCTAGAACGGAAAAGCCGTATTTTGCCCTGAGTCGGTTGAAATACCAACTGACTTTGCTTATCTTCAACAAAAATATTACTTAAGTCCTCGATGCAGCCTTGAAATGCATCATTCTTCAGCATTCTCGTCATTTTGAATTTTCCGCAGACATTCCAAGAGATAGCAAGCTTCTCAGCTTCGATTCAAGATGCTCATCCAACTTTTGCAATCCCTTCGGATCTCCCCGACGGACCCTCTTGTTGTCCGTGGCGCTTCAACTCTCATACTCCTGCTAAGCATCCTCTTGGCTGTTATAATACAATCTGGAAATGTCAACAAAACACGCAAGAGGTTGAGGAATCTCCAAAGACTCAACTCAACTACCAGCAACATGGCAGACCAGTACGATCCCAAGTTCAGCCAGTCACTGGGGACTACCGTTAACGGGTCACCTCGTATAAAAGCAATTTATCTTCATCCTGTCAAGTCTTGCGGGCCTGTCGAGGTCGATCGGGCCCTGCTCACCAAGACTGGTTTTATGTATGACAGATGTTTTGCACTTGCAACGAAGACTGTCACCGGTGATGATGCCGCGGCCTCTAAATGGCGATTCATCAGTCAGCGAACAAAGCCGCTTATGTCACAGATCAAGGCTGAGTTGTGGCTTCCGCACAAAGACAGTGATGCGCATGATCCGCTGGTGCAGTCGGGTGGATGTGTGGTTTTGACATTCGAAGATCCGGACCTGCCGAGTCGGATTGATCGTGTCGAGACATTTTTCTATACCTGGGATTACTCTGCAAAACCACAGGTTTCCTTCATTGTGCCTCTCAATGTTACTGTCACTCAGGTAGAGGAATTTCAGGTCAAGATGACAACGTTCATCATCCATGATCGTGATGCCAAAGGGCTCGACATGGGTAGAATTCCTTCTATTGCAACAGCCCTGCCAAAGCTAAAGAGATATTTGGGAATAAACGAAGGTCAAATTCTCACGTTGTTCAAATGTACACCCGATACATTGACACTCACGAACGAGAACCTCGCGCCACTAGAATATATCGGTTCACCAGCTTTGCACGGCTACACCGATTCGCAGCCTATAAACATCAACAGTCTATCCTCGGTCCAGGCTGTATCCGCACACCTTCCCACCGAAAACCAACCTATGAATGCCCTCCGTTTCCGTGCAAACATCTGGATTTCGAACGCACCAGCATACGAGGAAGAAACATGGAAACGCTTCTGCATCTTGCCCAAGAGTGGCGGTACGCAACCACGAGCTAGTATCGCGCCAACAATTTCCGTTGTTTGTCGTACATCTCGCTGCACAATGCCTAATGTCGACCCGGAGAGCGGGAAATTCGATACGGATAATCCGCTTCCTGGGAAGAAAAGAGGCAAACCGCAGCCTAGCACAACATTAATGAAGTACCGCACTGTTGAGACGGGGAATAACGGAGCTCTTGGGTATTTGGGTATGCATTGTGTTCCTGAGGATAGGAATTTCAAGGAGGTTGAGGAGAATGAAGTGGGAGTTTATGTCAAAGTTGGCGACGAGATTGAGGTACTCGAGCGAGGGGTACATCTCTATGGGTCGACAGGTAATGACTATTAGAATTGATTGCACATTTCATATAGGGCTCTAAGTTCTGATTTCCAGACAATGTCTGCGAGAAGAAGGGCGAGGGTGTAACAATTTTGTGTAATAGCAACGGCTCACGATGGTATTCTAGAATGCGGATACTGTTCTTCATAGCGGTCTGAAAAGCGGGGTGTGGGTGTGGGTGTGGGTGTCATGAGTCAAATTCTATCAGCACATCCACATCTCGCCCTTTCAGATTCATTTCCCTCTACAAATAATACAGTACCCCAATTATACATCTACGTCAAATTCATCCCTATATCACCCAAAATGGCAACAGGCGAACAAAACCTTTCCACCCTCCTCGCAAAAATGGAACCCACCCTAGATCCCAAAACCTACGTCTTCATCACCACAACCGAGGCTTTACACTCTCTCCCTCTAGCCACGTTGCAACCAACCCTAATCGTCCAAGAAACCGAGGGCACGACCATTGTGGCGACAGAGGATCTTGCCGCATCGCACGGTCTCGCGGGCGTATTTCCTTGCAAGAGGATCTCGCTGACGGTGCATTCGAGTCTGGAGGCTGTGGGGTTGATTGCGGCTATTACGGATCGGCTTAAGGATGAGAAGATTAGTACGAATGTGGTTAGTGGGTATTATCATGATCATGTTTATGTGCCCGCGGAGAGGGCGGAGGATGCGATGCGTGTTTTGGGGGAGTTGATCGATGAGGCGAGGAAGTAGATGCATTCCTGTATGATAACTTCTAAAGATTTTAAACAAGATCCAACATACCACGGTTACTTCCAGTTCACTATTACCAATGCGTTCGGTTTATCTACAGCTGTCGAGAAATTGATCCAAGAAATAAAATTTATCAAAATTGCTGGTCCTCTCTATCGAGACATGAACCTCCCCTACTCCATTCCTATGGTACACCCATTCATCGTTCATCGAAGAAGACATCAAGCACTGGGAAAAGAAGTAAAAGACATGACAGACACCGAGAAAGGAACCCAACGACCAACAACAACAACAAGGGCAAAATACTATTGATCCTATTCTATCTTCCTCGACCAGAGACGCCAGAAAGATAATGATCACCGACCACATATCCAGTGGGAAAAAAACTCCGCTGTGCTTTTAGCGTGCAAGACTGGTCCAGCCCAAAATGTCGACCAGCAGGTTTGATGGAACAACAACCGCCTCACTAGCCCGGTCCCTGCTGTAGATCTTGGGCTCGGATGACCGTCGAGGCGAGAGGGGGGCCGTTGAGCGAAGGGGGGTATTAGTTGTACAAAACAAAGGCGCGGAGAAAGATGAGCAAAAAAGAGGAAGGTTGATGAGAGTGAACATTGTCACTCTCAGTAGTCATCCTCTTTCTCAATGACCATGATAAGTTCGGTCAACTCCTTGCGCAGAGCACGATTCCGATCCCAGACCTCCACAATCTTGGGACGTTGGCTCACAAAGCATGCCTTCTTCCATGACACATTGCCGTATTTCGTGGCAACCCGTTGAGGCAGTCCTCTGGCAATATTACGCAGGACAAGCGCAGCTTTGTAAGCGGCCCCATAAGGCTCACCCTTCTCGTTCAGCGGCGTATCCATATAGTACCACTTACGCACAATCCTCTCCTGAAGAATTGGGCGCTTGGTACTGGGTGGCTGAGCGTCGGCGGGGCGATCTTCAGGCAAGTGAGAAGAAACGTGGCCAGCAACCATCGCAGTATTAGTGCTGGGTCCCGAAGCCCGGAACCGTGTGCAGCTGTCCCACTGACAGGTGTGAATAGGGGTTTCAGCAGCTTCCATCTTGAACTCGCCCGGAGTTTCGGTGGTTTCTAGACTCATATGATCCGCAAACACGTGGTTGCGGAGATCGCTGGGTGATTCAAATGCACGCTGGCACATTTGAGAAGGTTTTGAATTGTCTGCCCATTTGCAGTACAAGTATGGGAAGGCTTGGAAAGTGTAGGCAGTCTCCAGGGGCCGGATTCCCTTGATGATGAATTTTGGGGCCGTGCCGGGACCGTTGATTACCTGAGCCTGTGCATTGGTGAAGGTGTTGCTGACGTTCTTGATGAACTCCGCAGCAGGAAGAACGCCTCCACCGGCGGCTCGGGGATCGGCGAAACGGCTTTGATAGGCCTGCCACAGGGCAATCTGTGTGATCTCGCACTCTACATCTTCAACGAAACAGCATCTCAACCATTGAGAGCTCCGCTCCGGTTCTGAAAGTTCCATCAACTTCTCCAAAAGCTCGGGAGGTACACGAGGAATGTCAGCTGGTGGAGGTGCAACCTTTTCCTCTTGCAAAACGGTCTCTTTCTTGGTCGGTCGTGCCTCGTAGGTGAGAAGAGCGACCATGCGGGGTACAAAGACAATTGGGAAGTTGATGGCATCCATCAAGGTCTCAATATTGTCGTGGCTCAAAGTGTACTGGTACCAGAAATCCAGCGCACCGCTCAAAATGTCTTTGTCGAGGTCAAGAAGTGTGTGGTAGTACAGTTGTTGTAGGGTTGGCTTCGACAGGCTCTCCATGGCTCGGTTTGCGTCGGCCTCGTGCAATTCAGTAGAGAAGTGGGTTAAAGCCCAAAGAGCTCTCACAATGTGCGCGCGATCGGGTGAGTCCAGACAATTGACCAGAGAGATCCAGAGCGGATCCTCAGCGTCAGTCCTCATGAACTTGGTGACCTCCTCAGCAATATCGAGCGCGTCATTTTTTATTTCATTCAGGCGTGGCTGGTTTGGTACGTTCATCATGATGACTAGGAAGTCTCTGAGAAGGCCACTGGCATAGCGAGACACGTAAAAAGCGTTCTCCTTGAGCAAAACCATGTTTCTCAACACCAGAGTGGCCTCCTTGATATTCCGAAGGGCGTGGTTGAACTCTTTCGTCTCAAGGGTGTCTGTCGGGATGTTCGTGGGAATCTTGCGAATCTTGTCAAGAATATCTCGCGTACCATGCAGTGAGTTGAGTACATTGACACGGTCGGACCGTTGTCGGGGATCATAATCAAACTCCCAGCGTACGCCAGTGCAGAGATGTGTGATCTCCAAAGCTTTCTGCATGAGTGACTCGGCAAGTAATGGGAATCCCTCAAATTTGAACTTGTCCCACCGCTGGTTCGAGATTTGAACCAGATGGTACAACGCAAAGTCGATCTCGTCAGGAATGCCAGACTGAAGACCATAGTGGGCACGCTTGTAAATGTGGTCCGCTGCAATTCACGGGCGAATTAACATATTGTCCTCATCCTCAGGGTAAACGGGGTCGTGACTCACTACGCGGAACTTCCAAGAATCTTAGAGGAAAATACGGGTCATAGAAATCGGGCTGCTTGGCAAATTTTGTGCGATCGTAGAGACTGGCGAACAGAGCAGGTCGGTTGCCTGGTGTAGGTACTTCGCGCGTCGACATTGGCAGTTGTGTCTGGGCTTTTCCATCCCAGTTTTCCACGGCAAAAGACGCGCTCTGCGGGTTAGCTGCTGGGTTGAGAGGTGCATGAGGGGACATCGATGGCTGGGGAGAAGTGAAACTCTGATGATGGGAGCGGCGAGCGGGCGTCGTGTCCGGAATGAAAGGTTGGTTCACTTTCGGCGCCTGGCGCAGACCCTCTGTATGATGTTAGTATACCCCCATCGCAAACATCGTTGAGGTTTATCTTACGGCGCAGAGAGGTTCTTTGAGGTGTGGATGCCGACATCTTGATGGTAGAAGTAGGAATGGAGGTTGATTTAGCTTCTGCGCTGCGCAAGCTCTCCCTTGCGAGCCCGATTGGCGTGGTCACTTTCACACACAAACTCAATCGCAAGATTCGCCCTCAACCACCCAGAACAGGCTTGTAAGAGGTGTTCAAACTCAAATTGGCAGCCTCGCAGTCGAGTCTGCGTGGGATGTGTTTGCTGTGGGTGTAGAGGGAAGGGCGATAAGGTATCAATCGTTTTCCGTCCGGCTGTTCTCCAAAGCAATTGTCAAAAATGAGACAGCGATGCGCAATGCGACTCTTCAATACTAGCGAGGAGTGTGGTTTGCGACTGAGTGGAGTCGTCGGGCGCGTTCGAGGACAAAAGGCGTGGGACGACGTGCAACGAGGGAGAACACGAACACGAAGTGATCGCAAGGTCGGTAGGAGGACCTGGGATGCCGTAAAATACAAATACTCGACAAACTCAGGCGACCGATGCCTCGTGGTGGATAATCGTCAATGCCTTGTATATTGCCCTTGAGGGCAGTGGGAAGAGCTGAGCTTTGCGATCAACGGAACTGATCAGCCAAAAGTCCGCGCTTTCTCCAGGCGCGTTTTCGGAGCATGGTTATTCCGGGACCGGGATGCCTCATTTGCGCTAACCTATTTTGAGGCTATATTAATGCCTGAGGCATCAGAATATAGGTTGAGCCGCAATGAAAGTGGATATGGACGGAGATCAAAGAGTATTGAAACGCATAACTTGACTTACTTTTTGATCACCTAAGAGTTGATATTCTCTAAAAGTTTATTAATGTATATAGTATCAGATTATTGTCCTAGATTTCAGCTCTAGTTCGTATGTTTCGTATTGAAAGAGGAGCTGAACACCTGAACAAAGACCACAGTAAAAAGTGAAATTACGAGGTAGTGTGCGGAAGAAGAAACACTCATGCAGTTCAGACGAATAATTTAGGGGTTGCTTAGTCGTAGCGCTCCGTTAGAAACAGTGAGAAGGCCATTGTGTGTTGGGTGCGCATTCTCAAACCCCCGTCATCTGATCAACCCCCCTCATCTTCTCCCTCACCCACACACTCCCACGAACTTCCACGCACTTTATCCCACCTTTCCCTTCATCAGATTTCCCACACACGCGCGCTGGGCCCTTATTTCCACGCAATGCAGTCTACTCGAGATCAACCCCCTATGGGGACTCGACTGCCTCTTTCCAGGTTCTCATACACCGAAGGACCTCTCAACTCGCACGCCCGGCTCGTCTGGACTCATATCAATGGAGATGGAGATCTGTTTTGTGAAATAGAGCAACAAGTTGGAGGCCTTTTTCAACCAAGTCTAATTCTGAAAGTCGTCCATGACGGCCGGATGCTGGTATAGTAGTCCAGATGCACCTTACTGTGAATCTTCAATTTCACTGACACCAAGAGCAGGAACGAATCGATCTTGACCAGCATATTGGTGGGACCAAAAATGAACCCAAGTCGAGTCAGGAGGGTCCAAATGCGAAGCCGACCCTTATGGTCGTGGTGAAGCTGCCTTCTATCGCCATCAAGTATCCGTTGAATATCATGCAGGTTAGTTGATCAGAGCCTCAGAGCGGGGTATTCAAATATACTAATCCTGTCTTCCATGCAGATGCGTCGAGTCCAAATCAAGTTCAGTCAGGATCGCGACTACTACACGGTCCTATCTATGCTCAGCGCCGCCAATTGTCCTCTGGCAGAGGGCTCGATCCCAACCTTCCATCGGCCCCCTTCGACTGTATCCTGGGCATCGGTATCCACAGCCCAGTTGACCAAGAACCCGCCACGGGACGCCGGCGCTGCGATCACCCCGGAAAGCAATGCTCCAGTGCCCTCGAACTACATGGGCCGAAAGGCATATGGCTTTGAGACAGGTACGAGAGTCATCTTCACTATTGCCAAGACCGGTATGCTGATTATTGAACTGTGTTAGCCTCCAATGCCCCACAGGGCCGATTCACCATGCAGACCCTCGAGAGAGAGAACGAGACCGCATTGGGACGCACCCTTCCCGCCATTCCGGCAGAGGGAGGCCAGGCAACATCTGAGAAAGCTCCTGCTCGTCACACTACCGGGCCAATTTACCACGACCAGGAGCTGAATCAGATGTTGCCCCCGAAAAGGGACTTGCCTTTCACAAAGCTCAAGTCGAAGATGTCTCGGGCTGGCACGACAAGCCTAAAGTCAAGTCAGCAAATTGTCCCCGAGTCATCTTACCCGGAGCCCGACAACCTGAAACGGCGGGAATCTTTCATGTCCGAGTCGCAGTCCCAGCAACTGATTCAGACACAGCCCTACCCCGAAACAATGAATCTCTCCCAGGATCCTGCGAGAGTTCAGGCGACTTTGCCTTACCCTAGTGTGAGCACTGAATCGCAGCAGCAAGGGCGTGTGTCTTCAGTTGCAGGGACTAGCCAGCGTGCCCGGACTGACGATGGGCATGTCAGTGAAACAATCATCCAAGCGCCTCAATCGGCAAGGTGGTCGGTGCCAATATCCGTGGAAGAGCAGTTGTCGGAGTACGTTAAGGCACCGACTAAGGAACGCTCTGCATTCCTCGAGAAGTGGATGTGCGAGTTGATCCAGGATGACAACTTTGTAAGTCTTTGCGAAGATGTCGAGGGGACATGGAGACGCTTTGCTTTCGGGGTGAAGCCATAATGGCAAGTTCTAGGCCCAGTCTTTTCTTGATGCGATGACAATTTGTGTTACTATCAACATCCGTTATGCAGCTGTCTGCTGAATTGCTCATCGACTGCGACGTGTTACTGTTGGCAAGCTTATCTAGCTTCAGATTTGTAGGACATTATTGAATGGAATATCATGTGCGGCTTATGCACTTCCAATGACAGGTAGATTACAGATAATAGGGCAGAAGCGATAAAGAAAGTAAAAATAGATTTGAAGATATTAAAATCTGCTTGGTAGTCAAATTCCCATAGAACAACTGAGCCAGAAAAACACGTAATAGAGAGGCAAGCCATATGGCATTGGGGCAGAGCACTCAAACAGAAAAGATATTTGGCTAGCCTAACTCCCTGAACGAAATTGAGCAGAAAAAGAAAGAAAGAAACAAGACGGGAGGAAAGCGAACCCGTTCAGAAGTGAAACGCATCTCAACGAGTCCGGCGGTAGATCAGACCCGAGAACACGTTGAGATATCCCTCCTTTGTGAGCATAGTGAAATCCACCACGACACGGCCACTGCTACCACTGGCCTGCGCGAGCTGAGGCGCCAGGTTCGGCGACGTCTCACCTTGATCAGCAGACAGTCCTGGTGGCGGGGTCGAGGCACTCTGGCCAACCGAGCCCTCGGCACCCACAGCCAAATCAGCCAGATGCTGAAGCGAACGCTGCTCGTTCGGGCCCATGACAGGTGGCTGAGAGCCCGCGCCAACCTTGCCTGCACCACCAGCTTCGTGGAGAAGCGACTCCTGGGACTTTGCGCGGCGCCATTCAAGGAAGACGCGAATCTTGGCGTCCCAGCTGGGGGTGCCGAAGATATTGTCGAACTCAGCTGTCTCGACGGGGCGCTTGGTGCGGCGATCGAGGATCTCTTCGACTTTCTCTAGCGCGCCCCAGCATTCATCACTGTGCTCGGGCAGAACGGTCGCCTCGAGAAGGGTCATCGAGGCAAGAGCCAGGCTGTGCAGATCGAATGGTGTCGCGAGGCGGTTTTGCAGAGTTGCTTTGTGCAGTTCGTTGATAACCTCCTGGGCGCAGTAGATGATCTCATAGGGGCTGTAGATGAAAACGTGACGCTTGATCAGGAGGCGGATGGTCCAGTAGAGCTGAGCTTGGAGGTTTTCAAAAAGCGTGCGGGTCATGCTCTCGGACATTTCGTGCACATTGAAGATATCTTGCATATCCGCGAGGCGCTCAAGGGAGGCAACCATGTTGGCGCCGACCACATGCCCGAGGCCGGTGTTGGTTTGACAGACGTTATCCTCCACGGTGGCCATAGCGACCATCTCAGATAGGAACGTAGAGTATGCTGGGGTATGATGTGAGTAACTTATTCCAATAAAGCACGGGAAGCCGTTCAACTTACAGGCGATTCCAGTAACAATCTGACCGACAACCCGCTTATCCTCACGGCCGCCAACCTCCTGTCCCCCGATAACAGTCGCATCAGCCACGCTAATGGCGTACCAGCGAGCCAGAATGTTGAACGAGACCCAGTTGCGACGCGTCAGGTTGGCATCCGAGTCAACATCTGCATCTGTAACCCGGTTGGTCTTCAGCTGACCCTGGTTTTTGGCCAGATCATATCCAAGCTTGCTCGCGGCCTGGACCAAGGTCTGCTTCGGGATGCCATCCTTAAGGATAAAGTTGTCCGGACCACGCGTGTCACAGTCGATGATCATCAAGATCAATGTCTGCAACCAAATCAGGTTGGCTGCCGTTGAGTGCATGATCAAGGGCTGGCGGGTGTGGTACAGAAGGAGGTCCTGCGCGCTGTCGAATGAGACAACCTTCTCGAAATTGCTCGCAACACGCGACAGGTCAGTGCGAGTAACAGTGTAGAGCGCATAGCAGAAGATTTCCTGGGTCTCTCGGTTGCACTGGTGAAGCAACTCCAAGGTACGCTCCCTGGTGTGCGGAAGGATGGGCAAAAGAGCATGAACCTTCTGGTAGTATGCATCCAAAGCACCCTCGTCGAGGTGGACAGGTGCCATGTCGTCGTCGCCTTCGTGCTTGGGCAGTTCTGTCATCTCCAAGCCACTGGGCAGGCCGTTGTGAATATCCTGCTCGTTTCCAGTGGGGTTCCAGAACAGGTTACCAGGTTTGGGCGCGCCGCCGCTCGCGACGGCGGGGTTATACGGGTCGGCGCCTGCCTCGGGAGCATCGAAGGCGTTTTGCGATCCGCGGCCGTTAAACGATGGCTGAGCGAAGGATGAGCTCGGCAGCCCCTCAAAGACAGAGTATGTTCGCTTGCGACTGGCAGAGCCGGGGTCTACAGGTGAGGTGAAGTCCTGGTAGCCGCGGGAAAGTGAAACGTCATTCATCGATTGATACGGGACGTCAGACTGAACCATACCAGGCTGCATCTGGCTCTCGAGGGTGTGCAGGCGTTCGGCGAGTTCCTTGATGTATCTGTACAGCCGTCGTCAGTCTCGAGCTTGTTTCGTGGAGGCGCGTGTCCACCTACCCTTTGCTGGGACCACGCTTCATCGGCACGCGACTGAACTGACAGACCACGCCCAGTCGACGACAGTTTGAGCAGGTCTCGAGGCCTGTTTCGGAGCTTGCATCACATCGAACCTATTGTTTGGAAAAATCACAATGTTAGCTGCTGGAACCCGCGCGTCTTGATGGGGGCGAGAAGGAGGCGAGGACGATTTTCGCGACATACCTTCTTGCGCCGACATTCATCACAGGCTCTGGAGATCTTCGATCGCTTACGCGCACTCTGCTCGCCATAGCTCAAATCATGATTCGGATCCACGCCCACTTGCTGGCTGGGAGGGAATTGGAGCATGTGTTGGTGCTGGTGTTGATCCTCGTTGGAAGGCCGACCCATGTCGCCAGCATTCGACGAGCCTAGTACCATTCCTTGACCATGATTCGATCCATCGCCCAGGCCAGGACCAGAGGCGTCGCGCGATAGCTCCGCGGAGAGGAGCTCGTCGGTGGTCATCTGGCGGTTGCTGTAATACGGCATAGCACCCTGAGCCATCTGCGCCCCGTTGGGAGAAGGGTAGGAGGGGGCCGGAGGCATATCAGACTGCTCGCGGGAGTTCATTGCGCGAGATTACGTCCAGAGAGACACGAAGAGTGATGGGTTTGGCCGAAAGCGAGCTTCCGGAAGATGATGGAGAGGTGGAAAGGTCGCGCAGGAGCAGCGGAGTCAAAGGTTTTTTTCTACAGGCTAATTTTCGGTCAGGGAATTTGGCAGGGGTTAGCGCCCGCCGCATTGAGCAGCACCATTGTGTTGCGACAACGTGAAATTCATCATGCGACATTCAATCCATTTGTTTTTACTTGATTGATATATAGTTCTTTGCTTCTCGGGATGATCACGGAGGACGGCCTTTTGTTTCTGCGTGTTCCAGCGGATTAATACTATTTCCCATCTCCTCCGACCGGACGATGAGTTTGTCCGATCGTGAGCCTCCGCTACGGAGCCACCTGGAAACGGTGAAGGAGAGTCCTTATACTGTCCCTGCAATGTGTCTATCGGAGGAGATCGTGATGCATGTTCAAGGTGGTCTAAACTGCTTGTCCTTTTCAAGTCCGCCCGGGCTTACCTTCAGATGTGGCTATCCCTACAGAAGCTTACTGGGAAAGAGGAATGGATCACATGCTATCAAACAAACGCACTTGATCGTTGTCATCCTACATTGATCAACTTTGGGAACTCATTTCCATACGCATATGCATTTCTGCGATATCTTAATTTTCCCGATGCGATAGTCATTACGTAGTTCAAGTTGCCTAATCTTAAGTATAGCCCCGATACAGATTTCTACGGACACCCTGAAGAAACCAAGAACCTCGTTGACCGGCACAAAGTCCTCTAAGCACTCATTCATTCATAACGATAGGTCACCGATTCATCAAGGCCGTAGAGCCCAACGACCTCATCATGATCTATCCTGCCATCTACCCAGCACGTCCTGCCCTCTTTCCAGCAAGTTGGGTAGAATTGGCAGCTATGTTCGTCGTGCTTTCTGCCCCAGCAGACGGCGATCCTCATCCCCGCACCTCCCCAATTACAGTGCGGAGGGTCCACTGGGAAGTCCTAGCAGGGCCAGGTCACTGGATCTTGAATGGGCCCCATGTCGACGATATACCAGATGGGCCGGAGGAGAATTCGGGTTCTTCCGAGTCCAACATTCTTCCCGAAAATTATTTTGGAGCAAAATCACTCAAGAAAGTTCTCGATACGCATACACCTAAGGATATATCAGATGCCAAACAAGAATGCACACGGGTCTGGGCGAATCCTCACGGACGGTTGGCATATTCCCCCTAATCCCGGGACCAAAATTGCTTGTTAGGAGGCTAATTTGACATTAGAGACGTTCTGAAATATTACTTCAACAATTGCTGCCCGTTCTGTCACTCGGAGGGCTGCGTCTGTGCTGGATGTGGTGGGATGTCACAAAAGTATCCTGATATTTATGGCAGCTGTGGGACAGACCAAGCATGTCCAATGTGCCACGGCCTTGATCATGCAATTCGAGACAAAGCATTTCTAGAACCGTTAGATGAAGCTAAGATGGAACTCTGGGCACACAACGATGCAAAATCTCGGATCATGGAATCGAGCGAGGCCAATGCCACCCAAGACGGCCCTCTCTATGATTACAAGAATGAATACTTTCTGACTCAATGGTGGACCACTTGCAATGGGAGGAACTTGAGCTTACGAAAGACGTCTCTTGTGCAGCAACGAGAGAAAAAGAGAAATGGGCCTCAAGGAACGGGATCCAGACCAGGTTATCCGCGTGTTAAAGGAGTTTTGCCAAATTACGGTTCTCGACAATGATGAGGTTTGACCTTGAGGGGGATGATTGGCTGTGATGATCTTAGACTGGCAAGATATTGCTTACGATGATTTCAGAAACTATCTTCGCTGATAGCTTCTATCAAATTTGACATTCTGGCTCAAGGAGAAGAGTTTGAAATGATGAAGACTTCCTCATGGATAACTTGAACGTTTCAGGTGATCACGCAGTCATCGTGGTGTAGTCTCTATGCAATCGCTTCTATAGGGCGCTGTTAGAATGGATACTTGTTGGATATCATCCTAAGCTCTCAATTTCTCTTCAGCATGTCTAGGACGGTTTTTAGTTAGGCCTTTCGGGGGACCGACCATTTTGCGGCCGCTCATTCTCTCATATGTTCACGGGCTGATGTCAGATGTCCTTTGTTTTTGTTCAGTGCTTTCTATCGGTTAACGATGGGAGTTAACAACCGAGCTGAAAGTAATTACGATCTTTATATCTTAAGTTCAACACATATATGTAGATCACCGTTGACTTGACGAATGTTTTCTTTCAGTTTGACCACTCCCAAAATCGACTCCCTGGTTCGCCCGATGGCTCTAACGCCATTTGTCAGGTTGATCCCCGATCGTAATTTGTGACCCGCACGAAGGTCATCCTTCGCCCGCTAACTAGTCAGTTAACCAGCGGTTCCTTAATTTAGATTTCACCGAGACCGTACGGTTGCCGTATTTCTCCTCGTGCGTGTATTGTCTTGTAACCGGATGCCACACCCACCAAGTTCATGATTGGTTTGCCGTGGACATTGTTGCATGCGCAGATCAGGGCCCACCGCGCTGGCCGGCGCTAGACCCCTCTGCAGCCCGCCCGAAGCAGGAACGGTGACGCCATCTGACTGCGTTGAACGGCGCTATGACATGCATTACCGTACACGAACTGTAAGTTATCCTGCCGCTGGTCTGCAACCACCACTACGACGGGGGCAGAGTGCAGGTGTGTTCCTTTCTTCTGACATTTTCCAGCGCAGGAGAGAAGACTTTTGCAGAAGGTTCTTACTGGTTCATACGATTTCTGACAGCGCCAAGAAGAGCAGTTGTTCTTTGCACCAATGATCTGTCCAAGAGGTGCGGCTTGCAGGGATTATGGAAACTTCGATCGGACATGGTACCTGAGAAGATCCTGGTTGGCATAATCTACGGAGTATTTCCCCTTGAAACGGCCTTGACCAGGGGTCTGAAAATCATCAAGAGGAAATTAAGCACAGAGTCAGAGATGGTGGTTGAAACACTCTCGACCAGGCAAATGGCTCTGAGCTTCCCAAGGCTTGAAGGGACCAGGTGGTAAGGCTTGGGATGTGCGGCCCCAGATTTGACTAGCGAGATCCATTTTGCTGGTGGGGTTGTTCGTACAAAGGGAAAAAGGCCGTGCTCGGTTACTCCGCCGGAGAGAGAGAAAGAGGAGAAGCTGCCCCAACCTTCAAAATGTATGGACGGACTCTGGTGTTTCTTTTTGCATGCTGCATTTCCTGGATGGATGTTTCTTTTCTTTTGTGCCACCAATTGGTCTGCCTCGTATAGCCCAGTTCATCGGGACCATTCGAGACTCGACAGAGGATAGGTTCTGGAGGATAACACCATGCTTGTTTTTTGCATTCCCTCGTGGGAAGCTGGTAGCAGGACTGAGTTGTTGGGGCTGCATTCGTGTTGCCACGCAAGGCGGTTCCCGTCGCTATGCGGTTGAGTTGGCTGGACCAAAGGATGCATTGTTGCACCGATGGTCTGACGTATGGATGTACATATAGTACATGCCGATGAAATCTCTAAAAGCCATATCGTTTGGGAGCAACGAGCGGCTGGTATCGAATTATAATTGACTTGGGATCGGATGACTTATCTTCAAACCGTCGCTGGTCTGACCATGTCTGAGGCTTTCCCTCTTGATTGTGGGAATTGATACCAGAAAGGAACAAACCCTAACCAGAGCCGTACAAAGAGTCCCGGTTCATTGTGGAGCCTGGCCACGTCCTGGGACTCGAGGTGGAGACGATAGTCCGTAGATTCGCTGGCAAGGAGAAAGGGGGAGTCACCGATAATTAGGGGTCGCAACCTGGCTTGCCATGGAAGAATTGAATCAATTCCACTGCAGGGGATAGGACCAGCATAATCGGAACTAATAGGAGTCCTCGCGGCTGCAAGATGATGAAAGGGTTGGGGGGGAATATGGAAGATTGGATGGTAAGAAAACAAATAGGAAATGGGTGGTTCCAATTCAAGACTTACATAATATATTACAGTGTCTTGTCACAGGCTTGTCACACCGTGCCTTGTGCCTCGCTACGGCCGACTACATTGACCAGCTGCGCAGTGAAAATCCCACTTGGTACCGTCTTAAACCCTTCGCCTCCCTCCTCTCCTCTTTTTCTTCCCTGCATAGGGTGTTCCTTCAGGCTCCTTCATCGATCGCTTTCTATCTTGGCCGCCACTACCGGTACTTGGTGTCCTGTCTCACGGCCGGCGCCAAACGGTGCGTAGGCTTGGTCCCCCTCGAGTTCGCTCTTCTCTCTACTCCTCATCTTCCTTGGGACCCTCTTGCACCTTCAATACTCCCCGTCGATTGACGTCTCTCCGGTTTCGCCCTTCCCTCCTCCCCCCCAGAGGCCAGTGCGAATATCTCCCTAAAACACCCTCGGTCGAACCCAATATCAAAATACCATTATCGCTTCTTGTATACTGGAACGGCGTTCTGTGAACTTCCGCGCATTGGGATACCCTTTCGCCCAAAGATACCCTTTTGTCCATTCTCGTTCAATTCGGCCCTCTTGACGAAGCGGCTGATCTATACCCCCCGCCTTGACGGCTCTTCCCGATCCTCATTGCGATCGGTACTTTCAACTTCAATTTAACCATTCAAACCCCATCTTTATAACCATTTCGCGATTCATCGCATGTGTACCTTTCAATAACCACAGCGATGCTTATCGATGGTGAGAAGTGGGCCTGTGAAGCTTGCGTCCGGGGTCACCGGGTCAGCAGCTGTCACCACAGCGGTATGTCGATCATCCTCCCTCGCTCGCATTGTCCTTGTCCATGGTTCTCTTTGCGCAATCAGCTTCCAATTTCGCGAGACTAACCTGTCCTTTTACCCCCTAGACCGCCCTTTGACCCACATCAACAAAAAAGGCCGCCCAGTCTCTCAATGTTCCCACTGCCGCGGCCTACGCAAGTCTCGGACTACCCACGTCAAGTGCGAGTGCGGCGACAAGAAAAAGAAAACCGACTCGTCCGATTCTCATTGTGACAAGCGAGATCTCAAGCGTGAGCATATAATGTTATGGCGCTGCCGTCCTCGGTTCCCCCATTCTGATCTGAATTTACAGAGGACTCCCTTCACCGCTGTGGCTGTTGCCATGGCCAGCGCTGCATCTGTGCGCTGAAAAAGGAACCGCATCTAGATAGCGTGCCAGAGGCAGGCTTGCCCGTGCCTCACCCGGTTCCTGCTGAGCTCCCTAGGAAACCTCATCTCACGTCAACAAAGTCCGAATCGACGCTGACGATCTTCCGTGACGGTCACCATAAACCCGCCCACAAGCATAATGACATGGCCCACAAGTGTGGATTGCCCTACACAATCCCACGATCACATACCATCCACCACCCCTCCGACATGCCTCGTCGGTCTGTGGACCATTTGCCGTTGACACAGTCGGCATTCGTTCAAGAACCTCTCAGCCTCTCGATGGATCCTCTACCTCAGTCGCAACAAACGTCACAGCATGGTTCGCCCAACAGCGTTCCTTCTGCCGGCACTGACGACATTGCGACTACGACCTGTCTCGAACAAGCCTTCCTGGACAGCTTTGCTACTCCTGCTCTCCCGTCGACGGCCACAATGGACCCGTCCATAGACGGTACCTCCAATAACCCGACGTCCGCCCCTGCCACCATGGACAAATTTCCCCTGGAGCAAATCATTACCAGTGTTCCCCCGCCTCTCGATGTCACGACCTTTTCCACCTTTGCGACTACGTCCAATAATTCCCCGATTACCTGCATGGCTTTCCAAGATCCCTACCACGACCCGTACTTTACTTCACCGGACTCGGATGTGCCTCTCGGTCCGACCGGTACGGGTGCGCCATCAGTCGACTGGTCCAGTTTCCCGTTGTACTCGGATGTCCCTGCTTCTACCAGCACGCAAACACCGTCCTACGCCAGTTTCGACTACACGTATCCCTCGGGCCTGCCTCCTCCCTCGTCATCGGGTGACATCTCCGAGGTTGACGAGTTCGGACCGCTGCCGGGACTGGGACACGCGGGCAATGACATGCACGATCTGCACAGCGTGAGCGAAGCCTCGGACATGGACCACCTCCGCGTCAGCTCTGCGTCATCATTGGTCGGTCTGCCCCAGGCCCAGCTCCTGTCCTCCAATGACCTGGGATCGATCAACATCGATGATTTCCTCAAGTCCGCAAACGAGTCCACCGCTGCGCTCGAGCATCAACTGCAGGCCACCATGGGCATCGATCCAAAGCCCACTCCCGCGCCAGAGCTCTACTCTCTGTCGCAGGCGCCGGACTCGGTACCCATCTGGCCGGCTAGTCTCTTTGATACGACAGGACCTGCGTCGCCTCTGGAGGGGGAATACTTCCCCCAGTCGTGGGCGCAATAGCACTTGGTTGATACACTCGTTTGGCAAAAATCCTCTTGTTCTACTTTCTTCTTTTCCTCCCTGGGGTTCTTCCGTAGGATCTATGGTCCTTTCTTTTAATATGGTCCATGGGTTCTGCGGTCAGTTCTTACCACCACCTCCACACCGTCTTCATGACCTTGATGAGAGATGATGATAAATGCCTGTCCTTTTTTATATTTTACCGTCACTTGTTTTACTAGCCAGTCTAGATCTTCTCACGATAGCATTTCAATCTAGAGGGAATCTGCGATTTGGAGATATACGTATCTGGTACTTGCAGTTGAGTTGCCCATGTATAGGAAATGTTTTCTTACTTCTTTGTTGTACATGCTTAAGTGAACAAACCAGGTCAGGATTGATATTCTATGGCTCGATCTTAATGATTCCGACCAGTTAATCTCCAGAAACAACTCGAGAATATATGTACAGGTACATGTCCTCGAGTTATGTATCGCTACCCATGTAACCTGGTGGTATGTATGCACATCAGACCCTATGTACTCCCCAGCCAGCCACCATCACAATACTCACCGGAAACACCACATCTGTACACCGCGTACTCCGTACTTTCCATACACAATATATACCCACCAATAATCACTCCGTACATATGTATGGGCTCTCAGCCTTCCTAGTTCCCACAATGTAAACGCACCTTATTACTAGGAAGTTCCAGCAACCCTTCACATCCAAAAACCATATAACCGATTCCCTCGATCTACCCCACACTCAAGTCCGTCGCACGTCCGGGCAGAAACTCCCGAGCCACAAACCCGGCCCGCTACTACTTCCTCCCATGTCCATAGGGTTTCACAACAGATGTAGCGGTGTGGCCAGGAAACATGCCGAACGGACCAACCCCGGAACTAGATTGACACTTTACACTACTGTATATAGTAAGTTGGCTGAGCTAGCTGCCGCTGGACATGCGGTTTCGGATCTGCGCAGAGTAAGCAGGATTTTTGTGGCTGCAGGGTAGTTACATGGAGCAGGATAGTGGGATGCTAGGAAGTGGGTGAAGAAATTTTACGGCCGATCTCGGGCGGCGTTGATGGATGGATGTGAATGCCTTACTACATACTGGCTTGGTAGATGCACGGTCCTGCTCTTAGGTGAGGTGAGGATTAGTAGGTTGATAAGATAGGATGGCTATTGCATGGAATAAAATTGTTTATGATTACTTTTTATTCGCCAGCTTGATTGAATATTCTTGTAGTTCTTCTTTTCTTTTGATTCCAGTATTATTATTGGGATTATTCTTTGCTGAATACGATTCATGATGAATGAATCCATTATCAGAGGGGTAGATATGGTAGACATAAATAGCGGTGAGCAGCCTCTCAAGACCAGGTTTATCAGGTTAACCTCTTCCCATGACCTGAATTACCACGACATTGAGTATCAGTTTGTGAAGAAACCCCGAGTTCGATCAGATGAGCTTCGGTCCTCCCGAACGACTCTCTTATTCTCTGTAGCTGCCGTTTAATATACCAGAACCTTAGTCCTCGTATTTTTCTGCACATTCTTTCTATTAGAGACAAAGCCACAAAACCCTCAACCTCGTACAGAACATGCATCCTTATTACGTACTTGTAAAAGTCCTTTCCCCAGCAGGTTGGATGAACCAAGTAATGGATTGAATACTATAGCCATCTTCCGTACTTCTGATCGATCCGTTGTATATACAGGCACCATATACCGGCGTAACTCACCTGAATCTACCGTGACGTATGCTGCACATATCTATCTTGTGCTGCACCTGTCTTGCTGGTCAAGCCTTATCTGCATTGTCTTGGCTAATGCTTAGCTGTGCACGGTCCGTGGTCTTACAGGGATTGCCCTTGTTCTTGGGGTTGGAAATGGTTGTAAGATACGGTCTAGGATCTGCGGTGGATGATTGGATCGTGACTTAAGGCTGGGGATATTATATACACTACCACAGATGGGGAGTTATGCGTCTACGTCTTCTATATGTACCCTGATTATGTTGTGCGATACTACATATGGAATTGGGCTCAGCTGAATGAGAATGTAGTACCTGTGATTGGAATCATACCCAACCAAATGTCTCATAACTTGCCCTCAAGTCGGCCGAGATCAGTGGTGAAGCAAGGGATGAAATAGAAGATCTAACAAGACAGGACCGCACTCGTATTTCTGGTGTTTGTATTACAGACGAGACACGTTAGACATGTGCCTACTCGGATCAATCGGCAATTTAGCATACCAACCCCTGGTAAGTGCTGGAGGATAGATACCGGCACAGACGAAAGTAGATTATGCGGGCATATCAACAATGAGTTGGATACTAGCTCTGAATTGCTAAAAGCCCCCCGAAATGGTAATTTGAACAGATTCAAGTACAGGACCTATCTTGGCGAACATATAGTACATCGTGCTTTGGGTCCCCAGTTATCTTTTGTGTTTCGACAGTAGCCAATTCATCCCTTTGCAAGATCTCTTGACGGGTTCATGACTTGTGCGACTCTCCCACCTAATGTTGCTTGTGGAGGTAACATGCCCACAGGATAATATTTTGGTAGTATAGCATACTGTGAAGTGTGGGGAGAGGTAAGGTCAACTGGAAATTGAAATTCTCGGGTGATTTCTCGGGGCTCGCATCACTGTATACGTCAGTTCAGCGACGAAGCCCCTCTGTACTGCCAAATTCTCTCCGAGATGATACATGACACACCTTCGATAGGCCAATTTGCGAACCAAGGTGCACCTCCAACTTATAAGTACGTCTGATGTTGCATACCGCAAAGCTTGACACAGGTCTGGGTTATAGAGTATGAGAACTCCAAATATCTGCTGTAGGACAAATCACCGCAATCAACGGGAATATCTTCAGAGCAAATTTTGCGCTGAAGATTTGCCATAGTGCGTGTCTATGTCATCCTCCTGATCAGTTGCTTTCTTTTTCATGATTTTGGACAGCTCTGGGTTCCCCTTAGAGCAATTATTTGAAGGGACAAGAAAAGGAGAGAAGCTAGGCTGACTCAACCAGTATTTGAAATTCTTTTGGTACTGCCTTCCCCATGATCCTGATTTGTAGGCAATAGTTGGTCTCTGCAATAGATAGATCATCTCCACCTGATGGGGCAAGTCGCTGTAGCAGGTGCGTTGCACCATTTCCCGGGGTTCATGTTTAGCACCTGATTCTAATGGGCCTTTCGCGAGCTTGCTCAACTTGAAGCACTCACAGAAACTTGTGGTGTTAGAGAGAATTATCAACATCCAGGGCTGCGGATATGGTAAGAAATTTTCATGAGGCGTGTCGTGACAGAGAACGAGAAAGTGTACTTTCCTTGGCTAAGGGTGGGTCCCAAGTTAGAAGCTGTGCTATCAAGCACAGTAAGAGGGAAAAACTTTTAGTCTTCTGAAGCAGCTGCAGGTTTTTAGAACTGCGCTCGATATATGACGGGTTGAACCAGATACGTACCAGATGAGTTTCGAGGTTTGCTCCAGACCGAGATACCGCAATACCCAACAAGGAAACGGAGGTTAAGGACAGATTCAGCCAAGAATTTCGTTTTGTTATGATGATTTTCCCGGAGATTGAATCCCTATTTGTGTAGACAGGATCATCACGATCCAGGTTGACTTGGACTTGCATGGATTTGGGCCCGGCAAAAGGCAAAGGCTCTGCTAATGTCTCTGGCATTGGATCAAGAAAAAAAGTCACACTAGTGACTCCAAGAGGGTAAAATAGAACCAGTACGCTCGGGGGCTTCATTCAAATTAAATACTAAGACAGCTGGCGTGGTTTTGGAGCTGAATCAAGCAACCTAACCACCTAACCGAAAAAATATGCCAAGACTCCCGCCGACTATGGTGCCGACGAGAAATACAACATCGAGGGAAACCTGTTCTTTGAGAGTCGGCAAAATCTCATAGGGCCAGCTCTAACAACCAATAGGCCTGAAATTTTAAGCCTAAGGTCCCCACGCTGAAAAGCTCCTGCGATGGTAAAGTATATCCAGACACTTTCTTCAATGGTGGATCCACCGAGTAAAAATAGTCGGGCATTTACTGAATGCTGATTGGCTCATATCCATATCCGATCCACAAAAGAGGATGAACAACTATAGAATCTAACCGGCCTCTTACAAAATATTTCGGAACGAGGGTCCGTAATAATTTATGAATGGGGCCGGTTAGATGATATGTCCACCCAAAATCCTCCAAGTCACCGGTCGATGGCCGAATACCCCAATTTTTTTGTTCAACTTTACTCTCGGCTTAGAGCATTATACCCTTTCCTCTATCCGCATACACTTACGACTTACTTTCGTTCTTGCTCTAAGAATCAAGAGTTCCTTGCACAATGGATCCCACATGCAGTTCGAATCAACTACCTCACAGTCCGCCCAACATCGGTCATTCGATGGAATGTCCGCAACCTTCAAGCGTTCGTCCAGCATTTCGCGTCTTCCAGTTGCCAGATCTGGCTAACACTTCGAATAAGCAAACCCTCGACTTCGAAGACCTGAACCATGCCAGACAACCACCAATTTCCTCAACCCAGCTGTCTGGATTATATAGGAGACTAGAAGAGCCCGCAGTACGATCCCAACGTCGTCATACTTCACCATATCCGACTGGTGCCCCATTTGGAGTCTCCTCGTCCGATTCGGGACAAGCAGATGAACGATCCGTCCCACTTTGGGACCATGTCAGTACTGACATCGGCTCTACAATCTCATATCACTGGGCACAACATCAAAGGATCACCTCGGGAACTTTGCGCCGATATCCGACTCGTCGGATAAAACTGGTGCAAAGGACAGTTTTGAGCGTTGATTACCCAGTTCCAAGTGCAATACGGAACGCGGTCCAGCCAAAATATCGAGATCTAGAAGGCAATCCTACTGCGGAATTTACTCACATGCGATGTGAGTGAAATTTCTGTGTTCTCTTCTAGATCTACTTATCTCATTTCAGATAGACACAGCGGCCACTTGTGATCCTGATGAGTTCACGTTGCAACGTGGATACAATCTTCGCCCCTCTATGTATAACAGACACACCGAGATAGTTATCGCGATCACCTATTACAACGAGGATAAAGTTCTTACCGCTCGGACATTGCATAGTGTCATGCAAAACGTTAGAGATATCGTCAGTTTAAAGAGGACCGAGTTCTGGGATAAAGGGGGTCCAGCGTGGCAAAAGATCGTTGTATGCCTTGTTTTTGACGGTATCAAACCATGCGATAAAGAGACACTAGACCTTCTTGCGACTGTGGGAATTTACCAGGATGGTGTCATGAAACAAGATGTCGATGGCCGAGAGACAGTGGCTCATATTGTGATTACCCCTTTCCTTGCTTTGCGCTGATCAGCTTTGACAAGAAGTAGTTCGAGTATACCACTCAGCTCTCGGTCACACCAACGCAGCAATTGATTCGACCATCGGGTGATGAGCCTACCAATCTTCCACCGGTACAGATGATCTTCTGCCTCAAACAGAAAAACAGCAAAAAGATTAACTCCCACCGTTGGCTTTTCCATGCGTTTGGGCGTATTCTGAACCCCGAGGTATGCATTTTAATCGATGCGGGTACCAAGCCAGGACACAAATCCCTACTTTCACTGTGGCAGGCCTTTTATAACGACAAGGACCTCGGTGGGGCATGTGGTGAGATTCATGCATTACTTGGCCACGGTTGGAGAAACGTCTTGAATCCCCTAGTAGCGGCACAGAACTTTGAATATAAGATCTCTAATATTCTCGATAAACCACTCGAGAGCAGTTTCGGCTACGTTAGTGTTCTTCCAGGAGCATTCTCTGCTTATCGCTACAGAGCTATCGTTGGCAAGCCCTTGGAGCAGTACTTCCACGGCGATCACACGCTATCCAAGAGGCTTGGCAAGAAAGGAATTGAAGGCATGAACATCTTCAAGAAAAACATGTTTTTAGCGGAGGATCGTATCCTATGCTTTGAACTTGTGGCAAAGGCTGGCTGCCAATGGCGCTTGAGCTATGTAAAAGCTTCAAAAGGAGAGACTGATGTGCCCGAAGGCTTAGCAGAGTTCCTAAGCCAGAGACGCCGCTGGCTGAATGGCTCTTTTGCGGCGAGCCTTTATGCAACAATCCATTTTGGACGGATCTATAAGAGTGGGCATAATCCAATTCGCCTGTTCCTCTTCCACATCCAACTAATTTATAATATTGCTCAACTTGTCATGACATGGTTTTCACTTGGTAAGTGACTCACTTCAGTTTGGGATTCTTGGGATGAGTTGACCTAACCAGGCATTGATGTGTAGCATCATACTGGCTCACTACCTCCGTCATCATGGATATTGTTGGGGTACCGAGCGCCGTGAATCACTTCAAGAGTTGGCCGCTTGGCAGCGAAGTGTCGCCAATCCTGAACAACTTCCTCAAGATCGGCTACTTGGCGACTCTCTTGCTTCAATTTATACTGGCACTTGGAAATCGACCGAAAGGGTACGGTTTAAAGTTTCAGAACCTCGTTAAAGACCATGCCGTTTAGGACTGACAAGTATTCGCCAGATCAAAAATCCCATACACACTTTCTCTAACCTACTTCTCTATTGTTCAAGGCTATATCCTTGTTTTAACCTTCTATCTGGTTGCACAGGCATTAGCCGGCAAAAATTTGACATTCGACACACATCTCGGTATCGTTACATTCATCGGCACCTTCATCGGTTCAACGGGTGGAATCGTTCTAGTCGCCTTGATCTCCACGTACGGCATCTACTTCCTTGCCAGTTTTCTCTACCTTGATCCATGGCATATGTTTACATCATTATGGGCGTATGTACTGGGTATGCCTTCGTCGATTAACATACTGATGGTGTACGCATTCTGTAATTGGCATGATGTGTCATGGGGAACCAAAGGTTCTGATAAAGCCGAGACGCTCCCGTCGGTGCAGACAAAGTCAAATGATCAACAGACATTTTTTGAAGAGCTAGAAAAGCCCCAGGAGGATATCGATACCCTATTTGAGCAAACGGTCAAACGGGCCTTGACGCCATACCGACCTCCTAATGAAAAAGAGGAGGCCAGTTTGGATGATTCCTACAAAGCCTTCCGAACTAATTTGGTGCTCCTGTGGGCATTCAGCAATGGCCTCCTGGCGTATTGCATCAATAATGCCGGTCTAGATCAGCTTTGCTTCACGGTATGTTGTGCATGTGGTTGCGTCTACTAGGTGCCAGGGCTAATTCAAGCAGACAACGTCGACGCCTCGCACGGCAATGTATTTCAGAATTATTCTTTGGGCAACTTCAGGGCTCTCTATCTTCCGCTTCTGTGGCGCTGTTTGGTTTTTGGTAAGAACTGGTGTTCTATGCTGTTTTGAGAGACGGTGAAAACTTTTCCTTTTGGGGACATGTGCCAAAAGTTGTCAATCTATGTCACCTCTTGTATTTCCAGCATGGCGCTTGTTTTAATTCACTTCCTCATTTTACATCAGGGGAAGTTCATGAAAGTATCTGCCTCTCGTCTTCCCGAAGTCAAACGTGTTCGGGCTGTAGCCCAGGCGGGTTTGTGATTAGCATGAATGGTTCGCAGGTACGGCCCACTACTCAAATTAGACATCTACTGTATTTAAAAGGTTTCCACCATAAGGCCAACATCGAAAAACCTCCTATAAGAAGCGCACTAGAGGTCGAATAGGGGCTATTTCGGGAGCCTGGCAACCTGCAGCCTGCAGTGTCCCAGCCACCATGCCCCTGGTGTCATCTCTAATCACTTACCAGGGCAGGGAATTTCAGGTGCGGAATTCAATTGGTGGATGCATGGGCTAGCGGCGTGGGAAGGGGCCCAGGCCTCAGCCAAGGCTCAATTAGCTCCTAGCCTCTTGACAGGCCTCGCTGAGCCTCATTCGCGACACACAAATCCCTGCAACGGGGGCGACCCCTGTTTGGAGTTGGCAAAGCTCGCGGGGAAAGGTCTTGAGAAGGAAGAATACAAATCCACTGCATGTAGACCCAACTCCAGTACTCTGTACTTCATGTTAAGACAGCTCCCGCACGATCATTTGGAATCTACTCATGGAGCGATCGGACTCAATACTCCTCCGCACTATCACACAAGGGAATCAACACTAGTATGCGGCACTTCACCCTGATGAAGAAGAGACAGATCATCAAATTCGGAAGAAGCGACCCAGTGAAGAAGGGATGGGCGCTCACAATACGCCATCAGATCGTGATCCGTCGAGAGTGACTCCGATGGGGAGCGAGACTTCACTCAAATCCACACAAGAAGAGCATGTAGCAGAAACTGCAACGAATGAAGGGAGGCCAAAACCTGTAAAGATACCCTCGACCGAGCTGTATCGTTCGGGTTATATCCTATTCCTGGTACTGATCTATATTGGCTTGGCCATTTCCACTTGGGTCATCACCTGTTCCTTGTCCTTGCGTCCTATCACCACAGCATCCTAAGGGCCATTGATCGGCAACGGTAGCTATGTCCACCATGAGTTGGGCTGGTATTCCATATCTCTGTACAACAAGAATCAAAAATGGTACCAAGCCGGGAGGGTTATCCAGGCGATCGTGAGTGTCTTGACCATTCCCTTGACCTCGGCTGTTGCTCGAGTGCCGCGGTCATCTTTGTTCAGAAGAAAACTTCTCGCGGTGGGCTCAGCATGAGGCAGGTGATCACTATTGCAGACAAAGGATGGACCGATATTCCAACATACATCAGGGAATTTCCATTTTTCGCCACGAAAGGTTGGAAGCGGTATGGAAGCTCATTTCTGCTGTTGACTATCTTCGTCAATCTTCTCAGTTCGCTCATATCGCCTCTGCAAGCGATATTTCTGTCCACCAAGACCATCAAGACTCCAACATACCCTTTAGAGGTTTTTGATCTCCTTGACATTCCAGATCAATAGAGAAACGCGGATTACGCAGATACAAACTTGATCGTGGCCCTGACTCGTGGCGCCCTAGAGTCGACAACCAAATTCCAGCGGCAAGCCCAGCTCTGGAAAGGCGCAAACGTATCTTGTGTCCTGGATTCACCCGGGTGGAATATATCCCAGTCATGTACACGCGGAGGTGCAACTTTGGGCGACATCCTGCATCTGGAAAATCCGTTCTTACCTCAACTCCCAAGCGGCTACAGCTCTGGCCTTATCCAGCAGTTTATTCCTCGTATCAATTCCACTGCGCAGTATCACAACATTTCTGCCGACGAATTCCCCAAAGCCTGTGACAAAATCGAGGGTACGTTTTTCGTCGATTACTCCCGCGTGAATAGGGGGGAATATGGAATCAACTGGGCGTGGGGACTCCAAGCGTGCATGCCTTTTGATCTCACGCATTCGCCATGGAAATCTACCCGGGATCGTCAAGATCTCACAGAAGAGCTGTCCTTGAATGTAACTGTGCTGGATGATTATACCAATTACGTCGAAAGCTGAGCTTTGACACGCAGATCCCAGTCCTCTCACAGAGAGGCTTGATATAGATTTCCCTCATCCTCGGCTTGGATATCCTCATGCTGCTTTCACTTGCGGTCTATGCAACCTTCACGCCGCGCTGGACGTCGACCTTTGATTCATTTACCATGACGAGGATGGGTGCGGCCATTGCTGAGAATGTGCCCTTTCTCGTTGGCAGGGAGAATGATAAAATCGACGTCCTTGATAAGATCCCGGGATGTGTGGGGGATCAATCAGACGAGAAGGATATGCTTGGGAAATTGGGCCTAGGAGCTCCAAGACCCTTGGATTGGCAGAAGCATAGAAGATTTGAAAGTTATGACAGAGATCCCGGACGGATTTTCAAGCTTAGGGAAATCAACGCGATCTACCAAAAGGTGTATGAGGAAGGGAGATGAACCATGCAGGTCTAGTACCCTCAAGTGGGCACACTTAACCCCTCAGTGGAAACTATTGACTTTTTACATGTATCAGAATACGAATTGAACAAGCAAAGAACGAGGACAAGCCCTGAAAATTTCATTCGTCCATGGTTAGTGTCCTTGCAATTTATTCACCATCTAAGGTGGTGTAAACAAAGTCAGGTATAAACGGATGTGGCTTTGAGGTAATCCTCGTCGACGATACCAACTGCAAGCCAAAAGCAAAGATAAAGGTCTCCGAATAGGGGAATCGAGCCCCTGGCTGTCGTGTGAGAGACGACGAGTTGAGCCACTTCACCAATTCGGATGGGCTTGTTGAAGAGAGCGTAAATCGTGGAACTATGAAGCTATGTGGTTTATCGCTCTCAATATGAGAATTCTGGGTTGATTCAGTCCACCTTGGATTACCGGATCAAGACTTGCCTGCTTAAGATCCGTGGGCATTAGTACTTGGACTGATCTTCTAATTAACATTAGACCGTGGACCGGTTTCAGTAGGAACGACATTCTCTCTTTGATAGCGAACATCGAGTCCATCATCAAAATAGACCATACCGTTGAGGCTCGGCAGAAGCACAGTGAGCATTTGCTATCTTTCAATTGATCCAGATGGACACGAGCCACAGTTAGAGCTACATAGGTCAACATGATTTCTTTGGTTCGAATTCCCCTACATACCCAGGTCGATAACCGGTTAGTTAGGTAAAGCAAGGTAATCCCGATAGCTTTCTTGACTGCAATCATCCATCCTCGTTCACCTACTCCTAGATCTCAACACTCGAAAATCATACCTATCGTCTCATGCCACTTCTACGCCTACGGCCATGTCTACTCAAAACACGAGCGAGGCACCCCGTGAAGTCCACCTCAATACAACACCAAAACTACGGAAAAGAGGGGAAAATCGTACATAAAAAGGATTCAATGCATGTATTCTATGGTGTGGTATCAAAATAGCCCGGGCGAATGCAACGTCCCGACAAGTCAAGTCAAGCCTCGCCTAAAACCCGCAAACAAACACAACCCGACTGGACTGGTCTCATCTAACGACATGACACAAAATGCTCAGAGTCCGCAATTCGCAATTCGCAGTCCAAAGCTTCAAAGCTCAAAGTTCAAAGCGCAAAGCTCGTCATGAACAAAAGAAAGAAGAAAAAAACGTCTAGCATAACTCGTAATTTCTGTTCTTCTCTTGCTTTATACACGTTTCACTTCACCGGTACTGGTTCATGAACTCGGAGTGGAACTTGACGATGCGCTCGACCCAGTCGGTGCCGGGGGCCAGGAAAGTTGTGCGGAAGTGGAATGTGCCCTCCTTCTGGCCGAAGCCGGAGCCGGGGACGGCGCAGACGCCGGTGGCGTCGAGCATCTTCAGGCAGTAGAACTCATCGGCGGGGCGACCTTCGGCCTGGGCGGCTTCGATGGCCTTGGTGGGGAGGTTGATGGTGGGGAAGAGGTACATGGCGCCCTAGTAGTGACTGATTAGCTGATATTCCAAAGAGGGAGGGAGAGGGTGGGTTATTAAATACCTGAGGCTTCTGGCATTCAACACCCTCCATGCGCTGGAAAGCATCATACAACGCGAAAGCACGCTTTTGCAAACCATCTCGAATACCGTTATACTCCTTCTCGTAGAGCTCGAAGCTGGGGTCACCAGCGCGAGGGGGGTTGACCATTGTCTCGAGCAGGCACTGTGCGACGACCGGCGGGCACAAGCCAATGCTGACGAGCTTGTAGATCTGCTCCTGAACCTGCGGGTCGAAACCGACCAGCTCGAAGAAACCACCGCGGTGGCCGCACTCGCCGACCATACCTTTGGAGGTACTGTGGAAGGAGACCAGCTCTACGGCGTCGTACTTGCCGGGCTGCTCCTTCTGGAGCTGGCGCAGGCGCTTCTTGAAGGAGACGAACTCGCCCTCGAAGACGTTGGTTTGGTAAACCTCGTCGGCCATGACGACCAGCTTCTCCTCGGCAGCGACGTCGATGACCTTCTTAATGTCATCGGCGGTCAGGGAGGCACCGGTCGGGTTACCGGGGTTGATCACCACGACGGCGCGGACGTTGGTGCCAGCAGCCTTTGCCTCCTTGATAGACTGGGTGATGGCACTGACGTTGGTACCCCACGACTTCTCCTCCTCCAGCAGGTATGGCACGCACTGCGCGTTCAGAAGGGCGAGAGTAGCGGTGTACAGCGGGTACTGGGGGATGGGAACCAGCACGCCGGCATTGGAGTCGTTGCAGATAACATTGAGCAGGGTGCTGACACCGGAAGAAGCACCAGCAGTCAAGAACAGATCTTGAGGGTTGGCGGCGAAGCCATCACGTTCCTCAATGAACTTGGCAACGCTCTTGCGGATACCGGGAGCACCTTGGCTGTGACTGTAGGCACCGACGCTCTGCACGTTGGCCAACAGGGTCTGGGCACGGTCGATCACATCCTGCTTGTATCCGAACGAGGTCTTCAGGGCCTCGGGGTTCTCGAGAAGCAGCGGGTTCTCGACGAGACTGAGGACTTGACGGAAGAAGGTAATGGGCTTCTGGTCGAGTTGTTGGGGGTTGCCAATGTTGGCGAAGATAACGCTGTCGAAGGGCAGTGACTTATCACCATCGGCCAGACGCTGGCGGTACTCCTCCGCCTTGACGGCCAGCTCACCACGCACGGCGTACTTGGCAGCTCTAATGTGCGGGTTGATGTTGTCGATGTTGAGGCATCTGGGCTGGGTCGTGGTCAGGGTGCGCTTGGCATAAGCGACAGTGGTTTGAGTCATAGCGGACACTGATGGGGCCCCCGAGGTCAGTGTTAGTTATATAAATGTAATGATATGAATAGTTGGTTAAGCAGGAGTGAGCGAGGTATAAGAGGAAGTGTGAAGAGTGTATAGTAGTCGAGGTCGAAACAGGGAATGTCAAGTGAGCCTTTTTCACAACAAGGAAGGTACGATCCCGGTGAAGCAATTCGAAGATGGAAAGAAGCAATGGGACGTAGTCATACGATATAGCAGCGGAAACCGCGCTTGAAGAGGGGGTGGAGGGGGGGAAAATCAATGCCCCATCTATATATAAACGCAAATAACGCAAATCATCCCACGTACCTGATCCAGCGGAGAAGCCCCCCGCAGCGCCGCCAGCGGTCGGGCGAAGTAGGAGGCGGGCATTCGGCCGGGTTACGATCACCCGCGGAGAGGCCCGCACACTGGAGGCGAGCTTATATTGCCAGGACATGACGGGGTCAGACGATCAGACTGAATCACGAATTGATCGAATCACAGTCCTTGATAGGCTCGTGCCTTGTTGTTTATTGACTCGGGAGAGAGTGTTTGCATATTGGGGAGACGAAAAAAAGTCCGCCCAGGGTCCAATTGGGCGGTGAAGTTTGTGAGTCAGCATTTGGATTTTTTTTTCCTTTTTCCCCACAAAGTTTGGAGAATGTGGAGGCGTCTTTCTATCGGTCGAGATGCCGATTATCTACAGTCTGGAGATGATGATAGGACAATTCTACTATCTCCTGACAAAGGGGAGGGGGCTGAAGAATGACTGAACTACTGGAGAATATCCGATATGCATGAAGTATGGAGGTTAGCACCCTACATAACAAGACTAAGCCACTATGGAGACTTCGTCATAGTCGATCTTCTCCTCGGGAAGCCTCCCGTTGCCCGATGAATTGGACTCCGGTCTCGCCCCCCATCGGGCCCTCCGGAGCCGCCCGATATGCGGGGGAGCTGGGATCGAGATGAAAAACGAGCTGATATCTCTGGATCTCATTACATAGCTTGTGGAAGGATCTATGGAAGGTATACAACCTTCATCGAAGACAACATCCCAGCACAGAGTGGCTTGTTAGCGTGCACATATGTATTGTATAGCTGGGTCTATCATTCTACGGTACAGTACATGAGACACGATTGGATCACGTTAGATAATATTTCTGCGTTCAGACATGGACGGATGGTGGTATCACCGAATCATCTCTAAATAAAACAAAGTCTCTGCTCCAATTAAAACCCCCAATGTATCCGGGTTAACTGCGCTCACTGCCCCGCAGGCGGACAGCCTGGCCGTACTTCTGCAACTTCGTGATCAACGCATCACCGTGCTTGACCACATCCGAGTACTGCTTGTTTTTATCATCGGGCCGATTGGTCTCGATAATCCCGTTGACCCGGTCGATCGTGCAGGCAATTCGGTTGCTGGAGATGAATTTCGCCAAGTCCCTAAAATCGCGCAAGTTAGGTAATGAGATGGCACACCGACGATAACCGCCACGGGAAGAAGAAAACATACCGGTCCAAGTAATCCACTGTCACTCCAAAGTCATTCGCCATACTGGTCAGGCCCACTACCCGGTAACTCTGAAGGAGCTGCTGGTAGGCGCGTAGACGCATCTCCCGGACGAACCAGGCCCGGTGCTCATGCAGGTACCGGTCCTGGGTCAAGAAGTGGTCCTCCACAGCTGCAAGGGCCACGAAGAACGAGCGGTAGTTACCATTATACAGACTGTTGACCAGGTTGGCCAGAGGAGAGAAGTCCACGGGGGCTTCATTCTCTGCCTGCTCACTCGAGCCGGTAGCCAGGGTGGTTAGGTTAACGACGGTAGTGGCTCCGGGTGCTGGAGTCGACTTTGATACCGTCACGTCCTTCATCTCCTCATCCAGAGCACCAGGGCCCGATGAGACCTCGCCAGACAGCGCGGCCAACTGATCCTCTCCAGCACCCAGGATAGCCTTGATCTCGGGCGCATCCACCACCTTGGCCTTGAAATCCACCCGCTTCAGGGATAGAGATCCCGCTAGCACGGAGTAGATGACCAACGAAGAGTAGCTACAGAGCTCATAGCTGGTAAATGTGGACAGACTGTCAAGGAGAAGGGGAGCGGCGAGGCTGTATGAACGGCAGGTGAGAAGGTGCATGCCCTTGTAGGCCTTGAGGCGATTCCTCCGATCCCAGTCACCACCGCTCTCTACCAAAGCCTCCGCACGCTCAATAGTCTTCTTGACAAACACGCGGTCACCAAAGAACAGACCAATGCGGATCATGGCGAGCACAAGATCAATCTTGGTGCCGAGGAAACCGATCTTTTCGAGGAGGGCTTCGTGCGACTCGATAGCTTTGTCCTAGAAATTTCAATCATCGTTAGACAGGGCATCCTAAACGCATATTCTCCAGCATCCTCCGCTTCTTACCTTATCTCCAACGCGAGCCCAGAACTCAGCCCGTTTCCCCCGTGCAGCCTGAACTTCGGTCTCACCAGCGGCCTCCTCTGCCTCATCCTCCTCCTTCTGGATACCCTCCAGTTCCTTCTTGTTTTCCTCAACTAAGGACTGGTAGAGCTGCTCATCCCAGGGAAAATCAATCTTGGATGACGTTCGGGCCGCGAGCATGCTGGAGGTGATGAGTGGCTTCGAAGTCCCTGCATTGTGAGGGTGCGGGTGTTGCGTCACACCCTCGCCAGAGTTGTTCAGGATGCCTTCGATAGGGTGGGCCAGGTGGCGGTAGAAAGGGGCCATTTTACGCTCGGTGATCGCATCTTGCAGCTTCTTCAATGAGGCCTGACGGGTGGATGGATTGCATGCAGGGTTGGAGAGGTTGAAGACATGCTGGGCGAGGAGGAGGTCGGGGTACTTGATGTACTGTGGATCAGACCCCATGATTGCGGATGGGGACTGATGAATGCGACGATGACGAGAAAGAAGGGTGGAGGGTAGAGAGACAGGGAGGTGTTTGGATGGGATTGTTGGATGGCCGGTGATGCATCACGTAGCTGGTTCCTAAGCTCAGCTGGGGGGACGTTTTTCCGGTGCCGATGACTTGGCCCTGGATTAGTGCCTGATTTATCAGGCTGTAATAGTCACGCTCCGAGGCCTTGTTTTGGTTGCTCTTTTGACTTCGTACATACTTACTCGATGGCCACTTCACTTAGCTTTTGACATTTAAGCTCCTCGCTAGTGACCGATTGCGTTGCGCTTGTTCTGCACGGCTGGTGATCGCCCTCGTTTCCCTGACTTGGAGCCGTTTTGGACTCTGTTCCATCCCCACTCACCACGTTTTCACTGTTGATAGTCGCGTGCCTCTTATCCTAGGGCCCTTGCAAGCCTTTGTGGTATGATTTCTCCGGTTTTTACGGGGAGTATATGGGAGTACACTAATTATGATCCACCAGTCAACTCTCATGGATAAGAGAGATTAGACTCGCTATCTATTAATCGATCATCAGGAACTGGGCAGATACTCTGACTCGCTCAGCATTTGAATTCCTATACTAATTTCCCACGGTGTACAATGCACCTTCCAGAAGTAGGCAACCTCCACGATTGCTAGTGTTGCAAACTGACACTCCAAAGCCCAGGAGCATAGGATGTCCCACGTGTATGTTCATGACCATCTTGGCAAGGGCCATCTCTGTAGGGCTGCTTGGGCTGGAGCCGAACCCCGTAGTCACTAGTTTGCAACTTGGTTAGTACAGTTTCAGTACGGAGCACCCGAAAGTACGTGAAAGTACCTCGATTACTTCCAAGGTCTTTTGAAAGTTCCACCTTTGCTGACCGGGAGAATCCTTAAAAGCATCATAGACCAATCGAGTAAACCTCGTGGCCTTCTAAGCGTGGCTATCATGACTCGCTGTCTTGGAATCCCAACCAGGCACGTAAATTTGTCTGTTGCTGTTCTCTGGAGGATTCACCGTTGTTGTGGTACTTACTGGTACCTTCCATCCTCCACCACCACCCGCCATCCTCGGCGCCCCTCAAAACGCCACGCTCCACTTCTCTCCCGAAAGTTTCAAATCCTCTTCCAGTCTCCCCAGTGGACGGCCGATCGAACCTGTCTTGCACGTGCATCCATCGTTGGATCCCAGCACACGAACCCAAGTTCTTAAGACATCTTTGGCTTACGCTTGACCTTAGGAAAGCACACTGTGGCTTGGATCGCGTTGCCTGGATCGGTCTTGGCTTGCGTATTGACCACTCTGCCGATATCAGATCATCGGCCTGCCGAGACTCGAGACAGCAAAATGCAACCCTCATGCCTTTCAGCTTCCAGCCAAGACTGGGATCACGGAAACTCCGTCAGCCCCGTGAATGGCCGCGTGTGATAGAAATTTGCATTCTGATTGGTGCTGCATCCTGGAAAGATGAATGCTTAACCGGATGGAGACTCGGCGCATGCCCCACACTGTACGGAGAAGACTGGACTGCGTTTCTACCGTTATCCCAATTGGTGGGCGCACGAGGTTTCTGGAGAGAGAGGGTTTGTATGTACTGTTAGTACGGAGTACTGTTAGTTAGTCTTAGTTCCTGTCGTAGTCTGCTTCGACTTGCTATTCCGGGTTAGGGAATGCCTCGTGCCCCGATAGCTGAGCCAAGATTCACTTTTTTTTGTTTCTTGTCTGAGATCGGCACGCCCCCAGCCCTACTTAACTGTTGGCTTCACGCCTTCTCTTCGTCTTTCTCCCCGCTTCCTCTTATTTTTTTCCCACCGCAGTACACCCTTCGTCGCAACTCTGCGCCTTGGTCCCCAGTCTGTCTGTTGACATCCACTGGTCCAGTCCTCTTTCACTCGGCCCTTGTCAACACGCGATCATCGTTCACACCCGGAGGTGAGATATATTTTAAGCTCTCAGCTTCCCCCGCTCGGTTTTCCTCCCTATGATCACCGAGTCTCACGCTGGATTTTCACTGACAAGCTCCTTGCTGCTGCTGACAGTTAACCATCATGAGCGCCGATCCTCAGTCCGAGAAGATCGTGGAGGAGAAGGGTCCCGCCCCCGTAAATGAGGACGCCCTCGACCTCCCCGCGCTGGATGAGCTGCCAAAGGGCCGCTGGGAGCGCGCCTGGCCTACTATCGCTTGTGGTGCTGGTCTGTTCTCCGATGGCTATCTGAATGGAGTATGTGTTCAACGTCCCCGTTACACTGCTTGGCGCATACTGTCCCACATCAATCTTGTGATCGCAAGAATATCGGGCTAACTTTTCTCGTGCTGACAGGTAATTGGTCAAGTCAACACCATCCTTGGAGTTCTCTACCCGGACACGTACAGCAATTCTCCGGCGAGTCAGAATGTGTCGGCCATTGCCTTTGCCGGTACTGTCGTGGGCATGCTGATCTTCGGCTACACCAGTGATCACTGGTCGCGCAAGTGGTCGCTGATGATCTCCACCATCATTCTGTTCGTCTTCGCCGCTCTGTGTGCTGGTTCATATGGTTTGAACGGTAGCCAGTATGGCCTGTTCGCCGCCCTGACCGCGTACCGTTTCTTCATCGGTGTGGGTATCGGTGGTGAATACCCTGCTGGCTCTGTCGCGGCGGCGGAGAACACCGGCGAACTCAAGGCGGGCCATCGTAACCGTTGGTTTATCATGTTCACAAACTTCCAGATCGACTTTGGATTTGTCGTCTCGGCTCTGGTGCCTACCATTCTTCTTCTGATCTGCACGGAGAACCATCTGCGCTTGGTCTGGCGTCTGTCTCTGGGCTTGGGTATCATCCCTCCCCTGAGTCTGCTGTACCTGCGTCTCAAGCTCAATGAGCCCGAGGAGTTCAATCGTGAGCGGATGCGCAAGTTCCCCGTTTGGTTGATCATCAAGTACGTATCTCTGGCCTTTTGATTCGAAGTATACCAACATCGTGCTAATTACGTCTAAAGGTTCTATTGGTTCCGTCTGGCGGTGGTTTCTCTGATTTGGTTCATCTATGACTTTTCGTCCTACTCCTTCGGCCTGTACTCTTCGAAGTGGATCGGAATCATCACTGGCGACGATGCACCTTTGTGGAAGAACTTTGGCTGGACTACCCTGACCTACATGTTCTACCTTCCCGGCTCCGGACTTGGCGCTTGGGTGAGTGACTGGATTGGCCCTCGTCACACCCTTGCCATCGGAGTGCTTCTTCAGGGTATTGTTGGGTTCATCATGTCTGGATGTTACAAGTGGCTTGCGACCCCGGAGAACGTGGGTGGCTTCGTGGTGGTCTACGGGTATGTTGCGCTTAACCTGTAAAGTTCCTGTTTTGCCGTTTCTGACTGGTGATAGCATCTTCCTCGCTCTCGGCGAGTTTGGCCCCGGTAATAACCTGGGTCTGTGTGCCGCCAAGAGTAGTGCCACTGCCATTCGTGGTCAGTACTACTCGTATGCTGCCGCCATTGGCAAGATCGGCGCCTTCGTGGGCACCTACGTTCTGCCAATTGTCCAGAAGAATGCCCCCAACGAGATTCGCAAGGGCCAGGATCCGTTCTTCGTCTCCAGCGCGCTGTGCATCTTCAGTGCTTTCCTGGCGTTCTTCCTTCTTCCGCAGATCAACCAGGTGTGTATTCACTCCGAGTGCCAGCTCGAGAAACCTGATCACTAATGCTGATACTATGTAGGATACCATCACTAACGAGGATGCACGCTTCCGCGAGTATCTCACCCAGAACGGCTACGATACCTCCACCATGGGCAATCGAGACCAGATCACCACCCGTGATGCTATCGCCCAGGATGATCTGGCCTAAGCTATGACCAGACACAACTTTTGCCCACCCTGTATGATGACACCCCCCACGCGCCATTACTTCGCCCATGTTTTCTACCCACCAGCCCCTTAATTTCCCTCAACAATGCATCTCCCTGGATCCGCCTCCCAAAGCGACAACACAACCAGTCCCTACTGTGTGAGACTTGACAAGACCACGCATTGATGAACCATTAGTCCCCGTGCGACACGAAAGAGAAGAATCCAATGGCCCTCGCGACATGACATACCTCTGGACCCAATGTGCAAGCATTTACCGTGCTGATCTGCGGGTGATCTGCCTCGGAGGTGCAATTCCGGTGCCAGTTTATGCCCACCCCTACTTGCTTGTATGAGTGCCCGGCTTTAATGTTTAATGAGGGGTGGACGATAGGAACGAAAGCACTTTAATGACCGATTGGGCTACAGCCTACCTAATGGAATGATTTTCATGAGAACTTTTAAATCTGTAGTTGTTTGGCTTCGGATGCACCTGACGCGAAGCCGATAGGCTGTACTGAATGATAGGTCTCATTCTGGAATCGGCGTAATTTATACAAGTTTGACTTGTAGAATATAGTGGGTATCTACGTGTAGGTTTGAAACCCTGATAATAGTTCAGATCATCTTGACAGTCATGAAGAGAATGATAGGCTGAGAGGGTACACCTAATCAAGTAACAGAGTGATTGAAAATACATTTCGTCGCTACTAATTGTGTCGAGGAGTCGAAAATAAGGTCCAACTAATTAAACCATTTCTGCAGTCTAGGCCTAGACTTTTAAATCACTACTGCATCCTTTACCAACTCAGGAAAACGGATACCGAGGATTAAGGTGTTGGTGGGATTAGAGGGGCCTTTTTACCCTAGTCGGGTAGTCTAAGAAGCCTAATTTCTGCCCTGTCCGAGATTACTAGAACCTCATACCTACTCTTGATAGAGATTTATCGGTCTTCGTCAATAGTTTCCAGACTGTCGAAAGTGTTTCTTGTCTGATTATTTAGCTATCTTGAATTAGTACTGCAGCTTGCTGTAGTACTTCGAAGTGCGGTAGTACTACCTCTTTCAGAAAACAGGAACACTGCCCATAGAAGGGCGGCTGTAAAGTGGTAACATTCGTGTAAATTACGTATTGCCCGACAGAAACAAGCATAGGTTTATTTGGCGACGAAAACTGACCGGGAAGGGGAAGGAGGGACATCGTTTAGTCAAAATAAAGCAGATTCATAGACAAGAATACCATCAAAAAGATGCTAATCCAGCCGCATAAATCTTTGCTTGAAAGCAAAGACACGAAGAATCAAGTATTTCACATGGAAAAACCACCGACCCTGTCACCTCTCCTCCATACTTCTCCAGAACGGAGACCGGGGGACAGCCGCGCTCCACACGGTCCGTTCAGCCGAGGTTGACCGTCCGCGGCTCCAGACGCCGGTCAATTACCGACACTCCTATCACCACCACCACCGTCACCATTTCATCCTTTCATCTTCCTTCCTTCATATCGTCGAGAACTCCCCCCATCCTCCCCCACGAGATTCACCGGTTTCTCTCCACCTCAAATCGACAGTCTTCGGATCCCGCCGAAGCCCTTTCCGGATACATAAACACCTCTCTCTCGTGATCGGGAATTGAAGGAACCATAATCATGGTCGCCGACGCTCTTGTCTATCATCCTGCGCTGGCGCACTGGCTGCGCTTTGTCGCTACTACTGGTGCGTAAATTCTAATCTAGAGATATGTTTCAATACCACGAACCCCTAGCACAGCCTGCACACCCTCAACATACACGAGGAACCGGGATGGCGTGACACTTAACCCCAGCTCCAAACCACCCAGATTCTCCATCCCACACCTTTTCTTCCCCAATACAAAAAAAACCCCAACTAACCCATCCACCGCATCTAGTCGGCCGCGACAAGCTCCTCCGCACAATCCAATACTTCTCCCGCTTCTACGCCTGGTACCTCTACCGCACCAACAAGCCCCAATCCGCCATCGACCCCTACAACGCCGTCAAGAAGCAATTCGGCACAACCCGCAAGATCCTGCGCATCGGCAAGTTCGCCGAACACCTCAAGGCCGCCTCCGTCGCTCTCGACAACAAGGCCCCCGTCGACCCGGTCCTGCGCTACCTCGCCGTCGGTCGCCAGCTCGGCTATGCCGGATACCTGTCCCTGGATATGGTGACGGTCGTCGATGCTATTGGGTATCGCAAGTTGGCTAGCGTGAAGCGTCTGCAGGAGAGTGCTTACCGGTCTTGGGCGGCTGGTTTGGTGTGCAGTGTTGTTGCGGGTGTTTATACGCTGTATGGCCTGCAGCAGAAGGAGAAGACTGTTGACCGGAAGGAGGGTGAGGGTGTTGTTGAGGCGAAGAAGATTGAGAAGTATGATATCCCTATCTTTCCCGAGTCACAGAGATGTACTGTGGCTGCATTCTTTTTTTTTTGGATACGAGTGTTGAGTCTAACTTTCTACTCACAGGGAGCGCGCTGCTGCTCGGATCCAACTCATCTCCGACCTGTGCGATTTGACCGTCCCCGCCTCTGCTCTGGGCTTTGCCCAGCTTGATGATGGCCTGGTCGGTCTCGCTGGTACCGTCAGCTCGCTGATCGGTGTGTGGTCGCAGTGGCGCAAGACCGCATAGATGGCTCGAGGTCGAACTCGTCTCTGACGGAGACGAAGACGGGAGTGGAGGAACTAGTCAACATGGAGAACCCTGGTTTCTTCCGCGTTGACAGGATAAGAAAGAAAACCGCAGCTTAGGGCGAGGAGTATCGTAATATCCCTTTGATCTGCTCTGGCACCCTTGTGCCGTTTTATATCCTCGATTGCGTTCATGAACAAACTTTTTACCTTTTTATCTCTTTCTTTCGGTTGTGTTGTTTTTGGGGGAGATGTCTAGATGCTTTCAAGCTTGATCTTGCGTATATAGCAAATACTGTTTTATCTTACTGAGTTACTACATGAGATGTATGGAATATGCTGTAGTAGATAACGGAGTAATTCATTCTCCCTTCATAATCTTGCTGTCTCCACCGGGTATCTCATAGCCCAAAACTAGCCTATCCTTCCATCCTTATCACTCAGTTCCCTAAAGCCACGCCGTCTGCCATGATGCGCCAGGCGACGCTATCAACCCGTTTAAACGGGGCAGGCCTATAGCGAAGCGAGTTAGCGCGAGGAGGACCTTGTTAGAATCAGAATCAGAAAACCACGAACCGCGCCACACGAGCCGCAGGTCTTGGTGCCGCCCTCGATGGGCGCACTGCACTTGGGGCAACCGGCGTGTCCGGACATGATGAATTTGGTTGAAAGATGAGGGTTGAGTGACTAATCTGGTGGTAGGTTAGAAGAGGATCGGAGTGGTGTGTTGATATCCTGTGTTCTCGGGTAGGGGAAGGGACCGAAGGGTATGAGGCCTACCTGCGGGATGAGATGATCGATGGGAATCGAGTAGTGGAGGTGATTTCTGGACGAGTGATCGAGAGGAAAAAGGTCAGCGAGGCAAAGGGGAAAATCGCGAGTTGTTTACCCCGCCCCTCCGAGATCAGCCCCGCTTGGGCCAAAAGGCAGTCACACTACTCTTTAGGTAGGAAGTAGTTCCTGTAACACGACATTGGAGAATATCCAGCCCTATACTTACATATGCATAGAATTTGCACAGAATTGAAAGGTCTAAATTCCCCGACTGATATTCCTACACTAATCAAACCACCGCCCCCTCTCATCCCTCCCCAGAAACAAACCCCCTCGACCCCTTCCCCTTCCCCTTCTGCTCCTTCCACATCACCTCCAACTGCCGCACCGCATCCCCATACAACCGGTCCCTGGCACCATTCCCCAAAAAGAAAGAAGGCCTTTTATCGAACCCATGTATAACGTCCTCAATCACCATCCCCCCAACACTTACCAATCCCCCCACCCCCACAAATCCCCTCAACCTCTCCCGAAACGCATTCCCCTCTACAAGCAACTGATCCCACCCACAGGTATAAATCGCCACATGCTCCGGATAAGACGCCAATATGAGTCCCTCATCTGCTAATCCCGGCGACACATACGGATGAGCCATATCAATCTCGTCCGTGCCGGCCTTTCTGGGAAGGTTTTCCTGCATCAAGTACGACTCATCGAAGAACTTGAACATATCAGCCGTGATCATCGATTTACGCGATGCAGTCGGATTAGTCGCGTCGCGCTCGATTCGACTGCGTGACCAGTCCGTACTGGGATAAAACGCGATTAACCCGGCCAGTTTTATTCCAGGACTCTCACGCTGATGCTCACGACGTTTGATAATTTCCTCACGCAGTCGCAACGGAACAGTCAAACAAAGATTCCCACCCGCACTATCCCCACATAACACAAACCGTCCCCGATCAAGTCTATGCTGCCCCGCATGCTCCCACAACCAAATCACCGCATCAACACCATGGCACGGGGAACGGATGTTCCGGCGCAAGTCTATATCCAACACTCACGACTACCGCGTCCGGGTGTGCGTGTAGCACGGCGGCGATCCAGCGCGCGTCATCGAGTGGATGGCCGATTGCGAAGCCGCCGCCGTGGAAGTTGATGAGGACGGGTCTTTTTGCGTGGGGTTGTTCTTCGTCTTCGCCGGGGGAGAGGAGGGTTCCTGTGCCGGTGAAGAAGTAGAGTTGGATTACGCCGGGAGTTTTGCTGGTTGTGCTGGGTATGGTGAGTTCGAGGGCTGGGCGAGTGGGGAGCGGCCAAGAGAGGTAGCGGTCGAGCCAAGAGAGGATTCCGGCGAAGAGGCGGTATCGGGTCGCTTTTTTGGCGAGGTCGGCTCTTGTGGGGAGGGGGGTTGGTGTTGCCATGTGTATGTATGGGATAAGGAATGTATGGATTAGTAGAATTGTGTGTAGAGGTGAGGAGGATACTCGTTTATTGTGTTTGGTATGTATCTGATACGATGGGAGTCTGGGAAGTATATCCGAGTAGGGCATGACGTAGAATTTGATCATTGGATATCCTCTATATTGGGGCTCTTCCAGGTCGGAATGCACAGTTTGGGTCGAACTTGATAGTTGGAAAAGAATGAAGAGATTCATCAAGAGATCCCTACATGTACCAATTTCGTACGTGCAAAGGATGAAGCTTTTGGTGTCACTTCCAACTCTGGCTGAACTAAAGAACAGGAAAATTCTACAGGACGAGAGACCTTAAAGATGTGCTGTCGCCTTTTACGGTCACTTGAGACCTGTCTGTAAATCAATCCAGGGTGCCTTACTTTACTGAATATACGACGAAGCACTAGTAATGACTGTCTTACTCCTAAACTTGGCTATAGAGTTTAATAGCCCTCGTATACTCACGAATCGAAAATCAACCAATCAACCGGACCGGGAGATCATTGGGGACAGCTTCAAGTGGTGGTAGAACAGCCAATCAAGGGCTAGATCGGCATCATGTTCGCGATCTATGAATATCCGTATTAGGGGATCTCTATCTCCGTTTCGCGTCTTTCGCGTCGCGAAAGCGGAGATAATGATCTCTATTACGGATAGTCAGCACTTACATGAATGGCTCGATCGTCTAGACTGACTTTCACCATCCAACTCTCCCGTTGGGGCCCGCCGGATTATAAACTGCGGGGAACGTGGCGGGCCTTAAATCTGACATTGTTAAATAGACTTCCAAGTTCTCCAAATCATCATCCTCATATCTCACAAACTTCACCTTCTTTGTTGACAAGTAACAGCAACTATGTCCTCATTACCAAGTCCAGTGCCAATCATCCTCTGCGGCAGACGCGTCGAAATTGGAAAGGTCGTCTCGGAGCTATTGGCCCCGGAATTCGAAGGTAAGTACCTACAAACACAAATTCAGCCCCAGCCCCAGCCCTAGCTATCACCTAAGTCCAAACCATAACACCTACACCAGGAATCCACTTCATAACAACCAACGAAGCCGCTTTAACCGATATCCCCCGCCTCCTAAAAGGCGAGAAACTCGCGTCCCCAGATACCAGTGGCGTAGGCACCCAGAACTACAGCCAAGTCCCGCGCGCTGTCATCTTTGGTCGGGGATACGAGGTTGCTGAAGTGGAGGAGTTTAGAAAAGCGAGTGAGGGTTATGCCAATCCTGTGGTTTGGTTTACGGGTGATCCGAATAAGAAGCCTGGTCCTAATGATCCGCCTCCTGGGCCCGGGTATGCGCAGGCTGCGGCGAGTGCGTTGAAAGAGAAGTTGATTGCTTGGAGGGATGAGGGTGGTGTCGATGATGGGATCTTTTTGTGGTAGTCATTTTTGCAGGTCAGGGGTGTTGTTGATGGAATTCGAGGAGACTTGGTGTGTATGGGTTATGTGAGACAGGAGAGTATCTTTTTGAAGTGGATTAAGTCTTGATAGCCATGCAATTGGAATGCCATCGATAGTCAATAATTTTTCTGGCGGTATGTTGTATTTGACGCTCTACCTGTGCTCTGCTTACGGATTAGATTACGCAATTGGAAAATGTCTGAGCTGTTTTTCTTGATAAACGCAAATCACATTGACCATGTCGCATTCTTGGCCCCATGTCTATTTGGCTAGGGTGCCTCGTCTTCAAAGAGCCCTTTTCGTCACGTTGTGCATTTCGAAACCTTGCGAAGGAGATTAGTATCCCGGAAAATATCAAATCGACTGTCAGAGCCGTCCACCTCAAACCCAGAGTCGGACATAACTGTCCCGTTGTAGCTTGGAAACTCCTATTATGGTAACTGATGGGAAGTGGCGCGGGCGTGCAGTTTGTGGTTTGTGGGGAGATGATCACCTCCATCTTGTTGCTTTGGCACTGTTCTATTTTGGTTTTAGCATGGTTAGGTAGTAGTGAATAGATGGCACGAACCTGAGCGTAGAACTCTTGTCATGAAGTCGCGGATGGTCGCGAATTGTTCGTGCTCCCAGGGGGCGAAATGGCCGAGATAGCCGCACATAACAGCTTATTCTTCTTCCGCTGAGGTAAACTGGGCCGAGCAAAAGATTTGGCAGAAGATTTCGAACCGGTACAAGCAGCGTTCGATGCGGATGTACTCGCTGTCAGATGCTGTTATCGCTCTAGAGGCTTTCTAAGAGAGTCTCCGTGAATCGAATACGATCCTAGGATGTTGTTGACGAATTCACTGACAAGTACTCGACGGCACGGTAGAATTCCAAGAGCGCCCGGGCATAGGAAATTTGAGGGCGGAAGGTCGAGTGAAAGGAGGTAATGTCGCGACTGAGGTAGTACTCGAGGAACTGCTTCCGAGCCTCAGAATCCTGATCCCGAGATATTTTGGAGGCCATCATCGCGGCCTCCGCATCGAACCATAAGGCTCGTGGAATATCCCTTTCTAGAATTTGCAACACGATCCACGTCTCTCTGTCCTTGAAGGATTCTCAGATGCGCCGCGAGGTCTGGATCACCGACTGGAGGGATTCCAGGTCCGGGAGAGCATCTAGGCTCTGCTGTATGATTTCCACAGGACAGGGCTCCATGGTGCTGCGTGTTCGTAGGGGGGTTGAGTAGCTAGTGACAAGAGGCAGGCAGAGATATCTCTTCGTTAAGGAGTTGGGGGGCGATGGTGGGTTGTAGAAGGAAGACGCGAAAGCCAGAGAGGAAAGCTCTAGAAGAAAGGCGCAATCGCCATAGGTAGCCACAACACCAACGTGAGATGTGTAGTCAACAAATTCAACTAGTCCACAACCTCAATAACAAGCCACATGTCACTCCACTATCTCTGAGTTCTAATACCTATTATATTTAGTTTGAGCCCACTTCTATTAACTAGTCAGAGGAATTCAGGTCCCTTCTTGAACCAAGCTTAATGGAAAGGGTAATTATATTCCACCACAGACGCTGGTGTCAAATGAAAACTGCTATAATATCGGGAAGAAAAGTGGTGGAAGCCGGAGCCACACTTTATAATAGGCTCCTAATCTCAACCACGTGTTTGTACGCTGATAAAGGGCAGTGGTACTCTAATAAAGCGATGAATCATTATCTTACAATGGAAGCCATGAAAGCTGCAGCCATAGAAATTTATGCTAATATAATAATGCACAATTGAGCGTCTAGCCTACGATTTCCACTCTGAAGCTTCAAGATAATCTCTCTCTGTTTGATATAACCCAATATCCCATCCCAACCTTACAAAATCAACAGACTTAAACACAATCTCATTTAATTGTTCCGCAAGCCCAATCCATCATTCCAGTAACTCCAAAATTATGACGTCCATCTCGATGATGTGCCTCATGCTCCATGACACTAATCCAGGCCTTTTCATCGCTTCGAGAGTGCGAATACATTGCAAAGACTTTTGCCACGTTACTAAGAAAGCAAAGCTCCGGAAGAGTCGCTCCAACCACCCAACTCGACATCAACTCAGTTGACATTTGAGCAAACACGTATTCCAGCGGATGGACGTCAAGTGCCGTAAGCGGCCCACTTTGGTGAGTCTCGTGATGGAGCCGGTGGATATGTCGAAAGAAGAATTTCCAGTGGAGGACACGGTGGATGCTGTAGTACATCACATCTGCAAAGACGTATCCAACGATGACCTTGGTCCCGAATGCTTGAAGGGAAAACTTCCCTCCGAGAACATCTGACACGGGTTGACTTGTGAAAATCAACAAGAAGAAATGAGCAACTGCTCCACATATAATGTTCATCATGACTCGGAGAAAGGTCCCCAGTGATAGTGTTCGAAGGAATACCGTTTGTAAAAAGGCCATAAATAGAACAATTATGAAGAGAGAAGAGTGTAATGCAAACACTTCATGACACTTTTGATCAGAAAAAGGGCAAAATGAATGACGAGTGATCTGAGATAGATAGGATTGAGTCATGGTGACCTTGAATTGAATTGATGATTGAAAAGCCTTCTCGGATTGTATTTGATCTAAAGAAAACTCCAACATCTACTATGGGAAACCATCTTTTATAAACGTATGTGAACAGTATATACAATTCTCATCGCTATCCCAATGTGTCCATAGTGGTCGCCTAGTCATTTTGTTGGTACTATAGGTATACACTTCCACTTCTAGTTCAAGCAGCCCGATCATGCAAGGCATGACTCGACAACTCAGTTCACCGACAGTTTCGAGAAATATCTTGAGAACCATGGTTTTAATGGCGCGCCTTTCACTGGATATCCCAAGACGCCTCAATTTTGAGGGTTTTCTGGCTCACATATCGAAGATACCACGTTTTTTCGATCGATATTCGATGACGGTCCTCTTACTGGAAAGAGAGTCACGCATGCGGGCTATCACGGCGCAAAGGTAAAATCTCCATAGATCGACAGTTGGTTTCTTTGATGCTTCGAGATCTACGATATATTCGCCATAATTGATGATCGGAAGTTCGGTCAAAATGCCGGTACGCCTTAGACACTAAAGCCAGATCTACAAATGCTTATCTTGAGTCAGGCGCGCAAGGCGAGATGGGTACCTATTACCACCGGACAACTCCGATGTAAATGTTGATTGGATGAGAGTACGATCTTTAACGCGCTCAAAAAGTACTACAAAATCTCAGGAAATTCCCAACATCGAACTCGTCTCCTCATTGGCTCCTCCTTAGTACGAACCCTAAAGTAACAGCGAACAAAGAATGGAAACTACAACTGGATAATAAGGCAAAACTTAGATTCAAATTCCTGCGAGACGACGCATACTTTATGAATTTTATGAATTAAAAGAACACATGAGGCACAGCGCCTACCTATCTTTTCGATTGAGTATGTGGTGTTTGCAATATTCCGTAATTACCTTCGGAGACAGCTGTTCTCCTACTACTATCTTCTATGTAACAGAAAGGTCACTTCAATCATAACCTACTCTATATCATTAATTGAATGAGTATGACCTTCTTGATGACTTCCTAAAAAATTCCATGAGGCTCAAAAAGCCTTTCCTTGCGTAAGATAGTCAGGTACTCCACGTCCACGACACCTCAAACATGTGGTGGCCTACAATTTTCCATATTTGCTTTTTCAATTGCGAGGCGTCCATTCGACCCAGCTCGACGAAAATGATTTCCCGGGAAGGACGTTCCGTTCTCATTGGTCATGCAGGATAAACAGTGATATCTGATACATCCCACCAAAGAATATGGTATGAACAAAGACCTCGAGTTGACTTAGGTGGCCGCTACTCATAATTGAGAAAAGTCATAATTTTGGGGATGATTTTATGATTTTACTATAAGGGCAATATCCTGATAATAATGAGATAAAAGTATGTTTCGAGACGAATTAAGTCACACTAAGCTCAACGCATCGCTTACTGGGACAACGTAATGTTCCCAATCGTTCAGATCGGACGACGGTATCTTACTAGACCCAGAAGCCTTGGATACATTGAAGTCCCGAGTTTGCCAGACCTGCTCAACAACCGATCGTGTCCGAGAAACACTAGAAACACTGACTTTGGCAATCTTAGCAAGGAGATTCAACACAAGTACTCTCCCGTCTGTGATTGCGCCAGTGTCCGGGTCTGACCAGAGTTCATGATCAAGCGGGTCCAGCTCCACAGCTGCCACGAATAGCGGCCAAATGACATGGGAAACCGAGTTCTGGTCGATAAGACCGACGATCCCTTTCAGGATTTCTCGCACGTGGCTCTTGATCATCGAGTCGGTTGGCTTGCCATCATATAGAGCACATTGAAGGTAGACGTGGCAAGTGAGTTTTTTGAGATCTGCGATGCTCTGAAGGGTGCGGTCTTCTGTTTTGGCGTTTAGTTGTTGATCTAGAGTTTGAAGTTTCGTGTTCAACGAGGAAGCCTTGATGTGAAAGCTTGTCTTGTCTGAATCTGACACCAGTTGGCGCCTTGATCGACTAAGGTCCATGATTGAAAATAATATCGAGACGAGTGCGGGGCTGCAACCCATCCACCCATCAATGAATGTGTCACTTTCATCCCAGTAGCTAGCCCCGAACAAGTCTGCCTTTGCACAAGCCGTGCGACCCATTACATCTTGGAAGGCAAAGAACAGCTCCACAAACGCGGATACCGGGTCTTCCGAATGGCCGACGGAGGAGTCTGAGGAGGTTTGTTGCTGCTTCCTTCGAAGTCGAATGATATCTTTCGCTCCCTGGAGATGCAGGATCCACTGCCAATCGCAATGATCCACGATTTCAAAAAGACACAACAGCATTACAATCACTAGGATCTCAGGGTCTTGTGCGACCAGATATTGTGGGTCCGTGGTGATCTGTCGCCTCAGTTCAATCAAGACTTTAGACTTGAGGTGCAAGCCCAATCTGCTGTATTTTGAGTCATATTGAGACCAGTGGCAGGCTGCGACTGCCTGGATCGCTCTGAGAACAGTAGGTGTTGCAGAAAGGCAATATGGAAGAATAACAGACGCAAAAGGAGACTTGGCGACAGGACTGGGTGCCGTACGTGGACAGATCTGATTGATGTAGTAGTCGAATAATATGGGATTGCCCAGTTCCTTCAAGGAGGGAAACAATGGAAGGCATGGCAGTATGTCCTGGTTTTCAAATCCTGCTGCCTGCAGAAACCGGTCTGAGAAAGGCAACAGAAATGACAAGGGCGAATTCAAAGAACCTGGGTTCTGGCCATAAGCATGCATCTCCCTTTGTCGCGCGGGTAAAAGATGCGGCTCAATATCATTTTCTTCTTCGTGGTAAAGGCGCTGGACCAAGGAAAAATCGCTGCTGAGAAAGTTCCATGGCTGTATTTCAGGCGTCTCAACCCACGTAGTACCAGCCGGTGGGGAGCCAGGCACTCCATTGATCCCGAAACGGGCCTGAGCTGAGGTATGAGTTGGACTCTTCCTCCAGATGCCAGATCTGCCAAATGCGATCCCACGACTGTGGAAATCGGCTTCCCACTTGAGTCGAATATCGGCTTTGGAACACTGCAGGTCTTTCTCCCAACATCGTGTACAAATGGGCTTTCGCTCGTCGCATTTCACCTTACTCCGGCGACAGTTTGCGCAGCCTTGTCGAGATCGGGTTCTAGTCTCCCGACCAGTTTTCTCGGCTTTTAGTTCCATGGCGGAAAGATATCTCTATCAACACGCGTTTCTTATTGTGCTGAGATAATATGCACGCCAGATATTGTCCCTTGGCAGATGTGTTAATCTCGAATAAACATAAATTCGCGAGTCCACGGTCAGATTGGCGAAGATAGAAGATGCTCCAAAGCTATCATTCGGTGCCACGATGGAGTATCGGGGTAGCGGGAAACTACCACTGCACCCTCTATCCACAGAGAGTTATACGGGAGTTGTTTAATATCAGAAAATAAAGCGAGTCCTTTTCGAAAGCGTTCTTCATCAAATTGCCTCCCCATGTGGCGGAATTCAATCCAGCGGATAGGCCATCTTCGGCCAGCTGGGCAAAAAGAAGATACACCGAGGCCAGGAAAGCAATCCAGCGATGTCTTCAAGTCTCAGCACAACTGACAGCAAGACAGATGCACAGATTTGCGGTCATTGAAGTAAGATGGAATTTTCGACTTCGACTCGATGATTTGCAATCATCATTGCTTATGTCAGTCTTTATTTGACAGCCCTAGCCCGAAGGCAGGCAGGTCGAAGCGAAAATAAAGTTTCAGATGGGGCTATTTTAACCAATAATACTCACCAAATCACGTGCCGTCTTTGCAGTACATATCTTCACCCAGCACATCAGTCTTCGAGATAGGCATTTGCCGGGAAAGTATAGGACACTTCACGACAAGGCTAGACAAAGATTATAAGGCCAGCAGACATGAAAGTTTTTTTTGACTTCATCCACAAAGGTTGATTCAACAAACAACTCCTGGAACTTTCAATGGAAAATTCCCTTCCAGTCGGGAAATATATATTCTCACACTCCACATTGTTTTTCTTAGAAAACTTCACCTTCTGGCTATATTTCTCGCATACATAGCCACATTTTCTTGTCAATCTATATTATCGATGGCCTTCCCCCACATATTCTGTCTCTATTCACAGCTTTTGGGATAATGTGGCACTCTCCTTGTCCGCCTCATGGATGAAGGGGTTTTCTACTATATGTCACAGCATCATGGTGCGCGGTTCCAGGCCGATTTCGATCAGCACAGAGATATCTCTACTTCTTGAGTTCTGGAATAGACACGAATCTGCTATCTGTTAGGTCAATAGACTCGATGGGAATTTGTGGGCCATTTGTTGGTGCCGTCTCTGTGTCCCCTTGTACTCGGAGGGCAGTCATCCTTTCATCATTTCGGCAAACAGAAAACCACCTATGTTCTCCGGTATACAAGGAGCTCTACATGCTTTGCAGAATCCGGAACTCACCCGTTATCTGCTGGGCCAGAAGTATCTATCGAACCTGAGAGGCTCTCGAATTTCGCACCGGCTGCACTTCAGCACCACTAGAACCGCGCAGTCAAGGAGGACCTGGAGAGATCCCTCGAAGAGATGACCATCTGCCCAGTTGGATCGTACTGGTTCTCCGCACATATGACTTATACCAACTCCCTCGCCCAGGATTTGGGTTTCGAAAAGGATGGCGTTATAATCGATACGAGTGACCGCATGAATGGTGCAGCATAATCTTCCCAGATGAGCATGTTCTTGGTAAGGTTCCCAACGATCACACATTTTCACTGAATGTATTTCTGTTCAGTCAAGTCCACTACATTTACGAACTTGGTTGCTGACTGGAAATGAGGTGACAGTTGTATATTATGCTTTCAACATCGAGATGTCCACCCACGCATGGATGAGGGGTATTGCGGAAACATCAGCTGGAACATAAGCACCTGGAATGCTTGCTCCAGGCCCATCGTTTACCGGCCTCATCACCGACATCACCACCTTCCGTCCTCGAACACCGGAAAAGATCATCTCCCTGATATTGCTGATTCACCGGCGTGACGTCCAGCTATAGTACCGGATTCCTTCTTCCTTCTTTACACACATCTCTGATGTTCACATCCAACATATTCTTACCAAACACAACCACCACTACCTGATGCTTTCGGTAAGTGAATCTGAAGAACACCGCGTGTATCACGCCGAGATCTTCTTCTGAAACGATCTAGCTGACCTTCTCTGCTACCTAGTATGCAGTCTGCACCGGTACGTGAGCCTTCTCAATCTTGGCCTGCAACTCTACCTCAACCGCCTCAACCTGCATTAGATCGAGATACTTCTCGCACGATCTTGCTTTCACACTTTGCTAAAAATACACGCTCCAAGACCTTGATAAGGTACGTTTATCTCCTCCTCCCCAACCTCGTGTTAAACCAGTACCATGCTCTCAGCCATCACGATATCCTCTGTGACTTTATACTCACAATAGCTCCAGGTACAACACTCACCAAAATGCATCGCCCTGAGGGGGCTCGACCACCCGACGGGTGGTCGTACTTTGTGATGGTGCCTATCAACAACAACAGTCTACAACGGTTTTACCAGACCCGGCCGGCTTAAGATCCTGATAGAAGCCAGTTGAAGCCCTTGTTATCTTCGAACAGTATACCCGCGAATCCAAACCATCCAAGTAGAGGCAACTCGTGTATCCCGAGCACGATGTTGACCAAGATGGCACTCAAGCCTTCGGTATATCTCGTTATCTTCCGCCTACCCAGACGAAAATGTGCAGTTTGAGCACATCCGTGAAATCATGAATTTTCTCAATATCGTGATTCAGACGATTGGAACCACGAACCACGACGACATTGAGGTAGTGGAGGGAGATAGACTTATCCGCCATGGACACTTTGCTATCCCGGTTGAACTCTTTACCCATATGTCAAGCAATCCGGAACTCCGGCAGCTGTGCATAGAAGATGCCTTTTTGACGGCCATCCGTTGGAGAGCGGGACACCGCCGTCTAATGATACACCTCGTGAGATCGAGAGGCACATCCAGATGCTGAGCGAAGAATAAGCATTGAGGAGTGTTACGGAGTCTCGAGATCAACTGTGTGTTGGATGCCAAGGCTTCCATCACCTGTCGCAAGTGTTGAGGTAGGCCTCCGACATGTGTCCCATGGGTTGGTAAACGAACCAACGATAGTAAATTGTGCGTTCTCTTTGAACTTGAAGTTGGTCCACAATGGGCCAAGTCTCTCGTCTGCTCAAACAGTGTCCAAGCCTGTCAAATCTGGCTCGACTTGACCAGGAAGCCCGTGTTGCGATTGAGAGCCTACCTGATGCTGACCAAACTTCCCGGAGGAGCGAGAAATATTGGAGCAGCCAAGGGACAAGGCTGAGCTGTGTCTCCCGAGGGGATTTCTTTCCATGGATGGGTGTCCATAGTTAACGACTAACCAAATATAGAAACAATCTTCACGCCCGGAAAAAGCTACAATAATGTAAGGCACAGTCCTTCACTATCAAGTCGCATAGCCACGTTGTAAACTCTCTGACCGTAACAGCCGAGAATAACCCATGAATGCCGCTGAACCCAAAGCTGCAGGTAGAAGCTCAGTGGAGGAATCAAAACTCACCGTCCACGCTATACCCCGCATCCGCGAGCCACGCGACAGCTTCCCCAGACAGCCAAGCCCGCCAAGGGAATCAACGAATCAGCCTGACTCCCAGAGAGGCTGAAGAGGTCCAAGAGTCCCTCGGGGTATTTGCCAGCGAGTCAAGGCATCCCGCAATAAGAACCATCGCCCTACGTCCCTCTTAACTTCCCCAGGAGTCAGGACCAGACCGGGGTCTATCGGGAGGCCTTGGGCCGACCTACATTGCCGAGTTGTACTAGCTACCAGAGAACAAATCCCATGTGTGCCGGTGCGGAAGTAAAGTAAACTACTGTAGTCCCATGACGTGCGTCGTGAGTCTTTTTCTCTTTCAGGTCCCGTCGGCATCGGGGAAATTAGGAGACGAGACGATCATTATGTACAGTAGTGGTGGACTGTGGCCCCTCCCCCTCCGCCCCCTTTGTTTCCGCGCTTCGGCCCAGGCCGTTTCGAAACTTGTGCGTGCTGGTTGGATTATGGGAGGTGTGATAGGTCCAGGCTCGAATAGAAAACAAGGATCATATCACGGGTGAATTAGGAAGATGAGTCGCTGACGTGATTGGTAGGTGATAGAGGCAGAATCATTAACTAATAGTGAGTCGCGACGGGGGGCCGACGGACAGGGAATGAGGGACTAATAATGCGATTTACGGAGGGAAGATGTTTCCAAGTTGGTGAATGTTGATCCGGAAATTGAAGATAACGGGGATGCTGGTCCGGGTGGAAAAGGAAGACCATGCCATGTACATACTCAACTGTAGACGAGTCATTTGTTTAATTGAAAGTACAATATGTAGGCACTCCATAGAGTACTCCGTACAATATCGACTTGGGGTTTACTTCTTCCGGAGTGACTTGCTACGATTTTGCGGAGAGAGACAGGGGGCAAACCGCTTCTCCACCTGCCCCTTGCTCCATCGGGCTTGAGGAAACCAAAGCCTACAAGTGTATCGTGACCTTCAAATTCTCTCAAAAGAGCATAGTGACCTATGGTCCAGACTCAGCCCGACTCTACACTAACAAAACTAACAGAACGAGCTATCCATCCTCCCCAGGTCACGCGCAAGTGCAGAAAAAAAATGTTCACGAAAGAGTCATACTCACGATCTTTGATCAGCTGAATGCCAGGAATAGTACCTCCTACGTAAGCAAATGAAACAAATCGCGCAAAAAAAGTAACAAGGGCGATGGCAACGGCGATGGCGATCCATTTGATGAATGGCATCTGGAAAAAGGAAAAAAAAGGAAACAGATGTATGTACTAGTAATACCACGTTGTAGCACGTACCTGCCGCACAGCATGTAAGTTGATTAGGCGGAATTGAAGATTGAAAAAGCAAGAAGAAAGTAGAGAGAGGCTCGACTTCCCGAGGCCGCAACCGCGCCCGTAACCGGGTCGGGATCCGCCGCTAACCATCGGGAAAGAGGATCTGGGGATTTTTTTTCGCTGGATCGTGAATGTGTGTGCAAAGCCACACTTGGGCTTTTCTGCAGTGCTGCACGGGGGGCCGAAGTGGTCCTCCGTGGCAAAGCGACCCGGTTTGATTTCCAGAAGCATGCAAAAACGGGAATTCCAGGTGGGTTTCAAGTTCGCATGGACTTGAGTAGTCAGACCTTGGTAGACCGCTGGTCTTCCATTCTCCCACGACTGGAATTTGAACAATTGACGCATTCTTTGAGTGATTATTATTATCTTTCTCTATCTTGTCTCGTCTGGATAGACCAGTCAAAAACCCCATTAAACCATCTGGGCCGAGACCGATAGGGCACGTAAGATGCATCAATTGTAAGGCATATGTATGGTTAAGATGCTCCGAGCTGGCGGGGGACCAGGTACCACCGGTCGGGATGAGGGCCGTCGCATCGTGGAAGCCTCGATTCTCATTGCACTAGGGCACCGGGCCCCAGTCTTGGAGATTATCGTGTCGGCCAGCGAAAACCAGGGACGACTGGGACGGAGGTTGACGACACTGGCAAGGACCCAGCGGCAATATCTTCTGCCCACCCGAACATGCTTGTAATAGTGGGCAAAGTGGAATTGTGGGGCCTGTGATTGGCCGACACCGCCGCGATCGATGTCGCAGATGCATCATCCTCGGCTGGGTTAAACGCCGTTATTGGAGTAAAATGGGCGCGTGCGGAGGTATTTCCTGCGATTTCCCAGCATTTCGTTCCGAGCAGACTGCATCGCCGGGTCCCTTGTTCGTCATGTTCGGAACATATGATAGTGTTATTTTTATTTTCGTCTGTTCAATGCTGCCCGATATCACTTTCCCGAAGTGTTTTCAATTCGGGGGTGAGGGAAGCCGAGAAAGAGAGAGGATGAAGTGGAGAGAGACTTTTCATTGGAGAGGCCGAAACGGTCCAGACTATTCAGACTACAGGCAAAAGACTCTGAGACTGCAGGTGACCACGGGATCGACAATAGCTGACATAATCTCCCCCGCGATTTCCAGGGCTCTGGGTTAGCCTGATTGGTAAGGTTGCTAAGGTTAATCCTGTTGCCCAGTCGAACGGGAACAATACAACGCTGGTGAAGTCATTGCGCGTCATTCCTCTCGTCCGTGGCGTGAATATAGCCATACAGACTACAGAGATGAAGCACTCGAGCTGACGATTGACCAAGTCAAGGATTCATCAAACCTAGGCTGTTCACGGAAAGAAAGTCTATAAGTTTTGTAGAGCATAGTTCATGATAAAAGCATGGTCGTTCTTGTCCTTCCCGCCACCATCTACATCCCGCAAAAACTGCCACCAGGCTGCACCAGCAATCCGCAGCACATTATTTTGCGGCTTTTTTCTTTTCTTACCTCGAATTAAAAATCCAAAAATAACATACCTTTTTTTTGATAGTCGGTACCTAACCCCCATTCCCATTCCGAACACACATCAACCCGTTCCGGGTCGAATTCGTGTGTTCGTACCCTCCGTTTCGGGACAAGTCGGACCCAGCTGACTAGGCCAGTCGACGGGCCCATTAGGCAATCAGGTACTCACAATTCACTGGCAATCCACGGCAACGCCTCATCTTCCATCACCATCGGTACCCGCTCCGCTTCAGCTCGGCCTTACACCCCCGACATCACCCGTGGAACTGTGGAGAAAGCACAAGGGGAAAACCTCCTTCATACCAATTCTTGAGAGACTATGGCCCCTGCTGGAAAGAATTATATACCCTCCGGTCGCCCGGCATCCCCAGGTCCTTTGGCTGCGGATTTCTTTCAACAGCAAATTGCGAAACAACGCAACAACAATTATCATTCTACTTCACTCAGAAACATGGTTGCCACATCTGTGAATCGCACGGCGCTGCACCCTGGTGGTGTCCAGTATGTCAAACCTTCTTGTCCATTATCGTTCTATATCTTGAACCTCGTCGTCGCTAACCATCTTGTCTTTCCTTCTATCACAGGCCCGGCAAGAGCCACACCGAGCTGGAGGAGGAGCTCCACGAGACTGCGCACATTGACTATGACCGAGTCGCAATTGTAAGGAAGATCCCTTCTTGTCCGTGCGCTTGAGACTCGACCTGGTCGTTGGCGCTTGACTCTCAAGTACTGTTACTGACATATCATGTCCTCAAACTTATAGATCGCCAACCCTTCTGTTCCTGCCCTCTATGAGGATGCTCTTGTCTACGAGACCGGCACTGCCATCACCTCCAGCGGTGCCTTGAGTGCTTACTCTGGTGCTAAGACTGGTCGTTCCCCCTCCGATAAGCGTATTGTCAAGGAGGAGTCCTCCCAAGATCAAGTCTGGTGGGGACCCGTCAACAAGCCCATGACTCCTGATGTAAGTTTGAGCCATTTTTGATTCATTACTATGCGTGATTTTTGGTGGTTGTTCAATTGCATATCTGCCTGGTCTACATCAAGGGTTGCCCTGGCTCCACCAGGGATCCCTTGCATATGCATCTGGAAAGAGTCAAGCTTTTCTGGCACTCTACATGGTGCAACCTATTCGATGTGGCTTTGGTTGGATCGAATTCTTCATCCCAAATCTCCTTTTTCCTCTGCATTCTCAGTTTTCCACTTACCCCTCTTCTTTTCCGCGATGTTCGGCTTGAGATCGCCACTTCCCCGCGGGACCGAGGCTCTTCACGTGCATGACGTCATTTACTCAATACTAACTATACACCCCTGCAGGTCTGGCGCATCAACCGTGAGCGTGCTGTCGACTACCTGAACACCCGTAACCGCATCTATGTCATCGATGGTTATGCTGGCTGGGATGAGCGCTACCGTATTAGCGTTCGCGTTGTCTGCGCTCGCGCCTACCACGCCCTGTTCATGCGCAACATGCTGATCCGCCCTACTCGTGAGGAGCTTGAGCACTTCCACCCCGACTATGTCATCTACAACGCGGGTTCTTTCCCCGCCAACCGCTTCACTGAGGGTATGACCTCTGCCACCTCCGTCGCCATCAACTTTGCCGAGAAGGAGATGATCATCCTGGGTACCGAGTACGCCGGTGAGATGAAGAAGGGTGTCTTCACTGTCCTCTTCTACGAGATGCCCGTCAAGCACAACGTCCTGACCCTGCACTCTTCTGCCAATGAGGGTGAGAACGGCGATGTTACTGTCTTCTTCGGTCTGTCCGGTACCGGCAAGACCACCCTGTCTGCCGACCCCAAGCGTAAGCTGATTGGTGACGACGAGCACTGCTGGACCGACACTGGTGTCTTCAACATCGAGGGTGGCTGCTACGCCAAGTGCATTGGCCTCTCCGGCGAGAAGGAGCCCGATATTTTCAACGCCATCCGCTTCGGCTCCGTCCTCGAGAACGTTGTCTTCGACCCCATCACCCGTGTTGTCGACTACGATGACTCCTCCCTCACCGAGAACACCCGCTGCGCCTACCCCATCGAGTACATCGAGAACGCCAAGATCCCCTGCAAGAGCGAGAACCACCCCACCAACATCATCCTGCTCACTTGCGATGCCCGCGGTGTCCTGCCCCCCATCTCCAAGCTCACCCCCGAGCAGACCATGTTCCACTTCATCTCCGGTTACACCTCCAAGATGGCCGGTACCGAGGACGGTGTCACCGAGCCCCAGGCCACCTTCTCCTCTTGCTTCGCCCAGCCCTTCCTGGCCCTGCACCCCATGCGCTACGCCTCCATGCTCGCCGAGAAGATCAAGGAGCACAAGGCCAACGCCTGGTTGCTCAACACCGGTTGGGTCGGTGCCGGTGCCACCACCGGCGGCAAGCGTTGCCCTCTCAAGTACACCCGTGCCATCCTCGACGCCATCCACTCCGGCGAGCTCGCCAAGGCCGAGTACGAGACCTACGATGTCTTCAACCTGCCCGTCCCCAAGGCCTGCCCCGGTGTTCCCGACGAGCTCCTCAACCCCAAGAACAGCTGGACCGCCACCACCTCCTTCTCCGACGAGGTCAACAAGCTCGGCAAGCTCTTCAACGAGAACTTCAAGAAGTACTCTGACGAGGCTACCGCCGAGGTCCTCGCCGCTGCTCCCCAGACCCAGTAAATGTTTCATTAAAGGGCTTGGGTTCGGGTTCGCGTGATGGATGTTGATGTTTACACAAAATTGGCATATTGTTTCCTCTTTTTCTTGTTTCAATGTCGTCTTTGTCTGGCATTGAAGTCATTTGCATGGCGTGCTGCGTTTGCTTTGGTCGTGATGATCTGGATTCCGTCGTGGATCTCCGTCCCTCGCGCTTGGGTCGGGACGAGCGTGAGGATTTATTCCCCCACTTGTTTCTCCCGATATTTTGGTTACTGCTGTTATGATTTCCTTATTTATATTTCCTTTTCCTTTTTCCTATTGTCGTTTTCCTTATGTATCTTGATGAAAGTGTTTTGGATGACAGGCTCCATTGGAGTTTTTTCGATGGTTTATCCCTGAGAATAGTCAATGAAATCAGATATACTATAAACGATTATGTGCCTTGTAAATGTAAACAGACCTCCATGAAAGTAGGTATACTATGGGCCAGAAAACGCTTGTATGGCTGAAATTCAGAGGAGATTGAGGTCCTTGGGTGCCTCGCAAGCACTAGGAATAATTGTACGCAGTATCTAGGCAGCGAGGTCACTCTGTTCTGGATCTTCAGATATTTTTTAATTTGATCTCTTTGTCTTCGCTATAATTTGCTTGATATTATTAACATGCTAGTCAATCATAAACGTAGAGCTATCTATTCACGAACGGCTTCAAATTCCATCTTCAACTTTCCAAGGCATTCCAATAAGCGTTGGACGTACAGCATAACCTCAATACGGGACAGCTTGTCCCATTTCCTTTCACTCTGTTCCCGTAACGTTTCAATAATGACCCGGCAGCGTTTTGATAATGCTATCATAGTAAAGTCGCACAAATAGAGATTCTTGACGAGCTGGTCAGATACTTGGTCCAAAGGTCATCTTGTGAAAGAGTACCGAAGTAGTGATCAGTTGTTTTGACGCGATATTCCATGACTGCGTCGCGCTCAATAAGACGTAGAGTCTGTCGAACTGAAACAACATCTTTGCAGTTTGCCTTGATGACATCGGATAGCTGAGGGTCTGTATGGAGCGTAGACGCGGAAATCCTGTCTTGTACATCATCAATATTGGTCCCTTTTCTGTTTAAGAACCAATGGTCTCGCTCTGGGACTAGGTCGTGCAACGCCGAGGAAAGTCTCGAATATATCGGTGTTGATTTGACACTCGCTCTTTGCGATAGAAACTCCGCATATGAAATTCCATAAAGCTCGAATTGTGCGGTTTTGTTGAGAAGTAGATCGATCCAGAAGCTCAAATACTCGTAGGGGTCCGATTCCCTGTCGATTTTGTCCCAGAGACTGTCCTCCTCAGAAAGCCGATTGATGAAAGTCGCTACAAGGACGCCTCAACGTGTCCTTGCAGAGATTTTCTACCTTCCTCAATCAATCCTTTCATCTGATTTTCCTACCAGTTTATCCCGTTTCTCCCATTCGTCAATGGTGTATACTAGCCAATACGGTAGTTCATAGCTGCTCATAGATTTCCAGAGCTTTGACTCAAGGTCTGTATAAGCGATAGTCATTCATGCTATGGGTCATGCGGCCAGGGGGCTGAAGAGATCATTGCGGTGATACCCGATTCTGGAGACAGGTGGAGTGGAGGCTTGGAGTGGCTTGGTCTGGCTCTGGGAGGGGGGTCTCGGGGTATAGCAACCAAATACTGGTTATTGAATATAGCGGCCGAGAAGTAAGATCTGATGGCTGAACTCTCAAGAGAACTCTTTGGAATTTAAAAGAGGCATAAAGGTAGAAGAGATATATACATACTGACAATGACTGGAATAGAAACTACCCATCAGCGGAATGTTTGGCTTTGTGTGGTGGGTACCTTAAGTTTGTAGTGGCTACAATTTGCATTGCGAGGTCCTCTCTTAGCCACTACTATCCTGCTATAGCCCAACACAAGCAGTTATTATCAAAAGTTTTGGTGTACGATATATACAGTTCTCTTGGTTATGTTGCATTTGCATTATGAGATCCTCCATCAGCTACTACTATCTTGCTATCCCGCAAGATAACGTAATGAACGAGGTCTGCTCTCAAACCTGCGTTTCGTACTTTTCAATCCGCTTGATAATCTCTTCCACATTTTCCCAAATCCGCTGTCGATTCCGCAGTCCCCTGAGACTGCTCCAATTTTTCTTAATCTGAGTGTAAACCCCGTGCCAATTTGTGCTTCCTCTGAGCAGCCTCAGCTGGTTCGGTACCTCTTTTGGAAATGGAAGCAGGGAATTGACCGCCTCGCTAGTTGGAGTACCAACATCACTCAGTTGTGCTGAATAGTGCTCTCGTACTTCCTTGAGGAACAGGAGATCGTTCGCGGTCACCGTTGTCCAGAAAGAAGGAACGTGGTCTTCCTCGCCGTCAGACCAAGATTCCCATAGCCAGGGCATCTCCTCTCGGACAAGGCGCCGCCATACGCTATTTGGAAGGCTGGTGAACGTCTTGGAAGCGACCCTTAAATTGGTGAGGTCGCCGGCATCCAGGAAATTGGCTAATAGCAGACGTATCTCTGGCGGTAGGGAAACAAACACATCATCGTGACCAACTTGCAATGAAGTGTGACTTTTGTTCGAAAATTCGAACTCCTCCATTTCATCGTGAGATAAGTCCTCTTCTTTTCTGCCTGCATTCAGCAAAAAGGTCTCTAAGCCTGGCACGTAAAGGGGGTTGGCAGCCAGATACTCTTTGCCTGGAACATGCTGCCAAAATTGATCTTGGCCTTCGAAGACATCTCCTGACCAAGGGAAACTGTGAAAGTCCTCATAGGTAAACTCGGCATTGCGCCACTTGATAAGGCCTGAGATATTGATGCGGTTGAGCCGAGCTTTGGACTGACGGCAGAAGATATCGAAACACCAAGGGTGGAACGGCATCGGCAAATCTTGTGGGGGTGTCCATTCCGGCTACTTACGATTAGCTTCTTTGCGAGTTGAATGGCAGTTCAAAATCTTGGACCTTGAAATTGAGAAGACAACTCACATCAAAATTGATATTCTCCGCTCGCGGCCTGTCGACTCCACCTTGCGCAGGCCACACTTTTGGGTAACCACAATCGCGAGACGGTATTCCATCACTCAACCCTGACAGAAACCAATCTTCAGAAACCTCCCAGGGCTCGTGGAATTCGATACTCTGTGATGGATCCTGTATGGCACTCTTATGGACCAGACACTGGGCGGTGCGACACCCTTTCATCTCTTCGAGTGAGATCGAAAAGCCCGAGTACGCATTTGCTTCTGTGCAGGTCCGACTGGGAATATGCTCCAACTCTTCCGGGTCGTAGTCTGACAAGGTAGTTGACTTGATCGGAAATACGGATTCATTGCGATAACGCTTATTGATAAAGCCAAAGTGCCCAACGGGTTCCCCGGAGAATCTGGCTTGCGGATTCAGGGTTTCCGCCAACCAGTCTGAGTAACAATCGACTTGAGGATCCTTGTTTTCATTATCATGGTCCGAGTCGCTGTCGCCATTATCATCCCCAGAGATACTCATGGAAGTGTCTGAATCATACTCTGAATCGTATTCACGAGGGTCGCTGTAGTCATCTTCATCCGGAGGAACGTAATCTGGATCTTCAAGCATGTTGTCGCCATCGTTCTTCGGATAGCTAATTGCCGCTAAGCAGCCATTCTGAGCGCATTTTTCCAAATCTACCTCTTCGATTCCAGGCTCAGCACATTGTTGGCCAGCGTAGTCCCAGCTAGCCAGATCCGGCTCTCCCGGTTTCCGGCTTCGGGCGATGTTGAAGCTGACGCCACAAAGATGGCAGTAGATCTATTAGCCCGTCAGAGAGGTGTTGTATACTTCATGTCAAAGGCTCAATCTGACCGTACCTCGGAGTAACCTGGAGACGCTTGTCAGTCATGCAATTGTTTCTGTCGCAGAGACAGCTGGAACACACCCATTTGAGCTCAATTGAAGTTCAATTGCTTCAGTACGGCCAAAGGCTTTCGCAAAGCTCCGCGTCAAGGGGCCTCTGCAATTTACAACTTTGTACAGGATGTTGAGGACGGGAAACGTGACTTGCTGGTGCCTGAAGGTCTCCAGAAACCCCTGCGACAAGTGGATTATCGTACGGTGGGGGTGGTGCTGCCAAGCCTGTGATTGGCCTAGCAATACGGGACTAAGGTTGTCTGCCTGCACGGGGTGGAGTTGACGGCAACACTCTACATAGGCCGCTATACGTAACATTTTTCCTATGCCATGATGGGCTTTCCTATTTTGCTTAGTGAGTACTTGGTAAGTCTGTTTGGATATTAGTTAACAGTTAGTTAACTAGTTAACGTAATTCACGGGCCACACGGCTCCTAAGCATTAGTACCAGTCCTGAATACCGTAATATAGTAACTGTTGGTTCGCTCCCTATCTATGCAGTTTTCATATCGTTCTTGTACATCCCCTCGTTGCCGGTTACATTTTTCCATCATGGTAAGAGGTTGAGTCAAGATAGAAGAGTAAGTTCTCAAATTTCCAGAAAAGAAAAAGGTGGAAAATGTAGAATTTCGCATAGACACTCAGAAACATATACGCGTCATACTTTGCATGGGAAGCCTTGGCGGAAAGGCTTACGAGAAAGACTTAATGTTCTAGGTGAAAAGAGGCTCGTAGTCTAGACTCGTAACTGTACCGTGGGTAGAATTGGCTTGAAGGATGGGAGAGAACCGTTAGGACTTTCCGACGAATTATAGGTAGTAGGCTATAAGTCATCTATTCATCATCAATTCGTCTAGGGGTATAGCAGAAATATCCTATCCCATGACAATTTTGCAGTGCCATCTTATGTGAATACATATTAAATATGACGACCTACTGGATTTCGATTAGTTCAACTGGTCTACGAGAAGATTTTCTCTGGCACTAAGGTTTCTTCCCAAATCATGAAGGCAATCCAAGCTACCCCGATCTTCTACTTCTTCCTTGGGCTACTTCTGACCGTATCCTCTCGCGCACAAGAGCCCATTGCCGACAGCGACAGGAGCTCCGTGGGAACTGGCCAAATCTGCAAATACAACCAAATATCATCCATGAACGTCCAATTCTGCCAGTGCGACCAACTCAAAAGACCAGAATGCCGGCACTGCGATCTCAACAATTGCAAAACAAAAAGCCACACTCACAGCGGGCTCACATATTGTGGCTTAGGCTGTATCGACGACAACAGCGAATGTGATGCCTGCTACCTATGGTTTCAAAAGCTATGCCTCTGCTTGCAACACGGCTGTCCAACCCGAAAGGCGAGCTCGGGAAACTTCGACTGGGTCTTGATGGACGACAACTTAATTACGGCGACGCAGCTGATTCCTGGTATCCGAGAGCTGTATGTCGAGGATCCTTGGACATGGGGTCAGCAGCTTTGGAAGCCGGGTAAGGGTGCCTTAGCCATCAATTCGGTGCGCACGCGTAGTCAGGAGCAGATCCATATGCATATTTGCCGCGCTCATGACGAAACGCAAAAATTTTTGGGTCAATTGGATTTTACGCAATATCTGAAGGCCATGACGGAAGTAACAGAGAAGAAGTGGATGTGTCAGGCTGGTGAGACGGGTGCCACCTCTATGGATGGTATCGTGGCTAAAGTTCAGGGCCAATTGGCTAATGACCGGTGGTGTCCTAATTTTATCGGGGCTGCTATGATTGCAGACTCAAAAGGTCGGATTTGGGCGTGTGTGACGACTGAAGAAAGTGAGACTACCGAGTTCAGCTTTTGTTACTAAATCTGAACTTCGAATTTGCTTTTGATTTTGAGGGGGTCTTTCACTCTGTCTTATGTCAGTTCGCCTTTCTTAATCTTCGCTGTACTGTAGTACACTTCGTTTTATCTGATTTATCGAAGCTTTTCTTATCTATCGATGCACAAGGTGCTGGTTTTTCTGTCACTTTCCTGTTAAAAGTTCTAGGTTAGTTTAGCCTCAAACTAAGTAGCAAACTAACATTCCTGGCTTAGTATAGTGGCTACTGTTATTCCTTCATGACAGGTGCTCATTAACTATAGGTTTAAGTATCAACGCTCTTAATATTATTTGACTTATTCTGATCCCTGAACATACTAAAGAGGTTGAGGTACCTGATTTTACTTGCGATGTATATGAAAATGAGATCAAACTCCGCCTCTTCTAATTCCCTCAGCTCACTTCAGATAGTAATAAGTAAGAGCGCAAGATATCAATAGCCGGTAATAGGTAAACGGTAATGCATTTTGACAAGCCGTGATCCTATCGTTAGCATGAATGGTTTTCCAGAAATCGGGGTGAGATGGACTGTCGTATGATATTTGGACTTTATCTCCATACCGTGTGGAAGGACTGTTGAATACAAAGATATTTTATTATTCATTTCCCTCTCATATACGACTAATATGGAAGGCTTCTATGGGCAATGAACATATTTGATATGTTTTGCGCGAGGCTCGTGTCATCGAAGTAGGTCCATTCCGGTTTACCTTGATAGTTGAGACCGCTCTAAGCTTGGAGTTACAAAGTTATGTGGAGTTCCTACCAGCCATAGTACTGGTCTATGAAGCGTACAAGAACCTTTAATAGCATGCAGTGGAGGATCAGATGGTGAGGTGACGCGGCGGCCAATATGCCCGATCCTACACGTATAACAATCAATACCTCAAAAAAAAAATACATCCTCAGCCTGATTGACGCCGTAGTAAAGCTTGATTGGGAATTACCGATTTGAAAAACTAGTACTTAAAATAGGCTCGCGGCAGAAACGACAATGTTGGATTCAAAGCTATGTCGTACGCCGTTTCTGTCTATTTTGATTTATATTTGCTTCTAAAGTTCAATTGCCTTCGTTGTTACACACTTGAACATTTACTTAACGCATCATTCTTTTGGTCATATCTTGACAGTATGGTAGGACCTACAGCCGCCCAATTGGAGGCTTACCCCTCAAGTAATGTAGGCTATCAACAAGCTACTCTCCATCGAAGGGACGACTCTAGTCAATCTTGCTGCATCTTCGAATACATAGTATTATTAGGTTCTGGGAACTTTGTGTCTGTTTGTCTACAGTATTTGAACTGTATTCTGCAAAGTCACTTCATTAGATTGAATTGAATTTGCTGCATCCTGGAGTGCAAGTCTCTGATCATTATCTTACATTTCATCGATCAAAACCTTACCTATGGCATTTTGGCCAGATGGTCACCAGCACATTCCGAGATAGACAAGGTGTATCCGCAATGACAGGAGCCAATGATGCCTCGAGCGCTCTGAAGTGCTGACAAACGTGCTGCGCGATCCCAGGATGAATAGGCTCTGTTGGTCTCCACATTGCATCCGGGGCTTTTTCCAGTGTTTCTCCGGGAATGGCTGTTCCTCACCCTTATTTTCCGTCGAATAACACAAATAATGGCAAAGCCACGGATCATATGTATCGCTGGGATCAGCCTTTGTGGAATGACAGTCAAAGCTTGAGAAGCAAAGACACGGCGTGCGGCCCTACACCGCCATATATCCCTCTTGATCACAAGTAAATAGGCACATTTTTGGGCGGGATGTCACTCCCTGGGTGAAGAATGCTTAGGTGAGTGAACTGTCGAATCCGAGCCCACCTGAACGCTAAGTGCGTGAGCGCTGAGCGGCTCAGCACCTACTTGGTTTATGCGACGGTAGACGCCAAGTAAACATCGCTATAGTCGGGTAACCATGGCTGCCGTAAGGCTTTCTTTATCTATTTCCTGTTATGCTATACGTAAATCTCAGGAAGTTATTAGTTTTATAGGCACTTTTCGTTTTCAAATATCACCACGTTTACAGCTAGCCCTAGAGTGATTGATCGGTGTTATTTGACTTATCCTTTGTAAATTTTTTCGTGGTGGTGGTTCCAGCCTTACCCGATAATCTGAAGTCGACTCCCAATATAACGAGTGAAAGGGTATGGGGTCGCTCTGAGCGGCCACTAAGGGGTAAATTCCAAATTCGGAACTTACTGCCGAAGTATTTAAGCCATGGACATGGTTTTCCCTTATACAATTTACCCCCACCCTTTCTAATGGATTGGCATTCCATCAACATAAAGTACATGATTACCCAATAAGATTTCAACAGCTTTTAGACAGAGTAGAATCCTATGATCGAGAACGCCTAACCCTACGCCCACATTCATGAAAACGAATGGAGTACTACTCTGCCATATGGAATATTTTTCACTTTGATCATGAACCTCATGATACGCTGAGCTGAAAATTAGAACAGAGAACGCATTCCTAGGCTCGAATTCCAACTAAACGCTACGCTATGGTCTCAAGGGACGTAGAGCATGATAAGCTATATAAGATGCTAAGGGAAAGCTGGAAATTTCCAAAAGCTAATCGTCTCGCAGTCCATGCTAAGTACGATCATCACCTGGCTTTCTCTTCTTTCTCTATCGAACTTTCCTGCCAATATGCGGATCGCGATATTTACTCTCTTTGGAGTCGCACTGGCTGATACTTCATCCTATGTTCTGCTGAAGCATACCAATGGTAACACGGTTTGTTCTCCTCCGTCAGGCCTCACAGTAATTTTTATTTACAAGGTTGCTTTCTTCTTTTGACCTAGTATTTTATTGACGTATGTACCTATCGTATTTAGGAGTCTGATTACCCAGCAAGATGCTACCCCGATCCCTGCAAAGGAATTACCTTCCAAAACAAGACTGCTGTGTGTGGTGATCCACGCCTTGGCCCAATCAAACTCCCTCAATACTTCCCCCTTTCAACGGAAGTCGCAACATATCACCGCTTTGGCGACCTTTGCCCCTACGAGTTTCTCGCAAAGTACAGCTTGAACGTCTCAGATCCGAACGCCTATCTTATCTACCCCGGCGCCAATGGGTTCGCAAACACAACAAATCAGACGGCCATCTCTGGAATTGCCACCTTGGAGGTAGGACGGAAAGTAGACCGATTTGGTGATCCAACCGGTACCTTCTTGGCTCCTCTTGGTGCACCTTACATCGAGCGCGGCCTACCACCTAAGAACTTGTTCGCTCCGGAGAATAGTAGTTTCCCCTACAACTACCATGTGTATCAAGTAATGGAACCGATTACTGTTGCCTTGGGACCTGTTGCGGGCTGGTTTGAGCAGCCGGGCCTCGGTACGCAGTTTGTCTTGCAAGGGAACCAGACCGTGGCGAGTTTGGTTGATTCTCACAAGCTGAAGGTCTTGGAGAAGAGGGAGTACGATGAGGCCGCAGATTTTGCTGCAGATTACTTGCCTTCTCCTCAATAGTCTTCCTGATACTGGTGGCTATAGCCCTGTGCAATAATCATAATTGTTTTGTGATTGTACCGAAATTCAGCTGAGATTTATTTAAGGTTATTAGAAATTAAGATTCCTGACCTCGCTATTTTTACATCTGTTACGATCGTAATAATCAATTAGTGAGTTCCTAGGAGTAGTGGCTTAGTAAATCCCCGGAGATAGGGTTTAACGAAATAATTATTATAGTACGCATGCTTAGTATAGAGAGAAGATACCTAGAGTAAAACTTACGGTCTTCCAGTATTTGTATATGATTTCTCTTAGACTAGCTCCATGCCTATCAAGGAAACAGTAGAAATTAGTATGCAAGAGGTCCTAGGAGTATGTGTCAGGTTAGACCCGCTTCTCACTATCTGTATGGCCTTGCCATATAGCCCGCTCCCGTTCTGCCACCGCCCTATCTACTTCTCCTTTTATTCTGCTTGATCCACTCCTTCTCCACTCTAAGCTTTTTGTACACAGTTCGTGGCCTAGTTAGATTGAATTAAGTCTTGCTTCAGCCCTTCACAGTATGTAGGTGATTACTTGATTATCAGGCTTCGCCGAGTCACAATGACTACCAAAATCAAACCTCTGGTTGTTGATGCCAATGGTTTTTGGATGGGATAGTAGGGTCAACCTATAGAAAGAGAGTTTCATGTGGATGGGGATAGCGTATTGCTTTTTATTGAGGTGCTTTGTGCTACGAGTGCTCAGTGAGCGGATCAGGGCGATCAGAGGCGTGCTCAGATCTACTCGGTGAGCAAAAGCGGCGAGGGGCTGAGCACAAACGGAATGGGAAAGCCAAAGCGTGGCATAGGAAATCCCGGTACGTAGGCCTGATATGATGGTAAAAAGGAGGCTCAACATGGCGTCAGGAGTAGCCACAGTCGGCATCCCCTTCACCGTCAACTGTGGCACTGACTACCCCCGAAATAAAGAAAGTCCTCGTCTGCACGACTCGACCCCTCGACCTCTCGTTCGCCATACAAACCTTCCAGGATGGACAATCTCCAGCCTACGATGCCAAATAAACTTGTCCCATTTTCACCCCTAATACATGAAATCCATATATAACCACGAAAGACCTTTTAATAGCTTCAAAAATAGCTCTATCAGACTCTCCTAGCTCTCTAGTTTATACTGACATAACAAACATCTTAAAAGGCAAAAAAAGTTAGGGATAGCTCTACATCTAGCTAACAAAAGAGGAACTGTCCCCACTCCACTGTCCGGAAGAGTCCACACAAGCGTCATCCTCGTTCATTCCAGCCAGACACCATTTATAACAGTGATCTCGATGCTCTTAGGGCCATCAGGACCGCTAGACCACCGGCGAGGACGGTTGCAAATTTGAGTTGGAAGACAATCATAACCTTGCTTTTCCCCAAATTTTGCCTCCTTTTGCTATATTTTCATGATGAATGCACATATCGAGGGTACAAATCAACGAATCAGCCTGCCTCAGAGCACCAACGAATCATCATGATCCGGAGCTTGTTACATTGACTCCAATGTTTAGCCTCGGGATATAAAACAAGTCTCAAGCCAACGCAGATGTTCGGAAGCTCAGATCTGATTCTATCTCCAGATCCTTGAGTCCAACATCCTTCACAAAACGAACCCGTCTACAATCATGGGATACAATCAAGATCACAGAGGATGTCTTGAAACTAGGAATCATCGGCCCCGAATTTGAAGGGATAAAGAAAACAACACACCTAACTTTACACTCCGACATAGTAATAACACACTTGCAGACCCTCAAGAAAACCCCCTTCCCAAAAATATATTCCAAAACCTCCATCAACTAAATGCGCCTCGCCACATCCACAACAGAACGAATCAACCATCCCCATCCCCATCCCCATGTGCGACGGCATCAATGAAATCAGACTCATCAAATCAAATCCCCCCCCCTAAACCCGCACCCGCACCACTAGTAATTCTCATGCACGGAGGCGGCTACATAATCGGCTCAAATATCCAATACATACCCTGGGCAGGCCCATCGCCACCTTATACGGGGCTATAGCCGCACTCCCATCCTACGGACTCACACCTGAATATAAATATTCATTTGCTACGCGGGATATATGAGATAGTGTTTTGTATTTTGACTAGCGGACAATGCCTCTAATCCAGGAGCAGATCTAAATCTGGGGGTCGTGGTAGGTGGTTGTTCGGCTGGGGCAAAGTACTTGGTCTCAAAATCGAGAAAGCCATTATTAGTTACTTTAGCCTATGCAGAATAACAAGATCCCTGATATGTAGACTTATGTAAACAGCATTCTTTTTCGATTCTTCTGCTTAAGTACCATAGCTCTCCCCGATCCTTGTCTGAAAACTAGCCTCTTACCTCAAATCCAGGGTCCATATACTACTGCACTACAACCAAACCTACCAACCCAAACAAAACCCCTCCCCATAATCTGCAACCCAGACCCCATTGAACCATGCAATTAAGCCCATGTCATCACATATTTACTATTTAACACTTATTTACTTTGTGCAGTATGTACCATCCTTCACTGCCGAACTACTCAACCCCCCCACCATCCCGTCCCTGACACCCGCGCTCCGCCCGCCGAACCTTCACACTCTCGGGCCCACTTCGCCCACCGGAATCCCCTCCGCTCCCGAGTCTGCATGCCGGGGCCTGGCTCGGGACGGTCAGAAGATGGGTCTCCGGAGTGCCGAGGGGACTTTCCGCGGAGGGGTTTGAGTCTGATGATGGAGATCGAGATTATTAATGAATGAATAAGGGAATACGTAGAGTGGGTTTAAGGGGGTTTTTGAATGGGGTATTAATAATTGTTGAGAGTTTTGTTTTTTGATGGGGTTTTGTGTTTGATTTTGGGGGTTTGGTTGGTTAGTCTGGGTAGGTAGTGATATGTATATTGTTAGTTGGGTTCTGGGGATAGTCAGTTGTCACTGGTGGGGCTTGGTGAGTTCCATGATTTGCAGGGATTGGAGTTGAACGTCTGTCTCAACGAGTATCACTATCCGGACTTTGCTACTCCGTCCGGAGTGCAATCTCTGTTGGGCTATAATTCAACATGCTGGTGGTTAGTATATGGACTTCGGCGATGGCCGTTCTGAACATCCTCACAGGAATGCAGGGTCTATCACGAACGGATATCGTCGGCGCAGAGTATCTGATTTACTCTGCACATCAAGGTCCAGGCCGATGTATTACCACGACAAATCGTTCACCGGAGAATTTCCAGTCGCTGCCCAAAATAAGCCCGTGAATAGTGATGCATCCTTGCCTTTCCAGTGGATCATCCCGGATACACCACGGAGAAATCAACTCCTATACCTCCGTCCCTTGTAACCTGTAGCCTGTAACCTTGGAAGCAAAATCACATCCAAACGAATCGCATTCCATCCCGTGTGTGGCTTGAAACACCAGCACGGCATCACAGCACAACCTCATCCTGTAGTCTGATCTCATCTTTCAAGCAGGTATTACACCTTCCAAAGCTCATGTCCCCCGGACTGCTGTCCTCCGCTGGCACCGGCAAACGGCACCAACATCACGAACAAGAGGGAATGTCAATGTCCCCACGGAAGGACAAGCATCTCAGCCCCGACCCTCACAAAGTGACAAAACCCAGTCTCGAGTCCTCTCGACCAATCCGAGCGCATACAATTCACACACGACGTCGCCCTCCGACTGCAAGTGCCGGTCATCGGCGAAAAGACGGCGCTCTTCAGTAGGCGATCGGAGGATTCCAGCGGGACCCCGGGGGACAGGCACCCTGGGCGCTGGGCCCGATTAGGTCGTAACGGGGGGAATCGGCGGTCCCCCAACGGGGAGGGTGGTGCAGTTTGGTATTCCCGGGGGCACGATTGGTTGGGGGGTGGGGGATGTGGTGCTATTGTCAGTGCGAGGGTTGTGTGTCCACATTGTATAGATCCCGCTGATTATTGGGTGGTGCCTGGACTATAGGGTATAGTGTGGGCTTGCCTTGTTGGATGGGAATCGTGGTAGGCACTGGGATCCTCGGATCTGACTCCGGGAAGCGGGAGCGGCAGAATATTATCGAGGCGAGAGGTGGAATAGCCGATGTAGCTTATCCGGGTTGTCCATGCCGTAGAACCGAGATGCCGCCGAAGTGAGAAGGTAAGTTGTTGTGGTGATGGTGTGCTCGTCTGGAATGAATATATTGTTGGTATTGTTTTTTGTTGAGACGGTCGGAAAAACTGTCCGTCTATTCGTTCGTGGATTGTCAGCTTGTTCAGCTCTTCCATCTCATTGAGTATGGTAACATGGTTTCCCTCGGACAGGCCAAGCATTCCGTCCAGAACTGTAGAACTGTGAAGCGGGTTCCCGAGCAGTTCTCGTGGGGCATCCCAAAGAGGACTAGCGGGGTGAGTGGGGTTCCGAGTTTAGCTCGTGGCACTAATGCTGCTGGTTGGGAGGGGCTCCATGACGTGGAAGATTGGGGGATGGGGGTGTGTTTGATATGGAAAGGTAAGGGATGAAGAGAGGAAGATGAAAGATGGAGAAAAGAGGAGAAAGACATGAGATGGAATTGTTGGAGTGAGGGGTCCTTCTTCTTTCTTTTTTACCTTTGGAGAGGGTTACAATTTCTTTGGAGGGGAAGTTGACTCGTGACATCAAGCTTCCCCCGCATTTTTCAGATGTTTGCAGTAGTTAACTAGTGAGTACTGGTCACTACACATTTTCAACTGTGCTCCTCTGTCATGTTCCCCCCCGTAATCAAACTTTATGATCGACGCTATTGGCCCACTTGGAAAGTCATGGAGGAGTGGAGACTTTTTGTACTTTGCATTGCGATTTTCGCTAGTCTAAGCTACTGTATCGTCATGCCCCCCTTCCTATTATTATTTCTGCCAGATTATTGCCATATGATTGCCGTCCCACCTGTCCTAAACTACTGGAGTACTGCATCCCGCGGCTAACAATCGGTCCAAAGGGCCCAGATGTCTCCGGCTACCCAGTCGGAACTCGTCTTCGGTTGTTCGCGGCCTCCTTCCATGCCCTCGGGCAGCATCCTGGGCCAGTTGGTCGGTAGCTGACGAGGGGACTTGGATCGTGTTAGAATAATAGTTAGAGTAGTACGGAGTACTTCCTATTAGGACTAGGTACGGCTTTGTAGTATTACTAGGATACTTCCGAGTTATATAGAACAAGCTCAGGCCCCCGTGTTCAGGACTCCTGGTGACAGCGACTTATAGTTTGGCCCCTGCTCCTCCTCCATTCTCGGTCACTGATACTTCGATCAACTTGGTATATGACTGGTGACTGACCTTCCTGGTTTCTGGTTCCCCCGCATCCTCCCTTCCTCGTCTCCCCTCATCTTCCCGGTCGTCGTCTTCTTCTTCTCTATTTCATCTTCTCCCCTCTCGTGGTTCCTCGAGAACTTCATACATTTGTCTTGTCGACTATACATCACCAGTAAGTCTTTTACGGATCCTATTCTCCTGTGCGCCGCGACTTCCGAATCCATCACAAAAAGAAATCATACTCACGACTACCAGGAACCTTTGCTGCTTCTTCGGTGCCTGACCGTGCCGTGAACTCTTTTCTTCTCTGGTCAGTGGATGAATCATCCGATCTTTTTTCTTCGCGTCCCTCGTTCTTTCAAACATCGACATCTACACTCTACACGCGACCACAAAACCACACCACTACATGACTATACGCTAACATTACCCTCTCAGACTATCATCCTATACGACTTTCACAGCCATGGCATCTAATTCGATCAAGGAGTCCGCCCATAATGCGGCCGTCTCCGCACAACAAGCCGTCGAGAACCCGGCGCAAACCTCCTCTACCATCCTGCAACACCCCTACATGCGCGCCGCTCTCCCCTTCGTCAACGGTGGTTTGGCCGGTATGACTGCCACCATTGTAATTCAACCCGTCGACATGGTCAAAGTCCGCCTGCAACTCGCCGGCGAAGGTGCCCGCACCGGTCCCAAACCCTCCGCCCTGGGAATCACCAAGGAGATTATTGCTTCGGGCAAAGCCCTCGACCTCTACACCGGTCTCTCGGCTGGTCTCCTCCGCCAAGCAGTCTACACCACCGCCCGTCTGGGTTTCTTCGACACCTTCATCAAAAAGTTGAATGTGCGCGCCGAGGAGCAAAAGCGTAAAGTCACCTTTGCCGAACGTGCCGCCGCGGGTCTCTCGGCCGGTGGTATCGCCGCGATGATCGGTAATCCGGCCGATTTGGCCCTCGTGCGCATGCAATCAGACGGCCTCAAGCCCCCCGAGGCTCGCGCAAACTACCGTTCCGTCTTCGATGCGCTGGTTCGCATCCCCAAGCAAGAAGGTCTGGCGGCGTTGTGGGCCGGTGCCTTGCCAACGGTTATTCGGGCGATGGCCCTGAACATGGGACAATTGACTTTCTTCGCGGAGAGCAAGGCCCAGCTGAAGCAGCACACTAGTCTGTCTGCGCAGAACCAGACGTTCGCGGCTTCTGCGATTGCGGGTTTCTTTGCTAGTTTCCTCTCGTTGCCGTTTGACTTTGTCAAGACTCGGTTGCAGAAGCAGCAGAAGGATCTGGCTACGGGGAAGGTGCCATACAAGGGAGTTTTGGATTGCGCTCGTAAGGTTGTGCAGGAAGAAGGGTGGTTGCGTTTCTATCGTGGCTTTGGAACGTACTATGTGCGGATCGCTCCTCATGCGTTAGTCTCTCCCCCGCTCACCCCCCACTTTTCTTCGTTGCTTTTTTATCTTGGGACCCACTTGGGATGAACTGACACTTTTTGATCGAATAGAATGGTGACTCTCATTGTGGCCGATTATCTCAACCTTATCACGAAATAGACGTGTGAAAGAGGTAGGGAGATAACTTGGACAACCGTGTTATCTCCCATTGTTCGACTTTGACTTTGTCTTTCGTCCGAGTGAACTCTCTTGCATGTCGGTGCCTCGTCTTTCGATTTTCGCGCTATCCGCAAAAAGGGAAAACCAAAATGGATTCCCTATCTACATCGCCAACATCATTTTTATGCTCTATGCGATTGACATTCCCAAAGTCATGCGCGGGCGCTATTCTACAGTCTGGCCAAACCGCCGAAACCTTCCATCTGCATTTCTAAGGCTCCAACATCCCGACCACTGACATCCCACGATTGATCGCCCAACAATCTCATTCTATTTTTACCCTTATTTTTCGACCCGACCGGGAAATCACCTGCTTGCTGATTTCCTTTTTTCCATCCCTATACTCTACTCCCTCGGAGAGAGCACCTTTCTCCGGTGGTGCGGGTTGCGTCGGACGGCGCAGTGTCAGCAATAATTCTGGTCTCTGGTCTTCCGGCGATCTCCGTCTCCGCGGGAAGGATAGGGAAGGGAAGAGGAAGACTGCGATGGGATGATCCTGCGATACTATCACGTTTTGTTTTGTTTTGTTTTTTATTGTTTTTGTTTTCTGTTCGTGATGTTGTCTTTTGATGTTTTTTTCTTTTCTCGACAAGCAAATACCCCGCTACACTTGTCTTGTCCTGTCCTGTCCTGTCCTATCTTGTCATGCTCGGTTGTGTTCTATTCTTTTTTTGTTTCTTGCTATGTTGTGCTATGCTGTACTATCCGACTTGTGTCTAGATCAGTCTTACCTCGATGTCTATTCTATCTTTATAGTAGGGTAGGGGCATTATCAATACTCCCTCCAACCAACGGATTAAATCACGACGTTACCTATACCAAGTTACCTTATCAACCTCTCATTCTCTGTTTTCTTTCCTTCCTTGCTTGGTTTCTTTTATACCCTGTTCTGTCCCACAAACACGAGGATCGAGGTCATTCCCTCTTGATACAGGCTTGTTAAGTTCATACCATGGATAGGATAGTTCGGAATGAATCCTGCTTAGCATTCTATGCTATGATACCGTTGCGCTGCAGAGTTTTACTTGCACAAGGCACGAGTACTGCCCGAGGATGGGCATGAGTACAAGCTCGAGTATGAGTATAGTGGAATAGAATGAAATGGAAGATAGATGGAAGACAGAGATGCGTGTTCATCTTTCCCTTTTTCCTGGATACCTGCTTCAAGTCGGACAAGGTACGTAGTACATACAGACCACCTAGGTACCCGGCTAGTAGTTAGTGGATAGTATTCTAGATCCAAGTACCGAGTACTACGAATACCTAAGTACCCTACAGAGGAAACAAGAATACAGATTCGTGACTGCTTTTCCATTCATTGTGAAACCGGGTATGTAAAAGGGTAGCGACGAAACTATGCATCGCACAACATTAAAAAATCATTGGGGGAATAGGGAAAATGGGGGAAAGGAAAAGCGTCATCCATAAAACCTCATATCGAGTCATCGCATTATGAGCCCACCCTTCCCTTTCAAAGGAAAAGGAGAAGGAGAAGGTCCGTTGATGAATCTCGGAGAAACAAACGAAGCCAGTCCTTGCCGAAGCGAAGTCAAGACCGTCAGTCAAATCAGAGAGAAAATGATCATGCCACACACATCCTACGAAGTGCAACCAGCAACGACTCTCCTGATCAAGCAAGATCGTAACTGGAAAGAATTTAGATCTCGCCGACGGCACGCTTCTCCGCAAAGGCACCAGGGGGCAGGACGTCCTCGGCGGTCTCATCGGTACCCTTGAGATCGTCCTCGAGGGGAACGGTATCGCGGATACGCATTAAGACGACAGGGAGGGCGAAGAGGAGGGAGCCCGAGAGGATACCCCAGTTGGAGGCGAGTTCGTTCATGAAGGGAGTCTCCTTGCTGTCGAGGGACCACATCACGGCGGAACCGGCGGATTGGAGACCCTTGTAGAAACCGGCCAAGTTGGCGAGGCGACGGCCCGAGTTGCCGAGGGCACCCATGAACCTGGAGGAAGATGGAGGTTAGATTGATTGCGATATACAAGGGTGGGGAGGAACGGGGAACGGGGTAAACATACCAGTAAACAACACCCTGCCAAACAGCATCGTACATTCCGTAGAAGAAGTACAGGAACATGGGGCCGACGTAACCCTTAGTAGTCCAGTCCCAGGGAACAAAGGTACCAGCGGCAATAGCATCCTTGCCAACATCCTCACGGGTGTAGTGCTTCTGCCAGGCATAGCCACCACCCCAGATAACCATGGTGAGAGTGAACAGGACGCCAAAGGCAATCTTAGCACGGACACTGCGGCGGACACGCTCGACATCCAAAAGAGGACCGATAATGAAAGCAGCGACAATCTGGGCAAACCAGTACAGGAAACCGTTCAGGGCCTTGGTGCGGGTGTCGAAGTAGGCACCGTTGATACCGTTCTGCTGGTAGGTGTAGAACCAGTTGGAGGACCAGAACATGGGGAAGAGCAGGATGATGTAGGGCTCGGCCTTGATGGTCTCCCACAGACCGTAGATCTCGGTCCACCAGCTGGGGCTCTTCATCAGAATGACGCGGGAGCCATCCTCACGGACGATCTTGTCGGCATCGCAAATGAACAGGGCCAGGCAGGCACCGAAGAACATGAGCACAATGAAGGCGATGTAGGTGCCGTCACTGACGGTGCTGTTGGTCTTGACGTTGATGTTCTCTCCGAGGGGGATCTATTGTAGAAACAAAAGGGTCTTAGCTTGAATCTGTTCATACAATGATATAATTCACTGCGTGGCAATCCATGTGAATGCGAAAAAAGATAGAATCACTCACCAGACTGCCAATGCAAGCACCGACGTTGAAAATACCCCAGAACCAAGCAAAGTAGCGACCCTTGGACTGCTCCAGAGGGTAGGACATCATGATGGTGCCCTGCGCGGTCCACAGCAGACCAGCGCAAACACCGAGGAACGCGCCGGCGAAAATGTTGAAGCCGGGAACATACTTGTGAACGGAGACGAGGAGGGAAATCGAGTAGAGACAATAACCAATACCACCAAAGGACAGAGCGGCGCGAACACCCAGACGGTTAACAATGGTACCAGCGAAGAAACCAACCACGGCGAAGGTACTGTAGAGCGCGGTGTTCTGAAGACCGAAAAAAAGTAAAGTGGTCAGCAACCAGTCAAAAGCGGTGCACGAATCCAAGCTCGGCGCATACAACAGCCGTTCGCGGGGATGCGTGCCGAAGCTTTTTAAAATTCGGGGAAATAAAATCGGGAACTTACCATGTCGTCGGCCAACTTAGCATCGGCCTTACCACCACCGCCCAAACCACCAAGAGCGTTGAACATGCCGGGGCACATGAAGCAGACGAAGGCGACCATCCCGAGCTGGAACTTTGGGGAGGCGTACCAGCCAATGTTCCACTTACCAACGCCGATGCGCTTGTACATCCAACCGCGGGGACGGACGACATCGTCAGTGAAGGACGAGTCGGTAGCGACCTGAGCGGTCGCAGCCTTGGATTCGGTCTCTGCCATGGCGAACGATGCGCAGGAGGAAACCCGAGACGAGGGTGTGGTTGTGGAGCGCGATCGCAAGCTTGAGGTGGAGAGAGGGTGTGAGGGTGGTGAAGGTGGTGAGGAGAAGAGAGGATCGCGGGTGTGGGGAAGAAGAAAAAAAAGAAGGGGAAGAGGAGGAGGTTAAGAAGAGAAGCGATGGGGAATTTAAAAAAGATCGTGAGACGCGCGCGGAGGGCAAATAAAACCAAAAGGGCAGGGTAGCTTGATCGGATGGAGACTAGAGCTGTCAAGCAGGAGCCATGAGTCTGTTTGTCCTCATGATGGAGTTTAGTTACTACAGTAATTACTACTAAGGTGACTTGACGATGGGGACTGGATACTACCACGCGGCAAGGTAACATCAAGCCTCAATGCTGCTCTGTTCGGCTTCCCACCCCCAGACCCGAACCAGAACCAGAACAGCTGTGCGGCAGTGGAGTCAAGGTGACCAGGGAATAATCCAGAATGAGCCGAGTATTATTTTCGTTTGCGGGGAGAATAGTACCCGAATACTGTAGTAGTAATAGCAGTCAATCATGCTAATAGTAGGAATTGTAGTCTCGTAGTTAGTCCGGCAGTAAGGAGGAAGCCAAAGTGAGCAGACAAGTGCCGCTATGATAGTAGAGTTACACCTGCCAGGATGGAACATGGCCCTCTGCTCAGTCACTCGGTAGATTACTAGATTAACAGATTGTAGGGTTCAATCCGTCCTAAAGAAAAACTAAGCGATAGGGAACACTATCAAAAAATCATGGTAACTTACACAAAGTCGCGTGACAAAGCTAAACGACGTGGTATTATCCTATCTCCACCTCTCCATCTTAAACTCCGAATCATGGAGTAAGGAGTCTGGAGAACACAGAATCTGGAGTCTGGAGTATACAAACTCTCTCCTCCCTCTCTCGAGGAAACGAGGTTATGTGACCCTGCCGTATTGCTGTTGCATAGGGTCCCTTCAGTGGCTGAATGGCTGAAAACTCTTGGAGCCCTCAGGGGGGATGGATGACAGAAAAGACCAGTCGCGCGGTTGGTACCCGTGGGCTTGTCAACTAAGGGCTGATTAGGGAAGTGAAGGCTGACCATGGACGAGTCAGAAGCCAGGAAAATGGGGGCGAAATGAGATGCATTGAGTCTAGATGGTGTGGGGAAAGGACCATACTAACTAGAAACAGTTTAGTGGGGGTCTGTTAGCGTGTTTTTTAGAATTGGTTCCCACGTTAATCCTGTCTGGGGTTAGCGGGGGCGGGCTATCGGGTGAAACATTACCTGGAACAGTGAAAAGCATGTGCAGTTCGCCAGCTGATTGACTCAGATAGAGACTCGAGGTGATGGGAATAAAGGAACATGACTGGATTTCTGCCTCTTAAGCATTTGATGTGCGACAGGGTAGACATACCAGGATGACAATAATCCTGGTCAGTTGTCCTGCAAGTCTGCAAGGACCTCTTCTTATCTGCACTGTCAGTCTGTTCGAGCCTGTTCAGCCTTTTTTCAGCCATTCAGCTGGCCACATCGCTTATCTAGCCTGATCGTGTATCTCTTATCTCTTATCTCTTATCGCCTGTCATGAGGCAGGTCAACTGGCCAGTCGCCACAAACAAGCTGACCAGGTTCAACATTTAGCCTACCATCACAGGCTATATTTATCACCGCATTTATATAGGTATCCATGCATTCCTACGCATTCAAAATAAACTAGTACAAGTGTTTGTTCCGTCACTGTCAGACTGTAATCCATCAGGAGCCGAGGCCTTAACCCGGTTTAAACGGTGAAAAAGCCAAACGTAGCCACATCTACCCTCGAGGTCACTGTAGCAATCGAGTAAACCTAATGCTAGATAGCTGCCTATATTTTAAAGCTAAGTGATCCAAGGACTACGTAAAAGTACAGTTGCAGATAAAATAAGGCCAGGCTCGACCAAAAGTGACAATATATCTTCTTAGCTTCTGTACCTTTCACCAGTAAGTTGTATTCCAGTTTCTCCACGCATTGGTATCCCATCTGATCTTGCTATGTTGGTAAATATAGCATTCCCTACATTCGGTATACTTCTTATCGTGTGGGTGAAGTTTCTTACAATAATAAAGCAAATACATTGACTGTTCTATCCAACGTTGAAATCTAGAACTGTACAAAGCCAAGGAAAATCAAGAGGCCTCGTAGCGTTTTGTTATGTGGATCTTTATTTTGACCCTCGGTTCGGGCCAGCACGGAGCCACGACAGCACAGGATATATTGCTCTGCGAGAGACGTTCGACAATGCGGCAACACATGGTGGATACTTCGTCCTGCTGGACGAACCATCCTCTCGAGGTAGAATATACATAACCGGGGTAACTGCTCACAGAACCATATGCCAGGATATGATTCATATATACAAAGTATGTGCAGCACTTGTTATGAGGACAATGTCCCTGATCCTCAGTTGAGGGTGTACCTGTCTTTGCCAAGCATCTTGGACCCGTATTCACTGTAGCCAAGACCACGGCATCCAAGAAACTCGTATAGAAGGCAGAGGAATGGTGAATTTGTAAGAAATACGAATCTCGCATTTGTCATCGCCAAACAGATGATGTCGTAACTTCCTGGGACTATTTTTTTCAAGAATCTCGCCGCAATAGTGAAGCACAATTTCTCATTGATTAGACCGTGACTTCCTTCTCTTTTCTACCAACACGAAAACTCCCAAACCAATCCCCAATGACGACCCTCCGATACAATATAATCGATGTCTTCTCCTCAACAGCCTACAAAGGCAATCCTCTCGCCGTAGTAAACAACCTCAACAAATCCAACACCCTCACAAAGCCACAAATGCAACTAATAGCCCGCCAATTCAACCTCTCCGAAACAACATTCATCTGCCCCCCGACAACCCCCACGGCAAATCTCCGTCTACGCTCGTTCCTCCCAAACGGAGAAGAAGTCTTTGGCGCAGGGCACAATTCTCTCGGCGCCTGGTGGTGGGCCGTTCACTCGGGGACTTGCGATGTACCCGAGAATAGTGATGCACGTGTCTACCATCAACAACTCGGTGATGCAGTTTTACCGGTGGAAGTTTTGAAATCGTCTGCTGGGGAGATAAGGATTTCTATGCGTCATGGCGAACCGCGGTTTTTGAATAGACATGCCGATAAAGCGTTGTTGGCGAGGGCTCTTGGAATTGAGACTGTGGATATTGGACTGCAGGGTCCGGAGGGGACTACGGTTCTTGGTGAAGCGCAAGTTGTGACAACTTCGCCGGCTCGACATCTTTTGATCCCTCTGCGCAGTAAAGAGGTGCTTGATCAGGTGTCATTCGCCAATAAAGAGCGCATTGCGCAGGAACTTGCTAGCACGGAGAGTCACAATAGTGGCGTTTACGTTTTCACGGCCGTGGAAGGGAAAAATGGTGTCCCGAGATTCGAGGCGAGATTCTTTAGTCCAGGGATGGGCATGGAAGATCCGGCTACCGGGTCTGCGGCGGGTCCTTTGGCGGCGTATATATGGAATCATGCGAGGGAATTGGTTTCTGCTGAAGAGGGCGAATCGAAGACGGTTGATATCGAGGTTGTGCAGGGTTTGAAGACTGGGAGAGAGTGTTTGATGAAGGTCACTGTGGGTGGTCGTGGGCCTGGAAGTATTGAGTTGTCGGGGACGGGGGTGTTGGTTGCTGATGGGAATATTGCTATACCTTCAGCAGATATTTCATTTTAAGGGAGCCGTTACAGAGGATCAGGTAAAACGGGGGTGAGGAGTCCTATGCTTCCGACCCATGATGAATTCGTGCGAGAGTAAGACCGTGTCTGTACTTTATTCTTGATCGTTTTTACTTGTCTTATTGCCTTTTTTCGTCGCTGCATACATCGTACAAGTCATTTTTGTTCAGCGAGGTGGTTTACGCATCCACGTAATCGATATCTGATATTTCGAGACATGTCGTATCAACTTCTACTGATAACTTTCTCCCTCCCCGTCTGCGCTAATCTCATGTTCATCGTCCTCTTCCTCATCCTCTTCGTCCTCATCCTCGTCGTCCTCTTCCTCTTCGTCATCCTCATCGAGTCTCTCCATGTCCACGGTCTGACGCCGCTCTCCCTTAATCTGCCCAGGCTCCGATTTGATCTGCGTCCCAGCCGGCGCATCCACATCCACATCCATCGCATCCTCATCAGGATCGACCGCATCACTCGCCAGCGTCACCCGGTTCGGATTCTGCCGCTCATCATCATCGTTTGAGTCACTTTCCTCAGCCCGACGTGCTTCTTGTTCTTCTGCACGACGCACACGACGTTGCAAAGCGGTATCACGGGCCAGATCCCCCGCAGTAAGGACGATCGAGCATACAGGGCACTTGACTGCCTTGACGCGTGCGGGGCCACCGGGCATGGGTCGTGAGCGCATGATCATATCCATGATAGCATCGTGTTCGAAGCTATGCGGGCATTTAGTGCTGGTAACAGGGTCCTTGAAACGGACCAGGGTGATAGGGCAATCCAGCGATATGCGCTCGCGCTCAATGGCGACGTCATCGGAGTCAGCGGGAGATGGCTGACGCTGGCTACGTCGGCGGTTTGATAGAGTTCCACTTGAAGCGCCTGCACCAGTGTCATCCTCCAGGTGGGAGAACCATGTAGAGGAGTGCGGCATTGGTGGAGCTTCGTTGTCGGGGTACTTGGAGTCGTGCACGACGCGGTAGAACCCAGTATAAGTGTTGTTTTTGGAGTATCTGGATAATCACAGATGTTAGATAAACTTGTGCGCATATTCCAAGGCATGAAGAGAGCATAGCATACCTCTGAGTCAATGACAGTTCTTCCCACTTCCTTTGGCCCTCGGCTAGCGAGGTCTTCAGCCTTTTACTAGGTGGATTTTCGGCATTACGCTCGCGAAGCTCTCGCACCGGCGTGGACTCGCGCTCCGCGTCCTCTTCATTCTCTTCATTTTCTCCGTCCTCATCACCCATTTGCCGCCTCGTGCGCCGCGGGCCCCGCAGTTGTCGGTCGCCCAGCAAAGCATGCTGTACCTGCGCCTCCTCATTATCGAGTTTCTGCAGCACCTCCTTCAATTCATTAGATCTGGTCTCGCTATCAACGACACCGCGCATTTTCTCCTCCAAACGGCCCATGATGGCATTCACTTTTCGTTCCTGCTCCGCAAGATGTTGGTACTCATCATCACCCTCTGCATCTCGGTCCTGGCCATCTTCCTCGGATCGGCGCTTTTCTTTCATCTTCTGGTATCGGATTTGCGCATCGCGGAGCCGATCGCTCACTTCGCCGGCTGAGTTGGTGATATGTGCGCCGGCATTGTGGATGTGCTCCATCACTTTCTCGAGATATTTTTTCTCGCGGAGTTTGTGGAGATCGCGATGGGCATCTAGATTAAGAGGGGCCTCGGGGGCCTGGTATGGGACTTCCGGTTCGTCTGTGTTTTCGGGGGCTTCTGTAGCCCTCGCGGTGGATCTTGGGGTGGCTCGTGAGCGGACACTTGGTGGAGGACGATATTGGGACACGGAGGTACGCTGTCGCGCTGGGGTTGCGGAGGGCATCCCGGCGGTCGTGTGGCCAAGCCAAAATTTGTGCTCTGTTTTAAATACTGACGAGACTTTTGGCTGGTGAAAGTGGTCGAAGGGTGGTAATTGATATGTCTTTGCGGTGGTTATACCGCAGGCTGAGTAGACAAAGCAACTCGAAATCCGAACGCGACGCGACCGCACTAGTCCCGATTTGGTTACATTACGGCGATAAGCTTATCGCCCTCTACTGGGAAGTAAATGTCAACCACCTACTTGCACAGGTATTTTCCAGTCAGACGAGACTGTACATAGCAATGATATGAACAGAACAAAATTCCACCTGAAATTGCCCGGTCTAGAGATTCGAAGTCTTGAGTATATTCGAAGTAGCGTTACTGCTGATGACGGAGCATGTTCTCCTTTTGTCTATTTTTCTTTTCTTTGAAAAGCCTCGCCAGCGTATGCATAAGCAATGAGTATGGAGATAAGTACAGATTTAAACCTTGTAGAAACAAAATGCATGATAGAAGCCTGCTCAGAGTCAGCAAGAAGCAACAGATTTGGCTGTATGGAAGAAAAGCACTTACTGACTGCATCCTTCTCCTCCTCGGTCATGAGCAATTCCCCAGTATTGCGATCCCGCACTCCCATACGCTCACTGAGCGGCCCCAACTCGCGATCATTTTTCTCGTCTTCCCAGATCTCCAGGAAGGGCTTGCGATACTGCAGCTCCAGGTTGTAGTCCTCAGTCAAACTAGAGTACTGTTAGCAATGTAGGCCAGAAGAGGAGGGTACAACACAATACTCACGCTCGGAAGGCTTCCCAAGGAACAACGTATTCAGGAACGCCCTCGACCGCCTCTGACATAAAGTATGTATACTTCCATCCAAACGGTGGACGGAAGACACCACTCTCCGGGGTATCCCCAGGGAAGCGAACACTGTAAATATCATTGCCCCATCCGCACCGCTGCTCCTCTTCGACTTCGCCATCCTCAGGCCCTTCAGACTCGGCAGGTTTGGCGGCCTCTTGCTCCTTGCGGTTCTTGTGGAAAGCACTGACTTTGCTGGTGATCACATCCGAATTCGGGCACACGCCAATGAAGCGGCCACCCTTTTTCAAACAGCCAGCAACGTTGCTAAGCATTTGGCGTGTTTTCTCCTCGCTTTCGAAGGCGTAGTGAATGGCAAACATAGAAGTAACAACGTCGAAGCCACCACCACCCCATCGCGATGCCATGAGAGAGCCACCGGGTCCGGCATTGGGATCAAAGCCGACACGCTGGATAATGTTTACATCAGCCAGTGACTCGCCGAAGCAGTCCTTGGTCGCGAACTCGGCGTGGAAGAGAGCAGGAGGGGGTCGTCGGCCACGGCCGCCTCCACCACGAGACCGCATCTGACCATATCGATCCCGCGCCTGTTCAATAGAGATATTGGCTGGGTCGAGTCCCACGTAAAGTTCCACTTTTTGCGGCGCAAGCTGCCACTTGCCTAGGTCACCACCCTTGCCGCAGCCCAAATCCAAAACCAGCAGCTGCTTCTCCTCGGGTTGGTTCGGGCGCATGCTATCATCAGCCCAATCCTTGGTATCGTTGAAGCGTGCGGCGAAATCTTCATCAGGCGAGAACTTTTGGATCAAAGTGCTCTTCACCCAATTGTTGAAGCTGCGCAACCCCCTGATCTTGGATTCGGTCTTGCGCCATTCGCGGCCGCGCTCGGGCACAGCATTGTAGTGCTGTCGAACAACGTCGGAAACGCCACGGTCTCGCGAGGTCCGCATGGCATCCTCCTCCATGGCGCGCTCGCGCTCCTCCTGTCGCCGCCGCAGTTGCTCAGGGTTCATCAGGCCCGCCCGTGCGCCACCGCCAGGCCGCTTGCGCTGCTTGGGCTGTTCCTCGAGTTCGGGTGACCGGCGCGGTAGGGGGGATCGAGAGCGCCTCGAGTAGTCATCTCGGGGCGTGGCATTGCTGGGGCTGCGGGATCGATTGCGTCGGGAGAAGACCGAGGGAGGAGGTGTACGGCCGCGCCTGCGAGCTTGGTGTCGCTCCTGCATACGCTTGCGCTTATTTGCCGGGCCAGACTGATGCTGTTGGTCAGTCTCCGGAGTGTCGTTCTCTCCGGGTCTGCGCTTCCTGTCGTCTTGGGATCCATTGTGGTCTGCCATGGCACCGGGCGAATGAACAGCGCCGTTCTTGTCTGCTTCGGCAGGGTTTGGTGTCCGAGGCTTAGGAGCACCTGAGCCCGGTGAAGAGTCCATTGAATTCGGGACACTGTCTGGAGGTGGTGATTTGAGGCGAGGGTGCGGATTCCTTCGGGGAGATGGGTTTGTGGTGGGAGGGAAGTCAATGATCAAATGACTCGAATGCAGGCGATGAACAGAGACAGAGTAGTCGATAGTATAGATTGAAAATGTGAAAGACCTGAGGTTTCCACCTGAGACTTGGTAAGCTTGGAAAGTGAGAGGGTTTCTTTCAAAAATGACTTCGGTGGAAGAAGGGAGCTCCGCTGCCTGTGGGTCTTGGCCGCAGCTGCCGTAATCACAGCTCAAGGTACGTAGATAGAGTAGGTAGAGGTACCGTATCGGTCCAGACGCCTTCACCAGATACGAGAGGAGTTCTGAGATAAGACGATTCTGAACCCTGTGTTTAAACAATAACTACCTACGTCATTATTGATTACACTTGTCACTAGCCGAGTTCTTTCAAGCCAGGCGCCGCTAGGAGTCCGTGCAACAGGTACGATATCTAGTTCTCATAAAATCATACAGTTGGCTACGATATATCGGTGCATAGGGCCCGGGTAAATAAAACAAATACAAATGCATTTTGCAAACTATCATCCAAATGGATGCAGACAATAATCACTTTTTTTGGGGCTTTCGACTTTTCCTTTTCAAGCAAAATTCCAAACCATGCAATTGCGAAACACAGAAGAAGACTGGATGCATCGCCTATCAAGAACCTTGTTTGACCGCTGCTAATCTTGGCCGATAGCAGGAGAAACTAAGAGAGGATCTGATAATGCGAATGTGAAACATCGAAAAACCGGGATTTGACCAAAAAACCGTGAAGCCAGCGACAAAACCGTGATCCAACGATTGACTTGTATTCGGCATTCCAGGTGTACCATTCACGAGTCCTTTGAAAATATACCGACGAAAAATCCGTGATCCAACGAAAAACCCAGATGCATCGCATTTTGAGAACATCTGTTGACCACTGATTGTCTTGCGCGACAGCAGAATAGCGCGATGAGGTCACAGGGTGTGCAGTATGTTCTCAACCTGAAGCAAAGGCTTGTAATCCTGCTGCCAGACCTATCCATGGAAGTGTGAGAAGCAGTTGATAGCAAAAACAAAGCCCTACCAGCTCTTGTGGCAGCCCAGTAGTCGCGATGTTCGTCGAGCCGCACGACAGGTGCCGAGAGAGGATCTGATGATGCAGACGCGGAACAACGAAAAAAAACCAGATGAACGAAAACAACCGGATTCATCGAATATCGAGAACCTTGTTTGACACTTCTCGACTTGAGCGACTGCAGGATGGTGGAGGATCCGATAATACGCGTGAAGGAACGGCAGAGACGGTTAGTACTTTGCAAGTAAAGTTGCTTGATAATGCAAATGTGAAACAACAAGAAAAACCGTATGCGTTGATTTCGCAAGATCAGTCAGATCAAAGGTCGTCCATGTTGTCTCGACTCTTTGTGACCGTACGACTTCGCAGCTCGATCTCCATGTCCACGCACAGGTCACGTAAGTCAATCAAGACATCGCGTAGACGCCGTAAGGCATAACGACGGCCTTGGTCATGTGCTCCGTGCGCAATGCTGACGATGGCAAGGTCCAGTTGCTGGATTTGACCTGTGAGGTACTGGGCAAATTGAGACAGATGATTTGGATCCAGTAGCTGACAGTTGCCATGGTTGTGAACGCGCGGTTCGTCCAAGTTAGGGACAGCCGAAGGGTTGATGTTTGACGCAGCGATTTGGCTGGGCTGATTCTGTACCTTAGGCTGTTGTGAGTAGGGGGTCTTCGATGCTTCGCTGGGAAAAGACTCGGAAGAGCCTGCCTGGGGGGCCGTTGGAGGCTTAGATGAAATGGCGCTAGGTGGGAGTCCCCTAGAGAGCGCCGTACCAGGAGTAATCACAGAAACGAAACGCAGACTCTGATGACGAGGTTCCAGCGAGGAACGTAGATTAAGATAATTGCTGTCCAGATCAGGAGGCGGCTCTTTGCTCTTCTCGTTCTTTGACACATTTGGCTTTTTGGTCTTCTTCGGAGGCTCAATATCCTCATCAGCAAAGCGTTTGGCGGGGGTTGCTGCCCCTTTTCGCTTGCGATTGGGACCCGAACCTGTTTGCGCCGAGTCTCCGGGTTGAGATGACCCCAAACGGTCTTTCCAGCCTTTCCACTTTGGTAGACAGGATCTGAGAACGTCCTCAGGAAAACGCAGTTCACCGTTAGGAAGCCGCTCCATCAGGATATTAGCGTATGCAGCGCGGATAGTCCCAGCGTTCGCAAAGTATCTGGTGTAAGCCTGACGGACTCTTGGAGGCTGGTAGCAGAGGCTCGCAATCTGCGCTTCGCTCAATTCATCGTCTTTGCTCGGAAGATCGTCGGGATCAATAGTTGCCTTTGTTAGTCTCTTGGTGGACTGTGTACCCTTGACCGAAGAGCTGGCAGGGTCTAATTTGGGCGGGATGCGAGAGCCAGAGTCTGAAACAGCTTCCTCAGCACGGTAATCGGCGTAGCCCAGATGATCATTGGCGGGCTTATGGTTCTGCTCGGTGATATTCTCGCTCTGCGCAGCGGGATCATTCGGACCTTGCGCAGCTTCGTGGATGACCGGCCTGGCGAAAGATTCGCCATCTTGTCCATTGCCATCTTCGAAGCCGGGGGAATCAAGAGAGTCCGTAGCACAACACGCAGCCTGTTCATCAGGGAGAGGAAGATCACCTTGAGTGGGCAGCTTCTGGGACCCGGTATCCGAATTGGCAACCTCGGCCACAGTGGTGTCCTCGGCGGCCTCAGCCGGAGAATTGCCGCCATCAAGGACGCCATCTTTAGCCGCCATGTCGTCGTAGGTGCAGAGCGGCAACCCCGGGTCTTGAGTAGGCAACTTCTGTGTGGTCTGATCTGTCTCGCTACCAACCACTACCATAGTGGTTTCCTTGTCGGCTTCGATCTGTGAATTGCAGCCATTAAAGATGCCATCTCTACCGACCAAGTAGACTTCGCTGTCATCGTAGGTGCTGAGCGGAGACACCGGGTCGTGCATTCCGTTTGTAGCCATGGTCTGGGGCGTCATCATAGGCGAGACCGTTGAGTTTGGCTTCTGCACGTTCGACATTTTGTTTAGTTGAGAGGTTGATCAAGTCTGTTGTTGAAAGGAAGGTAGGCTGCCAGATCGAATGAATATCCGCTGCCAGAGCAAGTCGCAGGTTTCTCAGTAGAGTAGTGGTATAGCGGATGAGGAAGTAGAAGGCGTGGACGTGACGGATATAAGACGCTGAGGTAGTGATGTGGAAGATAAAGTAGTGGAAAAGGGCCTTATCGTAGACCTGCGGAAGATGAAGATGCTCCAGTGCTCTTGATCAAAGCTTCAGAAGCTGAGACTCTTGTCAGGACAGGAAATATTGGAGGAGTTGAAGTTGGTCTCGGTGTGAAGATGTGAGGATGTGAAATAAGCCTTGCACCGACTCAGAGAGGGTAGCGGAAAGGTCTGAAACCTAATGCGGAGGAGGAAGGCCTCGTGGCTCGTGAAGTATGGATCGATGATGATGATCACTGCTTCATATACCGGGATGAAGATCACGAATATATGAGGAAGAAGAGAGTAGGCAGTGCGAGGACGAGAGAGTTGTGTTGTGAAGAAGGAAAGGAGACGTGGGAAGAGAAGGGCGCCTTTTATAGAATAAGTGGACGGTGTTTGTGACGACCTCATCGCCGTAGCGACGAAACACGACGACACATCGTCACAATACGACGAATACAGGTCCCGTCGTCGAGTAGAAACAACATCCTGCGACTAAGTCACGATGAGTAAGCCCAAAGAAACGCCGAGGTGACGCCTAAAAAGCGATGAGGTGACGATTTCTTGGGTCGAACCCTTAAGGAAGCAGGCAAATATGAGGCTGGGAGGTTGTGAGGCTGCAGAGCGTGAAGAACCAGAAGCTGGATTTGGGGAGGCATGCGGCGCCGGGACTGGTCTCAAGGCCGGTTCCTGGAAGCAGACACGTCCTGAGTCCCACATTGCGGATTGTTTTGCACAAATTGAGCGTCAAGTAACGAATGATCCACGGCTTTTGCACGTTGACATCGTTTGTGCGTGCAGCACTAGGGCGAGGAGTGCAGAAGATAGAACGTATGACGGTGTATTGTAGTGCGGATACTGGACAATCAGGGCAGGCAACGATGGGAGACAATCAGGGCAATTGGTTAGTGTCAAGCAAATACAAGTACAAAAAGGTTGAACGTATCGTTAAGAGTGTATCGTTGATAGGATTACGTAGACAGCGTAACGTTCAGAGCGCAGCTTTAAGAGAGTATCGTTGAGCGTAACTTTAAGAAGGTGCGGTTAAGAGGGTATCGTCAAGAGGGCATCGTCAAGAGGGGATCGGTAAGCGGCAATCATGAAAAGGAGTAGCACACATGGTGGATAATAACTATAAGACTGGATCAAAAGTAACGAAATTATGCGAATTCTTAGCGTTCAGCTGGTTCCTGAAGAGGGGATTGAGAAAGAACGAGCAACAAGATAGTTGAATTCCGCAGAAATCAGGGTTAATACTGCTGGTTTTATGTGAAAAATTGACGAATAATATTACCGCGAGCCAATTTGAGAGACTGGCATTGGGATATCAAACATGAACCATTAACTTATGCCCACCATGCCCGCAACGCCTTGCACATCATTGAAAGACATGAGATATGAATAAGTTTAATGAAACGCTTGAAAACAAATCACTTGGGATGATTAGGCTTGCGCCGAGGAGACTTATGGGTCAAAAGCTGCCTCATGCGACGAATCTTGGCCCACCACTCACGGTCCGCGGCCTTTTTCGTCTCTTCATCCCCAGCACCCTCCTCACTGGGTGTCTCTGCAGAGGGAGTGCTTGCTTCTGTACGAAGGGTATCTACCGAGGCCATAGAACGTACTCGTCTGCGGTGTTTCACCTTGACAGCCTCGGCAACGATTTCCCATCCACAGCGTAGATTGGCAATCTTTTCATTCGCTTTGCCGGTCCCGCTCTGGGCTGACCGGTCAATCCATGGACAGTAGTCCATGTGCTCTGTGGTTGCATCTAGAGATGTGTACACAGAGACTTCGCCGTTCTCCTTTGGTTTGTACATCCAAAGGCCGAGGCGGCGGAAGCAGGCCCTGCATGCAGCTAGGTCTTTGGAACCACCGAGGGTTGAGTCCCAGCCAAAGAATGCCATGGCAAGGGCTGCCTGGTTGATGATTTGCGGGGACTCGGCCGCTGGCTGTGGAGCGGTTTCATTGGTGTCCCCGTCGGCCTCGGGAGGTGGGTTAAGAGTCCCCGAGGCTTGGTTCGACTCTTTGAACCAGTCTAATGGTAGGGATTTCATCAGAATGTCAATATCAAAGCCATCTGGGGTCTGGATGCTGTCATGAGATGGTAATTTGTCACCCAACTCAGCAAGATGAAGATAGCGACTTCGAAGACCAGATATGGCTGTCTCTGTATTGGTTAAAGGAAGATGTTGTATTGTAGCTGCGAACATGTCAGATGAATGGATTCAGGCACATTTCCCGGGAGACTGCAGGGCATACCATCACATCCCCTGTTCCTCCATGGGCAATTCTCGCCATGCCCTTCTATGATTTGCTTCTGATATTCTTCAACTAATTTTGCGCCTATATACCCCGTTAGAATGGGCTGAATCAAAGTTCCCAGATTGTCTCTTTGTCAACATACGGACTTCCTTCCTCTCTTGAACTTTCTCCATATCAAATCCATCAAGCTCATCAATCTCATCCGGAAGCTTGACCACCACCGAACCGCCGCAGCCACTGATGCAACTGACTCGCATCACATCAGTGCAGATCCATCCTCGCTTCGCCCACTGAACTTCATTTATTGGAGCAGGTTTCGAGGTCCATCTGTCGACGCGACGGAAGGTTTCCAGGCGTTCGAGGAATCGTTCACGATCCCAAGGGGCGAAAGTGGGGCGCGTAGTCGTTGAAGGGGATGCAGTTCGACTTGCGAGTCCGGAGGTCTTGAGGATAGAGTTGCGCACAGCTGCAAAATCGGATGTGTCGTTGCTGCTTAGCCGGACCTTCTTGATCGAGAGATTGGCTGGAATGCGGTCTTGGGCCGGAGTGGCGGGCCCTGTGGTGGATGCTTTCGAGGCATTTTCGGTCGTGAGGGGCTTTGAAATGGATTCCAACACGCGATGAAATTTGCGCTTCTTGGACTCGACGGCGTACGACATCTCCGCACCGTGTTGTCATGCAATGTGATAGTTGCAGATGCGCAAAGCGCGGATGCGCCGAGTGGAAGCTCCCCGACAAAGCTGTTGCTGCCTCAGGCAATAACATCATCACACCTCGCCACCAATCATTCCCCGGCCTGGTTTATTCAATCGATTTAGGCTATTCAATTCATTCATTTTTAATTGTCTGATTGCTTTCTTACTTATAATCTCTCCAAATTTGGTTAAACATTGTAAGTGCCCGTTGTATCACTTCTGGTGAAGTCGCCGAGCAAATCCCTGGCCGCTGATTGGCGCTCGGCATCCCGCGCAACATCTTATGATTTGCGCAACCAACGGGCCATTTCCATTTTCTTTCCGCAAGGCATCTGCTGCCACCAGACAGTCACCATGGCTTCATTAAGCTCAGCTCTGCCAGCATGGCGGAGTCTTGCACCTCGTCTATCGAAAGATCTCTTCCACTGCAGGCAATGCCTCAAAAACCAGGGGTTTGCTGTCAAATCCGTGCGCCGGTTCGCCGCGATGCCGTCGCCCAAGCCCAGCATGAGCCGATCATCCTTGTTCACCGATAAGAACCGCCAGTTCTTCACCTCAAGTCTGCGACGATCTGTGGCTGCCCCGACTGTGGGTGCTGTTGCTGAGGAGGCTGCTGCTAAAGCCAAGTCGAGCTTCCCTAAAATCAGCGACAAGTCCGTTGCCTTCTGGCTTCTGGGTAGCGCAGCGAGTGTCTTCGGTATCGTGATCTTTGGAGGCCTGACCCGTTTGACTGAATCTGGGTTCGTACATCCAGTTGATACATTCAATAAACGGCAATTGAGTTTTGCAAGCTAATGAATCCTTTGTCTGGACAGATTGAGTATCACCGAATGGCGCCCTGTTACCGGCTCCCTCCCACCCATGAACGCCGATGACTGGGAGTCCGAGTTCGCCAAGTATCGCGCATCCCCCGAGTTCCAACTGCTCAACCCGAACATGAACCTGTCCGAGTTCAAGTCAATCTACTATATGGAATGGATCCACCGTCTCTGGGGCCGATTTGTCGGTATCTCGTTCGTTCTCCCCGCCGTTTACTTTGTCGCCCGGAAGAAGGTCTCCACGCCCATGGCATGGCGCCTGGCTGGTATCGCTGGTTTGATTGGTTTCCAAGGCTTCCTCGGCTGGTGGATGGTCAAGTCTGGCCTGAAGGATGATCTGTTCGCCCCGGGTAGCCACCCCCGTGTGAGCCAGTACCGTCTGACTGCCCACTTGGGTGCTGCCTTTACTTGCTACGTCGCTATGCTCTGGAACGGTCTTGCTATCCTGCGGTCCCACCGTCTGATGAAGGATGCCACTGAGGGTCTCAAGCAGCTTGAGGCTCTCCGTGATCCTCGTCTGGCCTTCTTCCGCCGCTCCGTTGCCGGTCTTGCTATCCTGGTCTTCACTACTGTCATGTCCGGCGGTCTCGTTGCAGGTCTCGATGCCGGTCTGATCTACAACGAGTTCCCCTACATGGGCAAGGGCTTTGCTCCTCCTAGCTCCGAGCTGTGGGATGCTCACTACTCTCGCCACGAGGACCGCTCCGACCTGTGGTGGCGCAACATTCTTGAGAACCCCTCCCTTGTCCAGCTTGACCACCGCATTCTCGCCATGACCACCTTCACTTCCATCGTGGCTCTTTTCATCTACTCCCGCCGCTCGCCTACCGTGAGGCGCCTCTTGCCTGCTGCGGCCCGCAAGGGTATGCACGGTGTTCTCGGCTTTGCTTGCATGCAGGTCGCCCTTGGTATCTCCACTCTCCTCTACCTCGTCCCCACGCCGCTTGCTTCTGCGCACCAGGCCGGTAGCTTGTTCCTGCTCACCTGGGTTATGATCCTGGGTAGCCGTGTCTGGCACCCCTCCCGCACAGCCAAGCTTCTGCAGATGGCTGTCAAGGCCCGTGGCCAGCAGCTTTCGAGCTCCACTGCCTCGGCCATGAAGCGTGTATAAAGCACGTCGTTGCAGTTGAATGTACGAATATGTTGACCAAGGCGGACTTTTGCGATCCAAAGCCTTGCTGTTCTGATACCATCTCCATTCATTTCCAGACTCTTGATGAGCCCAAGAGCCTTTTGTATAAGTATCTTATCTACACATTGTAAAGACTAAAAATGAAATAAACAGTCTATGCAAATGCAAAATTTCCAGTGAAATCGTTCATTAACTCTTGAGATGCGCTAAGATCCTCGTCCCGTCATGCTACTCTAGGCCTAGAGTTTATCGTCTCCCTGCCTTCACTCCTTCATGTCAGCCGGTCTCGCCCTGCGGGAAGGATTTCGACGCACATTCACGAGGTTATCCGGTAAATCCTCCTCATCCTCCGTTTCGTCTTCGCTGCCCATCCCGGGCATCAGCTCAGTCGCATCGCTGTCCATTTCCATATCATCGTCCATGGGGAGGTCAGGCAGTTGAGAAGGGCCCTCGACCTGTCCACCGGTACGCGTAGCTCCACCCGCATTCCTCTTGTCGTTCTTCAGATTCAGAAGAATCAAAGCTGCCTCTTCCTCAGGGCTAGCATATGGCGTAGCCATACGCTGCACTCTATTCGAACTCTGTTTGGCCGTCATCGGCGTGATTGGATTTGGATTCTGGATGTTCTGAATGTTCGATCTCGGCGTGTCGTCTGGGACATGTAGATTCCCAGCCTTGGGATGTGTCCGATCACCACTTCTTTCAGCGAGACACCGACGACAACATTGCCATCCGCATGGTTTGCACCGCACCATGCCATCTGTGTTGCGTTTGTCACAGACATCACATTTTGCTGTGTGGGCGGCTAGTTCTTCGAATTCGACTAGCTGGACTGCGAGTTCCTTCTGGGGTACTTTGAATTGGCGAGGTCGATTTGGTAGTGGAGTTTGGGGGGTTCCTTTGGGTTCAGGCCGAGAGGGTCCTCTGGGATCAGTCTGCGGTCGGGTTGGCTGTTGAGGGGCTATCCAGAAAGATGACATTGAGATTGTAGTATTGGGAGTCCTGAATGGATAATTGTGAAGGGGTGTAGGCTGTTGGCCATGATTGGTGACCCGTGTTATGATCGGGGAAGGCGTTGATGGTTCTGCTGGTGATGGGTATTAGCATGTACGGTGAGTCTGTCGGGGGTAAGTATGGCCATACGTCTCTGTTGAAAAGGCTCACTGATTTCATCGTGCCTATCGGTATCTCCCCTGATCAAATGATACGGCAATAGTCTAGGGTGGGCAGCCCGCTGTATCCATTAGAATCACCACTTTAGACGATCAAAACCTTAAAGGGGGGCATACAGGATCAGTGTAGGGAGGAGAATATCCCAGGAGCTTGTTGGCCTTGAGGAAGTTAGCCGAGTTGAAACATGAAGTTATCCACACCAGATCCCCAGGAATATTTCAACTCACATCTTGATCCGGTCCACTTGGCTGGTAGGTTAGGTCCATGGCCGGGGGGTGTAGATGCCTCTCCATCGGTGTTACCGGGGTGCTAGGAAATCTATTCTGAACCGGTGCCTTTGGATTCATCATCATATCATGGCTGCTGAAAGGAGGTCTGGGCGAGTCTGACACCCGACGCCTCTTGGTATCTGAAGGGTCAGGGAAGGAACTCTTCCTACGCCCCGGCTTTAACAGGCCTGGAAGAGGAAGCATGTTTTTTGTTGAAAGTTTGCGAAGATGAATAAGTTGTATGAGGAAAGAAAGTGGTTGAAGAGAGGAGGTGATATAATGATATGACTCTTTTTATGCCAGAGTAGTGAGGAAAGAGGACAAACAACGCTGTGGAAAATGCCATGCTCTCTCTCAAAACTCAAGTCTCAAGTGTAAACTCGAAATCACTGGAAACAGCTCCAACAACTAGATGGATAGAGGTCGTCCAGGCCCCATGTTTCCCACTGTCTAGTCTTCGTAACCTACACTCGAGAGTCGCTTTCTATCTAACTTTCTTTCTTTCTCCTCTTCTTGTGCAAAAGATTTTTAACGAAATCAAAGAATATGAATGGGATATTTTGTGTTGCAATACCTATTTTGTTCGTTCATAAATCTTCTTCTCTAGCAGTTGTAAATTCTATGCAACCATCAACATAGTGAGTATCACGTGATATATCAACAATATCAATCCACACCCTTCCTCTTTGAAGAATCATAACGCTTCTAGGTTTGCCCTCTTTTGTTCAATTATTTGTTGGCTGTAAGTTCATTGTTAGTGAGATTGGCTCGTGGAAATTGCAGGAAATTAACAACATACGGTTGCCCTCCTCAGACTGGGGCACGCTGCCAGCAGCATCCGCAGCGGACTTGCTGTGGTCTGCAGTCTTGTCTTCCTTCATCATGGGGAAGGCCAGCACCTCCTTGATGCTGTAATTGTTTGTGAGGAACATGACCAGGCGGTCAATGCCCATGCCCCAGCCACCAGTTGGAGGCAACCCGTACTCGAGGGAAGTGCAGAACGCCTCGTCAACGAGCTGCGCCTCATCATCACCCTGCTCCTTCTGACGAGCCTGCTCCTCAAAGCGTTCGCGCTGGATAAACGACGAATTTAATTCGGTATAAGCATTGCCTGGATTTTTGTTAGTTAAGTGAAGTAGGAAAAGGTCGAGGGGGGACATAGGAGCATGTTGGAGTGGAATAGGACAGGCTGGAGTCCAGAAAAGAGGGATAAATGGAGAAAGACAAGGGATAAATAGAGAAATAGAGGACTTACAAATTTCCTTAGTGGCAACGAAAGCTTCGAAGCGTTCACAAAGACCAGGCTTGCTGCGGTGCCACTTGGCGAGAGGGGACATCATCTCTGGGTGACTCATGATGAAAGTCGGGTTAATGCAAGTGCTCTCCAAGAACTCACCAACCAACTTGTCCAGCATGCGGGCGTTGGTCAATGGCGGCGAGCACTCCACATTCATCTTCTTGAGAACCTTCTTGAGGAATTCGCCAGTCTCGGCGGTGTGGAGCTGGTCGGCGGGAGGGAAAGTCTCGCCAGTAGCCTCCTCTAGGCCGGGAATCATCTCGATCCGGCGCCAGGGAGCCTTCCAATTGATGTTGTATTCCTCGCCAGTCTGGGTGTAGAACTTGGTCTCGTAACCACCAGTAACGTGCTTGACCAAGCCTGAGACAAGCTCCTCGGTCATGTCCATCACGTCCTTGTAATCGGCGTAAGCCCAGTAGAACTCGCAAGTAGTGAACTCAGGGTTGTGAGTAAGGTCGATTCCCTCGTTACGGAATTGACGGCCCATTTCATACACACGCTCGAGGCCACCGACAATAAGCATCTTCAGGTACAGCTCTGGGGCAATACGCATGTACCTATTATCAAAGGTTAGCAAAACTTCAAACGACCGAGCAATGTAAATCGTACATCTTCTGGTTGAGATCATTGTGATGTGTTTCGAAGGGCTTCGCGGTAGCTCCGCCAGCAATTTGGTTCATCATGGGAGTCTCGACTTCAGTGAAGTCACGGCTGTCCAAAAAGTTGCGGATGTAGCTGACAATCTTGGCGCGCGTACGGAAAATCTCGCGGGTGCGATCGTTCATGATAAGATCCAAATAACGTTGACGGAAGCGCAGCTCCTTGTCCTGGAAGCCATAATGCTCGGAGGGAATGGCGTGCAAGCACGGGGCCAGGAGAATGACCTCGGTAGCGAAGATAGAAAGCTCACCATCGTCACGGTTCTTGGGAGAAGTACGGCCAGGGAAACCGACGATACCAACAATATCACCTCGGCGAAGATGCTCGTGCTGCTGCTCGAAGGGAACGCTGCCAGTGGCGTTTTGGGCCTGGCACATGACCTGGACCTTCTTGCCCTCGGCACGGATGTCGTAGAAGATCAGCTTAGGACCGGAGGAACGCTTGGTGTAGACACGACCGGCAATGCGGATGGGGATATCGGGCTTCTGCTCGCCCTTCTGGAGGCCTTCGTACTCCTTGAGGAATTCGCGCAGGTCGTTGGTGACTTGGAACTTGTGGGGATACGGGTCCGGGTTCTTAGTTTCGAACATCTTCTGGATCTTCTTGCTTCGGATCTCAAAGTATTGCTGAAGAAATTTATAGAATTAGTCACACGAAGCATTGCATGGAAGTTGCGCATTGGAAACAATGGATCAATCAGTTGCGCAGCTACACAGCGCGACTGTAGCGAAGATTGAATCGCCTTCAGATGGTTCTGGATTTCATCACTCACGTTGGGGGTCAGGTTAGCCTCCTCCTCCTCAGCAGAAACCTTCTTCTGGGCCTTGGGGGGAGCAGCAGCTTCCTTCTCCTTCTTCTTGGCCTCCTTCTCACGAAGCTTCAGACGCTTCTTCAGCTCCGACTTGGAGACCATCTCGCCGGTAGCAGAGTCAAGCTGGAGATTGGCCATGGAGGCCTCAGCCTCCTTGACAGTGTTTTGATCCGCCATGTTGTCTGCTCGCAGGGAAGGGATCGGGGTGGATGGTGGGATGAAGAACGGAGGGGCGCGCGAAATTTTGGGCGGGAGTCATGGCGGGGTTTGCCCGATTGGACCGATCTATTAGGAGCGCCGCCCAGGCTTTGTGAGTCACATACAACACTACCTACAGTATTTTCGATTACTCCCGCAATGAGAAAACTTCAAAAACGGTTTTTTTTTTTCCTGATATTTCTTTTCTCTTTAGTCCATTGCTTTTGTCTTGTAAAGCCAGTGGCTGTCTATGTTCACCCCGCCATGGCTGTTCCCAATCTGGACATAGGGCTTAGGGCATTACTGTGGGGCTCCCCACGCTATACCGTTTCGGGAGTCTATACAACTGAACATCATCAATTTGCGTCGCTAGGACGTAGTATGATGATATGTCAGACCTAGATTTTCCGACCTTCGTTAAGGACTAGAGAGATAACACCCATATACAGCGCCTTCTATAATGCCAACAATATCGAATCAAATGAGAAAAGAAATAGCTCAGTACTAAGTTATCTCACTGGAAACTTTGGACATCTGGCGACATGAAGAAAGAGGTAGACTGGGAAGCTGCAGAGTTTCAAATCCCTGGCAATGATGCAGAATATCAAACAGTTATTCTGATCATCCTACTAGACGGGCTTTTATTCAATGGTGACCGAGTCATGTGAAGTTACCCGCCATACACGTCTATTTAGATACGTCTGAAAAGACCTCTGGAAAGACGTCTAGAAGGAGATCTAGGAAAGCACCTCGAAGAATTTTTCGCAAGATCTCCCTAAAACCACTGGCAGAACCCATCATGATATAGTTACTTTGGGCTCATCTGCTATAGCTCTAATTCTGGCTTTTGTCATCTCATGCAGATGTAATATAACATGAAGGATAGCGCTCGTAGATACTGAAAAGGGAAAGGCTACAGAATGCCGCAAAATCAGGCCCCTTCCTATGTTTTCCTTCCGAAAGTGATTGCTTTAGCGTCTGTAGAAAGAATTTTGTCTCTCCTACTAGAACTTTCTGTGCTAGATCGCTGCCATCGTATCCCTCTCTCCTCACCTGTCGTCTATTCAAGCTTCAAATCACCGCCTCTCAACATTGGTCATCCCTCTACATACCATAATATCTTCAGCAAAAGCTCCCAACTACTTCTTGTTAGCTTTTATTGGCCACCAATGCCCATGGATTGATGTCTAGTAGACGACACACCTGAGTGGTCTCATCGACGGCTTCATCACTCCCTTCAAGGTAGGTCATACCCTTGGCTCCAAGTCAGCCATTATACCACCGCATGCTAACTGGTGTCTCAGAACAATGGATATATTGCCTGAACCAGATTCCGATATGGAGGCCATCAACCCAAATACCCAGGCGAAGAGACCACCTGAGCGTCCTCACCTCGTTGACGCGGACAGTGATTCATCCAGGGATGTTGGCAGTGACCTGAATGACGACATGGATACGACGACGACGGCGAGGTGGTCGGAGATTTTTACAGCGACCTCTATTACCAGGATGACAACCTGGACGACGATATGGCAGCATTCGGAGACGACGATCCCAGAACTCTCAGCTACGATTCAGAGGATGATGATTGCAAGAATGTTATCTACAACAGAGAGGTTATGGAAGTTGTCAATAAAATGGCCATCAACGACGAAACTATCAATGAGAAGGTTGTCAGTGAAACAATGATCAGCGAGACGGTTGTGGACGAGCACGTGGTCCATATAGAGGCACATCCGGAGGAAGCCGATCCATTTCATAGAAATTTCCCTTCACCTAATGAGGAGGATGATCTTGAGGAAGACGAAAATACCCTCGTCGACCGCTGCGATGAGCGCATCAGGAAGATTGTGCATTTCTTCCATGACAAGGCAAAAACTATCTCCAGGAGTTCTGTCAAGCAGCGAACCGCGTGGATGAACTTTGCGTTCCTTCCGAACTTGAAGAAATCAGACCCAGACATGGTCAGTAGCATCTTTTCGAGTTTGATTCCCAGGAATGTACGTACGGCTCTTGGTCATCGATATCTCCGCCGGGAACACCTGATGTCTTTGCCACAAGTGGACACCGACAAGGAGTCACCAATAAACAAGGCAATGGCAGCGAAGGTGAAAAAGAAAAGGCAACCTCGAGGGCAAAGAAAAGCCCCGGAGAAAAAGTGGATCAAAGTGGTCTATCTGTTGTTTGGAGAGGATGAAACCGAAGGTCATCGAAATGATGCAGTCTATCCCGGGCCATCAACTCTTAATGGAGATAACAGAATGGGCGAGCATTCCGAGATCATGTCTGCCCCCGCAAAGCTAGCTAGAGCTGGAGGGAAACGCTCAAGGGCCCTTTTTTGCCATCGGTTCATCGTTCGTCACAATTTCAAGCCGCACTTCATGGAAGTCGCAACTTTCTCGGAGAAGATGCCCGAATACAACCTCAAACGTACCGACCGAGGCTGGCTGGGGCGCCTGGTTTAAGAGGTCCTGATGCTTCTTACTGACTCATACATGACGCCTCCAGCGGGTGTCGAGCGACTTCGTTGGGTCGTCACCCGTCCCGAATACCCTGCGGCTTTGGCCGCCTGTGGGATTCCGCGCAGCCCTTTTTTCCCCCTGAACCGCGCACTGCCGCTGAAACAGTGTGTTAGCGACAAGTCCGACACCAAAGAATGTCGCAACTGCAAGGCGACCAAGTCGAGATACTGGTTCTTTGACTTCGTGCTGCAAGTAGTCCTCAAAACCATCTTCTTGTGCGAGACACGCTGGGTCTATGCTGTCTATCACGGAGGTCAAGATCGTCCCGAGTACCTCTGGAGGTGCGAGGCTCCCAAGTCTGGACCCTGTGATAACTGTGGGGCTGAGGAAACTGTTCGGTGGCACTGACATCCACTCAGGAAGGCTTTGAAACATTGTCACCCTTGCTACACGTTCTTCCAACTCAGGAAATTCGAACGACCCCGGGAGATCTATAACAAGGAAAGTGTTGTGCGGATATGTGTTGACTGTGACAGGACCTATCCACAGGTTGGGGGCATTTGGCGGCCCATAAGAGATGAGCTCGGTAAAAAAACCGGCGCCTACCAATGTCCTGCGTGGGCTCGCCTAGAAAGCTTGACTTTGGCGACAGCGGAGAAAGAGGGCAATTACCATTGCCGCCATTGCAATACCACTGACAGTTCCATTGAGTGGCACACTGTTAGATGTTGTGACCCATGCTGGAAGAGCTTGAGAAAGCACGATAATCTCAAAAGTCTTCGAGATCGTAAGGAGTGCTGGAATTGCAGAGGCTCCTTGAAGTCGGTCAGTAGAAGCTGGTGTGAGGGAATCGACCAATGGCTTTGTAGGCTATGCATTGAGTGCTTTCAGAAAGATCAGTGTATGCGCATGACCAACATTCATCTGGATGGGATTGACATAAGATGTCAGCTATGCGATACACTATACAGTCCAAGATGGGCAATGCTCCATCGTAAAAAAGAGGACCCGAACGAAAAAGTCTTCCTGGTCTGCGCAAACTGCAACAGCCACTGGAAAGGAACGAAGTCACTGGACCGTGATAGCAGACGTGACTGTGAGAGGGGAGAGAAAGACAAGACATTCCAGGAATGGCGGGGGTCAAAGCAGACTCTCCATAATAGCCTGGAGATTGTCTCTGCCTTCGCAGCCAGTACTCCATCGACTATACTTTTAAAGGAGTTCAGAAAGCCATATGGGAATTCGAAGATCGAGAGGGGATCTTCATCCACAAGTGGGATTTGCTGGAGGTGATGCAGGCACTGGGGAAATTCGACGATGTTACGCTCACTGCCCTACCTGATGATGATTGATAGACTGTTGATGGCTTTGCGTTTCGATTTGTGCGATGAATTCTGTTTTCTTTCCCCATTATTGATGCTTAGACTTCCAGAATTACCAAGAATGAATGAAAACTTCTTGTCACTTCATGTTCTAAAGTTTTGGGCGCAGTGAGTTCTGGTACTCGCAAAACCTTGTTGAGGTGCCGTCGTGATTTGTCAAAGACTACAAAAATACAACCCTGTGGGTGAAGGGAACTTTTTCTTATTCATGCGCCTAAAGCCTATCCGGAGATCATGGTGCACGAATCAAGAAGGGGTCTTGTAAGCGAAAATGCGACACTAGGTGAGGAGAGGGTCAAATTATACGTCCCTAGTTTTATCTCCTGGGTCAGCGAGCGCAGAACCCTACGCAAGCAATTTCCCGGGATTGTCAATCTGAATAATGCACTTCATTCTTGGCGGGAGTACCAGAGCTAGTTCACCCAAGAGAGTGCAGAACAGCACCTAGATCCCGTCGACCAGAGCACACACAAAACAATCAATCAATAGAAATGTCGGAGTAGTCGGTTGACGGGGGTCTCTTCGTGTAGTCTGTGATCTCCGGGACAGAGGACCCTAGCTGCAAGCGTTCATCCGCAAGCTTGATTGCCTCGTCCATGAACATTCGGATACTGAACTTGTCCGCGAGAAGAACAGTATCCTGGAGCTTCTGGATAGCCTGTATAATCCATCTGACCCCAGTCTGCTTGTGGTAGGTATCGTTCTGAAGAATTGGAATCGACTCTAAAAAGGACTGGATAAGCGAGTAGGTGATGTCGTTAGGGAGCTTCCCTATCATGATCTTTTTAACCATAGTCGAGGAGTTGGTCGGGTCGACGTGCGGCTTCTGACGATACCGCCACTCGCGGTTAGGGTTGGAATCGAATCGGAGAAAGGAGTCCGGCTCGGGGACATTGGTAACATCGTATGCAAAGCAGTCGCCGCCCATTGAGACCTTAGGAGAGATGACAATCGCCCAGTTATAGGCCCCATAGCCCATCTTCTTTCGATTGCGTGGGAGGGATAAGTCGTCACGGTGGTGTAGCGTGATATAGACCCGGCGTTTATTCTTGGTAGTTTTGTCGAAGATCATGATTGTCAATTGGAGCGTACCGCCGATGAATTGATCCTATCTGCATGTTAGCTCGTCGAAGTGAGTTAGTGAATACCAGACTAACTTGATTCAATAGATGGAGAGGAATACTGAGAGTTCGAGTGAGAGGAGAGGAGAATGAAACAAGCGAAGAGGAGAAAGACCGAATGAAGCATCCCCTTCTGATCTCCAGGGATTTTCCATAAAGCCCGGCCGTCGGTATCTTCCTTGATTACCCTCGACCTCGCCAAGTTTTCTTTTTTTCTTCGACCTCTTCACCCTCTTCAACCTTCTTACCCCCTTCAACCTTCGTACCCTCTTTTCAACCTTCTAACCCTCCCCATCTCAACCATCGCCCACCCCCATCAACCATCTTCCAACCTCCGAACGTTCTATCAAACTATCATCAAATTTTCTCCTTCCCCATCACTGGGAGCTGTGATTCTTTCAAATATCGCACCTAGAGCCAGCGGGGGGTGCGGAGAGTCCTGAAAGCTCACCTCATATCTCGATCCTCATCCAACTCAACCCTCACCTTCAACCTCGTTCCCCCTTCTTCTTCTTTTCTTCCACACGCCCGCTCTTCCACACGCCCGCTCTCTACATACACCTTCTCCCTTGTCTCTCATCACCACATAACCTCGTCAAGTGTGTGCGTGGTCACTTTTGTTCGAGCATTTTTTGAGCCTTCGTGGGAACTTGCAAGAACATGGATCAAGACATGACCCCCCGACGCATAATATCTGGTGGTCATTCACTGTCGGCGAAACCAAAGGAAGAGAAAATGGCCCCTCCCTCCGCACAGATGGATTACGAAAAATCCTGGCTGGGAAATAGCCTCTTCGTGGAGGGGCCATCGACCATCGATGGTTCCCCTCAAGTGACAAACGGCTTCGATGTCATGACGTTCGACATGACTGACCTGGTCAGAAAAATTCAGGAACTGAGTCACCTGGGTATCGAGGACAATAAAATTGCCCTCCCCAAGATCTGTGTGGTCGGTGACCAAAGTACTGGCAAGAGCTCTCTCATCGAGGGTATTTCCGAAATCCAGGTTCCTCGCAGTGCAGGCACCTGCACTCGTTGCCCTATGGAAATCAACCTCTCGGAAAGCAAACCTGGGGAGGCATGGAAGTGTGTTGTGTACCTCTCCCGCAGATACTGGTATGATCCTTCTAAGCAGATGCGGGCTGTTCCACGAAAGGCTCAGTCGCTGGGACCCTGGGTTCCTATCGGTGGGCGAGATGAAGAGGTCTTCATCACTCTGACTAACAAGTCAGAAGTTGAAAATGCGATCAAGTGGGCGCAGATTGCCATCTTGAACCCCAACAGCGATTCTGAAATCTACATTCCCGGGAAGAACCAACGATCCGCTGATACAACCGCTGTGAAGTTCTCGCCGAACGTTGTGCGTCTGGACATTTCCGCCCCTGGATTCCCGGCCTTGTCATTCTATGATCTACCGGGCGTTATCAGTCAGCCCGAGCATGATGACGAAACATATCTTGTCGGCCTTGTCGAGAACCTCGTGAAGCACTATGTCTCGCAAGAGAACTGTATTGTGCTATTGACTTTAACTATGACTGACGATGCCACCAACTCGAGTGCCGCAAGGCTGATCCGGGACATCAAGTCAGCAAAGGAGCGCACTCTGGGTGTCCTGACCAAGCCCGATCGTATCTCTGAAATGGAATCCTTCGATCAATGGAAGGAAATACTTGCGGGAGAAAAGTTCAAACTTGGCCATGGATATTTTGTTGTACGAAACAACCAAGATCCTAAGGTAGATCACGCGAAGGCCCGGATGGAAGAAGACGTGTTCTTCTCAGACCCATTCTGGGTGGGAATGATGTCTCAATATCGGGACCGCTTCGGAGTTCGGCGCCTGCAGACGGCTTTATCTGCCATATTGATGGACCAGATTCAAAAATGCCTGCCATCCATCATCGCGAAAATCAACGAGAAGGCATCTCGGATTGATGCGGAGCTTGCGACTCTCCCCGATCCACCTACGGAGAATTATCAGCGGATTCTGATCGAGAAGGTCACTAAGCTTGGTATGAAGTTCCGTGGAGTTTTCGACGGGGGTTCTGGCTATGGAAAATCAAGCAACATGCTCCCAAAGTTCTGGAATCGTCTCGCGATGGACTTCCAGAAGTCATTGGCAGTAACAAAGCCGACATTGATCACGGTTACTGCCTTCGACGTTGAAATAAAGCCGGAGAGAATGGATGGTGACTACGATGCGATGGCCATTCAAACGCCACCACGCTTCAAGCGTAAAGCGCCTGGCACAGATTCCAGACCTCCAGATGTACAAACTCACGCCAACGTGGTCACCATTCCAGAGTCTATCTACTTGACAAAGGATGTCTTCGACAAGTGGAATGGAGCCAGCCGAAGGTTCACCTTGAGTGAAATTCGAGATATGAAAGAAGAGTCGCACCGGGCTGGGATCCCGAACCAGATTGACCCCAGCGCGATCGAGGCCCTTAATCGCGCAAGCGTTAAGCACTGGGATGGCCTAACCAGTACTTTTGTGGTTGCAACCTGCAACCTCGTGATGAGGGTACTGGGCATGAACCTAGATGAGGAGATTGCTCAGTATCACCAAACTGGCCTCTACCGGGAACTTCGTCGCGTGATCAATGAGTTTGTCACACAGCTTCGGACGGAGTTCTTGGATGATGCCATGGCACATTACCAGATCGAGCATCAGAAGCCATTCACAATGGCTCAGTCGCTTCACAAGGAAGCACAGAAGACTGCTCTTCGGGGATTGATCAATGGGCGAAACCGTTCACGCGCGAAAACCTTCCTTCGAGGCGCCGGATATGACCCGGACGACGAAACGAATATTTCCAAGACAATTGAGAAACTCATTCCCGACGGGTATTCCCAGGAGATTGAGATGATGGCGGTCAGTCAGCAAATTCTCGGTTTGGCATTCGTGTTTTCTTGCTAACAGATTTAATGTACCAGAGTTCACGGGCATATTACGAGATTGCGAGCTCCCGTTTTCTTGATGTAATTTGTCAGTCGGCTCACGCTAAGGTGTTCTCGAAATGCCGTGATGAGTTGATCCATGTGATCAATGCCGAGTTGAATGCCAATTGTGAGTTTGACACACCCACTGCTGGATTAATAGCTTGATCTGACAGTGTATTTAGCCGTCGAGAGGTGCATGGAACTGATGGCTGAAGACCCCGAGCGGCAACGGCGTCGATGCACCCTCATCAGTGAGCGAGCCAAGCTGAGCAAGGCTCAGGAATGGATCAATTCCATCCACCACAAGGACGGAGATGAAGACATGACGACCACGGATAACACTGTGGCAGATGGCTTTTCGCCAATGGATGACTGGGTGGATGAGTGTGTCTAAACGGTCCCCTGTTGAGCTTGTGATTCCGTGTGTTGGAATTGTGAAAGTCTGACGATTATCACCATGTTCTTTGACGGATTTGTCGGTGTTCACCATCTTTGACTGTCAATTTTGTGGAGATTACTGTCGTGTTGAGATATGTTGTTGAAATCTAGTGGAGTTAGAGAAAAATGAAAAGAAAAAAAATGACAAGCCCTTTAAATCCCACAAAATGCACTCATTGTAGAAGTGAAGGTTTACCCAGTAATTTTATCATTTTCCGTACAAGGTAGCGCATGTTGATGATGCCCATTTCGCAAGACCAACTGCTCATCTCGAGAAATACACTAGGAATGGCGTCTCGTAACAAATTGTCAACAAGGAGCCGAGGAGCTGGACATGCCGGGAACATCGCGATCTTCAATACTCTCGAGGCCCGGGAGGGCTAATTCCAGCTCTAACAGCCTCGGTTTTTACTCTTTGAAGATTATGCGAAAGACTTGAACTAATAAAAACTACCTAGATAGCGGCCAAGGCCGGCTCTTAGGTATCTCCAGGCTATGATTGAACCAATCCATGACCCGGGCTCTAAGTTCCTTGCCAATCTATACCCTGGTATATATTTCTCCCAGCTAACCGCTTAGGTCTTGGATCTGGTAAGCCTACTAACCTTGTTGCGCAGGTACAGGGTCTATTCACTTACTCCAAACTATGCAGAAGAACCTGACGGTGGTCATATCCCACTACCTGCTGCATTTGTCAATTTATAGGTCCCGAACCCGATGAGGTAGGCTATTTGTTTGGTGTGGAGACACCAGAGAACCACTACATTTTTGTAGAGATCGACAGGCCCAAGCGAGTGATACCAGGAGCTCTTTAAGCATCGAAGGTCAAACATACTACTGCTCAGATGATGGAAAAATTCTAGCAAAGTTTGAGAAGAACTGAAATCGGCAGATTTTCCCGAGTGTAGTAGTTAGGTTTTCCCCTGAAGCGGATCTACATCAATGGATCCCACGTTCCCACGTTCTCGATTCCACGTCAGGTGAGCCCCTCCCCACCGCAAGCGTCGTCTTGGCGTCCGGAGCTCGAGACTCGGATTTCGGCCACCTTTGTATCTTTCTCAAGTTTATTCTCCTTTGCAACCCCCTATTCCTCTCTCACACAGTTCATCATGCTCCAAGTACCAGTGCGGGGAGATCCCAACCAGTCCTCTACCAAGGCTGTCATCTTGGTAAGTGACGCAATGATCCTCTGGACTGGATTGTACACAAACTGACCAGATCAACAGGTTGGAGGGCCTTCTAGAGGTACTCGTTTCCGTCCATTGTCGCTCGATGTTCCCAAGGTACGTATACTCCTTCGATCCAATGGCTATGCGAAACAACAGACGTGAAGAAAAATCAGTCTAACCGGTCTGCCCCGCATTAGCCCCTGTTTGAAGTCGCCGGTCACCCCATCATCAATCACTGCCTGAAGGCGGTCGCCAAGGTTAACGATGTGCGCGAGGTCATTTTGATCGGATACTACGATGAGACTGTCTTCCGGGACTTTATCAAGGATGCATCCAAGGAGTTCCCCCAGTTCCGCATCCAGTACCTGCGGGAGTACACAGCGTTGGGCACTGCAGGTGGATTGTACCACTTCCGTGATGCGATCCTCAAGGGTAAGCCTGAGCGCCTGCTCGTGCTGAACGCTGATGTCTGCTGCTCGTTCCCTCTTGTCGAGATGCTGCGCCTGTTCGAGGAGAAGGACGCAGAGGCTGTCATTTTGGGTACTCGGGTAACGAACGAGGCTGCCTCCAACTTTGGTTGCATTGTCTCCGATTCCCACACCAAGCGAGTGCTGCATTACGTCGAGAAGCCCGAGTCCCACATCTCCAACCTCATCAACTGCGGTGTCTATCTTTTCGCCACCGAGTGCATTTTCCCCGCTATCCGCAGCGCCATCAAGCGCCGCACCACCCGCCCTCGTCTCCTCTCATACCCCTCCTCCGATAACCTCGAGTCCTCCTTTGTCGCCGGAGACGACGAAGACGGTGAAAAGAGCGAAGTCCTCCGCCTCGAGCAGGATATCCTCTCCGATCTCGCCGACAGCAACCGCTTCTTCGTCCACGAAACCAAGGACTTCTGGCGCCAGATCAAGACTGCTGGCTCTGCTGTCCCTGCCAACGCCCTTTACCTCCAGAAGGCCTTCCAGGCCCAGTCCGAGGAGCTCACCCCTCCCTCCGCTACCATCGTGCCCCCAGTCTACATCCACCCCACTGCTACCGTCGACCCCACCGCCAAGCTTGGCCCGAACGTCTCAATTGGCGCCCGCGTGGTGATCGGTGCTGGTGCCCGTATCAAGGACTCTATTGTCCTGGAGGACTCTGAGATTCGCCACGATGCTTGTGTGATGCACTCCATTATCGGCTGGAGCAGTCGTGTTGGTGCCTGGGCTCGTGTCGAGGGTACTCCTATCCCCGTTGGCAGCCACTCCACCAGCATCATCAAGCAGGGCGTCAAGGTGCAGAGCATTACTATTCTCGGCAAGGAGTGCGGCGTTGGTGACGAGGTCCGCGTGCAGAACTGTGTCTGCTTGCCGTACAAGGAGCTCAAGCGGGTAAGCCAGCCATCCCTGAAGGTCATCCTGATCATTTACTAACATACTCCTTTCTTCTCTAGGACGTCGCCAACGAGGTCATCATGTAAACGCCCGCGAATTGGATCTCTGAATTATTTGCTTCAAAAATACCACACTCATCTTGTCAATATCGAGCGTCATAATGTTGTCTTTGCCATTGTCTGGTTATTGTCTGGTTATTGTTTTCTTTCTTTCTACCCCGTCTTTCCCATCGCTAGAATGATGCTATGCGCATGTCAGAGTCGTTAGAGAAAGGGATCTAGACTATCTACCGGCCTCAAACACCCCTTTCATATCATGTCATCCGAAGAAATAGCTCAAGTAACGCCGCCATGCCCATGCAGTCAATGACAAAAATCAATTTGAACGAGCCACATGTATCACACGCATCCAAGGACGTGCAATACCGAAGCCATCATAACAAGTCGCCTGCCAAACAGGATCGTAAAGGAGAGACCCCAACTCAATGGACTCAAACCAACAAATCCACCTCAATCCCATCAACGATAAGCCGCAGGATCATACCCCGTCTGCTCAGCCGGATGCTGATACCCGTGTCCCTGTCCAGCAAATCTAACCCGATTCCCACCCTTCCTCCCCCCATCACCCCCATCATCTCTCCTCTCCACCAACTTCACATCCCACGGATCCTCCCCGACCGCAGCCGAACTCGCCATAGGATTATACTCTCCCAGCCTCGTCTGCCTCTTCCGTACAACAACATCCAACCAAATCGCCGCGATATAACTGACAACCCCGAGGATCGTGAACGCGAAGAGAGCCTTGTAGGTGCGGCAGACTGTCAAAGCGGTGGTGGTGGCCCAGTACTGCGTTGTGCATTTTGTGAGGATCGTGCCGGACATGCTGTAGGAGAGGAGGGCGAGGGAGAGTGCCCAGAGGATTAGGTGGGTGGTGTTGAGGAGGAGGGAGAGTTTTGTGGAGAGGCCGCAGGCGCAGTTGCAGAGGCTGGTTAGGAGGGTTGAGAGGAGGGATAGGAGGGAGGTTATCAGGAGCTGTGAGTTGAGTTAGTTTTTGAATTGTGATGGGGGGATTGGGGATGGTGGGTTGGGGGACGTACGACTAGGAATGCGAAGGGGAGTTTATAGCCATCGGCGTGGAGATGGTAGATGAATACGGCGAGGATGATTGCGACCACGATCGAAGAGAGAAAGGTCACGAAGCGAATGCCGTGGAATGGCAGGGTTGGATAGTCCGATGGTTTTACGGAAGCTCGCGACCGCATTGTGTGGTCTGTCTGTGTGAATGCTTAAGATGTTGTAACTGGCAGAGGATGGGGGTGTGGAAGAATGGAAATTATATGAACAAAGTAGACTCCGTAAACTTTCCTCTTTGCCGGGGAGACGAAGGAGGCTGTAAAGTGTAAACAACCGCGCTATTCGGATCGGCGCTCCACTTGACACGTTGGGGGGCTGCGTCATTACCGCTATTTTTATCGATTGTGGCACGTTGATTGTTTTTTATGGTTGATCGTTGCGCGGCACCGAGTTTGGTGTGGCGGTGTTTCATGTAGAGTTTCTGCACAAGTGATATATTGGTTCTGGATTCTGAAGGTCTACCTTTAGCTTGGTGAGATTGTTTTGTATTTGAAGGTTTTTATTATATGTAGCTGGCTATGTTGAGGTTTGGGCTCTTTTTACGTTCCCAGCGATATTGGCGAAATAGATTGGATTGCAATTTAACGAAGCACTCAACTGTACTATTTCGTTCATTGAAAGACCACACTGCCCAGAAGTCTCATTTACTGGTTGTGCCCTAATTTACTGTAATTGAACAAAGTATCAATGATCAATGCTTCCAGGGACCACTGTAACTACCGAAGCTAGGCTTGGCGTTGACGGGACTACCCGCACCCCGAAAAAGGCAATATCAATACATCGCCAGCAATGTCCTCAGTATCAATAGAGTATAAAACCCCTTGTTGAAGGCAGAAAACAATCAAAATGCGATGAAGGCAGAAATCCAAAAGATTGAAGTTTGCACCATTCGAGCCCACGCCGTTACGATACACACAGTACCAGCCCAATGTCACTCCCATGACCGTCGCCAGAAAGTGTACCTTCCCAAAATGGCAAACCTCCATCCCCATGTCCCAGACCTCCCCATCACAACGACAACCACCTCAACTTCAACCTCCAATAACCACCCCCGACAAGAAACTTCAACCTCCAATAACCACCCCCGACAAGAATTTTTTTTTTTTAAAAAAAAAAAAACCGTGGGAAGCTGATAGCGAGGTGTCTTTGGACCGGACACTCAAGGTTACACGGTTCTCCAGACATGGACACTTGCATTACTTGCTGGAAATGTGGAAAACAGGGTCACCGAAGCGAAATCTGCGAAAACGCTCCATTGCCCATCGAAGAACAAAACGGAATCCGTGGAGTTGATATCACCCAGAGGGCAGCTCGCAATCTATTAGTAGACGCAATCTACCCCTCTCACAAACCTTGGTTTAGGAACGAGAGGCCGCTACGAACTCAGTTTATAACCCAGTGTCGAGGCAAGGGTACCGCAAGCCCTCTGTGAAGCTCACCGTTTGCATGGTCACTTTGCATTGCGGATCACCTTGTGTCGACTGATGGGAAACAGGTCGCCGCTGGCAACAAAGCCAAGGATACTTATTCTCCCAAGGGATTACAAACTTCTCTTGTCCCGGAATCTAACTTTTCATGCCCCAAAGAAGCTGAAAGAAGTCTAAGACAAGCAATCTCAGCCATGCCCCGACAGATTGTGGCAGAAAAGACGATCAGCAAAACAGTCGTCAACGCATCGAGCATACAGAACAAAGTTGCTGCTGGCGAGTGTGAGAAAGCAAGTGATAATTGTGAAAAGGGAAAACTTGTCAATCTTGCCTTCTCCATCAAGGAAGAGAAACATGGCTACAGAGCTATCAACTATCTAACCAGAAACTGTCTCCACCCTGCATCAGGAAGGAGACTTGATCTACAAAACAGAACAAGTCGACGGAAAATCATATCTTCTGCACGAACTACCAGGAAACAACGGGAAAACACATTCTGCAAGAGGAGCAAGGAAGAAACGGAAAAGCACAGGATCGAGGCATCTCGGCGCTGGGTCTGGAGGAAAACCCCAAGGAGAGGAAAGCTCATCAGCTTGGTTTAGCTTCCCTCTGCGTTCGCAGCTTCAGTTGCATGATACAAAACGCGTTTCAAAGTTCCAAGTCTCGCCTCAAACTCGCGCACCAATCCCGGGGCTTTCTCTACCTCCGAAACCTCTCCAGCAGGGACCACCACAGCGCGCAGGTCTCGTGCAATCATTTCAATCTGTTCCTGTAGCTTCTCTCTAAGAGTGGCAAAGGCCTCGTCCAAAGCCGCGTGGTACAAAGATTGCACTGATTGTGCATACTTTCTGTACAGTTGCATATTGGATAGGTGGCTGTGCATAATATCCCTGCGCCTTCGAGCGCTTCCGGTTCCTAAGTTGGGGCCATCGTAATTAGAACTTGGATTTTTGGTAAAGGCATGTGTTGTATGTCAGTCTAAGGGGGTTGGTCAAGTACCTGATTCTCGATTGCAGCGATTGTACGCATCCCGCATTAAGTCGGCGATCAAAGAACTGTTGTTGTGGCCATTGAGGGTGTGGTCTCTTATGAATCTGGAACAGTGTTAGTGAGTCGGACACATAAAATCCATTTTCATAAACTTACTCTGTGCTTTGAATTATATGGGTGATGGCTTCAGTGAAAATATGCTTGATACACCTTTTTCTATAGTCCAAAACAAAGAGAAGGTTTCCAATCGCTTGAGGGGCAACTTCAAAATGTTCTGGAGAGTGTAATATGTTAGAGCGGCACGTAAAGACAGGTCCGTAACTTGATCAGAAAAAGCCTACCGGAAAGTGTATACGTAATGTCTCCAAAAGACACAGAGATATCATTCCTCTGAGCCATGATCCAGGTTTCTATTGCATCCCACCGGTAACCTAACACCGCCCGCGCTTCTTCCATCAGTTCGTCATTCCAGCAGCGCGAGCCCGCGGCTTGGGTTGTGTGAGTGCCATTCTGTCGACAGAACGCGGCATAAGTAGTGAAATGCAACTAGGAAAGAATATTCGTGTCAGTGTGGGGTTGATGAAAGTGATCGGTTGTACTTACTATTTCCCATAATTGACTCACTTCGACAAACCTTCTTTTTAGATCGCCCAGAAAATAACTGTCTTCTGTTCTCCTTATATGATTAGGTCAATTAGTTATGGCGCAGGGAAGACCGAAATTTACTCACGAAGCTGGTGCATGACTTGGGTGTCGAATTTAGAGTGGACATCATTCTGGATACGAGCGAGTCGACCATGGCTCGAAGTAAAGCCCTATCCATAATTAGAATGCCATTGTCCCTTAAAGACTCCGACTTGAAGGACGGGGAATTCTAGATAATATACCTCACGGAGATCCCCTTCCAACTGCTCCAGCACGCTCCGAAGCTTACGGGCCTTCTCAGAAGTCACAGAGTCACGGCCCGTCAGTGTCCACTGTTCGATCGAACGCAAAAGAGCAGGCACTTGATCCCTGATGAAAACAAGGGCGGACTTCATTCTAGCCTCTGCAGGAACTGATCGGCAATAGGAACGAAGCTCGCGAACACCACTGAGATTCCTATACTCGTCTGCTAGCCTGTGTGGAGGGTTGCCGTAGAGCTCATTGCCCACGCAGAATATTTTGATGTCCTTGCCTCGGTGCTCTTGCTTGTTATGGATTGCCCTTGTAAGATCCTTTTCGGTCGAGTCGTTCTTATCATTCATGATATACGCCTGTCGCCTAGTTCCAATGTTAGTTGAAATGAATGGGTCTCTTTTGACTGATAGGTCAAACATACTCGTAGCGAAGCTGTTGTATCTTGTCTCTGTAAAGTAGTCAGCGAGCTGTTGATCAAGTTTCTATCTGCTAGCTTACTCTATTGTGGATTCCAAAACAGCAAGCTTTGCTTTCTCTGTGCCCTGTGCTCTTTGCCTTTGACGTCCGATACGATTTGCTTCGGTTTCAAGTTTCTTAATTGCTGCGTTCATCTTCTTCACATGGCCAGCGAAATGACCAGTACCGCGAGCAGACTCCTCCGGCGAAATTTCCTGTTGATATAAGTTAGAACAATTCCAGTTTTACCCAAGTAGGAGTGGAATACATCTGCTCTTGTGCAAACGATTCGTATGCGCTTAGTAGTTCCGCACTTCTTAATAGTTTCGTAGATGGATTCATTCGAGACGCATCGAAGGATCCCGGCCACAATGAACACTTCATCGCAGGTGCTGGCAAGATACCTTTCCGTGGCTCGTACTCTGGCATGATTCGTGTCTCGCAGTCCTATCATATATTAGGACAACTCAATTCAAGTATTTAAATCGCAGGAAGCGTATTACCTGGTAAGTCGGCAAGCACCAGACCAGTCTTCAAGATAGGCAACTCCAAGAATACCCTGCAGGCTTATTAGAATAAGGACATCTCAGCGAAAGCAGGTTCACAAACCGGATTAGCTTAATAAAAGGCCATAAAGCAGGCGCATTTCTGTCTCCCGAGTCACTCGTCAACCTGTCCAATTCATCTTTACAATTTTCCAAGTCACCCGCGACGACGGAGTATTGTAGTGAACTTGACCCTCCAGGTCGGAACGTCAACCGATCCATAGCCAACTCCTTTAACTCTTGACGGATCTCGAGTTCCGCCTCAGGACGCGAGAGATACTCAATAGTCAAGTCTGACCGATTGCGAAAAATTGCCTGGAGGGTCTCGTGAGACCTCCTGCCTATGATTTCATACTGTTCCCAATTCTCCTCTGCAATAAGACTCCGGTCTGTCTGGATTGTCGCTCGTCGGATGCTTTGCAGAAGCTCTTCGAGAAGATCATTGACTTCGTCTTCATTCATGAAATCGGCTTCTATGGTGTAGGGACAGGGGTGGTTATTATCCACACACCGATACTCCATAGGCACAGAAGTACATGCGGCTCCTGCGCCACTCTAGATCAAAATTATCAGAAAACGGTATCCTTCAGGATACAAAACCTGGAATTCATACCGAGCGAGCGAGGCCTCTCTGGTCTAGTATTGAGTTGATGACGGAGCTCTTGCCTGTACGATGGTTAGGCATGTCCACATCAGAAAGGAAATAAGAAAGCACAAACCTGCTCCAGTTTCGCCTATGAATCCCACAATGCGTGTTTCCTGGTCCTTAAACTCACTAAGCTTTTTCGTTTCTTGATAAATATGATGCAGCCTGGTTCCTGGGTCTCGAGCCAGCTCATAGCTGTAAATCTCGCGGGAAAGCCCCTGAAGCTTGAGTTTAAGGGTGTTCAGATTATTCTGAAGAGCTCGGTCGTCGATGGGGTCCGGGGAGGAGAATCCATCGTCGACGGGCTCTTCTTCAGCTTCGTCTTCATTCTCGTCTTCATCGTCATCTCCGTCTTCATCTTCGTTGTCATCTTGACCATCATCCTCACCCAGTATTGTCGCGTTTGAGTTTTCCATTTGCCCGAAAATATTTACACCTCTCCTCGCCGGCATTTCCCTGACGCTCCCTGTTTCCGTATGAGATGAGAGCGATTCAGTCTCCCGTGCCCTATTGCCAAAGATGCCGTTGGGATTCACAGTTGGAATAGACGAAACACGAGGCTCGCGCGTTATGTTGTGATCCATACTGCGATCTGGCATAATCCTGGGTCGGGAACTCAGATGCCTAGGCGCCATGTTCGGGTTTGTGGAGGGCCCTGTAACAGCGGCCAACCCAAATAAGCTCCGTCCGCTATTATTCCTCCCTCCAAAAGTGTAAATTGGAGTAGTTTGTGTACTATGCTGGGGAGAATCTGGCGATAGGGATCTGGACGAGATAGATGGTGGCGTCTGGCCTTGAGGGCGTGACCCAAAAGAACTGCTGCTCTGAGAGGGCGAAGGGGTAAAGACACTCTCAAACGAGGGACCTGGGGGGCTGGTGAAATTGAAATCAGGCGTGGAGTATCTCATCTTGTACACGATTCGATTCGCTTCAGTCTGAGTCGAAAATGGTTCATGAGCAGAACTAAGCATGGACGGGCCGGCCCGGGTTATAAGAAAACCTAGCCCTGTGATTCAAGAACGCTGGGGCGCAGCACTTGCTGTGGAGGGGTTGAACGGAGGTAGACATGCATACTAGTATCCAAAAGTGGAATGCTAGTCTGCCTTGTCATGCGCACTTGTTTCAATATAGTATAGTAGGCGCCAGTGCTAGCGGCGCTTAGCTATTGGTTCTCCAACACATGCTCTAGATAGCAGACATTCATATTTAGCGATAACGATAGCAACAGCAGCAATCTCAAAAGATCCTTCAGTTTCAGAACCTCTTCCGTTTCAAATACCGTGATCTTCCTGAACTTCCTTGGACAGACGGGGATCTCGGACCCCATTATGGCCCCCGCATGAGTAGGCCTGGTGGTATGCCAGCGTGCATCATGACCCCTGCCTAGTGCCCAATCAAGAACAATACACGATGGGGTTAACGCTAGATATGCATGGTATTTTAGTCTTCAAGGCATCACCGAAAACTGCCATCTATTTCTCTGCAAATATTCCCATCGTGCAAAACACCTTCAAAACGTGCCCGCCCCGTAGCCATAGTGTATCAAGACTCCGTTTCTATTATTAGGTCTTTCATATGAAAGCTAGTTACAAGGACATTGTATGGTCGCTAGAGCTGAGATTATCGAATACATGAAGCTTAAAGAGTTTCCTGGGTTCTCGCCGATGTCTATGTATCATTCACAGACTAGCTAGATTGGTATTGACCTGGAAGCTTATCCTCAACATATCCCAATCCAGGAAGCCCATCCAAGGCCGCAGATGCGGCAGACCAAGCGGAATCATCAGGGTACAGTGCACTGCGCAGATACGCCCAAGTCATACGCTGAACCATAGCCAGTCGTTCCGGGCTCTCATCATCAGCAGCCTCGCTAGTATCATAGCCCGAAACTCCACCAAGTCCATGCTTCCCACCCTTCACTGTGAGAAGCGACCCCGGGCCTTTACTGAAATAATATCCATCTGCATGGTACTCCGCGCCACGGGTGGTCAAGAACGGGAATCCATCACTGTCCCCGATAACGACGAGTGTGGGTGTTTTCATCTCTGCGTGGCTGTGATATTTCAGGTCGGTGTTTGCGGCAGCGGGACCCAGTCCATCTCCTCCGCGGCCGTCTCCGGGACTTGCGAGGAGGATACCTGCTTTGATGCGTGGTTCGAAGAGGTCTTCGTATGTTTCATGGGTAGGGTCGTTTCCTCGAGCACCCATGAGCCGGCTTGCGGTATGACCACCGGCAGAATGGCCAACGACGGCAATGCGAGAATGGTCAAGACGTCCTTGGATCTGGGGGAAGAGTGCCTCGATCTGATCAAGCTCGTCGAGAATGAGCTTCATGTCAATCACGCGAGTCCGCAGGAACCAAGGAGCTTCCGGGTACTCATCGGGGCTGAGGCTAAGCGCCCGAGAACTGAGATGCGTGGGTTGGATGACTGCGAAGCCATGAGAAGCCCAGAAGTGGGCAATCGGGGCGTAGCCGTTGAGAGAGGAGAGATTGTTGGATGAGCCTTGACCGTGTGAGAGCAGGATAATTGGGATATTTTTTCCAGTTGCCGGTGCAGAGACACGCATATGCAAGTCCATGATGCGATCTGGAGCTGGAAGCACCACCGGGCTCATGGAGATGACGGGAGTCGCATCGTTAATGGGAAGCTTCGCAGATTCTCCGATCAATGCATGATCCCCGAGGTTGGGAAGGCGTTTGGAGATATTCTGAGCATTAGACATGGTGGTGAATCTTGGGTTGATTTCGAAGGATGTTCGTCTAGGCAGATGTATTCTCGGAGTGTTTGAGGATGTAGAGATAAATTTAGTTGAGAAGGGACTCAAGCTAGTATTTATACATGCTGATGAATATTACTTCAAGCTTTATGTCCGATACTAATACTGTTAAACCCGCACAAGGACCAAGGAGGTGTAGGGCTGTCGAGCAGCGGGTATAACAGATTTTCCAAAAGCCGATATATTGGGGGCGGGGAAGTATTGGGGGTGAGATGAGAAGTAATCACTGGATTCAAGAGAGTGGAGAATATCAATCTCCATTCGTATATCTCGTAAAGAGCTAGCGGAATGTAGAGAAGTCAGAAGAACAAGCTCGATTTGAAGTTGTTCGGAGTTAAAGGTTTACCAATCGGCGGCGGCTTTAGGGTTTTGGCACGGCAGTTGGAAGTAAAGAATCCCACAGCTAAACTCTTAGGTTACATACTGATTTCCTTCAGCTTTAGCCTTTTCTGCTACCTAGCTTATGCCTGAAGAACGTGTAAGACTGCTTTCAAATCAACGACTTTGTGGAAGTATGTTTCGAGTTGCTGTTTGTGAGAAAATGCATGGGTATTTCATCCGAAGGCAGTAGTCGTGTACAATTACGGTAACCTTTTTTCAGAAGAACCTTACAGACCTCGTCCATGGGAGGTAGATTGATTGGTATTAGTCTTCATGTGAGAGTATGGGGGCCACAACAGAAACAGAATGCCGAGCCGGATAAAGCTTCAGCTCAGGCTTGTGGGTGGTGTTTTATATACCTTGTTGCAATTAAAATGTTGCACGTAGAGGACGAATAACTCTATAGGAATTCGAGCACATAAACCTACCTCTGGCCTTGAATAAGCAGAGAATAAGCAGAGAATCGAAAACAGTCAAGCATGATAGAGTACCAGGTACTTCACCAGATAAACTGTTAAGAAGCTTCGCGTGATGACGCCCGCACGGCCCAATCAAATTCCCCGCGCCGCGTTATCGCTCTGCTGCCTCCGATCGACTCTGCAGCTACTTCAATCCCACTCCAATCTCCAACTTTCACTTCCTCCTCAATTGCCCACTGAATTGCGCAACTTCCTTCCAACCAATCTCTCACCAATCCTCCAGTGTGCAACCAAGCAAACAGCCGGGTGTCACACACACATACAGAGCCAAAGGGGATCTCCCCCTCACACCGTCTTCTCTCTCATCCTCTCTTCCATCCCTCCTCCTCTTCACCTCATCACCATCCCACCTCGGCCGAGCGCTCGAGGATCCTACAAAAATGTCGAACTACGAGAGTGAGTACTCCCCCGATTCAAATCTCCAAGTCCGAGCATGTCGCAACACATCAACTAACTCTGAGATTCACAGCGGAGCACAACACGACCGACCCGGCCCTCGACAACAACACCACTCGCCGCCGTCGTCCCGACATGTCCACTTTCTTCGCAACACTCGAAGAGATCACCCCAGCCCCCGATCACCGTCCCCATGCTGTCCCGGTCCCGGGAGATGTGAGCGCAGCTTTTTACTCGCTCGCAGAAGCCTTTGAGGTTATGCGCCGCCAGGCATCTGCTATGCTCTCCGAGACCGGGGCCAGCACGGATGGCGCCAGCAGTGATGATCTCCTGTCACAGATGATTCAGACTCTGCTTGCCGAAGCGGATACTCCTCCCCGCGAGGTCGAGGGAGTGAGCGACGAATTCTGCGATAGTAAGCGTGCCTTTTTGAGACTATTCGGTGTTTTAAACGGGGCGTGGGACATTGGCTAATTAATTGCGTCATGTAAACAGTGCTCGAACGTGTCCCCAAGGCATCCCTCGACCCCTCCCAAACCTGTCCCATTTGCAACAACCCGTTCCTCGAAGACGAGTATCCCCTTGTGGTCCAGCTTCCCTGCCACCCCACCCACCTATTCGACCTGGAATGCGTGCGCCCATGGCTCCGACTGCGGGGCACTTGCCCTCTCGACCGGGCTGACTTTGCTAAGCAGTTGCGGGAGAAGGCTGAGGAGCGCAGGAAGCTCGCGGAACAGGATGACGAGGAGGAATGGGATGGCATGTACGGTTGAATTGCCTCGGATGAAGAGGTGGATTTGGCCCGATCTGGCGTTTACGCATGCAATAATGATGCATTTTCACGAAGGGCGATGAGCGTTTTTATCTAACGCCTATGAAGGATACATACTTCAATGAATGCATGATGATACCCACCTCGGTATGACGGTCCCTAATTTAGTTCCGGAAGTACAGCTCTCTATCTTGCTACGCGGTGGAGAGGTTAAATTCAAGAAATGGATTTGTAGATTTCTCTAAACAGAGATCATTTTAGATGCTGTGCGCTATGCACTCATATCACGTTAAATAGCGTAGCAGCTTCAAATAGAAGAGCCATGAAAAGCCTCTTTAGGCCGTGGCATCCTTTGGTCGTATAGCAAGCTTGCCTGCCTGGTCAATCATGGCCTCATAACCGCTGCGTTCCAAAACACCACCGTCATCCTTGACCACCTCGCGGGCCTCGAGCTCCTCGACCAAGCGCTGATTTTCCCGATTGCCCTCCAGCAGGAACTTGAGGCACATAACAGCATGCTCCTTGATATAAGGGTTGTTGGAGTCGAAGGAGGTGCACATCAAGATAGCTTCCACGCCGCCATAGCGACGAATTTGTTCTTGGACATCAGGGCATTTCCAGACCAGCGACGAGAGGACCAGGACGACAAGCTTCTTCAGATTGCGCCACTCAAACTCGGACGGATCTTCGGTGATGGGAGGAGACTCGGGGCGGGAGTCGACGCTGCCGGCGTGGCTGTCGAGCGGGTCTGCTGGGTCGCTAGGATCGTAGGGGCGCTCGACGGCCACCGGTGTGGGCGACGGAGGCTTGGAGTGGTCATTAGGAGAGGCACTACGCGGTGGAGGGGGTGGGGGAGGCACCGAGCCGAAGGAGAGGGAACTCAGTTGACCCTTGGGAATACTGGCTTCCAACTCCTTAATAAGGGTGACCAAATCGTAGACAATCTCCCATTTCACCAGCAGATTCTTCCAGTCGTTGTTCTCGGTAAGCACGGCGAAGAACTCCAGGAATTGGTATACGCCCTCGTAAACGCGCTCCATGTCCCACAGGTTGAGGGGGAAATCCTCCGGCAAGGCGCGCTCGGCCCGAATTTGACCCTGGAGGTAAATCAGAGCACAGGTTTCCGGGATGATGTTGCCACGGAATATGGTGAATATATATCGGACTGTGAGGATGTCCACGCGGCTTAGAGGCGAGGGGGTCCGCGGGACGCTGCCCTGCATAGAGCCCGTCACAGATGCGGGAGAGTACTTTGCACGGAAAATGTGCGTCAGGATCTTGATAACCACGGCCTGAGCGGGAGAAATAATGTCCTTGGGTTGACCGAAATCGGAGTATGCGTGGGACATGAGACCATTACGGAGCACTGCCTCCATGATCTGGACCATCATCTTGAAGTAAAGCTCATCGTCCGGAAGATCCCAAGCAGCGATGAAGATGAGAAGCTCGCGGAGAAGATTCCGGCCAGTTTCCTGAGTGAGAAGAATATGGCACCTGAGGGCTTGCATGTTGCGCGAGCCATTTCGCTCACCACCCTTCAGTCCGAAACTGTCGACAATGCCTGCCTGGATGATCATAGGCAACGCTTCAATTTCGGCGGGGCCCAGAACAAGCGGGATATCGGTCAACAGGCCGCGTTGTTGATCGCCAGGGCGACCCCTATAGTCATCATCATCCTCGTCATCATCCACATCGCCACCATCATCACCCCGGTCGATATCTTCGTCATCCTCCTCTTCATCCTCGTCAACACTTCCATCCGCGTGGCCCTCCAGGCTATGCGCATCATCTTCGCCCACAGTCCCTGCGTCGCCATGATCGTAATCGGCGCCATCATCGCCGATTTGGGAAGCCTCTTGCAGCCGGGCCATCAGTTCATCCTTGGCCTCCTGCAGTGTCTCGGCGGCCGACTGAGATGATCGAGGCATACTGGTATCATCCTCCGTTACTGGCGCGTCTATAGAATAGTCGTTCACTTCGGGCAGATCAGCCCAGCACAGCCGTGGGAACCCAGCAGTCATGCTGCGATCGATTGTGAGGATCGTTTTCTTCTTGGTAGCCTCGTGCTCCTCCTCTTCAGGGAGAGCAGGCGGCAATTCGCGAGCCCTCTCCTGCAGGTCAGACCACCCATCAACCTTAGCTCCCAGGATAGAAGTTAACGCGGCCCGAATGTACTTGACCTGCTCGGGGTCTCGGCCCATCTCTTGTATGTCGGTCAAGTCTCGCCCCAGGATCTTTTCCATGTGGTCCTTGATATTCGCAAGAAGCAACATCGCAGCCTCCTCCTTGATGGTGGAGGGCTCGCGGGGGAACTTCGCAATAGTCTCTAAAAGCAGATCTTCGGCAGTCTGGTCATAGAGAGCGCGAATGGGAGGGTTGATGACCCGTTCTCCGATCTTCACAATCGGCGCAACTCCTTCGATGCGTGCCGTGGAGTCCAGAGCCTCCTTGGGTTGGATTATGTTCGTGTCGGCGGTCGAGTGGTAGCCAAATAGATCCAACCACAGCACCATTTTTCGATGTTCATTGTGCATGATGAAGTTGTGGAGGTATTGGAGACACGTTATAAGGAGTCGCTTGTACAGGTTTACCACTTTTTGCCAGCGCTCCTCGTTTCGTGGGTTTGTTTCGCCATCGAATCCCCTTGCCGTGACCCGCACACATGTATCGATCAGTGCCAGAATTCGCTGGTCGAAGCCCTTCTCAGCAGCCAGGTTCTGTGCTTTTTTGGTTGTCGCAAGTAGGTTGCGCGCAATGGTGCACAGGTCGTTGAGACGTTCGATATCCTTCACTAACGAGAAATAGTTGTATGCAATGAGGTTTGACGACGAATGTTCAAGTGCAGCTCTGGGGCTCTTCCATGCGAAAGACTGCGATTCAAGGACTGGAATCGCCTTGGTGAGTACATCCGTGAGTCCCGCCCAAATGTCAGGGGACATGCCGAGATTATGTCTTCAGGCGCAGAATATCAGCACACAAGAATTACCGTCATATCAGTAATATATTTTCCTACCTGACTTCGCTTTCCTGGTGTGTCTTGTACAGGATCTGCTTTCCAGCGGCGAGCATGTGTTCCAGACGCTTGTCGTCGATCATCCCGCGGGTCTCATAGTGGCTCAAGGTTCCTGCCAAAATGACTTTCAGCATAAGCTCCGCTGGAGTACACAGCGGCTTTTTGTCCGCCATGATGCGCGGCCAAAAGCTTGGTCCTTAGTGAAGTGTAAAGGGAAGAACTTGTGGACTCTCACAGTAGGATGAATTGAGAAATCGCGGCGGGCAGAATGAGGTTTTACGGACATTTCATTCACCGCCAACCACCACCGCCTACCATATATGGTCTTATACTCCTGCCGGGACAAACGTTTGAACTAAACTACTCGTCTAATCTCGAGGTTAATACTGCTGGTTTTGTCGCATATAGACCTTTTTACTTTGGGCTTATCCTCGGGGCCATGATGATCCCTTCAATTCGCCATGTTATGGGTAGTTGTGCACTGCGTGTCGGGCCAAAATATGTCTTCCGAGATTCTGAAAATTGGTCAACGAATACGCATGTCATTCCTATAATAGTTTATGAGAAGCTATGTATAGAACTTCTCTCGCACTGGCAGTCCTAGGGCATCCACCAGGTTTCTTCTAAATCCCATGTCATAGATGTTTTCCAGATCTCTTGTGTGGTGTAGTTCCACCCACTGCCGGTCAATCGGCCTGGACCGATTGGCATCACCACGGTATGTGACTCGGTTCGAGGCATCATCAAGAACATAGCCTTCCAACGGGGGTTGCCCATCTGTGACCAGGATCTGGTCACTTTGCACTGGCCACGGCTGGCCACTGAGATCCACATGTGGAGGGGCACATCGAATCTCACTTCGCTTGGCCTTGAAGACAAACCCATCTAGAACATCTTCCTTCCAGTCAGACCACTTGGCACTTTCATTGGTCGTCATACCAGCCCAGATGAGGTAGGTATGATAAGCCAAGAAAGCAACCGCCAACGGGGCTGTCATAAGCATCAGCAGTGTGACAGTTCCGATTTTGGGGTCCCTGGTGATCACAATAGACCAGACGTGGAGGTACATTGACCAACTCTTCATAGCTGCCTGTACATCCAGTGGAACGATCTCTCGCAATGTTTGCCAGAGAAGAGAGTACCCGAGCAAGGTACCGTAGATCAATAGTACAGACACGGCGAGAAGAAGCGATAAGAAGTACTTGTAATTGTTGGCCCCAACGCAGTTCATTAGCCACACGCAATGGTGGTCATGTCGAGAGACACAGGCCTTGCAAAAGCTGCAATGCTTACTGCGTGCAGGCTTGAGAAATTTGCACGTTGAACAGATATGTCCAGGGTGGAAGAGGACACGATCGTATGGGTATCGTTTCATCTCTTCTGCGTGGTTTTCCGAGGTGACGAATGATTTGGTCACCACGCACTTATAGAGAAGCACATATGGTAAGGTGACAACGCCAGGTACCCAAAAATGATGGGTACTGGACATCCGAGGCCATGCTGCCGGTAGGAAGAAAACCTCGCCTATGGCAAGCAAGCCAATAAAGAACAGCTGACATTGGTTAGATGAATGGTACTGGCAAACAGGATGATTGATAAGGCTTACAAGGACCAAGGGATGGTTCTCGCGCAAGATATAGCTGCCAGAGCGACTCCATGCTCTGACTAGTCTTCCGCCAAGCAGACGGGAGTCGATAAAGGCGATTCCATTGGGGAGGTAGACCCATAGCAGTCGATAGAGAAAGGCAATGGGGGTTTTCCTTGCTTGTGTCAATTATGCTCATGAAATATTCAAGAGAGGTCTCACCTGAATACTGGTAGTCGGCCGAAAAGTGCGATAAAAACGAAGGCCGAAATGCCCAAGATGACAAGAGCGACTGTTCGGAGAGTCCCCATGGTGGCATGTGGAGACTGAGCCCGTTGCCTTATCTGTTCTGCTCAATATTCACCTCAGTGGACTAGAAACAAACCCTCACGTAAAATATGCAATTTCCATTTTGTTAGTCCTCAGTCTCGCCTCCCTTGGAGTGTTGTTGTCTGGTCAGCGCTCGTGGCGGGCTTGTCATCAACACGGTCACGTGTCTTGGACTCTGCGAGACTACAAACGCGAACTTGCTATTTGCCTACGCTTTGACTAGGCTTGTCGGCTCAGTTCCTCGAGGGGCTTTCATCCGTCGTTGAGTTTTTTCTAGCCTTTGCATAGGATAATTTCATTCATAAGTCTCTCTTATTTGCGATCTGCGATTTGCGTCAGAACCACCTGCGAAACACGCAGACACGTGATAACGCGTCACACAAAGAGTGAGAGATCACCAAAAGCCCATTGCACCCGCTACAAAGACGAATGTTGTTACCTCGGCCATTCTCGCGTCTTTGCAGAATTACCGGCTCCAGGAGCAACAAGAAACATGTCCAACATATTTGCAGGGGGGAGATTCTTCTTATCCCGCGCTATCCCACAACGGACGCAACTAAAAGAAACGATTGAGGTTCGTCCCATTATAGAAAGACGCCAAGGCTTAAAATGCTAACATCCATCCAGAACCATGGCGGCAAGGTTGTCCTGCTGGAGAAAGATGCCGATATCATTCTGGTGGATCATTTGAGAAAATCCCAAACCCACCCTCCTAATGCGTATATTCGCCCCATCCGCCTTCATTTTCTGCCGAGTATCTTACTTACGTCCTCTGCAGGCTATCCTATCGGTATGTGGAGCAATCTGTTCGTCATGGAAAGTTGGAAGACCCTGCACCTCATCGGGTCGGTCCAGCAGCGCCGCGTCCGATGGGCGCATCCAACATTCCTACGAAGCGCACCAGGAGAAGCTACACCCTACAAGACGATCAGATCGTTTTTGACTGGCTGTATCCCTGGGAACAGTCAAAAGGCGCGCCAACACATGGCAACAGGATATACAAGGATCTAGCCGAGCGAGTATGTATTTCTTGGAACTGCATTAATACTACCCACGCTATACTCACTATGAATTACAGTTCCCACATCATACATGGCAATCATGGCGAACTCGATATCTGAAAAATCTACGCGGAAAGCCACGTCCAGGAGGAGGTGAACCAAGACCTGACCTCGTCTATGGGGGTGCTGAAGCAGTACCCAGAGCTGGACCACAATCGCAGGCTCCTGAATGGCCTGTCGAATCCCCAGTCCCAGCTGCGCCTCCTACACAACATCTACAACCTCAACAACCTGCATCAGGGCCCAGCAAACAGCCCAGTCCTCTGCCAAGTTCCAGTAGGAAACGTGGGCCACCTTCTGATTCCACCCGCTCCCCTGAAGGAACGAAGATAGCAAAGAGAAGGCTGGTAGAGGTGCCAGAAAAAGCTCCTTCTGCCACGCGAACCTCTCCTGATCAACCTCCGGATGCCGCTACACGGCCCCCCCAAACACCGCCTCGTGAACCACATTGTCCACGCCCAGACACATCCCCCTCTAATCTACAGCCTACCCGCCCTCAGCATCCATCAATACCTGCACAACCAACTATCCCTGAGCAAACAAATGAAATCCCTGAGAAAACCGTGGACCCCCTATTCCAACACCTGCCATTCTTCCCGTCAAGTTCAGAACCAGACACCGAAGACGACGAAGACGATGACGAAGATGAAGAGGACAGCGATCCAGACGACTACCCGGACATAAGCAGCTGGGTCAACGCACAAGCGGCGCGAGGCGCTGAGGTAGCAACCGTTCTGGACGCTCTACGCTATACGAGCATGGAACCTGTTCTAGCAAAGAAACTGCTCAAGATTCTAAAAGCTGGCGATCCGGTTCCTGAGAACATGCGTGGAGTATGGACGGAGGAGGACGATCGATGCGTGGAAAGTCAGGATGCCCGCGACGTTGAACGAGTGACTACAAAGCATGGCGATAGGCTCTTTCAAGCGCGGTGGGAGTACCTCGAAATGGCTCGAGAAAGGGGTTTGATTCAATAACAGTCTTCTCAAGAAATCACATGAGATTCATTATGCCTGCATATGGAATAACATCTTGAAAGCAAACCGAAAATTCTGAATTCCAAGAATACAGTAGACAACATCTTGCAAGTACCAAGAGCCTCGCACGCCCTAATGCCAATATTATGATTTCTTGGTCAAATCAGAGGAAAAAAAAACATCCATTGAGATTAAGTCGCCTATCCTACATTGGGAACCCCAGCTCAGAGATAAGAAAATAAATGACCCAAACTCCAACGAGCTCCAGGAAAAAAATAATATTCACTAGATTCTTTTTGAAAAGAATCTGTCCATAACCCCTTCCGGGGTTTCCGCTCTAAATGAGCTATGAAACGACTTGACACGCTCAAGTTTCTTTGAAGACCCTGAAGGAAAGTTAGCATCGATAAACGATTGTGGAGATGGCTGGGAAGATCTTACAAATGGTTCTCGTAGAATTGAAGCATCTGAAATCAGAAATTAGCCCTCCGCTTGTGCGAATCTGTTAGTCGCATAAACTTACCTGCTTCGGACACCTGTCGTAGCATGTTTCAAGTGCAACTCGAGAGCGCTTGCCGTTCTTCCAGAGTAGGAATGCAAACAGCTGCTTGCTGTCCTGATCTCTGATGATTGTGTCAACTTTCTGGAGGTGACTGCCCCAATCCTTGCCCTTGGGTGTCCAGCTCAGATCGTCCTCCTCGCTTTCAGCGACTGTCTCCGCGGGCGGCTCTTCTGTCGCAGGTGCTGAGGATTTACGGCGTCGCTTCTGCTCGGTGGGTTCGGCGGAAGCCGAAGTCGACTTGGTCTCGCCCATTGACTTGCGCTTGCGACCTGATGCGGCCTTGGGGGCGGCGGGCTTCGCAGCGTTCTTCCTGGGACGTCCACCAATCTTCTTGTAGTATGCGTTCAAAATATCCTTTGCGCCCTCCCTGTAAACAAGTATAAGCAGAGGCGCAGTCTCACACCATCAAAGATAAACGCACTTCAATGACGCTTCAGGTTCCCAGGTCAGGTCCTCTGGCTTGTCCCAGCCTTTCCACTTCACCAGAAGCTTGAATGAGCCCTGCAGAAATAGTTAGCACATGGAAGCCAACAAAGCATTGATAGGTAAATCAACTCACATCGTCCATCCAGGCGTGGTCATTGATCTTTTCGACGATATAACTGGGCCATGTTAGATCTTTCAGTCCCATTTAGAGCTCATCGGTATGCGCGACTAACACGTCCTCTTCCTCCTCCTCCTCGTCGTCATCCTCGTCGCCCTCAGCGTCCACCTGATCGGGTTCTTTCGCATCTTCGGTGGTGCCGTTCTTGTCGTCGAAGGGGATATCACCGGACTCCTCGTCGGAGAGATCCTCGATTGGGGCTGTAGATTGACAGGTTAGCTCAAGCGCGCGCGCAAAACAAGGTCAACATGGCGCATTCACTTACGCGGCATAGTGGATCGGAAGGGAGAGGCAAGAGTGAGCAAGTGGGAGAACAGTTTGGCGGTAGGAGGCTTTCCGCCTCAAGCGATTGGGATTGAACAGCCTAAAGCGAGAGAGCGCGATAACACAGCTCGAGAGATCGCAAGCTTCTCGGGCCCGGAGGTGGAGAGCGCGTGAGAGCTGGAAAGGCGGAAAGGGCAGCGCTATACCGCTTTCGGGGGCCAGAATTTAATTTGCTGTGAGCCCCGGAGCTTCACCCCTCTGCAACGCTGCTGTGGGAACAGGACCTTGACGACTTGGTTCGCTTTTTGTTTCCTCTCTTTTCTCTCATTTTCTACTTGACATTCTGATCTTCTGCCAGGTGGCAGTCCACCGTCAAGATGGCGATGCGTACGTACTACTTGATCCCTCCCCGGTTGCCCCTCAATGAACCCCCCGTATCTGTGGCTGACCGTGACTTCGATATGAACAGAGCTTGATCTTTCTCAAGGTGACTAGCGACCGACTATTCTCGCAACCGTCTGATACAGCAATTAACATTCTGGGATAGCCTCGGTGTTGAAGGACGAGCAGGGCCGTCCGTTTATCGTTGTTCGCGAGTACGTTCACCGACATCCCGTCTCGATCCGCCTCCTCGTTATCAAATTGGGCCATTTTGAGGGATGAAAGGCATAAGGCTGACCGGTGGAATTTCTATTTGATAGTCAAGGAAAGAAGAAGAGACAGCATGGCACGGAAGCTGTGAAGGCACACATTGTTGCTGCCAAGACAGTGGCCAGCATTGTCAAGACTTCTCTGGTATGCTTCTTGAAGCCCGGTGGTTCGAATGGTATCTAACTGGCTGTGATAGGGTCCCCGCGGCCTCGACAAGATTCTTATTTCCCCCGACGGCGATATCACGGTCACCAATGATGGAGCCACTATTCTCGGCCAGGTTCGTTTTGACCCCTTTTGCAACAACCACGGCCAACAAAAAAGCTAATTAATGGACCAACAATAGATGGAAATTACCAACAACGTCGCCAAACTACTCGTCGAGCTCTCCAAGTCACAGGATGAGGAAATTGGTGATGGAACAACGGGTGTTGTGGTTTTGGCCGCCGCTATGCTGGAGCAAGCCGCGGATTTGATTGATAAGGGCATCCACCCCATTCGGATAGCCGACGGTTATGACCAGGCTTGCGAGATTGCCATCGCAGAGCTTGACAAGATCAGTGATGAGATCACCTTCTCACGCGAAGATACCAGCAACCTCCTCAAGGTTGCCAAGACCAGTCTCGGCAGTAAGATGTATGATGATCCAGGTTTCCCGTATCCCTCAGACTATTTTATCTAACCTCGGAATACAGTGTCTCCAAGTCTCACGACCAGTTCGCCAAGATCGCCGTCGATGCCGTGCTGTCCGTGGCCGATCTGGAGCGCAAGGATGTTGACTTCGAGTTGATCAAGGTGGACGGCAAGGTTGGCGGTGCTCTTGAGGACTCTCTTCTCGTCAAGGGTGTTATTGTCGACAAGGATTTCTCTCACCCCCAGATGCCCGACGAGGTTGTGGATGCCAAGCTCGCTATCCTGACTTGCCCCTTCGAGCCCCCGAAGCCCAAGACCAAGCACAAGCTTGATATCACATCTGTTGAGGAGTTCAAGAAGCTCCAGGATTACGAGCAGGAGAAGTTCGCCGAGATGATTCAGAAGCTCAAGGATTCAGGTGCCAACCTGGTCATCTGTCAGTGGGGTTTCGATGACGAGGCCAACCACTTGCTCCTCCAGAACAAGTTGCCCGCTGTCCGGTGGGTTGGTGGTCCCGAGATTGAGTTGATTGCTATTGCCACAAACGGCCGCATCGTGCCCCGTTTCGAGGACTTGTCCGCTGAAAAGCTGGGTACCGCTGGTCGTGTCCGTGAGATGACTTTCGGTACCACGAGAGAGAAGATGCTGGTCATTGAGGAGTGTGCCAACAGCCGGGCTGTCACTGTTTTCATCCGTGGTAGTAACAAGATGGTATGCAGCCAATTCCTTCGATGAGCAGGCCATGATATGTGTGACCTCGAACTAAACCAGATTCGCAGATCATCGATGAGGCCAAGCGGTCACTACACGATGCCCTGTGTGTCGTCCGCAACCTGGTCCGCGACAACCGCGTTGTCTACGGTGGTGGTGCTGCCGAGATTGCTTGCTCCCTGGCCGTGGAGGATGCCGCTGTCAAGGTTCGTACATTATCACTACTGGACCACATGATCATCACACTAATTATTTCTACTTTATGCAGAGCCCTGGTATTGAGCAGTACGCCATGCGTGCCTTCGCTGATGCGTTGGACGCTGTTCCCTTGGCCCTTTCTGAGAACTCTGGTCTGAGCCCCATCGAGACACTGGCTTCCATCAAGTCGCGCCAGGTCAAGGAGAAGAACTCTCGCCTTGGTGTCGACTGCATGCTGACTGGCAGCAACGGTAAGCAACCTCATCTCCGTGATTTTGATGTTCGTAAACTAATCCATTAAATGTGTAGACATGCGCGAGCACTTTGCTATCGATCCCCTGATTGGCAAGCGCCAGCAGCTTCTGCTCGCTACTCAGCTTTGCCGCATGGTTCTCAAGGTACGCCCCATTGACCTGTCTAACTTAAGATGAAGCATGGACTAACATATCTCTAGATCAACAACGTTATCATCTCTGGTGATGACAACGCCGAGTTTTAGGTTACCCGCACATATTTCTAATGCCCTATAGACGGCACTGGAGTACCCAGTCCGGTGCGTCGGCTAAAAAAATCTGATGATCCTGGTTGGACTCCTATGTAAAACATGGCCCCTTACATAGAATTTTCCGAGTTGCAATGAGAAAAGGGTTTACGATCTCTCGTTTTGTTCTTTTGTCCAGGGGCATTGTGTCTAATCGTAGATATCTCTGACTCAGTACACCCGGGTTGTCAGTCATGAAAGATCAAGTGCAGCATATGCTTCCCCGTTGCGCATGCGTACTCATAGATCGATCTAATAACATCTGAACAACTCCCGATGATCGCCCGAAGTTTACGCAGATCCAACCCCCGACATGTTTCACTCCCTGATCGGCACATGAAAATATACAAACCATGCTGCTGCAACAACGCAAACGAACGTTTCGATCAAAACAGACTCGATCACCTTACAATGCATATCGTTTGATTATCTGGGGGTTACGAATTTTATGAGAACTCGTGCTCCTCTTCGACAGACGTTTACATGCACCTGCGATCACAAGGGCCGTCCAATATGCCGAGGAACAGAGGACGAGATATACCAACATTCCATTTCGATCATACCATGTCTATTCTACCTACCTCGGTCAGCCATAGGAAAGAACCGGGACTCTTTATTGGAAAATCTAATATGTCTTTTGATGTCAGTACGTAACTCGATAGTCTCGTGGTATCTTTTTGCCGTCTTTGCCGCTATTGTACTACGTCGATACCACAGATTCCTTGATACTTGCTTTAGTTCACCGTCGCCCAGAAAGTATCATCTAAGGCCATAAGTTGTCAATGCTCGAATTTTTTGTGGACTTCACATGTCGAAGCTGTAGTTCTATCATCCTTGTCTATTGTAGAATCTCGTGGGAATCATCTGCGAAAATGACATCGCCGCGAAGGGGTACCTGCTTCTCACTGAGAGAAGATGGCTTGGTCTCACTGCCTATGGAGAACCCATATGAGGTAATATGTACTACACACGCCGGATCGGGATCTTGGTGGGTGATGCGATCTATGGCCTAAACTGATTAAGTGCTACCTACGACTTGATATCTGGGTGTAGATGCCCAGCAGATCTCGTGTTATATTGCTCGTTCAACGTAGCTTTCTTGGACAGATAGATAGCGAGTGCAGCGTCATCTTTGGACCTATAGGAATCTGTGGAACAGGACGGGTTGGTATAACCATAAACTGTCTGTTGACCAGGAAGGCCAGATTGTAATATCACGGGAAGTATGCTCAAAGCAGTCTCACATACTATGGCCCAAATGGCCCATCAAAGCCCAGTCATATCTTGGGTATCTTCGTACATGTCATGTTCTAATCAGACATGTTTCTCTATCCTCTTCTTTCGAACCGATGCAGTAAAACATACTGAATAGAGAGGCAGGGTTTAATCGGCCCGGACAGGGTTTCACAACGCGTGGAAATGCAACCCCAGTTCCCCGCGACTCGTGGTCGGCAGAGTTCAAAACTTTGCGATCCACTGCGGCTCGATTGTAGTCAGAACAGGATTGGGTTCTGTCTGCGTTGGTTACTTTTCTGTTTCCGGGACTTCTGTCCCGGCATGTGAAGAATGATGTGATGCTTTGTGGAACGAGTGGGTTCGTCGTGAGAATGATTCGATATTTGTCGACGATAACTATTCCCTATCTCTAGTTATTAAGAGTGGATTCTTGTGCTAGGTCCAGATTACACTCAGCTATTATTTTATGGTTTCTTCATAGACTGTTCTAGATTCATTTGCTGTGATCGGCTGATCCTCGGATGTCTGGCCCCCAAGTTTCTCTCTACCTAGCAGACCGCAAAATCACCAGCGATCCATCTCATCTCGTATCTCAAAACACATGGCTGCGTTGGGTAGCATCTGGAATAGAAACCCCTGCAGAAGTCTAAACAGATGAGATTAGCCTAGAGGGCTGAAATATAGAATGAAGGCCTTACCTACTTCCTGAGATTCTGCATCAAATCTATATATAGCTTGCAGAAATAAGAAGATCGGCAACCGCGGATCTACAGTATCTATCTCTACCTAACTGCAGTCACTTTCTGTCCCGTGGGGGGCCCAGTTGGAAAGGTACGCAATAAATGCAGCTAGTAAGCGCTACCACGGGGAAACTAGACAAGGCCATCAATCTCCAAGACTCTGCATGGAGAACGGTTTGGGTTGAAGCTCTGGCATCTGTTCAAGATGCAAACCCATCACTGCGGTGTGACAAGACTGACAGGTACTGGGCAAATCTGATCTAGTGAGTTTTTTTCGTTGACGGGGGGCGAGATTGGA